GACACGGTGAAGAATAAGATGCCATCGAAGTCGAGTCGTCCAATACGATTGACACGGTGAAGAATAAGATGCCATCGAAGTCGAGTCGTCCGATACGATTGACACGGTGAAGAATAAGATGCCATCGAAAGTCGAGTCGTCCGATACGATTGACACGGTGAGAATAAGATGCCATCGAAGTCGAGTCGTCCGATACGATTGACACGGTGAAGAATAAGATGCCATCGAAGTCGAGTCGTCCGATACGATTGACACGGTGAAGAATAAGATGCCATTGAAGTCGAGTCGTCAGATACAATCGACACGGTGAAGAATAAAATTCAAGAACTTACGTTCGTGTAAATGATTGGACCCATCCATGACTGGTCAAGCGTTCTTCCTGAGGGACATTGAATGCGTTTTCGAAGCGGGCCCGTTTTTCAATGAGCATTGCTCCGTTAACAAGTTCGTTTCTTGCTTCCATAGACTGCTGCCACATGACTAGAGCCTGTTCGACTTGTGGATTTGCAACGATATGAGGACGTTTACTTGAGAGGGCAGTAGGGGTTTTTTTTGCGCGAGACTCAAGCTCTTGACGGCGGGCAATGTTTCGACAGAGAGAAGATTGAGTGAAGACAAGGGTACGATTGTAACGAGTACTGAAGTACTTAACGATTTCTCCTTGAGTAAAATTTGGGTGGTCATCTCGGAAGTTAAGAACCTCAAGCCAGTCAGCACATGTGAGGTGTATTCTCCCGCGCTTTATCTGAGCTGAGGACTTCACTTTCCTTTGCGATTCTCCAAGTCTAGGACCAGGCTTTACTTTGTAAGGCCCCTTTCTTGTCTGCTTTAGCTTTCCTACAGACATACGAATGTGTGTTTTGTATGTTTCATGTCAAGTTTAAGACTTATATATTTTTTCTTAATTTTCTTTCATTTTTCTGAGTGTCGGTTGTCTCGGTCTTGTGGCAACATCGAAGACATTGTAAGCAATAAAATGTCAATCGGAAACATGATTTTTGTATTGAAGTACGTCAAAGAACAACATGTGGAGCTTCTGGATGCAGAAAACACTTCAGAAAGTAGTCTAATTTCCCAAAATGCTCTTAATTTTGCATAATTTTCCCACAAATCTTGATGCAATATGCAATAGGCTATTTTTGTGCATAATTCCCTTATCCCAAGCCGGGATAAGGCACAAAGCTATGCAATATTCAATTTATGCATTATGATGTGATGCAATAAGGTATTTTCAACTGTAGTATACGACCACTAGTACTGGCGCTGAAAACAGCTCACGAGTTAACGTTGATTTATACGTTCTCAGACTGACCATGGCCCGCTAATCTCCTCTCTTACTCCGATTCACCCCGTCCTTCCCGTGACATCTGATTCCGCAAAGGCACATGCTACACTGGGAACAACCCTGCTCGTAACTTGAATTGGTCTTGCTTTCTGGAGCCACAGTGGCTTGGTAACTTACTGACAACATTATTGTTGGACGCAACTGCTTTGCATACAGTGCCAAGCCTTCATCTATTGCTGCATCTACCTTGGTTTCTAGACAAGCCTTTATTCACCAGCTGAAGCGCCTTGAGGGGCTACTTTCCGGGAGCTCTACACCAGAAAATCAAATCACTTTGTTTCCTGTCAGCATCATTATGTTTTGGCAGCCGTGCGAACCCAAGGAACTGACAGATTATATGGACACTATATTGACAGCAATGCGGTCTTAGAAGTAGACGCTGTGTGCTTGTGTGGATTACCAATATGCTGCACCTATCCGACGATTGCATAAAACCAAGCTAGGTATCAAAGGCGGAGCTCGTTTTATAACAGCATGGAAATCCGACCTAGTCGAAAGAGGCATGTAAGCGTGTCTTTGCATCATGACATACTACATATTTAGTAAAGATTTTTGGATACAACCATATCTATGCAGTGCAGTCTCAACTGAACAAGTCTTCGATCGAGCGCGGCTACAGTATTTCAGCTTGCCGAATTTACACTCAAGCCTCGTAGCTGATCGATCATGCTCTTCAGTTCATTCGGGGACTTCCTTGCACATACAATGGAAACAGATCATTTTGTGCAACTGTATTGCTATATGTATGGGGTTTCACAGCATCTATGGGGCCTACTCACGTAAAGTACAATCAGGGATGCAGATCTGTAACCAGACAATCTGTATGGGCGCCCATAACATGTCGAATATGAAGGAAGCCGCACCCCAAAAGATATCTGCTATTTCCATACCTGCTCAATGTTAATGCGTGGCTCCGCGGACGAACTTGTAGTGGCTCTCGATACCTTCCCAAGCCAAGCACCGTCTGGAATATCTTTAGAACACTAGAAGAAGCAAATATGCACAACTGCGCAATTAGCAAAATCCAACAGTGGGTCACAGAGTCTCACGGAAATGTAGAGTAGCTTAACGACGACACTAGACTTGTTAGGCCTTCCCAGTGATTCCCCGGTATCAAATGCATCTGATAGCTACAGCACTCATGAAGATGCTTCAGTCACTGTAGTACTGGTAGACTTGCCCAGTGTGGCTAAGAGATGACTTCAAAATATTTTAATGCTGTTTCATGCACATATACATACACAACTAAGCTAAGATAATAGAGTTTTAAATATTGAGGTATTGGCATAATAAGACTCGTGCCACCATCACTGAAGACGTTAATTAGGTTCGGTCATGAACGGAACCCGTTCTAAGCAAGTTTCAGAGATATAATTAGATGGGGCAGGGGAGATTATGTACATCTATTGGACGGTCAATATAACTCAAGCCGATCTATACATTGGTTGGGGAAGGGCGTGGAGCCCGTGTGAAGGCTTTATTGCGTCCCAGTATTCCATTTCTTGAGGTACTCCTTCATCGATGCGTTGGAAATCGTACCCGGCTCAGCGCGTCCTTTTCCTGCTTCCAATGCAAAACGCGCCAAGTCTTCTATTTTTATGTACATGGACGACAAGGCAAAGTTGAGTGTCGGACCAAGGACTTTATCCATTATACGTGCGCCACCGTTTCGGACTGTTGCTGCGTCCTTAGGATTCGAGGGGAAGAAATAGCCCGGGCGTATGTTATAGACCTGAACGGCAGTTGACCCAGCAGCGTAAGCAGCCAAGTCTTTCTCGGCTCGACCCTATGCAATGTGGTTGTAATGCGCCGTCAATATTACACAACGCGACGAGCACAATTACACACCTTTACGCGTGCAAACAAGGCTCCACCATTTCCGTCGGGCTTCGCACCTTCGCCACTGAAGTATACGAATCTGAGTTTGCCGTCCTCGCCACGGATTCCAGCCGAGTCAAAGGCTTTGATAGCAGCCATAGGATAGTCATACGTCAAAGTCGTGTAGTCAGCTTCGTTCATTCCGGCAGAGGTCTTCCCGAGCGCCCAAACACAAGCCCCATGCCCTTCCAGCGACTTGAGGACCTCAGGGGGGTATGTCGTGAAGTCTGTATGTTTAATAAACGAGACCTTATCCGATTGTGGGATTGAATCGGGGAGGGGACGCCGTGACAGAACACTGATTTTCGTAATAGACGTGTCTGCGATGGCCGTTCGAAGGACCTCGAGGCCAGCTGAGAAGAAGCTTGAGTTAAGTGGCAATAACTGAAGGAACGAATCGAGGCGTACCAGCTCCCGTTGCGCCTGTCAGTATAATCTGCATCTTAAAGTAGTTCGAGAGCGACTGTCTTCGATCACTGGTTGTCAATGATGATGGGGAGTGAGCAACCTAATGTTTGAAAGCAAAATATCAACTCAACTGTGCTTCTTTGATGGGAAAGTATTTATACAAGCACGACTTCATCGGAGCCGCTAATGGGCGCCGGTCAATGAACTTCGGCACGAGCCGCGCGTATCATCAAAACAACAATAAAGCGATCTGATAGGATTGACCGTCAGCATTTAACCTTCAATGATCGCACTTTTGCCTTTAACCGTTCAGCCCTGGACTAATTCGGTTGTTTACACGACTTGCAGAGAGAAAAATCGTCGCTGGCTGAAGGACATGTCTTACATAAAGTGGAGTGGGTCTATGTTCCTCTTGTTTCGGCTTTCTCGTTGATAAGCCATTCGAAATACGTTCAGGAATTATACATATGGCACTGTCTAGTTGATGACGAGCGTGCCGTGACCGTCATAATACCTGAACTGTTCTTGTGACACACGGTGGGACGAACAGAACCCAAAACCATGACCAGTTCAATGGATACAAACTGGCCTATGTGCCCAGGTAGGTGCTTCCTCTACTAGTTCGTTCCATCTAAGTAAAGTCAAAAGTCTGCCTTTTATAATGCAGTCATGTCAGCATGTAGTCAAATGGCAGTCTTAAATCAAGTTATCCACAGTCTCGAGCAGACAAACGTATTCAGGCCATTTTTCTCGTCCCATCAGTTCACACCTAACTCGTGTAATTGCAGGGAGTCAGTTCTGCTATTTATATCTTCATGAGGACGTAACTTGTCCCAGGAATATGGAACAGTTACTGCGACCGTTCTTCCCGCAGGTATTCGACATCACAAAACGAAAGTTCGAATTTTGCCGTTTTGGACGTCTTCATCCCATAACCAGCGTAATTAGCACTTTGCATATGCCACCGGGTTCCTTTCAGTACTCAAAAAAAATCATTATAGGATATTCAGCATGTAATGTGCTGGTGACCAGGCATCTTACGTTGCTACATCTGGTCCTATTGTTGCTTCTATGTCGCATCAGCTGCACTGAATGTCCTGGATTACATCGCAACTTCCCGGCGTCATGCACGCTCAAAGTCCATCGGATCCTCGGGCGTGGTACGTAGATTTGAGTTGGTTGTTTCTGCCGCAGTGACTCGTTGAAGACAAGCTTAAAGTTTCCCTTCGCATGTAGAGGCAGGATAATCTGATCAACAAGAGAATAGATCAGAACCACAGAAACAGCGCCGCGGACGTGTTACTAGTACTACAAACCGACTTCGTTTAGTTCCCGAGTGACCATCCTCCTTTCGATACACAAACCTTAGGCCTGAAATGATAATATCACAACGTACGATACTAATCACCTGAATATGTGCAGGTAGTCTTGGGACCACGAGGCCGTACGCGGTGTCTTATGATGAAGGCACTTTAGCTAGTGATTTCACCAATATCAAGCGTATAGATACCTCATATTCATCGGACTTCTCAGGCGTTCATGTGGAAGACTCGCTTCGCGGGATCATGCATGTCCCCTCCCCCTATCGCATGGCTACCGAGATATGCGAGCACATATATATGCTTCTATCTTCCTGTGTGATTCTTCCTTCTTCGTACCTAACACTCCGGCGAGAAAGGGCTTCCAACAGCCGCGCTTTCAACATCGCTTTCTACAGCGCCTTACTTTTGGTATAGCCCGGCCAGCTACGTTCTGTCTTCGAATTCCCAATGACCAATTCGTCGGAACTATACAGGAAAATCTAGAAACTACAACTGCCCTCATGCGAGATGCCGAGATCAAAGCATACACAGACGTTATTTCCTCGGACCTCTTTTTGTCAGATTGACTTGCTGAGCGCCTGAGTAGAAATCGGTATGCACCACAGTTTCGAAGTTCTCCCGGACCGTCCTTGGCTGAGTCAAAGTTAAAATAGTCTCAGAAACAATCGTTATCTTCTTCATGGCGCCCATGGGCAGCATCGCAGACCTAATGCATTCAGAATGCGGAGGTTATGTGCCCAATAAGCATGTGCGCTCAGGATCTATGTGCCATAAATGTTTCAACAGACCGCGATTACGACAAGGCACGGTGACTACCGTGTACCCTACAAGATCTTCCGTGCATATACGTACTAAGATAAGATTCCTAAAAGGTGATATCATTACCTATAGAGTATTTCCATGGACGGATCAAGGTAGAAAGCAGCCATAGCAAGCCATGAGAATATTTGACATATCTGTCGCTAGCTATAGACCATGTAATTGGCGCAGAGCGCAGATTCGGTCAAGCTAGGTGCTGAACATCATGTACTGGTGCTCTTTATGAGATGATGTTGTCTGTAACGCTTCTGAGCTAATAATCGAAGGCTTCGCTTGTTTCCCATGCGCCGCAACGTCCCTGAAATTCGAAGAGTGTGTCGCCGGTGGGACCTGTGAGCGGAAGAAGAATCAGGTTGGCGGAAGAAGCGCATTGCTTCGGAATATATAACAGAGACGGAATTCTGCTCAAGTCGGGTTATGTCCTATGTTAAGTCTGCTCGCGTGAGACTTGTGTTGACTTTCTCGGGTAAATCGGCCTTGGATCCTCGTGCTTCGTATTTATTTCGCTTTCGACATGTCGGAAACCGGCTTGGCGGTCGGCATGAGCAAAGCAGTAGTGGAGCACGCACTGTTTTAGGAACCATTTTGGCATATTTGTCAAAAGATTGTCACTAGTACTGTTATATCGACGACGACAGCAGGATATCTGATATTCGTACAGTATATTTATCAAGTAAGTAGCGTATGAATGTAATGAAGATCATGCAAACGAGAAAAAAAAGGCTGTTCCGCTGCGTATTCATACATGGGATTACCATTATAATGTACGTAATAAAATAGCTGATGTACAGCACACAATGCGTTCAAACCGGCACCTTATACACGATTAGCTTACCGTGCAGGATCTTTCGTCATCAGAAAAAGGATAAAACCGCCTTGATAGCTCCCAAAATTCTTCGTGGCTCGCACACGAAAACCGAATTTCGAAAAGAACCGAACCTTGAGAAGCCCTGCATCAGTAATTAAACATCGAGACAAGCGAGTGGGGCTGACCATGCTGTCGTTGTTGACCTCGAGGCATGCTTTCCGACCCGACGCGTTCGCCTGTTGAAGTAGTCAGTCAAAGGGAGAGGGGGATCCTCCACAAAGCTTTGCACACCTTCTTGAGCACTGTCTCCAGGAGCTGGCGGGCAATACCACTGCGTTGTTTATCCGGGTGAACAGCAATCGTCTTAATATACCATGCAGCTTTTCGTCCTTCTTGGGAACCGAGTGCCATGTTCGTTAACTCGGAAAACTTGGGTTGGAACTTGAGTGTGGACCGCAAGGCATTAGCAAGGATAGAGATATGGGGGAGGGGAAAGCAACAAACATGAGCGGTCCACCATTGCTGCATTTCCGGTGACAATTTTGAGAGATAGTCGGAGAGCGGACCGGGAAGTGGAGAAGAGCTTGAGCGTACAACATGGAAATCGTGAGGCCTAGCCGTGGGTTCGAGGCAGTTTGCTCACCTCTCAAGAGTATCTTGTCCTGGAGCATAGGCGAGTAAAACAGCATCGACATTATTATCTTGACCAGCAACGTAAATTTCGCCTTGTTGTAGGCAGAGTTCTACTTGATACTGAACAAGAGCCGGCTCGAGCCCAGTACGACCCCCAGTCAGTGCAGCCATTTGAAGGTCTTTAATCGAATGAATAAACAAGCTCGTTAACATTGTGTGATTGTTACTACCTCCTCTGCATGCTGAAAGCATAATTTGTGCAATTCGGCCCTTTTCATATGCTTTTTAAGAAGGGCGACTGTTAGAGAATGTATCCAAACGATAAAAGCTTGGAAGCATGCCTGTTGTAGTCTGGGGCGAGAGCTGGCGAACCGAGACGGCGGGGGGCAACATAATAGAGGAACAGAGCTAATGTGAAGGACCGGGTGGACAGAGTCACTGGATTCTGCAGGGGTAAACAACAGAACGACTTTATAGGATTGGGCAAGGCGAGGGCATCGCCTCCGGCCGGTCCTGGTTAAGCGGATAGATATGGATTGCAAAGGAATGGACTGGCCGGAGGCAACGCCGCGGAGTCCATGCGAAGATGGAATCGGAGATGCGGGAGCGTCGGATTGGAGAGTTATACTCGCATTGCGATCAGTCACGGAACCAGCCAGCACTAGGCTGCTGTCTACATAGTACACGTCGGTGCCATTTACAGAGGCGAGATCTCTACACCTGTGCCAGATTTGAGCAGAAGACAGCTCCGTTTACCCGAAAAGTTAAAAATCTGTTTCTGGCTAATTACGTACGCATCGGTGACGATTTGGGTGGATCGTCTCCAATTTACCACAATGGAAACTCACGTACGTACTACAACATCCTGTTGTCGTCAGTACAACCAGTCGCCCTTATCCTCCACCGCCCATAACCATGGCCCATAAGGAAGACACGGGGAAACAGTACCATCTATCCTGCACAGGAGACGCCCTGCAGACTGTTCATCAGCATAGCTCGCCGCAAGATATCACCTTCTTCGCAGCCTGTTTTTGCCCCTTTGTTCAGCGTGTTTGGGTGGCACTGGAGTACTTACAAATACCTTATCGCGTGAGCATGACCCTGGCGTGACAACGGCTTTACCTTGACTTTTTCTTTTCACCGCTAGTATTGTAAGATGCGTTGAATTGTATACTTGTCGCTACTAAAGTACGGCAATCACCCAGATGAAGTGGACCCTTACAGAAAACCAGCGGAACTTCTTCAGGTCTCCCCGAAAGGCCTCGTACCGGGCCTTAGAATTGAGAACACTGATCCAGTCAGGAGCTTGAACGAGAGTACGGTGATTCTCGAATACCTAGAAGAGTAAGGCTCTTTCGCTCTCCGTTAGATCCATACACTAGTGTAACACACTGGATCTAACTGAGTGCCATCTCTGAGTAACAGCTCCGCAGCAGCAGTTGGCGGGAAAAGTCTTCTTCCTCCGAAACAGGAGCCATGTGAGAATGCCTTCGTTCCACATTTAGAGGAGGATTGATGGTTGTTACACATCAAGATGCCCGCGCGCTCGTGAGGCTGCAATGCGATCATGTCAACCGGAACCTCATACCAGCGTTCTATCGCTATTTGCAGGCCCAGAGTGAAGATGCGATAGTCGCCGGAGCGAAGGAATTTGTCCTTTCCCTTGAACGTCTGGCATCTCTTCTTGAAAGGGCGGACCATGAGGTCGGCGGAATAGCTTGCGGACTTTGGAGAGAAGATGGAATACTGAGTCTTACGGATGTCATGGCTGGTCCTTGTACGTCCACCGCTTTGCTTGGTACCAATCGCTGTCATAAGTGATTTCGATGTGAAGGGTTATTTCGTGCGACGAACGTGCTGAAGCATTACCGCGCGTTTGAACTTCCTCCGAGCGATCGCTTCAAGCGGTGGATCGCAAGACTAATCTCGCACCCAGCATTTAGGGCCACGACAAGTACGGAAGATTTATATTTGGAGTCATACGAACGGTTAGTCCCGTGTTAGCGTTTATAACCGTCTATCTCTGAATGCCGTCCTGTAATGTAGATATGCGTTTAATCGACCAAACACTAGCCAAGTAGCCAATGCCATAAACGCTGGCCGTAACTTGCCTTAAATACCGTCTGCATGAATGCAATAGCAACTTTGCTTCTGGCCACTGTCTTATAACAGATTTCTCTTGAGGAACGGCGTTCGGGATCTGCAATACGTTAAAGTAACTTTGCGTTCTGAAGATTGGTCAACTCCTTTATAGCAACAGACAGTTCGCAATTTGTGCGGGCTTCGAAACTGAAACGTTGCCGTTTACAGTTGCGACAGAAGTAACTATGCATATTCCACTGTAGTGTGTATCAGGTCTTTCCCAAGCACCGTCTGATTGCGCCCGAGACGTGATTTGGCGCAGAGTTCAGTTGGTTAGAGTCCAAAACGAATGAATCCTCAATGCTGCAAGTTGACCCGCGATTGCAGGCCTTAGTTCTGGAATGCGCTGCTGCGGTGGCTTCCTACGGGTATGATCACTACTTTCTTTTCAGTTCATCTGGCAGTGCGGAGATGTTTTGCTCTTGGCTTCCAACCTTTCGCACTGACGGGTTTGTCTTCCGACATCTGGCAAGTAATCTCCTCGGGTCTATGATACAGATCCATCAGATGGGCGGACCAAACGTAACATTTCCACCTCAAGCTTATCTCACAAAGGAATGGACTAGGCATGTTGGTACACTAAATTACGGGTTGTGTGGGTCTCCTGAAGGGTGCCTCGTCTACACGATGCTGACTGTCAGCCAGATTGGCCAAAATTTTGTGCTACCTTTGTCAACCTACTGATACTTTTTTTCAACAAGAGAGCCACTGATCTCAGTTGCAACCTTAAGTACTCTACAGCTCAGTATCCTACATATAACTCGAAGAGTAAGCTGCAAGGTTCGGGCGCTATTTGAATAACGCATTCCGGTGTGCGTACCGAGGAATGCGATGCGACCTTTCCCATCGCTTATATCGAGACTTGATTATCACACTCATTGACCGTACCCAGCGGGTTTAATTAGTGACGTGATACACTTGGACATTGTCTAGGCTATGCTATTGCGGCGTCTCGTGTTCTTCAAAGCAGACTAGCACAGAGGGGGTACGGCTTTGTGTGTTTCCGCACAATTTAATCGTCCCTTAGTTTCCGAGGCCTCGTCTCGGCTCTGCCATCTATCTCCGGAAGCATTGTATTATATTAGAATGGAGTAGACGAACGAGCGATGGAGAATGGAGCTGGTCTGGCGACGTGCCTTCATAATTTGGACATAATGAGTCTTAGACCAGGTCAGTTATTCGATTAAGGAGAAGTGAAATACTTCTATCTCACGCTTATAGCTTTATCGATGGCGCAGCAACTTTGTCTTGCCCGAAATCTGCAACTTTAAAGTCAAGGTGACCAATAATTAGTCGTGTCAGAGTATAAGCTCTTGAGAATGACACCGCCCAAACTTGGGAGCAAAGGCCCATACATCTGCGGAAGTGTCCAGACTTGTACAGTCAAATATGCAAGGCTCCGATGCTCACTAAGGTGAACCGAGGGCGGAGTCGATTGAAAGCTCCAAGAGGCTAGTTGATTTACATCGTGGCTGTCGGACCTATCGGTTCTTATGAATCTACGCTGACTATTTGGAGCACTCTGGCGCCTCACTTGGATAGATGTCGATAGTCATGGCTGTAAAGACCGGTATATCGTGCAGGCGTTAGGTTCAATGGATCCGTTGGGGATAGTACATCCATGAGTTCCACAGAACGGCAATTTCCTGTACGAAGGGATCTCTGCGATGCTAAAGCTTTCTCCGCACTGGCGATATATATAAATACAAGGGAACTTCATATGATAACAAGCAGCACATTCTGTTGTGATTCAGTATAATATCAAACTCTGTGTTAGGCCCCGTTGAGCCTAAGCATAGCCTTAGGTACCGTCGAAAGTGCCGATGTCCGTGAGCTGCTAGTGGCTTGAAGAGCAAATGATGTGGGATTGAAAAGTCGGTTAATGTTTAAAGCAGAAAGCCTTGCACTATGCGTTACTATCTCGCAAACTCACTTGTTTTCAGCCCATCTGGAAAGAAGGGCCACAGAAACCTCTTCTCCCTTCTTAACTTAGTCAACATAAACCTATTGTATGCTTTACAGATCCACGATTCCGCGGCAGCTTGACCGCGTCTAAGGCAACCGCCGCGGATGAGATAAAGTTTCAAGTAGTATCTTAAATACAGCAAGAACAGAAGGGAAAACTCCACAGAATCCGGATAAGTTTGTGGGAAAAGTATACTTTCTTGCTGAATGGCGATGCCCTTACACGCTTCTCATCGATGAATACCGTAGACGGGTCCTGACCTCCATACTTTCAATAGTTAAAAAGAAGAGCTCCGAAGGTGACATATTCAGTAGAGTCGCTCAGCACAAGCAATCAGCGCGGACTTCCTAAGCACAGGCCGTGGAACAACACAAGAAGCCGGTGGCTCCAGGATTAGTTTATTTGCGGCTGTAACAAAAAGCAAAACACTGGCGGCCGTTTTACATTCTGATGTCGCAGGTCTTATTCGTTCTCTAGGATAATGCTATTTATAGCTGATACAAGTTTGTGGCAGGGGCTGCTTACTTCTTCCGAGTAGTCATATCTCATACTTCACAATGTTTTCGCATTTCTTAAAACCAACACAAACGAGTGCGTACGGCTCTACTGCAGAACATGTGTTTCTTATGGGAAATACACAGACTATATTTGGCCCTTGTATTACAGTTGACCTGAAGCGTTATTAAATCAAGCCGGAGCTTGAGGTCTGTGTTAAAGTAAGAAACCACCTAGACGTGCACTTTATTTTCACCAAATGTGATTCATTTCAGCGTGTCTCAAACTCCCCTGCTCAGTAATAGTATTCTTGTAGGCGCCAAGTTTACTACGTCCGAAATTGGAAACAATACCCCACAATGTTCTTGCCTTGGTCTTCTGTTGTTGCATTCCTACGATCAGTAGATCAGTCCCGTTGTAATAACCACGGCTGCATTTGAGTTTATGATATATTTGATGCAAAGAAGGATATCCCTTGATATGCTCAGCATGGGAGTGGTGTAGACTCGCATCTATCGAGGTTAATGAGTTTTAAGTTCAAATAGGTAGTATTATCGCGTTCGAAAGCTTTGAAGACAGTACAGGTTGACTCTGGTATGGTTTGGGCAATGATACATGCTAATAACAATACTTTCATTGAAATATGCATAATGCAGTAGCCGTTTATCTGGAATTTGCACTGAAGTGCATCACCGAATAAATGACTGCATCGCGTAGTACAACATTTGTTTCCGAGATATATTAAGTGTACGCTCCATATGGGCGGGTATCTTCGGAAATCATATCACTTTAATATAACAGTCGAAGCCATGAAACATCTCCTGATACAGAAATGCTGATCATTGCTAATACGCTTGGGATTTCGCAAACATTTTGTATACTTTCACTTTACCGCCGCTCATATGTATCATTGTAAAAAAAAGGAGTTTCCACCATACACGATACTAATACTCACAGATAACGAGGGCCATCACGGCAGTCAGGCACGATTGAGTAAATACCTACAGGCACGCCATATTATTAGGGTTGCGATGGTATTTGACTGGAGAAATCTCTAGGGGCTGTCGAAATCTCGTTGAATATTGCACCACGATTTGAGATAGAAAAGTGAGCGACGTGCTTGAGAGTGAGTTGGGCTCTCTGGCAAGGCAAAGAATCGACATAGCTAGCGGATCTATTCTGCAACATACGCGACATCCGGTAGATCTTCCAGACATTTGAGACGACGGAACCAAGCCAGGGTCGATAATGGCAGAATCTGTTGATCTCGGCAATTCTTCTTCCTATTCACCGTGGCGCTAGGACATTGCAGTGGAACGTGGTCCTCGCGTGAGAAGCCTGTTATAAACGCTCTATATCGAAAGTTCGACACGTGCAGCTATAAACATTTGCAAGAGCCATTTTGTCCGCAATCATGACCGCATCTCACTCATGCACCCCCCATCATGATTGATACCGGCGTCGTCCTCGACGACGCCGGGTTCGCTCTGCTGTCCACTCATGCACACAGCGAGAACGGCGTCGGGCTCTGGGTGCGGGACAACTTCCTCTCTGACGTACTTACAAACATGTGAGTCTATCTCCCTTGTTTCGCACGCAAGTCGCGTGGCATTTGCATGCATGAAAGCTTGGCTGACAGCTGTGCCTCATCGCTTTTTTTCTCCTTTTCGCCTGGTCGATCCTCCAATCGCATTCCAGATTTTTCGTTAAATACTATGTTATTGCATCAATAAGTAGGTCTTTACATCTGTCATTAATTTACCGAGCGTGAATTCATCGTCGAGGTTCATTTTCCAGCGCTTCTGTATTTTGATCATGTGATCACATTTCCACTCGAGGTCCAAAGAGTCTGGTGTACGCGCTTCACTGGCGCATCGTTTCTCTTTCTTTTGAATCGATATGTCCCCTTCTTCGGGTATATACCCGTGGTATTGGGCTTGTTCGATCCTCCATGGAATATTGCAGTGCGTACCGCCTGTGTTTTTAACTAACAGTGCTGTATTACTCACTTGGCTCACTTGTAGCAGTAAGCTTGACATTAGAGCAACAGTACCAGCGATTAATCTGACCATGCGGCTTAAGATGCAAGAAATTTGCTCCATTTATCGGTGCCTTGGGCCTGATCAGCAACCTCATTGCAGCGAGTGCGTTTCATTCACTGGTAGTATTTACCTCCGTCGACGTTCCTAATGCTTATATTCTTGTATATAGTTATACTAATTCTGCGAACTTATGCGCTGTATGGAAGGACATTGTGGGTTTTGATCGTCACTGGTCTATTCGGCGCAGCTTCCGTGGCAGTAGGTGGAGTGCGTACTTTTCAAACTGGTTTAGAATCGTTATTCACGACTGTTGGAATTTTTTACTTGCATATAAAGTGGTCAACCAGTTCTGTGGAGGGTGAACTATTAAATTTCAGGCCAATAGTTGTCTGTGTCCCCATGTTATTTCAGTATGGCCTGTTTACTGCATCCCCACCTTAACGTATTCTCTAACTGCTTATTTTTCTGTTTAGCGAATTTGGTGCGTGCTTCCTATCGAAAGTTATTATTTTTCTCCACTTACCGTGGTGCTCTAAACAGGCTTGAGATTTACCTGGATTATGACGTTCATCTTTGATATTGTTGTTTTTGGCCTTACTATAGCGCGCACATATCAATATGCGAAGGCCCATTCAAGGATGCGCATGCACTCAGATTTAACTTTTCTTCTCATGCGGGATGGTGCGTTCATACAATTAGATTCCTTCCAATCAGATAATCCATTCGAATGATATTCTCCTCCGTTTTACCATATACAATACTGACTGATATTGTCCTCTTGCAGGAAGCATATACTTTCTGTGAGTATATCGTTTTTTGAGGTGTAGCTCAGCAGATCTTATCGTCTATCAGTGTCATGTCTATTGTCAATGCCGCGAATTATATTTTGTCAATAGTACGTGCTCTAATTCATTATCTTGAGTACAATCTAATCAGTATCATCACAGAGGATCCGAAATTCGTTCTTTGCGTCTGCTACTGGCACCAACTCCATTCTTGCTAATGTGTAAGATAATTCACAACAGACTTTCGAGAAAGGACCTAAGTATTGTGTTTATGTTCATGCAGAATCTCTGTGACAATGATCTCTCGCTTGCTACTCAACCTTCGCGAGGAATCGGTTCAATATAACCGTCGCAGTGCATCTCGATCCCGCTCTTCGACGATACCAACGCTGACAGACACAAATCTCATATTCACTTCCCGTATTATTGGCAACCTTACTGCTGATCTTGACTACGAAAGTGTTGGTAGCTTCCATGCCCGTGATGGAAGCGAGAACTATTATGGCTACAGTGGTGAAGAGTCAGATGAGCTATATGAGCTGCAATCGCGAAGTACACGCTCGGGGATCACTTCACGATCGAAATATAGCGGCCGTTCGATGCTGAGCGATCCTGGGTCATCATCTGGAACAGGAACGATTGCTGGCTCGCCCTCCGGATCGGGTTCTGGAGCAGACTCTGGCATGAGTAGAATTGACCGAACCAGGCAATCAAAGCTCACGTGGGACCAATCTGCGAACACTGCTTCATCGTCTACAGCAGGGAGACACCGGATGGACGGGCTTCTGAGCCCTACGACGGCAGTGGAGTCACATCTAGGCCTCTTACCCTCTGGCGAGCGCAGTCCTCAGTTACTCTCCCCGCTGTCTCCTGCCACGTCACGATCAATAGCACCGGCACTCGATCAGCCAACAACGCTAGTCTCTCCGCATCCAACGTCCCCCATATCACCTGACCGTGCTCGAGATCTTGCGTTCATAACGATGAGCAGAAGCGAAGACTGGGACGGGAATGTAGAGCGGGGATCAAGTGGGAACAGGGAACGAGCACGACAGCGAATGCACTTTCATTCGGCAGGTACCGATGAGGCAATTGAAATGTCAAGTTTCAAGCGACAGACAAGACCAGAAGGCAGCTATGATCACGATCTGTACCACGACCATTATCGACGAGCGCCTCATTCGCTTCCCGATACCTGAAAAATGCCATAAAAACAACTGCCTTTCAAGCTCCCCTAAATGCCTGCTTTCCGCCATCTCCGCCCGAAGGCATAACGTACGCTCGGCGGCTGCCTGTACCTCGATTGAATAGATTCGATGACTGAACTCTGCCTGTTCTTCCGCTTTTGCAGAGTAAACTGCGCGAAGTTCCGAGCACACATGTGCCTTTCCCTTCATCCCCGTCCTCGGTCGCTTCTGCTCTCCTTCTTGCCGCAACTTTGTATTATAAGCAATTGAGTCGTTTCAATCCATCTTGTCCTGGACTTGGAAGTGTAGATTTCTTGGGATACGACTATTTACGAAGCTTCATTTTGCATGGGCCCTTTCTTGCTAGCATGATTAATTTGTTTTTCCAATTCTTCGGGACTTGGATTCGGATGTAATATGGTACTAAAAATCCTATTATGCCGCAAGCGCGATGAACTCTCCCATTATTAACGCTGTTAACGCTCACTTAGAACCAAGCTTGTAATCGATGAACGCTGAAACCGGGATTGGCGGTGCATCGAAGAAAGTCACTCGTTATTGTATGTGCTTGTTTAAGTCGAGCTCGCTTCATTAGAGGCTTCTAATGCAATACAAAACAGAGGAAGGCTGTCAAAGTGTATGATTGTGTCTATTGTGGATGGCAATTATACAGGGCCTTTTGATACTTTACTACTACATTGCTCGCTATACATACAACAGGATTCCTTATACATCCTAGTAGTAATTTTTTTGGTCTCCAGCAAGTGGAGTCGTCCCCGCGCTCCACGTACAACAGTCAAGGGTTCCGTGCACTGGCGCCAGCAGTGCCTAGTGTATAATGTTGGAGAATTTAGATGCGTCAAGGGGGAAACAATGGACGGGAGTCTAAAAGATGGACAGTACAGCGTCCGCATGTCTCAAACAGCGTCCGAGGTGCCCAGCTCCACCTTACAACAAGAGAACAAAGGAGAAGCATTGAAACGAGTGTTGGTAAGATGTGAAGATTGAAAGATGAAAGAATGGACTGAAGCCGAGGACGGCTAAGGAAGAGAAGGGAAGAATATCGATCGGAGGGCGTCTCGGACCGCCAATAGGTACATGCAAAAACCAGGAAAGGAGTGGTAATGAGTGAGTTGAGACGGTAATGTCTATGCAAGGAAGGCTAAATGAACCGAAGGTTAATTCGGATTGAGCCAGACGAGTGAATCCAATGGAGTACACCTCCACGTATACAGAATTACGTCAGAGGGACACAAAACAAGGGTGCGGAAATAGACGGAAGCAGGTAAGCCCTCAGGGAAACGAAATCCATAACTGCTGAATCGGCTGCGAAACTAGAAGCGGGATTGGGTGCTGATTCGAGTCGATTCCGGGACCCGACAAGGATGATGACAAGCTACTTTTGCTTGCCCCCGCTCGCATAGGTCAGCGAGACGATGCCGACCTCAGGAATTATTACGTTCGTGTGAGTGCGGCACACCTACCCCATTTTCAACACGTGATACCGTAGATGATCGCGGCGACGGAGACCAGGCCATTGAGCGGTAGGAGCGAATTTACGAATAGCGCGGATGGTAATAGCGGAAGAAACGGAGCAAAAGTCAGTCAAAACAGTGCCTCGAGGCCCAGGGTTGCGAGGGCAACCGTGGTAAATTTGGTGTAAACTCACTCTATCAGCGACAGCACGATTGCGGAAATGAACGTGAATCTCGCCGTTAGCTTTTTGGGATAGTCGGTCAACAGCGCCATATACCTAGAAAGGCGTTAATTAAGACCGGAAAAAAATTAAACAAGAAAACTTTTGGTGGAGCGCCACTTCGAGACCAACTGGCCTTCCTCGAAGTTGACTCACCGCAAGGTAACTTACCTCACACCATTGCTTGACGCTCTGAACGGCGGCTTCTGCGCCCGACGCTACACCCTTGATTACGAGCCGCTTCTTGTTACTGCTGCGAGACGGGAAGCGCACAAGTTTCGTGAAATCAAACTTTGAGAAGCTTAAGTTCAGACCTAAACGTGAAGGCGATCGTGGAAGACCCTTCCGAGGTGTCTCCGGCTGAACAGGAGAAAGCGGACTCGGAGGCGAATTGTCATCTTGTGCAGCGGTCGATAATGACCAACATGAGGTAGCGGCACGCAAGCGTGAATCCACAGGACCCAAATGATTTGACGGGTTACCATACGGTAAATGGCGCACATTGGGTGCATGTAGTTGTCTCTCGGCCTTTGCTTGCATAAATTCTGCGGCCGTTGGGGTATTAGGAGCCGAGAAAGATTTGTTGAAACCGGGATGCAGGAGGACATGATCGTTTACCGCACCCAATGACTTTGAAGAAGGCTTTAATGGTGGTGGTCGGCGGAGGTGCATTTCCGATCGAGAAGCTTTCAGAGCCGACAAAGAGGATGATCGTGCTCGCACAGAAGATTGAAGAGGCTGTGAAACATAAGGCGAAACCACAGATACCTCTGAGATGGGTGATTGTGGAACATCTGCAAATGGCCTAAAAGGAACCGCGAGCGTTGGAGTCTTTGGTTCTGTTGAGAACGTAGACGGTGTGGATGGTGTGGACGTTTTCAGGCGTAACGGAGACGTCGAATTTATCGTTGGAAAATGTTCATTCGATTCTGCTATTCTTTTTCGCAATGCACGAGCTGCACCAAATGGCTTCCGGATTGCGTCTTCGTCGTCTGACTCTTCCACTGGAGGAGGAGGCAATGGCTAGGGATGACCCAGTCAACATTGGAAACAGTGTTCGTCTCATGGGAGTGGATCCTGACCTTTTGAAAGCGGCTCACAGACTCCTCCGACTGCTCCAAGTACCAGTCGCGCATCTCGTCAAGGAAATCACGGATTGTACCTTCTTCGTCATCATCATGCAGAAACCCATTCATCACTTTCGGCTCTTGGTCTACGTCAGGCACTGGTGGTTGATAGAAAAGGTCCTCATACGAGGGAAACATGTTCCTCTCCGTGTAGGCTGCTGAGCGTGAGGATCCCGATGATTGAGACCCGCTACGTTTCATAGTAGATGGAGTATGGATGGTCGACACTTAGGTTTTGGGAGAGTGTCGGGACACGGGAGAGTCAAAAATTGGTTGGGCGGTGAACGGCATTTGCTTTTAAAGTGGACTGTTTGGGCGGCTAGGCGTTATTTGGGAGGATCTGGCCTTGCGAGAAGGCGATGCACTTCTGCGAGAAAGAAGGGACAGTGTGAGTTCCATTTTTACGAGAAGCACGTTTTTGACGGTACGTTCGGGCATGAGAAAGCACCCAATACACGCAAGGACGATCAATCGGCGCAAAACACGACGCTCACTCAGAAGCGCAATTTGGTAATTCATCCTGCGCGGCGTATTCGGCTCCTTCCCTGTATTGCCTGAGAAGACCCCCTCGGCATCTAAAGTACGTATGTAAGATTGTCTGCTTGCCTGTTGATCTTACTTCCGAGTTTTGTCTCTGATGGTGGCGAGCTTGCGTTTTTGCTTCCTTGACGTCCCCAGAAAGTCATTCGTAATTTTGATTTTGGACTGGACAGTTGGAATTTGGCATGAATTAGACTGGACTCAAAAGTCTAATTGTCAGTATAAACGCACGTCCAGCCACAGTGATCGACACATTTCGCCCAGAGGATCCGCTAATGCCGACTTGTCCACTTTAATGCTCGTTCGGAAAGTTTGGGGTGTGGGTTTGCGCAGCCCAGAACAGCAATGTCCGCCGAAAAGGGTCAAAGGCATCGTCAAAATCGGGTGAGAAGACCTTCGTAAAATGCATTTAATACCGCATTATAAAGCAATGCGGACGTTTTACACCGTTTCCGGTATGGAGATCGATTTACCCTCAAGACGCGTTACACCCTCAAGCTCCGCAAGGGCGTTGGACATTCATTACACAAATTCGCTCCAGTATTGTCCTCATGTTAGGTCATTGGGCTCGTACGGCAATGACGCACTCGAACGCACAAGACCAGAGGCGAAACGGCTCCAATCCGGCCGCGGCACGAACAAGAAGTCTAAGAAGTCACAAGAATTGCGCAGCTCTCCTAGAGAGGGAACCGCATATTTCGCTGACAAGCACGAAGAATATTTGCTTGAGAAAAACTCAGGCGCGGATCCCACTTTAAATCACGAGGCATTCAGATTTCTTCACGTACATACTATACATTTCCGTTTAACATGCTGAGCCGAATCAATATCGGTTCCAAAGGCTCTAAGAAACACCAGGTTTGAGAAGCAGTGTAATAGATCAGAAGACAAAGAGCCACTTCTTACCAGTTGAGCAAGGTTTTGCTCTTTATAGGTGGATTGACCGCACGAAAAGCCGAAATAGATACCGTATGTTTCACTTGTTAATATCAAGAACAACTCTGCCGACAATATTTCCGTCTTCTAAATCACTGTAAACTCTGCGTAATTACGCGGATACAACGATCCGGTTATTTCAATCGCATTTTCGACCGTTATCTCAGCAAGACGGGACGTACTGCTCTAGCTCCGAGAGACCTCGGAGAGAATATCGACATTTCACTTTCCCCAATGCCGCAAGCTCTACAGCTTCTTTGGCTATCTGGCGGTTTCTGCGCGACACATTCGCGAGAGGCCGATGAGCTTGGTCTGGTGAGCGAAGAGAAGGCTTGCTACGTACCCGATGAAGACACCGCGGATCGTGAGGCCCTGTTTGTCGAATGTATGTCAATTGAATTTCGCAAGTAGTGAGGATTTTACCATACCCTAGCTGCTAGTAGAATGATAGGTATGGAGAGCATACCGTCACGGGGCAATCCGACTGCGAGAAGGCGTCCCCTTGGACGCAGATACTCTACTGCTTGGTTGTACACCGCGTTGCCACCTGCGGTTATAACAGCTGCGTGAGCACCACCTCCAGTTGTGGTGACAACTTCGGATACGAGGTCCTGAGTCTCTTTGAAATCAATCCATTTCTCCGCCCCTAGCTCTAGTACGAGCTTTCGCTTTTCCTCCCCTGTATCGATGGCGACTACACGCAGCCCCATAGACACAGCGTATTGGACACCTATGCTCTTTCGTTAGCGATCTTTTCGACAACCTGTGAAATTTGCAACAGGTGCTGACCAAGATGGCCCAGGCCACCGCCAGCTCCAGAAATAACCACCCAATTGCCTACATGCGCTTCGCACTGTCTCAAAGCGCTATAGACTGTAAATCCCTAAATAACTGTCAAGATTTTGCTGCGCAAACAAAATGGAAGCGCAAGCACACTGACCGCACACATGATCGGAGCTGCGTCCGCGCTGTCCAAGTTATCCGGGATAGGTGTAACGTGGTCAACATAGGCGACCGTGTATTCGGAAAAGGTTCCGTCAAACGTATTCCCCGCTTTCTTCATCTGCACACAGACTAAAGGTTGTTTGTCAGCCAGTCAAGTCATGCCAGAATGAATAGAGCTGGCAACATACAACACTCGGCACCTGAAAGGCAGTACTCGCAACTCTGACATGTATCTGCCAGAAACATAACACCAACACGATCACCAATCTTGACTGGAGAGTTGCGGGTATGCTCAGCGATAGCCACTACCGTTCCTATGCCTTCATGTCCGCCCACGAGATCTAGTTTTGTTTGTGCCCTACTTGCAAACCACCCCTCTTTGATTGCCACATCTGAATGGCAGACACCTGAATGAGACAGGTTCACGAGGCATTGGCCTGGAAGGAGCTCGTTCGGAGGGACAACGGGGTGATCGGTGACGAACTTGGGCGGCGCACCGACGCGTGGCAGGACAAATGCACGCTGGACACTGGGAATTGCGTACGACATGGATTCAGGTACACTACGTCGTCGGGAACTGATGTGATTCGGTCAAACAGACTCTTGTCCGATTTATGAACTGAGAGCGAAGTCAACCCCTATATCTGCGCTTCCATGATGGGGCGCATAAAGCACACTGTGCTGTTATAAGAGTGCATCAAATCGTTGGATAGAGCGCTAGCGGCAAGTCAGCGTTCCGCGAATTTCTATTTGGCTAGTCGTAGAACATGTTTGGCTCGATAAATAATACTCCGCCAGAGCTTGTCCTTGTCTTCAGGTTGTTCGCATAGTGGCTTCTTCCGGACATGTGAAATCGCTCAAATCTAGCGATTCAATGCGAGGCGTGAGACCGCGAAATTGGTTATGAGTGAGAAAACGAGAGGTGTTTGGAGGTATTTGTTCGAAAGGCAGACAGCAGTGTAAATCTGTATCAAGCCTGATTCCGCAACAAGAATTCAAGTAGTATAGCTTGTCACGTAAGACGAGACTGGTCTACAAAACGTTATTTATGTGATTAACATCATACTGACATCACGATGTACTGCATTACAATCATCTTGGTCCAGTGTTGTGCTTCCCACAATAACGACGATGATAAGAACTCATTCGGAATGCATTTCTCTTATTTGAAGACAGACATTTTCGCAAGCGTAAGTCTATTTCGCTATTGAATGTGCTGTACTTAAGAGCGTTGCCTGTTTAGTAAGATACAAGGTCAAATACATGATTCAGAGATATTAGTTTACAAAACGAGGAATGAAAATTTACACACTACAAGGTGCAATCTGCAGTCATATAAGTGGTAACCTAACTAACCACCCTTCCAGTGAAATTGCCACAGGGAAAGAAAAATAAATACATCACGCCCTCAATGTGATAATGACGGGTAGGTCTCCCGGCTTCACAACGAATAAGTCAATCATGTCTTTCTCCCAGCGAGACGGATCGTAATCAGGGGCAAGGCGGAGATCAAACTTCTGCATCAACAGCGCGACTACCACACGCATCTCCGCAAGAGCCAGATTTTTACCAGCGCAGTTCGCATGGCCGGCGCTGAACGGGATGAATGCAGAGATATTATGTGTTATCTCAACCTTTTCTTGATCACCTGACTGAGATTTGGTGTTCCGGAGCCAGCGGTCAGGCCAAAAAGAGTCGGGTGCGGGAGAGAAGTACTGTGGGTTGTGGTGTAAAACGTACGGAGGAATGTTCACGGCGGTCCCCTCAGATAGGAAGCTGTGTAGAAGTTTTTCAGGTCAGTGTCAGTCACCCCTGTAGATGCGTTTTATACTAGTGGTACGTACTGTTTGCCAATCCACTTCCCCCCAGTGCCTTTCTCCGGTGCTCGCTGAATTCCGGTCGGAACTGCTGGTTGAATGCGCAACGTCTCGTTGCTACAACAATAATTTCATGAGTTCGCTCTCAAAGATTTAGGACTGTAGGAGCGCGTACATGACGGCATTTAGGTATTTCATCTCCGCAAGGCGTGTTCCGTCGAATGGCTCGCCCTCGCCAAGCGGGAAGTATGCGTCAACTTCCTCACGAAGTCGTGCATAATATTCAGGGTTTGTGAGTAGGTAAAAGAATACCCCACTGAGGGTTGTCGACGTGGTATCTGATCCCGCGACGATAGCAAGCTCTCCGCTCACGACTACCTCACTCAGCTTTGATGCATTCGGCTCTTCATGACCTTCGTTGATCTTAATTTATCAGTTTGTATGATTGTGAGATTGCGAATGTAGGGTGATCTGTGAGAGAAGACGCACGAGATGATAAAACAGATCCTTAACGTGCGAGCCCTTCATTTTACGCTGGGCTGCACATTGGATAGTGAAATTCCGGAATTTGACAACTGCCTCAGTAGCGAATGGGACTTTGAGAAGGAGACGCGTCGCCCAAGGAATGTGCATTTGCCATCCGATGGCGCTTTGAAGAGATGAGTCTATATGCAACAAGATCTGTGGAGAGAAATAGCGTACTCAATACGATCAACCATCATTTTCCACAGTCCATTCACGTCGCCATTGCGCATGAGCTCAAAACCTCCACCAAAACTTTCACGAATCATCAACGTGGCGCCAGGAAATCTACATAAATAAAGACTTACGCCATGTCACCCATGAAGTCAAATCTAGCAGATCATATCGCATTAGTGCTCAATGCTCCCGAACAAGAAATAGAAGCCAGTTCTTACGCAAAGTAGGTCATCCAAGTTACCAGGTTCACCGTTTCGCCTGATAGAGCGCGCTTTTCGAGTTCCTCCGCAAGCTGTCCAGCACGACGCGTGATAGCAGGCTGGTACTCGCGCACAGACGCGGTGCTGAACGCATGAGTCCACGGAACACGTTTGCGCGCGTGGTCGGCGCTGCTCCGCGTGGCAATAAGATTTGGTGGCGCATCGGGATTGCGGCGGCCATCCCACACTGAATTACGTTTCTTCGTTTAAAAGCAGGCAATTGGATAGCGGTAAATGGAACGTACTGGGTCCTCGTGGCATATCCGGAGCGAGGAGTACGGGAAGAAGGTCCGCATCTGCAAAAGATAGTTCATTTGGACCTGTTATACAGCAATTAGCTTTGTCAAGGCGTTATAAGTGAGTACAGCATACCAAGGCGCACATAGGGACCGTACTTTTTGTGCAGTTCCGTGACTACGCGTAACTGATCACCCTTAAGGATGATATAGATTATCCAGAACTTTGAAAGTTTTGCTAGAATAGGTCCAGGGTATTTCGCAAGCGGATGCCAGGGAGATAGACGGTAGCAAGCAATACTGGCGAGGAGGGAGGAGTAGAACGTGCCGAAACCCGCGATGTAGGCATTCGTTGTCGAGCTGAAGTGTGGAGGGAGGAAGGAGGAACAGATAAACGGAGTCGCAATGAGCAGGAGGAACGTCGGAATATAGCTTGATGGTTGCACTTCGTATTTTTTGTAGATTAAGTGGGTCACCTACAAACCAAATCATAAGAGACAGTAAGTGCATGTCGATGCATGCACGTACCAGACCACCGCCAACGGCGAAAAGGAGCGCATCGCGAAGATCAAGCACAGGCAGACTATTCATTGCGTTTGTGTAGTATTCCGAAGGGAGAAACATGCTGAAGGCTTGAGGGAGATGCGTAAAAGCTCTGGCCTTTGCGGGCGAACTTTATGGTACACACGAGCACGGACATGCTGTGGGAGTATGCCCGAGACCGACAACGGACGCAGGGCTATTCGGACATCGACTATACACGAACAATTACGCCTATGCGAGACAAGCGGGCGTTTCAGCTCGGAAATAGGGAAAGTTAAGGGATGTAAGCCATGGGCGCTTGAAAGACGATAAGATTCGTTCTTGCAAACAAGCAGAAGTGCGGCAAGAAGTTTGCTTGCACCAGTACGGGGTTTCAAATCCCCATTTTGTGTAAATCAACGGGGAAGCCTCGCTTTCGAGACTATTGTTAGACCTCCTCAGTTCCATTTGCCTGAGCTCAGTGATACGCATGGCAATCCTAAGTCTCATGAGCCTGACCATATTTTACCCAGGCGGTTATATTCGCGTACTAACCATCATATCTTACTTCCGTAGCCGTGTGCAGAGCGAAGCGGAGCAGTCTGAGTGTGCGGCCGCAGGTTTAAGGAACGATGGCAAGATTCGACGGCCGCATGAAATATTAGCGAGCGAGACAGGCCGAATGACTGTCGGTATACAAATAATTATATAGTATTTAGTCAGTATTGAACTCTGGTCTCTGTCGATTAGTGGTTAAATCGCCACGTTGTGGCCGTGGCGCCGTGTGTTCGATTCACACCAGAGACATTTGACAGTAAAAAATATTATGGACTTTTTTAAAGACCCACCCATCCTGTGGCAGGCTGACGCTAAGGACTTTGGAATCGGAAACAAAATCCCGTCCTGTTAAAAATAATGGAGATTAGATTTGCAAGACTACCGAAATCACTTCTAGCAAGGCGTTACTCTGGTTATTGCGAAATCTCCACACGGTGAGAAAACGGCCTGGGAATCAATTACTTCAAAACGAACTATGCTTTATGTTTCATGCAAGCACTTTGCGTTCTCTCCGCCGGTACTACTTGCAAGTTGACTACCGTACCCTCTTACATTCCCCGAACTAGCATAAGCTGATCTAATACAGCACACCGAAGACCCTTCACGAATACTATGTTGTGACTCTGTTAACTATGTCCTTGATGAATTGCCACACAAAACACATCAGCTGTCGGTCAGAGACACTCTAATGATCAAGGCCATTAGCACTTTAAATTGAATCGAAGGCTAGACGGGCTAGCCATAGTTGGTCAGCACAACTTGCCCGTGGTATTCGCTGTTCATGGTGTAACACAATGTACAGCCTAGTCCTCGCTGCCCTCCTGCAGACATCAAAATATTCTGTTAAGCGCGCTGCTCTTCTGACTACTCTGCCACTCAGCAAATTTTCATGGGAGACAAGAGATAGTTGGTTCCGTGAGCGACGGAGCCTGTTGACTAGCCCGACATTCGAAATGCGTCGGCATTGATCTTTCGCGATGTCAATGGAAGCGAACGACTCGCTCTAATGATGGTGCTGTGCCTGGGGCATTGTGTAAATATACTCGGGTCATTATAGACCGTGATGGACATTCAACTAGAAGTCTGTTCCATTGACTTTGGGAATGACTATAGAGCACTGACAGTTTGTGATGGTCTCTGACGCAATGTCCCTTTTTCTTGTCCCGTCTCAATTCGCTTATGTCGGAAGCAACGTCAGACTTTTGACCGCGGATGAAGAAACCCACCGCATCTAGACTCGTGGCTACTGGTTTGTATGCACCATTCACCAAGGTAAAGTCAAACTCAAGAACAAGTAGTTATACAGTGAATCATGCATTAGTCTTCACGTCTTACAATTAAGAACTGTATAATACTGTGACAAAGTTACGTCCCGATGACATGGTGAGTCATGCACCTTCCTCCCTTACAATCAATCCCTATATCGTTTAGATCCATTCAGGTCGGATATTTAATACGTAGCAGCAGCCGTGCCCGGTGCAGTCATCGTTGCTGGGCCTGTGGCCGAGACAGGAGCTGCTGCAGCCTTTGTCGCGCCGACTGGTGCAACTGGTGCAGCTGGCGCAGCAGTGCTTGCAACCGCAGCGTTGCGACGCTCCCGTTTGGAGATAGTATACCTGAACACCATCCGTCCACGATCAATCGCGACATCGAGATATTGAGGAGATTATCATACCATGCGTGGAGAATACCCGGTATCCAGCCGAGAATGGTTAATAAGATGTTGATTATGAAGTCTGGTACCAGATTAGATACAAATATCAATGCCCCACAGGCGCCTTCAAGATACGTACCTACGCTGCATGCAGAATCTGTGTCGGTGAATGCAGTCAGAACGGACTTGATTGAGAATATGTGAACGTCGTTGGCTTACCAAGGAAGACAGCGAGTGGAGGAAGGACACTGGAGGAGCGAACTTTAGGACTCAGCACGATTGAGAAGCAAGAAGGGACGACATACATCGCCAGGAGGTAAAGGAACACGTTGGCTGTCGAGGAGGCACCTGTGGGCGTTGTACTGGTCTCCATTGTAGTGTATGAACGGGCTGGTCTGGCACCGGTTGTCTAATCTAAGTATAAAAGTGCAGTACGCAGCAGACGAGCACAGTTCTTAAGTAATTGGGCTTGGAGCAGAGGTCCAGCATCTACGCATGGGGTGATGTCACTACACATTCTCGCATCCGTTCGCAGCGTCAGCGAGCTATACTTAGTCATCGGCACTGACCGGAAGGAACTGCGCTGATAATTCGTGCGGACGAAATGAAAGAGAGAAGCAGATGCCAGTAGTAGTACAGGAATTGAGCTTTCCTTACGTATTGCTCAATGTATATTTCACAAGCGATTCACGTAACATAACTATTATATTATCCGTCCGGTCTACGAACTAGTCCGTACAGTTCTGATCTCATCTACGTCTTGAGGAATGTCCTGTTGACCGTCCTGTCCTGCGGTGCGAATGTTTCTTAAACGTGGCCTCCTCGGTCCAAATAACAATCCTAACGAGAGGAAACTCTGAGAAACAAGAAACACTGGGCAGTGAGAACAGTCAAACTTACGCGCCGTGGATAAAGCCTCCCAATGGGGTGGTAAAGAAGAACAGGGCAAGGTTGATAATGAAGTCTTACAACCAAATCCATCAGTATAATACACAACGAGATCTAAAGAAACAGTCTACTCACTGACCCAACGCCATTTGCACAGATATTGCACTAATGGCGGGCGACTCGTAGTTAGCAGGCTAATCGTGCAAGACATACACTAAACTGAGGACGAACTTATCAAGACCGCCAAAGGCGAGAAAAAGCTGCGAGGTGAAGTGGTTTAGCGAATCGAGGCACGGACGCTTGTGATGAGCACACGTACAAGGCGAGGAGAATGAGGAGAATTTTCACTCCCTTTCCGGGTTTCTTGTGGCCCATGGTAGCACGTCTCGTAAACACAAGCTAAAGTGCAGTCGGGAGGCGGGGGGTGTTGTCGGAGCATCATCGAGGGCCTCTTAAGAGCTCGCTTTGCAATAATGAAACTTGAGCTGCAATGAACCTTCCTTGGGCGAAAGCGCAAATCTGCGACTCGGTCTGATATCGGTTGCTGAGAGCATGATCAGAAATAGCTTGCTAATGTTCAACTCCATTCGATTCCGCCAAACAAAGGAGCAAGTAGTTCATACGCAGTCTGGCACATATAAGAGTCTCAGAGAGAGGTCGACCAAGAACAAGTGGGGACAAGTGAGGGGACAAGTGACCCTGAACGACCGTGGAATAATAATACGGCAGACATGACCTCAGTATCACTTTGCGTATGAAAAGCCGACGCACAGCGTACTGATATTAAAGTTTAGCACGTGACCAGCTAGTCTTTTTGCCACAACGTTCCCACTCCATTGAGTCACTGACGAAACTATGTTTAAGGACTCTTAACTTTTCGCATCCAGGCCCTGAATCCCACGGCCCAATTAGGGACGACCCTGACCAACCACTTACATAATTCTTGCAGATGGTGGCCCTTATCATAAACAGAGTGAGAAGTTAGGAGGGGGGCTTGGGGGGGGGGGGGGCAGAGCCACCCTAATTAGGTTTAGGGTAAGTTTGGGCTGTTAGGTTTGGGTGTTAAGTTGGGTGTTAGTTGGGATTGGGGGAGGGGAACATGTATTTTCTAAGGAAAAGTACTTTATTTTTGACTTAGTGAAATGCGAGTGTAACTACATGTGGCCAGTTGGAGCTAACCAAAAATGGGCCGTGCGACTCAGGGCCTGGATGCGAAAAGTACGCAACTATGTTTAAGCCGACGGTGAACACAGCAATTAGACAGCTTGGAAATAGCAAAGCCGATCATCTCTTCTCATCCACATCGTGCCAAGACTTTCGCTTTGCTAGCTGTCTCGAATCAAAGCATAGTCGCAGACTGTATCTCGTCTTCCTCGTACATTGTTGACATATACAACACTTGCCTCTGTTTACGATTAAATTATTTATAACTTTGAACAATTATAAAAACGAAGCGCACGGCTTAGTTTCTGAGCTTCAATCGAGTGACAGCCGCTTGAGCCACCTTTGCATTGGAACATCAGGATTTACGTCCTAGCCACGAATTCCCTACGAATTATTTATGCGGAAAGATGCGACTTTTCCTATCCCAACAGTCGAACTAGCCCTCTGCTTCATTTCAGAACAGCCACCCTTTTCTCTGGTGCGTAGTTGAACGCTGTTCCTTGCATAACACACACATGACTAGTTGCTCACAGAGTCACACAGACCCAATAATTCAGCTAAGAGAGTATTTATAATGACTGCCTCCAAACCTGGTACTCATCCCGTGCATACATCCTCACCTACAAGTACATCGTGCACTGTAGCTTCGTCTGCTGCTCTCGCGACCTCAGCACCTGGCCAGTCCGATCAGCCTAGGGTGTCATGGCGGACCACGTCTTTTGTCAATGCCAGGTCTATCTTCGAATCCGTAACAGCAGCGATTTCCGCGGGTAGTAACGCATATTTGTATACGTATCTGCCTGAACACACAAACAGACGCGACCGTCGCTGATAACACGTACACGCAGGTACTGGCTATAACCTATGTACTGTACTTGTAAATGCAAGCATGCTAGAGAATAACAACGGAGAATACTCGGTGCCTAGTGTGAAGCCAAGCCATGGTTTCAGATTAATTACCTACTATGAAAGTTTAAAGCGGTATCAGACTGAATCTAGTAGCTGAAATCCCCTTCACTTGAGTGTTATCTTTTGCTCTGTGATCGAAAACAGTAAGAGCCTGGATCGCAGAATAATATATCCGAGTAAGATTTACAAAGTTCACCGAGTCGTTGAAGTAGAATGTGCCTTGCAGAAAGTCCTCCTATGGGCTGCGGCTATGCTATGAAATTTCAGGAGATTTAACGCAGACCAGAGCTTCTGCATCTTACACATCCAGTGCAAGTACAACAGTGATTAAGTCACACGCAGGCTTGTCAACAGTTCTAGCATCATGCCTCATGACCGCAAGACCACAAGAAGACCAGTAGTGAGGTCGAGAAGGCAGGAACGGAGATGAACGATTGCATAGATTCGCAGCTTCTCTATAGCACACATGTCCAGTCCTCGATACCTCACGTAAAGCTTAACCCACTCTATTGCTAAAACAGCGAGTTGCTCGTCTGCTGTGCCGTCCGCGAAAGAGGAAGTGAAGTGAAGTAAGTGAAATGGGACGACTCGGTTTCTTGTGTGAGGGAAGATCGTGACGCATGTATATGCTTCTCATGAACTGTGGCCGAGTAAGGACCATCGGGGACGTCAAAGGAAGGGAGTATGGGATGCGTGTGTGAGCTCCAGTGATCAGTTCTTTGGTTTTGGTCAGGAACGAAGCTACTTTACCCGAACCGCAGGTACCCAGAACGAAGCGATCGCTGGCCTTGCACGAGCAATCCTCAAGGCCAGTCGGAATCGCACTCGGGTTGCAGATGCTGACAAGTAGGAATGAACACGAAGGTCATCAGCATTCTTCCTCCTGAGAAGCGAGTGCAAAGTCTGGCAAAAGGCGCCAAAAAGAGTAGGTGCGGAGTCTTTGGGCGGCGATTACCAACGGATAACGGATTCTTGCCTTGAGGCACGACGAGATAGCTCGTAGATGCGGCATGTTCCTTCGTAAGCCATGTATAAGTGTAATGCGTAAACAGCATGCAAGATTGTGGAGCACAAACCGTGAGGGTCTCCATATTTTAGAAGTGATCTCTAGCAAAGTTATCCAGGGCTATTCGAAACTGAACTGAGAGTCATAATAATTTAAGCCGGGTTCTTCGCGTCTTCCTGATAAAATCAGTACCGTTGTATAGGATGGAAATAATCTATGTACCTTTATAAGAGCCAATAATAATCATGTTCATAATTCTTGACTTAACTTTCGTAAGCATCGCATTCTGCTTTTCCGATCAAAAGCACGGTCTGCCGTAACAGTTGTCAATCTGCAATAAAATAAAGTGAGAAGTACTCACAACGTAATTAATATTCCAAAGCAAGTCTTGCTCAATTTTTCAAGAGACAATGTCCTTTTAAATTTGTAAGAAACATGCTGCTCCTTCCTCCACGCCTGAAAAATTGTCTCAAGGGCATGATCTGGTGCAATAATGGCAACTTCCGCTTCGTCGAATCGGTCATCAGCACAGTGGACATCTAGTCAGAAACAGTGTTACCATTCGGGGTCCATTCAGATTCGGACTCACCCTTAGACAGATGAGTCGCTGATAAGTCCATTATTTCCAAGTGCCTTCCGGATGCAATGTCCTCGCTAGATGTGAACCTGCATCTGCAGTAAACATGTGGATAGATTGGTGATTCCATACGATACATGTGTTAATCTCGGATATAGGAAGACGGAATGCGGGAGATCACTTCCGCGCTCCACTTACTCGGATTTTAGAGCACATCTCTTTTTTCCAAACTCTGCCGAGATTCAGTAAAGATAATTCATATGGTAGAGGCTAGATACGTACAAGCTGTTGCATGGTATGCACGAGACAGTGTAGGAGCTCGGTCCCGCTGCTGAGTTGGGCTGATACAGGGAGATCGTGACTGATTGGGGTTAACAACGCCACTTGGTAAACGATCCAGTCATCTAGAAAACATATGGAGACTCGAAAATGAGCCGATAACAACGGGGTTTGGCACACGAGGGTGTATGCAGCACGCAAATGGAGATTGAGAGTGTTAATGGCATACGCCAGTCTGCCTTGTGTTCATGAGTCGACCATGTCGTTTTGCGAAACGTCCGACGCAAGTAGGTGTGGGGAAGTGTTGCAATTTGAAAAGGGCATTGTCCGATTATTCCGTCAGGCTTGAAAACATAACGCATGCATCTAGATTTTCAGATGCAGGCCACCCAGTACATGGCGAAGAACAACATCAGCATGTCTGAAACGGTTGAGCGATGATCGTTAACAGTTGATTAGTTCTCGCCTCAAAGCTCGGTAAGCTGGCTCCCGGTCGATTAAAGTTCATAGGTCAACGTTACATTAGGTGGTTTTATTGACTCGTGTAGTCCGCATGTGATGGGACTCCCAGGTTCGGTCTAATTCAAACTGACAGGGTCGATGTTGAACACTTTCGTCGGAGTGCTGCTTGTCAAGCAGATGCGTAAGTCGAAGATGTAGTGGACCAGAGAAAACCATTGCTTGGAATAAAATTGCATCTGCTAGAACATATTGCGTGAGTTAAACGAGGTTTTATCCGGACGGACCTACACGATCAATTCCGTTAATTTTCTAAAAAAACTGAGTAAATTGCTTCTTACGAAGCGATTTCTCCGGTATGGCAACGTCCATTAGTGAGAAATACTCATCAGGATATTAGACGGTGTTTTCCGAAGTTAGAAACAAAGTGAGGGCGAGGGCATAAGTTAGTAGTCCCGCTTGTTGCCAAAAAATCACAGTTATGCTGGTTAGTCAGTGCTCATAATGTACGGTGAACCTCTGCCTCGCACGCGATGGTGGAAAGGAAACATATTGGTGTAATCGTTCCAAATGCTGATAGAGAATCGGTAGGCCATGTTCGAGTTTACACTAGATCATTCACGGATTTAAATTTCAGGTACTCATCACAGGAAATGATGCGATGAATTGTACCTATTTCTGGGCTTCATTAGTATGAATGGCATGGGATAAGAGATTGAATTCACCATCACTGATATAGATATTACAACACACAGGACCGACTATCGTAAGTTACGGCAGACAGACGTGCCCGACACGAGGGGGCAGCTGGGCGGCTAGTCGAGAGATCCCGCGGGAGGAGACGACGGCCTTAATGATGCCATAGACTTGCCTGATTCGTATTGTAGGTAGTAGAGAGTTCGCATGAATCTTACTTATGTTGAATTGATTGCAGTCATAACTGCGTCATTGCCACGTTTCAAAATCTGGTACCTATCTTGGTGAGCAATGAAGTGTGATGCCGCTGTAGTGATGATGCTATACAGCGAGGCGTGAAGAAGCGAAGGTCGGAACCAGCACTGCTATGTTGAATCTTTGAATCAGCCTCATCTCGCGGGGTAGGTCTGCAACTGTGATTCCGTGCGGATCGGTACAAAGCAACGAGCATGATGAGTGATGCGTGATGATGTAGCGTACGTGTATATGAAACCAGGTGTGTTCATTTCATTTCATGGTTGGCATGCATACGACCGGTGAATTGAAACGGCTGTACGGGCCTATTTCGGACGGATAGAGGACGGACGGAAGAACGGAAGGCCGGCAGCGAGCGAGAAGAGAAGACATAGAAGAGAAGACAGAAATAGATCCATGGCACTGGCGCGAATCTACTACAAAAAAAAGATAGACAGCAGACCGTAACGGAGTGGCGGAACATTCACAGCGTGCAGAAAGTATCAAAGGCCGTAAGTTGGGCAAGTGAGGTAGACCAACAAGCCTGGATGTAGCTTATCTGAAGCACGACTAGACGAGACTGAGACGTCGATGCATCAGAGGTCATAACGCGAAGGTTGCATCATAAGAGATGTGAAGAAATTTCACCTAGCTCGGGATGATGTGATGTACACAAAGGTTGTATAGTATTCAGATTTGTACGAGATAAATTACTGTCAATAATGGTGTGATTAGACAAAGTATCAAGCTGACTTATCTCCCATGAGCTGCGGGCGCAATCGACCGCAATATGGTGGAAAGTACAGTGCATTCGGTGGGCGAAACGAATAGAGTTCGTCAGTTGACAGGTCTCAATGCCAAATAGGGAGTGAACCTAAATCAAGAAGCGAAGCGAAACACAGATAGGGCGAATTGAATCGCACGTCGGTCGGGAACTGAAGGAGTGGGGAGATGCAGATCGGCCTCGAGGCACTCAGCTGGATGGTGGAGCGCAGGCGTGGCAGGAGGAGCCCAGACTTGAATTTAGGATCAGAAGAGACTTGCAGACATGCTACGGGTGACGAGTATGACGGTGGTGATGTGACGCATGCGAGGGTGGATACAAGAGTGGGCTGGGAGCAATGGGACAAAATCAAAGTGGAGAGCAAGTATAGAAGAGAGCGTGTGGAATTGAAAGGGAAGAAAACGTGTTTCGAGCTGTGGATAACATCGAGGGGAGCATTTGGACGAATCCCCATGACCAGAAGAGCCCATAAGAGGCAGGTGGACAGATCGGGAGAAAACGTGTGTGGGGTACAGTCGCAGGATCACGTGTGGGGCAAAACACGTGTTGGTACTTAACCGACAGCACCTCGCTTTACACTGTCTACAGTGTCCCTGTGCGCGCCTGGCGTCTCCAGTAGCAGCAGAAGCGCTGCTCTCAGTGCACTCCTCCTCGCTCGTTACGCATCTGACGACAGACGGCTGACACCGACCGCGACAACGGATACGGTAGCACTGTCGTTGGGTACACAAGAGGGTGACCGGGACGTCAAGCAGTCAATTCAGAAGCGAGGAGAGAATTTGGAGGGGCTTGAAGTAGTCTAGCGTTTGGGCACACCCCGCATGTACTTGATCAGTCCTTTCTCCTCCCCCTCGTAGTATATATGTAAGTCCCTTCGTCTGTCACTTTCCCATCCCGCCTTGCTCCCCTCCTGACGCTCCTCATCGTCATTCCTCCCCCCAGCACAGCCAAATGTCCGCTGCTATCAACCCGAAGCGTTTCTGGGGCGTGCCAGATCGCCCGCTTTCTGCTGATCCTGCTGCAGCGGCCACGTCGTCGTCGAACCGCTTTAGTAGCTTTTCCTCGGCCCTATCGTCGAGCATATCTTCAGCGTTTGGCGGTCGCTATTCGCGTTCAAACTCTACCTCGACCCAGAGCTCGGCGAATCCCGTCCGCCCCGCCAGTGCCGCACCACAGCAGGCCAAGTGGGTCCCGCGCCCTGCGACGCTCGCGACGGCGAACCAGTCGCGCTCGTCGAGGCATCGTTCGACATCCAGCGCCTCTGCAGCGGCTGCGGCTCTTCCGTCCCCGGCTGAAGGACCGCTCCCACCTCTACCCCCGGATTCCCGGCACCGAAGTAGTCCGGCCCCTCCCGGCGAAGGGGCCGATGCCGGACCCGACGCCTGGCGTACGTCGATCCAGCGAGCCGCTGCTTCGCGATACAAGCATCGCATGCGTACCGCCGAGCAGGAGTTCCGCGAACGTTTGCGCGCTGCACGGTCCCCTTCGTCGCACCGTCGCGATTCAATCTCATCTGGGTCATCGGGATCAACTGGCTCTCTGGCCTCGAATGGAGAAGGCCACTTGTCAGAAGAGATACGCTTGCGTGCTCAGTTTGAGCAGTTGGTCGCGCGTTTTAAGAGCCAGTATGAAGAGGAAGTGCGTACGGGCATTCGTGAAGAAGCTCGTCGTCGTGGTGTGCCGCCTCCACTCCCGTCTTCTAATTCTTCTGCACCCGTTCTTGCACCGTCGCGCTCCCGGAGAGAGAGGTCCCGTGACCATGGCGTTCTTGATGAGGATGAAGCCGACGAGTGGACATGGCGACCTGATGGACATGGCGGAAAGCCGATAGAGGCTGAGCGATCACCAGACAATGAGAAATGGAAGGAAGCGGTGCGTCAAGAGCAGCAAGTCATTTGGGATGCAATTAAACGCACTACAACGCCTTCTACAACGCAGTTATCGTCATCTGCGAGCCGGAAAGTGCATTTCGCACCTGGGACTCCTCCCTCGACTGATTCATCAGGGGATTCGAACCCGCCTTCGGCTACTCCTCTTTCGGCTTCACAGATGCAACCGCCTTCATTGCCGCGTACGCCTCACACGTCTGCAGGTTACCCTAGTCACCTAAGTGTACGGCCGTTGAGTGCACATCCCTCCGTATCATCTGCTAACCGTCCGTTTTCTCCCGCTGTCACTGCTCCTGGTGTGCGTCCTGGTAGCGCACGTCCTTCAAGTCCAGCCTATACACGCTGGATTCCATCCGCTGGGCCTACACCAGCGGCAGCCCCGAATGGCTTAGGGGGAAGGCCGCCGAGCAACCCGATTGCTATTCCCGGTCGTAGTTCTGGAGCCGGTTTCGTTGATGCGAACGGGAGCGCAGGGAAGGAAAGAACGGCTAGTATAGGCGCGAATGGAAGCTGGCGCGACTGGTCTACTCCAGGTCATCCTATGAGAAGAGATGCGCCGACACCATCGCCGACAGCTACAAATGGTTCTGCTCACGGTCACGTGTATCCACGAATTGCAAGCAATAGTAACTTGCACTCGTCCGTCTATACGACTGTGCAGATGCACGGACGCACGCCAAGCTCTGGAAATCTCCAAGCAATTCATGGGAGGGCGCCAAGTAGTGGGGATCTTCAGTCTGGAATTGGATTGAGGCGCGCTGTGACTCCTGGTGTAAGTTCTGCGAGTGCATATGCGCGACAACGAACTGCGAGTGTGACGCAAAGGGCGCCGAGTGTGCCGCCTTTGTTGAATGGCTCAGCTGCACGTGAAGGGGGACGGGACCGCGAATACATGTATGGAAAGGAGTACACGAGCATGCGCGACAGGGAGCGTCGATCAAAGACAATGGTTGTAGATGACCGTGAGCCGGATGAGCCGAATATGCGCACTCAACCTCCTCTATTTAATGTCGGGGACCAGATGAAGCGTGTGCAAGCGAGTGAGGGTCTGGGTTCTCGGCAAAGTAGCACACGGAGCGCACTTGTTGACGATGACGCGCCGCCACCCGAAGCATTCTCGTCCATCGCTCCAGGAGCTATTTCTTTACTCAAATCCTCATCGACTCACTCCGAGAAGTTCAGACACAATACCAAAGATGGTGAAGAAGATAGGGACGAAGATGATATTCTGGTACCACCGAGACGCGATAAGGGGAAAGGAAAGGCGCGCGCACCACCGTCCCCTATGCTTTCCTCCGTTCCATTGCCAGGAACGGGACGAGCAAGGAGAGGGAGCCATGGTCATACACCCGGCGGGATGTATGCGGCACAGTTGGAGGATTTTGCAAGCACGTTGAGGCGTGATTTGGGGATCAGCACGGAGGCATAGGACTCTCGTTTATCATCTGCTAGGTTGGCATTGATGCTCTTAGTGCGCTGGTCGTCGGTCTATGTCCTACTGCTTTCACTGCCCCTCTGGCTTTCCATTTCCCTTCCTGTGGCTTTTGCTGGTGTATTGGCCTTTGTGATTCGCACTTACTCCGTGTTTCTTGCAGGCTCTGGTGTGTTTCTCATCTCCGATGTATCCTCCCCATTGCGTTGATACGCAGTCGTCTTGGCTCGTCTTGCTGTGCTTTCATTTAAATTCTCATAAGCCATCTGCGAGGTGTACGATCTGCTGTACGAGTTCACCCCTCCACGTGCGGCCTTTTGCCCGTGTAGACTCTGCAGGTCTTTACACTCATCGCGGATGTGCGTTGAGCTGAGCACATGTCGGGTTATTTGAGACCTTACTTTCTCTTTCCTTTGGGTCCATTTTCGATTTGCATTAATATTGGTTTCAATTGGTTTCTTTGTTTTCCCCATTGTGTATTGTACCTCACTTGGCATTCATTCAACATGGCCACGCATATGCATTTTATTGTATTTCCCTTGTTTTACCTGCGTTGTGCCTTTTCTTTTCTTTTTCTTTCTTTAGGGAGGGCAGTGGCGATGGCGGGATCAGCACATTCTATGCTGCACAGAGCAACGTGCCGCAGGTCCGGCCTCGACTCCACTCCTGTTTTTCTTGCGTTCGGCGTTCATATCATTTGATCCATGTTTTCCTTTACACTTCACGTTGCATCCACGCATTCATCAGTTTCATTCTCAACCTCAACTGTTCTTACTTCACTGCCTTCGTCAACAGACTACCAAATCATTCACTACACATTATGCATTGCCCTCATTCATCGCATGTTTCCGTTGCACATACACCCCCTCCGATGCTTCTTTTCTGCATTAATATCGTGCTTTTAACAAAGAGCGCTTGTTGAGTTTTTAAATTTTTCGTGCGTATAATTTGCATTATTATGATATACCGCTTTATGCTATGCATTACCGTGCCATATTTTTACTCGGACTAAAAACAACACCTCCGACTCAATTCCTTGTCTGTTTCATTTTATTGCGGGCTTCCCTGTCATACTCCGAAGTATGAACTGTACATGCAAACCTGACACGACGGTTGTCGTATTCAAGGCAGTTTTAACATGAATTTTTGTGTCCTCGGAATGTAAAGGCGGCGAGGATGTTACCGGCGGATTGCATATATGCTATGCACCTTTGAGCGCTTATAAGAATTTTTTGATCCGCCGCAGTCAATTATGGGGATTCACGTTGTTTCCTCGAGTCGGCTTTCTCCAATGGATCACGTTGCATTCACGCTTCATCTTTGGTCGTTCCTTGAGCTTGTTCAACGTTTCAATCTATATATCTCTGACTCGACTGCCTCGAGATATCAATAGACTATTTTGGATCAGGTCGGAAGTGCATACCGCTTTGTGCTACCGCGTTGGTGCACTGCTTTTGATTTACCGCGTGTCCTCCGCGATGCTTTCTTGCGGGTTTCTATTGTGTATGGACTATGACAAGAGTTGCCGCATAACTTCTTTTGTTCTTCCTGAGCCTGAACATTGGACAACGGGTATCGATTCTTTTGTGTGTATCGGTCATTGTGAAATCATTTCTCTAAAAATTAGGATAAACGATATCTAGAGAGCGCTTCGTCACATATAAGCGTGTGCTATCAGTCGTTATGAGATAAGAACAGACAGCGTAAGTTTACGCCGCAGTCTGATACCGAGAGAACTGTCAAAATCAGTATTTCTATACACATCCATGCTGATTGTGATTTAATCTCTCGTTCATGTAGCTAAGGATAGAGATTAAACTGCTTCGATTTACTTCCTTTGTGACAGTGAATTAAACGTCTCGCTGATGCGACTTGACCCTATTTATGCATTCCGCAAACTTCTAGGGATACAAAAGCGTCCAAACGGTCGCTAGGACCCCAAGTGGGTTGCAGATAGAGGCATATGGGAGACACTGCCAAAGCAAGTTATATGCATCTCAGGCATATTGTACCTGGATGCTTAAAATGCCGTAGATGGGAGTGAACGGATTAATACCGCAACCCGCTCTGAGTCAGTGGCTGTCATATCGAGAAGCAGAATTCACTCCTGAGGGCGCCCGGGCTCCTAAAAGCCTCCTAAATGAATGAGGGAAGTGTTGCCCAAGTATGGGGCGAATGCCGAATAAGGAAGGAGCATCACAGCAACGCAGGGTGTAGGGCGTGGCCGGGGACAATCAAATAAATTTTTATACTGGCGAAATACCCTGCTGCGTTGGCTGAGCTCGACAATTCCTTTTCTCCTCTCCTTCCTTCTCCCATCTCCTCTCCCCTTTCACCCACAAAAATCGACCGTGCTACAGCCAGCTGCACTATCTGCCAGCCCGTCTGCACGCTTTTATTCGTATCTATTTCACTCGAGCACCCATCACACGCGCGACGCACGAGAGACTGACTCATAGTTCAATTCGACGCGACACGTGCTACAGCGACGACGCGCATATAATCACCGTCAGCATCCTTCATCAATTCACTCCCGCGTCACTACCAGATAACCATGCCGCGCGATTCAGCGGGCCCGTCCTCGTCTTCAGCAGTGGCGGGGCCGGGACCGTCGACAATGGCCGCAGCAGCAGGAGGCTCGTCATCATCTGCTTCCGCCGCCTCTTCTGCACGCTCTTCGCCCGCAAACGACCTCTTTCGTATTGCTCTGCCCGATTCTGATTCCTCTGATCTCGAGAACGGTTTCGACGAGTCACACTTAAATCCCTACCTTGCACCGGACCCGGCGTATGCGGACAGCTACGCCGCCGCGGCGCGACGACGACTCGCAATTGCGGGGTCAGCTCGTTTCCAAGAGGTCCTCGAGGATGCTTCGCTTGCGCTTAAAGCGCGCCTCTCCTCTCCAGAGTCTGCCAACCTCAGCCAGAACAGGAAGAAAAAGATCTTTGACGAATTCCTGAGAGAGATGGGCGAGATCGCGAGGCTCCAGGAAAGGGAAGTAGAAGCGAGGGCCAGAGAGGAAGCGGACATCGCAAGGACGATGATATTAAGCAAGAGTGAGGGCGGAATCGCCTCAGGACCAAGCGGAAGCGGTTCCTCCTCATGGGGTGCTGGTCCCAGCGACCCCAACGGCAACAGCGGATGCAACTCTGGTTCCACCTCAGCCTCTTCGGTCGCTCTTGCCGCTTCAGCATCAACTACTGGTCCATCGGCACCTCAACCTCACAAAGCCACAGGCTCCCTTAAAGGGCGGAATGATCCTGAAGGCTCGAGTACTGAAGAAGAGACGGACCGTCCCACTCCGCGCAAAACAAAAACAAGCAAGTCCAATGCTGGTATGTATATATTTCAACTCCTACATACATTGTTCTACTGACCGATGCTTTACTTGAATGCTGTGCAGCTAAATCTACTCCGTCTGTCAACACTTCCACCATGACCAGAAACAATACAAAGCCATCCGCGAACGCCTCCAAGAAAGGTTCGAGGGACGACGATGACTTCTCGTCCCCATCAACACCCACGCCCGACCGTCGCGGTCGCTCAGGCACGATTTCCCTCCCACGCTCCGTCTCCGCGTCGTCTGCTTTTCCTGATGAGGCACCATCGCACTCTAAAAGCAAATCTTCTGACGACACGGCTGTCGTTTCGAAGACGAATGCCAATGTTGCCGCGAACCCGCAGACAAAAACGGGTAAGCCGAAGGCGAAAGACGCAAGCAAAAGTGCGTCCGGTTCCCCGCCCACTGGAACACGTCCAGAGCTGCTTGCGGGGCTAGGTGTTTCTTCGTCATCGGCGGCGTCTCCTGCTATCGTATCGGCCAATGGAAACGTTGCAAAGCCCGCTGCTAATGCCGGCCCTGCGGCGACGGGCGCAAGTGCGTCCGCACCTGCAATGGCAAAGAATGTAAATGCTAGTGGCGGCGCAAGTGCGGTGCAGAACCAGAACCAAACCCAGAGGCCGGCTCAGTCTCAGCACCAGCATCAACGGTCCGTGACACTCAATGCACCTCCTGCTCCATCCCGCGCGAACTCTAGCGGCAACGTGAATGCAAACACAAACGCAAATGCGAAGAAAGGTGTTGCTCCGCAGACTTCTGACGTTTCTGGCGGCTCAAACGTTTATGCCAAGCCGGTACAATCTCAGGCATTCCAGCTTGCACAGGCTCAAGTCGCTGCTCTTCAGGCTCCCAGTCAAAACCAGACGTATCCCCTCACTCAGGCTCAGGCTCAGCAGTCATCTCAGAATCAGAACCAAAACACGCCGGATGAGTCGAAGGAATTACAGCGTCCATCTGCAAATCACAAGTTATGGATACCACCGAAACCGCCGCATATGCAGAGCCCTGCGCAGAGTTCTTCGCACGTACACACTCTTTCTTCTAATTCCGCTGAAAAGGGTGAGCGGAAAGAAAAGGAAATGAAAGATGCAAAGGACGCGAAGGATGCAAGTGGAAAGGACGGGAAAGAGAAGGACAAGAGACCGCGTCCCGTTTCTTTTGCGAGTCAAGGTGTGATTGTCACCGCCAAAGATAATGGGTCGGTCGTGACGACGGAAAAGGGAGCGAAGCCGAATACGGACAAGAAAGAGGAAAATGCACTTTCGGGTCCAAACACAATTGCGAGGAGCCTCAAGACCAACACGAAGGCTGATACCGCGCCGTCATCGGCCCTGAATAATTCATCTACTGCCACGACTGCCGTCCCAACGGTAAAGGCTGAAATCGAAAAACAGTCAGAGAAGCAAGCACCTGCGAAGACGGTGACACCAAAGCTAGATGACAAGAATACGTCCCGCGTTCTAGTGCCTTTACAGGATGCAGGTACGAATTCAAAGATGAGCAACTCGAAAATTTCACAGGCGCCCGTCAGCGAGATTTCCGGCTCTCCTGGCGCTATTTCGTCTGAAAAAACTCTACCGTCTATTCACTTGACGTCTTCCGCGGCGCCTAATGCAACGACCACTGCCCCTATCTCTGGTTCTATGGCTCCGGTCCCACCGATACCAACAGCTTTTACTGGTTCATCTTCGGCATCTGCTTCTGAGGCTGCAGCGGCAGATTTGGAGCGTGAGCGCGTTCGCGCGGAGAAGGCATACCTTTTGTCCGCGCAATCTACCCCAGCAAGTGTGAACACGGTTACACTACCAACTGTAACCGGCATCGACGGAAAACTACAGATGCAAACCCCTATCAGCGGGATTCAAGTGAGTATCACTTCCTTTCTTCACTTTCGGATTTTTCGCTTTCTTCTTTTTCTGTCTTTCCCATCCCATCTGGATTGTATTCCGAATATGTTCTTCGGGATGACTCGTTGAAAGTTTATCTGGAACTTCTCGGACGGAACCTTCATGTCTTTGGTCTGGGCTTCTCCCTAATCTTCATCTCGACCATACTTGAACTATTATCCGCTCTCATGATCCGTATTTCGCCTTCTACATCACACGCATGGCGTGATTCTGTGCTTTTGTATGCATACGACCTGCATCGTGCCCAACAAACTTGCACATGCACTCTGTAAACGAAGCACTTGTGGCGTCACTTGACGTCGCACTTTCCCTTAATCTCGCACTCTTTCTACCCCACCCTACAATTGGCTGTGTCTGCATCCAAACTTGACGATGCAGACGCCCGCCCGATTGATCTTCTTGCTTTTTTGATCGAATCCCTCTTTTCGTCTTGTGCAGCGTGTTTTACATGAGGCAACTTACTGACTTGCTTATCTTTTCATTCCGCACTCCCGTGCTTGCATATCTAGCCGTACACTCCTCAACAGCCCCAGCAGCAGCAGAAAGTCGTCTCTGCCGACATTAGCTCGCCGTATCCGCATCCTTATCCATTTTCTCACACAAATCTGAATACAATCGCAAACCCGAGCAACGGCAGTGGACCGACGGCTATGAGTCCAAGCACATCTGGGTCAACTATTACGTCTCCGTTCTCACCGCTTTCCATGGCAAATGGATTCCCGACATCCTCAGCGGCAACAAGTGCGGCAAGCAGTCGCGCGATGTCACGCCACCCGTCATCTTCGTCTTCTGACCCGTACGCACAAAAGGATGGCCACGCCCACTCTCATGCTCATCATCATGGACACGCTCACCATCGCGAAAACAAAGAAAAGGATAAGCTTGCGCAAGCTGCAGCGGCTTTGATGGTTGGGGTGCAGTCGCCAACCCAGACGAATATGTTTTGGCAGCCTGGTCCTAATGAGCGTGAGCGAGAGAAAGGGAGAGAACGTGAAAGGGATAGAAGCCACGGCCGCACGCCAAGTGCAAATAATGGCACTCAGAGTTCAAGTGCGAGCGCAAGTGCTACCTCGTCTCGCTCAAGTTCCGTTTCAAGGGGTGATGGTCCAGCGTTTGGGGGATTCGATCCTAGTACTATTCGCTCGACCGGACGACCAAGTCAGGGTGTATCCGGTAATGGATCCGGTAATGGCAGCCTTGAGGCGACATTCGCAAGTCTCATGGAGGGTGCTCCTAGTGAATTTGGGGGACGTTCTGTCGGCGCAGACAGGAATAGTAATTACAATGCAGGTCCAGGCAATGGAGGGAAGTTCTGGGTCCCCGGATCTACATCCAATACGACGCCAAAGCCGTCGCGCCGTGGAGATCGCGAGAAGGACCGCGGCGAACGTGGTCGGGAGAGCAATGCGTCTTCTCCTGCCGTCAATCCCCTTGCGCTTACCATTTCGTCAGCATCTGCCATGACGTCTTCAGCATCCTCTTCTTCGCTCGTGCCGTCAACCACATCGACCATCTCGAATTCATCGGCTCCCCAGTCACAGTTCTATGCAGTAGCAGAACGTGCACGTGAGGATCGGTTGCGCCTACGTGCGAATGAGTTCCACACCAGGGCGGAGGTCGTATCGGTATTCCAGCGGCGTGTAGAAGATCTCATGGCAGAGTTTGCTGAAGCGTTGATGCGTGCAGAAGATTACGAGAAGTTCGGACCATCCAGCGCTCTCATGAAGCCTCCATCTTGAACTCTCGCTAGTATCGATACGTCTTACAACAAAATTTTATGTGACGATGATCAAACATCGTAGGGAATGAGTCGAGCGAGCCAGGCTACTCGCGCAGAAGGGGGCTATTGCTTCCAAAGTCATATACCATTTCTTATCTCTTTTACTCTCTGATTTTTATAGACGATAGATTTCGCCTCAACTTTTATCTGTATCCCTTATCCGTGTCCATCCATTCCATTGACCCGCGCATTTGTCTTTCGTGTTATCTGTTCATTTTTGACAGTATCGGTTTTTATCTGCTTTGCTCCTTGCTACTTGTTTACTTAATGTTATCCCTGTTCAGTACGTTGACCGTGTTTATTTCAGTTCTTCTCCTGTTTTTGCTCTGCAACTGTGCCCATACTTCGTGTCCCATTTCATTTCATCCAGTCCTATCTCGCACTGGCTAATCTCTCGAGCTCTTGTCGTCAATGCTTTCAAGTCTCATCTCAAAAGTGGTTCCGTTTTCCGCCGCCTCCCTCGATCCATCCCTTTTTAAGTTTATCCCATTATCGACTCATTCGCATGCCTTGACATAATGTATAACTTGTTTTTATTGTTATTCTGTTATTCTTGGCCTACGAATATGCTTTTTCTTTATTTCTGCTTCACTTCACCATGGCTTCCTCTATTACTCCATCCACATTCCGTATCGTAATAATGCGCTATATTTTTGCGCGTCTTCACTTCCTCAACCCGCCTTAACTTTTCAAACCGTACGCTTCCGACCCTCGTCCACTCGTTTGTTTCACTTTCCAACCTCTCGCACATCGATTTTTGCACGCTATTGACGATCTTACGATTAGGGTTTCCGATTCCGTTCTTCATTTTACGACATGGGTTTTATGATTGACGAAAGCACTGATAGTGCTTGTGATAGGATGTTTGATGCATTGTGATGTAATTGTATCATGCTGAAGATGATTGAATGCAAGTATTCAACGGATAATCCATCGAAATATTCATTATGTAATGTGATCGCCTCGGGGCTTCAAAATTAGAATTGTGGCTCTCTTTCGGGTGTTTTGTGATGCCAGTTTGCTTCCGGTTTGCTAACCCAGATCGGACATAAATTGCTAAATTATACAATACAAAGTGTGGGGTAAACACGACTCTCTTTTTTTTCATGGGGTCAGGGACAATATTGTACCCCAAGACTTGCTATTTCCTATTGTCTCAATGCCATCCTGTTCGATCACTACATTCAGCTTGAGCTCGTGTACCTCAGATTGCCGGAATTTAGTTTTGGTCGAATGTATGTCCCTGGACGTGGCACTATCATGTTCACAAGGTTGACAAAAGCAGAAATCGATCCCTCGGCACAGCAAGGCTTCTCAAAAATGCCGCCCACGTACAGGACGTTTCAACGTACCTCAGGTGACAACTTGTATTTGGAACACTTCTACGACACCTCAAAGCAGTTTCAGCTGCACACTGACAGCTGTACACAGCAGTATTTGTTCGAGATTTGAATATTCTCAGATAACATATATACATACATTTACTGTGGCATCTATGATGTAAAGAACGAATTATGTCATGTCTCCTTTTTCTCATTCTCAAATTCTTTGCCATACTTCGAATGACGAATCGATCAATGTCAAATGTTTGAGTATGTTGTGTATTGTGTATTGTGTATCTGTGTATCCCTAGATGATAGATCTGCATCCGGCCTTACAGCCGATACATGCGACAAATGTCTCTGCGGATTAGACGCTTCCCCGTGTTGAGCGCAATCTATGTCTATTGAACAGTAATTGTATTGCTCCGCACGTTCCACTTTCTGACAGTGGGCATAGTTTACGATTACAGTAGTAATAAGTGACAACCGTCGAAACAATACAGATTTTTGTATCTCCGCTTCGGATGAAGAAGGCGCATCTACTTGCGCTCTTACGCTTGCATGAGTCACCGGAGTCACCACTGGCTTTGAGTCTTTGACAATGGTTCGCCTTCAGCGGAGTTGTAGATTGATTTCTATTGAGCATCAACTGTGGATCTTGAACTCGGTACGAACGCCGGAGCTGAATAACTCGAGCTTTGACTATGTTCAATAGATTAGAAACGAAGTGAGTTATACATTGTACATCTGTAGCCATTTGGACTTCATTCGTCTATTTCAATGCATCGATTATTTATGTCACGCGACCCATCGGAACCGGAATTGAGCCTGCCTCGCTGAACATAATCCTTGGGTCCACATTCCAAACGACCCTGTAAGCGCGCATACGAGTACCGCGGGGAATTCGCTGTGCTCTCCGTGCAGCATGGATATGTCCCATCGCTGCGCCCATGAACAGCAGTCCACGTCGCTGCCTCTGTTGGTATCGATCAGACTGTTGTACAGACGGACGTTGGCATGTCCGATGCGTGTCCCTGGACCTGCCACTTTCTACATTCCCTTCGGCGCCAATATCTGAAGCAGAATTTGGAAAACGGGATCCAAACGATCGTGACGGAGAAAAACGCGTTGATGGTGGTGATGAAGGAAATTGAGAAGCTATGTCTGGCCTTGATAGGCGTTGCGGAGCTGTACAGAACCCAGACGACAAGGGCATCATCTCAATCTCTGAAGACAGACTAGGGCCAGGTATAACGAGAATCGCATCAGCTGTCTCCGGTTCAGTCGGTATGAGATTGAAGGGTGGCTGCTCCCGGCCGTTCGATCGCATTTCCGCGCCTTGACATGGTCCAGAATGCCCACCATGATCTATATCTACCCTTCGAGGAGCCAGAAATAGGTTTTGTGATTGATCAGAAACGCCAACCAAATCCCTGTCATTCGCATGATAACAAGAGGATTCCTGTTTAGTCTCGGCCGAAACGACGGAAGAAAGTGAAGATATGAGAGGTGGTGATGTTGGCGGAGACAAGATGCATGCATCCGGCGAACTCCAATTACAGCTAGATGATCTATCTTCATCAGTAATTGATGCAGACAGAGACGACGCTATGCTAGTTCGAGAATTCGTGTTTGAAGAGACGGAATCGGTTGAACCGAGCGGAGAGGCGATGTGAGATTGAGACAAGGCTGGATGGTGAGCGTCTGTCATCGGCAATTTTCACTGTAGGAAGCAAATGGGATGAGCAGACAGCGGATGTCTATATAAAGGAAATACGGGCAGGGGTTGCCACATAAGCTCAGCGAAAAATAAGGGACACTCAGGAAGGACATAACGTACATTTCGTGCATGCTCCGTGAAGGAATTAGCCCCTTTCATGGTTAAGATACCACAGTTCGCTGAAATAAGACTAGTGTCGACAATCTCTCACTAAAAACGGCGGACAACTAATGCCATATGCAGTGCTTCACTTGTTGAAAGGGCATGAGAAAAGATAACTCGTCCAGTCCTACGCTTGGGTCGTTAGGTAACGTCCGTTCAACGACTTCTTGACTTGAGAAAGGCGCAACGGAAGCAACGTATACTGTTGACTTGGCGTGATTCATAATAACGATGCAATAATTAGCCATCTTTAACTTGCTTGTACCAGAGAGTGGCTTGCAAGGTAAGAGAAAAACAGTAAACTCGTTCAAAGACAATTGCTGAATTTGTTTCTTTCTCACCGAGGTAGATCACGTGCCATGATATTACCCGATCAATTCACAAGGTTTCCACTTCTAGTACTACTTGAGCTTTTGTTTTCCACGTCGCGTGTCAGTACATGCACACTTTGTCTAAGATGGATAAAACAAGCTATCCTTTTGTGACTTGCAAAGCATTCGCTTTATCTGTCGATGACAACAGGATGCTGCTTCACAATTCGTCTCGAGTATCAATAACATGCACATCAACTCCGACCGACCAAATACTTTGTTCTTTCAAGCCGAACCAGCCACCTTAGTCGGTTCGCGGAGGGTAAGACTATGAAAAGAGCCTGCACAAGCCAAAACCAGCATTGCTATGTACGTCAAGTTTCCACCGATAATACGGTTTTTAATGGAGTATGCAAACAGCGTTGTGATGGTAGCTGGAGCAATCGCCATAGTAAATGTCTGCACCATCTGGGCGAGACCCTATAAATCAAAAAAAGGGGGTAAATTGTTCCCTGCTTGCTAGAGCTGTTTCACACTCACGTTCACTCTGGCTAGAGCCTCTGGCGTTGATGCTGCTTCAATGACAACAATCTGCGAGCTTGCTAGCGTGCGAATACAGGTATGTATCACCATGCCATTCCATTCAGTAAATGGTATACTTACGCCAGACGAGGTTCCCCAGGCTCCATAAGGCGAAGAAAAGAAGAAGTGTGACATTAAACAAAAGGCTTCCAACACCCATGTTGTCCGATCTCGCCAGTGCGTTGAGTAGAGGAAGAATTGCTGTTGCAAGGGGCCATAGGGCCATTCCGACCTGATAGACTCGGACCGCACCGAGGCGGGATGCGAACGGAGCATAGGCGAAAAGAACGAAAATGTTCATCGCCGATCGCGTGGCCATATGTGCACCTATTTGCGGTTCAGAAAGTCCCAGTCCTCCAGAGGTTATGGGTGTAAAGGCGAAAAGAGGATACCTATGTGCAACATAAACGACTATTATACGAATGAGCTGATGGTACTCACAAGGCGAAGAGAACCTCGGATACGAGCGTCATGACGAAGATGCTTGCAAGCACAGACATGACGTGAGGCGTCAACACAGATCTTACTGAAGCATTTTGACTCCGTTGATTTTCAGCCGTCTCTCTAGTACTTTCCTGACTACCACTCTGACTGTCAGATGGTATCGCTTTGTGACTTCTCCCGACTTTTCGTGAGGGCAACGTCTAGACTAACGAGTAAGTACGGAGTCTTGTAACAATACTTCTGAGCCTTACTTCGTCAAGAGCAAAATAAGCCCAGATCACTGACAAACCTGCAATTGCCGCCGCAATGAAACAAGGGAGCGAGAAGGGATAGTTTCGCCAAAATGAACGGTCGAATACTGGCATCGTGCGAGACGGATGCGACAGCAAACCTCCGAGTGGCTGTCCTACGATCTGACCGGTCCGGAATGCAATCTTTGATACCAACGCAATCAAAGTCAAGTTATACACGGGCGGCGAATAGCCACGTACTTGAAATGTAGAGAAGGCAGTGGCACGGTGGGATTTGTTTGTATAAATCTCTGCCATCATTACTTTTAGTGCCCTGTCGGAGAATACTCCGTTTAGATCCGTTTATCTGTTCTCTGCGAGTGCTTACGACCAGGTTCCGCCGAGTGTACCCCCAATACATCGAGTCAAAATCATCATAACATAAGACTTGCTGACCCCGAAAAGTGAGATCGATAGCGCCATTCCTGCAGTTCCGAAGAGCACGACGGGTTTCCGTCCAAGGTGATCCGAGACGTACGAACATGGAAGGACTGCGAGGTAGAAGTAAGGAAAGGAATAATCGTGTATCTTCTAATGATGTAGTGTAGCATAGACTCACCAGCCAGGAAACTCATAACCTGAAAAATGGATTCAATAAGACCAGAATAGAATCCGACGCGTTCTGGATCATTGGTGATACCATTCTCTACGATCATTTGATCTAGCAAACTGTTATCCTATAATGGAGTAAACTCATGAAACAAATGCATACTGATAAAGGGGAAGATCAACTCGAAACACATAGGTTGGACGACACCCATGAAAAGGATTGCAAAGAGAGGACCGTAGGTAAATGGCTCATGGTCGGCGTTTCTTCCTTGTTCCCCCGACTCGTCCGACGAAAAATCCACAGAGCTTCGAAAGCATAGAGGTGAGGAGAAGTTCCGTGCCAACCCGTGTCTAATTATTATCTCAACAGACCTTGATCTTAACAGAGGTCTCGTTTCAGTATCGTCTCCAGTCACCGTGCCCTGATCAGTTTGCTTGCTCGTCATCTCACGGATTTCCCTGCTTAATTTGTACGGCGTTTCAGTGTGTGTGAAAGAGATGCACGGGTGAGTCAATAGATTTTGAAGGATGACTGGCCCCAAACAAACAAATTATGCGTAGGGGGCGAATGTAGTAACGTAGTGTACTTCGCCAATATGACAAACAAAGGAGCAAAATGACCGGCAGACATCCGGCGATCCGTAAGCGATATTATTTTCTACGATCGGAGGTATTTTAAATTTATTAATTAAAGGTGCAAATTACTATTTACATTATTGAATGCCATCATAGATTAGCTTATAAGCATTTAATACAAATTACAGAAAAAAATATCCTTCATGAAATGGGTGAAGTTGCAATAAACCGGAAATATGCTGGGAGTGAGTGTGCCAGAGACAGCCAGACCTACATCCACGACGTAAAATTAGATCCGTTATGTAAAAAATAAAAATGGCCGAGCACATACATTGTACAAGTAGAAACTTCTTTGATCCGCTTTGGTGCTTGTCTTCAGCAGGAAACGTCCCCCAACGGCTGCACCAAATACATTGAATAGAAGGGACAGTTCGCCGCTAAGACCCCAGATTATACTCAATGCTACGCTCCAGATCGCAAGAGCAACGAGCAGTGTTGGGCGCGCAATCGTGGGGTGGACGAGGGGAAGCGTGCGCCGGCCAACAAGTGCATCACCAGTAGCGTCCTTGAAATCTTGTGCCTGGATTGTCGTTGCAAAAATTCCAGCACTGCAAAGGACGGAAAGCCAAGATACAGTGTCCAGGGAATGAGTATTCTTTCCTATAGTCCGTAAAAATTGTCAGAGGGTTATTGAAATACACTGCATCGGCGACCTCAGTCCCGGCAATGACGCACCAGCTATCAAACACGCGCCAACCTCAAAGCTTGCAAACCCAAGTGCATTCACAATGTTCCTTCCGACCCAGTGTCCAGCTGCATAGCCCATCTCATCGTATACATACGTCAAGACGCAGTTCGCAATACTCGCATACAGCACTTCCTTGCTATATGTCGCACTCCATGCAAAGCAGACAAGTGGCAGGACCCATCTGAGTATCACTGCTGTGCGTAAAGAAAGTCTCTTCGCAGGAAGAGGACGATATGCTTTATTATGTTCGTCTTCTTCGGGGTCAAGGGTCTGATTCGAAACGTCGAACTGAAGCAACTGCAGCCAGATCCAGAACATTGTTGGTGGAAGTCGAGAAAATGAAGCCAGCGGGGCGGAGGCTGCCGCAAGACAGGTCTAAAATATTTATTCAGCGGGAACGCATGAAACAGGTCCTCTGAGAAACACTTACGATGGGCATGAGTGTTGTCTTGATATCAGACTTAGTGAAGAGGAAAGCTGTCCAAGCATGGTAGACTATCCAATATGGTAAACTAAAGATAGTACTTGCTGCAGTACGAAGAAACGAGCTCGACTTCGGCATAGTGTGTTGTTCAAAGTTAACGCGGTAGAGGTCTTCCAAAGTAAGAGCGAGACAGAGTTAAAGCAACTTGGTCAGACCGGCCATTCTTATATCTGCTATAGCTAGGGTGAGATCAGAGCGTTATGAGGATAGGGAACCGGACCATTACGCAGCATGGCTATCCATTACAATCAAATGTGTAGGGACCGTGGTTCGAGAAGTGGGCCAACTGCTGAAACGCAAGGCAAGGCATTGCTTGACTGGGCGCGCATACGTACGTCAATGTCCTTTTCTCGCGCACTCTTACGCCAGGACGTCCAGGCCACACAAAGGGAACTACCAATATGTAAAGTTAGTTTATAGGACGAGCCCGGATATCATAGGCGTTTATGATCTTTATCAAAGAACTACCGCCATGCCAATAAGGGAATATGGAATCTGAAGAGGCGCTATCTCCGGTGAGAAAGGCGTAAAGGAGGAATGTGCCATTCCTACAAGAGGCAGCTTTGACCCGAATCCTTTTATCTATAAGGACGGATTTACGACATACTATTCGGTGACCTCTTTGCTTCAAACATCAAGCAGGCCGAAAACTCCGTCAGTCCTTTGAAATTCCGGCCATAAGTAACATCGAGGCCGACAGGAAACGGAGAAGTGTGCTGCGTGTAGCCTCTTTTTCTAGTTAATAATAGACGCAAGAGAGACACAGCTTATTGACTCAGATACGATTAGACGTCGCAGGCCTGGGAACACGACTATCAGACGATGATATTAATATGACACAATTGCCCTGAACTTCAAAACGTCGGAAGTCACGGTGTAGTGCTAAGTGGTAATAGACAGAGTATGCATTTGAACTGAGTCATGACAATCCTTCCCAGTGAGATTGAAAGGGTTCCTTCACAACTAATAGCAAATGCCATGGGTTGATAACATGGCCGTGATTATCGCGACGGAGACCGCACGCCGCAAGTCCGACGAGCAGAGCATAGAGGGTCTTGTGGATACAATCCAGGGTCATATCACAGTAGAAGGTGCATTGAGGGTGAGCTGACGCTGTTGATGACTTGGCGCTGCAGGACATTACACAAAATTCCGGACCGTTGTTTGTCAGATTTCGGTCATCTAGTTCAGCCAACGCGAGGTTTCAGTCCAATCCGGTGCGTTTCAGACTCTCGATGCTGAGAAAGGAGACCAAGAGCTCCGTTGAAAGCCGCGAGTACAGCGGTGTAGAAGTCTAAGGTGTGAAGTCCAGTCAGCATCAGACCAGACCAAGATTTTGTACAATTCCGGTAGTATCCGGACCGGACCGGCCAACTCGCCGGGTCACACGTGCTGTCGAAACTTCGCTGCGCTGCTGCTACGTAGTAGCACTACAAAATCATAATGCCTCGCTTTCTGCCTTTATGTTGTCTACTCACATATAGTAGATATACTGCCAAATTCTTTCCATGCTTGCATGATGTCAATGACCCCTGGCACGACATCCATGCATCAAAGCGTCTAATTGCGTTTTTAACGCTACACTGCCTACACAGGTGCTTCCGACGAACAATTGCCTGCTCGGTCTACAACAATCCGGGAAATGCAGCGCTCCTTTCATACTGCTCCGCGTTTCGTCCGATTTCTCGTGGAATATAATGTGGCGCCTAGGAACCAACTTACGTTCTATTGGACAACGAGACATGCATCGCGATAGTTGAAGCCCAGTACTTTAGCTGCGTTACTCATTAATCTAGCCCTACAGACTTTTTAGGAGGCCGCTACGCATCAATGATGATTCCGCCAGGCAAGTCAACTGGACAGGCTTCCTTTTCCGTTCTACATATCCGTTCTACATACTTTATGTCATCTTCCGTGCGCGTCATCTCCCGGCTACTTGAGGTGTGATACAACAATATTAATACCAGTATTCTGATTGTCCTTATTATGGCAGTTGGGACTAAACTATGAAATGCATGACTCGAATTGCCGATGTACCTGCGCCAATTCAGCCACGCGTGGGGTTCGGAGAACGGACGACGACTTTTATATGCCTAATAATTGCCCGATTTATTCTTGAAGGCCGGCACCAACTCACGAGCTGTTCGATTCTCAAGGCCACCTTTCTACTCACGATTCCAATGACAGACCCTTGACGACATCGTCGGTGCACTTCTTCCGCCGTCTGTGTTCAGTTCGAGCGTTTATGGTGGTGATGATAAATTTTAGATATCTTCCTTCACGAACCATCTGCGCGTGTATTGGAAGGACCCGGGAACGCCGTATGATGCTTTGGCTTTTTGCTTAATTGCATGCCACAATCATTCTTCTGATATAAATGTAACCGGATCGACGTTTTATCCGTAGTTCCATTTCCTGGACTTTGATGAATGTAACAACCTCGGACTTGGGAAAGTCACCTTGCAGCTTGGATGTTTCTCTTTCCTTTCATCGCCGGGGGTCGTTGTACAGCCGTAAGTGACAAGTATGACTAGCCTGCGTGCGCAAACTCACATACTCCGGACTTTGCGCAAATTTTATGAGGAGCTGTCCCTTATGACTACAGTATACATGACAAATCTGCTCAATATATTTGGGATCTCAAAGATGATTGAGTACGTCAGAACTGCTCAAAGTAACATTGCTGACTTTGTGGGACATAAAAGTTAGGAATCTAACTCAGTTGTGAGCGCTAATTGAGGAGGTACGCAACAGGGCTTATGGGTCTGAAGATCGGGAGGAGAAAATCATATGATGGCCGAGTGAATGTAATAAAAGGACAAATATCATGCATCGGGTGTCCAGTTCATCATTTACCAGATGTAGTGAAAAGGACAGAACGTACTCCTTTGGTGTCATGTGTTTACAGCTTTACTTGATGCCTTTATTGCATATTGATTTTTGAAGACAACTGGTAGCTCTGAGGAATACCATTTCCTGCGAAATGCATTTACAAACCAGCCGTTCCGAAATAGCAATCATAATGGCTTATAGCCACAATGTCTCTCTCTGCAGGGACCACCGAGTTGCAAAAAAAGTATGACTTCAATAAATCATAATTAAGGAAAGGAAAAGTCATATGACTGATAATTGGAATATTCTACATCACTTAGATCAATTATCCAATTTCCTGTCTATTTAAAATGAAAATTATTAAGAATGAAATTAGACCTTTGCAATATGGAATTTTTGGGAGCACATGTGCAGTTTACCTCCGGTTGTACTGGGCTGCAGTACCGCCGTGGATCGCATCTTCAATGTAATCTTGCAACTGCGTGCATATACCGTTGAAATCAAGTACCTGTCAGGCGAGAGGACTTGTCGAAAAGAAGAAAGTTCCCCTGAACATCTATTTTCGTCAGATCCCGACTGAGATGTAGGTCCTGCTTTATGCATGAATGAAGTGTAAGTCTGTAAGGCTCGACCAAGACAGTCGTGCAGCGTCATCTGAAATAGAAGACACCAACCATGGATTTCACAATGGGTCAACAGTATGTTCCCACTCCAAGATCTGTTCAGCCAGTCAGCCCGGTCAAGTGTCATTCACTTACTCCATTTTCAGCGTCTATTATAGGTACAACATCGTACATCGTACGCAGAACATCTGGCATAACTATAAATTCAAGATACCGATCACAACACCAAAAAACATAATTAGGAACAGAAAGAGAGACGTAATCTATGTAGATGAACTAGTCAGCAGTGTCCTCCGTCTAACCACCTATGACCGCTTCTCCATACAGCATCCAACAAGTCGCAGTACGAACGAGGGCTTATGCCGCCATTTTCTCCCTACGTGAACTACTGCTATCCCGGTCCGGGTTATGTATGTGATGTTGAGGTTCTCGTCCACCGCCAACTGCACCAAGAGCGTGGACGTCTGCACCAAGACCACCTGGTCCAGAACCAGTGTGAGGTAGGCCGGCACCAAGCTCAGCGTCCAGACCAACGTAGTCGTAGGCAAACTAGTTTAAAGATTTAAAAAAGCAGTCAGTCGCCTTGTGTAGAGTAAATTAGAAGAAACCACGCACCTCGCCGAGTTCCGCATCGTCAACACCGAGGATTTCGGTCTCTTCATCACAGCGGAGGCGCATGCCCGGAATGAAATGAAGGATCCAAAGAATGATGGTTGTCATGGTGAAAGAATAGGCAAAGCCGGCTGTTGAATCGGCGAGCTGGTAGCCAAGCTGGGCCCAGTGGTGGTCGAACCAGCCTCCCGGAATGTCAGCAATGCCATCAAACCCGGCGACAGACCTCTGGGCGAAAAGAGCAGTGCAAATCTAGGATAGAAAATACTGTGAACTTCTGCACACTGCTAGAAAACACGAACTTCATACGTTTCCGACGATACCGCCAATAGCATGCGACGCAAAGATATCCAGACAGTCATCATATCCGAAGATAAACTTGAGCTGCGTAGCAAAGTTACAAATCGTGCCTGCTAGGAAACCAAATGCCACTGCTGCGGGTGAACCGACGAAACCAGAGCCAGGAGTGATTGCAACGAGACCGGCGATGGCACCAGAGCAGAAACCGACTGCAGACCACTTTCGCTCGAGTCGCCAATCCCAGAACATCCAAGTGAGTCCACCGACGGATGCAGCGAGATTGGTGACAATGCAGGCTTGGACTGCACGAAGGTTCGCAGAAAGAGCCTATTTGCAAGTAAGCATCAGATGATTAAGACAACCGTGACAGGAAAGACATACGGAACCCCTGCACAAGTCAAAATTAGAGACGGGAAAAGGTATACGAAGGATTAAACAACTTACCCATTGAACCCGAACCATCCGAACCACAGCAAGACCTTACGGGTTAAAGCATGAGTTTTATATGCAAATTCCACATTGCTATTGAAAGAACATACAGTGCCAAGGACAACATATGATGTGTTGTGTGGCTTATAGGCGAGGCGCTCAGTTCCGTAGCCGCGTCGGCGGCCAAGGTAAATTGAGATGGCGAGTGCGGCCGTACCCGAGGAGATATGCACGGGCGTGCCTCCGGCAAAGTCAAGGCCTCCGAGTTTAAAGGACCAGCCAGTCGGGTTCCATGTCCAGCATGCGATTGGGTCATATACGAGAGTCGCCCACATAAATACGAAAACCAGGATGGGACCAACACGAGAGTGCTCGGCAAATGCTCCGACAGCAAGCATAGGTCTAAAGTAGGTTAAAGGCTCATCAGATTCTATTTTATCTTGTCTTGTGGAGCTGAAAGGAAAGGCTGTATTGTGAGAAAACATTGCGCTTACGTGATGGCAGCGAACATAAGCTGGTAAACGCAGAAGAGAAGAGATGGGATGCGTGACGAGCCCGCAGATGGCTGGCCAAGGACACCTTTCAGCGCAAAATACCTCAGATCACCGATGTACGCCGACCCAGTGTCTGAAAAAGCAAGGGAGAAGCCCCAGAAAAACCACTAGAATATTGATCGTTCAGCAACTGCATCCCGACATGATGGCGGTGTTAAAAGTAATGACCTGGAATGACACTACCGCAAGGACGGCAACGGAGAGGAATATCATGGATAGGGCGTTTTTTCGCCGCAGGAGACCAGAGTAGAAAAAGCCCAGGCCAGGAATCATAATCCACACGAGGGCGGTGGCAGCGATAATCCAGGCTATGTCGCCGAGGTTGTAGACGGTGGCAACGCCCGTATCATCGGTCACGATGAGGTCGCCAGCTAGAGTTGGTTTATCGCGTGAGCAGGAAAGATAAATAGAATGAAGGATTGATACTTGCATTCGTCGTAGGTGACGTTGACCATGTTGCGCGAGGTTTGTCGGGCGCGCGAACAGGCGCAATAGCGACGATAAAATAAAAGTTAAAAAGGAAAGGGAAAAGCAGCCGCTATGCTGCGGGGGGAAGTGGGAGAAGAGTGTCGAAGCAGCGGAGCCCGTCTTTATGAACAAATTGGGTCTTCCGAGGACGAGAGCGCGCGTATCATTTGTGCTATCGCCCAATCACATTCCATCATTATATCTCTACATCTCGTCAGGAACACTCCCGACATTTTCCTCCTTGCACTTGGATATATCTGTGTTGATAACGGTGAGCTGTCCATGGTGTTTGTGGCTGAAATACTCTCTCCCTTTCGGGAATATGTTTGTTTGAAAGGTGTTTTGTGGCAAGAAATCGGGAACGAGAAGGAAAGGAAAGAAGATCGGCGGACCCACAAGTGGCTGTGCACCCTTGGCGTGGTTAAAATGCTCTGTCCGATCCCTCGGAATGCTCCAGCGGCTTGTAATGGAAAGGGACACTAGTACTGTCTAATATACTCCATCCTCTTGGTCGCCAACACTACTTCCGCACTCAAAAGACTTTTATCATGCTATCCACCACCAGTCTGCACCATCCAAGCCTGCTCTCTTCATTACTGCACGACGCTGTGTCGGATTGCTTATCGCAAATGAACCTTGTTCTCGCGCCCGTGGACACGCACGCCAAGGAAGGGCGACCATCAGTGCCTCCAGGTGGCCCCTCGCATATATTTCACACCCGGTGGGCAGACCCGCTTACTGATCAAGCGGATGTCCTCCTGTAGGTTTTAGCCTCGACTGCGTTTCCATCTCGCTTGCCTAATATAGCTCTTGCAACCCTATGGAGCCATGAAAACAATCCCCGCGGGACTGCTTCCGGCCCAGGCTCCTCCTTCACGTCTTCTCTTTCCGTCTCAGGCACTCCCGATTCAGCAACATAATTCCTTGGTCTCTGCATGCATGATAGCCTTCTCTACCTTGTGCATCAGTCTATTTCAGAGCATACTTGCTGCGTGTCGTTTCACTGTTCAGACTGGAAATGAATGACAGCGAAGCAACAAAACACAGCACTTCTTGACAGCGGTTCTCTGTGATTCCGCCTCTCTCCTCCTGTCCAACAGTTACATCCCGACATCCGGCGTAGTTTGAGAGGGAAATATCAACTTTCTTCATTTCAGAGATGTTGATGAACATGACCTGGAATGAACCTAGACCGTGAATTTCAACGCCTGCTCTTGCAACGGACAACCATCTGTCTTCTGTTCTATTTTCTTTATCGCCGGAGTCTACCTCAGGTATTCCGTTCACACGACAGTGTGCCTTTTCACGTTGCCGCGGGATAAGTGGCAGGCGACACAATGTCATTCAACTTCTTGTCAAATTATTCGTATGCTATGCTGGAAAGTCGGCATAAGGACATTTCACAGCCAGTGTATACATGACCGATAAATGTGATTTATCTTTGGAGTACACCAATAATAGGCGATTTCGCACGTAACCTATGCTTTGGATGTGGAGTACCATATTTTATTTCAAGGCTAGCCATCTGTAGTACGCGCGAACTAACGGTAACAGTTTGATACCGGCTTTTTTAACAACGTCTTATAAATAATATAATCATCCTTTTCTATCCGGTATTCAGCAACAAAGCCGTTAAGTGCCTTGCCTCAATTTCAGGCGGGTCATAAAGACTCGTGTTTATTTCTCCTACTCTTTATGTGCATCTTGGTAATAGCACTACTACGTGCTATCCCTCACTATATTACACAAGGCAACTTGGCTAGCGCGACAGCTGACAGTTTACCATGTTTCATCAGGTACTCCTCCATCGGCCTGCTGATTTTTGTTTTCTGCCTTCCTAAATATATTTGTTCTTACAGTATTCATCTCGCGTAACGTTTCTTACCTCCAGATTCACCAATCTGCAAAATATTGAAAAATATTGATATGCCAATGCTAGCAGTGTCACTTTCACTTTGATAAACAAGATGCGTTATCAATCGACAAGCTGAGGAGAAATGAATAGATAAAACGATTGCTTAGTCTACTTGGCCTGCCTCATGTATGAAGAGTTAGAACTCTAGCTAGTCATATCATAGCCTCATGGTTCGACAAGCCTGCATTTGAGCCTTTCGTGAACATTCTCCTTGCGCTACCGTTCAGATATGCAACGATAATTGATAGCTGTGCCCTGTCACTCATTCAGATGAATGTGATTTTAGACGACGGCTAGAAGAATTCAATGACGTTTGCAATACCTCGGTCCAGATCCCTGTAGATCCAGGAACAAGCCATTCAAATGCTGTGCCGATAAGGAAGAGGCGTGTATTTATGTACAATTTGGACAGAGAGACTTGGCGACTCGTTGTATCGCAGCCGTATCTTAAAGCATTCAAATATTTGTACTTATCCTAAGTTTTGCCTTGCATACTAAGTGGATATAATAGATTTCAAAGGACTTGTGGTTATCTAATGATCTCGAATTATGAAATTTGTTCCTGATTATTAGTTTTGCGCCCACCTATAAAGGATAGACAGTACTGACTTTTGAATGTAAAAATCCATATATTATACCTATATCTCGAATAACTGATTTGATATGTGCCTAGTCATTCATTGTCATTTCTATTTTTTCGGACCGGGAATGCATATATGCACAGTGTTAAGCATGAAGCTTACAACGCATTTCTTTCACTCAATCACAAAATCAACCGTGCATAGACGAATCAACTATGTTCCCTTTAACCATGATAAATCTAATACCTATATTCCTGCACGCCCAGGACTACCAATCACAAAGATATACTTGAAAGAGTAAATATTACAATCAACATTGCCAATAACTAAATCAGCACAAGCTTGTGCACTTGTATGAAGCAATCTTGTCGTTCCATGTACCACCCGTCGCATCTCCAGGGTATCTAAATGTCCACTCGGCCTTTGTGCAGTTTGTGTCACTGTACAGTTAAGTATTATATGAACCATTACGAGATTAAAATGAATTAGTACTACTAACGGGTAAGCTGTGAATATGCATAAAAATGTGCAATAAATATTAGAAAATGTGAGTCTTAGGTTCTTGTGTCCTAGTTAATGAATGATCATACCAGAGCATTCTGTGCATTCATCCGGAATGAAGGTCGAAACTATTCCCTTCCACTCGCCATCAAATGCAACACATGTGCCTGGAGGGCGAACCCTATACTCGCATTTCCCTTCATACTGACCATCTTGACAAAAGTAAACTCCTCCTGCGAAACGTTTCTAAAATACTAATGAGATTTATTACACGTGAGCAAAGAAGGGAAAAGAGACTGACCTCGTGAGCATTTGCATCCGGCAGAACTGGAGATGCAAAGATACTCTGGACAGCAAGCACAGTAACAGCTGCAAGCCCAGCAAAAGACGTGGAGAACTGCATATTCTGCAAAGATGCTTGTGGTGTCTGGATGAACGGGGCAAAGAACGAGTGCTTGGTTAACAACTTTCGCTCATGTTTGGTGTTACTGTAAATACCTTTAGGTGTCCTGATATGTGAGAATATTATTTAATGTTTTGCATGTACTCAAAGCTGATTGGTACTACGTGGCCTCCTGGAGGATTTACACTCTGACATTCGAGGCAAGATTGGAGGAGGAGGCGCTTGAACAGACATGATGTATGATGCTAGCCTATAGACAAGAAATTTGCTTGTAAGCTACTTCCCGCAAGAGTGTTAAATTACTACAAGGCCACGTAGTACAGATTGGCATCAATAATTGTATACGTAGCAGTCTGAGAAAGTGCAGATCGGGCGCCTACTGCCAGTGGCAGCTGCTGCTGGACTAGAAGTCATTCGAAGGACACAGATTGACAGAAAATATGGTATGTTATTTGTCACAGTGGATTCTTTGTAAAGCAGGAGATGAGAGATAGCCCAGTTACATTGGGGAAGAAGGAAAGGAGATTGAAGTATTGAGAAATCAAGAAGTTGACACTATTTGAGCAGCCATCATTCCTATATTTACTAGTAGCAAAACGATAAAACAAAGCATATGCTATTTCCAATGTGGACCTCCACGTATACCACAAGACGTGGGTGATGTTGCCTGCCAATATACAAATGAGAGCAGGAATGATGACCAATGGTCCACACGACGTTCCATCGTTGCAAAGATCATGATATGGGCATGCTCGCACGTCTCGATTGAAGGAAGATTAAATATGGTCTATTATGGTAACATCCTCTGCACAGAGTCAATCACGAAGTCAGAGTGAAACGTCCATTAGTTGTTTAATGTCTGAACGGAAAGAAAGAAAAGAAACAGCAGACAGGAGAGGTGAGGAAAAGTTAATTACAAGAAGTGGTTCTGGGATATAAGTATTGTACGTTGGGTTAAAAAAATCGTGAAATGTACTGAACGCTAATCAAATTTGTAAAACAGCAAAAATTGGAACATCCAGCTGTAAGAGTCCGACTTGGAGAGATACACTCATCACTCCTTCTACATGATTACGCAGTCTTTATCCTCCGCTCGTCCGCTCTGTACACCCATCTCCGCGAATGTATTGTAGCGTGTGCCTCCTCCAGCTGATGGCTTGCTCGACTCTGTAGCAGGTGGAGTAGCGGGATTTGAGCTAGGCGGAAGACTCGCATTATCCGACTTCGGCGAGTAACCACCTGACACGATGCGGCCCCCACCACGTCCCGCAGTCCTTTGTGGTGAACCAGTTCGGCCTGGAGGTGGTGACCCAGAAGCAGATCCCGGGTCTACGAGAGAATAGCGTGGACGATCGCGTAGACGCTGCATAGGGTCTTGAGAGTTTGGATTCGGGCTTGGCATATTTGCGTGTGTCATAGGCGGTGAAGAAGTGGGAAGCTGCTGCTGTTGTGCCATCGCACCGAGCGATGAATGACGAGGTTGGTAAGACTGCCTATGTTGTGCTTGCTCAGTCTTCTTGATCCCTTCTACAACTTGATTCGCGTTCCCCCTTCCTGCTACTGAGGGCGTAACGCGTGCACCAGAAGCTTCAGAGCGCTGCTTGGCCTGAGTACGTTTCCGCACAAGCTTGTGTTCGGTAATCGCTTCGTGCTCTTGCCGAGTAAGGGCTTGCCCGCTCTCTTTCTTCAGAGCTTCCAGACGCTGAACAGCATCGGGATTTCCGTGATTCGCAGCAAGTTCATACCACCCAATCGCTGTTTTGACGTCAGGAGCGGGAACCCCAACCCCAACCTCCCAGTAATATCCCATTGCGAACTCAGCAGCCGGTAAACCTAAGTATATGCGCCATGAGTGATTCGGCTATTGGAGAGAAAAAAATGACAAAACCCACCTTTCTTTGCGGCTTTCTCGCCAAAAACGAAAGCAAGGTTTTCATCGCGTTTGAAGCCTTCGGCTTCGTTCACCGCCCCCGGTCCTCCGCCGCCTCCATCTGAGCCGCACAGGAACCATCGGCTAAGCGCTAAATCAGCTTCGGGTTCACCCGACTGGCTTGCTAGTGAATAGTACTGCACGCTGAGCAGTGGGTCGAATGGGAACGGTGCTTCTGCAAATTCATAGGCATGGCCAAGTTTATATTGTGCCTAGAAGTAAAGTTTGTAAAGACCGGACACATGTTCCAAAGGAATAAAAACACTAACTGGCGTGAAGTGGAGATACGCTGCTCTCTCGAGATGTTTGCGAGCCTCCGTTTGAGGTGTAGAACCCGGTGGAATTAGAGGGGTGATGAGATGTTGAGGAACTGGACTATTGAGCGGAAGTGTAGACCCGGACGAGTCTCCCAGGAGAATGAGAGCAAAAACGTATGCTGGCTGTGGGACAGTGATACTCGCGAGCGTTGCCGCACGTTGTAGCATTGGTAAAGCCTTTCCATAATCTTGTGGTATGCCGAGTTGTCCCAATAGGTTCGCCATACCTAACCTGTACAAACAGCTTTCATCACCCGCCCTCGCTCCTCGGTCGAAACAGCCAACGGCATGTGTCGCGTCGCCGAATGATTCATAATCTCTTCCAAGCCGGAACCAAGACGCGGGTGAAAAACCTGAACGGGCAGCAGCCTCAAACTCGCGGAAAGCTGTAAAATGCCAAGTCAGTAAAACGTCAAGTTTTGAAATACGAAAATGAAGGGCGGCCTACATACCTGTGCGTTGATTTTGTGGTAGGTGTGTCGGGAAGGTACCAGCAGAAATAAGACACGCGCGTAAATGCAAGGCCTCGGCAAGCGGCGCAGTGAGCTGCTGTCCCTGTGCAGGAGCGCCCGGCGCTAGAGTCATTAGCATTGGCACGGCGGCATCGGCGAGGCGTTGCAACACAGGTTCGGTAATGACTGCTGGCCCTGAAATCGGATCAATGCTTGTGGGTGCCTTGTTGCTTGTGGACGCCGTCGAGCGGTTCACGAGTAAAAGAACATCACGTATCCATGCTACTTTGCTGCCAACGTCTGCGTTGGGTGCTTGTACGGCAGGGAGTGCAGCTTGTAAAGTGGAAACAGTAGGAAGCGGTGCAGTGAGGCTTGGCGCACGTGGCGGGGAAGATGTTCTCGGTTGAGAAGAATTTTGAGGAATAGGCGGATTTGTGAAACTCGATGGGTCATAGTTTGGTGGAGGACCAGCTGTACTAAGTGTTCTCACTCTGGGTGCACCGTCTCCCATGTTTGGCACAGGCAATCCAGGTGAAAATTGGCTCACAGCCCTCTGTCTCGGTGGGTACGGGCCATTAAGCGAAAGACCGCCCATAGACGAAGCGAGAGCACCATCATCGGCCTGAATCTGCGGCATCGGGATCATCGGCGAGCCCATACTGCTCATCGGAGGTGGGCTGTAGAGTGGAGGCGGAGCGCCTGGAAATGCGAAACCTGGTGCGAGGTTGATGCCCATGTTCGGGCCTCCTGGAGGTGGTTGAGGTGTTGCGAGACGGGGTCCGTTGTATGCCAGCTGTTCGTCAAGAGTGCGTGCCATCTAAAATAGAGAACTAAGTTAGAACATTGTATTTATTTCGAAAATAGGTAATGACGCACATCTGCAGGTATATCTGGATTGAATCGCTGAGGACGCGGGGCAGCAAGTGGTTCTTCCTTACGAAAATTGGGCGGCAGAGGCGGGATCGGAGGAGGCAAAGAAGTTTCTCTTGGGTGGCCGCTTGCAGAGTAAGGACGTGGTGGTACTGGAGGAGGAGCGTATGCGGCCATGATGGGATGTTTTTGTAAGTGAGAATCTTGAACAGAATGACTACTTAAGTATAGCTCTTACGCGTCAGAGAGCTGCTCGGCGTCTCGCTGAGGCTATGCGCAGCTACTGTGTTATGTAATCCTCTCCTGTCCGAAACATACACAGCTCCTTCTCGCCTCCACAATCTACTATTGTTATTTTATCAACACCTCGGTGAAACACCGTTTATCTCATCTGCGCAGAGTCCTCGCAGCCGTTCTTGTACATTGCTTCCATCGTCAAGCACAGCAAATCCTGAGACATCAATTGATTCCGCCGATGCGCTTAATGGAAGCTTGATGTGGTGCTTGAGATGTCTCTCCAGTAACTCTGTATTATGGACAACAAAAGATTTTCTGGATTACTTTTTAGCAGTCTGGCCTTTCGAATCGTCATCGCATAAAATGGACCGGTAAATTTCTGCATCGTGCAGGTTTTCAAACGGTTATTGGCGGACTCAAGATCGGTGCGGATTAGTAACTCAGTACTCGGACTAGCTCAAAACTTCAATAAGGAGTGCTACCTCTGCTCATCAGTGCATCTGTCCTCTCTGGCTCGGGCCACTCCATTGTGATGAAATCATGTGTTGCATTAAGAACTTCGTTGTATACGCATCACTGACGGCGCAGCACTGCGGAGCGGACACATGTCCGGAGACATTGTGATTCTGATGTGGTAATAGTAGTGAACTATAGGGACGACATACTCTTCTTATTCACTGAGTAGGTTTCACGAGTAGTTTGGGGTCGAGTATTCGCTGCGATCATGACCGCAGTAAATGTATTCAGTGTTGGGTATAAAACCACGACGGTGTGGTACTGTTCGTTAAGCGCGGCCGTGCACTACTTCTCGATGTTGATCAAAACAGCTTCGCGACTTGTTGGGTTCACAGTCCTTGCACTGGGAATGCCTGCCCGTGGTTCCCCGTCTTTAGGTCCTCGGGCGGATGCTGCAGCCCAGGCATGTCAACTATTACAAGCCAGTTTTCCGCAGCTGGTGTCATTTCCGGGTGAAGTCATGCCCAGTCACTATCCCATGGCTTATTGACGTGTCGTTTCGTTTAATCTACCAGGTTCTGAACAGTATGAAACAGATATTGATCACTGGGCCTTTACAAGCAGTCAGAATGCGACATGTGCTGTGGAACCAGCTAATGCAGACGATGTTGGTGCAATTGTAAGTCAATATTGGTTCATATCCGGCTATTGCACTGCTCAAATGTTAAACACAGCTAAAAATCATTGGTCGAGACAGCATTCGCGCTCCCTTTGCTGTAAGCAGTTGTGTAACGATGCATTTTTAATTCTCTAAGCACAGCTATAAAAGGTTAAAGCTGGCGGACATGCTCTCAACAAAGGTTTTAGTTCAACGCCGGGAGTTCAGATCTCAATGGCTAAATTCACGGGATTGTTGGTTGACGCTGTGAATAGCACTGTCACTGTAGGTGCAGCTCTGACTTGGGGTCAGGTATACAGTCAGCTTGAGCCGTTTGGGGTTATGCTTACAGGTGGTCGTAATGGTGAAGTAGGTGAGTATTACTTAGTCCCTTCTCCAACGGACTATCCTTTTTCAACACATCGTATTCTAGGCGTAACTGGTCTGAGCCTTGGTGGAGGCTACTCTTGGAAGACCAACCAATTCGGTCTGACGATTGATACGATCGTCTCCTACAACCTTGTTCTTCCATCTGGTCAACAGGTACTCGTCACAAACACGACTTATCCAGACCTCTTCTTCGGGCTCAAGGTTTGTAACATGATTCAATACGGAGTACCGGAATGCTGACTCTTTGTCAGGGCGGTTTAAATAACTTCGGAATCGTCACCGACATTACATTCGAGAGCCACCCGCAGGGTCTCGTATTCGTACGTTGTACAAAATCTCCTAGTAGATTAAAGGATGACTTACTTAACTTTGTGGTTTAGGCGGGTGAGATTGAATATGGCCTCAATGTGACCGATCGCGTGAACGCCGCCATAGGCAACTTCTCGTTGAACAATACGGACCCAAAGGCTCAATTGGTAGTCACGTATACGTATGTAGCTGGGCAGGTAAATCCACATCTTTATGAACTATCATTGCTGTTGATATGCTCAACTCTTTTGTTGGTTGTTCTCTCGTGAAGTTTCAGACTGTTGTTGTCCCCTTCTATGATGGACCAAACGCTCCAACGGGAATATTTGATGAATTCTTTGCTATCCCTTCTGTTCAGTCTAATATCACGACGAGGTCGTTTGTCGACTTTGTGAATCTTATTTCAGGGGATCTTGGTCTTGATATTGGGTAAGTCAATGATCAGTCAAGTTCGATATATCTCTGTCTAGGCTATGTCAAACTCACACACTTGATTTTTGTACATCAAACCAGGCTCGCTGCTACGGCTGTACCTATTACGACCTACCCACAGTCTCTGCTTGATAAGATAGTCAACGAGACAATCACGACGGGGGATAAACTTACTGCTGCGACTAACTCGACTGTCGTTGTGATAATGGTGCCCGAACCGTTCTTGAACCCCTTCTCTCATTCGCGTGGAGGCGCATATCCACACCCTCCATCCCGCCAAGTCACGCCTTCTTCTCCTGAGATCGCGTACCCGATTAATTCAAACTTGACTGCGGGTAAGGGACCTAACTTGACTTTTACAAATCATTACTTACTTATAATCTTCTTCTTTTACAGATGAGCAAGAAGCATTCTACAACCTGATAGTATCTGCCGAGAAAGAATATGCGCATAACATCCAGGCAGCAGCTGTAGCTGAGGGGGTCAGCAAGTGGGACGATATCTTGTATCCCAATTACGCCATTGCGGACACTCCGCTTGAGCTCCTGTATGGCGACAACGTAGAGAGGCTCAGGCAGATTGCGACGAAGTATGATCCTCAGGGTGTCATGAAGTTGACTGGCGGGTTTCACTTTTAATTATTAAGCTTGTGGCCCTACAGAGGAGAGAAGAGCTTGCAGTTGGTGCAGTTATCTACAGCTCGGACAATGTGATAAACTTCCGTACTTGTTCGTTCGATACTCGATAATTCGGTAATACTAATGACAATGGTTGATATTAATCGGAAAAAAAAAACCGTCTTTATGCGATACACCATCTCATCTGCGCGGAATCCTTGCAGCAGTTCTTGTACATTGCTTCCACCGTCAGGCAGAGCAAATTTTGAGACACCGATTGATTCTGCCAAAGTGTTCAAAATGGAAGCTTGGTGTAGTGCATAAGATGTCTTCTCCAGTAACTTTGTATTATGGACAAACAGTTCCGCGATTGTTTTTCGCAGTCTGACTATTCGAATCGTCATCGCATTAATATACCAGTAAAGTTCTGCATCGTGCAGGTTTTCAAGCGATTATTAGAGGACTCAAGGCGGATGAGGATTAATTACAGCACACGGACTAGCTCAGGACCATAGTGAACCTAATAAAAAGCTCTCATTCTAACACAGAGTATTAAATATACATCAAAGAGCCCTTACAAAACAACAAAGCAAATCCGGCTAACAAGACTAAATCAACAGGGCAACGAGTGTCTCCTCATGCACAACACCTACACCAGAGACCTTTAATAAAGAGAGTTCTCTCAGCATCACTGACGACGCCAACAATAGACATCATCCTTCAATATAGGACAAGCGCCGCTAGTGACACTATTGGCTCTTTCCCAAGTCTGACCATTAATGGTGACGGTACTTGAATGAGAGAGAATAGCAGATAACGGATTGTTAGCACAGCATGCAAACGTGAACAAAGATATGTTTTTTGTGACTGCATACAGTTTACCACAGTCATATGACGCATTATTCGTATATTTGCCACATGTGTCTAAGTTATCTTGTGCTTTACCACTGTTGTCGGCTTTTGTTGCGATGATGCCACAGTCGTTTGAAACAATGACAGCAGTAACCTGAGACAAAGACAAAGAATAGGTGAGACGGTGCATTACTAATGTCGTTTATAAACCTGAAATACTGAAACACTGACATTGGTATATCCAGTAGCTATTTGACCAGGTTGGCAGATTGATCCAGCATAGACAGAAGGTACTACTACAAGAGCTGAAGCCAGAAGAAGAGCATGCGAAGCGATCTTCATGTGTATAAATGGGAGAGCAATTGCGACTAATACGTTATGTTGAAAATTGGATAATACCTAGGGATATACGAAGGAAGACAGCCGATTTACACCCAATTTTATAGATGCTAGCTTTGCACTTGCACAGTGGATACGGTCAATCCGGACTCAAAATGTGTGAGCATCCACTCTACAGACACACAAACCACTTTGCCTGTCTGGTAAAATGAAGACCACCCACCAATACTCTACATAGACTGTGAAGAAGGCGCCTTACTTCACTCGACAGGAACATTATTGCCAGAGTATACAGAAGATCAAAGTGTTCGAAGAAGTTCACATATTCGGAGGCACCAAGGGTAATGTTTTCGGATGTAGAACCAATAACTTATGTGTCTTCTTTACGACCGGGCCAGCAAAGTAATTCCACAGCTTTGTGCATGAGCCAGACCAGCCCGGCCAGCGTAGGGCTGAAGAAATGAAATTCTTTTGCGGAGCTTGGATTTAGAAGTCACGTGATTAACATTTTACCTTCCCTACGGCGAGAACATGGAGAAGTTCGGGGCAGATCTAAGCAAAGTATTGTCCTTAGGGCATCATGAAGCTGCCTGGCGGATTTCACTTCTGAAACATGCACCCTGGCAAGGTACTATTGAAGATAAAGTTTGATATTGGTTAAAAAAGATGTTGTGTGATAAATTGTGCAAAAGGAAAAAAAAATACAACAAACTACACAATGCATGTTGACACAAAGAAAAAGAAAATCTAATGGTACATTTATTTAATCATTCATTCAGCATTGCATTTCATGATGGCGGGAGAGAGGAGAGGAGAGGAGACGCAGGGCCCGGGGGGGGGGGGAATTCACAGCCAAAAATCATAAGAAACACAAGTATAAAAACAAAAACGTAAAAAATCCTACATTCATCGTTCACCAGAAGAAAGCAACGCTGTCAGCGTCACAAACATCCAGCGGTGCTCCACCATCGCTCCTCAGTACCCTTTACTTCCCATTCTGTGATACCATCCACGGTTGCGACATACATGTACGCACCCCTAGGGTCGAATGCGATACCCGCAACGTCCAGTCGATCAGTCGATTCAATCAAGTCGCGACATGGGGGAAGGCTGTGGTTATGCGAAGAAGACACGTCCACTGTAGTAGAAGAGGTGGAAGATGATAATGAGGGCATCGACTGATTTGGTTCTGCCACTGCTGAGGCAGACGAAGATGAGGAAGAGTTCGGTATTGACATGGTTGTTGACGTAGCGGTGGAAGGTGACGGCGCAGGCGAAGAAGTAGTCGTATTCACCCGCAAGGACGACGGTCCTACCGAAGCAGATCTCCCAGGCTCTGGAAGCTGGCTCGTCGTTACATTTGGCTCCGCGCAGTCCAACTCCGTCGCCTCCGAATCATCACCATCTCCAACGTCCATTTCGTCTCCGTCGACCTGTATCCAGTCGTCTTCTGCCACTCGAGCAGCTCGCAAGCTGCGAATGGATGGAGCTAGAAGTGAATGTGTGTCAGATCCTGGCTCCCTATTTGTATTCGAAGGTTCGCCGTTAAGTACGCTTCCAGCTTGCGCAACAGTAGAGGTCGTAGCTGAGACAGCTGCTGAGGAAACCGTCGATGCTGATGGGGAAACAGGACGGCGATGTTCAGCTCGCGGAAGGCTCGGAATTGGTAATGTCTGTTCTTCTCGTGGTTCATCCATAACTGTGTCCACATCCTCGCTCGCTCGGACGGACGGAATCCCGTGCATTGCCAAGACTTCACGTACATCATCTTCAGATCGTTCGCTCGAAAGGCGAGGAATAAGGACAGGTCCGGACCTCGCATCCCTATCTTCTTCTGTACGATGCGACCGATCACTAGAACCAGGCGAACGCGTTCTCAGGTCTTCAAGCAGTCTTGAAACGTACGGCGTCGACACTCCGTCTCGGGTACTACTGCTTTCTTGCTCACGCTCTGAGCGATCTCGTGATAATCGTTCTCGTCGCAAGTCCACAATGGCACGTAACCTATCTCGCATGACGAGTATGTGCTCACGCTCGCTCTGGGTTCGCCGCTCAAGTGCAGCATGGTATACGATATCCTCTTCCATCTGAGCGTCGTCTCTCAAAGGATTCCGCCGTCTCCGTTCCTCCGCTGCTTCCTGCAACTCCCGACGCTCTCGTTCTCGTATCCGAACACGCTCATTTGCCCGCTGAGCAAGCGCCGAGTGCCTCGTCGCATACCTCCCAAACTCGGGGTTTCTTTGCGAGTTGTCCCTGTTTGTGGCTTCGGTCTCCGCAGACATTTGGTCTGCAAAACTCCTGTTCGCTGTCGGCTCAGGCGATTGCGAGAATGGTAGATTCGGACTCAGCACACGGCTCGGCTCCCCGCCTGGTTCTCTGATTTCGGGCAAAAGGGCCCTAGGTCTGCGGCGCGGCGCGGACACACCATGAGACCGAGACGCAGAGCGCAAGTCTTCTCTGGCCAGAAGCAGCATGTCTTCCAAATCCCAATCAAAGTCACTCTCCCCAATTCCACTGGGAACGTAACGACGTCCAGATCCATCTACTGCATCATATATACCGCCGTCAGCCAAAGCCATAAATTGCGATCGGTTCTCGTCCGCGGCGGTTTGTACCCAGCGTGGTAAGTCACGTCTTCCCATTGAATGATGTTGGTCCGCCTGCGGGACAAGCCAAGGGGGAAGATGAGAATCATCATGAATTGGAGGGCCGGAAGGACTTGGTTGGACATGAGGGATGCGCAGTATATCATGCGTCAAAAACGTATCTGCATCAATGACATGGACACGAGATATATGCTGTAAATGTGGATGGTATGTTAGGCGATAACGTATGCAGTGGAGATGATTCGAAAATGTAATGCATACCTCTGTGAAAACAAGCAGTTCCCGACCACTAGCGTTCCGAGCAAATTTCAATGTCCGTATACCCCACGGCGGAGCTCCTCCAGAGAAGTCAAACCAAGCACGCTGCGCATCCGCACTCATTGCTCCTCCCTCCCCAGTGCATTTCGGTCCTGTTTCCCAACCAGCAATAGCCTCCTTGCTTCGTATGTCCCAGAGACGGATCAAACCTTCCTGGCTTGCTACAGCAAATCGCATACCGTCTGTACTCCATGCGGTTGTAAAGCATGCAGGTGGAATCTCCACACCTCCTGAAACATCGCCGTAGAACGGATGAGGACCAGCGACAACCCAATTACCGTTGACAAATGCATAGGGAAGATACGCTCCACCTGGATCACGATGTCGACTAGAGCCTGAACGAACTGCGATGTGAGATCGTGATTGCGGATTCAAATGAGCGGAGGGAGGGGGTAACGGTGAGGGGACAGGGACTATATATGTTGCAAGTGGTTCGAAAAGGAGCGATGAACCGTCGCGGACGGGTAATATGCGATAAAGGTAAACCGTCGATGCGTCTCCGCATGAGAGGACAGTTGAACCATCAGGAGAAATAGAAGCTGCGAAGATACGACCGGCAAGTTCGTTAAACGATAACCAAAGGAACAGTGAAATCACGCACTATGGTTGACAGGAACGGGTAATCTTAGAAGGCCTACACGCTCATACCGTACAATCCGCTCCTGACCTTTCTCTCCCCACCCTTCACCTTCGCATACTGTTCGTGTTCCAAAGTCATGTCGCCAAAATCGTGAGTCAGGGTTTTGAGGAGGGGGTAAGCGGTGGGAAGATCCTCTTCTAAGACCCCTTCGAGAAAGACAGACATCGAAGAACTTGACGGTGCAGTCGTTATTGCTCACAACCAGGCGCGGAGATACGTGATTTTTCGTGACATCTTTGTTTGAGCCATAATCAGTTTGAGGGGGTGGTAAATAGAGTAGTACATTGTTGTTGATTGAACCAACGAGAGAGGACATATGTTGCCAGGACGGCGTCGAGTAGCCCGATGCATGCTCTTCGGCTTCCTTGACGTCTTCTCCACTCGAGTCAGACTCTATATCCATATCTGCTAGAGCTTCGTCTCCAGGTGGAAGTGTACCAGACCCTTGCTCAGAAGACCCATCGAGTTCCTCAGATTTCGGAACGTGACGATATCGTCTGCGTCTTGGAGTGTAGACATACAGTGCAAGAAAGAGCTCAGCATCTTGTCCGCCTGCAGCAAGAAGAATGACGTCTTTCCCCGAAGAACATGAGGGTGCGATTCGTAAAGCTGAGAGAGTAACAGGAGTGAAATTCAAGAGTGCAAGTGTCCGCTGTCGCTACAATGGAAGCACTTCAGTAGTCGCATCGAGAGGGTGTAAGAGATGACGTACCGAGGGAGAATCCGACAGCATGTCCTGCTCAACTATTCTCCGTTCACTAACATACCAGAGCACACCACGTTCGGCGGGGCAGACCATGAGGTCTCGCAGTTGGCTACAAAGGAGAATGAATATTGATTAAGCAGATCGTTGTCGAGGCAATAAAAGAGGACTCACACATGGCTTATCGTAACATTGGCGGGTGCAGAGGCGGTCGGTTTTGGCGAGACGAGCCTAGGATCTGAGCGGGGGTGGATCGGGTGCTGCGTGAGAGTCATTGTCGTGCGAGATGAGAGTGGGTTGTAAGAGGGCTGGGAGCGTTCAGCAATAATATAGATGAGCGTTTATGAGGCCTTTGGCCGGTTTGTATGACAAAGGCTGAGTGGTCAATTAGACGCTGTGGCCCAGGGACATGGTGGCATGCACAATGGTCCGATCGCTCCTCTCCCGTCACCAGTCCACCGACCGAGATACCTCGCACATCACGTGCACTATACCTACCCGAATCTATGCATATTAATTGTTTCTATTCTTTTTATTCCCGTTTCTTGCCAATGGGAACATTCAGAGCACAAAATAATTCAACACAACGAATAAAAAATTTGTATATGTCGAAGAAATAATGACATCTTGGGACATCACGACCATTCGGGTATCGGTGCATACAGGGCAGGGCCCGGCAGGCAGTGTCGCTGCGCCCCGGACAGTACTGTTATTCACCTCGCGTTCACTCCCGAATACTGTATTGAACAAGGCAATGCTCGATGTCAAGCCGGGCCTCTCATTGAGCCGTCGAAGAGCAGTGCCGTCATAGAGGCTAGTGACTACTTATTTTCCCTTGGAGAGGCCTCACAGTATATATTCAGTCAAGCGTCGCGTTGGATACGTGTTGGCAGTGCATATTTCATAAATAATTTAACTGAGCAGTTATACACCTCGGAGTTTGTGTATCTGGGTATTCTCTAGCATGCAGTAGAGATAGAATAGCATTGTAGCCAAAGCCAAAGAACAGAGACCACGCATCTCGACATCACGGTGTTCTGATTTCAGTCTCGACGCGATGTGCGATGGCCTCCACACACACCTCATCCTCTTACCACCATGGCCGACGCTGAATCATCATCCTCTTCCTCTGTAGACGAGAAAGTCGACATTAACATTAAGGGTGCGTACCCTGATTCAGTCTGCCACTTCATCTGGCGCGCAACTAATTCAAATATTAATTTAATAATAATTCATATGCTTTATTGTCGCTGACGCAATCCTCTCGGACATGAAGGCCCAGATGCGAAAGTGACGATCAAAATCTCGTTAAACGAGACGGTCCTGGACCTCAAGAATGCCATTCAGACCGAAACAGGCGTCGAGGCTAATAGACAAAGATTGATTTATAGTGGTATGTAGCCCTCTGTTCGAAGGTCGACGTGGGCTGACGCACTCTACTTTGTCCATTCCAGGTCGAGTACTTAAGGTATCCTACTCGAGGCATACCCTGTCGTAGAGTGATCTAACGTCGTTTTACAGGATGCAGACGTGCTCTCGACATACAAGATACGGCCCTTAGACACGATTCACATGGTGAAAGGCGCTGCACGAAGCGCCGAGTCGGGACCCTCCTCAGCAGGCGGCGCATCGGCATCTACTCCACAACAACTACCAACGATGCAAACCGGACAAAACCCAAGCGATCCACTTACACTTTTGAACGGACCGATGGGGCACGGGTTGCTCAACGCGAACTTCAACCCGTTTGCAGACATGGGACTGAATCCGGGTGACCCAAACATGGTATGTGCCGTGTATGCACATAATATTTTGTAGTGTCAGTTGTACTAAATGGTCTTGCTCGTAGATGCAAGGTCTGATGGACAACCCTGCGTTCTTGCAACAAATGAGCTCGATGATGTCGAACCCTGCTGTTCTTGATCAGATCATCAGCATGAACCCTCAGCTTGCCGCTATGGGTCCACAAGCACGACAAATTATGCAGAGCGATGCTTTCCGACAAATGATGTACGTGTTCAAATACTTCAGTCCTTTTTGCTAACTTAACATGATTTGCGTATTTCTGTCAGCTCAAACCCACAAGCTTTTCAATCGATGATGCGCCTTTCGTCAATGATGCACGGCGGTGGAGCGAGCCCATTCGGCGGGGCAGCCGCTGGAGGAGCAAACTCATTCCCCGCCCCAGGCCTCCCATCGTCAGCTCAGCAAACACAAGCGCAGACTCAAACACCTCAGTCGCCTCAGTCTCAGCCTCAGTCTCCAAATACACAGCAAAACCCTTATGCCGCTCTTGCTACCTTACTCGGTTCCATGCCTCCACCGCCTGCCCAACAAGGCGCTGGGACAGGTGCGGCGACTGGGACAACACCCGGTTCTCCTCCGGCCGCAGGTACAGGCGCTACAGGTGCAGTTCCCGGTACCGGTGCGGCTCCCGGATCCAACCCATTTGGCGCCATCGACCCATCCCTCGTCCAGAACCTCCTAGGAGGCATGGGCGGTTTCGGAGGGTTTGGCGGAGGCATAGGCGCCGGTACACCCCAACCCGCCGACACCCGCAGCCCCGAAGAGCGTTTCCAAGTCCAACTCCAGCAGCTCCAGGATATGGGATTTAGTAATGCACAGCAGAACGTGCGTGCGTTGCTTGCGACGGGTGGGAACGTGCATGCTGCGATTGAGTATATACTTGGTGGGGGTGGACTTATGTAGGGTTACGAGGTAGATCACTGGATGTGGATGAGTAGGTGGGTGAGCGAAGATGTTGTGTAAGAACAGTCATTGTCGGATAGTATGTTGTTGGATATGGAGAATGCAATGTTCTCACCGACCTCATATTTGTGTCGCTTGACTGTATTGTATTGTGTAGATGGACGGAAGAAATATTGCTACAGTTAAATTACATCATGCATACATATGAAATTTGGCATGCACCAGATAACGCAATCGGCGTAGACACAGACCAAAGAACAGACGAGATAAATCAATTTTAAGCAGGTCCAACCTAACGCAATGCAATGTCATGATTTAAAAAAGCGTCATAAATTGGGTATACGCACCAGTAACCTTTGGGGACGCTTTCGAGATCCTGAGATGATCCTTTCCTTGCAATTGTCGCAGAACCATTTTCCGCGTTTTGGGGCTTCACTTAAGCCTACGCAGCCCAGATGGAACTGAAAACACAGGTTGATATTATACCGAAAAAAAGTTAATTGCGATTAGGAATATGGAGACTTACCCATTCTCGTTCACAGCCTGGGGCGTCGCATCCGATCATCTGTTTATGCAGAAGTGTTCAGTTCAATCCTCTAAACAAGTTTGCATTAATCTAGAGTCCTTACCTCTCCATAGGAAACCCCACCACAGTAGCAATACCGTGGCTCATTGGGATCAATCGGCATATCCACTGACGACAGCACAACTGAAGTCGCAGTATCCGTACCGCTAATCGTCTCTGTCTGCAGGGCACCTTCTGCCATATCTACATCCGCCTGGTCCAACGTCAGCTTTTCTTCAATATCATGTCATCTAAACAATAGTCAAATAAAGAAACAGAACTAACCGTAGGTGAAGCATTTGCATTTGTTGGTCTTCGAGAACGCATGGAGCTACGATTACGCGAGTTTTTGTCCTTTTTGCTTTTGGATTTGGATGATGTGTCGTTTACTACGCTGATTGAGCCGTCTTGTGGTTTTGGAACTGAACCGCTGACTGGAGGTGGAGGGGAGGTGCTTCGCGGTACGTATACCTGATTCTTTGCTTGTGACTCCTGGTCTCTGATTGCTTGGTCCAAAAGGCGGACGTGCCTATCAACCTACACCTTTATTCTTAGCGATTGCCGGTGACCGCGGTCTGAAATTGAGGACATACCGAATCGTACGTCGCCTGAGCTATGTTGACTTTCTCCTCGCACGCGGAGAGTAGCTCGTTCAGTACTGCTGAGACATCGGAAAGCATCTTTCCGGAAGGAACGTGGTCTGCGTTTTCTCGAGCATCTGGAAAGAGTTGAGAAGAAATTGCAGCTGCGCTGTTGGTTCGACGGGGTGATGATCGTGTGGACTGGACACCGTCTTCATGTCGTGGTTCCTGCGGAGCCGAGATTGCTTGTCGTCTCCGTATGTAGTCCCGTATCTTTGGTGACAGCATCAATTCCAAGGCTGAGATACAAGTAAGCCTTTGTAAGAGAGAACAAATGAGCGCGAAGACCTACCGTGAGCCTGCCCGTCAATCTCACGCAGAAGTGAGAAGTTCCGATGCAAAGATAGTGGGAGCTGCTCAACGGCTTCGATTTATGTTGTGTTAATAGAGAAGGTAAAACATGACCAGTCTGAATGTGCCTCACATTCTACGTATTCTTCACGAAATGCCTCCCAGACATCTAACTCTTTCGAGTTCGCTGAAGCATCGTTTTCGCCGTGATGTCCCTGGGATTCTAAACTATCTGAGCTGATGCGCTTTCGTTTCCGTGTGTTCCGCATTGAGGTGAGTAAGTGCAGGTAGTAGGGCCAAGAAAGGCGTGAAAGCACTGTCCAGCGGACTCCGGCTAAGAGGCACGTCGGGATCACGTGCCCTCCTTCACGTCGCGACACGCTGAACTAAAAACTTGAAAAGCAGTAACTGAACTTGAAGAACTTGAAGAGGCTTCGCTATTCCGTCATGATCGCGATAGACATCAAATACAATTTCGGCACAGAAATCCTCGTTGTTCGATCATGTTATCACCGCGATGGCAGGGACCTGCTTGCTATCGCTGGTGAAGACGCGGTTCAAGTACTTCAATGCGTAAGTTTTTCGCAAACCACAGATTGTTTGTATTGAGCGCATATGCTTACTGGATGTGTTCTCCAGGGAGACAATGCAGTCGCACCTATTGCATACTTCATGGTCGGGTTAAGAGTTACGTCTATTGCCTGGTCTCCAAGGACTGTATCACCAGGCGCGTCGGATGAGTGGTTCTTGGAGTAAGTCAACTTTCGAATTTGTGGTTCATTAACATTTACTGAACATTTAATGTATAACAGACTTGTAATTTCGACTCATGATTTTGGTCTCTATCACCTTACGAAATCGTATGATGGAAAGGAAGAAGTTCGACGATTTGGAGGTGGCCTAACTGGACATCATGCTAGGTCGGTTGATCCTCTCGTTCACCTCACCTTGTATTGCTAACCGAGGCTTGACATTGATGTAAATAGGGTGAACGACATCGCATTCGTAGGAGGCCAAGACGATAACGCACGTCATGTTGCAACTGTCTCAGGTCAGCACTTACAGCATTTCTCTTCCTCTGTGTCGTCCGAACTGAATTTCTCGTATTTGTCTGACTAAAGACGACCGAACACTCATCGTCTGGGACCTCCACCCCCCAATACCAGAACCATACGAAGAAACAAGCTCCCAATCAATCCCACCCGAAGGCCGTCCCACAGCACTAGCCATCCCCTTCGCATACCCCCTCTGCTCAATAGCCTCACACCCCTCAACCAGCAAAGAGTTCATCGTCTCCGACTCCCAAGGGTCCGTCTTCCTTATCGACTGGAGGAAAGATCCCAACGAAAATCTCGAAGACGCGTTCAGCCATAAGAACATGTTGGAGTTGGTTCATCCCAAGAGCTTGGGGTACGCTGCGACGAATATGGCGAGGTTCTTGTCTGGACATGCGGCTTGGAGAGCTGATGATTTTAAAATGTGAGCTCGGTTTGTTATGCTGAGGAGAGTTGCTTGCTGCTTTTCTGACGCGGGAGTGCTAGCATCGGCGCTGTCTTTGGTTCAGATTTCGCAATATGGGATATAAACAGACTGAACGGCGGAAAACCTTTCATGACTGGTCCATGTTTCCCCGAAGGAGGCCATCGTTTCCGGTAAGCAAAACCTCTCCGAACTCAGACACATCCCACATCTAACTACACATCATCTAACATCTAACAATCCTTGTATCTTCAGCTGGTGTCCCGTATACGCCGACGTATTCGCAATATCGACATCCTCAACAACACTAAAAGGCGCAAGCATCATCGTCAACAACACCTTCATCCCACAAACTCAGCCAACGCCCATGCACGTCGCTCCTCATCCTCATCGTATTGCCGACTTTGACTGGGTATTGACGAGTTATAGTTCAAGGATTGCAGCTGCTGTGGGGAGAGAAATCTATATTTTCACGGTACATACCGATGATTAAATTACATATGTATTTTCGTGGCTTGCTTGGCTTGCAAAGATGAAAGTAAAAAGGCGGTGTGTAATGGAAAATTGGAAATTGGAAGAAAGGAGAAAGGAAAGAAAAGGGTTGGTTTACGGAAACGGAAACGTGTAAGAAAGGAGGCAATTGAAAAGTAAAAAAAGGAAGAAAGGTGAAAGAGAGAAAAACGTGGCTACGTCGTAAACGGCATTAAGAAAAGCAATTACCGATTTACTGGCCCATCATGGGATACGTCTCTGAAGGTGGCATCCTAGGATAAAACGCCGACGGACCATGTATGAGATCACCACCCTGCATAACACCCAACTCTTTGCACATATTGTCATAATAAATGTGATCCGCATGAGCTTGGCTTGCCATTAAGTTTCCATGGAAAGCCTCTGGGGTAGGTAAACCGTTCGCTGCCTTCCCAGGTTGAGGTGAAACCATCGTATCAGGTTGCTGATATGGTTGGTACGGATACCCGTTGTCCATTGCGTTCATTGATCCATTCGTTGGGTATTGTTCTAAAGGAGGAGAGTTGCTCACCCCAGTATGCGGGTGACCGTCGAAAGGTGAGTATTTGACGGGTGTTTGAAGGGCAGGGTCGATATTGTCCATCCTTTCCCGGCTTAAATTACGAGCTTTCAGTTCTTCCCTCTCCACAAGAGTGCGAAGGAAACGAGCGTGTGCGGCACAGGAAGACGAGGATGGCATCATTGTACCCGCCTCCTTGTAGGCATCCGACGCACTTAAGATGAGTCCAAGTACAGTCGGAGCAGTCCCTTCGTCGGTCTTCATATTAGTCTTTCGGAGGAGCTGGGAAGTCCATTTTTCAGTTCCTAATGTGATAATGGGATGCTCTCAACTGTGGAAGACTTACTCGGAGGAGCATGACAGCGCAGTAGGCAGTCATTACAGTGATTGATTCTTGGCTATATTGCTATAAACACGATTAACATCCCAGTTCATGGGAAATGTAACAAAGTCAACTCACAAGCATCTGAACGCGTGCAAATTCTTTGACTATGATCTCAAGGCAACGCGACGCATTGTTATAACATGCACTGAGTGCTTGCAAACTCGGCGAGAGTCCAGCCACCTGAAAGTATACGCATTAGTCGTAATGAACATCTCATATCTAGAATCACTCACATTGCTCATATATGCATGTAAGCCGAAGCTGTTGAGGAAGAGACCAACATAGAGCTGGAAGAACTCTAAGAACGAATGATGGAAGGATTCTCCGTGGGCTATAAAATAGCGGTTAGATGGTTTGAGGGTGGGTCGACGCTCAAGTTAACGTACCGCGCTTCATCTCCGTAGACCAAGTAGTTGCCCAGTTTGATAATTTTGTATTGCACGCATTCAGGAGAAAATCGTAGTTATCCGGTTGTCCGTTGTTTGCAGAACCCTTCTGAAGCTCAAACATCTTGGTGGTCTCAGTCTGCAAAGAAAAGGGGGATGTTTGATGAGTCACTATCGTATGGACTCGTGCGGGTGAACTCACAGCAATCAGCCGAAGAGCTACAAAAGCGGATAAGATGACATCTTCCGGTCGAATTGCGGTGCCTGGAGGTACCTGTTCATGCCAATTGAACGATTCGGTGACAAGATCATCCTAAGTCAGGCGAACACCGTGGTAAATCCAAAATTACCCCGGATAATAACGTATTGCGTAAGTGTGAAACTGACCTCGGGAAGCATCCAAAGACGGCCCGTCTGCATACTTAGACTCCTGTCATGAACGAAGAGGACCAAATATGTCCGCTCTCGATTTCGTCGTTCTAGTCTCTGAAAATTTGATTCCGATTCCGGAGGTCGTACCATATATTTATTTAACCCCAGCTCAACTGCCATCCGACAGGCCTAATAAAAGAGACCAGTTAGTCAGTCTAGACAAAAGTCATGAGCGTATGAAAATACGCACATATCCAATATAAGTCCAAGTTTTCTACAGAAGATTTAGAATGATTGCTCGTTTCGCAATGAATATCACTATGCTTACCGTACTATCAGGTTCTTTCCAATAAGTGAGACACATGAAGGCTTGTACTACCTCTACACTCTTATGTTGCTCAGCAAATGCTTTGACAGCATGCTGTTCAGCGAGTTCCTGGCATTTGGGGTATAATCGAGGGTTGAAGAATTTACTGCCAGCCATAATAAGTGCTGTAAATAAGAATGGACTCCGTTTCCGGATGTATGCAGCAGAGTGAAGCTCAGGGTCGAAGAGGTTAACGAATGGATTTAGTCGAATAAGGACGAGATCTATGATGTTTTCAGCCTCCTGGTCATCCATGAGACCCTTTTGCACCGGGTCTTGTAGTTGGGCAAATGCTGTATGAAAGAGGGACGTTGTAGACGGTTCTGATGTGAAGGTAGTACGGTCCGCATTGGTCGAAGATGCTGGTGAGTATGCGTTCTCGACGGGAGACCTCCCGGAAGCAGTTGGACCAAGTACTGTTCCGAAGAACGAATTACGTTGCTTTTCCTTCTTGATTAGTTTTGCGGGGTACATCCCCTCTTCGTTTGGTTCCCCATCGTCCTCATCCTCATCCAACGAGCTCGCACCAGATGCCGTGGGATGATAAGGTCGATCTGACTGACCGTTGAGTGATGGATGGCGTGAATCGAGACCGGGACGGTACTGAGACGCGTCTGCCTGACCAAGTTGGGCGAGTCTGACATCTGCATCAGTTAGATTGGAGAGTCGAGATTGATTGGCAGCAAGAGCCGACTCTGAGGCAAGAGACTTGAGTTTGGCATTGTTGAGGCCCTTTTCAAGGCGTCTGAGCATCTTGGATGCTTCAGATAACCTATACGATCGGTCAGGGTCGGGAGAGTATAAATAAGAATGTTAGGAGGGGAGACGAACTTTGAACCAGGCTTACGGCCACGTCGGTGTTTTTCGAAGACGCATCTGTATCGATAGGGAGCGCAAATAGTGAGCGATGTCGCGCAGATAGTAAAGACAGACGACATACTGGGTGTTTGATCGCCTGCACCGCAAGCAGGGCTGTTGGCCGTCATCTGAGCCAACGCACTTCATCTGTGTTCAGTAAGGTGATTCAAGAAATGACCGGGCCGGGATTAGCCTCCTATGTATATGCACAATTAAAACTAAAAAAACACGCGTACCTTGGCTGCACGGCAGACGGTGCACGCCCTCGCGCCTCTGATGACGGGAGGTTTTGCGCTGCATCGGGGTGATCACGGCTCAGTATATGCGAACAAAAGGAGGCGGGATGCGGGGAGAAGCGGCAAGGCGGGAGTACTTACGGCTTCGAAGCGGGATTGTCGACCTGGTGTTCCATGGCTGGTGGGTGACCGAGGCGCGTGCGGACAGCAGTACGGTAATCACACTAGACGGCGGTGCTCAACCCGGCAACACACGCTGACACGGAAGCAAATTGCAAGTACACAGGCACACAAGCACACAAGCAAGAGAACTACTCGCGGGGGAAGAGGAGGACAGAACTGCACGGCAAGTGCAGCTGGCTTTGAAGGTTGCACAGCAGGGGCGGACGGGAGGAAGAAAGTGCGAGGGGCAAGAGGCTCTCGTTGGAGGATGGTCTACTAGTAGATGCCGTGGAAGGGACGCTGGTTATGTGAGCACGGCGAATAGTGACGGTGCATCTGATTCTCATGACAAATGATCCGGCAATTGCGTCGAAGCTCTCGCACGAGCCCCTTTGAATCAATTTGATGGTTTCCCCATCCCATAATTAGCCGTTTCTTCCAGCGAGTTTATTCTCTAGACCTCGTGTGCACGTCACACAAATCAGAATGTGCCGACGTGGATGCTGCGTCCGTCCGTAGGGCAACACCCAGCGCTAGTTCAACGCCTCCTAACCCGCCTTTCTCTATCTCTGACGCACACATTCGTTCATGTCTCCGTCCTCGTCGCCCTCACTTGCCCGTTTAGACCTCGATATTCGCGATCAGCTAACTACTACAACGCTTTTCACAGATCCAACCTCTCTGGACTCTAATGGTGCCGAGAGCACGCCCGTCCCTGTCGCCGCCATCGCCGGCGGGACCGCTGCTGGTGTGTTTCTCGTCTTCATAGCCGTAGCTAGCTGTCTGTGTTGGAATAAGCGAATCCGGAACCTGCAGAAGCGGCATAAACAGCAAGTCGAGAAACGCGTAAGTATGATTTTCCTCCGTCTCAATCTTAGATCTATGTCCGCTTAGGACCCTGTCCATCTTTCCTTCCCATGCCCCAGAAAACCCTCCAAGCTGCGATCGCGTTCAGACGATCCGTCATCAATGGAGGGAAGCCCGACAGTAGTTCAGCGGACACAATATCGTCAGATGCCCGGCGATCACGGCCTCCATCTCTGTCGTCCAAGTCCCCGAGCGAACGTAAGGTTCAGTTCGCCGGCGAGCCGGCCATCACTCCGACACTCCCGCATGCACAGCTAAATGCTCCCGGCGCTATCTCTGCTCCTCGCCCACTCAAACGAAGCCTCAAGTCATCAGAGAAGCCTGCGCTTCCACCTACTACTGGCACTCCAAGGCCAAGAAGACTCAGGGGAATCCTTGCAGAGGGAAAGACCTACAGGCCCCTGAAACCCAGTCCACTCGCACACCCGCCTTCTCCTTCTCCTTTGCGCGCTACAGACCCTGGAACACCCAACTCACCCGGCCCGCGCACGGTGCTTGTCGCGCCAGGGCAGAGTGTGTCATTGGAAACTGCTGTTCGGGGAAAGCTAACGGCCTTGGACGAAAAGGCAGATAACAGAGGTGCTGCTGGTGCGGCTGACACGAGCACAAGTCGCTTCCCGCGGATCAAAGCTAGTCTCTCTTCTCTCACAGGAGAGATGCGACGTCAGTCCAAGGCATCGCAGAACTCGGGCTCCGACCAGTCCCGACTCTCCAGCGCGGGAGGTTCTGCCCGCCGCTGGAGTTGGTTTTCGCTCGTCAATGGACCGGGCTTTTCGCTGCGCCAGATCGGCGTCGGTACAGGGAAGAACAGACTGTCCACTGACACCTCGATCATGGAAGAATGGCAGGAAGAAGATCCTTCCTTACCCGTCGGATATGCGTTCAGTGGGCTTGATGAGGAGTCCCGAGGAGCGGAAAACGGGGCTGGCAATCGCAATGGACACATCTTTCTCGATACGGACCCCTACGGGCCAGATGTGGAGAAGAGTCTGCCTGCTAAACCACAAAGAACTTGAAGCCTGCACTTCAAGACGGACATTTTGACTGTAGCACTTTTATGTATAATTATAGCTGTATGTGATTCTAAAGTAGACCTTTGTAGCTACACAATCATCGAAAAGAAGCAATGTAATCCTATTTAAAATACCCGCAAATATATAAGTAATTGGAAGAAAAGCGATGAATCAAGGTGTAACCTTACCTGCTCTAATTGTGCGACGGATGCTTTGAAGGCAGATACTTCTCGCCAACAGTCAAGAGGCTTTCCAGGATTATTCCTTCCAAATGACAACAGGCTTCAGATTCGGGTAACTCAAGCAAAAGCAAATTAGTAACTCACGCATAGCAAGTGGACAGCGCACGAGCAGCCTGCTCAGCAGGATGCTGCTCAACCTCCTCCTTCTTTGACCGGAACTTGTCAACCCGTTGTTTCACTTCCTCCAAATCCCCCAATAGCACAGTGCTATTCAGTCGTTTTCGTGAGCCATCCTCTCCCTCTCCCTCCTCTTCTTCATTCTCCGACGTCGTGTCTTCAGTGGGAGATCCAGTCCCAATTTCACGATCGAGGTTCTCCTTCTCCAACGACGCCTCAATCTCCCTCCGTACCTCTTCCTCCTCACGTCGCAATCTTTGTATCTCAGCGCTGATTCGCGACCGTATTTGTGCGTCGATGGAGGACTGACGTTCGGGTGAGGGGTCGGGCGTGGCGGATGCGTCTGCGAGTTGGTTCACGACACCCGGAGAGAACTATCGCGCAACATTAACCTAGAAAGAACTGGTAATACAAGAACTGCAAACCTGAACAGGAATCTTGATTGAGTCATCCGGGTCTCCATGGTCTGACTTTGACTGTCCTGCACCCATGGTGCGTTGAACAAATGGCACGGGCAAATCTTTGCCTTGACTGACGTAGAGAAATATCTGCTTATGGTATGTACATTATGTAATAGTACATTTTGAATTTCACGATTTCTGCGACTGAGTAAATCATTGGTGGCCCGCGACGCAGTAAACTAGCTCAGTTAACCCATGTTGGTCCCACTAGTAGAGTGCTTATCATAATACTTATGACCGTATTCCAACAACCTGAGTTATTCCGTCAGCTGGTTCCACTCACTGCATTTAGTAAAAGACTTACCAGTCTGCTTCAATTTCCGTCAGGATGCGTATTCTTGTCCCGCGAAGTCAGTAATAATAAAATTAGACAGTCGCACATAGCTCTTACTGAGTCTTCTTGGTTTCTTCCATCTCATGGAAGACTACCCATCCTGTGCGAAGTTTTCTCGTGAAAAGGACGGAATTCGGATGTACATGCAGTACCTGTCCACAAGGTCGTACGTTAGAAATACGCGCAATATGAGCGCAGCTCCAAGACTCACCATATCTCCGCGTACGGATCGATAAGTACCGTCTGCGATCCAGCGAGCTGCATTTCTCCAATAGCCACTCACGAGACACTTCCGAAGACGCTTTGCATCTCCTTCGCAGCTCTCGAGGGGAATCTTGAATCGTTGCATGAACTTCTTCAGCTGTGATCGAATGGAAACAGCGCGTGATAGTGCTCGGAAGGATAGTGAATGCGATCGACACCATCCTGAGGACTTGCCGTACCTCGTGAAGGCGTTGTACACTGCGTGAGAACGTAAGTTTTGGTTGCTTCTGGATAATAGAACGAAATTCTTGCCATTCAATAGTGTTAAGTGGTCCTGGTGAGGGGGATTAGTAATTGCTCAAGACTCGGAAACGAGTTTCCCTACCCCTTCCATCGCGGTAAACTTTCTCCTTTCAAGCTCAGCCAATGCACCAGCAGCACCGTCGGGAATTATGAAAACGCCCTGCACCGAAGTCATTGCAGCAATCGTTAACATCTCCTCTCCACAACGATGCTCTTGAGAGCTGAATAGCTGACAAATGTAAAATTAGCAAGAATCAAGAAGCATATGAAGCAGAAGGCCATTTACCATTCGTGCCACGTTAACCTCTATAGGGAACTCAGCAATCTTTTCTCCAACTGCAGTCAATGCTCCGTTATTATCTATCATCCCCGTCGTTACCAGACCTTCGAGTGCTCGAAGTACGCTCTCCGCCGGCGGGGCTGTCACCCAGTCAAACTTCATAAGATCGTTGATCCCCAGTGACTTCAGCTGCAGAATAGGACCAGTCATGTCGCTCCGGGTGATTTCAGGGGGTGTTGTGGCAGGTAAAAGCTTCATGGCATTCTCTGTATACAATCTATAGCATATGCCACTGGATGTTCTCCCTGCCCTTCCAGCTCGTTGGGTTGCGGATGCTAAGGAGATCGGAACGGTTACCAGCGATGCGAGATTTGTGGTGGGGTTATATGTTCGAATCTAAGAAATACCGACCGATAAGCTTTAAACACAGGATTATTAGCCTATTTGTACATGCCTTGACGAAGCCACCGTCTATTACAAATTTGATGCCGTCTATGGTAATACTCGCCTAAGGGAATAATCATTGCATTTAACTGGGACCAATCCAGAGACACCTTACCTCTGCAATATTTGTCGCTACAATCACTTTCCTCGTTCCACGTTCCGCAGGAGAGAAAATTGCCATTTGTTCGTCCGTCGAAAGTCCTGCATGGAGTGGTAGAGGAATTATGCTTGGAACACCCGAAGGACGACTATTGAAGGTGTCATTTGAGCGATGTCAAATATCCACATTAGTTGGGACTCACCTTGCTGCAAGTTCGCTGAGTTCTTCCAAGCATCGTTCGATATCCTCTCTGCCAGCTAGAAATATCAAGATGTCCCCAGTGCTTTGCTTCTGTAATTTGATGTTCATAATTAGGACACGGATTCAGGGACAAGGTAGAATGATGTACTTGGAGGTTTATACGCCATGCGACCTCAGCGGCTTTTTGTACATAGTCAGGTACGGGTTCCTGTAAGTAGGCAAGCTCGACTGGATACATCCTCCCTTCCAAGCTGATAATAGTTGCATCCTTGTCGGCCGTTTGGAAGTATTCAAGAAAACGAGCTGCATCCAGTGTCGCGGAAGAAACGATGAGACGTAAGGAAGGTCGTTTTCGGCGAATCCTAGACTTGCAAATTTGGTCAATCAATTTGAAGAAACCAAATAAACCACAACTGGTCACTTTTTGAGGATACCGATAATCAAGTCGGTGTAAACGCTGCGTTCATGAGCTTCATCGATCTGCACATATGTTATCATATTCCTTTACTAGTGGCGAATTCGCATACCATGATGACACTATAGCGGCTCAGAAGAGGATCGAGTTGTGTCTCCCGAAATAGGATCCCGTCTGTCATATAACGGATGCGCGTTCGTTCGCTGTCGCTCACGTCTTCAAATCGTATAGTGTAGCCGACCTACGTTCAGGTGTCAGCACCGCTCAGGCTTCCCAAGCACAAGCTCTTACTTCATCACCAAGAATCGAGCCCATCTCCGTCGCAACCCTCTGGGCTACATTTGTAGCAGCTACGCGTCTTGGCTGTGTACATGCTATCACACTTCCACCACTTGCCCATCCAGCCTCCTTTAAGTACTGGGGTATTTCTGTCGGACTCCATCAATTAGAATGGTTAAGCTGTAAATCAGAATTTAGGTGTGCTTTACGCGTCGTTTTCCCCGCACCAGTCTGCGCATGTACAATTACTACGCCATAGTTTTCAACACAGTAGAGTAGCTCTTCCCCTTTTGGTGCGATATTGTCAGTAAATGGTACAATAAAAAGTTTGAAATAATATTTGAATGCTGACTGTGTCTGAAGATTGGCAGTCTCTCTCGCTGAGCTTGTATCCCAATCGCCGAGGATGACGGCGCCGATGGAACGATAACATCCTCTAGTTCTGTAGCTCTGTCGACTGTGCTGCCTGGCGCTTGTGTTCCAGGCTTCCAGAACTGCATGACGAGTGTCCTGAATTGATTATTGAATCTGGAGCTGACGCGTGACGAAACGTGCCAATTTCTATCTCCCGTCACACGCGCTACGGTAATTTCTTGACTTGAAATCCTTCACCAGATTATATACTATACACGAGGCGTCCTTCAGCCATTTGCTACCCTCTGTCGTGTCTTTTCCGGAATCGTCTCATAGACCGATTCCGCCAGCTGCTTGCCCCGACGATGTCGGAGCCAGTCGCCCCTAATTCGACTAACGGTCCCGCCAAGAAGCCAGCTTTTGACCATGAGAAAGTTACCGTCGTCTTTGTTCTCGGTGGACCAGGTGCTGGGAAAGGAACGCAGTCCGAAAGGCTGGTCCAGCAGTTCGGCTTTTCTCACCTTTCAGGCATGCCTTATTCTTACACTTTAAATAAAATAATAACGAATGTTCACAACTCAACAATCTGCAGCTGGAGATCTGCTCCGAGCCGAGCAGCATCGTTCTGGATCCGAATTTGGTGAACTCATTCGAACACACATCCGAGAAGGAACTATAGTACCAATGGAAATAACTGTTAAGCTACTCGAGAATGCAATGAAGGCTGAGATCAAGAAGCGTGAGGAAGAAGGGGTTTGGTCGGGCGGAAAGGGACGGTTCCTTATTGACGGATTCCCTCGTAAAATGGATCAAGCATTGAAATTCGAGGAAGATGTATGTTTAACACCCCACGACTCTGTAGTATACACCCCATACTCATACTTGTCCACCAGGTGTGTCTTGCTTCACTCGTGCTGTTTTTCGAAACAACTGAGGAAGTAATGCTGCGTCGCCTTCTCGAACGTGGCAAGACGTCGGGTAGAGAAGACGATAACGTGGAAAGCATTACAAAACGCTTTAGTAAATTATATCTGTAGTTCTTCTTATCGCGAATCTAACGACTTTCATGCTGCGGCAGATACTTACAAGCAGCAAACGATGCCTGTCGTCGAATATTACGCGGCACAGGGCAAAGTCGCTCAGGTAAGATTACTTTATGGGCTTGGAGTTTGTACTAACATGCATTATAAAGGTGGACAGTACGAGATCAATAGAGGAAGTCTATAGAGATGCGGCCCAGTGGATAGAAAGCATCCTTAAGAAGGACGCATCCTGACATTTACCAGATTATACAGTTGTACAGCTTTTCTAGACGAATATACCGAAACGTAGGACTTTGGAATCTATCACTTGACATTCTGCTTCCCCTCCAGTCTCGATATCAAAGATAGCTCCATCCACGCACAGATGAGCGATCTCTGTTCCAGTCTAGATGTTCAACATAAGTGGTTGATGCTAGGAAGCTTAACAAGACGACTTACATTGATCCAGCGCCAACTTCCTGTGAATCTGATATATTCTACAAGGCTATGCAAACTTTTGCTTGCAGCTCCATCCAATAGTTGGCCATCCCTGGAATATTTCAGGCCAACATGCGCACCATCTCTGTACGCTGCATAAAGCGCCTGTTCCACCTTCTTCGCGAAACGAGTGTGGTCATCCTCTGAACTGGACTCTTTGGGTATCGTGGGATCCCTCTTTGGCCGAATAACTATGAGATCCATCGTTCTACCACCGGAAGGTATCTTGGAATGCAATGGCGAGATGACGAAGGAAGGTTCAAGGCGGTCCACATTTACTGTTGATAGAAAATATGCAAAAGGCCCAGACATCGTTGGTTCCGTTGCATTGTTGTCGTCGCCGACGAAAGGCACGAATTGATTTGAGTGACTATCGTACACCAGAACCTGACCGTTATCTGCAGGCCGGAATTTGACGGTGCCTTGGTACCAACGGGTGATGTTCTTCTGTGCCGCTAACTTGAATCGGCTGAGATCAGGAACCTGTTCTCGGAGACTTTCCGAGTCATGCAAGATCGACGCATGCAGTGCGGTAGACGTCACAACGGCTGCGAAGGATGAAGCTGTGATTTCATTCGCTGAAGAACGCACGGTCGCTTTTGTTATCGTGAGCGGTGAGATGTTTCGCCGACCATTAAGAAGAGACTTGACTGAATGCAGCTTATAGTCTATCGGAGTTATGCTTCCGCCTTGCAAACCTGCAAGAGCATGCGAGAAGAGTGAAGAGTAAAGGGCGTTGGCCGTCCCGGTTGGTACTAGTGCGACCGAAATCTGTAACTCGTGAACGAAACTAGCGTTGTGAACGGAGTTTATTATCTCATGTAATGTTCCGTCACCGCTGGCAAGAATAATGGAAATAGAGGAGTGTTCCTTATGTCCGTTAATGAAGTTAACGACTTCCAATCCTCCGTGACCCGGCGCAGTAGTGACGATTTGTCTATCGATATGAATACCTTTTCCCGAGAGAAGCGGAATGACGTGCTCATCAACAAAGTCAGGTCCCTGTTCATCACCGCATTTTGGATTGATAATTAGAATAAGGGAGTCAGACATGTCACTTTCAGAAGCGTGGACGGAAAGCTTGCGGCCGTTCGTTATCAAGGGCAGATATAATATTGATGTCGGTTCTGCGAGCCTAAATAGTAATTCTGTTTTTCGAACAAGTGATGAGGATGACTGATCCAGTCACGGGACCAGTTATTACCTTTCTTTTCTGAGTTTCTCGTCCAGTTCCATGATCTCATCCGCATATAGAGTCGCTTGGACACATCTTACTGGACCGATTTTCACTCTCAGAAAAGCCATGAGCAACAGTACTCCCTCTCCTCCCTCTTTCCTAGGCTTCCATCTGGCTCTCGTACAACTTGGTCAGATTGGAGCGGACAAAACCAAAAATCTGCAACATGCACGAGACATGGTCCTCAAGGCAGCAACTGGAGACAATGGAAAGCATCCCAAACCAGATTTGATAGTCCTTCCGGTTGGCTTTGCGACGGCTACTTGATGTTTGTGACAAGAGTTGCTTACACCTAGATACTTGTTTTAGGAATGTTTCAACTCGCCTTACGGCCATGTTCATTTCCCGAAATATGCAGAGACCATAGGGTTATCTTCTGGTCAACCTTATGATGCCGCGAACAGCAAAAGTGAAAGTGTACAAATGCTTTCGCAAGTAGCTAAAGATGCGGATGCATGGCTCATTGGAGGTGCAGCAGAAAAAGCTTAAAGCTATAGACTAATTAATGCCCAAGCTTGATAGGGACAATTCCCGAGCGCGACGCTTCTGATGCTGAGAAAGTCTACAATACCGCGACCGTGTACTCACCAAAGGGTAATCTGTCTGGCCTCTTTGGCCGTTCGCATTACTTACTGTACCACTCAGGTGACTTGGTCGCTATTCACAGAAAAGTTCACCTGTTCGATATTAACATCCCAGGAAAGATCACGTTCATGGTTGGTTACTGACGCAAGACCTGTTCGGTATACGGACAAGACTAAGTATTGTACAGGAAAGCCGAACTCTGACAGGGGGAGACTCGCTCAACTTTTTTGACACTGGTAAGCATAAGGAAACACGACATTTTTGTATGTCCTCATGATTCATGCAAGAATTTGCACGAATTGGTCTCGGAATATGCTATGACATTAGATTCCCCGAGATGGCTATGATTGCGGCAAGGAAAGGTGGGGCACCTAGTATAATTTGCTATTGTATACTTACAACTTCTGTCAAGGCGCGCATGCAATGATTTATCCGGGCGCTTTCAATTTAACGACGGGACCCATGCACTGGGAGCTACTTCAACGAGCAAGGTCATGACGTTTGGCTCGACTGAGTTTATTATGGCTGATGTCTTTAATAGGGCGGTGGATAACCAGATTTACGTAGCTATGTGCAGTCCAGCACGCGACATGTCAGCAGGATATCATGCGGTGAGGAAGACATTATTTATACTGAGATTCAGCTCATCTGTTCCTGCAGTGGGGTCACTCCATGATAGTTGATCCAATGTTAGTCGCTGTTCGTGCTTCTTCGAAAAGGTACTAATATGCATACGCTTCTTAGGGGTAAGGTCATAAGCCAGACGGAGGAGACCGAAGACATCGTGTACGCTTTCATAGGTAAATTACGATTGACTTCGTGCATTTACTGCAACTCTGATGTTTCGTTTCGTCATAGACCCAGAGGTCTTCCAAGAAGCTCGTGCGGGAATTCCCGTCACGACGCAGCGCCGCTTCGATGTGTACCCCGACGTCTCGGTGAACCGGTAACTCACATCCTCTGTGACGGCCTTTGCTTTCTTTTTCGTTACCTCCCGAAATTCTTGGGCAACTTTGCGCATACGCCTTCGGAGTCGGTTAAGAAGTGGCGGAAGTTGAAAGTACGAATTTCGATGACGTTTGTAATTTGAGCAAGCTATGATTTCCATTCTGTACTTTGAGAAAATAAGGATAGACAAAGCAATGCGGGTTTCTTTTCTCTTTTATTTCAGACAAAGTACTCGTCCAAAGGAAGGACGTCATTGAAGAGTGGCAGAGGGCGTCGATCACAACTACCAAAACGGGGCTATCCAAATGTGGACAGAACGTTCTGGCACCTTCTGCGTTGCACTGCAGCATCCCAAAAGGCGGGCGTCCAGCTCCCCACTCATTTGCATTTCCCCCTCCTTCTGTCCTCCTGCTCTCTTTCACTAAGTGGCCGAAGGTCTCCCAGCAATCATGGTTAGAGAATCGTATGATTGGTGCACTCCCTTACTTCGGTCGTTTTGCTTATCTCTTGTTAATTACATAGAAAATTTTACGATGTATTGGGTGTTTCGCCCGACGCTTCAGAAACTGACCTGAAGAAGGCGTACCGTAAACAGTGGGTAAACTATTCTGGGCTGGACTCGTCGTGGTATTGATCATGTGTCCAGAGCACTCAAGCACCATCCGGACAAGGGCGGCGACCCCGAGCTTTTCAAAGAGATCACGCATGCGTAAGAATGTCTTCTTTACGAATCGAGTCAATGCAAGTTAATAGTTTAACTAAACATTAGCTACGAAGTCCTTTCTGATCCTCAGAAACGTGATATTTATGACACTCGAGGTGAAGCAGGATTAAGTGAGCAGGGTGGACTCGATGGTATGGCACCAGAGGTATGAGACGTATAGCTAGTATTGTGTAATTGGCCGTATTCCTTATTTCCCTTTCCTCACACAGGATCTGTTCGGCCAACTGTTCGGTGGTGGAGGCCCGAGCTTCTTCAGTGGCGGGCAACGACAGTCTGGTCCTCGTAAAGGGAAAGATCTCGTTCACCGTGTCCACGTCACCCTTGAAGACCTATACAAGGGCAAGACCACCAAACTCGCACTCACCCGAAACGTCATTTGTTCCAAGTGTAATGGCCGTGGCGGCAAGGAGGGTGCTGTGCGGACGTGTAGCTCGTGTAACGGGCGTGGCGTTCGCCTGACCGTACGTCAGATGGGGCCGATGATCCAACAAATCCAACAGCCCTGCAATGATTGCAATGCAACTGGTGAAATCATTAATCACAAGGACAAGTGTAAAGTATGTAATGGCAAGAAGACCATACAGGAAAAGAAGATGTTAGAAGTGCATATAGACAAGGGTATGAAGGGAGGCCAGCACATCACTTTCGCTGGGGAGAGCGATCAGGCGCCTAATAGTATTCCTGGAGACGTCGTCATCGTCATTGAGGAGAAACCTCATGACCGATTTAAGCGTCAAGAAAATAACTTATGGACCGAGGTGGAGATCGACCTCCTTACTGCATTGGCAGGTGGCCAATTCGCCATTAAACACCTTGACGATCGAGTATTAGTTGTAACGATCGTGCCGGGCGAGATCATCAAAGAAGGCGAGTTCGATTGCTTTGTGGCGGTGTATTCCCGTTGCTCATAGGTGTCTGTTTAACTGCTATAGGTCAACTAAAGGTTATTACCGGAGAGGGAATGCCTTCACAACGACACCACGAGCCTGGTGACCTGTTCGTCAAGCTTCACGTTGTCTTCCCAAATACCCTCGATCCTCAAGCGTTCCCACTCCTCGAACGTGCTTTGCCACCCCGAAAGCCATTACCCAAGTTCGAAAAGCACCTGCACATCGAGGAGGCGGTTCTGAGCGACTTAGATGCACGTCAGCAACAGGAGCAGAGCCGAGGCGATCCCGATGCAATGGATGAGGACGAGGGTGAACCGCGTGTGCAATGCGCACAGCAGTAAACGAGTGGCTTCATAGATCTCTACTCTTTGCTCTGCATTTTTTTTCTCTTTCATTCGTAGTGTAGTCATTCTGTTCGTCGTAGCAACATGTTGTGTTATATATTTGCACATTCGCTTTATCCTAATAATGGACATGCGCGTAAAACTACAATAGTCAATCCTGCAATTCGACTTCCCGACCCGTCAGCCCTTCGCGAACCATGGGATGGAACGCCAAGTCTATCTCGCGGACTAAGTTTGCGGCGTCTGCCAAGCAAAGTCAATTTGCTAGTTAGGCATTTGTACAACTGAACGAACCTCCGCATTTGCCTTGAGTGCATCGTATTCTTGCCGCGCCATGAAATTTGCTTCCGCTGTGTTTTCTGTGCATGTGCTTTAATTTCGATGCACGTAAGAGGATAGCGATCGTTGAACGTAATTGCTCACCGAAGCCATCCCAACGGGTCTATGGGGACAGGTCAGACAATTAGATGATGATTTTAAGAATATGCGCAAACCTGAGGATTTAGTTTGAACGCTTCGTATGCAGCTCGGTTGAAAAAACTGGCCTCTGTTTCGTTTTCTGTTGCATTATCTAGCCTTCCTTGTCTAGCAAGCGTATTAGCTTGGCAGATACGCACCAAATCCAACTTCGGAAAGGGCCTTGGATCCATCTTCGAGAATCCATTCATCGTGGTCGAGATTTATGATCAAGTTGGTCGTCTGTTGATCATTTGTTCTGTAAGTGAGCAAGGAAACTACCCTCAATTGCTATACGATAAGAGGAATACCTTGGCACCGTGTGCCTTGGTGTAGAGTTTGATAGTGTCTTTGTGAAATGGCAGCAGTCAGTCCGAGATGGAGCATATAGAACGCGTAGAAGCAACACAGACCCAGCCCTTTCTTTTCATCGTCTGCGTTCTTTGGGTCCGCTAGAGTGCGATATGCCTTCCATCCTGGTAGAGTCTTGATAGCTGAGACCAAGTTGAGGAGGAGGAGCAGATGAGGGCGAGCGCCCAAAATTTTAATTTGAGCCAGTGCCGACCTTCACACGCCCTTGCTTTGAGGCCATCGACTGTGGTTGTCTCGAGGTTGACATCATGTAGAACAAGACTCTTTTCTGTGCGATACTCAAAAGATTTGATTATTCTGAGCGTGAGGGTAGCGGACGTCTTTGGCTTGGCGAGGTTTGTCAGAAGGTGTGAAATGTCGCCAGTGCTGGATTCCATTGCAATTTGGAAGCAGTGAAGATACGCGTATGGTGTCGAGAGAGAATTTGAGAAATCAAGAATTGTAAGCGTGAGATCCGCTTGATACACCCTTCACGAGATGGCCTCCAGAAATGGAAGTGCGTATCCGAACTATTTCCGCTACCTTTGGGGATTGCCCTACACACATGCGCACTACCAATGTCCGGCCGTAGTGGGTCTATACCGGCTCAATTAGCTTAAATACCCTGCGTTTCTCGTATGTCCGAGTTCGTGCTTTTCTGTTCTCCCTTACAATGCCTCGTTCATTCCTGCAAGCAGATGTCTCCCAGCTCGTTAAGAGACTCACTCTCGACGAAAAGATTAGCCTCCTCAGCGCACCAGACTGGTGGAACACGTCCGCAGTCAAACGACTCGGCATCCCAGCCGTGCGCATGAGTGATGGTCCCAACGTATGTCAGCACTGCAGCTGTCTTGCTTGTCTATCCTTACATTGTTCAGGGTGTTCGAGGCTCCTCACACTTTATCTCTACTCCTGCACAATGCTTGCCGGTAAGCTGCACTGAGCAAGGGGTACATGCCACAAAGTGACCTCGTGTTCAAAAGTGCGGGACGGCTTTCGGGGCGACATTTGATCCTGAACTTGTTTTTAAAGTCGGCGAATTCCTGTCGGCAGAGGCTAAAATAAAGTCCTCGGTGATTCTGCTCGCACCAACTTGTAACATACAGCGTAACCCGCTCGGTGGGCGAGCCTTTGAGTCATTCTCCGAAGATCCGACGCTATCTGGTAAGCAGTCCATGAGCTGGAACTATCATTTGGAAACTTACTCAACCATCATCTCCAGGTTTACTGGCGGCTGCGTACGTCAACGGCTTGCAATCCCAGGGCGTTTCAGCGGCTATAAAGCACTTTGTTGCAAATGACCAAGAAGTTGAACGGACAGCTGTGGACTCCGTCGTCTCCGAAAGAGCTCTCAGGGAAATTTATCTTTATCCGTATGCGTGGAATTGGCTGTCTTGTGCCATTTTATATATAATCCTCACCTTAGGTTCATGCTCGCTCAGAAACAGGCAAAACCATGGGCCTTTATGACGTCGTTAGTTGCTGCGGCTTCTGCGCTGTGGGGACATGAACACTAATATAATTTCTTGCAGATACGGCCGTATAGATGGTGTTCACTGTTCGGAGAACAAGCGACTTCTTAAGGATATACTGCGTACAGAATGGGGGTTTGATGGCTTAGTCGTCAGCGACTGGTAGGTTGATTGTTCCTCTTCCAAAGGGAACGAAGAATTTAACTGTCTCATAGGTACGGGACATACAGTGTGGACCTCGCAATCAATGCCGGTCTTGATTTAGAAATGCCTGGCCCATCGCGGTGGCGTACTCTTACCCTTGTGACACATATGGTATCTTCGCAGAAAGTCTCAATGAAGGACATTGATGCCAGAGTCAAGACAGTCCTTTCGCTTGTTCAGAAAGTCGCTAAGAAGAACCCCGATATCGTATATGGCGACGGCAGTGAGAAGACGCGTGACTCTCCGGAAGCCCGAAAGTTCTGCAGGGATCTTGCTTCAGAATCCATTGTCCTGCTGAAGAACCATGAGGGGGTTCTTCCCGCTCGTGTGGGAACGGTCAAAACTATTGCTGTTATCGGGTCGCATGCGAAGGCCTCTGTCGTTTCTGGCGGTGGTTCAGCTGCGCTCAAACCAGCGTATGTCGTGACACCTTTGGACGGGATTTTGAACAATGCAGCGTCCGACTTCGAGATTAAGTACGCCGTAGGGTGCTACGGTACGCTCATTCATTCTGTTACATCGGCAAACCTATTGACTCTTAACGCAAGCCCATAAATACCTTCCGACTGTCGAATCTCTGCTAAAGACCCACGACGGAAAGCCAGGATGGCTATGTACATTTTACCAAACGGATGAGGAGGGGTCCCTTACGAACGCGGTCGCTGATTATGTCTTGAATGACACTCGCGTAAAGGTGAACGACTTCCTGCCAGAGGGAATGGGTGACGAGTGGGGGATGAAGCTTAAAGGTATTCTGACTGTTGAGGAAGATATGCTATTTGAATTTGGCCTTGCTGTAGCTGGTAGTTCTTTCGACATACCTTCTAGGTATTGCGAACTCGCTGACCGACAAAAATAGGTCGTGCAAAGATGTATGTTGACGGGAAGTTACTCATCGACAACTGGGACAAGCAGAAGCCAGGAGAGTTCTTCTATGGGTGAGCTTACTATTTCCGGTTCTATGAGCTTCTCTCATTACTCTATAAATAGACAAGGCTCGATCGAAGAGAAGGCATCAGTACCCCTATGTGCGGGCAAGCCAGTCGATATCGAGGTTGTCTATATTAACTCCTCACCGCCACTTGAAGAAGGCGAAGAAAGAGACTTATCACAGCCAGCTCTCATGCGTGGATTAGTGAGTGCTTTCCGCAAGATATTCATGCCGCGCAGTTGTTTACTCGTGATCTAACAGCGTCTAGGCGGAGCAGAGAAAATAGACGAAGACAGTGCTATCAAGGAGGCTATTGATCTTGCTGCAAGCTGCGACCTGGCTGTCGTAGTTTGCGGCCTTACACCAGAGTGGGAGGCCGAAGGCTTCGACCGTCCGACCTTGGATTTACCCAGGCGACAGAATGAACTTATTTCGTCGATTAGTAAAGCGAATTCCAAGACGGTAGTTGTTGTTCAGGCTGTGCGTGTTGAAATAGCTACTTGGCCCATTACTCTGAATCTGTATTTCCAGGGCTCCGCTGTTAATATGCAGCCATGGGTTAATAACGTCGCTGCGATATTGTACTCATGGTATTTGGGAAATGAGTCAGGGAATGCTATCGCAAATATCTGTTGAGTGTTTCGACAAATGCTCATCGGAAGTGCTCCGCGTAACCATCTTCTATTGTCAGTGTTTGGAAAGGTCAACCCCTGTGCTAAATTGCCCCTTACTTTACCCGTCCGCATAGAGGACGTGCCCTCTTACCTGTGTTCTGGTGAGCAGTTAACTTCTGCGACTGGAAAACCGTCACCGAGCAGAGCAAATTTCAGGCAGCGAGAACGGAAAGGTCTTCTACAGGGAAGACATATTTGTTGGGTATAAACACTATCAATCTAGGAAGATTAAACCGCTTTTCGCCTTTGGGTAAAGTGTTTCATATCACTTGAATGTTGCTGGACTGATCTTGTATCGTTCAGCCATGGGCTGTCGTATACTTCATTTACGCTATCAGAGCTCAAGATTAATGTATCTCCATCCGGGACCGACTTCGCGGCGGATATTTTAATCAAGGTGACGAACACTGGCAGCGTGTCTGGCTCCGAGGTTGTCCAGGTTTACGTTACCCTCCCGCCAAATGGAACGGCAACTCCAGAGCGTCAGCTGAGGGGTTTCACGAAAGTGCGCGACTTGTCGCCGGGTTCAAACCAGATCGCCAAAGTTCACTTGGACAAGTACGCTGTGTCATTTTGGGATACCCCGATAAATAAGTGGCGTGTTGTTGGGTCCAAGTAAGCTGTGCTACCATCGGTACCATGTTCTTTGCTGATTTTCGGGGATTTTAGGTATGTTGTCCATGTCGGGAATAGTAGTGACAATTTAACTCTAGAGGGATCGTTCAAGATTACAAGTGGATTTACATGGAGCGGTTTGTGAACGCGTGTGTATCAAATAGAGGCCCTGTATAAATAGAGATCCTGAATAAATCTTCAAAGAGCCTTCTGTCTTCTTATACAGTCATGAAGTATAGCAATTGTATAATGCAGTATTCCGCCATTGTGCAGAGTGAATACATGAATTTGTCTGTTAACTTGGAACAAGCAATAGTTTACACCCGTCTTCAAACTCTTCTGATAGAGGTTTGTCGAAAGTCGAGACCAATATGGGTGGCTCGTCACTTTCGTCAAGCTCTTTATACAGCGTCCATGTCTATGTTTATTATAAGCATTGAGGAGAGGGTATTGAGAAGATTCCGTATTACAGACCTTAACTGGTGATGCTTGAAGCCGTTGCTGAAGAAGGTCAAAGGCCCTTCCTGTTGATACGGACTGCAAGCATTGAGAATAGCAAACAAACATAGGGAACGACTAACCTTTCGGAACCAAAAGCATTTGTACGCTTCCGTGGTATTTATCTTCGCTTGTACATGATGCCGTTCAGTTGGTGGGACTTGACCTGACTTGGGGTCACCCGGAACGGCAGTTTGCCGCATTTTCATTAGTTGTACGGTCTTTGATGCCTGGGATTTTTGTCGCTTTTTGGTATATGGACCGGTAGGAGGTTGTGAGCTTTGTTCGCTCTTTCCGGCGTTGAGCATTGGGAAGTTCTTGGCTAGAAGGGCTCTTGCGGCTTCGTTCTTTACGGGCTCGGTTGGTACTGGTCCTTTGCATGCGTGACTTTCAGGGAAGCGATGGCTTGGTATAAAATCAGCGCTTACGCATCTAGAGATGATGAAAGGGAATATAGTTACATTGAGCAAAACGCCAAAGAACAGCGAGAGCATAGCGCTGGTGTTCGGCAACTTTCACCAACGTCTTCGGAGACGTAGGATTCTAAGCATGGTTTCGTACACCCTTCGAAAGAACATGGGGATACGGGTGATCGTTCAGCAGAAGCAGTTTCATTATTGTCTAGCGTTTCGTCCGATTGACATTCATGCGCATCTTGAAAGTAATGGTCGGAACAGTAGAGCTTGTTACATGTAGGACACTTTATAGGCAGGAAGTCGTGGTTGTGACATTCTGTATGGCTGCAGCCAGATCCTATCGTGGGCGGGTCCATCTTGACTATTTCAGTATAAGATAGCTAAGCTCTAGTAGTGGCGAGTAGATGAGAAGAGAGTTGAAATCCACGTGCACTGCGACGCGTCAAATGAACTCTACCGAATCTACGCGTCCTCACGCACGCACGAGACACATGCATGTCTATAATGAACGGGGTACTTCAATCCCGTCCGGAACCAAGTAAACTCACTACTCTACCTGATATACTCGCGTCTCTTGCTTCGCTAGAAGAAGAGGAGAACCAACTTTCTGAATCTCTCACTGCCATCCTATCTGATGACGAACCTGTACGGACTTCTCTTGACAACCTGCAATCTCTCGCTCCTCGTCTAGACGAGATTACTGTTGATGCGAGGTTGTTGGTGAATAATGTGACTGCTACTTCACGGACTGCGGAACGCGTTGGTGGCCGGGTGAGACTTCTGGATGAAGAGATGAAGCGTGTTAAGGAGGCTGGAGAACGAGTTGCTCAGGTTATGGAACTCAAGGTCTCATTGACTCTTTTGCTTTTTTTTAACTGATCGGCGAACTAATTGCGTGCTTTTTATTGTACTGCAGAATTCATTGGCAGATCTACAGTTTGCAATTGACTCTCAGGATTGGGAAGCAGCTACGAGGCACTGTGCTCGAGCAATGGCATTACCTTTAGAAGTGATCGCCGGACCTTTTGCAGAGTCTGCTGTGGTCAGTGCTTCAGGCTCTCATGATTTTTGTTTCTAAATGTCCACGTATTTGGCAGTAGCCGACAGCGGACTTGCCGCTTCCACCAGCTCAGACGCTCCAAGCATTTAGGGAACAGCTACGTGATATTTTCTTGCACCAGTTTGTGCAAGCCTCAAATGCTCGAGATTCTGCCACTACGACACGATTTTTCAAGCTGTTGCCTCCGATAGGCTGGGAGAAGGAAGGTTTAGAAGCTTATGCTGCTTTCGTCTTGACACTCGTCCAGTCAAAGTCCCCAGCATCGGCTAAATGTAAGATGATATATTTATATCTGCTAGATCAGTTCTGATGAGGAATTGTAGCGTCGTCACCTCTGTACTATGTGACCGCCCTTACAGCACTTTTCGAGAGTGTGTGCAGTATTCTCGACCAACATCAGCCTGTCGTAGAGAAATACTACGGCAAGGGGAAAATGCAGACTGTCGTCAAGCATCTCATTAAAGAATGTGACAGCGTTGTAAAACGACTCTTGGACAGCTGGGAAGAAGAAAGAAGTCTTGGAAGACTAGTGAGCCTTGCCACTCAGGTTAGGACAATGCATATGCTTACAGGAAATTAGACCACAGAGGTTACTGTTACCAGCTTCTCGTCTGTAATGAGTACGACCGGGCGAAAGCAAGCCCCAAACGTCAGTGCAATCGAGGAACAAAGCGTTGATCCCCGAGATGTTGATAAAGTGCTCAATGAAATAACCGCAATGGTGATGAGATATACAGCGTTTCGGCGATTTTTATATACCTATCTCACAGTTGGTACAGCCCCTAGCCATCATCCGAACAACAGCTGATCTGCAAACTATTAGGGCAGTTCATCGGATTCCTCAGAGGATGCTGAACCCTCCAACACCACAAATGACGAATCTCCTGAAGGGATGGACAGTTTTGAAGTTATCGAGACCTCTGGCTGTAAAGCAATGTTTGATAACGTCATATCGAATTACTATGTCCCATTGGAAGTTTGGTACCTTCGTTCGACAATACATCAGGTAACACTTCTCTAGATATTCTAATATTCCCTTCATTCTCACACGAGTACAGGCCCATAAGACGTCAATAGTTGACAGTTCTCAGGTGCCACCTGTAACAACTGTACCGGATTTGGTCTTCTACATCTTGAAGTCGATTCTTATTCGACTTCTGAGTACCGGATCTATCGGAGCTGTCAAGGGAACAACAGGACGAATTCGTGAAGCCATGGAAAATGATTATGCAGGTATAATCAAACGCAAGTTAGATGATGTTTACAAGAACCCTGCAATGAGCTCTGCGGCGAGCCGAGCGGAAAGACTGGAGAAGGATAATAGGCAGGGTTTCATCGTATGCGTTATATCATTCGTCATTCTCTTGATTTTTTTTAACAATGAGGTCTAATGAATAGGTCCTGTTGAACGATCTCGATGTATCTTCAACTCACATTGACCGACTGGTTAGAGAACTGTTGTCTTCGCAAGCTTTATCCCAGAACTTCCTCCAGAGTGAAAGGGATCTAGTCGATGCCGATCTGAACAGTCTTCTCAATTTAATCACTAGATTCCGCTCTACGATGAAGGTAAGAGCGTCGTACATGCTCTGTATATACAATGAGTAACTTGAGAAGAGCGGGATTGACCAATTGTTCAATCAATTGATTCGCCCGAGGTTACGGACATTCATTACGGATTTGTATAGAGATGTCTCATACGTACTTGACGAGGATGGCTTCTCCGCTTCGGAATATGCAGACACGGTTCGTAAACGATTTATTAAAGCATGGGAGGGTATTATGGATGGATTCAAGGTTGATTTACTATTGTATCATCCGTTTGCAATAGCTAATGACATTACGTGGACAGGAATCTTTCACTGAATCGAATTATCGCATTTTCATTGGGCAAGTCATTGACGTATTAATTCGCCCTTGGGAGAAATATGTCATGACTCTGAAGTACACGGAGGTGCGTGGTGGCATATGCTATAGGATCAAATGTCTGAGCAGTAACAGCTCGGTGCGATCCGCTTCGATCAAGACATCCGTGCTATCTCGACGTACCTGTCGTCACAAGTGGCTCTTGGAGACGTACGCGAGAAACTCCAACGACTGCAGCAGATATCTACGCTGCTGAATATCGATAAGGTGAGGGCTGGTTCTTTCCATCATTCAAACTTGTCTTATCAGTCACATTTAATCTTTGCAGGATGAAGACGTCGATGACTTCTTCAGCAGTAGTGGGATCGCTTGGAAGCTGTCGATGGCGGAGGCGAGAGCCATAGCAGCACTAAAAGTCTAAGGTATTGGACGCACATAGGATAGCGATTTCCGACTTGTGCATTTGGGATATAAATACAACGATCTGATATTAATACAGCCTGATCAATACATTGTCTATCATCCCCGTCTAAGAGCATCTAGTCGAGCTTGCAGAGCGTCTTCATCCGACAAGCCTCCGCCGCCACCACCTCCCGTACCCTTATCTTCGCTACCACCCTTCCCACTTGGAAATGCGGGACCATCAGACTCTCCTAAGGCAACTGCTTGTCTCGTGTTTGCCAGTGGAGAGGTGAGAGATCCAGCAGGGGCCTCAACAAGCTGAAGATAGAGGTTAGTCCGACACAACCAGTCCTTTCGAGTAGGATGCAACGAACCTGTTGTGATAAGTCGACGCCGATCTCATCCAGGACTTCCTTCAAAATCTTGTCGCCCTCCTCTTCTTCGTCTTCAACTTCATCGTTCATAACGTCGTCTACTGCATCCGACATCATCTCTTCTTTCATGTCCATCGTGGCACTTTCCTTCTCAAACTCGTTCATAATGCGTTGAATGGAGGGTAGATTCAATCCTTTGTTCATTGCTCCCATAGCCTACGGAATGATCGAGCAATTAGAATTAAAGTGAAGGTGTTCGAGAGATCTACTCACTCGAGTTGCTCCGCGCATGGCTTCCGCCATTTGCTGATTGCTGCGCAGGGTCTGTATGCGAAGACTGACTGCTTGAAGTTGTGTTCTCATCTGATAGAACTTTTGAACATATCGTCGAGTTCGAACGAGATCCTTGGCCATCACTTTGCAGGCATTCTACAAGAATCATTGAACATATTCAGCCGGACACTTGCAGGCTTAATTAATGGATAATAACCATTTGGCCGGACTTGGCACTTCGTTTGATGTCCATTATAAGTTTCTTTTCTTGCTGTTCGAGCTTTCCACGTTCACGGTCCAATTCGCGCTGCGCCTTTGCGAGGGATCGCTGATGCTGGCGAAGCCTCTCAGCTGGGGTGACAGTCCTCCCAAACAGAGTTTCCTTGCAGTATGTAATAAAATGAGAACGTCTATGCAATTCAAATCGACACAGTGCTTACGAGTATATCCATGGTGAAGTAGAATGGTAGGGAAGAGTAGTACAGTACTGCGGACAGAGAGCTTAGGTGAATTGAGACGCGTTATGGATACGCGTCGCGTGCAAAAAAACTGAATACGGCATCGCATCTTTGCTTTTCCTCTACCATCTTCCTGCACCAGTGGGCACTCCAGCTCTGCTTGGCTTCCCTCCCTCTCGCTTGCCGCCATGGCGGACAACATATACACCAAAGGCACCAGAGTCTGGTTCCCCGACAAAGATCAGGGCTGGATCTCTGCTGAAGTCACGCAAACGTCCAAGGGCGACAACGACTATGTCAAGCTCGTTTTCGTTGATGAACGACAAAAGGTCCGTCGTCTTCGTCTCGCGTCATTTGGGAGCATTCCGTGCTGACAGTGACTTTAGGAAATTACCATTGAAACGACTGGCAAAGACATCAAGGATGGCAAGGGCGACTTGCCACCTTTACGGAACCCTCCACTGCTAGAAACTGCAGACGACTTGGCTACTCTCTCACACTTAAATGAACCCTCGGGTCTGTCGTGCTCCATTTCTCGTATAGCTTAGGCATGCATACTGATAGGCATGCTCTAGTTTTACATACCATTCGCAACCGTTACGCACAACACAGTATATATACATACAGCGGCATTGTCCTTATTGCAGTCAACCCTTTCCAGCGCGTTACCCTATATGGACCCGAAATAATTCAAGCGTATAGTGGTAGACGAAAAGGCGAATTAGAGCCCCATCTGTTCGCCATCGCAGAAGATGCGTACACACGCATGAGCAAGGAGAATCAGGGCCAGACTATCATTGTTTCGGGAGAAAGGCGAGTATACAGTTTCTACTGTTGGCCTAGGCTTTTCATAACGTCTTGAACTTTCAGTGGTGCTGGAAAGACTGAATCCGTATGAAAATTTAGCCACAAACAGCCTAGACCAGCGTTATCTCATCATCTTGAATTCTACAGGCGAAATTGATAATGCGCTTCTTGGCTTCGGTCAACCCGCCTGCCTATGCTGGTAGATCTAGAACCAAGGCATCCCTAGATGAATCGAGTGAAGTCGAGCGACAGATCCTCGCTACGAATCCGATCCTTGAGGCCTTTGGTAATGCGAAAACCACTAGAAACGATAACTCATCCCGCTTTGGTAAATATATCCAGGTAAGTAATTTTCAAGAAGCTCTTCGATCGAGATACTTGCGTTAACCTGTACTATAGATCCTCTTTGACAATAAGCAAGAGATCGTAGGAGCACGAATTCGCACATATTTGCTTGAACGCTCCCGTTTGGTTTACCAACCGGAGACAGAACGCAACTACCATATATTTTATCAGTTGTGTGCGGGAACGCCGCTTAAAGAGCGGAAAGACCTTGCATTGGATACGGACATCACCAAATTCCATTATCTTCGTCAAGGTGGTCCAACCTCGACTCCTATACCAGGCGTGGATGATGCGGAGGATTTCCGCGCCACTCAACACGCCTTATCGACGGTCGGCATTAGCGTGGAGAAACAATGGGCTGTCTTCAAGCTCCTCGCTGCGCTACTTCATCTCGGAAATGTTAAAATAGCGCAGTTGCGCCAAGACGCGACATTGGAGGATAACGACCCAGCCCTGCTGCTTTGCACACGATTCTTAGGTATTAAGCCTGCGGAATTCAAGCGATGGACGATCAAGAAGCAGATTGCTACTCGCTCGGAAAAGATCGTCACGGCTCTTAATGCAGTGCAAGCGACTGTCGTACGTGATAGTGTTGCTAAGTTTGTGTACGCTTGCTTGTTCGAATGGCTGGTGGCAATAATAAACGAGAGCTTGGCCGGGGAGGGTGGAGAAGCTGCAAACAAGGCAGAGATGTTCATCGGTGTATTGGATATTTACGGCTTTGAACATTTCCAGAAGGTAGCCAACTCTGAGTGCCTCTACACATGACGATCTAACAGTATTCAACAGAACTCGTTTGAGCAATTCAGCATTAACTATGCGAACGAAAAGTTACAGCAGGAAGTATGTATTTAAGTTCACTCGTTGATGGATTTGGCTCATAGTCTTCCTTAGTTTAATGCCCATGTATTCAAACTCGAACAAGAAGAGTATGTTCGCGAGGAGATAAACTGGACATTCATCGACTTTTCGGACAATCAGCCCTGTATAGATGTGATAGAAGGTAAACTTGGCGTACTGGCCTTGTTGGACGAAGAATCACGGCTGCCGTCTGGAAATGACGCCTCTTTCCTGCAAAAGCTCAATCAACAACTATTGAAGCCGGAAACGAAGAACATCTTTAAGAAGCCTCGATTCGGGAACAACGCGTTCACCATTGCGCACTATGCTTTGGATGTTACGTATGAAGTAGAAGGATTCATTGAGAAGAATAGAGATACTGTCCCGGACGAACATCTCGCTCTACTCGCGTCAACATCGAACCCATTCTTGAAGGAAGTCTTAGAGACCGCACTTACTTCAAATAAACCGCCAGAAAGCCCGAACCCTGCGTCCCCTGCGCCGGATGGTAAACGCTCGTCGCTCATTCCAGACCCAGGTCGCGCAACTCTTGCCGTTAGCTCGGCATCTGCTGCCGGCTCAAAGCGTGCTGCTAAGAAACCGACGCTGGGTTCTATTTTCAAGGCTTCGTTGATCAGCTTAATGGATACTTTGAGTGTGACAAACGTCCATTATATTCGTTGTATAAAGCCGAACGAAGCTAAGCGTGCATGGGAGTTCCAACCGCAGCAAGTCCTGGGCCAGCTACGCGCTTGTGGTGTTCTGGAAACTATCCGGATAAGTTGCGCAGGTTACCCTTCTCGGTGGACTTACGAAGAATTTGCGGAGAGGTAGGGCAGCTGTGCCGTTAGCTTTAATTCAGAACTGACAAGCATTCTAGATATTATATGCTTGTTCCGTCAAGTGACTGGGGTCCTATGATCAATAACCTTGAGATAAAGCCCTTATGTTCGCTCATCCTGAAGAAAACGATCAACGACGAGGACAAATACCAGGCAGGTCTTACCAAGATTTTCTTCAGGGCAGGGATGCTCGCCGCGCTGGAATCGCTCCGATCAGAGAAATTGAACTCCCTTGTGACGCTGGTTCAGAAGAATGTCCGGAGGAGGCTTGCAGTCAAACGATACCAGACTATGCGCAAAGCGGCAATCAAAATTCAAACTTGGTGGCGTGGTATACTCGCAAGACGGCTGGTTGCCAGCATTCGGCGTGAGGTATCAGCTCGCAAGCTGCAAACTATTATTCGTCGGTACTTGCAGCGGAGCAAATTCTTGGCAATTCATCATACAATCGTCTCGCTCCAGAGTCGTAAGTATAGCTGCTTTGGGGTACAATTTCCGCTTCATTGACTCTCTTTAATAGATATCCGTGGCGCGGCTGCACGTAAAGCTTACAAGGATGCGAGGTACTCACATGCAGCAATTCGTTTGCAAAGTCTTTTCAGAGGAAGGTGAAGCCCAGAGTAATTTAGAAAGAGTTTAGGCTAAATAACAATTTACAGATTGGCCCGACGGCAGTTCAAGTCGGATGTCAAGCACATTATCTATCTCCAATCCTGCCTGCGTCGTAGATTGGCTCGTAAGGAGCTCAAAGCCCTCAGAGCTGAAGCTCGATCTATCAACAAGTTCAAGGAGATCTCATATAGGCTCGAGAACAAGGTTGTCGAACTCACCCAACGTCTCCAAGAAAGGACGGGTGAAAAGAAAGAACTTCAATCAAGATTGGTGGATCTTGAAGAACAGCTGCAAGTATGGATATCACGCCACGAAGAGTCCGATTCGAAGGCGAAACAACTTCAGAACGATTGGCACGTCTCCCAGGCAGAAGTAAAGAAACGAGACGAATTGCTTCTCACGAAGCAGGACGTGGAGACGCGTCTCGCTGAGGCTTTATCTCGACTTACTGAGAAGGAGGCAGCAATCCAGAAACTAACAGAAGACCTTCGATCACATGCAGCCAAATTGGAAGCTCAGCAGAAGTTGCTCGACAATGCACCTGCCCGCTCCGAAGACCAGTCTGTTCTTGCAACCCTCAAGAATGAAGTGAGCAGTTTGAGGGAGCAGCTAAACCGCGCCAACGCCTTAAATGCTTTGACACGGGGAGCCCGAGTCGAAGCTCCAAGCTCGCCTACCTTCGCTCCCCACTTGCGTACGCTTGAGGCGCTGCCTAATGGAAATGCATCCGCCACAAAGTCTCATCAGAGGAGGCATAGCTCTGCTGGCGTGTACTCCTTAGATCCATCCGAACATCGTACATCTGTTGATGAATTAATGATGGCTGCTCGGCGCGTAAATGGCAATCCCCGTGCCGTGTCCGTGGCTTTCAACGGAAATGATGGTGTACCCCGTTTCAAACCCAACGGACTTTCGGAAATCTTTGACGATCCAGCTGAGGAAAAGATTAAGCTCATGCTTGATGCCAAACATTTGGACGAGGACGTCTTGGAGGGACTCATCCGTGGATTGAAGATTCCTGCTCCGAGCTTGACGAATCCCTCTGCCGTCAAGGAAATACTTTTCCCTGCAAACCTTATTAGTCTCGTGACAAACGAGATGTGGAAATACGGCCTCATCCCAGAAAGCGAGCGCTTCCTCGCGACCGTAATGCAGGCAGTTCAAAGCCATGTCATGGTATGTGTCATTAATATTTATCTTGAGTTTCCGATTGCTCACAGTCAGGATAGTCCTTCCAAGGCGAAGACGCTATTATCCCTGGGATATTTTGGCTTTCAAACGTTCATGAAATGCTTTCTTTCATTTGCGTGGCAGAGGCCGATATGTTGCAAGGCATAGGTCCAGGAGGCGAGCCCGCTGGACGAGAGTTCGACTGGACTGACTACGAGCGTCTTGTGAGCATGGTCAAACAAGACCTTGATAGTTTGGAGTACAACATCTATCATACATGGATGCTAGAAACAAAGAAGCGTTTGTCCAAGATGGTCATTCCGGCACTCATCGAGAGTCAGTCTTTACCTGGTTTCACGACCAGCGATGGTGGCGGTGGACGGCTGTTCAACAGGCTACTGAACTCGAATTCCACGCCGGCATACAGCATGGACGATGTCTTGAACCTTCTTAACAAGGTTTGGAAGAGTTTGAGGAGTTATTACATGGAGGAGTCTGTTGTACAACAGGTCATAACCGAACTTTTGAAGCTTATTGGAGTAACGAGCTTCAACGATTTGCTTATGCGTCGTAATTTCTGCTCATGGAAACGAGGTGCGATTTAAGGCTCTCCTCCAATTTCCTTTGCTTACTGCGATTATACGGTATAGCTATGCAAATCCAGTACAATATTACCCGTATTGAGGAATGGTGCAAGTCGCACAACATGCCAGAGGGTACCTTGCAGTTAGAGCATCTTATGCAAGCGACCAAACTTCTGCAACTGAAGAAGGTCGGTCTTGATCAATTTCTATACAAGACAAAGCTGATGAGTATTTGAACAGGCGACTGCAGCAGACATCGAGATTATCTATGATGTCTGTTGGATGCTGAGCCCATCTCAGATCCAACGAATGTGCACGAACTACTTCGTTGCTGATTACGAGGTGAGCTATCCCAATACTTATTAGTTGCGAAGGTGATGATACTCAAAACGCACATAGAATCCTATCTCGCCCGAAATTCTCCGGGTTGTTGCATCCCGAGTCGTTCCTAATGACCGTAATGATCATCTGCTTCTCGCGCCAGAGACCGAGGAAGTGGGGCCCTATGAGGTCCCATTGCCACGAGAAGTGTCCGGATTGGAGACATATGTCCCTGCATACCTTAACGTTTCGCACCTTCGCCGACTTGCGGCTCTGGTAGCTTAGTCCTCGTACGCTTTTATATGTATACAGATATTTTCCGTTCACTCTTGATAGCATAATTGGTGCCGCTGACTGACGAATGGTCTGTGACCTGGATGGTTTTGTGGGCGCACTTGGCTGCGTTCTAGTTCGCCGTATTTATTTCGTTTTCATTGGTAGTAATTCTGCATGATTCCAAAGAAAGAACAATATTGTATCGGTGTGTGTTTGATAGGAAATAGTTTGGATGCTGCTTATCTTGTAAATATTTTTCCCGCCGTTCATGCATTTGAATGCGCACGGTGCACGCCTATGTTTGGTGATGACCCTCTGCCTCTAGCTTCCATCACGCATCTGTTTTAAATCCCTCAGCTTAGCTCTCCCTTGACTGCTATCAGCTAAGTCTCTTAAGGTTCAGTCGTACCAAATGCGGAACAAGAAGTTGCTCTTGCATTATTCGTTTCCATTGTGAAGGATTGCACGAAAACAAACTTTGGTTGTTCCTGTATCGGTTGCGGCGGCCGCGTACTGTTCTACTTAGTACTCTATTCAAGAGCTCCAGGAGCTCGCGGTTTGACGAACTTATAAACAGAATCAACAGATACGAGGACGTGTTGCATGCACTGAAAACTAATGATTGCCATTCAACACAACTGGCTGTAGACGCTCTTTCTGGATGGATGACGCCTTTCCCTGGGGAACTTTGTTCACTTCCACTGGGATGAGTCAAGGATCTTAGCCTTATGAATCGGATATTCTACTCTGACATAGAATGATCTCGAATGAAGCACTTCTGGCGGTTTAGGTGAGCTACACTTTAGTAATACTCGGAGACGCCAGCTGATTACCATGAACGAAAGGGGTACGTCATCAAATTGTGTCCTGCTGGATGAATATTGCTGTGGTCAACGCAGAAGTTCAATATTGACGATGCACTTTGCATAGGTATAAAGCTCAATGCGTTAGAATGTTTCAGACCAAGGTTTTCGCCTTGTTGGTCTGCGCTGGTTGCGATCCCCAATGCTTTTCATGTCATTTGATGGTATGTACCTATGTACCCTGGACCCTGCCCTTGTTCTCATCAACTATATACATGTTTACCGTCTTTTTAACACAGGAAGGCTTGCACAAGGTGCAAGCTCATCTGCCTACCTGCGTGCCGAGCTGAGAGTGATGTCGGTGACTTGATGGTGGTGGACCACTGGTGTGATTGTTACCGAACCCGTCGGTATTGCGGTGGTCCAATTTTAGCGACTAGATGGCGTAGGCCAGAATTGGCCGGCCAAAGCGCCTTGCATGAGAGCCAGCATTGGCTGCATGTAGTGTATTATATAAATAAATTATGGACTTGTGTAGTAGCGTAGAGCACAGCGTGTAAATTGAACACTGCGGAGCCAGTCCACGTCTGAAGCATTTGAGAAGCAGGGCCGCGCCGTGATTTCTCCTTGAACAACAACAGTGAGCTCTGGCAACTGGCAGCACGCATTTCCCCTGAGCTTGTGAGCGAGCATCCTGCAGACTGTCTGGCCGCCCGGCTGGAGGACAGAGCTAGAGGCTAGTAGTCGTCGTCCCCGTCGCTCTTGGGTCTAAGAATGACCTCCTTCCCGGCGTGCCTCTTGAATGTCGCGCCTGTCGTGCATCCACCCAATCTTGAGGGTGACCCGACTTTAGCAACCGAGATTCTCCCTGGGCCTCCTTCGTTAGACTCCATCCGTCAACTCGCTAAGAGAAACGAGCCCAGAAGGCATCCTGCTTCGTCTTATCTTCCTCTCTCTGACCCGGGTACGACTTACACAAGTCTTGCGGGTGGAATGGCTGCAATAGCCTTGGACGAGAACGGTCCTCGTCGAAAACGCGCCCGCGTGGATAAATCGTACGTCGCTTCACTTCTGACTAGCATTGCTTAGACTAATACTATCTCTTATTTGCTGTGTACCCCATGTTCGCCTGAACCTTGCTTTTTGGTTGTTCTCTTACCGAAACCATGTCGGTCCGTTTTTTCACGCCCATCAGTATTTCCAACCGTGCACAGAGGGCATCAGCAAGAAACCTTGCGGGGAATGCCACTCTGAATGACCAGGCGTTGGTGTCCGAGATGGAAGCGACGTCCTCCCATGCCGGGTTAGACGAGGCTGTCTCCAACGACGACGATCGATCTACATCCCACTCCAGATCAACTTCTCTTCCACTCAACGGAGACGCACCCACTCAGAGTGCATCTACAAACGGCACCAGAGCGATGAATGGGAAGGGAAAAGGCAAAGAAAAAGAAAATTCGGACAGGGCGGCTCAGGTCCGTGTGAAGGAGGAGCCTGTTGCCGTTCAGATAGGTGATGTCCCACCGGTCAGTACGCCCAGCCATTACAACCCAATAGATGCTGATAATTCATCAAGGCAAATGAGGACCATTGTTCTTCTTGCAGCTCAGTTGGTGCCCTCGTGTACTGCGACGGCTGTCCTCGCGCGTTCCATCTGTGGTGTCTTGACCCACCGATGGATCCATCCGATTTTCCCGACGGGGAGGAAAGCTGGTATTGTCCTGGCTGCAAAGCGGACCGGGTGAGTAATTTCGTGTGGTATTCTTCCCCTTGAGGCCCACGAGTGACCTGTCGTCTGTCAGGGGCCACCCGCGAAACCGTCGCACACTTTCTTTTCCCCGTTGATTCAGCAACTTCACTATTCCATTCCCACGGAGTTCCGTCTGCCTGAAGAAATTCGCACTTTTTTTCGCGACGGTGAGTTTACCGTCAAATGGACTTTATGGCATGGCTCATATAATTGGATAGTTGGTACTGGATCGAACGGTACTTACGTAGATAACTCTTCAATCAAAACCATTCGATTGGGGTTTGTAACATTTTTCTCGTACATAGCTTACTAAGTAACAACTTTTTAGACGTCACGGCCTCGGTGAAGAGCGCGATCCGTATCGACTAAAGGACAACAAGGGCGCTGCTGTCATTTGCTTTCGCTGCGGAAAATCAGCTCTTCCAGACGATTCTGGCCTGGGACACTCGTCTAACCGTTCACGACGATCATCCACGGACCTATCCCAGTCTGACCACTGGAAGAGCCTCGTTTCTTGTGACTTTTGTCCATTGCATTGGCACGTCGATTGCCTGGAACCACCGCTTGCTTCCCTTCCACCAATAAATAGGAAGTGGAAGTGCCCAAACCACGCGACTAGCAGCGCGGTAAGCACCAGCGAAATTTCTCATGCCCGCGATAAGATATTGAATTACTTATTTGCAGCCGAAAATGCGCACACCGAGGACATCTGGTCCACCTATCGACATCACCGAGACTCGGCAGCGGAACAACGGAAATATCGAGGTCATTAATTCAGATATCCCACAACGCGTAGAAGAGAAAATGGCAGTAGACGAAGTTCTTATCAATGGTCGGAAGTATCGCGTCCCAGAACGCATTATCATGCTTGATTTCTGGAGCAAGGTCAAGCAGCAGAAATCAAATAGAAGGAGGTTCGATTGGATTATTCCTTATTTTAAAGTTCATGATTTTAACTCATCGTCCGTTTAGCGGGCACGCTAGCTCTGCTTCCTCTCCTCTCACGTCGCTGAGTTCTTTAGACGAACAAAACGAGCAGCCACCGCCATTCAATCTCAGTGCGCGTGTTCCTGATAGTAATGATGATGATACACTTCAAGTTGCTCAGGTATGATCAGGCTCTCTGACTACTTGTTCTATGGTTCTGATGTACGTCCGATAGTTGCTTTGTGGTCTACAGTCTGCAGGCCCATCTCGCCCAACTGAGAGTATTCCCATTGAGAAAGGGTCTCGAATAGAACAGGATGATCATATTCCTCAGAAGCGACAAAAGATGGAGCACGTACGCACATCGACTTCGGCTCCTGTCGTCAAGAATGTAAGTGGTATCGAAGAGCTACTGCCCTCAGCTCTAACATTGTACTTTGACTTAAAGCAACGAAGTCATCGTCGGGGACTATCTACGATTCCATTGAACAAATCTCTGTCAGAGATGTCGATCTCTTTTGGTTCTGTCAAACTGCCTGCTGGGAAGAGAGGAGCAAATAAGGGCCGTTCATCGCGCTCCGCTCATTTAGCAACATCCAACTCGGAGTCGCATACAGTCCAACACCAGGACACGAGACCACACAAAGAGTCAGTTCCCAGGGCGACAACTACACAACCTACTCAAGACATCAAGGCGAATCACAATCCTCCTACAACGAACGGCGTCCGCGATACCGCTCCTGAAACCCGCGAAGATCCACCCGTCCGCGCAAATACTGCCGGCGAGGTAACGGGATCCAAACCTACGATTTTACCTCTTAAGATACGAATACCAAGCCGTCTCCTACAAAAACAACCCAGCACTTCTACTACGGCAGCCGATACCTCCGCCCCACCGCTTCCATCTTTATCCCCTCTACAAACTCGTCCTCGTAGATCTCTACGCAACAAAGCAGCGTCAAACAGGACAAGCTCAGAACAAAGCATCTCAGTTGATGGTGGGCCTGATGGATGCTCCTAACTTCTCGAATGTTTATTCCTTATGTTTTATTCCTAGTTTTTTTGTCTTTTTATTCCTTTCCTCTTTCGCTCTCATTTGCATCTTGGAAGACAATGTCGTGGCACTCAATGTATTAGATAGACTACTAGCACGCAGTCTCGTCAGGTTTGATTGATGCAAAAATTAACTACCTAGCCATAAAAGTCTCTTGATACTGTATTCCATCTTTGCCATCACTGTTGTCGACCGCTGAGCCTCCTCAAGACTGACTATCGGTTCCGAAAAAATAAGGCATGCCTCTTTCCCTTCGGCGCCACTCTTTGTAGTAGTCACGGCTTGGAAGATCATGTCGACCATCACGTCTACCGCTTGTTTGCAAGTCTTCGCCCAGACGAGATCATTGGCTTGTTCCACAAAACTTCCAGTTACTCTTCTGGAGCGTGCTGGATCGACGGGCAAGGCCTTGAATGCCACGAATGAGGTCACGTCTCCACGCTCGGCTGCTGTGTTCGACATTATCCGTGAAAGAGCGGTGCTTCCTCTTTTCGACGAGCGTTTGGAAAACGTACTCGACGATTGCTGGTTATCAGCAACCAGTTCAACATCGTTGCGTAAAGAGTACCTCGTGAATCGTACGCTCTCGCCCGATGTCAGATAGTTAACCATGAACCCATAGTTCTGTAGCGGATCTCTGCTTCCTTCTTCAAGCGGGGATAAGATGTATGTTCCTAAGGGATACGTGAGGTAACAGAAATTTAACATGGCTAAACTCCTAACCTTTCGTAATGCTCGTAATTTGGTCAAGAGGTATGCGAGAGTATCGCGCCACCTTCTCGAGGGCGTAATCGTAGCTTACGACGTACAGTGCACGAACACTCTAGAATCATATTCAGAGAATAGTTCTAACTCCACATTTGAAATGTTTACTTACCAGTAAAAGCACCTTCTCTTCCAACTTGTCGCTAAATCTAGTATTAATCTCCGCGGGAGAAAGAAGAGTCCAACCAGAAAGCAGCCGCTCTCCTTCCGACAGTACACGCGATACAGAGTCGGCGATAGCTTCTGTTCGAATAAGTTCCGTCCGTATGCGTTCTCTGGGATCTGTCGATTGCATCTTCTCCAGGAACTCAGAGAATACAGAGAGAGTTCTATTTCCGAGCAAGAAGTCGATAACTGCTTGCGAAAACCAGTCGCTGAACGTTGAAGTATACATCCTCGCGAGCGAGTTCATGCCGTCGTTGAGCATGCCCGTTATGTCTCGTCTGCCAGTCCGGGTATAATCACCTTTCAGTGCCGATGTGCCTGGTGGTATTAAATTTAAGCAACACAGTCACAGCTCAGAGCAGTGCATTACACACGGACCTGCATAAGCTCTGCTAATGGCGTCGCCATTGTTTGCCCATACGTCGTTAAAGACAATATCAATTTCCGATTGACCAGCAACGCCTGTATTAATAAGTGCCACAGCTCCAAGCTGTTTGTCGAGCAAATGCCTCGCAAAGGCAGACTATAACAAATACAAACCGTCAGAATATGCCATCATCCGTGAAAATTAATTCTTACCTGAACAACGTTTGTTCTATCCAAGCAGTCTATACAGTTGACTCGGAAGACAGCCTTCTGCTCGCTCATGAGTATACCCCCAGAGAACCACGTGAACCTGGGGGACAAGTTTTAGCATTGAACAACAACGCTCGATTCGATGTTACTTGCCCTTGTGTGTCGAAGGTTTTACGGAGTTTACTGATGAGACTTGAGATCTTCTCATAGTGCATGCCTTTCGTTTCATGATGGAAGTCATACTCTGTGTACCTGCCAAGGAGTGTAAGCCAGAGAACCTCATCAGTAATGAATGATCGCGCACCGGACATCTTTCGAGCCTAACTCTCGGGTATATTCACGATATGCATTCGTGACAACTGCCTCTTTACCATGTTGTTCTGCGAGGTTTACAACAGTCTGTACGTCTGAAGTCAGAGCTATGTTGTTGTGAATAGATCTATGGTTTTACGAACATGCGGTCCATATCGAGTAATGCTCTTTGAGAAGTGCCGTCGGAGAGCTACTAGATTTTGTTCATGTGTTCTATCTGTGCTCAAGACCGGTGGTGGCTTAAGGTTGTAACCTGACTGTATCCAGAAGAGAGGAACTGATAGATGACATCAGCGGCTGTGCTAGTCATAGATAACAACGGTCCTGTGGAACTTACTTGAACCCCGGATTTGTATGTAGCTGAAGACATTATTCTTCCCTTCTCTCTGTAGAGATACAGCTGAGTCTTATTTTCCTTTTAATACATATAAGTATTACCTCGAGAGACACCACTGATTCTGTTTCCACAAAATTCGCTACATTGGCGTCGTCGTCAACACCTCTTCTTTGGTAGCGCAGACCAGCTCTATCTATTCAGGTCAATCAGAGGTAAAACATACTCGGCTCAATCGGCTTACTGACCTCTTGAGCGCCTTGAAATAATTATATAGTTGATAAGAGCACTTTCACCAGTCTCAGAGGACTCAGGTTCTCTAGCAATGTGGAAGGAAGCAATTTGATAGAAGCCTTGCATGACCGGAAGCACGTAGGAATGAAGCTGCAAAGTCGTGAGTTAGGCACGAGCTCATGTCGACGAGAAGCTTACACCAGCATCAATAAATGGTTGGAGCATATGCTCATTCCACCAGAACTGCTTGGTTGCTCGGCGCCATAAAGGGAGGGTAGAATATGGTTCGGCAAGGACGTCGTAATGATCTGCTTCCGTTGACTCTGTAGAACTGGCACTGGTTTCTTTGGCTTGCGGTGAAGTTTTTCGCCTCAACCGTGCTAATTCATGTTGTTTATGTTGTAGGGAGGTGGTTATATCTTTTAAGGGGAAGTTAACACGCCAAGACGTCAGAGTCCAGAACTAGCTTTGCCAACTCCAATGAGACTACACACCAAAATTGTAAGCAAAGAGCATGCACCCCTTCGTAAATTCCCTGATACACTGTTTGAGGACCTTTTCGTCAAGTTCACTTTGGCGTTCTTCAGCCGTCATTGGTGCCGAAGAGGTTGAATCCAGGATTTCTTGTAAAATTTTTACAGGATCTCTAGTGGTATCTTCCAATAAATCCTGGTCGGAACCGTGGAGCAGCTGTTCCTCCGAATTGTCTGCTGAATGCATAGATTGCCGCTTAGATAATCGAGTCCAAAAAGAAAGACGAGACGCAAGAGCTTTAGCAATTGGTGTTGACTGATCTGCATCAGAGCTTGGTGTGGAAGCACCCGAGGACGGAGATGAATTAATGGATGAGGTAGGTGACGAAGGCCGAAATTCTTGATCCGGTAATGGAGATACCACTTTGACATCGTCACTATCTGAGAATTTGACTTTAGTGGCTTTCTCCGGCCGGTTTATACCCTGATCTTGCTCCACAAACTCCTCTCCAATATCAGAAGTATCTGCAGTTCGGACGGGCGGGCGAACAAGCACATTGGCTTGATTATGCTTAACCGCAATAGTATTTAAAATCGTCCGAGCTCGAGATTCTTGCAAAGGAATGGCTGACACAGACTTTACGCCATAGACTGCATTGCGACTGTCAAGGACTGGAAAATAGAACGTTAAAGCCGGGTAGAGTAAGCAACCAGAGACGTCTCACAATTTCCTATGTCGGTCTTGGCGGTAATGACAAGAATATATGCGCCTTCCTCCAATATTTTAACGACTGGATTAAAATCAAATACTCGGACATACCTGATGTGAGATTTAGGCAGCCAAGAATACCAAGGACAATTGCTGCCTCATCCCAAGATTCATCTGAGGCTTCTGAGATTTCCTCTATCTGGAAGTCGCTGCCCCATGGTATACGAACATAGGAATGTGGAGGTGAAGCACCGGGTATAAGTGGGCGAAGCAGTAAAGCATCCTTCGTTGAAAGTACGGATATACGGTAGTGAGGAGTCGGGTGAGGTATAGGGGGAATTGATACAGAGAAACTAGGGTGTAGGCCCACAGAAACTGCGGTAGTGGCAGGAGACGGAGTAATGGAATCGGGTGGCGGAGGTTTCTGAGAAAGCCTGAGGAACTTCTTCATGTTGAATGCAGAATCTTGCAAGCGCCTGTGTCCTCTGCGATAGCTCGGGTGGTCATCGTCCAGACGACAAAGACGTGAACGCGCGAAGCCATTGTGCTGGTCAATGAGGTAGCGTGGGATCGACGCGTTTTGGCACCGCGTCGATGTCATCGTCACGCGTTTCTGTCCGTGAATCACCGTCCTGGCTTTTGACCGGTCGGTAGACACTATGGCTGGACCTGCTCTCGAGTTTTTCAGGTTTGCATTGTACCTAGCCATGCCTCTGGCTGCAATGGTCCATTACGGAAAGCCAGAGTGGTATACACAGAACGTCTTACCGGTAAGTCTCAGGTATCTTTACAATTCAGTTGTGGTCATCATCAATCTTGTTGTAGTACAAGGAAAGAATATTTCCGCCCATTGAAAGCACCCATCGCGTATGACATTTCCAAATCCGCTGACAATCAGGCCTCAACTTAAGGCTTGATTGCGTATTTATAGGATCTTCCTGTGGATCAAGCTGCGCTGAAGGAGGAGCTAGCAAGAATTATGGCCGAAAAGCGTGCCAGACGACTTCAACGAGAGAAAGACGTGGAGCAAAAACAAAATTAACGAAGTCGAGTAAGTTGTGAATATTCCATTAGATCCACTCTTCAGTTCTTAAACGGAGGATTGACAAGCTTTGTTTAGATCGGGATTTCTACATTATCTAACACACGCCAGCATCATTGGTTTAACGGTCGTACTTTAATATCCCAACTCTCGCCATTACAGAAAACATTCCAAGTCTGTTGCCCTCCCTGCAATATACCCCGGATAATTGTCTCATACGCGTACACCTCGTCAGTGGATATTTTAACGCCTCCACAAACGACGAACACCACATTTCGCCGTTTTTCCGAGTCGACGTTACCCCTAACGATGTAGGTTTGCAGAAGACGATGGAACAGGTCCGGATGGTAGGCGAAGGCGAGAGTGGTACTGCATGCGAGCTCTGCAAGGATTTTGTGATCCTCTTGGATAAAATCAATTGCTGTCACTCGTATTTATTCGCTAACACCTTACCTGCAAACAAACAAGTTGTACTCATGGCCATCTCGTCTGGAATTGTAGCACAAATGATACCGCCTTTCCGCATGAGCGCATCACGCACGACTTGTGGCGATGGTGTCGTCGCAGCTAGAGACGTTGCTTTTGAAGTGATCTGTATGTTCGCGACTTGGATGTTCTGTTCCTCATCATGCGTTACACTGGTGCCATCTGGAAGAGGCGAGGATGCGCCCCACTGGTTGTCATTGACAGAAACGGAGTGATAAAAAGCTGCTGAACCATGGGTCTCGGCAGCCACGATGGGAACTATATTGTGTCATCTGGTCATCAACTGGTCATGTTCCATTATTCCAAGTTCTTACCATCGTCCCAGCCAACGGATTTGCACCCGTTTATGATACCTCCCAAGAGACCGCCACCTCCGACACTGCAGAAGATTGCACTCGGTTTCTCAGGAAGCGCGCAAGATATTTCTGTGATCATCGAACCGTGACCCCTCCAGAGGACGTCGCCTTCGTAGCCGTGAACACTGTGGAAAGAGACCCTGATAAATCACACGAAGGCGTTCTAACTTGGACTGAACTAGCTCACTAGACTGCGTTTGCATCAAGTGTAACTGCTCTTCGGGCTTCCTGTGCGGCCTGGAAATAATACTCTCCGACTACGATGACTTCTGCCTTCTCCTTTCTGAGCCGATCAATCATATATTGACTGGTTCCTCCGGGAAGGTATACGGTGCACCTCAGGTTTAATCGGTTTGCTGCACATGCTGTTGCAAGACCTGCATTTCCGCCAGAAGCCATGATAAGGTGAACGCTATCGCCTCGAGTTTCTTTGCAATGTTGTGCAAATAAAGACAGTCCTCTATATTTGAAGGACTGCGATGGTTGTAGATTCTGCGTTGTGTAATATATCAATATTGATTGACTCATAAGCAGTGGTACAGCAGATCAAACCTCTAGCTTTAGATATACATTACAACTCAATAGTTCGGATAGATGAGTAGATAGAATCAGTGGGGTCTCCAGCCATAATTTTGATTCTTGATGGTTGTTCGTCATGAAGGAGAAAGGAAACACATGTATATGGGAAATTAGATCTTATTTACTCCCAAAGTAAAGATAGAAAAGGATCCGTCACTGTCTCCGACTCCGGGGATCGGCGTTCAGGTTGCGTCCTTTTCGGTCTTGGAATTGGACAACTACAACTGCTGAGCTGAAGCTTCACATCAAGTGACTTCTTAATTCCCGCGAATACGTCCTTCATATCTTGTATTTTACCCGTTTGGGTCGCCTACTTGATCTTGACTCTATGCTCGCGTGTGTCTACCGCGAATTCCCGGTCCGCATGGACGAGGCTATCATCTCAGGCGGCCCGACCAGAATACACGGGAATGTAGCTGCATAAAGAACATTGTCTCTAGCTGTATAAAGTCTGTCTCGAGAGTTAAACTCTCGGAGCTGCATGTGCCTCCTATCATGAAGTTCATCGACGGATTCTGGCTTCTGAAAAATGGCGTAAAGCCTTATTACGCGTTGCAAGTCGTCCAAGCAACCGAAACCAAAGATAGCTATCTACTCCACGTATCGACGAAACCTATTCGCCATCGTGGAGATACTTTGGGTGGACCTCTTTTGAACATTCGTGTTCATGCACCCTCGGAAGGTATCATTGGTGTAAAGATCGATCATTTCAAGGTCAGTCAACTGTCCTATATCACTGGCAATAGGGCATTTACTCACGTCAAGCAAAGAGTTCCAATCCTACACCTACCATCCCTCTCTTTCCAGATGTTGCTCCCACATCCAAGACATCTATATCCAAGACGGAGCAAATCCTGAGGCTTGAATCCGGCGATCTTAGTGTGGAAATTACTTCCAATCCGTATACTCTTACCTTCAAATCTCCAAATAAAACTCTCGCTTGCGCCGGACCTAAACACCAGGGAATATTCGACGTACCGTACCAATGGACGCTTAACTCTGCATCAAGCATGTCCTGTATGGCAAACGACTTCAGTTCAAACCCTAATCCTGGTTCACCTCCTTCATTTGTGCGGTATGTTAATTCGGAGTTCACTATCTCTCCGGGAGAGCTATTTTACGGCCTTGGAGAGAGATTCGGAGCATTTGTAAGGAATGGTACGCCTTTGTCATAACTAGTTAGCTAAGGTTCTGAGCTCATGTTGCATAGGTCAAAGCATAAGCATCTGGAATCAAGATGGTGGAACATCAAGCGATCAAGCATACAAATGCATCCCGTTTTATATCTCGAATCGTGGTTACGGAGTATTCGTTAATCATCCTGGTGAAGTCGAGGTCGAAGTCGGAAGTGAAAAAGTCAGCAGAGTCGGTTTCAGTGTTGCGGACGAGTCCTTGGAGTATTTCCTCATTTACGGAGAAACACCTTTACAAGTATGTCTCCGTTCAATGCGCGTATGGTTAACTGAAGTCAGATGCCTCTATTAAGATGTTGGGGCGATACACTCAGTTGACGGGCAGACCCGCGTGCGTCTTTATCATTTGCTCCTGAACATAGTTAATCGGATCGCCATAGACTGCCTCCGGCTTGGACCTTTGGTTTATGGCTATCGACATCTTTCCTGACAAATTACGATTCGAAGACTGTGTCAAGTTTCCTACGGGGTATGCAAGATCGTGAATGCAACGTCCGTGTATTTCATTTTGACTGCTTCTGGTAAGTTGGTTTGACAGTCATAAGCAGATATTGGCCTAAATATTTCTACTTTGGTAATAGGATGAAGCAATATGAATGGTAAAAGACGACTCCACCTGATTGTTTGTATCTCAGCTGAAGTGTGTTTAGGTGCTCCTTCACCTTTGACCCGGACAACTTCCCTGATCCAAAGCAGTATCTTTCGGAGATAAAGGCTAAATACAACGTTAAAGTCTGTGTATGGAGTAAGTTCACCTTGCATGGCGTCTCAATAATCAATACTGACACACTCTATTCACAGTAAATCCATACGTTTCTCAGCTATCTCCTATATTTGATGAAGCAGTTGAGGGTGGCTTTCTTGTCAAACGAAGTGACGGGACGCCGTGGCAGTGGGATCTTTGGCAGCCTGGGCTTGGAATCGTTGACATGTAATTCCCATTCCTTACTCTGATTCGCTGAGTATTCCGGCTGAGACCTATGTTCCAGTACGAATCCCGGAGCTCGAGACTGGTACGCTGCGAAATTAAACGCTCTGATCAACCTCGGCGTCGACTGCTTCAAGGTATACGTTTCATTCCTAGATTCAGTGGCCAGGACTTATCAAATGTCTGGTTTAGACGGACTTTGGAGAGCGCATCCCCCATGCTAACGTCAAGTTTTTTGACGGCTCGGACCCGAAACGCATGCACAATGCCTACTCTGTCATCTACAACGAACTAGTCTTTAAGCTATTAGAAAAGCGGTTTGGGAAAGATGATGCGGTAGTCTTTGCTCGAGCTTCGGCAACAGGAGGGCAGCGCTTCCCAGTGGTAATGTTACGCTTTCTGTAATCCATGACTGAAAATTTGATGGAATGCATTCGATAAGCATTGGGGTGGTGACTGTGAATCTACCTACGAAGCTATGGCTGAGGCAATGCGAGGTGCACTGAGTCTGACTTTATCGGGATTCGGCTTTGCATCTCACGACACCGGCGGATTCGAGGTGCGTAAAGCTAATCACATACAATATCTGATTCAAGGTATTCAAATTCATACAGGGTACACCACCTCCGGACATTTACAGTCGTTGGGTCGCATTTGGCTTGTTCTCTACCCACTCTCGATTGCATGGTTCGGGCTCCTACAGGGTTCCATGGGCCGACTACGGAGAAGACGCAGCCAAGACACTTGCAAAGTTCGTCGAGACCAAACACCGGCTCATGCCGTACATATACAACTATGTGAGCTTTTCCGAATATACCCGTTGTTTGTTCGCTTATGCAAAACTCCATGGATACCAAGGCCATCGAGGCACATACGCAAGGCCACCCCTTGATGCGCGCTATGTTCGTAGAATTCATCGAGGATCGTACAACTCACCATCTGGACCAACAATTCATGTTAGGACCTTCATTGCTCGTAGCCCCGTCTTTCGTACCTGAGACAGAAGAGACCGAATATTACCTACCCTCGGGTCGTTGGACCTCATTCTATCATCCGGAACGCGTAGTTCAAGGACCTGTCTGGATGAAGGAGAAGATAGCGTTAGATGATATCGCCCTATGGGTGCGCCAAGGAAGTATATTGTTACTTGGGCCGGAGAAAATGGGGAAACCAGACTATGCTTATGACAAAGATCTGGAAGTTAGACTCTACGAACTCGACGATGGCAAGAGTGCCGAAGTCAGTGTTCCCAGTGGGGAAGCCGCGGACATAGCTGGAGTCGTTAGAGCTGAGAGACGTGGAGACGAGGTTACGGTCTCCGTCGTTTCGGGCGATGTCAGCTTGAAGGCAGTGACTGCTTATGTATTGGGCATGAAAGTTGATGGGTCGGCGGATAGAACGATTGCAGCTGCAGAAGGCTCTAAAGAAGTTAGGCTCAAGTTGACACCGGGATGAAGGTATCAGGGCCCTACATTTTAGGAACTAAATTCAAAATCCTCTGTATCTACTCTGAACATTGGAAACCAAGTCGATTTGAGTGTATCATATTGTCAAAGCGTCCCTGCTCTTTTCTTTGAGTCTCCAGTTAACCAAAACAAAAATATACAGGTGGAAATTACACACAGTAATGACAAAGTCCATTGTAAATCAATGTGAAATCAACAAGCAAGACGAAGATAATGCAGCTACAAGGTAAAAACAAGCTCGAAAGCAATGCTGAATAGGATGAAGGTGCGTTTTGTGTATGCATCACATGCTCGATGATGGTGGACCCATATCCTGCCAGAAGTTATATCTCCGAACAAGGTTATAGTTATCGACGACAGCCATTTCTTTGCCACTTGTTAACGGTACAATTTGCCAACCATCTCCTAACTGCTGTGTCTGTCCGTCGGATTCCCTCGACTGATCGAGGTACCGACGAGGCACGATGATCGGACCGGTAGGGAGTGTAAATCTGTCTGCATCTAACGAGTTAGCTAGCATCACTTAGATCCAGTACATTTGTCCACTTACATGGCAAGGATAGCGGTTTAAGGAGTTGCGGTACAGTCTCACGCGGAACAGTCTGTATGCCATGTAATTCAACGGGCTCATCAGCAATATCAACTGAATGCGGATTTCCCCAATATCTGTAAGAATTTGTGAATAGAAGCCTAATTTTGTCACGCAAAGACCAAACCTCGAGAGGACCTGGAGCATCTGCGCTGTCGTTTCCAGATATATACTGTTCGTGAGTTCAAAGTCTTCAGCAGTTACACCTAACCCGTTAATTACGCTTTTCGCATCGCTTTGCGCGAGTAAGAGCGCTCCTCTTGCGATGGACAGGGGCATAAATGTAGATGACATTCCCTGTGTAAACATTAAGTTTTCGGACTCTAGGAGATTGAGTATGTCGACGATCGCCACTGCGGACTTATGGAGCAGGTACACGCTTAGTCTTCTAATTCGATTGTATAAGTATATTACTCACCGACCAAGCGATATCAAGCCGTGGAACTTCGGAGACTGTGTTCGCTGGCTGAGACGCCCAAAACAGTGAAGGGCAGTGCGAAATAACAAGAAAACAGTGCAATAAAACATGCACAAGATAAAACACGAATGCCTCACGTAGGGACACAGTGTAGGAGAGATTCTCTTTATTAAATGTCAACGAAGGCGGTATCCAATCCCGAAACATAGTAATGGTATTCTGTATTTGACTATAGGATGTGTCATTAGTTGTAGAAGTGTAAGGCATTTGATGTGTGGCTTACCGCAGTCCGGCATCACGGAAAGGAGATGGTGTGTTAGCCTTTCCAGCGTTGGAATAATTAATCAAAGAGGTCATTAGATTCAGGACGATTCTAAATGCCTGGTACATGACATCGCGTGATAAAGGACCATAAAATTTGAGACCTGGATTTGGCATGTCCGTCGAACACTCATCGACATGTAAGGGACAAGGTTTTCCGACCACTGGCGCATCGGTGGTTAGTCACCGTCTTGTACTAATGCGACCATATCAAAAGCATACCAGAACATGCGATAATTATCAGCCATGAGACAGACCAGAAAGTCAAGCGATACCGGTCTCTGGCTACTTCGGAAGAGTCGCTGCAAATACGTTCCTCGGAATCCAACCCGAGCTCGACTGCCAGAGAAAAGGCCATCTACTACCTGTAAGCAGTGAACGCAAAAGCGCCATGTAATAATTACTCACTTGAGAGTACGTAAAAAAGTCTGATGAATTAAATGATTAAACATTAATTTTGTCATGTAATCGAATCGCAATATGAACGTACTGTTGGGCCGGCCCGCACCGTTCTCCGACCAGGCAATTAAGATAAGGGCATGTAAGCGCTCGAGCTTGTCTGGAACAGGTCCGAGAAGTAGACACTTGATAAACATATCAGAGAAAGCAATATACCGGACAACGTGGCTATAATACCTTGGCTGCGTCTAGAAATGAGTCTCCAGAAAGATGGCGTTTACCCGGGAAGTGACGGATATTGTCCGAAAACCTGGAAGATGATCGCTAGGTGACACGAATACAGTAACTGCTGATTCAGAAGCATACCTTGCGGCATACGCAGACAAGCAATTAGCAATCAAAGGCGAAAGTGTACCTTCTCTAGCAGCTCTGGTTGTTGTGTCTGGGTCAAAGAATGGGAATAGACTTCCAGCATAGATGAGAAATAAGTCGACAAAATGCGGGAGCAAACGCGGGTCCGGATATCCTTGCCGTTGCGGGTCAAAGAATGAGAAGACATTCGAATATTTGTCCGGACCAGGGCGATGCTCTCCGCTGGAAGGCGTTGCGCCCACTGTATTGGTAGCAGAGCGCTTTTGTTCTGCTTTCTTCGGCAGAGCGGAAGAGCCTGTCGCGGCCGACGACGAACTTGGAGTGCTTGACCTTTCCTTCGTTTCTACCGCGGTAAATGACGGGCCTGCCTGAGCGAGAATCGAGGGTTCGGTATCGCGAGCATACCAGGTCGGCGCAACTGTGAAGTTTGCAATGCCTCGCAACCGCCGGATTCGATCGCGCTCCTCGAAGACACAGGCGCTGTTGAAAATTTACAGATAGAATGAATAACCGGAAACAGAAAGACGGATTGACGACTGACCTGTCGGATGCCTCGCACGCCTCGCACCGACCGCCGCCGTGATCTTTAGGACGGCACTTGATTTTCTTAAGTCGGCTATTATTATTAATGACACGATGAATTTTACGCGCAGTGAAATGTTATCAGAGTGAAGGACTTGCCAGGCATCGCAAGACGTGATTAGTCTTGAGCGTTTCTTGACGCGCCGTGCAGGCTTTTCGGGTTTCTCAATAATGAACTGAATATCACTCATAAGCAGAGCATTTGCACAAAATAGATGTACGACTATGGGCCGGGTTGGAGGAGAGAGGAAAGAACGAGGCGCGGGACCGCGACGGATGCTGTAGTGTTTAGAAACCTCCGGTGGTGGCTAGCTGCGGAGGCAAAGAGGAGTGCACACTGCACACCGCAGCGTGTTCCTTTTGCGTGGGTAAGGGCGTGGAGCACCCCCTTGCAACCCCTCAGGTACGTATCGTTGTTGGCGCTGTCACGGACAGCAGAGGGTCGCCGAGCAGTGATTGTTGCGCTATGTGCATGTGGATGTTGGACGTGCGCTAATCACCGTGCGCGTCAGGCGGCATGCGGCACGCGACGCGACTTTAGCCTCATCAATCACCTCCGAGCACAAAGAATTTAAGAAAACATGGTCTCTGGGACGCTTGTTGATGCTCTCGTGTCTCCTTCGCGTACTGTCGAAGAGCTTTATACAAAGGCCTGTAAGGAAGGGAAGACAAATGACCTCCCAGTTATTGTTAGAGAGCATTTCTCTTCGATATTTGCGGGCAACGCGCTCGACCAGGTGCGCGTCGCGTCACGTCATTCTACCGTTGTCCGCAGGCTCTAAGCCCAAAATCTTTTCAGATCCCGCTTCTGAATACGGTGCATCCACCGAGTGCGTTTGCACCGAACTCCTTGGTCAGATTTCGTGCCATGGTGCAAGATACTTCCTGTTCGCCGGAGATGTACCTTTGCTCTTCGAACGGGTTAGCCTGTGCAGGTTGGGGTTTGGATGCTGATGAAGAGACTGTGGAACAACTTCAGGCGCACGCAGACTCCAATGCTCTGAGAGAGCGAGACGTGTTATGGGCTGTGAACATCCCTGGTGAAGGCCATTGGTGCGACTCATCCCGAAATACTCCGGGTTCTATCGTTCGGGAATCGGAGGCACCTGCAGGTACGATTCGTTGTTTCATAACCAGGCATGTAGATTGCTGAATCCATTCAAGGAGCGACCTCGCAAAGCAAATCTCACAAGTTTCCTTTACCTGATGCTGCGCATATAGCCATTCAACTTAAGGTAAGTTTCCTCCCCTGGTTGGGACTCCAAACAATTTCTGCTGTCTCACGGCCGAAATTCAGATCTATGACAATACTGCGGATTCATTAAAGCCCACAAACATACACGAATTTATTGGTGTGCTGACATCTGAGCCGTGAGTCGGTTCAAAATGAGTCTGTAGAGTGGGCTAAGACGGCATATCGCAGCGTTCATTCAGAATTCGCTGAGGAATACGATGCACCAACGTTGCATATAATTTTCCACCGCACGTTACCCAAAACAATGACCCTGTCTCTACCATCTGAGACAGAGAGCTTGCGAGTAGAAAGTATCCGAGATTCATTGCTCAACTGGATGTCCTCTGAAGCATTTGGCGGGGATCACGACGCAGCAGAGTGGATCTTGCTGAGTTGTCTGTCCTCCGTGTAAGTTCCATGTCTTTCTCCAAACCTGTCTCACTTTCTCACGAGTATGTCCAGTGAATCCCGCAATCCTCCACTCTTTCCGTTGTCTGTAACACTCTCAGAACTACCGAAACCGGATGCTGAAGATATTCCGGCCATCTCTCATGTGTTATCAGAATTACTTTCTCTGTACTTCCTTCTTCCGCTGAGTCTGAAGCTGTTGAATGAAAGAAGTTTCGTTCCCGAGAGCAAAGACGAGGACCTCCACGCAGGCATTTTGCAAGTTCCTAGTGACACAACCATAGTCGTTACGGAGACAGGTATCGCCGAAGGAAGCTTAGCGCAGAAGGGTAAGTAGTGTTGCGTGAGTTGCCACAATGGTCTCTGCTCACACCAGATTAGGCATAGAAAACGTTCAGGCACTTCAAGAAGTGGCAAAACTACAGACCCTTCAGTACAAATTTCCGTTCAGCCAATACTCCTTCCCGACAGATATCAAGTTTATCACAGTCACGGAGGGAAAGAAGAGTTTATTCCTCGATGTATTTTCTCCAGCTTATCTTAACTCACAGTGTCACTGATCCATCCTTTCTAGTCAAACATCACAATCCCTATACGGAGTAAAGCCTCGTCGGACCTGTACAAAGGGAAAGAATCAATAAACTGGCCATCTCCCGAGACACTCTATTCTTTCCGCGATTACATTGTCCGTGCCAAGTCTGCGAAAGTCACTGTGGGAGAACAATTATCGGAAGTAAGTCTATATCTTTGCCTTATCTTATTCATTCGAGCTCGCTAAATCGGTCGCGTCGCTCAGCATATCAAAAACGATTTTGTGCGGGAGCGACAAAAAAAGGGCTCTATTACGCCTGATGACCTTACGCGATGGATGATGATAGCTAGGTGGGAATGCCGGTGTCACTAACTCACATGGCGATGCTGACTTCTTGGATCAATTACCTCTAGGCTTATTTCCTTGTCGAAGCTTGAAGGTGAAATGACAATGGAGACGTGGAACGCTGCCAAAGACCTGGACGCTCGTAGACAAACACGTTTGCGATGAATTTATTGTCTTGGTATCATTGAGCGCTTTGTGTCTTGTACAACATCTACAACATAAATATGTATCTACACAACGTTTGTTTCGCACTTCAAATCAAGGCATCTGCAGTTCATTCTTCTCTGCCTCCATCCATACATCACGAAGTTCAGCAACGACTTTCGGAAGAATGGTTTTCACATTTCTGACGTCACTGCCGCTTCCTTCGAGGTAAAACTTGATCTTGGGTTCCGTTCCAGAAGTCCTACACAAGGAGAATGAATAAAAAAGTTCGTCGAAGTCACAGTAGTTGTCCCGGTACCTTATAGTGAGCGTAATCTTCGTGTCATCAAGATCGGATTGCGCCCTGAATTGAATCATGTGCCCAGACGATAGCGGAAGAGTTGGTTGGTACGTTGGTGGGTTTGTGCTGTCGTAACCAACTGTTAGATCTCTAATGCTCGTCACCTTCAGACCTGCGATAGTAGATGGGTAGTTTGCTTCTCTCGCCTGTTTATTCTGTTCCTGAAATCAGACGAAGGGATTCACGATACATGAGAATAACACATACTTGGTTGTATGCGCGGAGCCTAGCAAAGATTCGATCAATGGTTGGAGGGTCCTTACAAATAAAGTAGCTATTCGCCGTCTGCAGGTCAAATGTCCTTTAAAGTCTGATATCGGAAAGCATATTTAATGTCCTACCTCGAAATGTCCATATCTTCAACCCAAGAGTCAGGAAACACCTTCGAAGTGCTTGATAAAAGGACTCACTTTCTATATAAGTCTTGCAGGTATGTAGATACGCTAGAGCCCTCGTACGCAAGCTTGACAGCTAACTCAGCAAACACAGCCTATAAACAACACGGTGAGACCTCGATGTATTCGCGAGAAATGGCCCTTACAGTAGCGGATATTCCATCCTTGTCCCGAATGTAAGGCCCAATCATGAAGCCGATCGCTTCTTCGTATCCGAAAAGTACGCTGTATCCTTCTTTTTCTAAGTCTTGAGCCTTGTTTCCGATATACTTGAAGCCTGCTTCAGTACGTCAGTACTCCTCGATTGTGGAACGTTTTGCTTATATACGTGCCCGTCAGCGTTTCGGCGAACTTAAACCCTTCTTTCAAGGCCATTGCCTCGACAATCTTGGAACTAACGGTGGAGGCTACCATTGCAAGTTTGTCTAAGGCGCGTTATCGTGAGACGAGATTAGAATGATGGTAGTCCCCTTTAGGATGGCGGAAGTAACTCACTTAATGGCTGACCCGTCTCTCGATAGGTTTCCAAGCATCTTGCTGCTAGTATAGCGCCGAGCTGATCTCCTGTGAAAGTAATCCATTTCCCATCCACTCTGCTTCATAGATTAGCATGAACGATGGATTTATTTGTTAGTAAGGGCGGACCCTTTCTCTGCAGCAGAAAACCGATCAGCATCTGGATCTTGTGCTAGGACATATGTCGCATCGATTCCATCTGCAGTCTTCAACGCAAGATCCTATATTCAAATCAATACTGAAATGTTCATGGGAATAGCTTAATCTTGGGAAAAACAACGGACAAGAGCACCTTCCAACCGTTTTATGAACTGAACCACCAATAGGAATGGCTTCAAGAATAATGCTCACCTTTCTCCTCCGGATTGGGAAACGAGACGGTAGGAAACTCCGGATCTGGGTCTTGCTGGGCTTCGACGGCGAGGAAGGCAGGTAACCCGAATGTTTCAAATGCTCGTACGGCATAAACATGCCCCACACCATGCTACAACATAATTATCAACTTGCACAATGATGTCTTCATGATTTTGTCAAACCATTGATGTATTGACAAACTTCAAATTACTCTGCAGGCAAAGTGACCTTTCAATAACAAACACCGATTACTTCCATTGTTCAAGCGGATGTCACATTAAAGGCGGCCTACCGCGACGTAGATAATGACTGAAGTGTAGCATAGTATGACTCGATCATACTCTCAGTCACGTCTTCGCAGGATGACGATGACTCGACTATCCTTGTGTCCCATGATACAGGCTCGAGGTTTTCTTCGATTGCTTTTGCGATGCCAGTATCATGAGGGCTTATGATCTACAGTCCAACATCATGTCAGGTCTAGCTTTGTTTAGTTCTGTTCGTGAATAGATAACTCTAACCTGTACGGCATTCTCCCAGTACACCTATCATAAATTAGTTATCCGTAGCAAAGAATGTCTTCACGCAAACCTTGTACCCGTTATCTTCCTGGAAAAATGATCAATGCTAGAACCACCTGAACTGCTGATATCAACTACCTTCGGATTATGACTGGCTAAAAGAATAATTTCGGTTAATCAGCCTGCGAAATACAGCACAAGCAGCGAGTTCCGCACCGGTGATCATTACACCGCATGCAGCGTGTAGTTCTGACACTGTAAATGGTACTCTGCAATTACGCATTAGTGTTAGGGTTCTGGAGTATACGACGAAATACAGACAAAGGTGTATGGACAAGTTTACAATGCAAGTAAACCTTGAAGCCTTTGTTGAGAAAGACCATGGCGACAAGCTTCGCCCACTCTTTGGAATGATGTCGATGATCGTGGCCTATGACAATACCGCGTTTCTTGGCTTCAGGAATTTCACGGAGAACATATGCGCAGAGACCCTGACGGAGAAATGTTCAATATATTATGTTGGCAGAATCAATCTGTTTGCAACAAACCTGTGAGGCTTGGATGACTATTAGATCGTTCATACGTGCCCAGCCAGCCTCCATTCTGCCTCGAAGGCCTAGGATTATTGTAAATGGCTCTAATACTTTCATTCCACAAGTACGAAGCCAAACCAGCTGTCCCAAATTCTATGCGTTTGCTGGAAGAGGAATAGATTATTTAACGTCTTAAAAAAGGATTCTCGTAAGTTTAGAAAAGAACGAGAACCTCATGCGACTCCTCAGTTCTTTTGCATCACCTCTTGATACTAAGTTCTTGATCTCGGCAACAGTGTTCTCATTCTAGGAATTATTCATGTGAGCATCGGCTGTTAAGTAGTACATTGCGTATCTGCGGACCTTATCTAAGCGGAGCCATTCGTCTATAGAAGACTGGAGGACAGAGTCCATGACGGTAACGGTGAGTCAATAGAAGCGGTCTAAGCCTCTAAGGTCTATACCAAGTTCGTCGTTAGCAGCGGAGAAGTGTATGTAGTCGGGTAATCAGTTGGTTGTAGTACGGAATTTACCGGCCCTAAGCTACGTAGTTGTTCATAAACGACACTTTCATTTTTTTTTGAACCCAAGTCTCCTCCTCCTTGTTCATCGATCTGATCATATAATGTCCGCCGACCTAGCAAAGCTCGAAGCCCATCTGGCGAGCCGTTCGTACGTCGAGGGGTGAGTATATGCACTGTTTTTCGTTTCCATGATGATCCCCCTACCATGGTCCGTGTTTCCAAGAAGCGACTAGACACCGCTGCTCAAACATGCCGATATTTAATTTTCATGGTCACTGAATTTCTGTCTGTTCCGACACTGCACGTTGTTTTATTGTGTAACATGAGTCTTACAAGTTGATACGTGCAGGTATACTCCCTCTCAAGCCGACGTACATGTTTTTAAAACGATCGGCTCTGAACCCTCTGCCACGGAGTTCCCTAACTCTGCACGTTGGTACAGGCATATTGCCTCATACAGTGCTGAACATGGCTCACTCCCGGGATCATCAACTGCCGGTGAGGCCTTTACAAAAAGCGCTGCCGCCGTTGGAGGTGCAGCGAAACCTGCAGAAGACGATGACGACGTTGACCTCTTCGGATCGGACGAGGAGGAAGATGAAGAGGCTGAGCGCATCAAGGCCGAGCGTGTCAAGGCTTACGAAGAGAAGAAAAAGAGCAAACCTAAGGCGGCTGCAAAGGTTAGAATTTTGTGCTTATGCCGTTGGATATGCCGATTAATCAAGACAATAATTTCATATACATATTAGTCTGTCGTCACTCTCGAAGTGAAGCCATGGGATGACACAACGAATATGGAAGAACTTGAGGCAGCTGTACGCAAAATCGAAAAGGAGGGTCTCGTCTGGGGGGCATCCAAGTTGGTCCCTGTCGGGTTCGGTATCAAGAAGCTCCAGGTTACTATTGTCATCGGTAAGTGTATTGCACATTCACGCATTGAGTAATACATGCATCTCATGTAAATTTGTAGAGGATGAGCTAGTTTCCCTTGACGAGCTCCAGGACCAGATCCAGGAAGAATGCGAGGACTACGTGCAGAGCACTGATGTTGCCGCTATGCAGAGTCAGTACTTCATGTACGCAATTACTTTCGCCTAACTGATCCGGAACTTTTACAGAATTGTAAGAGTAACCTGCGGAATGTGCGTTGATTACAAACAGCAGACTAGACAATGTTGTACCTGTGGCGGAGAGATAAGACGCCTTGATAGAAAACTGTGTACTGTTCTTGCATGTGTGTGTGTGTTGATAAAGGAGAGATGAAACAGCGACGAATGCCCGGAAGAGGTTGCTCAGAGAGCAATGCTTGCCTTTAGAGCGATCAGAGACGAGCCCTGGGCCCGTGCTGTGTGATTATTACTAAATGAGAACGTGTATTACGCTGTCTGCCCTCCTGCACCTGATAGCAAGCACTAACAGCACACCATCCTGCTCCCCTGTATTATCCCCAGAAATATTCCCCGGCCACAGCAGCGAGCTCGTCTCACGTTGAGAATAAGATTCGCCTTATTATAGTACCGAGTATCATCTTCTGCTTCCGTCACACTCGGAAACGTTTGTCCACGAGTACCCTTGTGCCAGTACGAGTCCTCGTACGAGTATCGAGTCTGTCAACGACGAGTGGTATATGCTCCCGAAGAACAGCGGGACTCGTCAGCACCCTAGCATTGCTTGCATTGAGAGCGTCGAGGGAATCAACTGAGCGTGCCGCGAAGCGCCGCATCTGGCTCGCTCGGGCTTAGCCATTTCCTATCACCAGCACTCACCGCCCTCCCCTTCCAGCGCCCTCACCCATCCCCGAGCACTCGTCACCATTGATCCTTATACGCACTCCGCTTACTCTGCTGCCGTAGAGTCGCAGAGCGACGCGACTCGCTCCATTTCTCGGTCTGTACAGCCTTCATCCCCTCCACATTCTCTCAGTTCTGCTCATACGAGTGACTGCCCTTCTTCACCCATACCTCCTTCTGCAACTGCGACTACCGACCCGAACGCATATCTGGCGCCTATTAGCCCGAGCATCTCTGGCCTTACAGACACAGTCGGAAACAGCCACACCGCACATTCGACGTCACAGCGCAGGTCCCGCGCCGAATTCGAGCCAGAGAACGAGCAACCGGCTTACTCGGAAAGCATCCCTGTTCCGAACACCGCTTCCTCATCGTCAATCCCAGAAAGCTCGGCAGGAGGAGAGCAGCACATACGAAAGAAATTGAGGCTCGAGGACAATACGTCTAGTACGTGCTCAGATAATCATTCAAACTGATCAGTGTTGGACACACTCGCTCATCTCTATTGTGGCTTTCCTCTAGCCCGCCCTTACCTCTACAACCTTACACACCCTTCCTTACGGTCACCAAAGTCACCGACAGCAATGAGACTTGTTGAGAGTGACAATAATATCGAAAGTAATTCGGCGATGCGCGACTCAGATCCTCAACTGACCCACCCTGGAGCTCGTGGCCCGTTTTCACCAGACGGACTCACCGTACTTTCCACCAGCCAGGTCATGGGAAATGGGAACACATATAGTATGTCAAATGGCAGTGGACCAGCCGTACGTGATGTGGCGTCGCCCGTTGCGAATGGACGAAAGCATTCGACACCGCCAGATTCGGTTCGAGGTATCACGCACGTTGTGCCTCGAGTAAATCTACCAGGCACACGATTATTTGAAGACTCTTGTATTGACAGAGAAGAGTTCGTGAGACTGCTGATTCAGAGCCTAAGAGACGTTGGATACCTGTAAGTAATTGCTGCTATATTTCTTATTTGTCTCTGACGTTTATTCTTAGAGAATCCGCCACCACTTTGGAGATGGAGTCCGGCTACCAGATGGAAGCACCTGGTGTTAGCCAATTCCGATCATACGTTCTTTCAGGGAAGTGGACGGAGGCCGAAAGTTGTTTAAGTACTCTAGGGGTAACCGACGAGGAGAGTTTACGCGTAAGTTGTTTCTCGTTATGTTCATTGCGAGAAGAAACATAATGCTGTTCATACCAGATTACTCGATTTCTCATTAGCCAGCAGAAATATCTAGAACTACTTGAAGTGCAGAATGTGAATACTGCACTCCATGTTCTGAGAAACGAGCTAGCTCCCCTGAATGTCGACGTTGATGAGCTACATTCCTTATCAAGGTAAGTTTTTGATTACAGCACGATTCTCTTTTCTAGTCGTTCATAGCCTTTGATTACAGTCTGATAATGTGTTCGAATGCGGATGACCTACGACACCGTGCCAAATGGGACGGCGCGTCAGGTACTTCAAGACGGGTGCTCCTATCTAACTTACAACGTAAAGCTATTCAGTTGCTCTACATTGGTACACAGTGTTGCTTACAGACCTCCCCAGGATTTATTTCTCCCTCCACAATGATGCCCCAGCGGCGATTCACAACCCTGATAGAGCAAGCATTTACTCATCAACGGACGAACTGTTTATATCACAATACTCCCTATACTCCGGAAGCGTTCTCTCTTTACACTGATCATGCCTGCAGCAGGGAGGAATTCCCATTGCTTACCACAAACATTTTGAAGGAGCACGCAGACGAGGTCTGGAATATCAAGTGGAGCCACGACGGCCAATACCTTGCCAGTGCAAGTAAGGATAAATGCGCCTTCATCTGGCTGATTGGTGTAAGTTTTATGTTTCTAGCGTCATGTTTAGCAGTCTGTGTACTCACGTAACTTTTAGAAGGAAGTTGATCCAGTGAATAAGCCCAACGTACGGGAGTGTTCTCTAGAAAGGAGATTTCGAGATCACATGGACCCAGTTGGATGTCTCGCCTGGTCCCCAAACGATGCACTTCTCTTGACGAGTACGGATAGCAGTATCAAAGTCTGGAGCGCCAAGGTTGCCTGCTTTCAACTTATTGCTTTTGCATGTGCTGAATGTTTTCTTAGACCGGTATATGCCTCCAAGACTGTACTTACCATGAGGAGACTGTTTCAGCGCTGGAATGGCTTCCAGATGGATCGGGTTTTCTGTCAGCAGGTTTGGATCGCAAGATCATCCTTTGGGTGAGCCGATCTAGTCTGTTTCTTATCGCGGGTCGCTTAGCTCCTATCTCCAGAACGCGGACGGCGAACGTAAAGAAGAATGGACAAAGACGACTGTTAGGGTGACAGATCTTGCGATTGCGCCCGACTTGTCTAGGCTGGTCATCGTTGGACTTGAATGCCTTCCCTTACCGAACGCGAAGGCTTCCACACCACAACAAGACAGCCAGACGCCAAGCTCGGGTCCTCAACAGCCTCTTATATCGAGCACAAGGGAGAATCGTTTAATTATCTACGATTACGCGTCTAGAACACAGGAAGTGTATGTCTGGGCACTTCTTGTCAGATAGTTAATAGTGTTTTCTAAATACGGCTTCGCTTGTCTCTTCAGATCCATTCGCTTGGAAGGCGAGCTCACGAGCGTGAAAATCTCCCAGGACTCGCGATACGCGCTGATCAATCACGCACCAGATGTAAGCAAACTTACTCCCACATCTACCCATGATAATGCTCATCAATGCCTGTTGTTGCATGATTGTTTATGCTTGTTTTAGGAGGTACAACTGTGGGACCTGGACGCGGCAAGATTAGCTCGCAAGTTCACTGGCCAGCACCAAGGGCAGCATGTAATTCGAAGCTGCTTCGGGGGAGTGGATGGGAATTTTATCGTTAGTGGTAGCGAAGGCATGTCCATTTTCGTTCGTTCTGTCTAGTCCATAAAGCTGACGCCCAACTAGACGGGAATGTGTACATCTGGCACAGGGATACAGGTGCGCTTCTGGAAGTACTCTCCGGGCATGGCTCTGGGAGCGTAAATGCTGTCGCATGGAATCCAACGAACGAGCGGATGTTTGCGTCTTGCTCGGATGACGGGACAATCAGAATATGGGAGAGCCCCCACGTGTCATTGCTGACTGGGGACTCCCACCGATTACAAGCACCACAAGGAAGTGAACGGAACAACTGGAAAGGAAAGGGACGAGACGCTTCAGGATTACCTACATCTTCTAGCTTAAGTCCCGGTGTAACTGTCTAAAGGCAGCCTGTGAGACTGTCTTGATGACTTTCGCTCTTTACTTTCTTTCTTTATTCACTCACGTGGATTTCCAACTCATTTGTTCCATCCTCTTGCATGTCATCATCACGTCCGGGCTTCTTGCATTAATCCCTAGCATTTGTTACGACCACATTCGTTAATTGCATATCCACGACACATCCCGCTTCCGCTTTCCCAGTTTTCAGAGGTTCCTTCAAATCCAGTTTCCAATCAACATTGTCAAATACTGTTTGATCCTTAGATCGGTTTGATATCCTGTAATATTTAGCAATACATCGTGTCATTAACCTGGTTGGAGTCGGTACTTCATGGCATCACCAAAACGTGCACCAAATTGTATTTGATTAAAATTCCTAGGACACATATTACAAGCAAATTGTGGTGAACAAGGTGCTGTAATATTCAATTGTAGACGAATATAGATGTACGGACTCGCTGGATTGAAACAAATAAAAATGCGACAGCGTGGCGTCTTGGGTTAATGTGAGCATGTGAATATCACGTGGTCGCGACACGCGACGCGTTCCATATCGGCAATCATTCGAGTTGCCGGAGGGAACAAAGAGCCAAGGTGCAAGTCTGTCTCTTAATGCTATCTCTCGGGAACATGTGAAGCTCAATCTTTAACTCCTACATTCTCAAGCTCAGGCTCAAACAATCTGCATTGCATACGACTCCGGCGGCTGAGACCGACTGTGGTGTGTGTGCAAACCATACTAATAATGAGCAGTGAACTGCACCCAGAAACTCCATCTACACGACCCAATTCTAGTCTTATTGAACAGAACTTATAGGTTATTCACACATCAGAGCTCGATATTCCGCCTTGAGCGATGATGTCCTCATATCTTGTATCTCTATTCAGTTAGACGAAAGAATTTGCTCGGAAGGGATAAGGCAGTCGGCGGTACGTGCTCAACTATTTTATTTATGACATTTGGCGTTCCAGGCTTCTCGTACCTTGCTCACCCATAGTCGGACAAGAACTCAGCCATTTCTCTATCCCGTAAAACCACCGTGGGTATATACCATTCTTTTGGTATTGCTTCTTAATTTAGGAGGCCCAGTGGTCGCATTGATCAGTTCTCAGTTGGAATCTGCGAACAGGCTAATTTATATTGTAGGTTCCACGGGAACGCCGGATTTAAAGCTCGGAGGCTTTGGAATCGTGTGTTTAGTTGACGATCCTGAGCTATTTGATACTTCTGTCTAACTTCATCCATGGATTCAGAACACGAGCTCTCCACCTAACTGTGTCCATGGCTTCGGAATTACAATGTTTACCCATATGGGATTGCTATGCAAGATTTCCAGTAATGGAAAATTACAAAGGTTGCGAAAATATTACACTACGAGGATACAACAGCAATAGAAGGAAGCTATATGCTATCAAGCGAGCACCAGAAGTAGAGAGAAGTGATCTCGATTCCTGGGAAGACAATGCTGCCTTACTCGAAAATAAGGTACGCAGCGGAACTTTCCTAGCTGCAATCTCAGGTGACTTGCACGTGGGAGTATTTGTACTACGTCAACGATTAGGTCGACTTTGAGATAATCTAGATGTCCTTGTTGTGGGTTCCGGTTTGTGCAGAGCTTGTGACGAGGGTAACAAGAGGTTTGGCGGTGAGGAGTTACGCACAACAATCGTATTTATCTTAACACGGCTCTCGTCTTTTTCAGTAAACTGAGCACAAGGAGCGCCAATTTTAGCTCGGAAACCCTTCGAATTACCAGCTGGTGGCAAAGTCGGTGGTCCAAGGACACTTCTCTGGAACTTCGTTGCTTCCTTACGTGTCTTCTCTAGAAGCGTTTTAGGGGGCAGCGCGACTTTCAACCCCGTGCACATGTGAAAGCAAGCATGAGACGAAAAGCAGATAGAGAACCCAGAAGTCAGAGAGGCAGACATACAACCGGTTCTAGGCCGCTTTGTAGGTGGGAGCCTATCCGTGAGCTTGACTTGACGTTTTCGTTTCATCTCCTCGGCTTCAATTCGTTGGCTGCGAAGCTTGTTGGCGGCTTCTTCAAAGCGTCTGATCTCTCTTTCTCTTGTACACTGCACGTTGACCGGAATGAGTCCCTCTTCAGTCATCAATACTAGGTTTACTGAAATCAACGCACAACATAAAAATCACGCCACGACTCTGGTTCATCACCAGGAGTGCTCAGTACTTGATCAACAGCAGTGGGATAAGTTCGAACACATATGTCTTTCCAGAGCTCTACGAGAGGTAATGCTTTAGTTTTAGGGGTAATTGAGATACATATCATTCGTACCCAATGTACACTCATGAAGATGCTGTTCGCATGGCACATGAGTACCTTATTCAGTGAGCTGGAGGAGTTAAGCTGTCTCACCGGGGTTTCCTGCTCAAGCCTCAGGAGCGTGTCTGCAGTACAGCCTTGTAGAATTGGCCCGATCAGCCGATACGGAACTTCATCCCCAAAGCTAACGATGCCTAGAATGACATATGAACAATGATCAATAGGTTTCTAAAGAAAATTTACGGTCTATATTTGCACCAAGGACTGAGGGTTAATGAAGGATAGAGCATTCGCCACGTCAGGTAAGTTCGCCTGAACTGAGATACAAGCATCTCACCACGTTGACAGATATACACCAGGCTTGGAACAGTTCTTGCACTTTTGCAACTTTCAAAATTCGTTCCTATCATAGTTTGCAGCCCTGAGCAGCTATACGCCGTTGGGTGGTGATCATAAGTGTTGGGGAGGGATAACCATTATTGTGCTGTAATCGGCGCTGCACCGCGTTTACCAGAAATGAATATTTCTCTCACGGAATTATATGTTACATAAGCTATTAAACAAAAAAGACACATATACATATAATGTCATATATGTACTTGTATTGTATTGAAAATCTCCTCCACGATCACTGGCTGACAATCCGGGGGGGAATCACTGTACCAAATTGTTGGCATGCCAAGGGTAAATATCGGGCAATCATATAGTCTCTTGAGTTTGCGGTGCAGCGGCATCCCTATTGTTTAAGTCCGTCCTGATAACGCTTGGAAGTTGGCGCATCTTATGTCGCGTCCCATCCAGTAACCCTGAATCCGCGACCGAGGCGCCTCTCGGAACACAGGAACAACAGCGCTGGAAGATCGAGGAAAAGCAGTGTTTTATGCCGCGTAGAAGAGGGAAAGTTCGCTTACCATATCCATCTATAATCCACCATCACGGCTATGGTTCTAGGGAACATTATTTAGCATGCTGTTCAGCTCTTCCGCTGTTCCACCGAGCTACCAAGGAAGCTTGCAGCGCTACTTCAACGAAGTGCTTCTTCTATTTCTCGCCCGAGAAAGTGAGTGTCCAAATGAGCGGCGATGACAGGCAACGATCTGTTGGACCAGTATTACCCCACTCAGGCTGGGCTTCTTGCATAGATGGTTTGCTTCCTGAGTACATCATGAATCGGACAAAGAAGAGAACGTCGACGTCGACAGCGCGGAGTTATGATCTGTGTTCATAGAGTAAAAAAGCCCGCTCAATCACTCGCGAAACTTCAGGTCTTACACAGCTACCGGAGACGGCGACCTCATAACCAAAGCTCGGAAGGAGTTCGGCTCAAACTGGTGTCTCAAGCGTCTTGGAATCCCGTACCACTCCAGAACCAATAACGATTGGAAGAACTCGGCGCCATCCCACCGATCAAGTTGCGCCGTGGATATTGACTGATAAATACACACATGTGCTTGGGAAGTTTGACCTTCCAAGTTCCAATAGATCAAGATCTATCAATGCATTGAAATGAACCGCTTTCGTTCTCGCGAACGTAAGCCGGTTTGCTTCGTAACATGCTCCCTTGCAGTTCACGGGTCCCTTACCGTCGGGTAGCGATAAAATGCGACCTTACCGTGTAAGAAACAAAATTCTGGTGCGAGAACGAAAACATGGGGCGTGGAAATAGAAAGCACGCTCCATCCGTGCACGGCGTTCTCTATCACGTACCACCGACGTAGCATGCGTGCTCGACAGGGAATACAGGAAGCGTACCGACCCTCAAGCTGGAAAACCCGCCCTCCTAATCCCACAAACAACTTCTTTTGAAATGGCTTGTTATTATTAGCGCAGTGCCTAAATACCTTACTTGTCCGAAGGCGAGGTAATATCTTACAGAGCACCGATGGGGGATCTTCCGCTAAATAATATATAAAGTGTCTACAGCTTTACATGGTTTTCAGACTCGCTCCCTGCTCCTTGCGGGCGCCATGTTCTATGCACCAGGACAGGACGTTCAGCGTCCAACACATCCTCGCCTGCATGTACGTGACACTCGAGATGCCCAGGTCGTCCTTGAGGCCGTACGCCGAGGAATATTAAAACCCGTCTCGAGACGGCTCAATGAAGTCGAGCGTTCTACGTTCATTCAGTCTGGCTCCATCTTCGTTTGGGAAGAGAGCGACGACGAACTTGGTCTAAAACGCTGGACAGATGGTAGAGTGTGGAGTCAGTCACGAATGCGCGAGGTAATTTGGATTCCGCGCGCCATCCCCAGTGCTCACGAACGCTAACATCAGGCCTCTTGAAACCATTTAAGCCGTATCTTTTCTATGACGAAAAGCTCCCGAACGACCCTGCAAATGATAATGCACAAGGTTCACGGTCAGTTGCAGGATAATCAGATGGTTCAGTTACCGGATTAATTTTTCTATAGGACACAACCCGTATTCCGGTTCGTTGACGGAACAACTCGAGGAAATGGAAGTTCGTCAATATTATCACATTTCGATCGTTCTGCACATCGTCCGCTCGGATTAGTCAAGCAGGCCTATTCCGCTTATGTTACCATGTCACCAAATTCGAGACCACGCAAGTGGCATTTGACCGCATATTTTACCTACGCGGACCTCCAGCAACTGCCAAGCATCGATGACGATCCAACGCTGCGTTCTATTTCCATTCCTCCCGGTGTTTACCGCAGCGGAAAGGCACGCTCGCGAAATTCCGACCTGGGCGTAGATATGGCCTCAAGTTCCTCATTTGTGTCATCTGCCACATCGTCACCGACATCAACTCCTCGCATGACGGGCGCATCTCCTCCCACGGTGGCCACTAACAGTCATTCCCAGGCGCAGTCGGGACTCCCAGCGCGATCTCCTACGTTACCACCCCTGCACACAGCTGTTAGCGGTATCGAAACAGTTCCTAGCCCTGCTAGTCCGAATAGAGAGTCGAGATGGTCTGAAGATCAGAGAGTCATCCAGATGCTTAATTCTCGCCATATACGCTGACACATTGGGAACTCTGTCATAATTGCACAATTGTTGAAGGGGCGCAACTGGGCAATTTATCTTCATTTCAGGGAGATCGTGATACAAAAAATGCTTCCGTGTTAATTGAGGTTGACAAGCCGTTTCAGCCACGTAATGTATCTCCGTAGGCCATCTCAGCCATGGTTTTCTTTGTATGCAATGCAATGGCCTGAAGGAGGGCCCAGTATAGCAAGAACGAGAAGAATGGGAAGAATAAGTTGACAAGAGGTTACGACTCCTCGTCCGAAGAGTTGTCGTTGGTCTCTGCATTCTCCTGGGCGCGCATCGCTCCGATAATGTCGTCCGTATCACCCTTCTGAGCGGCTAAACGTTGCCCTAACGCATTCAGATAACGGAATGTCAAGTTAATGTATCACTTCAAAACCCCAAAGACTGACGAATAAGGGTGTGAATCGCTTCCTGTGTTTTCCTCTCTAATTTTGCCATCTTACGGTCGAGTTCTCGCTTGAGGTCCCAGTTTGGGCGCTTCGGCGCAATGTTTGTTAAATCCTACGCATTTTCACTGATCAATACATCGAAGGAACGATGGACAAGAGATGGAACGAACGAGGTCTTGTGCACGTGTCTCTTCGTCCTCAGCAACGATTTGGTCAGCCAGGCCGGCAACATCCCTTTCGACTGTATCCTCCATGTTTTCATCGTCATCTTGCGTCCTCTTCCTCAACGTACGAGACTGCGGATCAAAATTACGCCTTGAGAGGATAGGTTCCGAACTACAGAAGATCTTCGTCAGTTACTGCCAAGCCAGTATCCTATGTATAACGACCTGCCTATGTTGGCCCTCCCCGTTCACGCCCTCTTTCTTTCTTCGCAGAGCCAATAGCCGGAGTTTTCGGGCGTCCGCTTCTTCAGCAAGAGACATATTCAAATGTTGAGTGAGCAAGGGGCGTGCCAAGGAAAGCTTGAAGCTGTGGAAGCCGCTGTGGGCGAGGACGTTGGACACGTTTGTCACGTGACAATTTGCAAGCGTCCCGGTACCGAAGTTGCTGTTTACTCTTGCCCTCCATGTACACTGTTCCGTAACTTCCATTCCATACGGGACTATTTTCCGTGAGATAGCCCTGCACAATTGCTATGCACGTTTTACGCTTCACACGGTGGACTCCTTTGCCATGCTCCGGGCGGACTGCGCTTTCGGCCTCTCTTTTACATAGGTTCATTTCGACGCCTACAACGGTTACCCCGCTTGAGAAAGACGGATTGGACATGGCCGATTACCCCGCGCGTCTGATACGGTAGAAATGACACAACCAACTTTTTTCTCCTTTTTTTGTGCTGATTGCCGCTCGTAGCAATTTCTCGATCATTGCGCACATCGGTATCATCGGGATTCTATATTCATGTCCTCCTCTTGCTAATTAAAAGTACATGAAGATCACGGCAAATCCACGCTTGCGGACAGGTATAATTAACTTCTAAACTACTCTGGCTGTCCTGATTTAGTGAACGCATTGTTACTAGGCTCCTCGAGGCATGCTACATTTATCTGACAATGTGACAATGACTGATTGGACGAGTACTATTAGCTGACTGGGACCATAAACGTAAACGGAACTAACAAGCAAGTCCTAGATAAGCTCAAGGTTGAACGTGAACGAGGTATAACAGGTAAATCTGCAGACACTCCGAGTTATGTGTTCTATGGTGGATAATATAATCCTTTTAGTCAAAGCTCAGACTGCCAGGTGAGATTCATTAGAGATTCATCTACAATATTTAATTACATCAGACAGTATGATATACTCGCTTCGCGGACAAAAATTTCTTCTAAATTTGATTGACACACCTGTCAGTGCTTCTATACGCTACAGCAGCTAGGTCTAACGTTCTTTGACAGGGCCACGTTGATTTTGCTTGGGAGGTATCACGTTCTCTGGCCGCGTGCCAAGGTGCCTTGCTATTAGTTGATGCGAGTCAAGGAGTCCAAGCACAGACTATATCCGTGTTTCACGTTGCAAAGGAGAGTGGTATTAAGATCATCCCGGTCTTGAACAAGGTATCTAGACTTTATGAAGGCGACTTGCGAGCCAAATTCTGACCTTCCGATAGATAGACCTGCCTGCTGCACGTCCCGAACAGGTGGCAGCAGAGATGGAGATGACTTTCGGCATCAAGCCTTCTGAGATATTGCGTGTATCTGCGAAAAAGGGAACGGGTACCGTGTCTGTTCTAGAAGCAATTGTCGAACGTATACCTCCTCCCAAAGGCAATATTGACGGGCCGTTAGCAGCCTTCTTATTTGATTCTTCGTGAGCGCTGCACTCAATTTCAAAATCTTTTGATATCTGAAGACTTCACCTTCCTTGAGATACGACCGCTATCGGGGCGTGGTATCTTTGGTAAATGTAGTCTCGGGGCACTTACGGAAGGGTCGGAAGTTTCCTCATGGCATCTGAGGATTAATAACACTTACCCGATTTGTACACTATTGGAACAGGAGACAGGATCAGTTCGTGCTTTACGCGGAAGAAATATGAGGTTACTGAAGTTGGCGTTATGCATCCGGAGCAAGTGCGAACGGGCATTTTGAACGCTGGACAAGTCGGCTATTTGGCGTGCAACATGAAAGATTCAACAGAAGGTGCGCATAAGGATCCAGTGGCTCCACACAGCCATGGCTAATATTGGTGTAAACAGCACATGTGGGAGATACGTTGTATAGAACGGGCTATCCTGTGAAGGCGCTCCGCGGATTTACACCATCCAAAGCAATGGTAAGAGTGACCGAAGGCGTATATTGTGGATTGTGATTTATCGCTGCAGGTTTTTGCAGGTGTTTTCCCAGTCGATTCGAATGATTTCCCAAAGCTTGAGGAGTCGATAAAGCGGGTAAGGTGCCGAAATTCTTTTACCTTATGGTCTCTCTGATTCTGTGAAAGCTTACTCTCACAGACCGCAGTGTTACCGTTCAACGCGAGTCATCTGCTGCTCTGGGCCAAGGCATGCGACTCGGCTTTCTCGGAACACTTCATATGGATGTGTTCAGACAGGTTCGACTTCCTTTCCGAGTTCCCACAAGCCCAAATAGTAAATGTAACGCTGCCGTACAGAGACTTGAAGATGAATATGACGCGAACATAATCATCACGGCTCCAACAGTCACGTACAAAGGTTGGTGGGGTAACCGGATTTAGCGAGCCTATGGTATAATATAAACTTTGCTCTAGTGGTTTATCGAGATCGGACTGCGTTTGTCAGTAACCCTACGGAGTTTCCTGACGTAACGGATGCCCGATCCAATGTCTTGGAAGTACAAGAGCCTATAGTAAATGCGTCGATTATTGTGCCAGAAGGTATACTGCCTGACTACTTCTGTGTAGCTGCAGTACGGTATGCTGACGATTCTGTACATCTCTGCTCTTCTAGAGTTTTTGGGAGAAATGATGGACCTTTGCTATTCGCGCCGAGCTACAGCCCTTGACCATCGTTACCTGGACTCTTCCTCGACATCTGCCAGAGTCTTATTAACATGTCAACTACCTCTCAGCGAGATTGTTACAGATTTCTTCTCGCTGTTGAAGAGTCGGAGCTCCGGCTACGCCAGTTTTGAGTAAAACAATGTCTCAAAATTTCCATGCGATTCAAACTCAATGAGATCTTACGTAGTTATGAAGATGCTGGCTATCAAAAGAGTGATCTATCGAAGGTATGATTCATAATTATTCCCAATGAATTTGCCTTATGGAAACTATTTTAGATGATCTTCCTCCTGAATTCGAAACCTGTGGATGCTCTTGCTTTGATCGTAGGTATTATTGGTATGCTTCAATGGACTGTTCCTCACTGACTATATAGGTGCATCGTTCCGCCGAACAACACGTGGGACGAGCATGGGTGAAAAAGCTTCGTATGTCGGCTCAAAGATTTCCTCTACCATGTTTTAGTAATCATAAAACGCTTCGTGCGCAGATAAAGTGATTCCAAGACAGCTTTTCGAAGTACCTATACAGGTAAGTGGACGGTTATCCTGCATCTTCGAAGTTGATCTTTGGTTATTCATACTTAACTCAATTGCTGTAATTTAGGCGGCTGTTGGGAAGAGAATCATTGCAAGAGAAACACTATCGGCTAACCGCGCCGACGTGACTGCCGGGCTGTACGGAGGTGAAAATTGACCATCATTTTATTCCACTCTATCGCAACTCACTATCCTACATTAAGGGCATTACGAACGAAAAATGAAGCATCTCGAGAACCAAAAGGAGAGTAAACGCCGGATGAAAAGAATTGGCAGCGTCGAACTGCCACAGGAGGCATTCTTCGATATACTCAGTACCACGCAGGGCAAATAGACTTCAACCCAGCATCAATTCATCCTTTGTATTGGCTCCCCACGGCCACAGCGATCGATTAAGAAACGTGTGATCGTGGCGCACTACTAGGGCACCCCGTTTCCGTAATGGTAAGACCTTCCTGTCGCAATTTTTTTCATGTAGGCCGGGTACGGTGAATAGTGTATTACAACATTAATGTGACCTCATCAGTTGAGTTAAGGGGGTACAATAGTGCGCGAATATTTTTTAGGGTGTATGAATGTTCAGGGTGTCTCGTGGGAAGTGTCAGCTGCACCGCGAGAAAAGGATGCCCTTACAGTTCTGTATCCTCGTCATCGTAGGTCTCCTTGATCAATCTATCGGGAGCATTCAATGTACTGGCCCTAGGCACATTAAAGATAGCGTACCTATAAACGGAAGACGGTGGATGATCCCCACTGAGAGTTCGGCGACACATGTGTCAGCAATGATAGTCGAAGGAAGCGGAAGAGAGACCCAACTCATTGGTGATATAAACATCCAAAAGTTCCGGTTTGACGTAGTCGTAATAAGGATTGACTACATCCGCCTTATCCACCAGACCACCTTCTTCAAACCCGAGGACGCTACTCGGGTCGGCAAAGTCAAGGGCACCATATTGGTGGTACACATTCCAAAGCGGCGTCAGCTTGAACTGGCCCGCACAAACGACTACGGGTGTACTGTGTGCACGCGCTGCAGTCGTAGCTAGCAGAGATCCTGTAACTGCGTACATGCCACCATTGGCGAGAATGGCGTGTGTACCTAGAACCACTTTGTTCACCCGCGACATGATCGCATAAATGGATGAGTCGGGGACGAGGATAGTTGAGATTCCCGCAGACGACAGAGCGCGCGCCATCTCATGTCCACTGAATCTAAGTGAACAATCAGTCTCACTGGAGTGGTCGGCGGTGTGGCGCATTTTACGCACGAGGGACACGTTTCGGCAACAATAACAGTAAAATTTCTATGGTGTGCAGCGGCCTTCAGATAGGCTTCCACTGTTTTGGATTTACCAATGGTGAGGATAATCTCGCTGTCATGAGGAAACAGAGTGAAAATAGAACTTTAGGAGCAAGCGAAGTTAAGGCGCACTCAGAATGTATGTGGTCCTTCGCGCCCTTGGACACATTGTCATAAACGGTCTCGAGTTCGTCCAACACGTCTTGGATAGCTTCCATTAGGACAGGCTTGAGGCCCTGTGCGAATGCATCCGGATCGTTGGCTCCTGTGGAGTCCGCCTTACCACCTGCAATAGATGTCTTTTGGATCGTAGGTTGCTTCTTGGGCTGGCCCATGAGGACGAAGTTTGATATTGAGAAGCTTGACCTCGATACAGGTTTTGCAGCGCCTTCGTAAGCAGCATTATATTCTTCGCGGATATGATGAAGAACCTTGCGGATAGTGTTGCCAACAGTGAACTCTGTGAAAGGCTGGTAATGAAGTAGATGGATTGGGAGACCCGAAAACCACGCACCTTTCGGTTGAGCCTCCACGAGTTTGTGACCCACTTCTTTGATTCTCGCTATAAGCTCTTCGATATTCGAGAATTTGGCTCGTAGAATGACTTGTCGTATTACATGTAAAGTCTCCAAAGCAGTTTCTCTAGAACCAACGAGTTGTCTGGAGCATTGCACAGGTGTTACCCAAGGTATTGGCAAGTTCTTGGACTAGTGGTGGCGGCTTTGTACACATACCTTCTTCGAAGACGCCATGCAAGGTTTTCTACTTGTCGTTGGCTTGCTGTGCTTGATCTTTCTGAAGACATCCTGGACGTTTGGTACGATGCGTATACAGTAGTCGCGCTGTATGCAGCTATAGACATGGTGACTCGACAGGGTTATTGATTATGTAATTCACATCATATTTGACCGGATCAACGGGACGCCTCGGCGCACGTGCGCGCGAAGAGCGCTGAATTCACTGCTCAATTTTTGCGGTGGTTTAGACTGGCCCCAGTTCGCACTCCTGTTCTGCATATCTCTTGCCCTAGCATAGATAGTGCCTTGAGAGGAATAAAGTACAGTACAATTTTGGCTCGGAAAGCCTTGGCACACTACTGATTCTCGTCTCTTCCAGTGTGTGGCATACTTGGTCTTCTTCTGCATGATCCAAGCATCGATTGTGCCGCCGAAATCTGCGAAGGTCTCTCGTTGCTCCAGCATCGTGGACAGGATGCCTGTGGTATAGTCACTTGCGGCTATAAGGGTCGTTTGTATCAGTGCAAGGCCAATGGCATGGTTCGGGATGTCTTCGACAAGTCTGCATTGAGCAGGCTTTCTGGTGGAATGGGTGTGGGACATGGTATGCATATATTGTACCTTAATGGGAATCTGACATGTATCATTACCCATCTAGTCCGCTACCCTACAGCTGGGAGCTCAACCCATGCCGAGGCCCAGCCATTCTACGTCAACTCACCTTACGGGATTGTCTTCGCTCATGTAGGTCACCTTCTGTTCAAACATATTGCATTCCATTTAACAAATGCCGAAGAACGGAAACCTCATTAACACCGCTGCATTACTCCAATTTATGGATGCAGAGGCGCACAGGCATATCAACACGAATTCAGATTCTGAGCTTCTATTGAATATCTTCGCCGATAACCTTCAGAAGACTGGTAAATTTCGTATCAATGAGGAGGATATATTCACGGCGATCGGTGGCCTAATGGAGCAGTGCATAGGCGGGTATGCATGTGTGGCAATGTTAGCGGGCTTTGGGATAATCGCATTCCGTGATCCCAATGGTATTCGCCCAGTAGGAATGGCGAAACGCAGCACTCCAGGTGGACGTGATTACATTTTTGCCAGCGAAAGCGTCGTCGCGGATGCAAGCGGATTTACTGGTTGGGAGGACGTAAAGCCTGGTATATACTCTACCTGCTTTGTTCTTGTAGCGTTCAATTGATCATTTGCGATATTGTTTAGGTGAAGCCGTGATTATCACACGCTCACAAGTATCTAGGCGTCAAGTAGGGATTGCCTCAACCTTCGCGCCTGATATCTTCGAATACGTATATTTCGCTCGCCCAGATTCCGTACTCGACGGAGTGAGCGTATACAGAAGCCGCATGGCCATGGGCGATCTTCTTGCCGACGAAGTCAGTAGAATTCTTGAAAACCATCGGATTAGTGTTGACGTTGTCATTCCTGTGGGTTTATTCTTCTCTTGCGCGGGTTTCAGCCTAAAGCAGCAATACATGAAGGTCCCAGATACATCACGAGTTGCTGCCCTCAATCTTGCGCAGAAGCTTGGATTGCCGTACAGGGAAGGTTTCATAAAGAACCGCTATGTTGGACGCACATTTATTATGCCGGGTCAGCAAATGCGGTACGTAGTGTCCTTCTGTGCACAATATATCAAACTCTAAGCCAACCAACAAAGACGACAAAATGTGCGACGGAAGCTGAATGCAATGGCACTTGAATTCTCCGGCAAGAATGTTCTGATTGTTGATGGTGCGTTATTCCTTGACCGCAATTAGCTCGTCATAACCGCGGGAGTGGCTCTAGATTCAATTGTCAGGGGAACAACATCAAAGGAAATTGTACAGATGGCAAAAGACGTAGGTGCCAAGAAAGTTATCGTCGCGAGCTGCGCACCACCTATTCGGTCTGTCAGATTTCGAAAGATTGGACTGTATTCAAATACTCATATAAGGCGGAGAACTTTAGATATTCTAACGTATACGGAATCGACATGCCTTCTCGTGCGGAACTCGTAGCTCACGGCCGGGACACGACAGCCATTGCCGAGTTCATCGGCGCAGACCTTGTTATCTTTCAGACGCTGCCGGACCTCATTTCAGCGGTCCGCCAATTCAATCCAGAAATACCCAGTTTTGACTGCTCCGTCTTCACCGGCGAATATGTGACTGGCGGTGTTGACGAGCCATATCTCCAGCATCTGGAGAGACTCCGCGCAGATAATGTAAAGAATAAGGGTCAGGTTAATCAACTTTCGGCGATAGAAGGCAGGGGCGGAGGTGCCCTGTCACACAATGGGTTCACTCCTAGCGGCGATGCGAATGGGCTGAGAGAAACACCTGTTGCGAGTAGTGGTCCATTGAATGGTGCCGATGACACAGTCGGGCTTCACAACAGTTGGACAGGCTCACGATAGGTATGAATGAAGATTGTTATGTCCGTGCTAGTTCTGTATTAACAAACTTTCATTAAATGGATTTTAGGCCATATCAGTGTGGAAATATCCCACGCGCCTTCCTTTTAACTCCTCGCTGCATCAGCCTCCTTATAGGTATCAACGAATTAGACATGACTTAGAGCTGACTTTGAGCAATGAGTCCTCTGCTTCTTGTTAAGTCACGTGCTCCACTAGTATTCTTATGTAATTTTATGTACTACATGCTTGTCTTTATGTTATGGAAGGAAATAGACAGTCCCTTTCGTGGGGGATTATTATAGAATCCCTTTGTCATAGTGGTAATATTGGGAAGAAAGCGCGAGCCTGTCGTCGCTGTAGTACTAGTAATAATTAGTGTGTCAATACTGCGGCACGTGATGGGATGGACGCGTTTGTGCCGCGCACATCACACCGCGCCCGCTTTGTGCATTAGCAGCGGCTGTACTATCCAGGACTGACTGCTCAGGTTTGTGCCACTTGTAAGTCATGGACGCGATCAAAGTGGCCAAGGTCGGTGACTTCAGAGGTTTGAAAGATTACCGTCGTTAATTTCGTCGTTCCACAGGTCGAAGCAGTGAAATGTCGGAGAGCTGGCCGAGCTACATCTGGCACCTTGCATTTGACTGCGCATCACCTAATATTCGACGATGACGAAAAGACAGAAGACGAGGAGTGGGTAAGTGACATACCTCTGTGATATTGTTGTGTGCTGAGCCGACCCCTAGATCCCTTATCCGATGATTTCATTAGTGACTCGTATGCCTATGACGCTTCAGGGATACTATCCACTTTCAATACACCAACGAAACTTTCGTTCCGTAATGTTATACTTTCAAAGAGATGCGGAATCGCAAGATGTGTTTGAGAGCATTCGAGGACTCACAGTGGCCTGTGAGTCAAGATTATATTTAATGTAGACGGTCTTGGTTGACAGACTGTCTAGCATCCGTAACGCAGCTATACGCGTTCTTCTACGCTCCAAGCCCTCCATTAGAAGGAAAGGGTGGCTGGTCACTTTACTCCCCTCGAGATGAATTCGCTCGTATGGGCATAGGATCCAGGTCGAAGGCGTGGCGATTTACGGATATCAATAAAGATTATTCCGTTAGTGTACACTTTTTCTACGCACGGAAGCGTAGCCTGACGGAACATTTAGTTTTGTCCGACATACCCAGCTCGTTTAGTTGTTCCAACCCGAATAAGCGACACTACACTTCAATATGCGTCGAAGTACCGAAGTAAATGCCGAATACCAACATTAGTTTACTTGCACTGGGCAAACTATGTTCGTAAACACTTACGACTGATTGTAGCATAACTGTCTCACCGTTTTCTCGCGTGGGCGCAGGGAACAATAACGAGATCAAGCCAGCCAATGGTCGGAATTACTAACAACCGGTCGATCCAGGACGAAAAACTTATTGAAGCCATTTTTCAATCGCATCATTCTCCTGAATCTCGTGTGTCGACCGGACCTGTTTATGGAGCCACTTCCACAAATTTGATAATTGACGCTCGGCCGACGACTAATGCTATGGCAAATGTCGCAAAGGGGGCTGGTACAGAGAATATGGAATATTACAAAGAAGGCAAAAAGGCATATCTCGGCATAGATAATATCCATGTCATGCGCGAGTCCCTGAGCAAGGTTGTTGAGGCTTTACGAAGTGCAGACGCCTTGGCCTACGGAGGGGATGACTCTGACTACCAACGGTCAACGTCAAACCCCGTACTCCTTGATCGTCAGGCCCTTAGACGGTCCGGCTGGCTTCGTCACCTCTCCGCTATTCTGGACGGCACACTCTTGATTGTTCGGAACATTCACGTTAATTCATCTCACGTCCTGATACATTGCTCCGACGGCTGGGATCGCACGGCACAACTATCGTCACTAGCACAACTTTGTTTAGATCCGTTCTACCGTACATACAGAGGGTTTCAAGTCCTCGTGGAGAAAGACTGGCTCTCATTTGGCCATAGATTCCTCGATCGATGCGGACACCTTTCTTCTGAGAAGTTTTTCATTTCTGCAACCGATATGCCATCGGGGAGTGGTGGTGCAGAAGCCGCGCAGGCATTGTTCGCATCTGTTCAAAATAGACTCGTTGGCCAGGGCCATCTCAAAGAGACAAGTCCGGTTTTTCACCAGTTCCTAGAGTGTGTTCGTCAAATCCAGCGGCAAAACCCTGGCCGCTTTGAGTTCAATTCCCGTTTCCTGGAAAGGATTCACTATCATCTTTACTCCTGCCAGTTTGGAACGTTCTTGTTCAATTGCGAGCGGGAACGTAGATTGGGTGATAACGCTTCGCCGCCTTGCGAGCGAACTCTCAGTGTATGGGATTTCTTAAATTCCCCTGCAGAAGTTAAAGAAAATACAAACCCTCTGTACGATCCGAAGCTGGACGACCCTTCTAGACGCGATGCTCAAGCGAACATGGGTGTTTTGTTTCCAGATCCAAAGGATGTGCGGTTTTGGAACGAGCTTTATGGACGGACCGACGAAGAGATGAATGGTAAATTAGTGGCCGCGGATATTCAAGGTGTAGATGTCATTGGACCTGTCGAGGGCATGGAAGATGACCCTATACCACTCCCTACTGATGCCACGCCAAGCAGCGGGATGCACCAAGCACCGGCGAACCATATCACATCCTCCTCCTCACCATCACGTTCTTCATCCCCTGCAATAACTTTGACGTCCTCGGAAGCACTGTCAGGGGAGGTGACCCCGAAGAGACCCACGCAGAGTTCCCCAAGTCGAGCGCTTACATCGTCGATGACAAATCTAGTGCAGCAAAGGCCAGAGACAACTAGACAGGATAGTTTCCGACCTTTTTCGGCCTCGCCTTCTAACGTCTCACTAAAACCCGGCAGCCCCTCAAGGAACGAGCCGACTGACGCTGCGGTTCGTGAGACCATTCCCGCACGAGGAAGAACGAGTGCTCAGCAAGCAGAGTTCATCCCTGAGGGAGTTCGATCTATTTGGGGGAAATTCTCATCCAATGCAACAGCTGCTTTCTCTGCAGTTCAGGGTGCGTACGGTGGGATGTCAAAAGAAATCAAGAACATCACTGCAACTCAGGGATGGGACGGGACGCGTGGTTTGGGCGGGGAACTGGAGAGTCGAACCAGGACTCCAGGTGTACATGATGAGGCGGACTGGACAACGCCAAGTTCCACCCCAATTTCTACACCACTGAGGCGGGAATCTACCCTTACCCCGTCCTGGGCAGCGGATGCGAACGTCCCCTCGGAACGCTGGAGGAATGACCACCGTAAGCCTTCGCTCTCGAATCTTTCGCTTGAAAACCCTTGGCGAACACAACCACGAGAAATTCGTTCACCTGCAAGGCACGTGGATGACATCTCTTCATCCTCTGTGTGGGCTGAAGATACACGACAATCTCCCAAGTCCCTGCCTCCTGACCCGACGGTATTGCCAGTTGGGACTGCCCAAGTGCCATCTCCCAGTCGGAATAATCCGGTACACGTCAACCCTGAAGACAAATCCAGTAGTCCAGAGGTTGCCTTATCGAAGACAACGAAAGATGGGGATCCGCTGGGCGTATTGTAGCAGTTGCAGCACCATGTATCATTTGTAGTCCGTCGAAATAAATAGAGGAAAAAAGGAAATAAATGTAATTTTAATATAATATGTAGTGTATTGATTTCGTGTATATATATGGACTTACCGCAGCGGTAGGCTACAATTGCGTGATGGAACGCGATTGGTTACGTGATGATGCCTTGTTTGCCGAACGTGAAAAAAAGTCAGACCAGCAATTTCTTCTTTTCCAGGCTTTCTTCTTGTCCTCCACGCCCCCACCTTCCCTTCGTCCCTTCGTCCTTCACGTCCCAGCTTCATAGATCTCGCAGCAATGGCTCCCGCTCCTAACGGTGTCCACGCTTCCCTCGCTCCCGGCCACTTCCTCTTCACCTCCGAGTCTGTTGGTGAGGGTCACCCAGGTAAGATTTTTTCAAAGTTTTGATAGGATCTGAACCCATCTGTCCGTCCAATTTACTGATTTTTCCCTGGACGAGCAGACAAGATCTGCGACCAAGTCTCTGATGCTATTGTAAGTAAATCTCCTTATCTAATTAAATAAAAATCTGGAAGGAAGAACACGTATACTAAGTCTGATCTGTTTTGCTTAGCTCGACGCCTGCCTGGAGCAGGACCCTTTCTCTAAGGTTGCCTGCGAAACCGCTGCAAAGACGGGCATGATCATGGTCTTCGGTGAAATTACCACCAAGGCTCAGGTCGATTACCAAAAGGTCATCCGTAACACGATCAAGCAGATCGGGTACGATGACTCTGAGAAGGGCTTTGACTACAAGACATGCAACATCCTCGTTGCAATTGAGCAGCAATCTCCCGATATTGCCCAGGGTCTCGACCATGGCTCGCTTGAAGACCATGGTGCGGGTGACCAGGGTATTATGTTCGGTTATGCAACTGATGAGACGGAGGAATACATGCCGTTGACCATCATGCTCGCTCACAAGCTCAATGCTGCTATGGCTGCCGCGCGTCGTTCTGGCCTTCTTCCTTGGCTTCGTCCTGACTCGAAGACCCAAGTCACTGTCGAGTACAAGAAGGAAGGTGGTGCAACTATCCCGCTTCGTGTCGATACGATCGTTATTTCCACCCAACACGCCGACTCAATCTCGACTGAGGAACTCCGCAAGGAAATCATCAGCAAGATTGTCAAGCAGGTCATCCCCGCCAAGCTCCTCGATGAGAGGACCATCTATCACGTATGTGCGGTTCGATTAGCACATAATCACGTCACCTTATCTATGTATGTAATAATAGATTCAACCTTCCGGACGCTTCGTCATTGGCGGTCCCCAAGGTGATGCTGGCTTGACTGGCCGTAAGATCATCGTCGACACGTACGGTGGTTGGGGAGCGCACGGTGGAGGCGCTTTCTCTGGAAAAGACTTCTCCAAGGTTGACCGCTCTGCAGCATACACGGCCCGCTGGATCGGTTAGTATCCCCTCCCACATGTCCATCTTTACGTGAAACTGATAAAAAGTTTAAGCGAAATCTCTTGTCGCTGGTGGTCTTGCTCGCCGTGCTTTGGTACAGCTGTCTTACGCCATAGGTGTTGCGGAGCCGCTGTCCGTCTACGTTGACACGTACGGTACTGGGAAGAAGTCCGACCAGGAGCTCGTTGAGATCATCAAGAAGAACTGGGACCTCCGACCTGGTGTTATCGGTATGAACAATTTGAAATTTGAAATCAATCTAGTGACATTGGTCTAACAAATATCCCTTGCAGTCCGCCAGCTCGACCTCCAAAAGCCTCAATACCTCAAGACTGCTTCCTACGGCCACTTCGGTACGACTAACTTTACCCATTTCTTCCTATTTGCAATATCTGATGTCTTTGATAGGCAACCCCGGATACGCCTGGGAGAAGCCCAAGCAGCTCGTACTTTGAGCATTTCTGCTTGATACCCTATTCTCTACATCCCTTGTAGACTCTTGATTTGTGCATTGGAAGTTCATCCTTCCAGCTCGACTGGTGTTTATTTTATGACGAACCATGGCGCGCTCCCCCGCGCCACACACCCTTTACCATTATAGACACCCATCACTACCCTGCGTCTGTATAGAGTGCAGTCGCACCGTCGATCATTCAACACTCGACATTCCCCATCCCACACACACTTCACGCCTACCCACGCTTTTAGGAAATAACGAGAGGAATTAGTAGAATTAGCATGACCTGTAATTGTTGAAAATTATAATCGCGTTCAACCGCGTTAAACGATTTAAAAAATGCATCTTGATGGCAAAAGAGAATCAACCACCCTTCCTATTATACATGAAGTGCAATGATACAATGATACAGCTTGCTTTCCAAGAACTAGTCCAAGGCAGAATATGATATTAATAAGTAATCAGGGTTATTTTGTGCCGTTTAGAATGTCGCGCAGTACTGGTCGTGCGCGAAGTAAACTGTTCTCCAATGTTACTTGCTTTGTTTTCTTTGGATGGGCGACATTTCGTCCTCCAGCGATGCTCGACTTCGGTGGACCATATTTCGACGAATCCTGTTCATTTGCTTCGATGCTTGCTGTTGCGTATGAATGCAAAGTATCGGCTCCCGTGGGTAATGTCAGCACCCAACCTCGTTCTTCCATTAGTCCGAAGAAATCTGAAAGAAGCGGCGATGCTTTTAACGTCTTCCTGCTCCCGAAGATGACAAGCTTGGCGCGTGCTCGTGTAAAAGCGACATTGATTCGCCTCCAGTCTTTAAGCAGGTCACCAATCTGCAAGCACATTTCCAGTAAATGGTACGCACGGTTATGGATATTTCGATATAAGACTGACCTGATTCTCTTCATTTGCACGAACGAGAGAGATGATTATACAGTCCTTATCCCTCCCTTGACTTCTGTCGGCAGTCAAGATCTCAATGCCCTTATTATCCAGCAGCAGACGCGATAGAAGCTTTATCTGTTGTCGATATAGTGAAATGATGCCAATTTGCTCCTCACGCACACCACCGTTTAGGAGTGCAAGGGTCAGTTGCTGGACAAGCGATGCTTCCACCTCGTTCTGGACGAGATCGCCGACCCGTGAATCAAGTGCTGGTAATGCATCCGTGTCGACAAAAATCGCCTTGCAGCTATGCCCATCGAAGAGATCAGAATATGCGGAAACCTAGTCGGTATATTAAGTACCTTTCATCAATTATTGTCTGAATCCAGCATGACGAATCATTTGTGCTACATGAGCGGCCATGTTCTACTGCATTAGGAATGACGAGGGATTGGTCGGCTATTTCAGCAGAGCCACACTTCAGACGATCAGAATATATCAATTTATTCGACAGAAGCATGATATTCGCATTCATGCGGTATTGGTACGTCAGATCCACCACAGCGGTTGGATGCGCACTGGAAAGCCTTCGGAATAGAGATACGTCGAAGCCCCCTTTCCTCGCTTCTTTACTTTTGACCTGGGTGACACAATACTTTAGCACTTGCCACGAACAAGAGAAAAATGAGCAGCATACAAGCGGAGGTAGTTGGAAATGGTCGCCGACTAATATAAACTTCTTAGCAAATCGCAAAGGCCCCACACAAGTAGGTAGAGTAATCTGAGATGCTTCGTCGACAATACAGTAATCAAAACGTCGTCTTGAGAAGAGAGCACTGTACAATGTTCAGCAATGTTCTATCAAGTAAATACATCACTCACTGGTCTGTGGATAGGGCTGTTGCAGCTACAACGGGTGGTCGCAGGAGCTGGTGTTCTAATTGTTCCACTGTCGTTGCACGCTCTCCTGCATTGAGCGTGAATTCCTGGACATTTGGATGTACCTTGATAGTTTGGTGTAAATAATATGTGCATGCCCATCGAATCAAGACATCGCCTTACCTTGTCTTTATTACCAAGCCTCAAAATACCAAACTTCGCCGTCTCCTTTAGCTTGAGCAAAATCGTGTCCACAGCCGAGTGAGTGTATGATGTCAGCAGAACCGTTTTGCCCATCTCCACTAGTACTTTAATCATGTGTGCAACGGTTGTTGTTTTGCCTGTGCCCGGCATTCCTAGAATTAAGGCGTAGTCACGCGCTCGAAGACAGTGTTCCAGCGCATGCTGCTGGCAGGCATTTAGACCGTCTAAGGCCGCATCCATAGGTATATGGCACTCGGCATCAAACTCCGGCGGCTTCAGATCAACGATCTGTTCTAAGAGGCGGCGAGGACTTGACACGTAGAAAAGCTGAGCGAGATTGTCTCGTACACGACCCATGCCACCCAACAAGTCGTCTTTATCAATGCGGAAGGCGATATCTTCCTGTGCAAGTGGGAAGGAACTCCAGGACTTTAAGGACCCAGGAGAAAGACTGTGGTCGCATCCAACAACGATGCTTTCAGGGTTGAGGTCTAGCACGTATCCACGAGCCAATGCAACTAATCGAGGATCGCCTAACACTGAAATGACCACCGGCTCGCCTGAAGTGACATGACCGTGCAACAGACTAGGAGAACTTGATGAAGATGCATCCTTAAGTACGGAGGGCGATCGCGGTCGCCTAGTAAATCGATACGTGTACCGATGAATTCGAGCATTGTCTTGTGCACTTGTCGCATCAAAGGTTGGGTCAAGGACCATGTCAGCGAGACATCTACCCGACTTTTCTCGCTCAGTGGCACCTAGAGTCCAGATTTCTTTACGGAATCGGGTCATGTCCTGTTCCTCAAGAGAGATCAAATTCTCCCACTGCTTGAAGAACATGAGCTGGTTTTCCGATAAGTGCCCAGTCTTTAATTCGTATAAGGCAGCAATTGGAGAGTAGTTGTCTTTGACTCCCTCGACCGCCTGTATTAAATCATTAATTGCATTATCTGAAACTAGACGAACAGACAGACCTTTCTGTACAGCATGCAAGCATCCGCGACATAACACCTACCACATGCTCGCTCTTGATCGATAGTTGGAGGCAAGAACGGCACCTCAGCAGGTTTTTCTTCGTGCATAGATTCCTTTGAATTGGCTTCTTCAAATGATTTCTTCCTTCGTCTCGACCTTCTCATCAAATAATTCGCCAATTCATTCCTTGCCATTATTAAGCCACGCAGCTCATTCCATCCTGGTGGTACTCTAATGACCTCTTCTGACTGTGTATAGAATAGCAAACCTCCGGGAGGGGAACCATGGCATGAAGACCCGGAAATAGGGCTCGGAAGCGGAGTACCATATCGCTCCGCCATAAGCAGCGTGTACAGCATCGTTTGTGCCCGATGCTCCATGCCTGCGATGGCACGACCAGTTTTTATTTCTAGGGGCATTGTAGTTGTGATCGTCTGAGACGGCAGTGGCAGTTGACCGTGCTTCAAATTGAGACCTTTGGTTTCTTCGTCGATGCGAACTTGAACAGTGGCGTCTAGCTTGCCTTTGAGCCCGTATTTCGGCGCCCAAATCTCTTCCTCAACGTCATGAAGATGGGTGATTGCGAGTCGTGACACCTTGCCTTGTCCATCACGAGTGTTTGACAGATACGCGTTTGCCTGTGGAACATAAGTACAATACTCACTAGAGCTGATTAAGCTAACCTTGGGCACTTCGCCTAAGAACCTTTCTCCAAACGCTTTCAAGCCGCCGGCACGCTTGTTAATTTCTATCCTTGCTTCTTCAACTCCAACGTCAATATGTACAAGTTCCGTCAAGCCCTTTTGGATGGTCTCGTCTATGAATGCCTCGATACTTGGCGCGTCCCATCGCTGCGATGAGAGACAACGCTGCATAACCTCGTGAAGAATATTACCCCAAACGAGTGAGCGTGTCTTTCCCGACGACGAGCGCATAAGAAGAGATAGAAGCGAACGACGTGCACAGTGCGGAGCGCCAGCGATTGAAGTCGACGTCATGAGTACATCAGGGTGCTGTATGAGCAAATTACGTTTCGCAGAAATAGTGATATCTTCATCGCGAGGGGTAAATACTCCGATAACGTGTATGGTATCACCTTTGATACAGCGTACGCATTTGTTATTGACACATTGGTCAGTACAATATTGAACTCACCCGTGGAAACGTCTGTCTGGATCCAATCATCTTTTAGTGTAACTGTTCTGCACTTCGATTCCTTTTCTGAGACAACAAGGAGTTTCTTCGATTAAACGGTAAGTCTCTACGTCGCTACGATGTAACAAACCCACGTACCTTCGTCAGTCTATCATGCTCAATCGACTCGACAGTGCACCGAAAGACACTTGCACTGGGATCTGGTGTGCTGGGAATGGCCCTTGTCTAGCGATCGGCTTAGCATATGTGGATTCAAGGTCCGGAGCACATACGTACGGCAGGCTTCTTGCGAACAGGCGAAAGCATATCATCCCAATCCCAGTCTTCAGCTCCTTCAAGGAGAGCTGCAATGTCGTAATCCTGAGAGCCAAGGGCCCGTGGTTTCTTCTTTGCAGACTCAAAGACTACATTGGCATTTTCTTTCTGTCCTGACAAGTGCTTATTCTCAGACAGCTCCTCCGTAGGTCTCTTGCGCTTCTTTGGAGTTGGATCTGGTGAAGGAACTGCGTCGAAGAACGAAGAATCTACGCCAGACAGAAGTTCTTGCATGAAAACGGCCTCATCTTGTGCAGAATGTCTTGAAGACGGCATGAGGGTGAAGACGTGGGTGTATCGCAGAGGAAGCAGAAGCGGCAGAGGATACGCAAGTCGCGATGCCACTGTGACAAAAATAATCGCGATTGTCACACATAGCTCGTCCACGTGATCGTTCCTATATGCACGTGTTTCACACGCTTGATCTTTCTACGCTTTTCCGACCTAGAGCAGCTTGCGGCTTCACTTAAGCTTCAATAATCTAGAAAGCTACGCTCTCAAGGGATTTTAAATGCTTTATTCAAGATGAAGTTATGCGTACTAGTCTATGTAACGCATAAATACCAGTATTGCCCCAGATCCGATTTTTTTGGTCACCTTGTTTCTATGATACTATCCCATCAACGAGACGACATTAATTATACGTGCCAATCTAGAATATCTGCCCATTTTCCTGGAAGGAGTTGCGAAATCTGTTCAACATCCTTGTCGCCTCTACCGGATAAGCACTGGTGCGCAATGTGAGTCAGTTGTCATGGCCCTGAAGACTGAAAGATCGCACATACAATAACAAGATCCTGATCCTTCGACATCGTCTTTGCAATCTGGAGTCCAGCCCAAACGGCGTGCGAGGATTCGAGGGCTATAGGGAGTTAGTAAAAAAAGTGACAACAAATAATGAATGACGTACCAGGAATAATACCCTCGAGCTGTGTGATCAAACGAAAACCACGAAGTGCTTCTTCGTCAGTAGCTACAAGATATTCCGCACGTCCAGAGTCTTTCAACCAGGCGTGCTCGGGACCGACTGCTGGATAATCAAGGCCTGCGCTAATCGAATGGGTCTCTGTAATCTGTCCTTCTTTGGTCTGGAGGACATAAGTCCGTACGCCATGCAGGACGCCCGGAGCGCCCTTCGCTAAAGTCGCACTGTGGTGGTCACCATCGATGCCTAGAAGTACGGGGTCAACGTGAAACCACCACTGTGAAGTACGCGTGACGCACCTTCTCCTCCAGCTTCTACACCGACTAGTCGAACATTTTTATCCGGGATGAAATCATAGAAACTTCCGATAGCGTTGCTTCCACCACCAACGCAGGCTACCACAGCGTCAGGAAGCTTTCCACGCGCTGCTTGCAGTTGTTCCTTGACTTCTGCACTAATTACGCGCTGGAAGTCACGCACGATAGTTGGGAACGGATGTGGACCGATAGCGGAGCCAACAAGGTAATGAGTTGTGGATAGGTTTGTCACCCAATCACGAAGTGCTTCGTTCACGGCGTCTTTCAAGGTACACGAACCCGATTGCACTGGGATGACCTGCAGCAGTACTAAGCTTCCAGGCACAAATACGTTGGAGCGGCCTTACCGTTGCACCAAGCATCCGCATACGGAACACGTTCAAAGCTTGTCGGCGTACGTCTTCGGAACCCATGAATACGGTGCACTCCATGCCAAAACGGGCGCAGACAGTTGCAGTAGCTACTCCATGCTGTCCGGCACCGGTCTCAGCAATGATTCGCTTCTTTCCTAAACGTTTCGCAAGGAGAATCTGAATAATGAAATACGTAAATATAAGTACCATATGGTTCATGAATGCCTAGCGGACCTGGCCAATAGCATTGTTGATCTTGTGTGAGCCTGTATGGTTCCTATTCACGGTGTAAAACATATTCAGCATGCGTTTAAGAAACCTAAGATGGTGACTTACAAGTCTTCTCGCTTGAGCCAGATCTTGGCGCCGCCAGCATGTTGGGTAAGTCTATCTGAATAGTACAAAGATGAAGGCCGGCCCATATAGCCGTAGAGACCTCTGAATTCAGCCCAGAATTCTGGGTCAGCCATTGCAGACTTATGTGCTGCTTCGAGCTCTACCAGGCAGTCTACAAGAGCTTCAGGGACATATTGGCCGCCAAATTCCCCGAAGCGAGCTGGAAGGACGATAGGATCTGAAGAGCTGTTACTAATAGGCGGGCCATCTTGCGCTTCATTGACGACCGGTTGGGTGACATGTCCGTTAGTCGGGCCATTAGCTAGTCGGGGCTTCGCCTGTCCTTTCAGACTGATCTCAGTACAGTAAGTTTTGACTGCCTGTGCAACCTGTCCTGCTGGAGCACCCTTGATGACAGAAACTAGACGACTACCAATCACGATTCCATCTGCACCTGCATTTGCGACAGTATCGAAATGTTCGCGAGTGGCGACTCCGAATCCGACAGCCAGGGGAACGGTTGCGAACCGTCGAACCCTCGCTAATATATTTGGAAGTTCGACGTTCATAGCAATATGCGCCGCCGAACCAGTTGTTCCCATCTGAAGGCAAGTTTAAATAAGTCAATGATTCACCATGTTCGACACATACCTTGGACACAACGTAAATGAAAGTATCAGCAATAGAGGACAGCAACTTGATACGGTGCAAGCTTGTTGAAGGTGCGATCAATGGAACATAGGACATGCTGTCGATCAAGTCGGTTAGCACTATGCTCTCAGTTTCGAGAACAAACTTACCCTTCTTGAGCACATTTTCGTCTAAACTCGATAGCTTCTTCAGGAGGAAGGTCGACCATGATGAAACCGTTTGCACCTGCTGCCCTACCGTCCTGAATAGCCCTCTCCTCACCGTATGCTAGCATCGGGTTGTAGTAGCCTGCATAACAATGATTACAACTAAGCACGAGAATTGCCATGACTAAGGGTATTTACCCATCAGGAGAATCGCAGCTTTGAGTCCCTTTTGGCGTGCCTCCTTGACGTAGTTAAGACAGTCGGTATAGTCAACCTTGTTCTTCAAAGCGACCTTTGAAGCGGAGCATAAGCAGAGGTCTAATTCATATTTGCATTGGCTCACTGAGTTGGTCTCCTGAATGGTCGGGCCGTCCGCAATGGGATCCGTGAATGGTACCCCGAGCTCTATTATGTCTGCACCGCCCTCCTCCATCGCCAGCAGGATCGGGACTGTATCCTCCTTGGTCGGATAGCCGGCAGTAACGAATGTAACGAGAGCGGGGCTGCCCTGTAGAGCATTTGGTTAGATGCAATAGACAAATGTGGCGAAAATATGAAGATACCTCTGCTTTCTTCTTCTCAAACACATTCCTCAAACCGTCGGCCATGGTAATGGAGGTGTGAGCTGTAAGTGACTCGGAGTGTATGCGGGACAGTTTTATGCGCTGGTGAATAAGTATGATCGACGCTCCGGCGAATACCGCGCCTCCGCAAGTGAGTTGACTCGACAATTCCGATGATACACCGATTATACTCGTTTACAGCCTCTCGTTCTCATCACAACATTGGACACAAATCATGGAGACGTTTCAGCCTTCTGATGAATCGCGTGTCCTCGTAATTTCCATTTCCTTTCCTCTACTTGTTCTATTTTTTGACGAAAAGATTAATTTAGGTAATTTATACTGGAGGAACCATTGGGATGCTTGTCGGCCCGCAGGTACGCTATGATGTGCATATATGCTCAAGTATATCGGTCTGAGAACAAATAGGGATATCGAAATGAACCTCACTTTCTAAGAGAAACGCTGCGGTAAGTCTATAAATGTAAAATCGGACTATTGGTCCTCAAGCATTGTTAGCTGCCAATCCCGGTTCCACGATCCACTCGAAGACTCCCTTTACTCTCACTCGGGAACTATTGAAGGCTTCCGAAGATGGTCTTCAAGTGGGCGATCAAGCCCTTCGAATGAAATGCATTCTCCGATCTCGAAGGAAGTGCCTACCCTCATTGTCAAATCAACGAGACCGATCCGCCCTTCACTGCTATCTGATACCCGTAAACCGGATCCATCGCGAAATTCACACTGCAGAAGGATTGAGGAAAACGCATATGAATGTCTTATTCCCAGTTTAATTACCCCACGGACATCCATCCACGCCGGAAACACAAAAAGAATTAGATATGCAATTTTAGAGGTAATTTTTCACATACGCACAGTAAACATGAATCTATCTCAACTAACACCTTCGTAGTGGGATCCACTATTAGACAGTAGCAATGTCGGCACAGAAGGTACATGTTTTGGATCACGTTTCAATCCGATACTGAAGCATCCCCTTCTAAGACTGGGTCCGCATCGCGACTGAGATTGAGTTAAACTATGCTGCGTTTGATGCCTTCGTTATTTTACATGGCACGGATACCATGGCATATACCTCGAGTGCCCTTAGCTTCATGCTTGAGGACCTCGGAAAGACAGTGGTGAGTCTTTCCCAGCCACTCCGGCGAAGGATTATATCAATCACCGAGTTTCAGATCTTAACTGGGGCTCAAATCCCATTATCGCAATTGCGCAACGATGCGGTGGATAACCTACTAGGCGCCCTATCAATCGCCGGCCAATATATAATACCAGGTTCTTTCACCGATCGTATCGGTCAACACTGCCCGCGCTCACAGTAAAACACGTAGAATGTTGTATATTCTTCAATCAATGCCTATATCGCGGTAATCGAGTCTCGAAGGTCTCATCTTATGATCTTGATGCATTCAACAGCCCCAACTTTCCTCCTTTGGTGAATGGTAAGTACCTTGGAGCTCTTTGATACGGAAGAAACGTACTCTGACCATCATCAAGTTGGCATTGATATAGTCGTCAACTGGGACAATGTAATCAGGCAGACGAGCCTACGTAGATTCAAGGCGCATAAAGGTATATTTTGATTGCTTTTGAACCTACACCCTCTAATTAGGTGAATAGATATGAGCTCTCGTGTTGGTAGGGTTTGTTCCGTACTTCTTGGATTACGCATTCCCTGAGTGTCTCTAAACTGAATCTTCAAGCAACACTCCGACTGTTCCCTGGCATCTCAGCAGAAACCATACGCGCATTTCTCAAGCCACCGATCCAGGGTGTAGTCCTCGAGACGTTCGGTGCAGGTAATGCACCGCAAAAGCGTGATCTGATGGAGGCACTGCGCGAGGCATCAGAACGCTGCGTCGTAGTTGCCATCACGCAGTGCTCTAAAGGGACGGTATCCGATGCATACGAGACTGGACGAGCTCTGCTAGATATCGGCATCATACCTGGAGGAGATATGACACCCGAGGTCCGCATCTCTCGGTGATTGCAACGCTGACACTGACTTCAATCAATGCACTGAATCTTCCCGTCCGACGCTCAAATACAGTGCGCATTAACGAAACTCGGATACCTGCTTTCAAAGCCTCAACTGACGATTGAGAAAGTCCGGGATCTCGTTCGTCTCCCCCTCCGAGGCGAATTGACCGCTCCGCGCGGGAGCTCAGCAAGGCCGTCAATGGCACAGCACTTAGACACACTACAGGATTGCCTTGCACAGATGATGCGGCTTTCAAGCTCATCGTCGCCGAACATTCCGGAGATTGTTGTCAGCTCAGACCAACAGCCAGGACGTAACTCGGACAACCCAACTGCATCTTGGTCATGGACCGCGGCAGAAGCAAGCGCAACAGAGTCGTCACTCCTACACATCCTCATCCGCCTCGCGGTTGCAAAAGATGACGTCGAAGGTCTTGAATTCTGCTTGAGTTACCAGGACAACAAAGATGTAGCACAAAGCCGCGTCGACAAAACACTCGGCACTCCCGCAGCAGGAGTCGTCAACAGTATTGATCCGTGTTCCGGTTGGGCTCCACTGCATGTTGCTGCTTTCAATGGTAGCGAACGTACCGTTGCCATTCTTCTGCAAGCAGGTGCTCTGGTCCATCTTCGGGATTCGCTTGGACATACCGCACTTTACTACGTGAGTCGATTCCCGTTCGGAAGCAGAGATGTCTCAAAGACTATTGACGATTCCATTGCATTCCATCTAGGCCGCGAGACGCGGACATACTGGAATTGTCGAGATCCTTCGGCAAGCTGGAGCGAATTTGGGAGGAACGGACATCGAAGGTGGCTTCGTAGCCTTAGAAGTTACAAAGGCAGCTCAAAGATACGATGAGGTTGCCTTGCAAACATGGAGAAAGGCAGGGTATGAGGCAACAGGGGAATTAAGCAAAGCGTGAATATTAGAGAAAAGAAAGTGGAAAACATGAATCAAGATCCATGGAAGCGTAAGCTGACCATTCCTCCTATACAAAGCAAAATAATTATAATACAGTACCGCACGCATCAGACGAGCCAATCCAATAAGAATAGGAGCCATAGAAGCACACTTCTAGATCTCTGCAGATCCAAATGCTTCGTTCATAACCGTATACAACTTGTCCAAAAAGACATCGAGCTGTTTACGATGAAACGTGAACTCCTCCGCTAGGAAGTCAAGCTTCTCTAACGACTCTGGTGATTTATCGCTCATCTCCTTTGGGGTATATGCAACCTTCTCCACGCTCTCCCCATCCTCCCCTATCTCAAAGTATGTCCGAAGTGAGAATGCAAGGCCTGGAAGAATAAATCAGATAAGTCCACCTAACCATACGAGAGAGAGAAACGCACTCCAGTCGGTGCCAGAATGTGAGTAAAGGCAGCTATAGACCCATTGCTCTTCGTTCGTATCAGCAGATATTTCGCATCTCAAATCGAGTATTAAGATATTTGTTAGGTCTTCGTATAACTTGTGCGCGTTTGTTGCCTTGACACCATCAAGTTTCACGCCAGAGCTGGGACCAGAAACAATACGCGATCGAGGGAGAGCTTCTCGGCCATTGGGACGCGAAGAAGCCAATGTTTTACTTCGCTCAATCTCTGCAGCTAGTTCTCTCCGCAGTTCACGAACTTTTCGTAGATGTTAGGCTGCAGGTCCAGGTAAAATACAAAAAGGCTCACTTTCTCCTGCCTGCCCATCTATTGTCGCATCTTTCTCGCCAATAACCCTGTCCTTTTCCTTCAAAGCTTGCTTAAGCTTCTCCACCTGTCGTTCAACGCCTCTCCGTTCCTCATCGGCAGCTTCACGAGTGAGGAAGTGCAAAGTAGACGTTTTCCCCTCTCTTGTAAGTGCATCAACTCGGGCAAGCTGGGATGTGAGCTCTTGAATCATTTCCTCCTGAGCTATGAAAGGTTCGTTAGTTTGACAAAACGTACTATTCAACAATTACACACGTACTCTGGAGCCGACTTTCATATACAGCAGCCTGTTGCTCGGTATGTAACTCAGCTTCTGTATTTCGCACTTGGAATGTTTCCTCCAATTCATTCGCAAGATTATCTCTTTGCATTTGAACCTTGGTGAATAAGAACAAATGAGCAACGAAACACAATGATAATTAACCTGTAGCATACATCTTGATAACGTTTCTGCAATCGCTCTATTTCTCTCCTAAGCTTCTCCTCTCTTTTCTTCCATGCGGCACTCTCCCCATCTTGTCGATTTCCCTTCAGGTTCCACGATTGAGTCGGGGGTCGTGAAGTTTCTTGCGGCTCGTCCTCCTCATCCGCCCTAATCTCCTCAAGATTGTCGATATCCATCACTTCCGGAGACGGTTCCCGTACATCATCATCCCTTGCCTTTCCTTTACCCTTCTCACGAATGGACCTCGCTGCCTTTGAATTTCCTGGCCGTTCGGGTTCGCGCGATGCGGCGCGTTTAGGTCGGCCCCTCTTTCGTGCGGGTGCGGGTGGGTCTACGACTATCGCAGCAGCATCGTCGCTTGCACGCGCTCCTTCATCATCATCTTCAGGCGTAGGAGTCCGCTTTTGCGTATTTGAACGTGTTTTGCTTGCAGGCTTTGAAGACGGACCAGCTACTGCGGTGCGTCCATTCGCTCGTTTCCTCTTCACATCCTCGTATATCTCGACGCGGTAAGGTGTTGATGTCGCGTCATAAGTAGCTGTAAATTCCACATGTCAAGTTAGCAATGTGAAATGATTTTTAATGCTTGAAATGTACCGAGTTCATCTTCCGAGCTCATGGTGGCTCTGCTACACGAGACGCGTGTGGACCGCGCAGCAACAAACACGCTCAGCACGTGACACATAAACAGATTTAGGTCTCCGCGTTTATTTGCAATTTTAATTTTAATCTTGGTGTGGAAACAAGACACACGACGAAAGACAACGACCAAGCATTGCATATTCCGCTCCCCATCAATGGAAGCACTTCTAGTATTACATCCTTTCAAAACCCAAAAAAAAGATAGCAGACACAGTCCACCGAACGATCTAAGTCCGAAGAATCCAAAACTCTTCCTCTCCCTCTCACATGATACATCCAGCTACCAGACCAACAACAGCAAGCGCGGCCGACGCACTACTGAAGCTCAACTTCGACAATGCGCTGCTTGCTGTCGGTGATGGGCTCGCTCCTACACCAGACTGCACGACTGATCCGCTCGGAGATACGGCACCAGTACCTGTTGCGCCAGTTCCGGAAGTACCGGTTCCAGTCGTTGTGTTGCCGCCGGTTGCCATTGCAGCAGCCTGGAAGGCCTCAAAGCTCTTAGCGGCATTAGCATTTACGGCGAAGACCATGCCCTTTGCACAGTGCCTTCAGAGACAATGTGTAAGAAGAAATCAACTGCTGCATATAGGCACAAGAACTTACCCGGTTTGAGCACAGAAGAACCACAAAGGCGCGGATGCATTGTTGACTGTGAAACTCCACTGCGGAACTTCTGATGCGTTTGCAGTTACCGGGAAGAAACCGGAGTCGACACCACTCGAATTGCACGGGCTTGCAAAGGTCGATTGAGTGACAGACTAAAGACAAAAGGAACAAAAGGAATTAGAACAATTATGGAAATGGGCCACAATGAAGTCATACGTGGTTCTTCGCCAAACTAGCCACAACATCAGTCGCCGAATTAAATCCACAGTAGTCCAAGCCACTCACAATTGGAAGGCAATGGTGTCACCCACAGAGGCATTGACCGAGGAGGGGTTGTAAGTCAAGCCGTTGTTTGCACCAACTTGTACAAGGATATTCGCAGCAGAGACGGAAGTGATCGCAGCGAGGGCAGAGATAATACGGCAGAACATCATGATGGCGAAGAGACGACGAAAATTCGGACTCAGTCAGAAACGATGAGTGGGTGAAACCGCGTAAATGCGAGGCTAATAAATGGAGAGGTAAGTATTCTAATACTAAGCTTTATTTATTTATTTTTAAATGAGAGATGCTTACCCTGCTCGAAGACGGGAAAGGAAAGGTGCAAGAGGACAAAGAAAGGAGAACGAAAGAAGACGGTGGGGACAGAACGAGAGGGCGTTGAAAGGGAAGAAAAGTGACGGGTCTGAAGGCTTTTGTACCTGTTCTCGGGAGGCAACCGGCAGGCGCCGACTAAATTAGGTAATCTATTGTTGACGGTCAGTGGCTGCGCTGCGATTGGCCGCGTAACGGGAACGGGAAGACATGCACTCTGCTAAACTAGACTCCGTTGTCCTGGTTTCTCAAAGTTCTTTCAGCATGCGGCCCCCGCAGAAGTCACTTCAGCAGAAAACAGAATTCGCAGCAAGACTGTGTCATTGAGACGAGCTACCTCTGAGTCGCAGCCACGTGAAGGCCAAACCACCTGGTCTCCGTCCGATACAGTTCATCAAACTGCTGAACAAATCGACTGTCTAATCTACATCAGTACATGCCGCCATCAGGGACTCAGACAACTTGGCATTTCATTTCCGGACAGATGTCGTCGAACTTGTAACTGAACGTAGTGCTATTTCTTACTTTGGAGGGGGTAATGAAGCATTTCTCGAACGCGTGGTAGTATTACTGCAAGAAACACATACGAATTCTTCACTTCGGGTAATGCAGTGTGTCAGTGATCTACAAGATATTTTTCGCCTATCTCTGGGCGTGATTTTCAGAGATTTTCGTAGTGGGAACAACGGATGGCCGAAAGTGAGGAAGAAGGTTTGATGAGTGATGACCTTGATGCCCAGAAAAGGCAGGGCGACATTACGGAAGTACCGGCACGTGTTTGGAATAGCCGACGGTTCAGGAGAGTTTTCGCCCAGCTAGTGCCTCCTTTGAAGCCTTTGACTCTTCCGTCCTATCCTTACTCTTTCCTGCTTTCATCCGTCCTTCATCCTCGCCATACGCGTTCTCCAAAGGTCAGTGACGCCCGCCCGTACTCTTTGCCCCGTTTCCATATCATAAATCACGCGTCTTTCTGCTTTTTTCATCAGATCTCGCCTGGACGAGCTTGATACTTCAGCCTTCTGTCAGTGTAATACCGTCGTCACCCCGCGTCTCCGAGTCATCGCACACAATGAGTTCGCGACCACACAAGCAGTCTATGTCGGAGCTCAAGATCCGACGACTGATGGAGCACAACCAGCGTTTAAGAGAAGATCTTGCGCGGCCGCGTGTGCGGGTAAGCGAAGCCAGCGCCAGGTGTGTCCCTCCCGTCTCTCACCGGATGCTCGTTTTCCTCATCCAAGTTACGCGTTGTCTCCGTTCTACAGTTTGATCCAATACTGCAAGACAACAAAGGATCATCTTGTTCGTGCCTATCATCAGATGTCGAACTCAAGAGCGTGATAACTGACAAGACAACTCTTATGACTTTTATAGGTGCCATCTGTGTGGGGCCCGGTAGGGCGAGGGGAGGACCCGTATGCACCGCCGGCACAAGGCTGTCAGTGCGTGGTCATGTAGACGTGTCTTCCATGCATGCAGGCAGACTGGCCTGTCATCGTCGTCGTTGTCGTCCTGGAAAATATACCTCCCACGGCGGGAAGAGGGCAGTTTTCGGTCACCCGGACTTGCGGTCACCCGGTTCCTCCTTTTTTGTGTTTTCGTTATCGCTTCTCTTGACACTCGTACTTTATCGTTCATTGCTTCGTTCCTTGCCAGTTTATCCGAATGAAGACTCGTTATCCTGCTCCACCGACCTGATTGAAAAAGGGACCCTCGTTCGCGGTGCGCTCATTCAACAGACCAGGGCTTGTTCTCCATGCTGCCGACATTCAAAACCATTGAAACCACGTTCCTCATTTGTGATTGCATTCTGCTTTCGAACTTGCATGGTGGACACCTTCGGTATCATGCGAACAGAGGGTTTCACCAATCCAAGGAATTTATATAAATTCATTCACCATTATTCCGTCATCCCGATCCCGTCAAATTCGGGTTTTATCTTTACCTTCCACCCTTTCGACGTAAATACTATATCTTTATCTTCACCTACTTGCTCGTCCTCTCGCATCCTTCTTCCCAGTATTGATACACCATCATCATTGTAGTTCCTGCACCCAGTAGATGGGGCTATCCACCAGCAATAAGCATAACATATTCATCGGAGCGGACGTATTACCCTGTCACTCTTTTGGAGGGAGTTCAAATTGAGGAAGCACTTTCATTATCTTTCGGCAACGTTGAAAAGTGAAAGTATTATAATGCAGAGATGAAGACATGTACGCCTTTCTCTGGTAAAGCACCGATAAATTTCTGTACTTGTTCTCCATCTTTGAAGGCAATAACAGTTGGTAGTGCAGATATCTGAAATTACAGATTTTTGTAAGTATTCAGCGTTGAACGACCTTGTTCATTCATCATCGGGAACTGTGAGACGTACCTCGTACTCCATAGTCAGCGCCATTTGCTCATCTGCATTAACAGTAACAAGATCCAACGGTCGTCCGCTGGCTGTCTTTACGGTATGGTCACCCTCTGGTCCTGGTGCAGTCAACTTCATGAGGATGGGGCTTAGCATCTTGCATGGACCACACCAGCTGAATACGTTTGTACTCGTTAGTAAGTATATTCTCTCCATCCATAGAAATGGACAAATGAAAGTATTACTATTAATTAATGAAAACTTACTCGGCGTAAAAGTCCACAAGTACGATCTTCCCGCTAGAGTTCTCCTTCGAAATGATTTTCGTGAAGGTCTGCCGTTCCATATATCAACGCCAAGCACCATCACCCAACAAAGAATTTGTATAGACAATGTTCCCATCAGATAAATTACAATACACTGGACTGCAAACAGAAGTGACGTACCGCTTTGTCAACGTCTAGAAACTGGTCCTTCCGACAGACAGTCGCGCGCAAACTGCGCCTTAGCAACACATTGATGGGAGCAGCTTGTCGTACATTTGAGGTGTAGGAGGCTTGGTTGGCCAGACGAGAGGCTGAACGTAAGGTGAACATGGACATGGTCGTTGAAATTCAAAATGAAACGAAGACTCGGAGCGGTGGAACGGTGCGACTCAGGAACCACTTGCTTGTGCTGGAGTATGACATATAGCATCTTATCATTCAATTACTCTTACTCATTTCCGCTTCTTTTGCTTCCGACGACGTTCGAAAAATTCAAATGAGACTGGTATTTTTTCTCAATCATAAAAAGCACAGACAGAGCGGGTACAAACACAATGATATAATAAATACCAAGCGAAAAGAAATCTGATACTTTATAACAACTGAAAGAGGTAAGGGAATCAGGGGAAAAACAGCTGTATAAACATTGGGATACAAAGTAAAGGTCAAGGAAGAACGAAGACTTCGTAAACTTGGAAAAATAGGACGACCACAGTCCGCACGAACACAGTGAAACCAAGACAGATATTTCTCTCGACGGGGTTTTTCCTCGTAAAAGTTGACTAGGACAGGAAATGCGTAGACGACGGAAAGATGGGTTAGAGCACGACGCAACCGCCACATGGACCAGCCGTACGCTGCGGACCGTACGGGTCTTCACCTCTGTTCACTGGACCCCAAACCGACGGTACCTGCATTGCTTATCAGCTCCAAGTCATACCAATGTCACGAGGAATCTCACCAGGTGATCTCTTGTCTGTCGACAGTAACGAATCAAACTGTCGGCATATAGACGGTGAGAACGTAACTTAAGAACATATGCACGACTACGCTTACCTCGCACTGGCCTCACTGACCCGGATACGCGGACGTGCAAGGTCCTCTCTAAGACGCGCGTTGTGCTCCATCAGACGCCGGAGCTTGAGCTCCGACATCGACTGCTTGTGAGGGCGGTTCATGGTGGCAAATGTCTTCTCGTAGCTCGACTAGATGCTTTTAGATTGGGCGAGACGTGGTCAGCGCAATGCGAGCGAGCAAGGTGGGGCGTGCTGCTGGAGGAGCGAACAAATAAGTGTAATTTCCACCACCATCAGTCAGGGCTGTTCTCGGCTGTGCACAACGTGGAGAACGCACCTCGGGTTAAGTATGCGACCGGAAAGACAAGGCCTGCTTGATGTGGACTGGGCCACAAATGCGACGGGGACGAGGGGAGCGAGACGGTGGGTAAGGCTAGGAGGTATTGCCAGTGTGAGCCTGCGCCCATTGCTTGACATCGTGTGATTGATACTACCTGCGTCACGTGCAGCTATTACCATTCACGACGCGCTCTGCTCTGCTCGCCGTCCACGACATTGACACTGCACGCGTAAAATGGCACGCGCAAACACTTCACGGAAATCGAGGCATTCACCTGCAAAAGGATCCAAGAAGACGACCAGCAACAAAAATACCCTCTTCAGATCAGGTCCGTCATCGCACTTGAATTGTGCTGGTGGACTGAATCTGACGACGACTTCATTAAAAAAAATCAGTATTCAAGCCTCCGCATTCTCCCAATATCGACAAGCACAAGCAATTGCCAGTTAAGCTCAAACCAATCAGAAACTCTCCCTACAAACGTCTTGTTCTTGCGCCGAGGAGTAAACTTCAGACCATCAGAGAAGAATCACCCGAAGAGCCCGAAGAGGAGGAACGCGACAATAATCGTTCTTTCAGGGAAGACACCGCGAACTCTAGTTTTTTCAGAGACTTCAACATACATGAGATGTCCAGCGGTGAAGAAAAAGACGATAGTGATGACAGCGACTACGAGGGTTGGGATGACGAGACGACCCTTGTGGCAAAGTTTCAGGAGAAGTGCGTGACCGTCTATTTTCCCGATTCCCGAAGCACAACCGACTCTCACATAGCGTTCCCGAGACTTCTTCGCGCGAGAAGATGGCAGAATTAGCATACGAGCTAGAGGGGCCCATGCAAGCACGCTCTGATCAGCTAAAGCACTATCTTGCGCATACAATGGCCCCTGCGACTCGCAAGGTTAAAGAGGTCCACAGCATCCTGGAACAGAAAGTTGACGTCGCATTTGGGTGCGCATATACTCATGGTTTAGTCAAGCTTACTCTTAATATGTGCATATACTCAGAGTCGGCGTCCTATCGTTCGACGACGCCTGCAAGAAAGTCGAACAGCTCTCTCTTCACGACGAAGACGATATCAAGAAAGCATACATGGAGACACAGGTTGCATTTATTGACACTTATACGCTGTACCTTTCCAGAGGACTTACCTTTACTTCTCGCAGCGCAATATCACAGAATATTTCAGACAGTTAAAGGAAGCATATCAAAAGCGCAACCAGCTCTGGGATCAACTGCATGAAGCCGTTGAGAAAAGTGGTATGTGCCATACTACCATGTTGTTCTGAGAGAGATCTTTGTGCCCTTCAATACTTCTTATCTGACGAAGTCGGACTCCTCAGCTTCGAAGACTCTTGCATCACTGTCAGCTCTGCCCTCTGAAATAGACGAAGCTGCAGCTACTATCGAGAAGAAGGCAAAGGACGTCACAAAACCTGGACCCAAGGATAACAAAGCAAAGCTCTTGCGCGATCTACTAGCAGAAATATGAAGCTTATCTTGATGCATAGTTCCTGCCAAACCAGAAAAGTCGCATTTCCTCATCTTCTCGGGCTCCTTCCTAACTAATTTTCGGACTGTTGGTCAAAATGTCAGCTTTATATCGTTAGACTTAGTGGGCAAGGTCGACGTTCTCTTCACGGACTGCTTTTATGTTCCTCTGCCGATGGACTCCAAGAGACAACTCTTCCTTCTGTATCTCAAACAAAGGACTTTATCGAGATTTTCAAGAGCACAGATGTACTTCGCATACCAGCATGTTTTTTTCTCAATTTCAACTGTTCTATTGTAGAATAGCTGCATAATCTGAATAAATGTAACCTAACCTTTTTTGCATGATTTTGTGTCATGCGAAGGACCCGTAAGCACGCCTGTTTTCTCACCGCGCGTCTGTCTCGTCAAGTCTGGTTGGAAGATGACAAGAGCGCGTTGTCGGCTACAAATGAATCGGCTTCTTTTTTTCGACGTGTTCAACTGCGACATCGTCGCAACAACGAAGCTCGACCTTTCCCCTTGATTACGGCGTCACGAGTTGTCGCCTAGAACGTTGAGCTATGGCCCACATCGTTCTTGCGACGCGACGAGCTCTGCAGGACGCCTCGCGTCCCTTCGCAAGTTCATTTGGTCTCAGCAAACTCCCAGAACATGCGGACGTTGTAGCGATCTCGTCGCTGTTCTTTCTAACTGTTCACCAGTTCATTGGTCCCAGGCTGAGCAAAGCGCTCTTTCCGAGGAGTTATGGACAACTCAAAACGCGACGAGACAGGAATAACTGGTGCGTTCGCGTGGACATAGATCTTTCTTCATCATAAACGAGCTCTACTAACTGAGTTCACGACCATTGCTCAGGAATATTCGCGTCGTTTCTCTCGTTCATGCACTCGTAATCATCCCTTTGGCGTTCCGGAACGTGAGTCTACCTGCACTCGATGCAGACCGTGCATTTGGGTGGGATTCTCGACAGGGTTTGCTTGGTGGTATTGCGTGTGGATATTTCATTTGGGATACGCTGGAGTCTCTGTGGCATTTCACTGATATTGGCTTTGTCGTGCACGGTCCGTTAATCTGGTTCTTCATGTTTCTGTGTGTTAGCCTGGACTGACTCTGGTTGGGTAATTTCTTCTAGGTCTTGCTTGCTTGCTCATTTATATGTTGTCCTTCGTATGTCATACACCTCATGCTAAGAAAGTTACTCCGTTGTTCAACACTGTGCATCATAGAAACCATTTATTGCGTACTATGGACCTCGATTTTTGCTCTGGGAACTGTATGTGTCCAACCTATCAGTGTTATTCAGTTCAATGTCTCAAACGGATTGTTGACTCCCTGTAGGAGCACGCCATTCCTCAACTTCCACTGGTAATACTGTCTCTCAAGTTTTGTGAAAATGCAGCTTGAACAGTATCTTTATTAGGTTCCTTGATAAAATGAACCTCACTGGGTCGATTTTCCAACTTATCAACGGTCTATTTCTCCTGAGTACATTCGCGGGAGTACGTCTCATCTATGGTTCTTACCAAGTAAGCATTACTTTTTCGCTTACTCTTAAACATCTAACGCTTTCTTTTCATAGTCGATTGCGTTCTACCGCACACTCTATTCAATCCGTAACGAAGTTCCGCTAGCCGTGTTGCTGACGTTTGGAATTGGCAACGTCATACTGAACGGTCTGAACGTGTTCTGGTTCTTTAAGATGATTGACGCATTGCGGAGGCGTATGAAGCCGTCGTCCAAGCCCAGCTCGAACGGCAAGGACACAAAAGGCAAGTGGGTGAATGGGAGGAAAGCGGAGTGAATTTTATTATGACCTTGGGACTTGGATAAGAAGGTCGAAATATAACCTGTTGTGTTCCTGAAGATTATTTTGTTTTGCAAGTGGTATATATATGTATCTTGCAGAATACACTCAACCAGTTATAAATATAATTTCGCGCGCGGTGGGAGAAGAGACGCGACTGATCGACGCGTGAATTGAAATCTTGCAGGATGACTTCATCTGCAACGATTCCTGTTCCTGCTGTAGTCCAGAAATTCTTCTCAAAATTCCCTCTATACACTTATCCATATGATGATTCAGAGTCCCTTAGACTAGCATCCTCCCGCCAGACGCGTCCAACTCTCTGGATAGCCCCTCCCAACTCCACAAAAGACGTACTCTCCACGGACGCCGAGTGTCTAAAATGGCAAGCGTACATAGCCTTGCGAGGCGTCAAGAACGTTGGCTTGCGCTGGGACATTGCAGCTGAAGGTGCCGTAGACGGCCGATTACCCAGCTTGGTTGCGTATGAGGGAGGAAAGCCGGAAGTACTTGGGGCGCGTATGATACCTGGCTGGGTGGATGGTGTTTTACAGGTGGAGGAAGACGCTTTTGAAGGATATAGGGACACTGCTATGAAAGATGAGAGTCGTGCATGGGTTGCTCTGCTAGAAGGGACTGTACACAGTGCACTCGTAAGTTCATCTTGTACTACGTACGCAAATTGTTTCTAACATAACCGATATTTTCCGCAGATGCTGTTCAATCCAGCTCCCAAAACGCTAAAATCCTTCCTACTGTACACACCTCATGTCCCTACCGGTCATTCAGCTTCACCAAATCAACCCAGCCTCTCAATGCTCCTCAGTCCACCACCTGCTCCGCTCTCCGGCTTCACAACCGTCTTCCCTTTGTACGGAGAACGGGTTTCCCGCGCGTCTATCAAGTCTCAATATCGCGATGCGATAAAGTCCTTGAGTGATAGACTCGGTAATGATACTTGGTTCCTCGGGTCTTCGTGAGTAAAACATTATTACGAGACTATTCTGTTTACTTTTACTAACCTTCCTGTCTCTCGTTAAAGCGGACCGACGGCTCTCGACGCACTTGTTTTCGCGTACTTACGTTGCCTACTTGCTGGACCGGACGAACTTAGGACAGAGGTTGTGCATAGGCTGAACCTTTGCGAATGGGAAAGGCGTGTGCGCGAGATTGTACAGTCATCTTTCGTGCTTTCTTCAGCGTAGATTTGGATAATGTTACGTTCATTAGAGTATTCCGGTTATTTCGAGATATTAAGTTTCAAAAGGGCAGAGGTCCGATTCTCGTTTTGCCCTTAATAATTATATATCTCTGTTAACTGTGACAACAGCATCTAACCAGTCCAAGCATGATTAAATTGCCCAATGATACTCCACAATGCAAATATAAGTACAAGAATGTATCATCCAGCGCCTTGCGTCCTTTCCAATAACCTATTCACCGCAGTCGGTCGACCGGATGCAGGATGGGCAACATCCGACTCCTTCATCGCCCTCATTCGATTCAATAGCTGAACGAGAAAGTTCGAGTCGACGTCGTATCCAGTAGCTGATCTGGAAGCATCATCGACAGAAATACGACCAGCCGATTTTCGCGAGTTACGGCTGCCTGACGCTGAATTCGAGCCGGTTTTTTGAGTGGATGAGCTGATAGGGTTGAAGTCCTCCTTCAACCTATCGCAGAGAGCGTAAAAGGATATCATCTCCTGCGCAATGGTAGCGACGACTCGCAGATTTACGTTCAGACTTGCGAAGAATCCAACAAAGTCCTGAGGAGGGACAATTGGCTTCCGCGTCGCACCGTCGTCGGTGTTGCTATCTGAGGAGGCTGTACGTTTCTGCGGGACCACGGAATTGGCATGCCTTGCAGACCTACGAGTTGTTGCCCCAGGCTGATGCTGAGCAGCCACGAGGGCGGCCTGCTTCAATTCCGTCCAGTCGAGATGTGCTTGCCTCACAAATGGGTTGAGGACGCATACAAGGTAAAGTGCTGCTATGGCAATTAGGTGGGGAGGGTATACGAGGCAGATGTCGGATCGATACGTGTCATTAATTAGGAACCTAGCACTTTGTCAGCTATTGGTAGTTTCGCCGATAAAAAGTATATACCAAGCATTCTGAATACCCCCAGTATGCATATCGAGTTTGCCTTCTCCAGTTCCCCAATATCGAGGACCGTCATCTATACCAGCTCCGAGTTCACCTGCTTCCTTTTCTTCTAAACTTTGTTCCGCTTGGCTCGCGTCTTTAACGAGTGCCATAAGCGTTCGGTAAGGATGAAAGACCAGCAAGTCGCATTCGAGATCATCGACCAAATAGAACTCCATCTCAGCCAGTTTTGAGTTTTCAGTAGGAAAGTGTCGGACATTGTACTCGGCTATATGTTGCGATCTGAGCCTTTTGTCTTTTTGTTCGTCAAACAGAAATAAGCATTGAGTTACACACCAAAAACACTTCGAGCCTCGGAAATAACGGTCTTTATATGCACAGGTGATTCTTCGGCCTTGGCAGCTACGTAGCAGCAGGCGGCAAGGACTAGATACGGGTCTGTTTCACAATACGAGTTCTTGATGTAGAAACGGCGAAAGAAGATGGTCGCAGTAGCAATAACTCGCTGGCGCATGCTGAGTTTATTTCCCAGTTTCGACATCACTAACCTAGGCAGTCATTGAGAAATTATGTTAAGTTCATTTAAATAATGCTCACGGTTTGCAAAGAAAATGCCCAGCAGCGCGAGGTGGTCTGGGTCATCGACATAATGCAGGTCTTCTAAGCGCGCTCGATGTAAAGTTGCACGGTCTACAATCCATCTTTTACTTTCCACTTGTAAGTCTGCATAATCAAGGACTGCAGAAAGCCGGTATCGTACTCACAAGTGCGACGAAGCCCAGAAATCAGTCGCCATACGGCGCCAAGCATTCAAATCGTTGGTGAAGCACTTGACGAAGATCGCGTCGATCAATTGCTTCGTTTGGGTTGGCTGTACCACGTGCCTACACGTGCGCCTTAGAGATAAAATCCCTCGTTTCTTACTAAGCTAATCAACAGAACATCATAAAGAACAGTGTCCTGGTCAGTCTGGTATTGGCTTCGTTGAATATCGCATTTAGTTATAACTTGTCCATATAACCTGTTTTGCGTCTTTTTTAAATATTTTAAGCAATTCATTTTTAAGACCCTCAATCTGCTCTGACTCAATCAGGATACCGCGGATCACCGACTTCTCAAGTTCGCGCACCATTTTGCTCTATACCATGCTGAGAATAGCATCTTACGTTGAGAGTATTCCATGTCAGTAGGCACGGTTTCTGTAAAAGAGGTCTGACACGTAACGGTAGCAAATGACCGAGGTTACAAATGGGCCGGGAGGATCTAGTCATCTTACTCATGACATGTGAAGGCGTCACCATCTCGCAATCCTCCTAATCGCTTATAACAGCCATCTACCTGCTCGGCATTCCATATTCCTCTCGCTTTCCACCATCATCATGACTGTCGGCTATTCAGACGGCTTTGGGACGCGCGCAGTACACACAGGTTCCGCACCTTCACTAGAAACAGGCGCTGTCATTCCTCCTATTTCTCTTGCAACCACATATGCGCAGTCTGCCGTCGGTGTACACAAGGGCTACGAATATACCCGGTCAGGAAATCCAAATCGCGACCAGCTCGAGCAGCTTCTAGCAAGCATTGAACGGGGCGGAGAATATGCTCTTGCCTTTGCCTCGGGATCTTCTACGACGGCAACCGTTCTCCAGAGTCTCGGTCCAGACGCACATGTTCTTAGCGTCAACGATGTTTATGGAGGAACCTTCCGCTATATGACCAAAGTTTCGAACTTAGAGACGTCTTTCGTTGATTTGGAGAAGGAAGAAGATGAAACGATCTATGCTGCGATTAGGTCTAACACGAAAGTAAGTACAATGCGCATATATCCGGGTATTTTTGCTTATGCATTTCTTCTAGTTAATTTGGATAGAATCACCAACAAATCCTACCTTGCGACTAATTTCCATCCCTCGCATCGTCGCAATCGCGCGCTCGCATCCGTCAAGACCGCTCGTTCTTGTAGACTCGACCTTCCTCTCGCCATACTATCAGTCCCCTCTTCTGGCAGGAGCCGATCTCGTCATGCATTCACTCACCAAATATATCAACGGACACTCAGATGTCCTTATGGGAGCGCTGATCCTTCCAGAGAGGCACACAGAACTCGCCCAGCATCTTCGCTTCTTGCAAAATGCCATCGGTGCTGTCCCGAGTGCTTTCGACTGTTGGCTCGCTCAACGAGGAGCTAAGACTTTACATCTCCGCATGCGGCAACACGGTCAGAGTGCTTTACGCGTCGCTCGTTTCTTAGAAAGTCGTATAGGCAACGAAGTAAAGGACGTTATTTATCCTGGTCTGGCAAGCCATCCTCTAAATGACGTCGCGTACGAGAGTTTGAGTCCTCATGCACGCGCGTGGGTTGATAGTCTCGGAGATCGTGAAACGGCTGGTGGATTCCCTTACGGCGGGATGGTCTCGTTCCGAATTGCAACTCCAGATGCAGAGACGTACGGAGGCAAGGCACACGCAACAGCTGAGAATTTCCTTAAATCGCTACGTCTCTTCACACTCGCTGAGTCGCTCGGTGGTGTTGAGTCTCTTGCGGAGTTACCATCCCTCATGACACACGGCTCCATCCCGCCTGCTGAACGCGCTCAACTCGGAATCGGTGATGACCTCGTCCGACTAAGCGTTGGTGTTGAGGATGGTGACGATCTAGTGCGCGATGTCGAACAGGCTTTGCAGGTTGCTGTGTACGGCGACCCAGTGAAGACGAAGACGAACGGTGTAAACGGACACGTTTATTTAACTGCGAGTGGAGATGACTCCCCGCCTCTCGTTGGTTAGAGGATGTCCTCTTCCTTGGACTTTGATTTTGACAATCTATAGACTGGTATGATCGAGCTTAAATTATTATTCTATAGAAGTTTTCGCAAGGAACGTTGTTGCTTTCTTGTAGTAGTCTTATTAAATGTTGGAATACATGAGTGGTTTTCTCTGAGTCGGAGATTTTCATGATGGGAGTCTATATCATCGTTGCTGTAAATCACAAGAACAGTTTAATATAGATGATCGAAGAATATACTGTAGAACATCCTTATTTCCAGTAAGCACAACTCCTTGAGTGACCTTCTCAAGCTCCAATATGCACGAGATTAACCCATCTTTCTGTTGCAATTCCGTCCTGTGCCTTCAACACTAAAACTGCATTGCGAAGCCCCGCAGCCGCTTCTTATACTTCGCTTCGCCCTCCTCGCAATCGTTTATATACTCATAAACAGTCCTAGCAAAATGGGGTCCATCGCCATCAAGTAGCTCCTACATAGAACCCTTCACACTTCAAAACCCAGAGAATTGCATAGCTACAGCGAGATGAAGGACTTCATCATGCACACTGTCGTGGAACTGTTTTGCAGTATGGCAGGCGGAAAGAAATGCGAACTCTCCATTCGGAAGACTAGCTTGGACGATATCGAGTAATGTTAGTGATGTCGAGTAGCCAGTACGAACGTACTCAGTTTATGACTTAAACTAAAAACGATCACCTGCTCTTTGATTGTCTGTCAAAACAGTTGATACTATTTGAGCCGTGTTGGACGGGACTGCTGGAAAGCGTAGAATAATAACAGCACTGTGCATTTGTAATACATATATTCTTTACTGCTTGCTTCTGATGTTAGGATGAAAGGATCGAGCCATCCATAATACCTTTCACGAATAGGGTCCAACGTCTCTCCCAAGCATCCAATGCTGCTGCTTTCTCCTTGTCATCCAGTGTCGAGTACTTGAAATATCAGGGTTATATGCGCTGCTGTACACTAGTCCATGAAAATGACTCACTTCAATGCTTTGCCGAGCAAGTGCTTTGAGCGTGATCAATCCGCTGACCTCGCTGGCGACAAAGACCTGTGAAAAAAGATTGAAGACACTTGGTCAATTGTCAGTCGTGTGGATCGGCTTACCTGGAAGAAGTCATATGACAAGCCCATATTGCCAAAGATACCAGGGTCGTCAGAATTTAACGCGATTTTCACACCATGGTTCAATAATATTGGGAGTGGGTGTGCAGGCATAGATGAAGTTAAGCGCTAAACAAGCCCCATGTTAGTTCATTGCAGTGACAGAAGGATTAACAACGGACTAGGATCTCGTTACTGAAATACAGTCAGCAGGGTAGTCTACAAGAGGATCATTCGCATGACTCACGAAATCGGACACATCTCAATGCAGATACCCCTTTCTTTCGCTATCTCAATAAGCTTCGGATGTTTAGCAAGTGAGAAACTGGATCATATGAGAACTGTCTGGTATGATTGAAGCATAGGTAGTTACAAACCCATGTCCGATGCGTTTTGTCCCAAGCAAAATTGCATCGTACAGATTGTCGTCCGCTTCTGAGCCATCGCCCAGTGTTTCTCCTGCGTGGAGGATAAACGGAAGGTCCAGTCCGAGGTCAGCAACACGCTTCTTAAAGCGCAATAGTGGCTCTATATAGTAGATCAGAGGGTATAGGGTATTCTCGTTACCGACGAGGTCAAAGCCTAATGTTTAAACCGTGATTAGCATAAGGTTCTTCGTGAATAAGTAGGAGCTACGAACCTGCAATCAAGTGCGGGAACTCCTGCTTCAGTTGTATGCAATCTTCAAGATACCAATCGAGTTCTTCGACCGACATGGCTCGTAAAGTCGAATATATGATACGTGCTCCAAAGAACTCGTCAGAACGATTCTGCGCCTTCATCTCATCCTTGAATTCATTTAGCACCGTTTCAAACATCATCACCCATTCGCGATGGGTAAAATCACATTGGCCATTCTCCCGAACTGTGAGCCTGGAAAACGTTCAGAATGACACAGTTACAACTGAAAGCTGGAACCTAACTTGTTAAAAAATGGCACCCGAATTTCGACGTAGGAAATGCCATCTTCTACGGAAGAACGAAGGAACTCCCGAATATATTTGCACATAATCGGCGCAAAGGTGGTGATACCCTACACATGGAGAGTCCTTAAGTTTCTCTGTGAACCACTATGTACCGAAATAAATGACGTACAGACGTAATTAGAAATGTGGTCGAGAACTTTTCCCAGATCTAGACTGAAATTGAGTACGGATCGACTTGTATAACAGTTGTATATCACCTTAAACACGGTATTATGCGTTCCGTAGGCTTCACTCGGATTTATGGTCAGTGTTCTTATAAACCATGAATCGAATCCACTTGGTCCGCCCAGAGAAGGACTGAACGATTCTCTTGCTTGTTTGATGTTAACCCATGTGCCAGGAACATAACCGTCAGTAAGGCTTTTCGCATTGGTGAACTCGTCGGATGGAAGTGCACGGAATTCGGGAATAAGAGTCTTGATATTCGCGTCTGTAAGGACTTCAGGTGTGCGAACATGGATTGCAGGTTGCTCAAGTGCCAGCTTGAGAAGAAACGCAACATCCACCATGGCATCCAGATGACCGTGAAGTAAACCACCCTTGGGCATCTACTGCTATATCAGCAAAGACATTCGGCGAAGCAGTGAATAAACAGAGTCACCTTCTGGAGGATCTGAAATACTTTGGTTTTCATGACGAGCTTCTTTGCTGTATTGCTCAATGAGTTCACATCGAAGAAAATTATTATTATTGACTGTGCCTACCCGACAGAAATTCCATTCCTGGAAAAGTGTTGGTGACATCTTCATGCTCTACGGACCAGATGGATTTAGCCTCTTCTGCTCGGATGGTCCGGATAATCTCATCCGCCTTCAGTTCCTCATTTGAGGCGGTGCGTATGTAGGCAGCGTCACATCGCAAAGACCTCTCTTCTGCAATCAAGCTGGCTCGAGCCGATAAGTATGAGTCCTGGGCAGACATGATCACTGTATGCTAGCAAGCCGCAGGAAGCCTTCTGTTTGCAGAAAGTTGATTGCCAGCCTGACTCGACAGCGCTCGTGATGTGAGAATATAGCCGGATTGGCGGCTCCGTTTTCTGCGAGAACCATGCAATCCACATGGTTAATTTGTACGTCCTCTAAGCGCATTACAATGTAGAACGGGTACAATGGTCTATGTGATTAACAGGATAATTGTGAATATTCATAAGCAACGCTGCATACGAGCGATAAACTCGTAAAGTAATGATGTCGAGCGAGAAGACGCGGTACCAAATCCGTACAGACAGATGTACGTGACCTCCAGACGTGTCTTCCCACTCCCACTACAAAGCTGCTACTTTGCCGCACATTATCCTGGGAACACTTTATTGCGCTTCTCTGTTCTTGCCCACTGAAATAATTACTCTGTGAACAAAAGAGGACGAGGCTATGAACCAGACTGTCTGTCGATAGAGGTGGCATGTCCGATCGTGACCAGCAATCCGTGGCCTCTACCTCGCGTCCTGGGTCTCCCGTTCCTCCTTTGCCAGATTTCTCTAATGCTCGTCCTTACCGTTTCGCCTGGGATGCAGCCACGCGCAAGGCAGATCCTGCTAGTGTGTCTGGAACGACCGAAGGACGCGGAGACTACTTTGTTTACAAACCCAGTCTTAGCAACTTCAATTTCTCTTCTACTTCGTTAGCGGTCGGTGCAATACCCTCTGACTGGAGCAGTGCAAAACATGGATTCAATGGTATGTGCTTCTGCCTTCAAACATTGTTATGGAGTGCAATTTACGTGCCCATAGCCATATCCACACTCGTCAACAACCCACACAAGAAGTCGGCTCCTCCGAAAGCTCATGCACCGGTGCCGCCCACCGTACCCTCCCAATTGCCTCGTGTCCGCCGCAAAGACTTCGATGGGTACCTTAAATCCGTAGCCCCTGACTGGGAGCAGTTTGAAACTGCATTACAGTCTAATCAGCAAGAAACGCAAGCAGATGCATTCGCTGCAGGCTTGGCTGAAATGGACTTGGAACCCCCAGCAACGCCTCGAACACCCAGGCTTACGCACAGAACCTCAATACCTTCGCTTGATAGCGTCCCTTCCGTGTTCTTTGACTCGTCATTTGATTTATGCGATTCGAAGACGTTTGCTGCCGTCACAGAGCATCACGACGGAGACGGAGGAGCGTTTGACCCTTCTACAGCCTCCCATTCGCTTCCACTACTGGAGAAGCTCTCGCACTACGCTGACACCATTGAACTACATCTCATCCGTGAGATATCCCGGCGTTCGCCTTCCTTTTTTGCCGCACTCACAAATTTAAACGAGCTCCAAACGGAATCAAGTCAATGTCTTAAGCGAATACGGAAGTTACGTGGCATGCTACATGACGTAGATGAGAAAAGTGCAAAGAGGGGTCTTGAAGTGATCCGTTTGGAGAGGAAGGTTAAAAATTTGGAAGACGTCAAGGAAGGGGTGAAGACCATGCAAAGTGTTGGCGAAATGCTGAGCCTTGCGCGGAGTCTTGGGAGCGGAGGAGAGTGGGACGCTGCTCTTGGCCTCATAGAGGGATTGCAACGGCTCTGGAATGGCGAAGATGATCAGCAATTACAAGCTGATGCGGCGCGACCTAACTCCAATGCCAAAGCACCATCCAAACTTTCAAAACGTAACTCCACTCTTGTCGCTGTCCCGGAGTCTATCGCTGAGGAATCGGAGCCGACGTCTCTTATTCAAGCGAAACCGCCGGCGCCTCGAATACCTCTCTCATCTGTTCATGCATTCTCATTACTTCCTGAGCATCTCCGTATGCTGACGTCCGAGATAGCCGCGTCTCTTACATCCGAGCTTATCACGGTATTGAAGACCGACCTTCTGAACCAGATGGATACACCTTCAGTGAACAGCCAGGAATCCATGTCTGAGAAAGTCGACGAAGCTGGAGCTGAGAAGTTAACAATGCTTCGGGATCGGGTGCGACCACTTGGTCGAGGCTTGCAACGGACCAACGCACTGAAGGACACTGTGCAGAAATGGACGACAGTAGCTCTTGTTGAGATCAGATTAGGTTTGAAAAAGGTTTGTTCTGTTTGTCCAGTCCTTCGTAGATATATTGCTGACTTTCCGCAAAGCACCTGCCTTCAGCGGAGGAGCTCGATGAGGAGGACGCTGATGCGTCAGCAAAGGCAGACTCTGGGAGAAGGTGTGTAAATCACAAACTATGTATCCTTTATTGTAGTGACCTTGATTTTCTTTAGGACCGCCTTGCGAGACGTTTTGCGGGAAATGTCTCATGGTGACTTTATGTTGTTGTTACGAAGAATCTTTGGCACCTTGCTACGCGGCATTCAGGAGCTGCAGACGCAAAATGCTATCTTGCTTGAAGTCGTTCCCTCTCCCCAGTAAGTTACCATACTTTGACATAACGGCGTGATCTGATCTTGGTTTTGTAGATTACCAGAGTCTTCTACAGTGGAATCCCCTTTGCAGGCTGATTTATCCGATTTACTCTCTTCTGTCACTGAACTTGCACACTCAGGAGCCTCTAAAGTTCTTAATATGCGAGCTGAACAACATGCTGCCCTTGATCTGTCTAGTTTCCTTGATGTATTCAACGAAACATGGAACTTTGTTGTAGGCACTGAGACAATTTGTCGTCGGATGATTGTGGGGCTGCGTGGTGCCGCTGTTTCTCAAGCCAAGGCGTTCTTGCAGACAATGCACCAAATTCGAATAACGCAGTCCTCTAAGCTCGTCGAGGAAGAGCAATGGTCGGCCGCGGACGTATCTGCAGAAGCGCAGACAGTGGTGAATACTATTGTTGATTCGGCCGTACGAGATTCTCCAGAACTGGTCGTCTCGCAAACATCAGTCACGTCACCGTCTCGAGCAAACGGTGCACAAACGTCCTCCAAGCATTTGACGATAGAAGGCCGTAAATACTTTGCTGTGCCTGCCACGCTCAGTGTGATCGGTCTTCTTCTTGACTACCTCAAGGTCATTGTGAACTTGTCCCTACTCACAACGGATACGGTCGGTCGGGTGATCGAGTTCCTGAAGGCGTTCAACTCTAGAACATGCCAGGTCGTATTAGGTGCAGGTGCCATGCGATCAGCTGGGCTGAAGAACATCACCGCGAAGCATCTAGGTACGGCCTATACTCTCCCCTCACACTGTGTTGAATGGCTGAACCGCTTGTAGCCCTCGCATCGCAATCCCTTTCAATTGTGATTGCGCTTATTCCTTACGTTCGCGAATGCTTCCGACGGCATTTGAACCCAAAGCAGGCGGTAATGCTCGTAGAATTCGACAAACTAAAAAGAGTAAGTTTAACATCCTTTGTGTCTATTGTGGCATGCTCACTCCTCACGTAGGACTACCAAGAGCATCAACAAGAAATCCACGCTAAACTTATCGCAATCATGGGTGACCGTCTCAACGCGCACTGCAAATCCCTTCAAAACGTAGATTGGTCTGCGTTACGCAGTGAGGTCAATGAGTACATGACCGTCTTGGTAAAAGAAACCGTGACACTGCACAAGGTTCTGTCTCGCTACCTGCAAGAAGCCGCTCTTGAGGTTAGTCGGCTAATTTTTGTGATATGAACTATCAAACTTAACATGTCGCAATGATGTCAGTACATCATGTCCCAAGTGTTTGCCGCAATAAATCATCGCCTTTCAGAGGAGTACAACAAGATAGATTTACCAGGCCTGGAAGCAAAGGAGAGGTGCGTATTGTAATAATACTTCCAATGGAATCCAAGTAACATTACATCAGATTACTACGGGACGCCCGATATCTGCACCAGAATTTCTCAAATCTAAAAAACGTCAACGCCTCCTTTGGAATGCTTGAGATAGTCATCGGCGAGAAAAGATTTCCTGGTCAAGGGCCTGCACAGTCAGAGCAGTCGAAGTCGAAGTCTCCACCTCCTCCAACGGCGCCTGGCGTGAATGACTCCCCGCGGCAACAGACACAGGCTCAAACTCAGTCATTGGCAGCAAGCACGATGGAGTCCGCTAACGAACGACTAAGAGGCATATTCAGACGAACGTCGACGTTCAAAGCTTCTAGTCCGAAGGCCGCTTCCAACTCTCAACAAACGCCGTCTCCTATTGCTGAGAAGCAAAATTCTCCTTTCTTCCCTGAGAAGGCTTCGGTGGACGAACCTGCTGCTCGTACTGCATCGCCACCACCTCCCCCAACTCCCGAGAAGGCAGCGTCAGACAGCAACGCACCAGCAACAATGAGGCCCTCGTCCCCATTATCACCAGCGCCTTCCGAAGGGAGAAATAGATCAAGGTCACGTTCGCCACGTCCGATGGAAAAAGCACTTCCCATACCCTTACCAACTCTTGATTCGGACGGGAACATCGTTGACCCTCCAGAAGCAATAGAGCTGCCGCAGTCACCACCGATGCGAAATGGGCAGGAAGACTCGGCAAAGGCTGCCAATGGTGTCAATGAGGGGTCGTCAGAGGCGTCTGATGAGGGGACCTCAACCTCATAGATCCGCAATTTGGATTTTTGGACTATTATTCTCTGTGTAGATGTTGTGTTGCTTTGCGTTGTAGCTTATATTCGGTACAATTTTATAGCGCTAATTTCGAGGATTCTGACAAAGTCTCTTCTTCACCCAACATTAAATGCACCAAAGTATGAATGCAATTACTTGCGGCATCTCAAATCACAGAACAAATATCTAAGCAAAGACCTTGCGCACAGCGAGCTCGTCTTCGTCCATTCTCCTATCTTCTCTTCGTTCGTGACGCTGCATCTTGCTTTCCTGTCGGGTGCGATACTTTTCACCCTTCTCACGGCGGATAGCTGAGCGAACGACAGCTGGAGATACGAATTCTATAGAAAGCGGGTTACTAAATTTAGAAGAAGAAAACTAGCGACAAGATTAATGTCTTACCAGGGTTAGCAAATACCGTTGCACCACTGAAAGCACCTTCGAAGATTCGTATGGGAGTGAGTACAAAGCGAGGACCGATCTCGACTAGTGACATTTGTGGTGGACCGTTCGGTTGAAGAGGGTCTTTTTCTAAAATCTACGCAGGGACAGTGTTTACATTTCGGAAATATACTCTCAAAAAGAATAAGTGTAATTACCTGAAAGTTTCGGAACCAAATTTTGTTGTCCAGGAGAGAGAAGGTAAGGATGTGATCGATGAAAGGTTTCGCTCGTCTAGCGCCAGGCGGAATACCAAAAATCTGAAAGTCGTTTTAAGAACACCCGCTTGGCAAAGGGGAAGTACGGTCGTAGATACATACGTGAGTGAAGACCTCCTTCGTCAACTTCCCCCACTCAGATTCGTCGAAACCCTTGTCGAAACACACGATTCCTCGGCTGCCTTTTAGACAATTGCCTGTGAGCTTTAGTTCGTCCATCGTATGGATGTTTTGCACGTGCATCTTGATGCTTGGTCCGTTTGGTGTTTTCGCAGCCCAGAGGTACAGATCTTCATGACGTCGTGCTTCGAAGTAGAGTGTGTTGTTGCAGTTGTGAAGGTCAGCAAGCTCGGGAAGGAGATGCAGTTGGGACTTGGAGTCTAGCTTGGAATCTATCCGGAGTCTAAGCTAAATACTCATTTAGCAGGAACGGACATACCCTTCTTTACATGTGGAAGCAGCGCCTCTAAATCGTTCATCAAATGGCGCATGCGGTGAGTTACACCACGCGAGGAGAGAAGGAGGACCCTCTGCTTGTTTTTCTTCCTCTTCGGTGCCCTTTCTTCGGAGTCCAAGGTCCCTTCTTCAGTGGCATCTTCGAGTTTTCGTTTTCCCTTGTCCTTTGCAGATGCCTTGGAAGCATTTACGGACTGAGCCTTGAGGACGGAGGCCATGTCTAAGTATGCTAGTGTGTAACCAAAAATTCCAAAAATCGCGGAAGACCGCATGGATCACGTGCGATGATGCCGCAAGGACGCGTGCATCGAATGGCATCGAATGTCCTCCAGACTCCGGTCTCGATGAGACCGGCTCATCGCTGACCTCCATCCTGCCTATTGACCACCATGTCCGTACCGTCTAGAGATCAAATCGATGGCTATATCTCCTCCGTCGAGGAGCTTGTCGTCTCATCTTATGCATTCATCACGGACGTCGACGCTATCAACGACTCCGTGCAGCGTCTCTGGATGCACGTCTCTCGCTTCGGTCCTCCAGAGATGCCCGACATCCGGCTTCCCAGTCTTGGTAGATTCGAGGTTCCCGCTCCTCTGCCACCTCCGCCCCCGCTTCCACCGACCACGACTTGGTATGAGGATGTAGCAGATTGGGCAAGTCGGAATAAGATCCTCGTGGGTACAATGTGTGTTGGTGCTGTTGGTGCTGGCTTGCTGGCAGGCTACAGTGCATCAAGCTATGCACGAGCTAGAGCTAGGGCTCGGCGTACTCAGAAAACGATTGGTACTAGTACTAATAACAGACGATTGGTCGTTGGTACGTTGCATATACCTTTTAGCATATACAGGAAGCTAACGCACGATCTACAGTCGTCCTAGGCGGAGACGCACCTCTAGGTCCATCCCTGATTTCTGGACTTGTTAAAGAAGGATACATCGTTATCACAAGTGTATCAAACCCTGATTCAGTTGCAGAAACTGAAGCGACAGGAAATGGATATGTTAGGGCTCTGGTATTTGATCCCACGGAGGTGCGTATTAATTTATGTATTATTGTATGAAATACTGACCTTGCGGTAATTCTTCTAGCCTGCTACTCTTCCTGCCTTCCTCAAATCCCTTAAGGCGACGCTCAGCTTGCGTTTCCCCTTGAATGCTGCTGGAGATCCTTATCAGAATTCTCCCACAACCTTCCCAATTATCTTCTCTGTCATTTCCCTAATTACTCTTCCTCCTTTGCAAATCTGCCCGACACCAGCACCTTTTGAGCACCTCGAGCTTGATTCGTCGTACGCCTCATTCCTTTCACATACGCACATTATGCCTTTGCAAGCCATCCAAGCGCTTCTTCCTCTCTTCCGAGTCGATTCCGTTCGTGCGAAAGATTCCATGTATGCCGTTGGAGGAAGCAGGAGCATTATTTTCTGCGTATCTGCTGCAGATGCACGTGTCGGAGTGCCTTATGCTTCGGCGCAAGCGATGAGTGCCGCCGCTACGGTGCGCGGTGCCGAGGTTCTTCGACGCGAGCTCAAGCAGGTCGACGATGCCCAGATGCGCGACCTACGGGTTGTCGTGGTTGATGTGGGTGCAATTGGGAAGACTGATTCTTTGGGACTGGCTGCTTTGTCTCTCGATGATGAAGCCCTATCACGCTCCATCGAAAAATGGACGCCTGGTGAACAGAGAGTTTATTCTGCTCCATATGCTGCGTTCATTAGCGCGGTTACGCAGCGTCGCGGAAGGAAGCCCCAAAGCGTTGATAAATTTGTGAAGACAATGGTAGGAACCGTTGGCTGGAATGCGGCAAAGAGCGAGAGGAGATCGACATTGAGCGTCGGCCTTCGACTTTGGGCGTACGGCCTTCACCGATCGCTACAAGGAGACAGATTCGCAGTTGGTGCTGGAGGTGAGCACATTGGATGTTTCGCTATACTTTGCATGTGCTTATACTACCGTTCCAGCACGTACGTACGCAGCAGCGTCTTACTTACCGTCGTTCATGCTGGACGCTCTGTTAAATCTACCAGCCATCGTAATGTCCGCTAGGAATAGGTACTTGCCTGTCGCACCCCGTATTCCAGCGGGCTTGCCCGAAGTGGAAACGGAGCAGCCAAACGTGGAAGAAACTTCCAAAACAGAGTCAGAGCCAAGTGTCAAGGAGGTGCCAGCATCGCCAATGGAAACCTCGGAACCGGAGCGGTCAGCAAATACAAGAAAATCCGTGTCAGATGTGACGTCCTCTGGTGTTGATAACAGTTGGATAAGCGTACAGGACTGATATCCAGATCGATTTCTCAAAGTTCTGTTGACGTATATCTTTTATATTGTTGTATAAATAACAGTAGCATTTGTCTTTACCTTCATCCCCACTCATGTATATCAACCCAATCATCCACAAAGGGAATTAGCTCAATAATTTAGCGCACTTATCGTAGCGAAATAAAGCAATTGTAGGCAAATTCTCTTGTTCTCGTCATTCCTACATGTGGGTGCGTGTTTGAGTCGATTTGGGTAACACCGGGACGATCTTTGTCGCTTTGGGTCTTCCCTTTGTGAGGAACCGCGAACCGTGCACCGGCTCTTGCTTGCGGGATTTTTAGTTCTCACAACGCGCTGGTCTTTGTCCCGAGTAATCCTGCAAGCTTTATAGAGGGGCGTTAACGATGCCGTTCTTTGTACGCCGTTCTCTCTTGTGCAGTTTATTGCATCTGGCACGATGACAATCGCTGTAGACATTCATCCAGCTTCAAACACACTATGCATGATTAATGAACCAGACTCTTCGTAAGGCAGAGCCAGTTGTGTTGTTCTATAATTGCTAACATCCGTCTCATAGCACCACTTATTCACTTTCGGGACATGTATCCGTTTCACTGTCCTCGAGAGATTCACTCTTTGAAAGAGTCCGCACCGAGAAAGTCCTTTTACGGTCCTTAATAATAATCTTTGAAGGACAGACGGAGCTCATCACTAATGAAACTGGATACTCCGCGGCACGTCTCTGCAGAGTAACGCGCGAGCTTGCGCCAGCTCAGGCTATGTTACTATCTAACGACAATCATGAGGGCAGCGACTCGTCTTCCGTCTGGAACTTTGTATTCGATCTACCTATACCTGGATGGCTCCCTTCATCAAGTATCTTTGGTACTGATATTCACGGGCCAACGGGGACAAGCTACTCGCTCTTTGCAGAGGCGCGCTTTACTCCCCTAGAAGGACCGCATTCCCGCAGCTGGTCGTTTTCGACACTCTGCATGCCGTTTTGGTCAAGACCGAGGATCGCGAAATCACCACGTGTGGATATCGAGGTCGTCCGCTGCACGTTGCCTACTATTCTTGAGGAGCTTGATTCTTCTGTGTCCTTCCCTGACGCGATGTTCGTCGTGCACGCTCGATGTGCCGATAAAGACGATGCAGAATGCCCTGAGGATGATATCTTTTCGAATATCGAGCTTCGTGCATCTATTCCTGAATATGTCGATATGGACTCGGGAAGTTTCATGCTGACTTTACGATTGCGTGCTGGAGCATTGTCTGCTGAACAACAGCGGAAACTTCGATTATCCCATTTCCGAATGCAACTCTCGCAGAGCGAAGTTTATAGGTACGTAAATACATTCTCATGCGTCGACACAAGCTCAAAGCCATTATACTACAGCCGGAGACCGTCGCGTTCTTACACATCTGCTTTCCCCCTTCCCTCGTCTCAGCCAGATAGCACGCCATTATTAAATGCGCATCCTGTGAAGGCAATGTACGACATTGGCCTCGCACCCGTTAACTTCCCTGAAGGAGAAGTTCCTCGAGTTCGAACTTCCTTCTCTCTTCTCCCACACAAGCAGCAGGGCAGATACGCCCTTCCATATGGCGGAGTCTCTTTATTGCAGGAGGCCGCGGCCGCAGATGAAAATGTGTGGACGAGACTGGATATGATTGTTCCGTTTGAGGGGGTATCGATTGGCGAGGACGAAATATGGGAGCGGCAGAATGGTCGTGTCAAGGCACTTCGAGCAGACGAAGACAGCCCTTTCTTCCGTGTACACCATGAATTGGAGGTCGAGCTTACGTTCACGTACGAAGGTGGAGAGAATGGAGACGATGCGTCCATCCGTGAATCCATGGTGTTTAGCATTCCGGTCAAGTTTGCGCGACTTCCCCCGACGAATCCTTGGGACGATTCTACCTTTCTTCCTGCCTACTCTCAGTTATTCTACTCGAATGGAGAGCGGAGAACGGACTATTCTACGCCCTTGCCGATGTATACGGCAAAAGCAGACCCAGAAAGTATCGTAGCCGAAGAGAAGACGACCTAAGTAAGAGGAACCGATTCTCCATTTATAACCCAATGCACCATTTCTGTCAGGAACAGTCGCCTAATATGTAATATCCCTTCGTCGTTCCCCAAGGTTTGCTAATATTTTCTTTTCACCTGGCGCTATAGTAGCATTCGACTTCACCAGTAATTACCGTGTATTTTTGACGATGTAGAAAGCAAATTTTGTAGCAATTATAATGAATTGATTTGTTTTGAATTGATGGCTCCGGTAGTGAGGTGGCCAGAAAAGGAAAGAGGGCAGTGACCTTGAGACGACGGACGAGACGACGCATTGATCAGCAACAAACACGTACGTTCTCGTCCACGTATTCGAGTGTACGTTCACCCAGTAGTTTGTCGCTGTCCTCAACAGCGAGCTCCGGTACGTGTGTGTCCTGCCAGTCCTCTCACCATGCAACCCGTTTCTCCTTACACCCAACCCCCCCTCCCACTCAGAACACTCCTCCGTTCCCAGCCCTTTCCGACACGCAAAAAAATTAAAAATCAATAAACCTGCCCACACACCGTTTCCTGCTTTTCTTTATTGAATATTTCATATTCCAATGGCAGACGGCGTCGTTGCAGCAGCGTCTTCGCAGGGCGAGGGCAACCGCAAGCGCTCCAGGTCGCCGTCAGACAGCGAGCAGCCGAAGCTGAAACGCGCAAATACAGGCGTCGGTGCGAGTGCGAGTGCGGGGGCATCACGCTCTCAATCTGCGCATGACTCATCGCATGTCGATGACTCCCTTGCTTCCGCTCCCACCACTGCCGCAACGGCCTCGATAAATGACCGCGACGTCGCGATGAAGGAACAGGACATGTACGGCGACGCTCCCTCCAACGACACCGCCGCCTCTACGCCGACGGCGGCCGAGAGCAGAGCCGATACGTCCGGCGCGACTGCACAGTCCAGCGAGACGCAGACCAGCTTGTCCAACTTGTCTGGCACGACCGCTGCTGCTGCTTCATCGACCGCTACCACTCCTCCAGCTCCAGCCCCCTCCGCGATGATCCATATGCGCTGCTTGATTGTCACGCAGGATGCGTCTATCATCATTGGCCGTGCAGGAAAGCACGTCAACGAGATTCGCGAAAAGAGCGGGGCACGCGTCGTGGTCTCCGAGAGCATCCCAGGCAACCCAGAACGCATCCTGAATGTCAGTGGTCCATTGGATGCGGTCTCAAAAGTACGCTTCTCTTCCTTCTGTGAGATGTCTAAATATGTATTCACTGTGTGCAGGCATTTGGCCTCATTGTCCGAAGGATAAATGACGAGCCATTCGACGTTCCTTCGGTTCCTGGCAGCCGGGCAGTTACCATCAAGTTCATGATACCCAATTCTCGCATGGGCTCTATTATTGGGAAACAGGGCGCGAAAATCAAGGAAATTCAGGATGCTAGCGGCGCACGACTCAACGCCAGCGAAGGCATGCTACCTGGATCTACTGAGGTTCGTACTCAGTTTCCCCATTTGTCACCAGCTGTGTCTTATTCATATCCAATCAGCGGGTGCTCAGCGTTGCCGGTGTTGCTGACGCAATTCATATTGCAACATACTATGTTGGCAACATCCTCATCGAATGCCAAGAGCGCATGCCGTCTTCGACAAATTCGTCGTATCGGCCCTCTAACCGTGCTCCGCGTCCACCACTCAGCGGAGGCGCTCAGTCATATGTGCCTGGTTATCAACCGACTCCTTATGCTCCTATGCCACCACAAGCACACTTACCCCCGCATCTGGCAAACAACCCGCCGCAACAACTGCAGACGCAGCAGATTTACATCCCTAATGATTTGGTCGGCTGTATCATTGGAAAGGGCGGAAGCAAAATCAATGAGATCAGGCACATGAGTGCTAGCCAGATAAAGATCATGGAACCGGGTGTTACTCCTCCGGGTATGAGTGGACCTGCGGGTGGTACGGAGAACGAGAGGCTGGTCATTATAACTGGGCAGCCACATAATATCCAGATGGCTGTCCAACTGCTATACCACGTACGCACAATTTCCCAAGTTAAAGACAAAGAATTGACTTCAATTTCTCTCCAGCGTTTGGAACAGGAGAAGCAGAAGCAACAGCAACTGGTTGCGCAGCGCGCTATGCAATGAAAACCATCTCACCGCATCTAGTGTTTGGTGTGCCAATATGAAAATGCTTTCGATTTCATTTCTTTCGTCGTCACAGGTCTGATCTGATTTTTATTACTGACCCCCCTCCCCCCTTCCCAATTACTTACTGTCTATAACATCCCTTCCCCCATTTGCCCCCATCTGCCCCCATCTCTGTCCCCATTTCGTTACACTTTTTTGTCCTTCGGTTTCTGTTGCCCTTCGTGCTGGTCTGCCTGAATCAGACTGCTGCTTTGAGAGTTTTACTGTATTATTAGTACATAACTCTGCCTTATGAGTGCCATCAATAGTAAGGCATGTATATAATCGTGTTGTGGCAAACATATATATAAATATGACTAAATTATATGCGCTATCAATAATTAAATATGAGCATTTATGTTGTTTTATAAGTCCGCTATCTCTTTTAATCTAAGCAAGTAACTTCGATTTATCTCAGTCTAGTATGGGTACGTGCAGATTTCCTCATTCTTGCTAACAACTAATGTATGCGTTTGTTGTTAGGAATAGCTCTTTGGATCGTTCCCCCAGAGCCAGCTGCAACACAGTTAAAGCAGCTGATGCGCATTCCATCATCGCTTGATCCACTACCATCTTGCACCTTACCTTCTTTCGAACCACATATCACGCTCTCAAGCTTCCCAAGTTCCGTACCACTCGAGCTTCTACGCTCAGTGCTCGGCGAGATTAAGCAAACCAATGCAAGGCCTTTGCGTGTGGAGTTTACTGGTTTTGGGACAGGAGACACGTTCTTCCGCTCGGTCGTTATTGACGTTTTGGTCACGCCTGAGTTGCAAGACGTGCACGATCGCGTTCAGCGGGCTGTGAGAATGAATGGGTACGAAGTGTCTAGTCCGAGGTTCCCGCATATTTCGTTGTTTTACATTCCGGATGAATTTGGTGCGGAGAGGAAGAGAATAAGGGATGCTTTGTGGGAGACATGTGGCATACAGTGTGGTTTGGACTACCCAGGGCGGATGATTGCGTTTAAAGTCAGTGAGGGAGTGTTTAGTGGGTTTGATACTTTTGAGGTGTGGATTGTACGGTGTGAAGGGCCTGTTGAAGGGTGGGAGGTGCTCGAGAAGGTTGAGCTTGCTGGATAATGTACAAGTAAGCATTGGACAGTACTTGCAAGTTTTATTATGGACACTGTTTACAGATTGAACAATTTCAATGTTTGCAATCAGTAGAGTGGAAGCAGCAAAGCAATGGTGAGACAGTAGTGGTACTGAACCATGAAGGCAGGGACAGAAGACTGGCAATACTAAACAAGTCTGAGTGTCTAAAAGCTGTAGAGAGTTTATGCAAGTTTTATTATATGACCTGCAAATAGGTTATAGTACAGAGTTTATGTAAGTGGACAGGAGCACAATACATTAATAGTTGTACAAAATACAAGACAGGGTACAAGTAGAAGGGCATGTTGGAAAAAAATTTAAAACAACTCGAACGACGCCGGCAGGATTCGAACCTGCGCCCTCGAAGAGGAGCAGCTTTCTAAACTGCCGCAGTAACCACTTTGCTACAGCGCCGCAAGGAAATACTGGGTCAGAAATAATCATCTCAGTTAATTACCTGTATCGGTGAGATACGGAAGAGGTTAAATGTTTAAACTCCGCTGGCAAGTTCCGCTGGTAGAGGTCTTTTTCACTCGCGCCGCTGGCGATTTCTCTCATCCTTTCTGTCGCTGCAGTGCTCGACGACGACGATGCTGTCCACCCGCGGCGTCACTCGCATTTCGCGCAGGGCGCTCAACGCGAAGAAGACCAATGCGTTCTTCTCCACTGCTGCTGTACCCGCTCTTGCGCGTACAGCACTTCCACGATTCAACCAACAGCGTCCGGCCGCACCTCGCCGAGTTGCCCCGTCATCCTCAGCAGGTGTGTTTTGTTCGCTTTTTCGTGGAGAAAAAAATACGAAAATTCTTGATAGCAGCTCGTACGTATGCTACTGAGGCAAAGGGCCAGGTCGGCTCGGTGAAGACCGTTATTGGTGCCGTTGTTGATGTTCAATTTGACACCGAAAACCTTCCTCCAATTCTCAACGCCCTTGAGGTCCAGGATTTCCATGGCGGTCGTCTTGTCCTTGAGGTCGCTTCTCACCTTGGCGAGAACTCGGTCCGCACTATTGCCATGGACGGTACCGAAGGTCTTGTTCGCGGTCAGAAGGTCGTTGACACCGGAGCTCCCATCCGTATTCCTGTTGGAAAAGAGACCCTTGGCCGTATTATGAACGTCATCGGCGAACCTATTGACGAGCGTGGTCCGATCAAAGGCGTGAAATTGTCACCCATCCACGCGGAGCCGCCGCCATTCGTTGACCAGTCAACGACTGCTGAGGTACTTGAAACGGGTATCAAGGTTGTTGATCTTCTAGCACCGTATGCCCGTGGTGGTAAGATTGGTCTTTTCGGTGGTGCTGGTGTCGGCAAGACTGTGCTTATCCAGGAGCTCATCAACAACGTCGCCAAAGCACATGGTGGTTTCTCCATTTTCTGCGGTGTCGGCGAGCGTACTCGTGAGGGCAATGACTTATACCACGAAATGATTGAGACTGGTGTCATCAACCTTGAGGGTGACTCTAAGGTCGCGCTTGTCTTTGGTCAAATGAACGAGCCTCCTGGTGCGCGTGCCCGTGTTGCGCTTACTGGTCTTACTATCGCCGAGTACTTCCGTGATGAAGAAGGCCAGGATGTGTTGCTTTTCATCGACAACATTTTCCGTTTCACTCAGGCAGGTTCCGAAGTGTCCGCACTGCTTGGTCGTATCCCATCTGCCGTCGGTTACCAGCCGACTCTTTCAACGGACATGGGTGGCATGTACGTATCGAACACTGCATCCTATCTGAGTCGCACATGATGTTAACGTTATGTACAGGCAGGAGCGTATTACCACGACCAAGAAAGGTTCCATTACGTCTGTGCAGGCTGTCTACGTCCCTGCCGATGACTTGACTGACCCTGCTCCGGCCACAACCTTCGCTCACTTGGATGCGACGACTGTGTTGTCGCGTGGTATTGCTGAGCTTGGTATTTACCCTGCCGTCGACCCGCTAGACTCTAAATCCCGTATGCTTGACCCACGTATTGTCGGCAAGGAACACTACGACGTTGCAACTGCGGTGCAGAAGATCTTGCAGGATTACAAGTCCCTTCAGGATATCATTGCCATTCTCGGTATGGACGAATTGTCTGAAGAGGATAAGTTGACTGTGAGCGCATTTTTTGCTGTTAAATGGCGGAGCGTGTTTAATGATATATCTTTTTCTTCAGGTCGAGCGTGCACGTAAGATCCAGCGTTTCATGTCGCAGCCATTCCAGGTCGCGCAGGTCTTCACTGGTTACGAAGGCAAGCTTGTACCGTTGAAGGACACCGTCCGGTCGTTCAAGGAGATCATCTCTGGACAACACGACTCGTTACCCGAGTCTGCCTTCTACATGGCTGGTACGATTGAGGATGTGAAGTCGAAGGCAGAGCAACTTGCGAAGGAGATGGGCAACTAGAAAGTCTGCGGGTGCTAGAATGCGTTGGACTTGAACTGACCGAAATAAGATGGTCGCCAGTAGACTACAACGTAAAGGGATTCAATGACTGAAGCACTACTCTCGATTTGAATCCCTGCTCAAAAATTCATTTTTTAATTCTCCGTGGGTGTGTGTGTGTGTGAGTGTGTAAATGAGTATGACAAGGAATAAAACGCGGAAGCCGGAAGTAACCGACAGCCTTTGGACACCGACGTCATTTCCATTGGTCAACAACTTCAACATGCGTATTAGTACTATTTGAGCGCGACTTCACCTGTCCCTCATATCCTCCCCTGCGATATGCTCGGCCGCATTGCAGGCAGATTTCGTACAAGGCCTCCATGTTTGGCCGTTCATGCCTCTCGTCCCCAAGCAAATATTCAACATGCATACAATACACGCGTACGTGACGCGCTGGTCGCCCGACGCGCATGGAGTTCAAGCTCCTCGCGCAAGCAAGAGGACAAGAACGGAAACGGAAACGGCAAGGGGAATGCACAATCTAAGCCTTCAGCACTTGCTCGGATAAAGAAAGTCGCATGGTGGTCAGCGATGGTGGGCGCGTCGAGCGCTGCGGGTGTGCTCCTCATTGGCGGGGCCATCTTCTTGCACGACGCGTTCACGTATACGGATAGACATGTTGATCGCGTGCCGGTGAATCCCCTTGCGTTGCACCCCGAAACGGGTGGTCCGAAGAAGCTGCCAGTCGCGAAAGTGCTGGTTAGCGATGAAGAAGATGAGGTGAATAAAAAGCTGTCTACAAAGCCACGGCTTGTTATTGTTGGTGGAGGATGGGGTGTACGTGTTTTTCCGATGTTTTTAAAGATCGAGCGTTCTACATTTAACTTAATACTTGATTCATTGCAGGCTATGGGTATTCTCAGTTCTCTTCAGTCTGGCCAATATCATGTCACATTAATCTCACCGGAAACGTTCACGACCTTCACACCGCTTCTTCCGTGTATGTCTTTCCATTTGCTATAACCAAACAGAAGATGTTTAATAAGTAATCTAGCTGCCGCCGTCGGCACTGTTCAAGTCCGCAGTCTCATTGAACCTCTTCGCAAAATTGTCGCGCGTTTACACGGACATTACATCGCCGGCAAAGCCGTCGACATCGTCATGAGCGAGCGACTGCTTGAGGTGGAGACGACCGGTCCAAATGGCGAGAAGCACAATATCTACGTCCCGTATGACAAGCTTGTCATCGCAGTTGGCTCGACTTCGACTACGCATGGTGTAACCGGTTTGGAACATACATTCCAATTGAAGACGGTCCCAGATGCACAGGCAATTCGGCGCAGGATATCGGACAACTTTGAGACTGCTAGTTTACCGACGACGACTCCCGAAGAACGGAAGCGCCTACTCAGCTTTGTCGTTTGCGGTGGCGGACCGACTGGTGTAGAAACAGCTGCAGTATGTGTATCCTTTCCTGGCGTCACAGTTTCAAATACAAATACTCCATTCCAGGAAATCTACGACTTATGCCAAGAGGATATTTTAAACTACGTACGCACATTGACAAAGTAATTATGTCATAGTTCAGTAACACTCCGTCTCTAGTATCCAAAATTATGCCGAGAAGAGGTTTCGATCAGCTTGATACAGTCAAGGGAGCATATCTTGAACACAGTATGCACTAAAATCACTTCCTCTATATACTTTTCTAATATCACTTGTAGTATTCCGAAGCTATCTCCAAATATGCTGAGGTGAGCTTGCGAAAAATGTGTGAGTTTTGTATTCTCTGACGTTGTCGGTTCAGAACAAGTTCAACCGGGATGGTGTCAATGTTATTACCAACGCTCGGTAAGTCGAACAAATATTTTAGATGCTGTGCTAAAGCGTTATTAATAATTGTGCGCGCAGTGTGAAAGAGATTCAACGCGATAGAGTTATTTACACAATTAAGGACGGAAACAAGCTTGTAGAACGCGAGATGCCCTCGAATTTCGTACTATGGTCTACGGGTATCGCGATGAACCCATTTACCCGTCGCGTTTCTTCTCTTCTGCCGAACCAGGTGCACTTCAAGGCGATTGAAGTTGACGCTCAGTTACGTGTCAAGGGAGCACCGTTAGGCACAGTTTACGCAATTGGAGATGCTAGTGTGGTATGTTTCTTTCTATGCATAGGATATTTTTCAGTACTCAGCACGTTTCTAGCTGGAGACCAATATTGTTGGCCACCTCCTGGAACTGGTCGATGATGCGGACAGGAACCACGATGGGAAAATTGATCTTGAAGAGTGGAAGATTATGGGTTAGTTCTCTAGTTTTTCAGTTCGGCCTCAAATCTCATGCTAAGTTGATTTGCACTCCAGCTGCGCAGATCCGAAAGCGCATGCCAATGACCGAAAATCATTTACAGAAAGTCAGGGACCTTTTCGAACGATACGACACGAACAATGATAACAGCCTCGATTTAAATGAGCTGGCACTTCTTCTGCAAGAAATTAGTAGTAAGATAACGCCTCTCCCGGCTGTATGTATTTAATATTCTTAGAAGTCCACATCAACTAACACGAGTCATGCTACAGACCGCCCAGGTCGCCTCTCAGCAAGGAAAATACATCGGCAAGAAGCTGTCCAAGCTTGCACGACAAAAGGACATTCTCGCAGCGAACGACATTCCCTTCACTGACGAAGCTGTCAGCGGACCATTCCGCTACGCACACCTTGGCAGTCTCGCGTACATTGGGAACGCGGCTGTATTTGATTTTGGTAATCGTACCTTTATGGGTGGTCTCGCAGCGATGTATGCATGGCGAAGCGTGTATTGGAGCGAACAGGTTTCGTCACGGACGCGCGCGTTGCTCATGTTTGACTGGATTATTCGGTAGGTTTCTTTGCTTAGAATTGAATTTGGATACCCTGAAGCTCATCAAATGCACACAGTGGAATATGGGGCCGTGATATTTCACGACTCTAACTGTACTTTAGAAACGTTGCAAGAGGTTGTATCGTCTCCTGCATTTCTAATATCTTATTTAGAACGGACTATCTGTTGCTATTCACTGTGCGAAACGCAGTTGGAGGAATGATGTTCTTTTGTTTGTTTTCCGCGCGCCATTCCAACCTGTACATCATCGGATAATTTACTGGTCTTGCCATTCAAATGAGCCCATGAGTGCTGTTCTGCCTGCTATTGAGCCAGGACTTGGCATGAGGATGGTCATTTTGTGTGCCCTCATGTCGATTCCAGTTCTATTATTAAGACGTAGGTTTAGCAGTCTGTGCCTCGCCATGGGGAAGAAGATAATAAACGTACACCACGAGGAAAGCAACGACAGCCAAATCGAGCACTTCTTCATCATACCTCTCGTTCTCATCTGGGTTCTGAGGGGCAAGTAGAGCAAGAACAGAGTTCAACAATCCAGAGCCTTTTTGTGCGGGGTCGACGAGAACAGGTTGAAGTTCCGTTACGGCACGCTGTGCACCGATGGGTAGTGCGCTTGTAGGAGCGATCGCACCTCCACCGATTCGGTAGATCGTGAGGTCGGAGAAGGGGATCGTAGTGGACAGAGGAGAAAGGCGGGAAGAGTCGGCTAGAAGGTCTGAAGATTCTTCGGATGTACCTTGTGTAGGTTGTTGGGAGAGTCCCGAGGGAGGGGTTAAGTGATGTCCGTACATGTAGTTATGGATCTGGTAACGGTGCACGCGTTCTCGGTATGCTATGTCCACGTCGACCACCTTGTTCTTCATGTCAGAAAGTGACGGAGAATGTTAATATGATTGGCGCTTACCCCTCCAGATTTAGGAAGTTTGATTACGGTCTGTGACGAACCGAACATACGCTGCATCTCGACATTTAGCTTCTCATGTCCAACAACTATTATAACATTGACTTTTTAATCGGACATCATTAATTGATATCACCGACAGAAATTTTGAATACACGCACTGTGAAAAGCGTCAACGCAAGACCTAATTAAGGCAAATTTCTTGTCATTAGGCACCCCTGCAAGTCCGGTGGCGAAGGACGAGGGCGTATCGACGATAATACCGGAGCTCCTGCCTGTACTCATTCCACGCACAACATAAGCTTTCATGATTACACTTTAGCGGAGTGGGGAAGGTGACCACCTCACCTGTCGGACCATTATCCTGCCTTGAAGTTACGTTCTCACCGAGATTCCGGATAAGTCGGTCCATGAGCAGAGGGTTTGCTCGGGCTTCCGCGTGGCCATACCAGTATACTAGAGGTAATAGAGCAGATGATGATAACGCCGCAGGTGCTGAAGTAGCCGTTGATCCTAGTGGGTTCGCGGGTGTCTGTGTTGGAATGGGAGTGCTAATTGGACATGCGGATATAGTTCCGGGAACAGTCCAACCTCCCTGAATATGCCATATTAGGAGGATAAGAGAAGAAATACGCCCGAGAACACAAAGACCTTACTTCACCTGGGTCAACATTGACGAACATAGGTGCCCAGCCCTGTCCCGTGCGCACAGCATAATTCGCCAATATCTTACATGCCGTGGTCTTCCCAGCGTTCTCTGGTCCGACAACAAGCACTCGTGGTGGGCCGTCGGGGACACTGGAAGAATCGGTCGGTAACGGTGTGCCACGCGCAGAGCTCAGCGCACGAACACGCATTTGCTCAAATGCGAGGTGAAGATTCATGTATGCAGCCATAGGCGTCTCATCAGAGATATATTCTGTTGAGGGTCGTCCTGTTACGTATAGTAAGAAACTTTCATTAAGTACACTAATCGGTTTGTTGCAAATATAGCATGCAGAAGACATATCTGGAGAGTGCAACCTTGCCAAGTGTAGACAGCCGCCCTACACTCCAGTCCGAAGAGGTAAACCGCGCCCTCTGCGAGTTCCGCGCCGAATATCTCTGCATTGCCCCTTATCAGCTATTCGACAGAGAATAAATCAAGCCCTGTTCGTTCTTTCAAGCATTACAATACACACCTTGATAGCCACAGTGGTATTTGGATCCAACTCGAAACGATATTCAGACTCGGGATCTAACGCCCATTCCTTCGTTTCCTCAGGTCTCTCCATAGTACAATAAGTTCAAGTTCTCGAGAGGTAACTATTTCAAAGTAGATATAACCTCAACAAATGTCCTCGGAAGGCCGGAACGCGTTCTATGATTTTCTGGTGAACGAATTTGAAGGTGTGCCACAATACGCTTGGGAAGGTGATAAGTAATTCTTTCACACAGGCTTAATCAATGCCAAATGTTATCAGCAGGCTCACTGCCAGTTTTCGAAGATAAGTGTGGGGACTGGGGCTCAACAGACTGTTCTGCAGCCCGAGGTTACTGGTCACTGAACAAGTTGGTTGGATTTGACAAGAGCGAACGATTGGCATCCGTCGATCATGCCGGAATCACGTGCGGCTTCTGGCTACAAATTTTCCCATCTTGTGACTCTGGACTTTCTTTATTCGATCTAAATAATTATAAGACATATGGCTGTCTTCCGCTTTTTCGGGAGTGCCGTTTACCAAAAGGAATTTTACTGACCATTGCCTGCGATGGGGCCCAGAGACGGACCGAAAGTATTGAGGATGCGAACTGCGAAAGGCAATACAATCATCAAAATAGGTTCATGAATTCAGACTGCCTCATCTCTCTTGATAAACAGATCCTGATGTGTTCGGTCTTAACTATAGTTGCTGATGTCCGGTCCCGGACCGCTCGGACTCGGTCCGGACGCAGGACTGGACTGATGGACCGGTCCTCTACAGTCCGGTCCTCATGGGTCCAGGAGAGGTCCGGTCCTGGGTCCATCATTTTGAGAAATTTCCCGGACCGATGGACTCGTCCGGACCCGGACTGGACTCCGGACCTGAATAACCTGAACTAATGTCTCAAATCTCGTTTCCCATATCTCTAGCTCACTATACTAAAACAGATCATACTCCTTTAAGGATCTTTGAATATTAGCTAGCACTTGCATAGTACATTTTACAAGTTTCTGGCAGTCCAAGCAAAGCAAGACTTTACTCCTGTTCTTTACTGTTCAATGTATGGCTTACTAAACTTGACTCTTCCTATCTGGTTATTGTCTCCCGAAATATTTATTCCCTTTATGTATATTCACTCCTCTCCCGTCCTATGCCAAAGACGCCGCAGTCCCAGCCGCCCTCCCCAGTCAAGCAGCCAGCCAATGCCCCTGCCCCCGACAAATTAGACAAGATGTCCGAAATCACTCTCAGAAAGAAGAAGAACGCTGACGCTCAGGCTGCTTTCCGTGCACGCCGTGCCAACTATATTACCACCCTCGAAGAGACAGGTCCGTCTGCTGCTAAGTACCTAAATATTCATGTTCCGACAACTAAGTGTCCGTAAATCGCAGTAACCAGCTTAGAGGCAGTTGTAGTCCAGCTTCAGGACTCGTGTCGCGAGGCTCGCGCCGAAGCCTCAGAATTGCGTCAGGAAAACCACTACAGTGTCTAGTCTGTAGATTATGTAGTATATACAAAAATATATTACTTTTGTACTTAGATACAAAGAATAATACTCTAACTCATCTCTTAAATTTTTTTCTCTCAGGTCCGGTTATGGACCGGTCCAGAACCGGACTGGAACTTGGGTCCGGTCCACTACCCGTCCACATAGGTCCGGTCCCCAGTCCGGGACACTCCCGGACCGCAGATTTGGTCCGGTCCTGAGTCCAGGTGAAGTATGCCCGGACCGGACCAGGACCGGACTTCAGCAACTATAGTCTTAACAAAGTTCAAAACACAGTGGTCTAAGTGGGCAACTGAAACAACGATGCGGAGCACTATGGACCGAGGGCGGTGGTGTGGTCCCTCCGGACTCCATGGAACTTGGTACGCTTTTTAAACTTACGAGTGCTAGGTCCCGGATGTTTCTATTGCACAAGCTTATGAGTAATTGCATCGCTAGCCTCTAGCCTGGAGATTCGCTAATCACGGCATGCGAGCATAGAAGCAAAGAGACACAGGTCCCAGCGCCTAACAGGCTAACACTACTTGGAAAGATTTCAACTCTATCTCGGGCGTGTCTCTGACCGCGAGTGAAGTTGATACAGAAAGATTGTAATGCCAGCTTCTCGTCTGCTCAGTTCTCGCAGCTCAGCGTTTATCTCGTTCCTGGAAGGTATTGAACCACCGATTCTCCAAAAGAGATGTCATGGCATCTAAACTATACGCCGATCGGCTTCTTTGTAGCCAAACCGAGAAGTATTCCTTTGGCCTGATGATGAGCTGGACGGAGTTCCTGTTCATCACATCATCCACATGCTAGTGCGCCATTCCTAATGTCGCTGTCTTGTTCATGTCAAGACCACTCGCTGTGCAAAACGGTCTATAATGGGCTATTCGGAGTTTGCAAGGACAAGGTTCGTTATCGCATGTATTGAAATGTTTACGCGATCGATCAATGGATGTTTTCGAAATTCGTTTCACCAGCCGCGGGTTCTCGACTTCAAATTTACTCAGCTGCATATAAAGCATGTCTCCACCGGACTTTCGGACTTTCCAGTGTCTTTCGCCCCTTTGCCTCCCCGGGTCCACTTGACTTGCATATTCCTCCTGGCTTAATTCACCATGTCTAAGGAAGCAAGTATCTCTAGCGGTTTAAACTCGGAGAAAGAACTCTCTCCGACTACCGCAGACTTTAGCGATGTTGATGTTGCCGCCCGTGTCGCCGCGGGAGGCGACGGCGAAACGATTACCGAAGAGGATGCCTTGCGAATAAGGTTTGTTATTCCTCTTGCACACTGCTCAATGACGCCTACACCGACCAATAATTCTCCAGGAGAAGAATAGACTGGCATCTCATGCCATTGATGTGCAGTGAGTCTCACCATTGTGTGCTAGCTCCATCTACGTTACTTAGACTATTATCAGTTTTATACTTGTATGTTATAGGTTCATGCAAACATCGTCATGCTTTGCAAACACTATTGTTCTTCTAGGATGCAATTTGCTGACAAGACAGCCCTCGGTCAGTCGGCTGTTCTGGGTCTAAAGTGCGGCGTTCGCCCCATCCGTTTCATAGTGACTGATCCGAGCTGTCTCCAGTACATCGACACATCTTTCGCAGAACCAATTCAATTGGCTTGGGACAATATTCTACCTAAGTTACCTCGTATTCGAGTACCCACAAAACCTTGCACTGCAGTATTTCCCCGTGGGCAAGTGGATGAGGTGCATATAGCTAGTTCTTACTGAAACACCTATTTCTCACTGAACTGCATTCAGCATCAACATTTTCATTTGGTCTGTCGCATTGTGCGCAACTGCTGCATGTAAGAACTTCGGCGGCCTCTTTGCTTGTCGCTTCATTCTTGGAATGTGTGAGGGAGCCATCACAGCAGGTTTGTATACGTGCAGTTATTTTCGGCTTGTGCTTCTGCTGACTATTAATGAACATTTCTCCGCAAGGCTTCCTCATCGTTACATCAATGTTCTATACGCACGCGGAACAAACCCTTCGTGTTGGCTACTGGTGTTCGTACCTCATTTGCGGTGAATAACTCACTGTCACTGACGTCTTCACATCATTCAGTTCTTATGAATGGTTCGGCCGTGATCATCCTTGGCTTCATTGCCTTCGGAGTTTTGCACGCGAAGACAGAAAATTTTGAGCCGTGGCAATGGTTGGATGAATCTTCTCTTCATAAGTGTAGCCAATTAAGTTTCATTCACCAGGCTCATGATCATTACTGGCATAATCACGCTCATCACATCCGTTCTATTCTGGTATGTTCGGGCTATTCCTCGTGAATGGCCGAAGAAGCTCACCCAGCGCCATCAGGTTCTACTTCCCGGACTCCCCTGCGAACGCGAAGTTCCTGAGCGAAGAAGATAAGCGTCTTGCCGTGCTTCGAATCAAATCAAACCAGACAGGTGTTGAGAACAAGCACTTCAAGTTAAATCAGTACGTCAAAAATTTCCTTTCATTTAAAAAATTATATATATACTTATAGAATTCGGTAGGTTTTATGAAGCCCTGCGAGATCCGAAGACATGGCTTTTCTCACTGATAGTTGCTCTGAAGTAGGTGTTCTATTCTAATTCAGTCGTACAGGCCATTAACGTTACTCCGTTTGAAAGTCAAATCCAGAACTCCGTGGGTGGCCTTTTAGTTCTCATTGATGGCATGAGCATTGACTTCGATGAAGTTGACCAACCAGCGCCAATTGATCGTCAAGATGTTTGGGTCAGTTAGAATTTGCGTTGAAAATTACCTTGATTATTTACTCAAGCGAGGTTCTAGGTTTACCCAGATCCAAACGACTTTGCTTGGCTGTGTCGACGGAGTTGTAAGTCGTTCTTCGCCCCTTTTCGTAAATGCATCATTAAAGTTCGCCATTCCTTCTCAGGTCGTTAGTGCGTACTTTTCTAATACGGTAGCTTTGCAACGATCGTGCTAACCTGTGGTTATATAGTCCTCGCAATATATGGCTCGGCGAAGTTAGCTTCAGTCATGCGAAACGGACGATCTATCGTAGTCAGTCTGTGGACAATTCCCGCTGTCGTCGGAGGAATCCTTGTGGTCACATTACCGTTCACTAACAAGATTGGGCTTCTATTTTCATATTGGACTGCACGTAAGTTCCACCTATTCATTTGCAAGACAGAGGTATTGACAATGAATACCCGCATATTATTAGTAATTGGAAACGGTATCCTCCCTGTCCTCCTTGGATGGGTAAATAGTGTCACCGCTGGACACAGTAAAGTAAGCACTTAACAAGACTCTGCTGAATAGTGCTGAACGAGGAAATTGTAGCGAATCTCAACGAACGCTATCGTTCTTATCGCGTATTCCATTGGCAATGCAGCTGGTCCTGAAATGTGGAAGGGACAGTACCAGCCTCGGTAATCACCATTCTTTATTGAAGTTTGATCGCCAGTTGACCACAAAATAATAGTAATCGCGTTCCTTGGGCCATCATCATAGCATGCAATGGTGTAGTGGCTATTCTTAGTTTGATCATACGCTTCTACCTTGCACGAGAAAATAGCCTTCGTGAGAGGCAAGCATCTGAATCCACATACGAGGACGTATACATCGTCGTACAAGACGAGAATGGCGCGGAGGTCAAGAAGAAAGTCGACAAGGCATTCTTGGATCTAACAGACAGACAGAACCTCGAATATCGCTACGTACTGTGAAGCTCCGTAGGAGTGGGCAAGCAGAGTCTATAATGCATAACTTGTTCGGATTCGTCTGATGGCTTAAATTAACGACTTGTTTACGTATTTATGTACTTTACATGTCTATTTCCAATATGAATGCACTTCAATCATTGTCACTGGCGTAAGCCGCTTGCGCGAATGAACAAACTACAATAATGACGAGACTTTCACGGGACGCCGCACAGCAGCGGAATTACCCTCATTATAGCGATACGATACCTTGAATTTCTTCTCGGTTGGCTTACTGACGAGAATGGATCCAGTGTCTTTGCTTTTCTTGGATACTGGTGCGGCTGGCACGGTAATGGGGCGCCCAAAGAAATCGACTGGAGGCTGGATGGAAGGGGTCAGCAAGTTTGTACACGATGGCGGGACAAGCTAAACACACCCTGTCGGCTATGTCTAACATGTCTGCTTTCCGCTTGCCGAGAGGTGAGCTGCCTGTGTAGTTAATTCCGTCTTCCCCATGATCGCCGCCGGTGTCTTTGCGCGATCTACGAGCAGAATTAAGCCAATATCGGGCTACAGTTTCGGGCTACTACGTACTTGAACATTCCGAAAGTTTTTGTCTTGCCTCGTTCGATCACCTCGGCGTGCCGCGCAATCAACTTCGCATCAATCTGGTATGCCATGATGTTATTAACATGCACAACGACCTCATCGAAAGTGACAAACCTCTCCTGCAATGACCTGTCTGGTAGCGTAACGCTGGACGGCGATGTCTGACGCTCGCCTTCCGTCATAAGTTATGAAGGCGTCGATCGGTCTAATATGTCGAATTATTAAGGCGGGTTCACAGGGAGACACTGCAACGAGCTTACGGTTCCAGTCTAAATGTAAGCTGACCATCCTCCGCCTTTTCCTGTACGAAACGTAGTTCGAAAGCAACCATAATATCGACAAGTCGCGAGAGAAGCGCCCGCTCATGGGGCTTAGTGACCTGTCTATTTACCTTTACCATTTGTTAGGGGTGTCGCAGTAATTGAAAACTGTCCGCACTCACAGGACGCATCGGAGGAGATAAGATGCGGTTTATGTAGGGCGCGAGTTCGAGTTGCATGATTTCGTTTGACAGGAAATATCTTAACCCTGCATAACGCTGTCCCGCAGACTGAATACATTTCGCAAGTGACTTATATATTTCTTCGTTTGTTCGTGTCTTCATCAAGGCCTGGTGCAGAATGACTCGATTAGTGAAACGGAAACATAACGAGAACGGCAAGCACATACATCCCAATCTGCTTTCGGCCGTTCGACTTTTGATCCGCCTCGTTCATTGAATAATGCATAGAAGGGAACAAGGGAGTATGAAAGATACGGCATCAAACTGTATTCACGCTCGGAACGCATAGCTCCTGAAAGTGAGTCAAATGACACTAGCCAATTGGCAGCCTTGCCATGCCTTGATAATGATGCCTCGTAATGTCGCAGATTCGCGTAATGCTCAAAACAACCTGTAGAAAGAAGATGGGTAAGTGCTGGTTACCGTCGATGCAACAACTGGGAGCCCAGCCACAAACCTAATGCAACTTTGTCCGCTGACCCAGTAGTATCAATATCTGCGCTCAGCCGACTGACATATCGACTCTCGTCATACTCGGACATGCCGAGCTCCTTCACGCGCTTCTTCGCAAGCGGGGAAAATAAGCTACTCATGACAGACGTGAACGACGAGTCCCCCTCTTTCATGCCTACAGTAGCAGCACGGATAACAGATTCCGTGACCTCTTGTTGACGGGCTTTGACGAACTGCAAAACAAGTGAATCGTTTGTACAACGTAATTAGAAACACGGCGTATTACCTGAAGCGTGTTCAGACATCCTCGCATGTCACCCCTCGCAATGCCGACAAGCGTCGTCAAAGCGCGAGACTCTGCGCGAAGGCCTTCCATTTCGCATATTGATCGAAGCCGCTTGGTGAGGAAAGCATCGGCAGGACGCTGGAAACGTATGATTCGGGCATGTTGGCGAAGCTTCGTTAACGAAGCTGCGTAAAGGTCATTGCAAATACATATTATAGGTCGCAATAGAGGTCGCTTCGCATTGTTGTCTTTTTTCCGCCCTACGAAAACTCGTAATCAGTATCACTGTTAGACAAGCAAGAATTTTTGATCAAACCTTTCTTTGCACTGTCAAACGTCAAGCCAATAAGTTTGTGTATAAAGGTCGAAGTCTACAAGCAGCTTTGAGTTTGTTTTCCACCCGGAAAAATGACGCATAAAGCTCACGTTCTCTCCGGAACCAGTCGCACCGTCGATCTCATCAATGACGACGCAAACCGGCCTTTTACTACCCACTGCTGAACCAGATTCTAGGGTGGGTCGTATTCGATCGTCGATTACTTGACCCGAACGAGAGTCACTATTGCATATGCATGAGGTACAGAATCATTAAGTATAGTCGTAAGCCGTTTACCTGGCGTTGATTTCCATCACCTCATAACCTGCCTGACGCGCAATGACATGGGCGAGTGTTGTCTTTCCATATCCAGCAGGGCCGGAGAGAAGCAGAAGCTGCGCGAGGTTTATGAGGAAGACAGACGCTGAAGTCAATACCCATATTTCCTACCTTTTCTCGCGGTCTATGGAACGCATCCTCGTATTGGTTTTCCTTGAAACCATTTTAATACTTTCTGCTTATATACTATTACTTCTATGACTTACCGAATTGAAACCTGTATTATTATTAGCTTTTCTGTGCTTGTTGACTGCCTTTCTCTTCCCAAAGACACAATGATCCCATTCTTTCAACCATGACATCGTGTCTCTGTGAACACGCTCATCTCCCAGTAAATCTATAAATCGAGAGGGACGATATCGATCCACCCAGAGCTCGTTATCCACTGGCTTGAGTATTGTTGATGTAGAGGGACCTGGTTCACTGGGAAAGCCCTTAAGAAAGGATAAATAGACAGAAAATAAACACAACTTACGGATGTGTGAGCTTCTCTACCATTATCTCCGAAAGCTGGTCTTTGAGCTTGTGCACGGGTCGTTCAAGCAAATTCCCAAATTGTTGACCTTCCATCACCTAGAGTCATCGAAACACATTCATAGAAGTCGACCACCACGATGTCTAGCAGAACCTACTGTGCATGATTTGATTTTGGTCCTCCTCTCAAAAACAATGCCCTTGCCATCAAATGTTGTTGCTGCAATTGAACCAGATAAAAATGAAATATTCGACCTGCTTGGTGGTTGAGCTTCTTTACAAGGAACCTGGTGTCGTCCACGACCATTAGGATACAGAATTTGGCTCAGGGATGGCAGTTCGTCTATTCCGATGCAACTGAGTTGGAGACGTTAGTGTTCAACAAGAAAAACGCGTACCTTGGGACTCAACGGGTGTGGCTCTCGGCTTCTTTCGCTCACACGTCTCTGAAGCTCGATCAGCACTCTCGCTTATCTCGATGTTATCTCGTAGCGTATCAAGCAGCCCATTTGACGTAAAGTCTGCGTTTAGTGAAGAAAGGGATTGCGAGACGCTTGTTACATCTTTCATATCGTCTAGCAACCCGTTCGACGTAAATATGTCCACTTCCTCCTGGGGCGTTTTGAAAGAAGGACCCATTCGCTCCTCTGTAGTTGTATTAGTATATTGACCACAGTGATGAGAGTGCGGTATCGGAAAACTCACCTGGTCTGTCTTCAATCCGCCGCTCCGCTAGTAAGCCGTTTGTTACGAAGGCGTCCGAGTCCAAGAGCGTAGCACTCCCATCGAGCTCGTCCACGTCCATGCAGCCAATTTGTGTGTCTAAGTAATCGAAGCGACTGCCCGTAAGAAGTGTTTCGACGGAGGACATACTGATGAGAGAGTGTACGGAGACCGAGAAGTGACACGGCACTCGAGTAAGTAGCGATACACTGGCCGTTACGGGTTACAACACGGTCTGTCACGGCACGCTCGAGGCTCTATTTGCATCTGGGAAACCTTCATTCTATGGTCAGGTTTAGACTAAGCCACGTAAGTTACGAGAAAAGTATCATTTCTTCTTCTTCTGCTTGACAACTATCTTACAAGTAGTTAATTGCACTATAATTTCGCCCAATACATCCAGTACACTCCCGCCATGAAGTAGATGCGAATAAGTCAGAGCGTATTCCGTCGGAAACTGATCGTTCTCCGCGCTAGTGATTCTTTCATATGAGTAAGTATGCATCCAAGAGACTGACGTTCCTTCGCGTATCCATCGACAAGAGGGAACTGGTAGAGGGGAAGGTCAAACCGTTTCCTCCGCATTATATTCACGAAGATGAAGCCGACTGTAAAGGTGTTAAATTAATTATACTTCCAGAAGCAATTCCATCAACTTACCGAGTAGTTCGGCAATTACGTTCTCAGAGGTATCTTGTATCTCGAGATAATCGTTGCCAACTTTGGGGATGAGAGACGGCGACAAATTATTGCCCAACTGTATGCATCGCTCATGGTACGTTAAAACAACGGCTCTGCAGTCGACATCACGGACCTAGCGTCAGTCGTGGTCAGCACTTACTGTAATAGAAATAGTACAACTGGAGCTAACTGTAATTGAATTACGAGTTGCTACCCAGACATAATCCAGTCGGGTAGGAACTATGAGGCTGCACATTCTATATATTAAATGATGTTAGATTACTTTATGAACCAAAGTGGAAATGATGCTGCTCAACAACGTACGCTGCATTAACACTATCGCAGCCACCAAATAGCTCCGCGAGCTTTATCGGCTCCCTGCCCATGATACGGACCAGGCCACCCGACTTTTTATCCTTGCCCGTCCATTCAATTGAAGCTACGGTAAATCCTTTTGCGTCGACAATCGATGTAGAGCGGGCAGCTACGTCGACGATGACATCGTCCTTTCCAAGTATATACGAGGCCCGTGTGAGTATGGTGTATTTAGGGTGACCTGAAACCGCATCAACGAGGTCAGTGTTGAGAATATCGGCCTGGGTGAATCTAAGGAGCATGATAGTGGCTTTGGGAGAAAAGATACAGGACGAGAACGAGTAATCGTCGGCAGCATATATGCGCAGTCACCTGATTAGCAGAATACAGGCCTGGAAGACTCACCGCGGGAAATTTAACACAAAAATATAAATGCTAGGAAGAAATGTGGCTGGTTCGATTGCCTCGAGGCAAGCTTCGTTAATCTGCGCAAAGTTGAGGCGGAGATCATATTTAACCCGATCGCCGTGATCTGCGTAATCCATCCCTTACTAAGCGACATCAGTCACGTCTGATTAGATAATCCAGTGTGGCGGGTGCGAAAATAATGTTTGCTCCTGCTTGGTTCATCTCGTCTTCAACGTCAACGGCGACGACACAGGACTTTCGTCGACCACAACACTCCCTCCATCAATACTTCAGAGCTTGCTCTGCCGCCTTCTGGGCTTATGTGCACCGTTAACGAGGACATCTAACTGGCTGTCCAAGTTATCGTCATCTCGCCACCCACCTGGTGCAGGCCAAAAGCAACTCGCGATCTGGTCATTGTCCGTTCATGGCCCAGCAGCGTTCGCGAACGCCGCCTCGGAAACTAGATTCGCATCTCGTTTCACGCTACGGCGTCGTTGCACGGCGTACTTATACTCTTCGTCATTCTCCAAAACGCGCTCAACTCAAAGGGCCGCTCAGTTCCCACGCTGTTCACGTCTCGAACGCGTCTCTCGCGTCGCGTCCGGTTCTCGTTCCTCTGCATATCAATTTGCGCCGCCTTCCCTCGCGCCCGCATCTCATGGCCCCGGTCAGGACCCGCGATGCTGCAAGTTACGCGTCGTCCGATGTTCAGGTCGGGTCCAAGCGGAAGCGCTTAGGCGGCGCAAACGAAAACATCCATATCCACACCCGTGGCTCACGTGCCACTGGCAAATTCAAGAGACAGCGCTCGCAAAACGACTCAAGTGAGGAGGATTTGGTATCGAATCACTCTATGGACGTGGACGATGCTGTACAAGCCCCGCAGAACTGGAGTTCGGATTTGTCGGATGAGGATGAGGCTTTATTGGACGACCGTGAGCATCTACTCTCTTCCTGGCCTCTTTTATATTGACTTTGACTTTGCGCAGCGGATGAATATTTAATACACCAAGCAGACTCTCGCGAGCTCCAACGTCTTCGAAAAGATGAACTTGCCCGTCTTTGTTCTCTCGCTGGTTTAACGACTTCAACGGAAGACTTGACGAAGTCTGAGTTGATATCGTCCATTATTTCTTCCCGTGTTGACGAAGAAGACATTCCCCCTTCTTCTCCTCCGGGAAAGACAGACGGTGGATACTCTACAGATGAGGGCCACGATGGCGGTGGGGAAGAGACAGATGCGGTACATACGTCCTTAAAAAGTCCTCTGCGTCGGCGATCAACAGTTCAAGAGATTGGACGCACCGTCAAGCGAACTGCCGCTGCGTTAGGAAGGTCCCTTTCGTTAGGGACCAACGATAGCTCTCAAAAATCAAACCAACAAAAGAAATGTGCACGCATATCCAAAGACGTCAAGAGCCCATCTCACCCCACTCTATTGAACGGCTCTTCAAGGTATGTCAATCGACCTTTGGAATAGATATCATGCTTGATCCTCTTTGCTCAGAAGGCGCCGTACTACCTCCAATCAATCTTCTCCTCAAGGTTCTATTGTTTCTTATTCGCTGCCATCACCACCCGCTACTCGACTCCGTTCACGAACCATTTCGGCCGATTCAAACGACTCTTCTTCCCTGGCAACTTCACGCGTAAAGGGAGCATCTGGCTCGGGTGCCTCAAGGCAGGTGAGGGCAAAACACGTAGAATTTCAAGACAACGGCGACATGCGTGCTGGACATCATGAAGAGTTATTATCCTCTCAATGTAGTATTAGTAACCCGTCTCCACGTCGGTTACGGTCCAAGGGCTCGAAACGTCTTGATAGCGTGTCCTCGCAAGAGAGCATCGCTGAAGCGGAAGGGTTCACAAAGCGGGTCATACCAATGCGCAAGGCTAAAGGCAGAATCGGCAGCCTAAAGGAGGACAGTACCGCAACCGAAAGTGATGGTGATGAAAGTGGAGGCAATGCCGTTGATGATGAAGTTGACGAGTTGGACAGTTCGCCTTCTCCGCTTGGCAGCCCTGAACCTCGACAAAATCGTCGAAAGGAACAGCGAACTCCAATGAAGAGGCGTCTCAGATCTCGGAGACTACAAACACATACTCCTCCAAGCGATGGCGATGATGAGGAAGAGGAAGAGGTTGAGCAGGATAACGAAGACGGGGAAGATAGTGGTGTCGAAGAGTCTGAAGGTGAAGCATCCGTGTCTATTGACGGCAGCGAGGAAGAAGAGCACATAGAGAGAGGAGAAGAGAATGTTGTAGAGCCTCGGATACTGCGGAACGGCAAGATTGTTGGAGAAGATGTCGCTATAGAGGGAAGCAGCGAGGAGGGATCGGAGGAGGTAGAAGAGCAGTCGGGCTCTGAGATTGACATTGATCAGGAGTCTGAGACTGGCGAGGGTGAGGATGTTGAGGCAGATGAGGAAATGCCTGACGAGGACGATGATGAAGTAATGGAAGATGGTATGTTCATTTTTTTTGGCACTACACACACTATATCTTACTTGCCGTCATAACAGAATTCGATTTAACATCGGCTACGCAGAAGACCCTTGTCCGCCTGCGTCGAGACGATCTCGTCCGTTTGTGCGAGACACGAGAGCTTGACGTGGACGGCACGAAACCCCAGCTAGCACAGGCTCTATTAGAATGGCGCGATAGTCAAGAAAACATGACGCCATGCCCTTCATCAACCTCCACCGCTCGTCCACCGTCTGTCATGAAAGCGAATGGTAGGCGGAGGCGTACCCGCAGCAACAGCAAAAGTAGCAGCGCGACCCCTCCCGTGCTTCTGCGGTCCGATCGTATTCATGAGGACGAGCCAGTTACCCCGCCTCTTTCGAAAGATAAGAAAGAAGAAGACTTGGAGCTTGATTTAGAGACCCTTGGGTTGGAGGACCGGGAGATTCCTCCCGATAAGTTGACGAAACTGGAGAAGATCGGTAGTGGAGGTTTTAAAGATGTCTTTATTGGCAAGTTTAGAGGTCGGAGAGTAGCCATTGCCGAGTTCCGAGACCAGCTGAGTCCGAGTAAGTGTAAAATTTCCAGTTGGTGTTATAATTATCTGACTGTGTCTGCAGTGGATATAAAGGAGCTGAAGCTGTTAGCCGAGTTCGCCCATCCTAACATAGTTCGCTTCGTAAGTCCTTTTGACACTGCCATGTATGTGGTCCTTATGTTTACGAATTCGTCTAGCTCGGAGTCAGTATTCCCGAGAACACAAAGGAGACCCCAGTCATGATCGTTAGTGAACTGTGCGCAAACGGCGATCTATTTGACTACGTTCGAAACGTACCGGCGCCCTCCTTATACAAAGTCGTAAGTACCCTTTATAAGCAGTCTACGAAGCCGATCTTTATGAGAGTCATCTAGTTGAGTTTGATGCTTGACATTGCTCGCGGACTGGAATACCTTCACAACAGGAAACCCTCGGTTATTCACCGGGATTGCAAGTCTTCAAATATCCTGATCACGTCGAAAGGCACTGCAAAGATCGCTGATTTCGGTCTGGCGAAAGTCAAGCAGTCAACGCGGTCCATGGTTCGTAGCCTTGTGGGAACAGTCAATTGGCAGGCCCCAGAGCTGTGGGTAGCGCACCCGAAGTACAATCACAAGGTTGATGTGTATTCCTGTGCCTGTGTTTATTGGGAAATATTGCAATGGCACAACCCGAATATCAAATTTCCTTGGGAGGTAAGAATAATCTTAACGTATTAGTGTGATACAGCTGAACTCCTTCATAGGGTATGAATGAGCACGCTATCTACGAAATCGTCGGGCAGAAACGCCAGAGACCATCATTATCGGGTTTACGGAAACTATGGTGTCCAGACATTGTCGAACTTATTGAACGCATGTGGGCCCATGACCCTCAGCAGCGTCCGACGGTGACAGAAGTTGTCGAAGAACTCCAGAGGATCGCCAAGGAATACCGATGAGTGCAATTGCTTTCATAATCACGTCGTGTCAAGGACCCCGGAGAAAAAATACTTTGCTTTCTTGTATTGTGAATGTACCTTTATTGTCTCTTCGTTCTTCGCTTCTAGGCATTTTTTTTAGTTTCGCATTTATTACGCCCTTGGATGTCGCTATTTGCAATATTCTAATCATGTTCCTACCGCATCGCTGGCAACAATTTTCATTACATTTTCTCTTGTCAAAATAGTCATTGTATTCTATCCACTAGCAATCAAGCATACGTTATCGTTACATTGACCTCTTACTTCTTACCGCCTTCTTAATAGTCGTTTCACTACTCTACGTAATGGCACGACGATCAGTAAGAACTTTAATAGATGGGATCAGTGTGAGACTATAGAAAGACATTATCCATATAAGCACTCGCATGACTCGGTGAGTCATTCGTACAAACAATCGTTAGCACAGTGACATTAGAATGGCGTACGACATACGCTACAAGACACTAGAAGGGCATCTATCAAATGAAGCACACAAAAGATTGGAGAATCCAATGAAGGCAATATGGAAGCTCGCGCAGACCAGAGAAAATATGCTAAGTCTTGCAAATGGTAAGAAAATGAAGTGATAGACTTTTTTATAGAACTTAAACTTGAATCTATTTAATGCAGGTGACCCACATCCTTCATTGTACCCCATCTCTCAGATCGACTTTAAAGTGCCCACCCTGCAGACCGGTGATCCGGTTCAATCTTGGACCGCGGCTGCTACCTCAGGCTCCATACCCAACGATGCGGTACAGACTTTGTCGTCGTACAGAGATCAGCCGTGTGCAATCAGGCTTCAATCTGCTCTGCAATATGGAGCAGGCGCAGGTTTATCTGAACTTCGTGAAATACTCGCTGAATTTAATACACTCGTCCATTGGCCTTCTGGAGTTGATCCACATAGCGGATCAGCAGAAATGGCGATTACCCTTACTTTGGGAAACGCAGATGCTCTCACAAAGTGCTTTCGCCTACTTGGAAGTCCAGGAGATAATTTTCTTGTAGAGGAATTTTCATTCCCAGGAATGACGAATGCGCCTCTTGCACAGGGTATCATTTGGGTTCCGGTGCGTATGGACAAAGAGGGGATACTCCCAGACGTGCTGGAGATGATCCTTAAAACGTGGGATGAGAAGGCGAGAGGACGAAAGCCGCATGTTCTTTATACTATACCGTGGGCATGCTTGTTCCTATAGTGAGTAGTTTACCTGACCTCCACATTAGATCGGGCCAGAATCCGACTGGGGGAACACTCAGTGCTGCTCGGCGGCGCGAGATTTATCGCATCGCCAGTGAGCACGATGTCATAATCCTCGAGGATGGTCAGTCCCCAATTGCCCCGATTTTGAAGCCCAGTTAATATTATGATTCCAGATCCATATTATTTCTTGCAGTATGATAAGACAGCTCAGGCGAACAACACAGAGTTCGACGTGAAGGAGTTCCTGAGTACTTTTCCGCCGACATTTCTTTCCATGGACACGGAGGGGAGAGTTATCCGTATTGACAGGTAGGAAGGACCATTAAGATGTGTAAAGTGGCAAAGCCTTCTAAACTTGCCGGCTAGTTTCAGCAAGATTATCTTTCCGGGAATGCGTCTAGGTTGGCTCACGAGTAACCAGATGTTCGCGCACAAGCTGGAAGTCCTCACCGACTCCTCGACACAGCATCCGCACGGTATCGGACAAGCATTCATGGCTGAGATGCTCAGCGAAAGTGGATGGGGAATGCACGGGTACTTGAAATGGGTCAGCAGTCTCTGTGTTGATTATCAGCGACGACGTGATCTGTTCTTGAGCATTTTTCGCAAAGAGATGAGTGACTGTCCGTATGCCACAGCAGAATCCCCATCCGCGGGTATGTTCATTTGGATCGAGCTGCATTACGAGAACCACCCGCGCTTTCATAAGGCTAGCAACGTCGATGAAAGCGAGTCACAGTTGAACGTTGAGGCTTTGAACGATGAGCTATTCCAGAGAATATTTGATTCCGGCGTTGTCGTAATGCCTGCAAAGACCTTTGCCATTCTTAGAGACAATGAAATGTCAGGACAAGTTCCTCTTCGTAATGTGCGTCTACCATTACTTCAAGGATAACATCAGTCATACTTATTCAGAGCTTGCAGAGGCTCAACTTTCTCCGTGCCACATTTGCAGGGACAGATGAAACTATTAGCAAAGCCGTACCAATAGTTTGTCGCGAGATTAAGGCATTCTTTGAGCAGAACTAGAAGGTAAAATTAGGGAAGCGTACTCGTACCATTGTTATAACCTGTTAATTAAATTCAGAACCACTACTAGGGTTGTGCAACAACGTCCACACTAAACGGAAGGCAGAAATAATTCCTGTCATTTACCGTCCTGAACACTTCTCGTTCCTGAGTGATTTCGGCACGGTATTTCTCGGCTTCTTCGTCTGAAAAGACACCCTCTACCATATCCACAATTTTCTCCAGAACTTCTTGTGGGAGGCGACGGTCAACTGAATCGGCTAGTGCCCGGAGAATCCAGTCACGTTGCTGTGGAGCGACATCTGCAGTGGAAACGATTGGCGGAACATCCGGGTCTACCAGGTAGAGTTCTAAAACAGTTATTCGTCCCTTTTCACAGCCGTTTCGCAATTGTATACCCCGTATGCAGTGTTGATAAAAGTTTGGGAAAGCAATTGCTAGCCCATTGCGGAGTGGCACGGATCCTATGTCTTGGTTACACTCGTCTCCGCTTTGAAGTCCCCAGGTTCGCAGTGTAGCCCCTACATCATGAGGCAAGAAATCCGTTGGAGACGTAATTGCCATACGAAAGGCTATTTGAGTGGTGTCAATGCCTTCCTTTCATTGCATAAAGATGACAAAATTAAGCACGTAATTAATGATGATCCCTGTAGACTCACCACAGCAAGAAAGTGTAGACAACATACACTGATTTGCTCATTTGCCATGCCTTCAACATGCCACTTTGTGTCAGCAATATTTGGCCTATCACGATCCTGGAAAAAAAAGGAGCTACTTTAATTGTCAAAGAGATCCTAGGAGGAACAGGACCACGAACGAGTTGGATGTCAGTAATCCTATGGATTATTTGAATAGACTGATTTTCTCTGAAGTGGATTTCGTGAGCCAGACGTAGAGAATCACGATAACCATCGTCTGGTACATCAGGAATTTCAATAGGACGGTACAAAGCCCATTGACGCAGTTCACGGCTGTGCACCTCCCATGCCTCCTCGTCGTCACTATCTTCCGGAGGGTCAGGCTCATCCCACACTCTGTAGCGATAAGTGCCTTGTATTCGCTGGGGCAAGGGGTTGCTTCGATGAAGGGTTGTCAAAGTCTTTTCGAACAATGTTACAGAGCGTTCCAGAGTTTTCTGAAGTGAGGAGTACACGTCTGATAAAGCTGGATCTATGCCATTTATGTAGGACCGATAATTAATGCGAGAAGGATTCTGGTGGACCTCTACGAGCGAAGGAAGTGTTGCATAATTAGTGGAAGTAGAAGCGGGATCTAAAAGGTGGATAAAGCTCTCGAGTTCCTCTGGACGTCGGAGATGACTTCTTCCATGACGGTAACAATGCAAGAAAGGATCCACGAGTATGTTTGATGCCGACTTTGTAGAGCTTCGTAGAGCGTCGAGTTGTCGGACCAGCGAAGCACGATCCACGTCACTAATCAGACCGATGGACTGCCAAATACGATCAAAGCAGGAAACCTCTCTAAACAGCATAAAAGAGCTCTAAGTATGAGAGACGCAAGGACATATGAAGCACTTGCATTCCATTAACGTCATCTCGAAGAGCAGCATATCCAGCAAGTTCGTCAAGGACGTACTCGATCTATGGAACGTTAGCTCGTTGTCAGCAATGAGAAGACTAACTGTGAACCTGATGCTTGGCTAGTCCAGCTTCAATATTGTTGGCTTTTGGCCCGACTTTCCAAGTCTTGTTCACTGCTTCATTGAACCAGAGTTTCCTCGTCTGCGGATCTTTATAGTGTTTCCACCAGTCTGGCCTGGAACGCATTTCTGCCGAGAATCTGGTCATCGCAAGCTCACACAACTACACGGAATGTGCATATTACTAACTTTGTGAAAACCGAAGATGACCGGGTACATACAGTTCGGGGCTTCTCACCCACGCCGAAGAGAAATTGAGAGCCATTAATGAATGGATGCACGTAGGAGGCATTCTGGGATTTCTCGGTCCGCCGTCTCATGTCGTATGTAGATTATTTATTATACACGGAATAACGGGTCCATAGAAGCTACAAAGAAAGGATGAAAGTTGCTGCAGAGAGGGTAGATACTAGAAATATGCAAGTGCATGAAGGTGTGAAGGTAACTGCGCTCATTACGCGCGTGCCAATGCGTACTACTTTCACTTCAAGTTGTCTTCTGTCTCCCGTGCACCCGGCCGCCTGAGCTTTTGCTCACATCTGCTCTCCTCACTGCGTGCACTCTCATCTCACGCTCGCTGCATCACAGTAATGCCGCCTGCATCCGCTTTACAAGATAGAATTAGGCAGTTTGAGGCTATGAACGGTGCTGATGTGCCGAATAGGGATCGTCCTCGACCGAGCTATCCTCCCGTCCCTCGTGTGCAGGCATCGTTCGTCAGCGCAGAGACCACCAACTCTTCTCCTGATCTCATGGGAGACCCTATATCGCCAACCGCGGCGTCGTATACTATAATCAGGCCCACGCTACCTTATGTGCCTCGTAAACCGCGTATAAAGTCACCTTCACCTTCGCCACCGAATCTTGGGTGCAACACTTCGCTTATCGACCTTGGAGACTCTAAACTCGAGGAACGGGCAGAATGGTTCAAGGTACCTGTGAGTATTGTTGTCTGCTTACTCACGACTCAGAAACTTATGCATGATATGGGTACAGAAGCCTAGAATTGCTCCCGCCCTCCCACCTCGAATCCCTTCACAAAATTCGGGCACGTCGGGGTCAACATCGTCGAGGTCTTGGTCTCCGCACGAACTCACTCCTAGCACAACTTTAAGGACATCATCTAACTCGCTCACTGTGGAGCATTCCTACCCGCCATTGCACAGGGACTCTGCGAACTCGAACGCACGACAACGGCAAGGCCATGTCCCTGCATCCTCCACTTCGTCTTTCCATTCTGTCTCATTATCATCAGATGGTGATGCAGGCGCAGATGGTGCAAGTACGGATGCTACGAGCTCGATCTCAAATTTCATTGCGACGTATCCGATGGATAGAGTGGACAGTGCAAAAACTGATACAGAGAAAGATCGAGACAGCTTTGATGATTCTTTCTCATTTGAGACCGTGTCTTCAAGCGATATGGCGAGTCCGCAATTGTCATCAACACATGATTGGGAAAAGGATTTCTCATTACGGAGTATTAATCCTGATACACCAAAGCTTCCGTTGCGACCTGCACCGTTAGGCAAGACGTCATCCTCCAATGCCTCAACTTCGGCTATCTCTTCCCCTGTTACCACATCCTCGCTTAACTCATCTCCAACCATGAAGGCTGTCCGTCGAGTCCCTCCTCCTCCACCTCCCTCCCGATTCAACAAGCCTCCACCTCCTTCAGGCTCGAGCCGGGCATCAGTGATGTCCGCAGGTACCTCTGCATCAGACCGTTCGTCGTTATTTAGCAACGGAACAGGCACCACTGCACATACAAGTATTGGCTCATGTACACAGCTGCTGCGACCGATACCAGTCCCGATTATTGCACGGAAACGTTACGAGAGCGTCTTTTTCGCGAACGTGAATGCGCAAAGACGCTTGGCTACACAGAGCCTTTCACCGTCGCCCACTGCCAATTCTTCAAGTTTGACCCCTCCTACTTCGGCAACGCCTCGAAAGGGCTGGCGAGGTGTCTCTGTTGACTTGACTACGAACCCGGAAGAGAATCCGGTTCTTTCTGCACCGATTGAAGATGTGGAGGGGACTAGGTTGGATGGAAAAGCTGTCAGGGCTATTTGGTCTCGTTCAAAACTAACACCAGGGAAGCTCCGGGATATCTGGCAAGTCCTTCATTTTTTTCATGCCTGTACCTACTGCTAACTCTGCCGCAGGAATGAATGTGCGTTACCCGAACAAACGTCCCTCGACAAAGATGGATTTGTAAAGGGTATGTGGCGGATTGACGAAGAACTACGGCGTGTGCAAGCCATGCGTAGTTCAACGGTCACGATGACTGGCAACTCGATGTCATCCAAACGGACTACTACTGGACCTCTCCTTCACTAGAGTACATATTGATTAATTTACATGCTGTTAATTTGTTTGTTGTTGGAACTTGTTGTCTAGCTTTTGTTGTTGATAGTTTTCGTTGATACCCTTGCTAATAACGACTACAAAAAAAGTCCTAAAAGCGGCCCAAGTATCTAGCGAGTGGATTGGACAAAATGAAGACATTTATAATTTCGTCTTTACACGATGGAAGACAATATTTATCTGGATCATACAAAATCCATGCTCTTCGTACATGAACGTCTGCGGAGAATATGCGTCAGCTCTGACATTCTAAGAGTACTAAGCGGAAAAGAAGAGTAAAAGTCAGATAACACGATGAATATCAACAAGCACCGCACCCCCTCCCAATTTGTACACTAGGGAAGTTGAATGGGATTGGTTTCGTGTCCGCCCATCGGTAAGAATGTTCGTCACACAACGAATGCGGTGAGATAAACGAAATAATGTGATGACACGTACCCAAGGAGCTTCAACCCTCAATCCTTTGACCATGTAGCTTGAACTGATCAAACTGATCCTATCTGATACCTGAAAGAGGGGCAGGTGTGAGCAGAAGAACGTATAGGACAAGAGGCGTGCAACAAGAGAAAGATGGAAGAGAGTCAGACAAGGCTGAAAATACGGTGGTCCACACGTATAATTCGGAATGTGGTAAAGTTTAGTATGGTTATGTATTAAATCATCATACGCTCTCCCTTCAGAACAAGAACAAATGAGAAGGAGATAACTCACCATGCGACATAGTTGCTGTGAAAGACGATGGAATTGGGGGTCGGCATTTCTAAGGTAAGACGCGGCCGTTCCCACGGTAGATGCCGTGATGGCGGCACGCAATTTGTATGTCGAGAGTTTTCTTGTGGTTTTATACATGTATCTCCTCCCTCAATACATTATAAAAAAATAAATAAAAATCTTTAAAATTAATAAAACATGAATATCTAAAACTTTGTGTGAGGAAATTTAAATAACTAGAAAATTGAGTGAGATACTGTAGGTACAGCACATGTATCTCAGTAAATACTTAGAATTAAGGAAATTCCTCACACAAATCTTTAGATATTCATGTTTAAGGACTTATTATGCAAAAAAAATAATTTATTATTACAAATTACAAGAAGAGAGATAAATATACAATCTACTTCTAAAAAATAGAAAAAAACGCACACGTGACTGCATATAGCAAAACGCGTCTCAACATTGGTATGATTTTCATGGGGAATGGGGGGGTGCTGTGTGGCCAGTACTCACTCAAAACAAGCCAGTACAGTACGAATCCATCAAAATTAATTCTCCTACGTACTTACAATATATGTACAGGAGGAATTATGCCAAAACGGCTTTCCAGAGTCCTCAAAAGACAATGCAAAGCTCTTCAGTTAGTACAGGGCATGAGTGACTTGACACAGTCGAGATACAGCTGGATCAAGACATAGTAAACAGGATGAAAGCAACGGAACTCAAAGCACAACTAGACAAGCTTAGACAGACAGATACCCAGATACCCATAAACTCTAGGATAAGGACTAAGGCAGAAAAATTGAGGGAACTTCTAGCAGCATTAGACTGGATGGATACTAATCAATAAATTATACTGTAATTTACTTATTGCACTTCATTTCACTGATTTCTTTGTCTTCTTAATGTAATTCTCAAGTAATAAAGTGAAAACCAATGCTTAATTGATAAATCCAAGGCTTCAGCATTGTTTCTGAGTGGTTGTTGGTGATTAAGAGCAAGACACAACTATGTGTATACACTCAAATCCACTTCATTTCATTGGTTTTGCTTATATTTTTGTATATTCGTGTATGATAAACCTCTATGTACCACTCAGAATGTAATAACTAATTTTACAGGTTGCCGGAAGACCTCAGCCGAGAGGTATGACTTGGCAACAATTTGCGTACGCGCATTGAGTCTCAAAACGAACGTTCAACTCAAAATAAGCACTGTGGAAGTGCTCGGTGATCTTGATTAGCATCAGACAATTGATCTGTAAATTAAAATCAAGAAGATTTCTTTAGATCTTCTTGATTTGAATTTTTTTTTCTCTTCTCGAGACTGTCAACATGCGTTTTGATCGTATCTACTACATTTGGTAGGTATCTAAGCTCCGCCCCAAAAAAAGCTGCCCGCGCGTCATATGAGAAATGCCGACCCCCAATGGAATCATTTTCTTCACATTTTCCATGCTGCACGTGATGCACAAATAGACGCAAAGAGGCGCCCACAGTAGATCTTCCAGTGCATTCGCCCAACTTCCAGCATAGGACAGACGCTGGTTTAACTTTCCTTATTCCGCTCCATCTCTCTTCCATACACTCATCCTATTCAGACTTGCAGCACACTAAACCATTACCAAGCTCAAAAGATAGAAGAATCATGCAGTCACTCTTGCGATGGTCCATAGAGAACTCAGCAGCAGACGCATCCAATGTCGAGCAGCCTCAACACACCCAACAACCAAGGCAGATCGACCCAGGAATCATCGATGCAATTCTCGGTCGACCTGACAGCGTACTTATGAAAGAAGCGTTGGATGTTGCAACGAAAGAGGAATCAGGCGAGGACGCGCGACTGCAGGCATTAGACGACTTTGAGATGGTGCGTGTTCTTCAAAGGCGTTCCGCTTCTGGTCTGCTTGGCTCACTACGCATTTTTTTAATCAGCTTATAGAACAAATTGACAATGCAAACAGTAAACAACTCCTACAAGTATCCAGTCATCAATACAAATTCTGACTATATGCGCCTTTCTGTAGATATCGAGAAGATGAGCATGTGGCCCACTTTACGAGATCTCTTGTCCTCAGACGCGTCGAGTGATGCAATTCGGGCGGCTGTGCTCTGGATTATAGGCACCGCTGTGCAGAATAATCCATCCGCCCAGAATGCTGTAAGTCCACTATGTCAACTCGTCTTGTACAATGGATTATAATTTGCCCTGCAGTATTTGTCGCTATCTGACTCCCCTTTGTCGGTGATCCTTTCGCGTCTGGCTCCGAATGAGTCTTCATCCCAAACACGTTCAAAAGCTGTATATGCTTTGAGTGGTCTCCTGAAGCATAACGCACGCGGTGTAAAGTTGATGGAGGAGTCTGGTGGGTGGAAGATACTCAAGGCCGCGCTTGAAGGTCAGTGAAACTGGTATTGCTCCGACTTTGTTTGCTCACTGGAGTTATTTATTCAGATCCAGATATCACCGTTCGACGAAAAGCCGTTTTCCTTTTGAGTAGTCTGCTTCTACCCTCAGCACATTCCTCTGCTTCCACTTCCTCTGAGAACCAACCACCAAGTGCACGCGTACACGGTTCTTCAGTGGAAAGCAGTGATGCTCCTCAACAACCTGAACATCCAAACTCGCATGCTGGCATGACGGCAGAGTCTACCGCCACGTCTGCCATTACATCGGCCGCGTTACAGGAACACGGAATATCAGGCGATCTTGTACAGAGCCTTGTCAACCCGACTCCTCACGGAATGGATGGAGACCAAGAAGGTGACGCTGATTTGGAGGAGAAACTTGTTAGGTACGTCGTTTTCTTTTCTGCGTCTTATCTTCGTGCTTGGTTGTTTACTAATGAATGGTTTATAACAGATTATTCTACACATACATGACTTCGGCTGGTGGGCGGCTCGAACCGAACGATAAGGAGTTATTGCTGAAGTGGCTCCAGGAGCGAAGAGGGAAAGGAGAGCATTGGGACCTCCAAGCACAGGAATTGGATACGCTGCAGGACTCTTTGCAACCTTGATATCGATTCTTTCTTCAATTGCAAGGCCATGCATGCTAAAACACGCAGCTTGACGTCATCACGACTTGCTCATTCTATCATTTACCATGACTGTATCGTACATAGAGACGCATAGTAAAACTAAATGTATATTGAATATTACACAAAATTGTTGAATGTACAAATTGTCCAAGATGCAAAATGATTAGCTTTGTACGGACAACACCAACAGCATTTGTTCCTCCCCTCCTTAACAGATCAGAGCAAACCCGGCCCTCTCGTCCCATAGATCTGCGCAAGGAGCCCAAGCATACCACCATCCTCAACAGGTCCACTCTCATCGCGCTGCGATGAAGATGGTAACGTATTCGTCCGTCCACGTTGCATCTTTCCATCCACATACGACTCTCCAAGCTCGCTATGCACCTCTCCTTCCCGCGAAAGATCATTCGAGCGCAAGGTATCTTCTACAGTCACGGATTGCCCTTGCTGATGAATTTGCGAAGGGAAAGGATTGATGTTCGACTCCGCAAGACCCTCTCCCATCATAGTAATAGGAGTCTGCACATTCGCGTCAGGTGGCGATACACTGACTTCTGGCCCTTGCGGTGAGATTGGTGTCTCTGTCGAATTACGACTTGGCTGACCACGTCTCCGGAGAGCGGCATCCTGGCTTTGTCGAAGTGCACGATCGTACCCTTGTGCTCGTTCCGTTAAGCGTTGTTCCGCCGACAGCGTGCGTACATGCCCAGCGGGTCCATCTCCTAGCTGTCGCCGACGCGCACCTGCACTTGTATATGTGAAGTCTGCCATTCGGCTGAGGTATAAAGACCCGGAGGGATCTGTTGGTTGCCACGCTGGGTTTGCGGCCTGATGGATACAAACATGAGATCAACAGAAAAAATGCGACTCAGATAAAATGCCGTACCTTGAAATTAAGGAAGCTCTTTTCCATCTTGCCTTCCTTTGACAGGAACCGTTCATCTTTGGCGTTAGTCGGTGCTCCAAACTAATTTAAAGGTATCTATCAATTCGCGTACAAGAACGAGAGCATACAAGAAAACTCACGTTCACGTTCCCATGTCGCTTGAAATCAAACACTGCAAAGCTGCAGACGTACCCGAGGCTATCGACATGTACCGTGAACTCGCGGAAGAAGTCAACAATCGCAGGGGCACTGTTTGGTAGCGAGAAGCACAGGACGAATGGAGTGATAATCACGGACAAGAGTTCTCGCGCGAATATCATGACTTTCATGTCAAAGAGCTTCCCAAAGTCCTTGTGCACCTATAAACCAAATCGTTAGATTCGAAAAGACAACAGAGAGTAAGAAGTTCAGCTATACTTTTTGCGAATGCAACTGGCCTTTCCATTCATCGGGCATGTAATGTGTATAATGAATGACATCCTCCATCAGCAGCTCGGGGTCAAATATCTTGTTGTCTTCGGGGATCATCCCACGTGCCACAGCGAGAACCGATCCAAATATTCCAATGTAGAACAGCACAGTTCGGTGTGGAGTAATTTCGAAGTGTGTAAAGAGCTCTGGGTCGAGGACCGAAGCTAGAAGTAGCACAGCCGCGAACGACCCAGCGATAAATGATATGAAACTGCGAATCAAAAGTTAATCAAAGATCAAATAAAAACTGACTTAAATACACACCGCATCACCAATGCTAATTTCTCATTAGGGAATTGACCAATGTACATGCTAGCCAGAGGGTAAGACTCGTCCAGCCTCCTGGAGAAAACATGGGGGAGTTCATTGAACTCCCGGAATTTCCACCTTGCGTAGAGCGTGTAGGTACGGCTTCCAATGGACGTTGGGTTCTTGTGGTATTCCTGGATTTCGAGTTTACCGTCAGCCGGAATGGACGTAATTCAAATAAGTTAATACGAACTTCGAAGTATTTGAAGAAATAAAACATCAAGAGATAAAGAACAATAAACGGGGCAAGAACCGCGTTCAGAATTCCCATAAAAATGAAGCGATATCTCAACCTAAGATTCCGGCATTAATCAAGCTTTCCCTAAAGTCGATGGATGGTGACTTACTCTTTAATCAACGCAGCTCTATTTCGTTCCTTTAGGAACACTTCTCTAACGCGTCCTCTCGAGTCAAACAGGAAGCGCATGAGACAGATTCTTAGATTATGCTCTAGCGCTGTGCTCAGGGTCAAACCGTTTCTTCCATCGGCATTGAAAGTATTGGCCACGACATGCGGTAACGGAATTCGGAGGTCTAGTAGGTCCTTGTTAAAAAGGGCTATTAAATAGTTTTCTTCACGCATGATGCGATTCGCTATGTCATGTGCATCAAGTTTTGCTGTCATGGAGGACGATGGGTTGACCTGAGCTGCCGATGATAATGCCGTTACTGGATTATCTTCGCGTATGCTCTCAATGCGTCGAACGATTTCTGGCCAAGAGATCGTCTGTATATCTGCCTAATAAACCGATAATAAGATTTCAGTTGGTTGATACTAATGATTCTAATAAAAGGATAACGTACGTCTGGAACGCCAAGAAGATACGTATAGAAGCGATACATGTCTACCAGCCTCATTATCTCGAATACATATGAGACAATTTGTAAAGTGTAGTATGCGCCGAAGAACATGAAGAATATGACGGTCATTCCAGATAATCTGCAAATAAACCGACTAAGCCTACATTCGAAATAGTCTACTGTATGATCGGGTTTACCTTGCTACACAACGGTCCACTATTACATCTGATAACCTCGTGATTCCTTCAGGCTTGATGCGCGAATAGTCGATGCAATTAAGCAAAAATGTTGAGAAAAATATGGTAAAGCCAACGGTGCTGGTGTTGAAAGGTAAGTGGTTACCGATGACTGTCAAGGTTTCATGTGGAATCAAGTTTACTCACAGAAGGTGAAGACTGCGGGCTAGAGCGATAGAGAATATTCCTTTGCCTGCGTAATATCTGTATACATCTTGCAAGAATACATCTAAATCGTAGACATTGATCCAATTCCACAATGCACGTTCGTATGCATCTAATCCTCGCATCTGCTTCCGCGCATTCTGCACCTGGGGCTCGTCATTGACCGGAGGGTCGATCTCCGAGGGCCTTGGAGGTAAACGTAGGCTATCCTGATTTGTGACGGGAAGAATGGGTTGAGCACCAGACTGCAGAGACGTATGCTTCGCGGTTTGCTTTCCCTTGCCCTTTGGTTGGCCCGCCGTATGTTGTCTCTTTGCGTGATTGGTTCTCTCTATCATGAAACTCTGTGGAACCTCGCCATCTGAGGAGTCATCGTGCTCGGCTTCTAGCTGGCCAGGCACATTATGCTGTATAGTCTTCATGCGAGACGATTCACCCCAAGACACGCGTCTGGCACGGCTGTTGCTTCGAAACGGAGATCTGGTTTCTCCAAGGGTCTCATCCTGATCGTTCTCGTCCTCTTCCTCCAAGACGGACTGGTTGGCCTGAAGGTATCCTTGGTAGTTCCTCCCGCTCATGGGGTTGAGCATGTTGAGAAACCCCGAAGGACGAAGCGAGGACTGGAGAAGACGAGATGCCTGAGGTGTGGAGGACTGGAGATGGCGCGAAGAGCGCCTACCTTGCTGAGGCATGGCGAAGATGAGAGTTGGGGTGAAGTTGAGAGTTTCAGATGAGCGATAGCATTCGGAGAGAGAGATATGAAGAGCTGGACTGCGCCGAAAGGGTGGACGTAATGAGATGAGCTGAGGGAGCTGTAGATGGCGAGTCCACGCGAGCGTGTAATCGTCACGTGGCATGGCGTAGTACAATGACTGAAACAGTAAATTAGATAATGGTCTGTAGCTTACTGGTACCAATGGCCAGACATGATCTGCCTCCCGGAGGCGGCGCTCTCTTACTTGCCTGGCAACTCAAAGACAAACGCGTACTTATTGTTGGCGGCGGTGATGTTGCTTCGGGACGTATCAGATCTGTCCTTGATGCAGATGCTTACATTACACTCATTGCTCCTCGCACTGGCCTGCATCCGCTCACTAAATTCTACATCGAGAATTCAGACCGTATAACATATCGCGATCGTGCTTTCTCTGGCCCGGCCGACCTTGAAGGTGTCGACATGGTTCTCTCCGCTATTGACGACGTCGACTGGAGCAAGCGCATATGTGACTTGTGCAGAGAACGCAGAATCCCAGTAAACGTCGCCGACATCCCTCCCAGCTGTGATTTCTACTTCGGAGCACAAATACGCAAGGGGCCATTGCAAATTTTAATATCGACGAACGGCAATGGCCCAAAACTAGCTGGTATTATCAAGTCGAGGATAGAAGACAGCCTTCCAGAAAACGTCGATAAGGCTATCGGGAACGTCGGGGTACTGAGGGCCAAGCTCAAGGATCGAGCTCCGGGAGTAGGCGGGGAGGTTAGTAAGAGGAGAATGCAATGGATGTCATCTCTGTGCACGGAATGGAAACTCGATGAATTAGCGGAGCTCGACGAGGCTACAATGGAGAAATTATTGACAGAGGGCTGGGAATACAACACCCTTCCAATACCAAACCGAACAGAACACGTATCAGTACAAGCGTCTCGGGCATACGAAGTTGCTTTTGCCACGCTAGTCGGGTTTTGCATTGGATTAGCAATTTCGATCCTAACATTAGGAGAGCAAAATATTTGCGTCCGCTTCTCCACTTCCGCGCAGACCGTTCGTGATTTGATTGCATCCAAATTGGCGAAATAAAGGCAGTTCTTGGTGTGTTCTAGTATTTTACAACTGCAGAAGATCAACCGCAGCTTATACTCCCGGATTAAAAGACAATGTCATTAGTGCAGGCGGATTTGTCTCTCGAGTTTATTACTCGGTTTTCGATGTCGGTTGGGGTGGGGGATTTTGCGGCAGTGGTTCGTCGGTAACGTTTCTTATCCAATGCGCCAGTAAACCAAGACCTGCACCGATTCCTGCTCCTCCGAGGAACACTATGAGAAAACGCACGTTGCGACATGCTTGTAAGACGTTGAGTTAATATATAGTAGGTCTTTTTACTCACGATGGATAGACCGCGCTCTTTTCCAGAACACAGCTGGCGTCAGTAATGCACCTAATATAGCGCCGATTGTTGAATGGTCCTGGGCTCTTAACGAATATAGCTATAAGCTACAGTTAGTTGAGCTACTTATACAGTATTGTCATGAAGAGTTACGTTATACATGGCATTTATCCTTCGAGCTCGTAATATCTCTTCGTTTTGGTTCGACGTCCTGAAGTACTCGAAAGCGCCACCTTGCATAATACCTACAATAAAGATATCTAAGCAGAGCCCAAGTAAGAGAGAGATAGCATAAGAGACGTACCTGCTGCGCCGCCTATCCACGTTGCTCGCAACATCCTGTTTATCGACCAGGGCAATGCGCCCATCCTTCGTCGACTTAATACAACGGCCGTGTACAATGGTGGCATCAGAAGACTGAAATATTGATAGCCTGTTGACATTGACTGTCGAATGAGGTAATCCCTGTCTGCAGCACTGGCCACTGCGGGCGAAATCAGTTGGCTAGACATTGTGGTACCAGTTGCACAGGAGTAATGAGACTGAGACGGCAGTTTATACATAGTTCTATACAGATGAAGTCACTTGAGACCGGCCCTAAATTTCTCACAGCTGGTCAAAGCACGTAACCCACTCTTGCTCTTCTCTTCGACTCCTTCACTTCACTTTTCACTAACTATCGTATTGCGAACGTGTTCGCTCAGCACGTCTAGAAGAAACATCTCAAATGAGCCAAGCTATGTCTACCTCAACGATGGTGGAGACACTCGACATGCCTATGATTGATTATAACGAGGACGGCGATATTCCTATGGTGGCTTCCTCTTCCGAAAACTGGTTACAACCCTTGTCCCACATGGACGAGGATGTCCACCATTTCGACCCCTCTCCTCAGGAGGTTGATATGATGATGGCATATGAGGAGGCAACGACGGAGTATGACATGGAGGACGACGCTGCTCAACCATCGGAAGCGGCTTTCGATACGAATTTAGTCGATGCAGAGTTGTACGATGCCACAATCCACTCATCACCCCTACCTCCTGCCACCGCAGAGATAGCTGAGACCCATAGCGCACAATCGGGTGCTCCAGTAGTGCCTGATGCATCCGTTGAACAGAGACATGTAGACGAGCAACGGCAATTTAACGTGACTCTGGAGAGCGAGTCCTCCTTGATACAAAGATTTACGACGTCAGATGCGACGCGGACTCTCGATAATTCATCTGCCGGCAGCGAAACTCAGCATCCCGACTACACGTCAACTTCGGGCGTTGTCGAACCTGTTGACGAACATCAGTCGGCCGTGCCTGAACAATCTGAAGGATATTCTCTCGCGCCCCCTCAACCTTTCGAGGACATGAGCAACGATGCGGGTGGTACCGTTAATGAAACACCGTCTGAACATCTTTCTACCCATCCACAAGTGGAAGGCTCCGAAGAGCATTCTAGCGTTGGACACACTGATAAGCCCCCAGATCCACCGGTTGAAGCTGATTCCGAGCTGACGCATAACCACAAAGAAGTAACTGAGAATGAGCATTTTGATGACGAGGCTAATGATCAAGAACCTCATGCCGAGGACGGTGAGGAGAATGACGATGCTGCCGCCCTCGCTAGCGAGGAGCAGCCCGAACTCCATACAACTCAACTTGTTCACGCTCAGCCTCCGCCGCCCCCGATATTGCTTTCCCTACAAGTTACGTCGACTGAAGGCGATCAACCCGATTTTGTGCTTTTTAACTTGCCAGAAGTAAGCTCTCATACGACTGAAGAACCTTTGGTACTATTGCAACATCACCCATCCCTGTTTTATGAGCCTATATCCGCTGTCTTCGATGCATTCCGGCAGGAGGAATATTTTTCTCATTTGGAAGAAATTTCTGAAGCTGAGATGGCGATCAATGCCCATGAACTTCAGTTAGTAATATCCGAGGTATGTGGTCCACATATTTACCCGAACTGTAGGAAAGATGACTCATGTTTTTGCACAGGACAATGTCTATTCTCGTGAAGTATCGCTTCAGGACCTTTATGCGATGCACCAAGGAGTTGGACTGCCTGGTCACCTACGATTGACATTGCAATCCATAGTTCCCAGGTTCATCGTCCGGTACAACGTTCTGCGGGATCAGATCACTCGACTAGTACTCGGCGAAGAACCGGAAGAGGTACAGCAAGGTATAGAAGACAGTATCGGAGACAACGAAGGTGATTCTAACACTTTACTGATCGATGTCGGCACTGATGTTAGTAATTCAGAACACGAGTTGCAAGCTCAATTGGAGGGTGCCCCACAAGAAGGCCCTGAGCATGAAGAACAGGATTTGGACTCCACGAAACAAGCAGAAATTGAAGAGCATGATAGAGAAGGACAAGATCTGGACAAGAACGACGAATTGCAAAACGCCGATGATGCTCTCGCCGAGACCGGAGTCGAGGAGAGCACTGAAAGGCACACTGAGGAAGCAGAACCTGGTGTGATTACTAATGTAGAGCAGAGTGAGCTTGAGCACGAGGCACAGAGACCACTGGAGGCGGTTGATGACGAGCCCGAAGAGAACGATGGCGCGGCTGACGTTCTCGACGCAGATGCTGTACATCCCTTCCCTCCGGATGATGCTGAGCCAGCACTTGATGAACATGAAACAGAGTACGCTGATGTAACTGAACCACGCGAAGAAGACGAGGAGAGTTATGAAGATGAGCTTAAACAAGATGAGGAAGACAATATAGCCCCTGCTGTAGAAGAGGACCCGTCTGCCATTTCATCAGCAGGTGCTGAGTTAAATACAGATAGCCCTGCTGAACAAAAGCCTACCTCAGAAGCGGACGATGCACGGCACGGAGTAATCTCACAATCGGTTTCTACATCATCCTTTGGTACGGATGACACGTCGTGGGAAGTAGGGCTTGACGAAGGCGAAGAATTAGGTAATACAAAACAAGAGACTGGTACGTTTGTATTAAATCGTTTTTATCCATCTAACTTATTCTGCTTCCAGACCATTCTGAACAACAGACAGCGGCAAATGTATTTGATGAAGAAGGTAATCTAGCTGGCGCTGAAGATGAACTCGATGGATTTGGAGACGATGACTTTGGCGATGACGAATTTGATGAATCGGCGGAAGGCACACTAGACGGTATGTTCTATTGCTGTTCATTATTCATCACCGTCTGATATAGTTTTAGATGTACCAGAAGAAACTCAAGAGTTGACACACGATACGATTTCCTTGCACGAGCAGGAAGATGCTGATGCAGATTCACGAGCTGTTCTGGCGGAATCCGAGAAATTCGTGTCGGAACTGGCGACAGATGGAGACAACTTCGGTATGCGAGATTTGTTCCTTTAAATGACTCATACTTACTTGGATCTTTAGGAAACACTAACGAAGAGTTAGCTGAGGATGAGCAACAAGCGAACGAGGTTTTTGAAGCCGCGACGTCCAAGCATTCAACTGTCGCGGAAGCTGCTTCCAACGAACCCATGACCGTGCACAAAAATCGATCTAAGCGAAGCCTAGATGATGCCGAGTTTGACGACGAGGATTTCGTCTCTCCACCTAGTTCCCCAAGTAAGCTGTCTGAAGGCTGTTTGCTCGCAAATCCTAACAACGCTCATTACCCAGATTCAAAACGCACAAGGACGCTTTGAGGTCCAGACCTATGGACCCCCCGTCATTCGGCATTTCATGAAACGTCCTCTATCATGTTGCTCGTACGATGCACACGATGAAGGCAGAACGACACATTGCATTCAACACTTAATTTATATCCGTTTATATCCGTTTAACTGGTATCGACACGCTTCGGCACGAATTAAAACAGGTCTAAGTACTTTCCTTCGTATTTTAATTCTCAGCACTTTACATTTCGCTCTTACGACATGCTGCATTGAGTTATTGACCTCATTTTGGTGTTCCTCATGTCATCTGCTAATCTTTTTAGTTTCGAGGCTCTCTCCATCAGTTGGGACGGGATAGATATATGAAAGCCATTAGTCAAATGATAGGTGGTTGGTTGACTGGCTGGTGGGCTGGTTGGTCGGTAGAAGAAAAGGCATTCTTGTGGCAGCCACAACTAATTTTCCGTGACTTCCATTGTACTTCTTATAGCAATCTTTCTCCTTCAGTTTCGTGTATTCTATACAGTTGCGACGAAATGTGAGATTCTGCCCAGTTCGGAGTCGGAACGTCGGACGTTAGCATTCACGTGACCGAGAATAATGAACGGAAATAATTTGTTCTAACCTCTGACTTGATCTACACGGCTGTCATGGCCCTAGCCCGCCAACTTTTCTCAGAACGTTTGTGACTCGACGGAAAACAAGTTGCTCTAACAGACTAGAGCTCTCCAACCTCTTTCAATACCTACACAAGAGTCCTACCGGGCCTAGGCATGGCGGACAGGAACACGAATAACCTATGTGTCCAAATAGTTCACGCACACTTTGGACCTCTCACCGCGGTAAGTATCCTTGAGAGGCACCCTCGAGCTACAGTCATGGCTTAACTCGTTCTTTTATATTCAGAAAGTTGCATCCGCACTCCTCACGCGTGGTCGCCTCACGCTACCCCAGATCGTTCGTTTTACTGCCTTAAGACCGCGTACAGCACGAGCGGCCGTGCTTATCCTCGTGCAGCATAATTTGGCATGGCATTCCCAGTCAGAAGAGGACGGGGAGATGATTGAATTCAATACGGAGGAATGCTTGTTACGACTACGATTCGGGACGTTTGTCTGGCAGGCCGACCAGTTGTTTGGATCTGCGGTGAGCAATAGATTACTGGTGTACTCCGTCTTCATCAGCTGATACATCGAAAAGGCTGCAGAAATAGTCTCTCTGGTACTTGACCATGGCAAACTACGCCCTCCAGACATTAGATCGCACTTTTCTTCACCAAAATCGAAAGGGAAAGGTATGTCCCTCTGTCGCGCATGTATACATGATTCGATCATTTATGCTATACATAGATGCATCTATATACTACCAGGCTCTTTATCAACTAGTATCCTCGTCATATCTGGTCCCTTCGACTGTTCTCTTCCACGTTTCTCCCCGCGATAAATTTCTGCAGTACGAGAAAGAGGAAAAGAACCAAATAAAAAGTTTTCCTACTGCGAAAGAACTTAAAGAGGCAAAGGAGAGGGCAGCGGCGCGGCTTAAGCGAGAGCAGGAAGATGCAATGAAGATAGGATTAACAGTGAGATTTTGATATTTGCACGTCTTTGCTATGGGGGCTGATAAACCAAGCGTTAGAAACGGGGCTCCGCGAAAATTAATGGCACTAAGCTGGGGAAGGTACGCTCAATACTTGTAAGCGATTGTCAACATCTTGATTAGTTCCGCAGAGAAAGGCTATGGATGATGAGGTTGTTGATGTGAGTCACTAACTTACCTATGTCGCGTTAGTACTGAGACCATTCCAACAGGACGACGTTTACTTCCGGGTCAATGCGACTAAATTCAACATACATATTCGTAGCAAGGTGAACACCATCTCTGCTTGAATTCTGTGGGGCACTGTTGACGACGGACACAGCTGATCCAAACCGCTGTCCGAGAACGTTACAACGAATCGACTACCACGGTAATGAGAGCGATTTTAAAATCTGCAGAAGCGAAGGCTACGATGTCCGATGTACGTTCAGGTGAGCCTTCTAGGCATGTTACACGACGGGTTCCTTGACGATGCTACAGATAGTGTTTCAATCGCTACCATTGCCAGCCATATCCCTGATGAGCAGGACATTACTGCCGGATTAGCCTATTCTTCGACCAAAAAGCCTTCAATGATGTCTGCACTCAAGGAATATCTGGGGATACTCGCCTCAGCAGATAATCCCACCCCAGCAGGTCGAGCGGCATCATTTATCTCGTTTGCTGGAGTCTCCTCTGGAAAAGTCTATGTTGAATATGAAATCATTTGTCGAAGATTACGAAGACGCGTTCTAGAGGCTGTTGCTCGCGAACGTTATGGTGACGAGGCAGTTCGGGTCGTCCGACTTCTCCTCGAAAATGGCAAGATGAGTGGTGATCAGGTAAGAGCACTGCCAAACAAAACAATTATTTGTCCTCCTTGCCATTTCTTTCAACTAAACTAAGGTGTTCCTCGCAGATCGCGAAAGCCGCCATGATGGCGGTGACTGCTATTCGCCCATTACTATCATTACTCTCTGCGGAGTCGCTCATCAGTATCCAAGAAGTACCGAAGGGCGCAGACCGCAACCCTCAACGTACTATTTATCTATGGTAGGTTGGAGCCAGTCCATATTCTCTTAATATATGAATTCATTTTACCTCCCTTGCTAGGTACGTTGATCTACCAAAAGCATATTCTGTTTTACTCGGCAAATTCTACAAGACACTGTACAATATTGGAATGAGGAAGCGAGCGGAATCCGAGGATGCTACTGTACGGGCTGTGCTCGAGAAGAGCGAACGTTCCGACGTTCGTGCCGACCCTAGCCTGCTGACTCGTATGGAGCGTGAAGTGTTACAATCATGGGAGGAGCGTCGTGATAAGTTGACTGTTCTGGAGATGCGCGTAGAAGAAGCTGTGTTCATCCTTAGAGACCTTTCTTTGCATGGAGTAGAAGACGAATAATATAATTAGCAATGTACTCTAATCTAATTATGCATCTGGACGATCTATCGTACGATACGTACGATAAGGGGTAATGACAGGATTTATGCGTCTTTCTTCAGATCAACGATAACTGGTAAAGACTTGTGGTGCATAGCAGGATTTACTGAAATGACCTCGGGGTATTGCGTGTGCCACATTCCGGTATTGTTAGTCCGATTCGTGAGGATAGCCCCATGAGCCTCGTGGATATGTCCGAAGACATGCATTCGACAATGGAGTAATTCCTTTATGCGAGATGCCAGAACGCTACAGCCAGCATACTTACCCTTTCGAGTCTTGTCGAGAATTCCATACGCTGGAGTATGCGTAACTAAAATCTCAACACTATCGGGAATTCGTCGCCATTCATCTGTCAGACGGTGGAAATTTCAGATTAAGAACACAGGAACGAGGTGAGCTCATTGAGCAAGTGTGCTCACCCTTCGCTTGTTCGGTCGAATCATACTGAAAGGCGCCTTGCAGGTGAAATGGTGCGGCCTTGCGAGGTGAAAGATGAGTTAGGATAGTGGCTTATGGCGATAAGGTTCATCACGAACTGGCGATCCATATATCTTCCACTTAACGCCCTTAGATGTCATAATTTCAGTCTCTTCATGATCCAGATAGATGATACCAGATTCGCGCATATCTTCGCTACGGATATACTCCAAAGCTGTATCCACTTCCTAAATGAATAACACAAGCAAGGATTCAGTTCCTGCCTGCAGATCTCTTCACTATACGAACCTTTGGATGCATCCAATTAGCACCAATATCCTTCCATTTTGTATCTAAGCATAACTTGGCCCAGATGTCAGCCAGATCCGCGCTCGGGGATGCGTAATAAGGGACTAACGTCATGATTACCAGCAATAATCCTACATGTACATCAGTCATCGTGAACAGACGTGTAGAAAAGAAACTTTATCACATTTTCAGTTCAAAGGGTAAAGATTTCAGCCATTCTAGGGTAGGCATAAGGTTCTCAAGCGATCCCCAGCTCGATAAGTCTCCGGCGTGAATGAGCACGTTTCCAGGAGGAACGGTGATATTTGTTTGTGAATGTGTATCGCTCATACAGACAAAACGCGTCCAGTTGTCCCCAGGATGTTTTGGCAACGATTTTAAATTGTATGAAGTGTAAATCTTGCAGTTTTTCCCCGACATGATGAAAGTCGAAAGCAAGTGACGAAGTGCTCTGACAGCTTGTGATGAAACGCGTCCTAAAATAGTTGGTCTTACTAGTACTAGTAAGGTCTGTTTTTTGCTGCGTTGCACAATTTAAATTTCAGACTTTTTGTGCTTCATCACGCGTTGCGTTACTAACACGTGACACGTGACATAGTTTCTGACGCTCACCCATGGCCGTTGCACGCACGTCTTGTCCCTAGCCACCACCACCATCGACGCGTATTGCAACCTGCCGTGCAGCTATGCCAGCTGTACAACTAAACACAGACCAGTTCAATTCTCGTTTAAAGCATCTTCTTGATGCGTGGAACGTGTGTCGTTTTCTCTCTTGTTCTGCACACATGTCTAACATTCATCTTAGAGCGCCGGCAAAAATGACGATTACGAATCCATCTCTGGTGCGGATGGCCTCCTTCTCACTGCGGGAGACCCTGCAGGTCAAGACGAACCGATTAAGAAGAGCGTGGCTTTACAGGTGGGTGTTTAATAGCATGGAATCTCCTGACAGTCTATTGAGCATTCAATCCAGACTTGGCTGCTAGGTTTTGAATTCCCGTCGACTATTTTCCTTTTTCGCAAGGATCAAATCACGATACTCACGTCAGCTTCAAAAGGTGAGTCATGCTTCCCCCTTAGTGCGACTCAAGTCTGACTTTTAGTATGACCAGCAAAAATATTGGCACAACTCCAATCCGCCAACCCAATCATTCCAATCCAGATCCTTGCTCAAGCCAAAGCAAAGGAACCTCCTACAAATGCACTGCCCACTTTGGCCGGAATTTACTCAAAGCTGCAGCGTGTTGGTGTTATCACGAAGGACAACACTTCGGGCAAGCTGATTGACGATTGGAATAATGCGATTTCTGAGGCAGAAAGTAAACCCGAGACCGTGGACATGAGCCCAGCCGTATCTGCCATTCTCGCGGTGAAAGACGAGGAGGAACTAGTGAGTTTTGGTTGAGCATGCATTGGGATATTACTTAGCTTCATTTTTTTGCAGAAATGCACGCGTATCGCGGCGAACCTTACGTCTACCTTGATGAATCATCATGTTGCCCCTAAATTGGAGACGATACTAGATAGGGAATCCAAAATCACTCACGAGACATTCGCTGCTCAAATCGAATCCCGGCTTGGTTCAGGAGAAGGTGAGAATGCAAAAGGCCCCGATATGAAGGTCTGGAGTAAAGGGCGAGGGCTTAACGAGGTACGTCGATTCGAGCTTTCCTACCTGGACAGATATCCTAAACGAATTTATATTCGTTAAACAGGTCGACTGGGATTCGACGGAATTCTGCTATGCCCCGGTAATTCAGTCGAAAGGAACGGCTTCGGGTTACGATTTGCGATCGAATGCTGAGTCATCATCAGACATGATGGGTCATAAAGGTGTATTGCTTGTGGCAGTTGGTATGCGTTATAAAGGGTATTGTGCGAATATAGGGAGAACGTTTGTGGTTGATCCCTCAAAAGTAAGCTGGCAGTGTATTGTCATTTTTCAAGCCTCAATTTCATTCGCCGCTCTAGGAACAAGAAACTGTCTACGCGCTGCTTGTTACGCTACAGTCAGAACTCCTTCACAAAATGAAGGATGGCGTACCTGCCAGGGATATTTATATGCATGCTATTACATACATCCGGGAGAAGAAACCCGAACTGGAAAAGCATTTTGTCAAGAACGTTGGATTTTCCGTTCGTGACATCTGATCAAATCCGCACTTTTCGAATCCTGACTTTTTTGTTGTAGATGGGTATGGAGTTCCGGGACTCTCAATACCTTCTTTCACCCAAATGCAATCGGAATCTAAAGTCAAACATGATTTTCAACTTAGCACTTGGCTTCACAGACCTTGAAGATGGTGATGGGCAGAAGTGAGTGTTATTGTTGGACTAACGTTTGCAGTTGCTCAAGTTTGATCACCCAGATATTCGATGCTCCTAACTGACACTGTTAAAGTTGATCATGAAAAGGGCATCTGCTTGACCGACTGCATTAAAACGTCGAAAGATGTGCTATTCTTCCTCAATACTCAATCGGATGATGAGGAGAAGGAAAATGCGAAGTCGACAAAGAAGCCTCCAGCAAAACCGATAAATGGTAACGGCTCTCCAGTGAAACATAAAGTTGCGGGAGGGAAGGTTCTGAGGAACAAGACGCGGAGCGCTGCACAGGAGGATGTCATTCAAACCACCGCGGCGCGGATCGCGGAACATCAACGAGAACTTCATATCCAGCGCCAGGAAGAAGGTTTAGCGAAATTCTCGGAGGAAGGGCAAGGTGGAGCCAGCAAGGAAGGCAAGGGCTGGAAGCGTTTCCAAAGTTACAAAGGTGAAGCGGGTTTACCCAAGGAAGTTGAGACCATGAGGGTAAGCTCCGTTGCACTTTTGAAGATGTTGTAGCGATGCTGACATATAGTCAAGATTTATGTTGACCGTAAGGCACAATCCGTGGTCCTACCTATAAACGGTTTTGCCGTACCTTTGCACATAAATGCGATTAAAAACGCCAGCAAGAATGACGAAGGCGAATACACTTATTTACGTATCAACTTCCAAAGTCCAGGTCAACTTGCTGGAAAGAAGGAAGATACTGTGAGTGCAGTAGATGTCATAAATACTGTTTTACTAAAGCAATAGGATAGCCCTTTGAGGATCCCGACGCGACTTTCATTCGCTCAATAACTTATCGATCTGCAGACGGGTCTCGCTTTGATCATGTTTTTAGACAGATTACTGAGCTCAAGAAGGAAGTGAACAAGCGGGAACAGCAAAAGAAGGAGATGGCAGATGTCATTGAGCAAGACGTTCTCGTTGAACTGAAATCTCGTCGCCCTCTGAAGTTACCTGAGGTCTTTGTCCGGCCTGCGGCAGATGGGAAGCGATTGCCCGGTGAAGTCGAAATCCATCAGAATGGCCTAAGGTATCAGTCAACAGGCTCTCACAACAAAATTGGTGGGTCATTATTTTCCCGATACCATGTTTCTTCTGATAGTTTTGTAGATATCCTCTTCAGTAATATCAAGCATCTGTTCTTCCAGCCTTGTGACCATGAACTCCTCGTCATCATACATGTTCACTTGAAAGCACCGATTATGGTTGGCAAGAAGAAGGCGAAGGTGTGCCCCCTCGTTTCAGGTCATCAAGCAGTCCACTAACTTTTGCCAAATTTCTGTTCTTTAGGATATTCAATTCTATCGTGAAGCCTCAGACGTGCAGTTTGACGAGACTGGTAATAGGAAGAGGAAGTACAGATATGGGGACGAAGATGAGATTGAGCTTGAACAGCAAGAGAGGAAACGACGCCAGGCGCTGAATAAGGAGTTTAAGCATTTCGCGGAGAAAATCGCTGAAGCTTCTACGTCATCAGTAAGTCAAACGTGTTCGTCCCAACCGCCATCTTACACTGCTTTAGACCGGGGACCCTCTCGAATCGGACATCCCGTTCCGTGACCTTGCGTTCGAGGGTGTACCGTTCCGGACAAACGTGAAATTGCAACCTACGACGGAGTGCCTTGTTCACTTGACCGACGCGCCTTTCCTTGTGGTGACTCTCGGTGAAATTGAAATAGCGTCGCTGGAACGTGTGCAGTTTGGGTTAAAGCAGTTCGACATGGTCCTAGTCTTCCGAGACTTCACCCGAGCACCGCTTCAAATAAATTCCATTCCAACATCTCAGTTGGACGATGTGAAGAATTGGCTTGAGTAGGCTACCTTATTTAATATTTGCAGTTTAGTTTGCTGATTTCCCTTTAGTTCTGTGGATATTCCCCTTAGCGAGAGCCCCGTGAATTTGAACTGGGGCCCGATTATGAAAACGATTAACGAGAGCCCCTACGATTTCTTCCAGCAAGGCGGCTGGAGCTTCTTAGGTACTGGCACTGGCGGGGATGATGACGAAGAGAGTGTTTCTGATACGGAATCCGAATATGCCGCCGATACCGATGAGCTTATTGAGTCCGAAAGTGATCATGAATCCGGGAGCGCATTCAGCGATTCAGACGCCAGTGGCGACTCCGGCGGTGGATCGAGCTTCGATGAGGATGACTCTAGTGGTCCGTGTCCAAAATTCATAAATGATTTCCTGAGCAGCGGTATTAACGAAGAATCTTTTGCATTGCAGGCGATGATTGGGATGAATTAGAAAGAAAAGCAGAGAAATGTAATTGTTGTTATTTAATTTTGTTGATGGAGTATCTGACATTTACTTGTGCGATACTAGCCGACAGCAAGAAAGCAGCTGTCAATGGGAAGCGCCGCGACGATTCCGATGAATCTGACTTCGACAAGCCGAAGAAGAAGAGTAGTGCAAAAGCGAATGGCGTTGGTAAGAAAGGCAAGCGATGAATGTTGCGTCTTTCCTGCCCTACTTTCATCCCGCACGTATTTCCCTTCCGATAATGTAAATATGCATTTGAAGTTTCTCGCGCCACCTCCGTTCACCTATCGTCATTTGATGGATCATCTAACATATCACTTGCCTTACGACCTGCGATTGTAAATTTAATAATACATATTCTATTGAAATTCGGAACGTAGGTCATGGAGACAAGAGGCCTGTACCTATTCCAACGCACGTTTGGGGTTAATTCTCTGCTTGTATAACAAGTGCTCGTATAGATTAAGTTGTCTACGCTCAGTTCAGTTCCTTTGTCATGTGTATGTTTTGGAAAGTGACTCAGTATCGAGAACAGTACTAGTGTCGATCACGATGTTCAGCTTTAGGCACCATTTCCTTCTCAGCGTAACAACACTTGCAAATCACAGATGTCCAACTTCAATGACTTAGAAAAGTTGAGGAAGTTCGAGTTTGAGCGTATACTTAATGAAGGTACAGGCGGATGTAATCTGCTGTTGCATCCCAATCTTCTAACCATTCAATCCCGTAGACCCTGTAACCCACAGCGTATCACTGTTGGGGACTTTATCCTCAAATTCGGAGGGGACGCGCTCCCTTGCTATCTTGCGAATTGAACGGATGCCACTATCAGGGGACTTCTCAAAGATCCTCCAAGATCGTATTGAGGACGTGAAGCTAATTGAATCGACTGATATAGTGCGTTCGTCTCGAGCGTGCATGATTACCACTTCAACCTTAGGAAACAGTATTCTTGGCTTTTAGCATGGTTTACGAAACGTCAAGGTGTTCCAGATGCGAAAATTAACATTATTTGCCCAGCGACCGAGGTACACATCCGCAAGGTGCGTTCGTGATTATTACACAGAACAAATCCAGTAGCTAAGCAATACCAAAAGTATTCCACCCAGTCAATAATAATGGTGCAAGAGACTCCCGAGTTGTATGAGAAGATCGTGAAACCCTTTGTCCAAGCATTCCCACCGTCCCGAACGCAATGGTCGGTGATTTTCTCAGCTTGACCGGCAGTATTAATGCAACCAGTCAACTTATCATCCGCCTAGGGTTGAGAACATCCTAACTGGAATATCCGAGGCAGAAAAAATCTTATACAGAGACGATTCGCCAATCACTGGGTTCATGATTCTGCCCGACATGAAATGGGACCTCATCAACATCTCCACGCTTTATCTCACTGCGCTCACATTCAATCGTAGCATACGATCCCTGAGGGACTTAAGTAGAGAGCATCTTCCGATGCTGAAGAACATACGTAGGGAAGCATCTCGCATCGTCGAAGAACAGTGGGGCCTTGACAAGAGATCCCTACGATTCTTTGTACATTACCAACCTTCTTATTGTGAGTCGCATCAACCTGCTCGGGGGAAATAAACTTCACCGCGCCTGCAGACCATTTTCATGTACATATCGTCAATTCTAACTACGTAGGATTGACGGGTATGAGTGCAGGTCAAGCTCATCTATTGGAAGACCTCATTTCCTTGGTATGTTTAGTTTGATTCCGTTTTTAATGAAAGTTTATTTCTGGCGCGTAGCTTGAACTGAGCGATCCTGACGGTCCAACTCTTTTGCAACGGATGACGTTTACATATGGATTAGGAAATCAGCACGGTTTATATGAGAAGATGCAGGCTGTTCAAGGGGAGTTAGAGGCGTAGGTACTTGAAGAATTATTGTATACGTAATACACTTCCTCTTATGGAAACTGGAATTTCACCCCTCTCCCAGCCAGTGAACCTGAGACGAATTTGAATCGCAACCACCCGTACACAAAAAATGCGACCAACGATTTCGCGTCTCATTCAAATCGTACCACGCAATGCACTGGAGAAGCGCTTCCAAGAACGGGTTATCTCTTCTCCATTACGACCCGGCGAACGTCTAGCAGAGCCCACACTCATCGACCATCTCACTGCACGACGTGAAGAACGTGTAAAGGCTTACGCCGAGGCACAGCAAAAGCTGCAGGAGACGGGAGCTTTGGAAGTAGATTCGAATATCCGGCCATGGCCTTCGAACTTGCGCATCGAACCGATTGTGAAGCGTGAGGCTTTCGCAAAAATTGCGAAGGAGGCAAGGGTGTATTTAAAGGAAGCATTGCGAGAACGATAACCGTGCGGTACGCGTTTCTTTTATTAGTTGCCACACCTTTTCCTCAATGCCACTCTTGTGCTATCTAGAATCGCTGGCCAGGACCTTACGAGAGTGTGTTGGTGACTTTACAGGCAGGGATGACTATTGGTCGACGTGATCTACACATTATATAATTATAAAACAATTCCAAATATCTATCCTACTCAGTCAAGACTGGCCGCTATGCTCGGCTTTGGCTCGTTCACGACCCTCCTTCATTACACGTTCTAAAAGCTCATTGTATCGTATGGGCCATTGGAAATGGATCGCATGACCAGTATGTTCGAATACTTGGTACTCAGCTTCAGGCATATTATCCTTCAAGTATTTGCTGTTACGAGGGTCTACGAGGTGGTCTGCATCTCCGGTGACGATAAGTACCTTAGGTATCGATGCCGAGATTCTACGAAGCCTGTCGGGTGTGACGCGGTGGGTCAAGCCTGCACTCATCTGTGAGATGGCACCTATTGGAGATTGAATACGCGTGGCAGCTATACGTCTATAATATTTCTGCAATACCGAATCATTGAGCTGGGTGACGTGTTTTGTTATTCACTGCATACCTGTTCCTGTATTTCTCTATTGGTCCGGCCCTGACGATCGCCATCAGCTTTGGCATCGAGGAACTCCTTGGGGAACAGCATATCCAGTGCAATGGGTACTTTCTGGAGAGGATCCGAAATTGTGAGGAGTCGTACGAGAGACGATAAGCCCTTCCACTATTCATGGGTTAGATTTATAAGAAGTAGCTGTAAAATCCAGATCTACTGACCGAAGGTAAGTTTGACCAAGGTCTGCCCCCGGCAGTGGTCACGGTGAGAGTCAGGGAAACTATACGTTCTGGAATCCTGCTTGACAATTCTGCAGAACGATTTCAGCCTTAGTTCACTACGGAACTCATCTACAGTAGTTGAAAATACTTACCCATTGCAATCATCCCTCCTAAGCTGGTCCCTACAACATGCAAGTCGCGCTTCTTCGTCCAGCCAATAAATTCGAGGAGGACTATAGCGTCTTCTGCCATGCCAGACGTTCTATATTAAGGGTCAATGGTCATTCATTGTTTCACATGAGGCGAAAGATGTTGCTGCATCTCACGTATACGGGCCACGAGGAGTCCCACTGTTGCCTACTCCTCTATTGTCGAAAACTAGGACGCTATATTTGCCAGAACGACCAAAGTGTTCAACCTGCGGCTCCCAAGAGAATGATGTACTATTTAGACTGTTGAACTTGACATAAATATACATTAATACTTTGAAATCGGTTGACGCACATACCCCATGATGAATACCACTTTCTCCGGGCCCTCGCCGTGTATTTCGTAGTAGAGTGAGTGACTTTCAAAAGGGTCGTTGTCCTGTCCGCGGAAGTGGGTAACCGGACATAGTCCCTTCTTCACAAGGGTAGTCGGATCAAATATTGTCTTGTATTCGTTCTCATTCAGCTCGTCTGCCATGGTTGTAGGTATACAAGACGCGAGCCCGAGTATAGAAAGACAGTAGGTAAAGTCAAGAAGCAAGAGAAGTAGGGTAGTCTCAGGTTAGGCTCGGTCTCGGCGAGGTGCTGCTCTCCGCTGCACGTGAAAATTCCGCAATGAGACGCGACGCGGCAACGCAGCTGTTTCACGTTGGTTTCTTCTGACGAGCACTGAAGTGCCAGTCCTTATTGAAATCTGCTTTCACGCATCTGGATGAGCAGACAATCATCTGTTCCTGACGACCCGCCCCCGTCTGCAATCAGACAAGCAAAACGCAAGAACAGCCCATCCACTCCCGGACCGTCGGTAGGAACACCAGAAGGCGATGTGCCAGAAACGACTAAGAGAGTTCGTACAACAAGCGCAAAAAGCCAGTCAAAAGTGCAGAGTCAGAATAATTGGCCCGAATATTTCGTTGAGGTCCGTCAAACGGGCAACTTGCTGGTCTTGCGCAACTAATATTTGGTGCAACTGTGTGACCTTCAGTTATACAAGGTCAGTTGGATCGAGAATATGGACCAGTAATCTAAACTGAAATACTCGATAAACAGGTCTTCAAGGTATATAACTTCGAGAATGAGCCAGCAAGCTACTGAAACATTTCAAAAAAGGCACTCAATACAGTGCTTGCATTCTGCTCGTCTCGAAAACATCTTGCCATCACATTTCCGGTCGTTCGCTCCTCTGTAGAAGCTCTTCTCAAAAAGCAAGTATTTAACGTATTTTTAAAAGCTCAGAAACAGCATCACTCATAATTTTAGACCCCTCGAGCTGGAAAAAGTCGTGGAACTCAAGTATGCATTCAATTACTTGTTGCGCCTATACGACTCTCAGACCCAACAGAGCTCTGTTACCTGATCTCATCCGATTTGCTTACATTCCCCGTGACCAACTGCGTATAAATGCCGAATCCCAAGGTGAAGCTGACAAGAAAAGCAAAGGCCGTGGCGGTTCTCCTGACTATTCAGCTTTCACTGTTGGAAGTAGCTCTGCTGGCTTCTCCCATGCCACACCTCACGAAGATGAGCATGTCCTTGTGTTGGACTTTGCTGCGGCCAAAGGCACCGGGAAGAAACCTGACGCTCCTGCGTACGTTTGCAATCGCTCATATAATCAAGGTTCTGTCTTACAAGAACTGCTTGAAAGGTTTGCGTACCAGCTCGCACCATCTCTAAGTCCGGCCGCCGTCAAGAAGCTCATTGAAAAACGGAACCAACGTTTTGAGCACTCTGTGAATGAGTACGATTTAACAATTGTGACGCTTGAACATCCTAAGTGACTGCTATGAATAGGCTTCTTGATGCAACACCAGACTCTGATAATCCGGCCTATCTCATACAATCTGCAGCTCGTGATCATATCCCAGTAAATCCGAATGTCATCAAGGAAGAAGACGTTTCAGAAACCGGGCGTACCAAAGAAGTGCCAGGTCCTACTGACCGAGACAGCATTGACACTATTCTCCAGGAGATCATGGCGTCAGAATGGTACAAAGATCAAATAGTGGACCGACGGGTGTTTCATGAGAAGGAGGGCCGATTAGGTACGTCTTTTTAGTACGACCAAATGCATCCAGTAGTACTTTGTTGCTTAATCGGAATACGGCACAGGAACACTGGCAGTCCCAGTGTCAAACAGTATCATGCAGGCTCTCCGGAGCTCAAGAAAAATATCTTCATTCTATTCCCACCAAGCAACAGCAATTGACGCGATTCGAGAAGGAAAGAACGTGATTGTCTCTACAAGTACTGCATCTGGCAAAAGTGTAATCTATCAGGTAAGTCAGGCAGTCAGCCAAAGCAGTGGACTCGATTTGATCACAACTATGTAGGTCCCGATGTTGAGGTTCCTGGAGGAGGATCCTAATGCCAAGGCGCTGTACATCTACCCAACAAAAGTTTGCATATTCCCTGATTCGCATAGATTTAGCTCACACTGTCCACAGGCACTAGCGCAGGATCAACGAGTCGCTTTGGAACAGCTACTGTGGTCCTGTGAAGGGCTTGAACATGTCAAAGTTGCGAATTATGACGGCGATACACCTATGGAACAACGAGAGGGTAGTACATCTGCTCCATAAGATATTAATTTGATTTTTGACTTTCCCAGGTATAAGAACCTCGTCATCCGTAATATTCACGAACTTCGTAAGGTGCTTGTTTGGTATGCTAGTAGTCATCTGCTCATTGATCCTCTCAGGACATGTTGCACGCGTCCATCTTGCCTCATGAAGAGAATTGGCGGCAGTAAGCCTTTCGGTATACAATGGGTTGACTGTACTCAAGAGAGCTCGCTTTCAGGTTTTTCAAGGCATTGAAGCTAGTTGCAGTTGATGAGCTCCATTATTATTCGGGAGTCTTTGGAACGTACGTCGTCTCCTTGTTTACTTCTTTCGACTTCATTGTCACATTAAATGTACGCCTCTTGTAATAAAGGCACGTGGCGTATATCATTCGGAGACTCCGTAGAATATGTGCAGCCGTCGGCAGTAAGCGTAGCAGAACTTGACTCCTGAGCAAGGTACTCACCTAGAATATAGATCGAAGGATTCGCTTTGTGTCGTGCAGCGCAACGATTTCCAATCCCTTCCAGCATATGAAAAGTATTTTCGGTGTAGATGTGAGTACTCAGGTGGACAATGCGCTTGTTTATTTCAATAACCTGGTTTCTAGAACATTGAGGTTATCACGGACGACGGTGCTCCTTCTGGAAGGAAGGACTTTCTTATCTGGAACCCACCTCCTAATGATCCCATGGATCCCACATTGGGCCGACATAGCACTTTAGTAGAATCCACAAGTCTCATGCGATTTCTCATGAAGAAGGGTGTCAGAACAATTCTATTCTGTAAAGTAAGCCTGCGAGAATCTTCTTAGCACACCGTCTTCTGACTTAATTCTCTTTCTACAGTATCGGAAGATGTGCGAATTGGTGAGTTGTGCTATCTTCGGGTTGGTAAGAGCGATTTCTAACAACTTCAAGGCGATGAAAACATTGAGGCAAGACTTGAGTGCAGAAGGGCGTCATGATATCCTGAAACGCGTTATGGCTTATCGCGGAGGTGATGTTTCAAACTTGGTTTATCAACCTGCGAAATTTATGTATAAACTAACCTCAACCAATGTAATAGGTTATTCTCAAAAGGTCATTCTTCTCTAAAAACGCATGGAGGAAAGTAAACGTTTACGCCCATTTGAAACTAGGATCGTCGAAAAATAGAGCATGAGGCGTTCTCCGGTAATTTGCTCGGAATTGTAGCGACAAACGCACTTGAGCTTGGTGTCGACATTGGGGCCCTTGATGCTGTAATTATGCTCGGCTTTCCTCTTGGAATTGCTAGTATGGTAAGTTTCAATGCCAACCCACAATCTGCGTAGTTTCTCATCTGCGTTCTTTCAGAGGCAACAAGCAGGTCGAGCGGGCCGAAGAGCTCGGGATGCTCTGGCTGTACTAGTCGCCGACTCTCTACCACTGGATCAGTATTACGTCCAAAACCCAAACGATCTATTTGACAGTAACGTGGATGATTTGCTCATTGACCTTGATAGCAAGGTCATCATTGAAGCGCATCTTCACTGTGCGGCTTTCGAGATGCCCTTGACAGAGGAAGATTCCGCGTACTTCGGTCCCCGTCTCGACAAAATCTGTCAAGCGTCCCTTACGAGAGACAAGGATGGGTGGTAAGCAACACTCTTCTTTTTGGGAGACGAATGATTCTCTTCAATTAATTTATGAATTAGGTATCATCCCAACCCTAAATTCCTTCCGTATCCCAGTAAACACGTTTCAATCAGGGGCATACAGGAAGACATCTATACTGTTATAGACACCACGGACGTCAGCCAGGGTGGAAGTGCGAAGCTTCTTGAAGAAATCGAGGTTTCGAGAGCTATGTTTGAGGCATTTGAGGGCGCAGTGGTAAGTGTGTTGTCAGCTAACCATTGCATATACATTACTAAAACGTTTTTGAAGTTTATGCATCAGGGCATGACTTACATTGTACGGAGGAATGTTTCGGTTGATGTCTTCTGCGGCTAATACTAGAGGCAGGTTACAGAAGTCAGCCATGATTCGAGGATAGCAAAGATTATACGCGCGGATGTTAATTGGACGACAAAACCAAGGTCAGTTCGATCTACAGTATGCAGTTCAGGGCGGATTCCATCTGACATGCATCGGGAATCGTAGAGACTTCACGTAAGCAATTGCTTCACTCCGATGTTGCACATAACACCTACTTACGTCGCGTATGCCATGCCAGAAACATAGATGCTCTCAAGACGACTCGTATTCGAGAAATCAAGGGGTCCACAATTCGTGCATATTACGGAAGTGAGTGCGCGGTATTCGTACAAATTATTCACTTATTGTTGTTATACTTCTCAGGCATTGAACTGAAGACAGTCGTATTCGGTGCGTTGCTTAATTTCTTCATGCATATAGTTTGATCTCATCGTTCACAAAGGATACTTCAAAATTCGGTAAGTACACCTTGAGTCAGAAATGCAACATCTCCTGACGTTAAAGTTTAGAAATAACGTCATACTTGACACAGTGGGTCTAGAAATGCCGCCATTTGAGCGAAACACGACTGGTTTCTGGATTGACTTACCGAAGTCTACGCTAGAAATTTTGCGTCGGAAAGGAATCAACGCAGCCGAAGCTATCCACAGCGCAGAACATGCCTTCCTTAATCGATTTCCGATGTCAGCGGACGTTGGAACCGAATGCAAGGTGGCCGTAAAGGAATACAACGCAGCAGACTCCAAGAGAAAGCGTCCAGCGAGGTGGGTTCTTTCTGATGTAATTGTCCATTCTCGCAAGATTTAAAAGGAGGTTTTCGAATGATGTTCAGATTGATTTTCTATGACAGTGCAGGAACACAAGGCGCAATAGCAGCGAAAGCTTTCGACCACGGTACAGTCGCTTCAGGTAACAACATGCCGAGATTCGATAACTTACATTCCTATAGTTTCTGACCTTATGCACGACGCCTTCGAGACTGTCGAATCCTGCGATTGCGGCGACGGGTGCGACAAATGTGAGCGGATTGTTGCTTGTTATTTGATTCTAGCTTTATGCCACCTTGTAGGTATTCGAAGTGCTTTCTGTAGAGAGCACAATCTCGTGTACTCGAGAATCGGAGCTCAGATTGTCATTCGTGGTATACTCGGACTGCCGATTGACGTCCAAGCTATTCCGGAAGGCACTTCAGACGGAGTTGATTCAATTATCCAGGCCGATCCCGTCAGAGTTGCAGATGGGGTGCAAGTGGAATATTATGCAGACTGATTATGAATGTAAAAGGAATGGTTGGCCATAATTAGCAGCTGTACTCTAGCTACGCTAATGGATCAAAATCTCCCCAATCTGCTTTACCAGGTTTCTTCGCAGCGTTGGCATTCCAAGGCTGTGCAGGAGTGGAAGGCGTTAACATCGTGTTCATCGTAATCGGCGGAGGTGAACCAGCCAGTGGAACAATGGGTGAGGATTGGAAAGGAGCAGCAGGAGGCAACGTGACATTGTAATTTGGTTTGCTGGGCTGTAAAGGACCAGTAGCAGGGGCGGGAGACAAGGAAGGAGAAGTGTAATTCGGAAATGTGGGCTGCAAGGGCTGTTGCTGAGCTAATGGAGGCGTCGACATGCTCAATGTTGGTGACTGTATTGACTGTGCTAACGGGGGTGGGCTGAATGTTGAGGATGGGACTCTGGATGCTGCTGTATTACTTGATGGTCGTGAGAAGCTTGATGGCGAAGTCAATGGTGGAGGAAGGCTTGGTTGGTTAGGTGAGACAGTTGAGACTTGCGCCTGGAAGGTAGTTGATGTTGCTGCTGGGCTCTGTACCTTAGGGCTCTGAGCAGGCGGCGTTAGCAGAAAAGGTAATGAAAAATGAATTGTGGACTCGTACATCGTTCAGTAAACTGCCCCAGACGTCATCATCCCAACTCTTTCCGTTCTCAATAACAGCATCGGGTTTAACCGTGCTAGTCGATGCTCCGGCAACAAGGCTTGCAAAGTCTAGACCGCCTGTAGTTGTGCCATTCGCAGTCGCACCAGTCCCAGAACTCGTATGATCTTCGATACGATTCGAATCTTTCAGATGTTGCAGATGTTCGCGTTCGACACGATCGCCGAGCTTTTTTATCACCGCCATAAAACGTTGAAATTGGGAGACATTCAATACTAACAATGGCTCATGAGTATCGAGAAGCGTGTCGGGAATGTAAAATGCACATACACGGTCCCATGGACATTATCCAAAGCTGAGGCAAGACCAACGTTGCAACTGCCTCCCGATCAACCTTGTTGCCCATCGCTTCCTGTACTGCTAACGTAGCTAACTATGACTAATTGTCAGTAGGAGTTAGGTTGATAAATGCTAGACGCAGTACCATTACGGCGGGTTCTGAGTACACTATGTCAGATTTGTACTTAAATTAGGAAATATAGCACATACCTTTGGTTCTTATTCGTGAAAGAAGTGGTACAAGCTTCTGTGTCAGGCTCAGCTAATTACAGCGTAAGTCTCGAAAATCGTCAAAGCTGCACTGCATAAATCGACTACCTTATCCAAAGTCTTAACCATCGCAAGGAATGTCTCTAACGTTGCAACTTTCACGGACAAAATCCTTGTTTTCGTAAAGACAAGCTATGCAATAGTGATTAGGAACTTGCGAAGCACGTAAAGTAGACAACCAGCTCACTGCTACACGCGGGAACAATACACCTTGTACTTCGGCATAGTCGATAGTTTCACAGAGGTCTGGTACAACTTTCAGAGCTCGTTCTTGTACCTTTCGGTTGATCAGCATCCATACGATTTCAGCACGATGAGACGAGCGGCTTACCATAGCATGATCAGATTCTAAAGCGTTATATACAAGAGGAAGGACGTCTGCAAGGATGCGTCAGCCTTCTCCGCCACAACGTCGAACTCCTCGGAATGGACTTACGTTCCCTAAATACGGCCTTATCTGTTTTACTTTGCAGGAGCGACAAGTTGTCCAGTAAGGTTATCATATTTTGCGGTGGCTCTTTCAACGCGAACAGAGGCTTCAAGCTGGGTAAAACCAGGGACGCAAATTGCGAGGGCGTAAGGCTGTTAGAGATGGCGAAAACATTTGGCAATATGTAGGGTAGGAGGAATGTATCTTTCATCTGCAATCTCCCATCAGAATGATGCTTGAACACAAAGTACAAGAACCGACCTCTTCTACGAGTGACGGTAAAATCTTCCTAGTCCTTAGGCCTTCAGTGAACCTGTCCAGGACGCTAGTTAACCCCTTCATAAATGAAATTTTCTCTTCACGTGTTTTCGAGGCAAACGTTGAACGCTCAAGGAAATTCAGGGTTGAGATTGAGAGCGACGAGAAGAACGGATGAGAAGGCAATGCTTCTGGAGTTGGTCGATTAACAGCGTGCCGTGATATCAATAATTTAAGCAGCTCTGAAAGAAAACAATTAACCGGACGTAGTCGTCGGTCATAAATACAATAACCTTACCTTTGAGATCTGAGTCGAAGCGTTCGAGGCCTGGAACACCTCGTGAGATATTCTCTCGCAGGCTGGCTGAATTGTTGTGATTCCGGAAAGGTGGGCTTCCTTTGTTGTGTACGGCATAAATTAGGCAACCCAAGGAATACATATCAGATGCAGTCACAAGCTGCTCGTCAAGGACATATTCCGGAGCTAATAGTCAGGTGAATCAGATATAACGGCCATGATTACAAGCCTCCGAGACCTACCAACATAATCAAAGGAACGTTGTGCATAGCTTGGAAGATAGCTGTCATGGATTGGTGATCGCCAGTCCGTGGGCGAACCATCTGTACCAGACAAGGGGATGGTAAGTCCCAGTCCGCCTATTTTCCAATCTCCCTAGGAGTATATGAGCATACATAATGATCATAAGGAAGTCCTATACGAACAGCTGAGTTAATTAGCACGCTTTCCGGATTAAGGTTTGAATGTATCCGCCGAGCCGAGGTGTGCAAGAACGATAGGCCCTTGCATAACTGCAAGATGCCTTTTTGTATCTGAGGAAGGATATCGCAGCGAGTTAGACTGTTTGGGGTAGTGAAACACATAACAACGAACCTCAACTTCATCGAGCTCGACCAAAGGAGATGGACGGGCATTCGGAATCGAGAGATATAATGAAGAAAGCAACGGTTCTGTTGCAAACAGAACTTCCGTCCTCGTTTCTTCTACAGGCTCAACCATTTCTACAGAAAAATATTAGAATATCACGTCAAGTTGAACATTTGATTCGTACACACCTAGGATGTTAGGATGTCGCAGTTTTCCAAGAGCCGATGCCTGGTAGTCCATTTGATATCGTTGTTACAAATCAACCAGACGAATGGAAGTCATCGCACCTCTGACTTCAAGGCCTCCACAATCCTATCCTTTGCAGCAACACTCATCCTATCTCCATCTCCAGCTCGCTTGTCAGATGTCCATACCGACACACGCTTGTTTGTTACTTTGTGTGTTGCAGGCTGTACCCGCCATGGTCCGACTAGTCAGATTAGTTTCCACTCGTATTATGTTAGTACAAAAGATAGCGTACCATGGAACGTTGGAGTTAGCTGCGGTGTCGGTAAGGACGCGCTCACCGGAGTCGACGAGCCAGATGGGCCAGGGGTAGATGATCTACTGCCGGAACCGAAGCCAGGTAACGAGCTTGAAGGCGAAGATGCACCAATATTGTAATTAGCAGAGATGTTTGTCCTGCCAAAGAACGAAGTCGCTGCTGCCAGCATTGTCGGTCGAAGGATGTTGAAGTGTATCAAGTGTGGAAAGCTTTCTTACGCGCAGTATGAAATGCCGTGAATGTCTATCCGTCGATCATTGACAAATTAATGCAAGTCTACTGTCTGGTACAAATTTTTGGAAACATCTCTGACTGACCACATTGAAGTATTATTGTCCACAACAAGCAACTAGATACATAAAACTTATATATACAAACGGATCCGATGCACCCCAGCGAACCAAGTCAGTGCTGATTTAACTTGATCCAGATAGGTATAACAGTCTACAATTCACCGAGCCAGACGCTAGGTAATAATTAATTAGTAGTTCTCGGTACATCTATTCACCTATATGTGATGTGCGATAATCTCGCGCTACTACTTCCCACACGAGTCACTGGTGGACCTGCTTCGAGAGTTCCAAGTGCCGGGCTAGGTGAACCACCCATTGCCAAGAGTTCGCGCTCTGGGCTTTCGTACGAGTCCGTCGTAAGCTCTATGGGCTGCTCGCAGTTATAATTGGGTACATGGGAGGCGATACTCGAAAGGGGACGGATAACCACGCGGATGTAGTACTAAACACGTATTAGTGGCGAGTCAGCCAGGACTGGTTGATTTAACCGATCTACCTGTTGTTCAGCTACGCCTTCGACAGACCATGACTTCTGCACAGCGGGTCGATTGATGCGCAGCTCATAGGAGAAAACAGTTGTCCCTTCTCGATTTTCATCGATACCAACGACTTCAGCAACGCCAACAAGGCCGTCCTGGCTGCTGCCGTTACGCCCACAATTGATCCAAGTTCGCGTACGTTTAATGAGCTGAATCTTTGCAGATGACAACAATAGCTTTGCTACAGCGGCATCGTGTCGAGAAACAGTACTCAATGACATCGGAATAGTATCATATGCTGCGAATGACAAGGTGGATGGAAGCATGAGCTGGGTACCTCGCGTTCGATTCAACGGCTTCAAGCGACATAAGAGTCGATGAGTACGCACAGCAATGGCGGGAGCATTGTCGAAAGAACCGTGTTTGCTTGAGGCCTCAAGACGCACAACCTTGACGTGCTCTGAGTACTCCGAGTAGCTTGTTGTAGGTATGCTTTCTATAAGTGGGCCATTTGCGAAGGTCCTCGGTAAATATAAAAGCGGGATCTTGATACTGCAAAAAATGCGTAAAAATGAACAGCACTTGGAAGGGAGGGAAGCATAGCCGACTCGCCTATCATTTCGACGCATGAAACCTTTGCGAATGACTGTTATCTTGAGTCGATATTTGACGACGCAACTGACACCGGGCTGATAGAAGATTGAGCTGGGAGGCAATCTCGACTGCCTTCCGTCAGCATACGTGGGGAAGGGAATCGAGATTGGTTGATCATTTGTCCAATCCCCTGCGATGGGTGCTGAAAGAGGTGTGCTATGTTTCAAAATGTCCACTGAACTTGTTCCTGCAACAAGGCCACGTTCCGTATACGTGTTAGTGACGCTGCCCTCTAACTGTCGAAGACCACCGTGAGATGAGAGAAAATATGAAGAAGGAGAGTTAATGACCTTTACGATGACGGACGATACGTTTCTGAGGTCGCCAGACAGCGAGAATGTTCCTGCTACAATACCGCCGCCACCATAGACAGGAATACTTGTCCCCCATTCCTTTGGCCCGAGGTTCACAATGATGTGTTTAGACCGAAACACATAGGCCTGCGATGAGATGCAGCTGGCATCTGAGCTCGAGCGAATGACTAGTTCGGTGAGGCGTGGGGACGGAGAATATTCTGGGGACGCAACTGTTGAGCGAGAATAAACGGACCCAGCATAAGAAGGTGGCTCGTCAAGGTAAGCTGGCTGCATAATCAAATCGCACGCCAGTGGGCAGTGTGACGAAGCCCGCACGGTTTGTTTCAGAGCGAAGTAGCAACCAGAGAAGTCTGCCTATTTTAAGTGGAGGTCGAGTCATCCTACTGAATGGCGTAACACAGAACCTTGGCGAGGTCATTTCAGACATATTCCAGATCAACCGGTGTATGTAATAAAGGCCAGATAGAATGATTGGTAAGTCATCAGTTGTCCACTTAAAAGGTTTATGCCCGAAGGGAGTCAAGCGGCCGTGCCTGAACCGTTAGAGGAAAGCAAACAACATCGCAACTCGTTAGCATGAGACCCGACTAGCCCACCATTCCGGGGTTGTATTAAAGCATTCCAAGCTTCCACCCAGTCTCCTTCCTACAGAACTACAGGTATAACATTCCTTGCTACTTGAAGATGTTGAAAACAGATCCTGTCTTTCTGTTTGCCATTTGGAGTGTAAGGTATGAAACAAGACTACCGCAGCGGTTAGCAAGTTGAATGTTTGGTCACGTGATACGAGATGCTACCCACGTGCCCATTCATTTGGGAATATTTTCCGAAAATTCATCACTGTCGGCCGTTCAAATGCGAGACCGTAATCCGGCTGAATAATATTAGACGGCCCGATGGCTCGCATAGCGCATGAACCGGGCTTTTGAGGGGTCATTTCTGCTTCGCTGAACGCAGTAGAATTTTCATTTAACTAGTCTCCATAACTCATTGTGGTTCGAAGCATTGACGGTCTTTGAGTTTAACTAGCTGCAACCGACTCGAACTGAGTGCTACCCGTCTAGCCATTTGTTACATGATTATGCTAATGTTTCGCCAATGATAATTATCAGCGATCTGTTTTGTGCGCCACAGCCCATAGGACACGTTACTCTGTCCACTACCGAAACTAAGTTACCACAAACGATTGTTGGTCCACCAAACTCGGCGCCCACTGTCAAGAAATCGCGAACTCGGAGTCGGTCATTGCTGATGCGCAGCTGCTGTGCCTTAAACAATACAATTTATTATAGACGCTAGTGCTGTGTGTAGAGGAAAGTCTGTCCAGTCGTGGAGCTGGATTTGTAATGCCTTTGATCGAGTCACAACGGAAAGGATTGCATCATCGGCAGACTACGGCCTAGTAATCGACGTACGGTTTGGTATCGCAGTTTATCCCCAATGTATTTAGGATATGCTATGGTTCAGAGTGTTCAAGGAGTGAGCTCATAGGCCGAAGTCGGAGCACACAGTAAACAATCCTGTGTCAAACAAATAGATATATTTGAGGAGCCAGGTTACTTTAAGTTAATCCAGCGTTGAATATCCAGCCGAGCGTTGCATTGTGTGGCTTGACTAGTAATACTCCGTGTCTTGAACTGAACATTTTGAAGAAGCTGCGTATAATGATATTTGCGATCTACAGTATTTCCAATTCCAATCACGGGTATCATTCTAAAAGCCTAAATGAGATAAGATAGCCAGGTAGATAAGATCCTCTCCTCATGCCACTCCATCTCTTACACCCACGTCTCTTCCCAATTGATTACTATTTTGTCTTGTATGGGCCTATACTTAGCGGGCGCCAACACCGAAGAAAGAAGGGATACAACCTTATGCACCAACGCCTGGGGTGGAGCGAGACGCAATCCTGGGGGCTGCACACACCATAAAGTCTATACAGCCAAATAACCGCCCTACTTTTCATGGTAAACGTTCTCCAGTCGCTTATATATTTGCCCCTCACCTATTCAAAAGGCATGGGAACTCATCCACTTGCATTCACTCGCGCCATGGACGGACTTAACTGTTTAGAAATTTGAGTTCATTCCATTCTATTATTATTTGCTGCTGCTCACATTCCTCTTTGGTTGTGGTAATGCCGGACGTGCCAAATTACGGGATTTTGCGGGAGCTATCTTCACTCAACGTCACTATAAGCAGCTCACATACCTCTTAACTGGAACTCAGCGTCAGGAGGATCCTCGTTGTTCAAAGGCAGCATCTAACACGCTGCATTTGTACACGCGCATGCCAAGCAAAGCTCATCTTACTCACGCATACATCCGGGAAGAAGAACCCGATGAGCCAACTAGCCGTATCTGACGAGCTAGTGAAAGTGCAAGACTTCTCTTCCTGGCCCCGAGATCCCCCTTGCCCTTGTATTCTTTTATTGGCTCCATGAGAAACAGAAAGTAATTTCGGGGTTCAGAATGTGTACATGTGGACAAATCAACATGTGCCCGACGTGGATTGGACCCTGATATTCTCTTTGCCGCTTACATGCTAGTACATCTGAATAGATTGAATGCAAGTCGTATGTTCTCTCCCCGTCCCTGCTCTTGGGATTGGTGCATTAATATTTGGAAGCGGAACACGCTTTGTCTGCCGACTAGAATTAGATCTGGGATCTCCGCGGGTTCATCACGCCAAACCTCGGTACCCCCAACGTGCAAAATGCGCACGCTTCACGTGGGTTTTCCAGTAGACACTCTTCAAACTTTTGCCGTGCTTTGAATCACACTACAGGGCTAGAGAAAACCCAAACTCTCCCTGTCAAACTAAACATTAATGACGACCAACCCATCACTGGATTCCATTCTCCATCAAGCAAGCTAACTGAGTTTCTTCGGACCCTCGGAAGCGGAATCGGAAAGACAAGAAGACAGACGGACGGAAAACGGGAGTATTCTCAGAGCTTACGGAAAGGTCCGCAGGGCCGCAGGGATCATACAACTCATCGCGGTCAAATGAAACTTTGATCTAACCAATATACAGCTTCACGGGAATGCCTTCGACAGCAGCGGAAGACATACACGATGCAGTATATGAAAATACGCATACATACATGTATGTCTCCCTCTGCAACAACAGTAGTCGCAGAATACCCCCGCGCACAGGAACGCCTGAACACGTACTTTCGACCAATTCTCATCCCTTCCCTCAGGGCCGTCTTCGCAGGAAGCACACACCTCCTCGTGTCAATCTATTCCGACCGAGATCCCGATGTAGTGACGGAAATATTAATGAAAAATGTTTCCGCTTTGAGCCAAGTTTCACGGAAGTAACCAGGACTGAAACGATGATACAGAGGTTGAGGCTGTGAACAGCATTGCGCATTCGTGCATTTTATTTTGCCTGGACAAGTATATAATAGATAGAAAAGCATCCCGGAAATAAGCCTGATGCAGACCTGGAACATAGCCGAGTGATGACGGGGAACTAACTGTACACGAGGGAGCGATTACGATGGAGCAAAGCAAGAAGGCAGCAATGGAATATGCTTTTCTGTACCCATGAATAGATATGAAAGGAGGAAAAGAATAAGAAGAAAGCCGGCAGCGCCGGCCAAAGTCTATGAAAAGGCTCAAGAAGTCAAGCAGTGAGTATTTGCAGCGTGTACATACAAGGTATATAGAAGACTATAAATTGAAGAGAGGTTGCGAAAAGGAAAAAGTAATTTCACAAGAAGGGAAAATAAGAAAAGCAAAAGAATCCCGAGAAATAGCAAAGAACCCAGATGATGAGAGCAATGTCCCACTACATCGTCATGCATCACCAGACCAGTACATACAAGGCTAATGTGAATGTGCGAACAATGAGGCCCGCGGGTAGGCCCAGGCGTCCAGATGATGCCTCTAGAGATGCACCTCGAGACGTCATTGACAAGCCAACCCAAGTCACCGGAAACGAGGCCGAATTAATTAGGAAAGGGTTTTGCAATGGAACACGCAGGCGAATGTAGGACCTGCCTCAATAAGCAGCCCCACAGCTCCTCAGAATTCCATGTGTTTCGTCCTGTCGCCCCAAGTCACAAAGTCCCCAGCTGACCTTTCCAAGATTAGTGATGTTCCCGTATAATTCGGTTTTCAGACAACCGGGTCTGGAGGTCGCGGTGAGGGTAGATGTTCCGCCCGAGAGGAAACAGAACTATCGCATAACATACCTCGTGCGAACCCCCACCTGTCCACTTTCAGACAGAAGCAAATTCGCTTGCGCAGTGGCAATCCAGTGGAATTCGCTGGCACGTCGTATGCGAACTACGGCAAAACCGTAGCACCAACATCGGAGCAGAGGCACTTGGGAGTAATATGATGACGCAGATACTACGCAAAACCCAGTTCGAGCTACGACATCCACGTGGAGGTAGAGAAAGAGCAGACAGGACAAGGATATATGATTTGTTGACGTAACAGTGAATGCAGCGGTCCGAAACCAGCTTCAGACGGATCACGTGCCGAAGATGAGAATTACAAGGCAAGGAACGTGTTGTGTTGGCGGGTAACGTGTATTCTAGTTTTTATGTCGCTTGTCGCCCAAAGCATGAAGATAACGGAACCCTACAAACTCATTTTCGGTTCACCGGGAAGCGCCCTCCGTTCCTCCGAGACAGTTCCCCGTCTTCTTCATACCTAATCCTTCTTAGTCCGACTGATCATGTCCTCTAGAATCACTTTTTCCTTAATCTTCGATCGCGTCTCCGCCTGTTTCCGGTCGGCCATCGATAGATATACGTACAGCGTGACCATCCGCGTGAAATGAGGTGTGCATATAAGCTGAGCCTTGTTTTGAAATATGTGGATGCAAGAATCCAGGAATGTGAAGACGAATAATTATAGATGTCCGTGTGTCCGTGAGAGATGGGTGAATGGAATCTGCGGTACTGGTACGGGAGGCTGGTCGGTGGTTTTGGCGATGACTCATAAGCATAAGGGTGTGAAAGAGATTGTCAGGAAAGTGCAAGGGAAACAGGGAAAGGAGAAGATCAGCAGAGATAAGACTACTTCACGGCTTCATTTGCGGCGGACGACCAGCGGAGTGATTTAATCGTTTAACGGTGACGGTTAACACACCGTTCGTGTAGTTCGCATGCACGCCACTCATGTCGGCATGCCTATCGAATTGAACTTGCCACTCGTGGTGGCCTGGAGTAAAATTGGGGGTATAACATGTGAGCGGCGAGTAACGACTACTAATAGAAGGGAGATGCTCCACGTACAACCCTTCTCCAAGTCCCACCGGTCTGCCACGATGTTGAGAATATTGTTCTTGCGCATTGATATGGTGATACACGACGAATCAAATCCGGGTCCGATCGTAGCCTGCATAAGTGAATAATGAGGTGAGTGACCCGACGAATACCATGAAAGGAGTGAGCGCACCGAAAGAATGTACGCTGAGGTTGTATTCTCTAACCGCATTGGGGCGCTGCTGTACGTATTACGGAGTAGCTGGAATGATGCGGGTGAAGATGTGATTGTCGGGGATGTCATGGAAGGCAACGGTGGGGACCCGAACGCCCCATGCGACCTGGCCGAGCGTACGCTGCCCACGGCATGCGAATGTTGTTGGCTCGCCGAGACGGCCGGAAAATACGCCTCCTCTTGGGCATACGACTCCGCGGAGCCCGGACTCGTAGAGAGTGGCGGCGTAGGCGGCACCTGCCAGTTCTGCGGCATGCGCGAGATCGATGCTGCGCTAGAACCATGCATGCCGGTCTGGTCACGTCGGCCTTCGCCACAACAGGTGAGTACAGAGTGCGCGCACGACAAATAGGTCCGTAGAGATAACTCACCTAGTGAGGAATATTTGTCCGGATGAGCTGAATAGGCTTGGGATGACCCTTCTGGCTGACGCGCCTGGTCCTGGGCAGACGAGGAGGAGTACGAGGTGCGCACGTACAGCGGGACGGTGTTGCCACGGAGCAGTGGTGGACGCGCCGAATGTGTGGAGAGGTCCGACATGAGCGCGAATATAGAGAAATAGAAAGGAGAAGATGGAGAAATTAAGAAGGAATGAATGAAGGGGTGATTCGAAAGGGAGGAGAAAGAGCTGAGGCAGGGAGACGTCCCGACCGGGGGAGAAAGTATGGGTGGACGGGGAGACAAACCAAAAGGCAGAGGGAAAGAGAGGTACCGCCGTATATAGCAGTCCGATGCAACTTCTAAATAAAGAGCATCAGGTCAGGTACACAAGCGCTAAAATCTTATTCGTTATTTTATTATGATGTTTTGCCCATTTTCTCCTTTAATTTTTGTTTTCCCCCTTACTCGCCTCTCCCTTCCGCTCCGTCTGTTCCTCTCCTGTCACATTACTCCCCTCTGCCAGCACTCTCCCCGGGATTCACAGTTCTAGCATCGCTGCATGGATAAATCCCCCAGCCAGCAGCATCCTACTAGGTGATCGGCACCTCCTTTCCTGCCTGCTCCTTTTCACAGGCAGGAATGGGGGGCATATACTATTTCAACAGTCGCACCCGAACCGAGCTAGTCTCCATTCAGACACCTCTGTGGTTTTCTCGCTTTCTTTTCCTGTTTCCCTCACTTGAGGGAGCGTGTGTACGGCAAGGTGAGATTTCATTTTCGTCATTTACGTTGCTTGCGGCCTTGAGGCGGCCGGCCGGAAATGAGCTGCATATGCACAGGCAGAATATAAGGTTCAACCTTCCATCGTTCCGCCTGGTCCGTTTCAGCTGGACACGCATCTCTGCTGGACCTAACGGTCGATTTGTTCCTTCCTGTCGGACGCCGTCCAAGCCATCTTGTATCGTGGGTGATCCTCAACTTCCCGGAATTCGGAAGCAGTATTTGAGCAACGTCAACCGGTGCCTATCTGCCACAACCTGATGGATCTCAAACTTGGGAAAGGACACAAAGCACTACTAATGCGCTACTAATGAATGAGTTGGCTGGTTGGAGGAAGACGATCGTGGGGTGAGCAGCCGAGGAGAACGGAGACACCCAGAGGCAGCAGATAGGATGTACAGACGTTGGACTGCCAGGTATATGGTGTGCTTTGTTCTCTTGAAGGATCAAAATTTGCATACGTCGGCATGCGTCACCAGCGTCGATCATTGTCGGTTGATCCCATCGTCATGTCGCCCGATTAGTACATCACACATTGACGTGATTCAATACTCTCTCGACCTCATCTGAATCTAAACCTAATGGTAGAAATTTGCTCCCGCCTCGCCATGAACGGCTGTACCCCTGTATATATTGGATCAATGAGTGAACTTAAGCAACAACAATTTATCTTCCAGGCGAAAGATTTGCCCTTACGAGATGAACGAACGATCACGCGTCTGGCACAACCCAGCCACAGTCTCACGGATGTCCCCATGACTTGCGGTGTGCAACTTGATCGTCATCTCGCATTCCAAGTCCAGGTCCATCTTCGTCCGGTCTTTCAACTTCTTTCCTCGATCCGTGCGAATTTGCATTGTGCTGTACCAGGACAGCTACAGAGAATCAGTCCTCATCGCGACGCTGGCGCGACTTGACCGACATCGGAGTCACTCACACACGCGATGCGGACCTCACCAACGTGCCTGGCTTGCGGTCTGCACAAAGCCTTGAACAGGCATTCTCACCCGTTGTCGCGCGCTGCATCGTCGTTATCAATGTCAGCGTCAGCTGCATCGCAATCGAACCCTCGTGCAACTACTATCAGTTTCTTAGGCCTGGGGCGTATGGGCTCGGAGATGGCCTACAATCTATTCTCGAAGCGCCATGCGCGTGCACGTGAAGCCAATGTAGTAAATACAGACAGCAACTTTGTTGTATGTGATGCCATACCCGAAGCTGCTCATGCATTCGCTAGGCATTTCCAATCTCAGTTCCCGCGCAGCAAGGTACGCGTAGTTGAGACACCGGAAGAGTAAGGGGAACTTAATGCTGCCAAAATATCACTTGTGAAAATGAATGATGGGTTGTTTGTAGAGCTACATTAGCGTCGTCGACTGTCATAACCATGCTGCCGTCCTCACCACAGGTGCGAACCGTTTACACGGCAGCAAATGGTGTACTCGCAGCACTACGCAACTTGCCGCCTCATGAACGCAAACAGACATTATGTATTGACTCTACAACCTTGGACGTGGAGGTGGGTAAGTTCGTGTGTGTTGGTGACGACATTTTAAGTGTGATCCGTTAATTTCCTCCTGGCAGCACGCCAAGTCGCTTCGGAGGTGACGGAAGCCGGCGCTAAAATAGTTGACGCACCAGTTTCCGGAGGTATGTGGTCTTGTTTGTCCGACACCACAAGTAGGAACTGTTGGCGTCTAATTGCGAGTTCGCAGGCGTTGCAGGCGCTAAGGCCGGAACACTGACATTTCTTGTCGGCGGAGACGAAGCAGCGTTTACTCTCGCTTCACCGATTCTAGCGCATATGGGCCGACGTCTTGTCCATTGCGGCGGGGCTGGATCGGGCCTTGCCGCGAAGATTTGCAACAATCTTATGCTCGGTGTAGAACAGACGGTGACGGCGGAAGCGATGTTGCTCGGGCAACGACTCGGTGTGCGCGCGGAGGTACTCGCGGATGTCATCGGGAGCTCAACTGGTGCGTGCTGGAGCATGTCGCAGAACAATCCAGTTCCCGGTGCGCGGCCGGGAGTGAATACACCGAGCGAACGCGGTTTCGAAGGTGGATTTGCTACGGCGCTGATGATCAAGGTTTGTAGGCTGAGCTTCTTCCGGATATTCGCGGAGTTAACGAGGATTCTGGACAGGACATGGGACTAGCAAAGGAAAGTGCAGAACGGACGGGCGTTTCGTTGCCGCTAGGTGCGGCGGCACAAGAGATATACGAAGAAGCAATCAAGGAGATGCCTGAGCTAGCGCAGAAGGACTTCTCGAGCGTTTATCGATACCTGGAAGGCTTGTCCGTGAAGAAGTAAGGCGTACACAGTACATGTAGAATTACTGAAGACTTGTGGCGTGAGAGTTGAATACCTGTTGTGATAAATAGGTCAGAAATGGAGAATATTATAATATTTGCTGTTGCAGGCGCTGTTTCGCGTGCCGTCTCCGTCTCCGAGTCCGAGTCCGCTCCCTCTATTCCTCCTCATCCGCCGTTTCCTCCTCTCCTCGTCTTCTCCGCACCTGTCCTTGGCTGTTCCTAATTATTGTCGTCGGTATATTCTTCTCGCTGTCTGCCCGCTCTCTTTTCGTTTTGCTCTCTCGCTTCCTGTTCTTTCAGTGTCCCCCACGTGCTGCTTGCCTATCGCTTGTGTCCGTGCCTTGCCTTGTTACGTTTCACGCATAGTTACTGCTTATTGCTCTTCTTCTCGCTTTCTCCTTCACCATCTCTTCGTCCTTCCCGCCTGCCGTCATCTTCACTTGCCCAAAAGTCGCCGACGGTCTGAGCAGTCGCTGTGCCCATGGCCGACGAAAAGCCTCGCGCGATTATCTTCGGTGCGCTCCGTTTATGCGACGCTCTTTACGTTTGGGCATGTTCCTAACATAACTGTTGCCTTTTGGTCCAATATTCTCCGTTCACTCAAAGGCGGTCTAAATACCTGGTCGCGCAGATTCGCCTGCCACCTCGTCCCAAAGGATGGCGAACCGCTCGTCTCGGTGCGTCCGATCGCACACCATCGCCTCTATCGATTCGTGCTGACCTACTTACTCGCATTCGTCTTTGTTCAACTCGTAGCATCTTCGCATCGTCGACAAGTTCTCCGTGTCGCCGCCTACAACGTCCGTCTCCCCCTGTCTTCGTTTGCTATCTTCCGTGCATTTCCTCACAACTGTGTATCTAGATACCTCGGCTCGGACTTTAAAGATGTACTGCCGTCTCCCATTGTTGAGTACAAGCAGGCCAATTTGACTATTCCGGGTGCGTATCTCCTACACCAAGGTTCAAATATCTTCCAACTCATTTCTCTTCCTCCACCTGCTTCCGACGGGGACGGTCCCTGACACGAAATGTTTCACCTTAATTTTTTGTTCTCTCACATTCACTATGCTCGTCATCTGGCGCTCGTGCTTCTTGATGATGATGTTTGTGCCATACCATGTTACGAATACCCGCACGCGCAGCCACCGTCAGTAGGATGTTCGATCCGCCCGAAGGTCATGCAGCCTATTCTTACGTCTTTGATTTGACCGGCGAGGTTAGGCACGATCGGCTGGACATGGTGCGCTCATATATCTTCACTCGTATCTACTCTGTTTCTGATAGATGAATTTATGGGTTACCGTTTCGATAATTCTCTACCGCTATGCAACCAGATTCAAATCAGTCAAACGGTGAATATCGCTCGATTGGTTGGTGAAGAGGCTGCACGGCGTAATGTCAAGGCATATGTTCGCGTCACACATCCGTTCTATGACACTCCGGAAAAGGGCATACATGACGAGAAGGAGAGTATCAAACCCTCGGGCATTCGCGGCGTGTGGTGGCACGAGACACTGCGCGTGCTGGCGAATATTGAGAAGTACGCACATCTAATTTCAAATGCGAACCCAAGCAGAGAATATTAAGCAACTTCTTTCGCCAGTTTGAATCTCGTTATCTTGCGGCCCGGGCTCGTCTACGGTCCTTACATAGAATATGGGATTAGTGAGTCCCGCAAAGCAATGTGCTAATTTTGTGGGTGGGATATGCTAATGCTGTATATGCAGTACCGACTACTATGGCTGTTGCGTCCGTGTACGGATATATTAAGAAGCCTATGAAGGGCCTGTGAGTCTTCCATCTTTTAGCAGTGTGCGCATCAATTCCCAACAAACTCTTATTAGATGGTCGCCTGGTAAGAATCCAATGAATACAGTTCATGTCGACGATGTTGCGGGGGCTGCCGTTGCTTTGGCACGATGGATCGAGAAGGAGGGACGGAAGCAGGCTGACATCCTAGCAGGGGAAGAAATTACTGCTAATGACAAGAGCAAAGTTAAAGCAGCCGAAACGGATACGTTACCGGAACCCAGCAAGAAACTTATTGCACCTTTGTTCAACCTGGTAAGTGCGATGCCTTGAATCTTTCCCCAATCTAGGCTAAATCTTTTCTAGGTTGATGAGTCAAACAGCACGCTCGTTTCAATAGGGTCCGAGATATGTTCGGTATTCGGTACAACCTTCGGTTTCCACGATTTCTTCATGACGACTATGGCAAGGGTGCGTATTCTTGATCTGGCACGTTACTTTTGCTTAATATTTTCACAACTTATTCAGATTACCAAACTCTCCACCTCGGTCATCGAGGATATCAACGAGGAGCATGTCGGTGGATGGACAGAAATGCTTCAATCATCAGACCCGCCCATCAATGGAATGACGCCCGTAACAGCATATATGGACGACTCAATTCTACAGAAGATCTCCGTTGCGTTTAATGCTGAGAAGATCAAGAACGTTGTCGGCTACCAACTGAAGCACCCGAAATTCAGTCAAGAAGAGCTAAAGGATATTGTCGATAGATGGAAAGAGGAGGGCAGTTGGCCCCGCGTTGAGCCCAAGGACGCGGCTACGTAATGTCTATCCTGATGTACTATGCTGTCTTATGTCGAACGGTGGTGGTCGTATTTGCTTTGACGTAATTATCTGCATCAATATTTCCTCTTACCTGGTCGTTTTCTCTCTGCTCTTTCTTATTTGTTCGGCCTTCTCCCTCACTTTCCTGCCTTAATGTCAGACTTGTTTTACTCTTTGTCCTCCCTCCACTTCACTCAATCTTTCTTTTGGTCTGTCCCTAACGTGACACTTGTCATCCTCCCCTCCTCCACTTCACGTTTCTGTTTTACTCCCCTTAATTCGTTTTTCCCACGTTTATTCTGCACAGTGCTGTTTTTACGACGACGTGTTACGAAAAGCATATATTTTCGTCCTTCCTCTTTCTCTTCCTCGACCCCACCCATCCAAAGGAGATAATTATTCTTCATTCGTTCGTCCGTGCTATTCCCAATGGGCCTGGCGTTTTGATCCTTATTATTAGGACAATATTTGCCAGAAGCCGAGATGGCATGCGAGAATGTATACTTAGTTACGTTTCTTTACTAATATGAAGGATGATGATGGACTTGTGGACATTGGGCGGACATTATCACACGTTCGTACGATGGAATCCGGAGAAGGTGAGTGACGGATCGAACTTTGAAGTGATCACAGTACGATTCTTTGTGTGTCACTGTATACTGGCATACTAATAGTCTAATACTTACGGGAGTGAGTCGCACGTGGGTGTATGCTTTTATTTGAAAGCGGTTATGAAAATCCCTTGATGGACTGTAAGGCTTCCCATCGCAGAGCATAAGTCTGTTGACTAGTAATATGCGTCATAATGTATAGTGTCAGGAGAAGACCATTCTAATGCATTATGACATGCTGTATACTAATAACGCCAGAGCGTTGCCAGTGTGTGTCACTGTGTGCTGGACTGCTACGCTGGTTTTAAGTGATTAGGAAATCTCATGAACGAATTTTACGACTTCCCACCTTTCGTAAACGCCACGTATGCGCGTCTAAGCATATAAATACAAAGACTTGCTCATTCTAAACCGCGTGGCGGCTCACAGTGTGCCATTGAGTTAAGCACTTCCTGACTAATAATTGCAAAATCACCATCTGCATCAAAAGCTGTGCACCGCACCCTACCCAAACTCGCTTATCACCGCGCGCGCTAGTACCAGAAAAGCTCCCATACATATATAAATTGGGATTTTTTTCTTCTCTCCGAGATGGCTGCTAATTCTGATCCTGATACGTCTACTTTTACGTCTATTACTTCTTCTATTTCGACTGGAGCTGAGAAGTCAAGTGCGACCGCGTCGTCGAGGAGGATGCAGCCTCGGTATTCCGAGCTTCATGCCCGGCTGAGTGATGAGAGTGGGCGGGGTGGAGATGGGGTGGAGGGAATGAAGGGAGCAAATGGGGTGAATGGTATTGGTCTGGGGACTGGGAACGGGAATTCGGAGAAGGCGGAGCCGACGATGCGTTTTTTCCGTAGGGAGGGTCGACAAGGGGATGCTGTGGCGCGTTTGGCAGCGTTGGTGAGCGTCGATATATCCGTTTTTCTTGTTTGAGAGGCTGATGTTTTTTTTTTTCTGGTGGGTATGTGGACAAGACATTTACTTCGGTGCGTCAATTTCGCTGCTGAAAATACCATTTTTCAAATCGCAAAATGTTTCTCTCTCTAGATTTCTGCTGTATACACGACGTACCTCATAGCATCGAGTAATCCACGTTCATTATCATGGTTCGCGTACCACCCGCCATTACAAATGGCTTCTATAGCGCTTTTCACGCTGGGTACGTCTCCTACAAACTCAAATACAAAAGCTACTAACTTCCCATAATTCCGTACGCACGTCCGTGTCCTCGCATAGGCATTCTAACACTCCAACCAACAAGCCAACCAAAGACGAAAGCGGCCGGACTCGTACGCCACCAATTATGTATGCTTCTTGCTGGTGCACCGCTACTTGCAACTGGGACGTGGGTTATTTATCATAACAAGGATATCAATGCGCGAAAACACTTCACGACTTGGCATGGAGTGCGTATACACGTTCTTATTATCTTTTTGAGACCTAGAAGCTAATGAATGCATCCTCCTCTTTTCTTTCATGTTTTATTTGTTCCTCGCCTACGTTTGGCGTAAACCACCTCATTTACATGACTGTATAGACAATTGGTATAATTGCTGTCAGCTGGTTAACAGTACAAACCATCATCGGTTGCGCAAGCGTATGGTTCGGTGGCGCAGCACTTGGCGGAGGTATGAAAGCCAAAAGTGTATGGAAATATCATAGGTTCGTCGACATTTTCATCTTTACTCCACTCCTCCCACCTCCAATTTTCTACTGTACTGTGAACTATAATTCATGCATGTTGTATTTGCAGAGCATCAGGCTACGTTTTATACCCTCTCCTCATGTACGCCGCACACCTCGGCGGCGCATGGTCGACCTTCTCGAATAGCCACGCAGGTCATCTCATGCGGCTCATAGCATATTCCATCGGACCTATCATTACGGTTGTCGCCGTTTACAGCAGGATAAGGTGCGCCGCAGGTTTCTTACATATAATAAAATTCTATTTTTACATTTTATCGGCGGTATGTCTGACTTGTGGTTATTTTCAGACCATCAAAAATGAAGTTCTTCTGATTTTGAGTTTTCCGTTTGCAAGTTCATATAACTTATCCGGGCGCTTTCTTTATTGGAGTTCGAATTGTCTGTTGGCCTATTTTTATCTCTCCTTGTATTTATGCATAAATAAACGAATGGGAATGATTACGTCAAAGGATCTATTGAGAACTAAGTATTTTAAGAAAAGCAAGGCACAGTATATGACAGGACTATATGGAGAGCACGGGATTTACAGTATCTATGCTTGTGCAGATGGTTCCGAAGGAGTTGCAGCTTCCGGAGCGGGGATTGCTGGTGCCAGCGCTGTCGTAGGAGGAGCAGCTGCAGTAGGTGGCGGCGGCGGTGGCGAGGGGATAACCTCGTCCAGGAATCGAGGAAGGAAACGCTCGATGCGCTCATGCGTGACATCCCAGAGCTCTTTTTGTCGTTTAGTCCTCTTATCTTCGGGCGCAGGAGGGACGAGGATGTCCATTGCGTTCATGACTAGTACGACGTTCTTCAGGGATTCGGGAATAGCTTCGAACTGCGTTTGATTAGGACGTACAAACAAGTCAGCAAAAGGGATTTTTTTCGTTATTTAGAAGCGAGACAATAAAGGTGGAAGGGACTTACGAGTTGGTCTCGTCGATCAGCATTCATCAACCGATCGAGCAAGTCAAGAATCGACATCCACAACTCACGAATCTCCTTCTCCTTCGCTTCATCGTTCACCTCGAGCTGCATGAATACCTTGCACAGCAGGACAGATGCGCGAAGACGCGTCTCAGGCATTCCGCGCGGGTCACGTTTCATAATTTGTGGTTGTAACAAGTTATCCAATAATGGGAATACGACCCGGCTGAACACGGTTTCGGAAGCACCATCGACACCTGGTAGAAGGACCTGTTGGCCCAGAAGGATCCGTTGTAAGTGAATGAGTGCCGTATGTCGGATTTCTCGAGAGGCATTCGTGCATTGTCGGGAGAGCGCACAGATAAGCGGAAGACTACACTGTTTCCAGACTTGCTCTGCCGGAACGTGCTCGCTTTCCGTGAATCGGGGGATAAACTTCTTCAAATCGAAGAGTAGATCGACGGATTGTTTTCCGCGCTGGAGGGCCAGCTCGCTAGATAGCCATTCGTCATTAACTTTATTCTTATACTTCCTTTGACGTTAGATTACTCACAATAACGGAGTTTCCGCCTCTTTCCGCTTATCGTGATGACCTGCATTTTCGACGACGGAACCTGCGGCTGACGCATATTCGTCCAACAAGCCCACCAGACCAGCAAAGTTGTCTGTTGTAACACATTGCTCAGTACCGTCGACAACAAGTGTCGTCAACAGATCGAAGCACTGCCTAGAAGCAGCAGGCTGTTTCATTGACTGGCGCATCAAGGCAATTACTAGGCTCCATTCTGTCTGTGACTTTATAATATCCCTGCGTGTCTTTACAAGTTGTACGACACCAGCGATGATCTGTTCTCCGACAGAATTTGTCACTGTTGCCGGTAAGCTTCCCATCAGGTCGAGAGAAACGTATAGCTGGTCTCGTAGTGCAGGCTAAGAAAAGCAACAGAACGATGAGACAACGGACAGGAGCTCTATATAAGAGTGAGCGTACTTTGTCCGCAATAACAAGTAACAAACGCCATAATCCCGCTATGGCACGCTCAACAAGGAGTATGTTGTAGCTAGTCGCCGAGGAAAGCAAAGCCGACAAATGCTCGTACACAACGGGCCTGTATAGAACTATGAATATACCCTCCTTCTTGTATAAATTGAAATAGCACTCACCATGTCTCATCAATGTATTGAGGAGTTTTGGTGATAATGCTAACCATCATCTCAAGCAAGAAGGCGGATGCGGGATCATAAGAAAGAGACTGAGGTGGTGGCTGGGATTTGCGAGATGGGGTTGGAGAATTCGGTGCGGTTGTATCATCAATTTCTTGTTTGAGCCGCGCAACTGTTCGTTCATGTGCCAATGCCTCGAGCGCTCTGACAGCCCAGACGAGAGCGTCACCTGATAGAGCACTGGGATGCCAGACATGTCAATAATAAGAATAGTAAGATAAGATGGAAAACAGACGGGATTTGTGAATATAACTCCTCAAGCCGACATGCATTTATGCAGTCGATCGTAATTTGCGTGTTCTCAATCTCTGAATCGGTAGCCTCCGGTATCGTCTCAGAGCTTGAGCTGTAGGGCGTCATGAGATACGATGACAGAGCAGAAAGCAGGCCACCGTCTCCCCGAGCTGGACGAGGCTGGGGTACAGTAGCATGCAAGGGTATTTCGCTTATGAATTGTTCCGCTTTGAGCATCGGTCCAGGAAGCAATGAGTGGATAAAAAGGTTCGTAAATATCTCGAAAATCTATTGCGTTCCGTCAATAATAATCACGGAGATATCAATTTGCAAACAAACCTGCGTCCATCCCTCCCTAACAGCATTACCATTGCCATTAATGATGGTGAAAAGTACGACCGCAGCTAGCTGGCCTTTGAAGTTGGTACCAAACTTGATAGAAAGAGAGGATACTGTCACGTCCTGCACATCCTGTCCTTCCACTTCCACAACAGGATAGTGAGGCACCCGCGTAACGAGCGTGTCAGGAACGAGACTCGACACCTGCGAGAGAGAAACGACCACATAGTCAAGGACCTCTGGTAATTGGAAGTGACCGGCCAACGTCGCCACTTGTCTGAAGCCCGTTATAGCACGTTGCACAGTATAGTCATCATCGAAAGTCGTAAAAGCAAAGGCTATGGCAGCAATGACAGATCGCCAGACTGAATTAAACATAGTAAAGTCGAAAGCAGACGAATTGCTCGAATACAGCTTGCCTAACAAAATCGGTCACAAAAGTGTAGAACGCGTAAGGAGGCGGCGCTCACCAGATACTCGGGTTCGGGCTAATAGCTCTTTCCAAGCATAACCAAAGCCAACCTGACCAGTATGCTCCTCTGGCATCACGATCTCTCGTTTCCGGATCGACTCATAAACGTTATTCTTCACAGAAACGACATGTCAAAGAAGTGGCGAAGGATAGCCTCTTACATAACTCACGAGGAACTCAGTTGAGAAATCTTCTCCGTCATTCTGCCCACGGAGGTTCCTTTGATAATCCTCCAGTGTCATTCGTTTCTGATCAGGCGTGAGCTTCATGACAATGACAAGGCATCAGTCACCTGTACTCACGCGGATTTGAGGACTGTGCTGATCTGTGTTTAGCATGATGATCGAGTAGGTCAGGATGTAGACAGCATCCTGTGATTTAATTTCCGCTGGGAATAATCTAAGTCAAGCCCAGGAATAACCGCAACGCTTTGTCACATACCCGGGCCAGTAGCAAAATAGACCTCGGCAAACGTCTCAGTGATACGAGCGATCTGCTGAGACTCTCCAGGCAGGCGGAAACTCTCCAAGAGCTCCCGTAGAGCATCAGCTACTGGTTTCTGCGGGATTTCGCAGACTTAGTAAATGTCCGTCGTCGCAGAAGCAGAGCAGAATGACGTACACCCTTGAAGTCAAACAACTCGATGAATGCTTTTAGGACATCAATATTTTCAGGCCGCGAAAGATAATCTCCCAAGAGCTTCTTGTCAAGCCTCGCGCAACTCTTAAGGAACTTTGCCAGACTTTTCTGCCGACTCACTGTGCCCGACAGATCTGCATATATAAGGCCATTCTCTTCCAGGAATGAGAGTCCGACTTTGGGTTTAGTGTTGAAACGGGATGCGCCTGTTAATACAAGCCGTTTCCGCGCCTTTGATTCCAGTATTTCTTGAGGAGATGGAAGGTCCTACTAGCGGTCAGGATCAAGACTCGATATCAAGTTATAAAACGTACCGGAGACCATGGTCCTTCTTGCTGCAGTTTAAAAAAAGTAGAACGTCAGCATTTGAGCAATACTCGTTAGTCGACATTGATCTACTCACTTGATTTGCCCTATCACACATGCCGTTAATGAATTCGAGTAGTAAATCAAGACACAGAAGTTGTGACGTCTGCTGAGCTAATTCTCGGGGACCTGCAACAGGCAAGCCGTATACTCCCTAAAGATATCGTCAGCAGACGCAGCGAAAATGGATAAGCGATTTACCTTGGTCAAGAAGCTTACAAGCTTCTCGAAGAGGTCTTCACAGTTCACATCACAATCATAATTCATGAAGAGATCGACCATAAATCCTGGGTATCGAGCAATTTGACTCAATGTTTCCAACATAAGCTCCCTCGTCTCGCCCTTTGCCGGAAGAATAGCGGGTCTCGATGGACCAGTGTTCTCCTCGTCCGGCTCGACGAGCGTCGGAGTGGATGCATTAGGTGTGCCAGAGTACGGAGTTCCAGGTCGTGGTGATGCAATGAGACCTTTTTGCTGCGCCATAGTTGCGATTTGTGCCCTTGTAGGCGCAGAAAGGGTGAGGCGGTCAATCGTGAAAGAGAGGAAGAGTTCCTGCTGAAGCTTCAGATGCGTACGCATTGTCTCTAACATAGACGAAATGACGCGCAGTGACATGTATAGGACATTTGGATTGTCTGCTCGAGCAAGTTGGAAGAGATTCTTGCAGCCCTCGTCCTGGATGATGTTCATTAAGGTGGGATACAAGCCTAGCTGAGAACCTGCAACTTCGAAGGCGGTGTTAAGGATACGAAGAGCCGTAAGTCGTGTTGAGTCGGTATGAGTACGGTCGTTTGGATCTAAGATCTTTACGAGCACACGAAGTAATTCAACAATAGACGGCAGCCCATCTTCATGGATATAGTATATCAGCATGTGAACGATTACTTGGGTAGTGTACGCACATTCACTTCTGGGCACTGGAGTTGGTACACGGCTAGGGTCAGCTTTATCCTCTTTCTTAGTCGTGCTCCCTTCGACCAATGTCGCGTTATCCTGCTGAGTAGAAGGATCCAGATTGTTTTGTGCCGCTGTAAAGGGAGCATCGGTCGGAGGATTCTGTCCCGTTTGTACATTCATCGTGAGTTCGTTCTCCGATGAGTCCGTATTTAAGGCCGCTAGTTTTCTTTCTTCTTCCTCAGCGTCGAGTGAATACAGTCGGCTGAATACTTGACGCACGACCGCGTGCATAGTTGATTCGGCATATTTTCGAAGGATTTCTTCCAAACCGAATCCAATTAGCGTTAAGTATGATGGGATGAGAATACACATACCGCTAAGTCTCATTTGGCAGCAGTTTGTCAGAACAGTTTCCAACATCTCGCAAACCTCTACATCGCCGAGAGTACTGCCAGCAGGACCACACATGCACTGCTCAATAACAGCCATGATTCGGTACAGCACCACTTCGTCACCGGACGCGTCGCTCGCCTCAAACTTGCAATTCGACACGGTACTACTGAGCTCCGCAAGAATATGTTCAAGATCGGGAGCGTCAGGCGAAACAAATCCCAGGACGAAGAAAGTATGGATGGCCGCCAGCGCCGCGGAAGTAATAGGACCCGTTGACAATGGAGAACGGATCAACGCGAAGAATGGCGAAAGGAGCGTGGATAGAGGAAAATTTTCGATTTCTTCACGTTAGAACGTTGTTGATAGAATAACATATCAGTTAGTAATATTTAGAACACGTATGTAAACGTGTACATACCTCGGGCATCCAAGACCTCTCTCTTCAGCTCAAGGAAGTTCGCCATGAGCAAGACTTCCTGCTTGGAAGATCCCTGAAGCATATCGGAGCTCCCTCCATGGCGTCTCAGACCCATGCTCGCTGCAAGTGCATCATCCCGAGCGTACAGTGGCGTTTGCGCACTTGCAGCCCATCGGGAGTTCTTGCGCATGGCAGATGTAACGGATAAAATCTCGGAGCATATTACATGCTTTTTGGACACAGAAAGAGCGATTGATGAGGTATTCCCTGCCATCCTAGTTAGTATAACCCCCAGGTAAGAGGAAGTGGTAAGGAGAGTGCAACGAATGGACTGAGATGGATGCGTGTCAAGTTATTTCCCAGTCCTAGTGATCTGCTTTCTATAACGGACCATATATGGCACAGCCACGATTTTTGACCAATTGCAAGCTCAACAGATTCCAGATATTCCAAGTTTGTGTACAAGTTTTGCAATTTATCGCCTGCTAATCAAGAGCTACCTCGACAATGAACTGCTACAGAAAATATTTTCCATTGCAAATGACAAAGATCGGTACAATAATAAGCACATCTATGCATCCGACGGTGGCACGTCTGCTCGTGAGCCCATTGCCGCTTGCCCAGCAGCCGTAGCTGCCAATCTTGTCCGCTTCCGCTCCGCCTCTGCAAAAACGAAGACGTAAGCTCTCAGTATTAATTAGACAAAGCATTGGATCCCACCTGCTTCTTTTTCACGTTCAATCTCAGAGACAATGCTCTCAATCTGGGCAAGATCCAAGTTCTAGAATACACATAAGTTACTGAGATACACAATAATGACCATTGATTATGACATACCGAGACGTTTCCGTAGCCATCCATGACGCTGATCTCGATGTTCTTCGCGCCAGTCTGTACAACTTCCAAGAGACTCTTTACAGTGAGCTTGATGGACTCGTCCCGCGTCATGTCATCTCTGTGGTTCTTCTCGAGGAACTCTCGTACTGTTTTGGATGATCTACCGATAGCATTCGCCTATAAGGAAAGTATTACTTTAAATTAATGTTCGCAACTTCCATCCGAGATCACTTACTTTCCAAGCACTGTAAATTCCACTCGGCTCTGTCATGTAGAGGCGCGGCCTCGAGTCATGGGGATCGAAGCCAATAATAAGGGTGGAAATACCGAATGGCCGTACGCCTCCGGATTGCGTATAGCGCTACCACGGGACACTAGTGAATCGAGAAATCTAACGCTCCTGAATATCGATTATACGTACCTGTTGAATACCCGCGATGTATCGGGTAATGTACTCCACGGTGACTGGATCTTCGACAGTCAGACGATGGCTCTGGCACTCGACGCGCGCCTTGTCAATCAAGACGCGTCCGTCCGCCGTGAGGCCTACGAGACGGCACATAACATTTAGCGGACGATCTCAGAATACCTTACAGACCTACTTACCAGCGTAACCTAGACAAACGTGATCGTCGAGCATAACAACCTTACGAACAGTTCGAGGATCTTGCAGCTGCAGAACGGATTTCTTCTCGACACCCAATACCACGACGTTCTTGCCGCGTACACCGACCTGTGAATGCACCGTAAACAAGTGAAAGCATATTATCACGGATGCACGTCACTCACTGCGCATGTACCCTTCCTGACGGCTTCGAGAGCATATTCTACCTGTATTACTTTATAAGTTGGGTTTACGATGGTACTATAACCCAACATACCTGGAATAGATGCCCATCAGGCGAGAAGACGGTGAGTGCTAAAAGAAATTTGTCAGATTTGACCACGACTTATGTCGTAAACAAGTACCTACCGCGATCGTATGAGCCAGACATGTTCCAGTAGTTCAATAGAGGACAGAAGATTGCAGTAAAGAAGTCGTGTTACGCGTACAGTGTACACAGCGAGTCCAGGACGCGCGGCGCTGTATAAGCACGTGACCAGTGTGGATCCTCCTTAATGACGCGACGGTGCAACCAATTCAGCATGCTGAGTTGCTAACTGCGCCGCTGGCACTTTGCTCTTCTCGCCGCCATGGACGAAGACGACGATGTGGAAATCGTCCAGCCAGTTGAGTGGGTATCCTCCGTATTTATCATACAAAAAGAGCGGCTCTGTTAACTCATTATACCGTCCTTAGTTCTACTGTAGAAATAATCTGTGAGATATGCCGTATTTCCCTCACTAAGGACACTGTCTCGCAGAGACAAGCACACTACGAGGAACACTTCAGTTGTGCTTCCCCGGACCGTCAGTACCACAATTATATATTTCATGGTAGTCCGTAACATTTGTTTTTCAGAGCTACAGTCGGAATCTCCAGAAGTCATTGATATCTCGAGTTCGGCGGATACAAGCCGTCAGGAGGGTCAATCACCTAACACGACCAAGCAATCCGAGAACAGTACGGCGGAAAATGCACCACAACCTCCCATAGGAAAACAGAACGTTTTTTGGCATCATTCACAAGCCACATCTCCACCTTCCAACTTTACGCCTGGTTCGAATAGTATTTCAGCGCAATTTGTTCCCATTGCCTAACTTGTCGTATATAGGTCTTATACCCCTGCTAAAGCAAGCTCTGTTAAAGTCGCATGCGAAGGGACAAACAGTTCGAGCAGCTCTATGCTATGAGGGCATGGTCCACGTGGGCACTGAACGATGGGATTTAGGCTGGGGTTGCGGGTGAGGATCACTAACATGACTAATTATTTTGATGTCAAATTCAGAAACTAACACAATGTAGTTACCGAAACTTCCTCATGGCGTGCACAGCCCTCATGGATCAACAAGTGCAGCCTCTATACTTTCCTGCGCTGGATTATCCTTCACCTCCAGGCGTCCGCAATCTCCAGCAATGGATTGAAGACGCTTGGAAGAGTGGGTACGATCCTGAAGGCGCAGCTGATCTGAAGAACAAGCTTGTCGGAACAAAGAAATGGATAGGAACCGCCGAACTGTACGTCGCCTTCCTCTCACGTAGCATTCCAAGCCGGCTCGTGGACTTTCCGCACGTTGAATCGAATGCGGATGCCGTTCTGCGATGGATCGTTACCTACTTCTCGGAACCCTCTCATGACGCTCGCGACATGAGGCACCGTGCAAGGGTAAAGACGACAGTAGATGAAGCTCTACGAGGGGCGAGTCCTGTCATAGTCACGGATCGTATGCCACTCATCCTCCAGCATAAGGGCCACTCGCGTACGATCGTCGGGTACGAACGTACGAAAGATGGCTCAACCAACCTCTTGTGTTTCGATCCTTCACGGTAAGATGTTATCTTCATTCCTTTTCGTGGGACTACCTAAGTTTCTATGTCCAGACGTCCCAAGGCATGGGCTCGTTCTGCCGCTATTGCTCGCCTAGCTGCGAAAGCGTCGCAGGTAGCGCCGGTACAGCCCCAAGAGGATAACCACCACCACTTCCATGGTATCTCTACCTCAAAGATCATGAATGCCGTGTTACACCCTCGAAAGCATAAGCAAAAGGAGTCGATCCTTGCTAATACCAAGAAGCGACGATCTGAAGAGGACATTGGACGTAATCTAAAGCGCGTAAGAGGTGGTCTACACATGTCAGACGGTTCGAAGGGCAAGAACAAGGAGGTCATCGAGATATCAGATGACGAGGTATTTGAGGTTGAGCAGGCTCCTCGACCGTCAAATTCTACTCCTAAAGCAACGCTTCGGGATACCGAATATGCCAGCATGCTTGAGTTCTTTCGACTGAGGCCAAAGAAGGTTGGGTAAGTCGGATTTAAATCATCTCCGACACACCTGTCTTTCGATGTTCCTCAGTTCATGCTGACCTCATGCATCTCTTCAGTCTGAAAGATCGTTATCAGATTTTATATTTCCCACTTGGGGACCTGCTTACAGACCAAGAACGTTGGGCACGTAGAATAGTTACAAGTGAAGTCGTAAAGTGAGGCGGAGCATTGAAATTAGTAGCGTAGCAGACATTGTATTATTATATTCCTTTTGGTTTTCTCTTTAATGCGTCCGTCCTCTTCTGGTTATTTGTAGCTTGTATCCATAAATTTCTCTGGATTTCCGCATTGCAGCCATTTATTCACAAAGCACATTAATTCTCACGACTAGTACAATAATTTGATGCATAGGATTTTGGACGGATCATGTATGCGTAGTATTCATCTCTGGTATTTTTCTCCTGCATGTCATGTATTCTTTGCATTACAGTATTCGAAGAAATACAAATACCTTCTAACTAATTTTTTTACAAAGTATAACACCACTAACATTGGTCATATAGGCTCACTTATGTAGCATAACGTTACTGAGAGGGGAAAATAGATTGGGAACAATTTATTTTTCAAGATGCATCCGATTCCGAAATGAACTTTACCACCTCAAATCCTCGTCCCTCGGACCCTTCCGGCTGGTCAATCATTCATTCAATAGAACAGATCTCATTTGAAGAAAGAAACCTGTGATTCTAACTAACTAATTGCTAGTCTGATTAAATGATGAGATGTCCCTTTCTCTCTACCCCGTCCGAGCTCATCGCCGTGCGCCCAATCTCATCAACACAAACGAAGCGCGTTTTTGATAGCAGCGTTGCACGTTCCTTTTCGTTCGTTCGAGAGCCGGTCTGTGATCGAACATGATCGAGACTTAGTCGGTCGGTAATCTAGGCTATCTTCATCAGGGTGATGGATCTCATTACTCATGCTGTGCATCAATGTACTGGGGTATTCACTCACTCAAAGGGATGCAGCGAGCTAGTTCCGGTAGAGGGCTTTAGGATTTTTTATTTTTTGTTGTATATATCCTAACTTTAGATACAGACTCGGAACTTAGAAAAGAATCACTAAGAGCAGCTATATGTAGACCTTCTTATAAAAAGACAATATGCTATATAATCAACCCTTCATTCTTCCACTGACCTTCACACAATTGAAAATAAGACTGTCAATTGCTGTCGATTCCCACCCAAAGTGACAAGGAACTAATGAAATTAGCGTGCGTGAATGTATTACATGTATTTCACACACTTCCATCCCCCCTCTGTTATTGTTATTGTTCTTGACCCGCCAGCTCCTCCGAGTCCGAGTCATTCATTTGCACTAATATTAGTAGTTTCGGATCTTAATACTTACTACATTTTGATCGAAGTCAAAGCATCGGATAATAAACTTCCTCCCCAAACCCTGTTGTTACATATATTACATTAATCATTGCTCTGTGGGTGCTCTTCCGACGACGGAAAGGCGTAATTGTCCTGCTCTGGAGTCAGACTGCTGCACTCCTTGAAGACGGCCGTCATCACATTCCTGCAAAGGTCCAGGGCTAGCAAAGCTAAATAAGTTTGCAAAGTCTTTTTCGACTGTTATTCGTGGGCTTTGTACTACGTAAGACATTCATTCATCTGTGGTTATCGTAGAGTGCGTAGAGTAAAGTGATGAGGTCGTAAGGTGAAAGAAAACAACGGAGTATTAGCGTAGCGTATACAGTCCGTTTAGAAAGTTTACCAAGATCATAGGAAGGATGAATAAGGAGAAAAAATAAACAAAGGAAAAAGAAAAGGATAGAAAGGGCAACAGATGTAAGAAAGGAGAGTGGTATGATTAAACAGGTAACGGGGAATCAGAACGGCCATTACTGGTGACAAAGAAAAACAACCCCAAGTTAACAGGCAGAACACGGAAACCAGCCCGAAGAAACATAGTTTGGGCATAAGAAAAACAAAATCGTAGCAAGAAACAAAACTCAAAAACCGAGAAATCACTTAGATATAATTACCAGGAGGCTTCGCCCTCCCCCTCAACTGCGACGCATTCGGCATCTTCGTCTTCTGCGTCTCAAGATCAACATGCCCGGCTCTCCGCTCCCGTTTCGATGATGCACTCGACGAAGCATTCGAACCATGCGAATCTGTCGAGAGCGTCTTCATCTTTACAACATTATTCCCCGAGATAGCTCGAGATTCGTGGGTGGGGAGTACGATAGGTATGTCAACACTTTGCATGGCCGGACTAACGTCTACGCTCATACTCTCCCCGCCCTTCCCACTCTTCGTGTTCGAACCTGTTGTAGACTCGCAGAGAGTGTGTGTGCTGTGTATACTTGACCGCCCGACTTCTTCGCCTGCTAGTGGGACTTGTCCTGCGAGTTCCTCGTCACAGAGTCGCATGAGGTCGCCTAGTCCGAGGTAGGCTGCTTCGTCACGAAGGTCGAGGAGTGCTTCTAGACGAGCGGTTGCGAAGGAATGTCGCGCGGCTGGGAAGAGACGTGCGCCGTAGGGTAGCATCCCGCCCGGATGGGATGTTAGGTGAGGTGCGCGAAGATACGCAATAATATGTGCATATCTAAAATAAATAAATGAGTGAAGTGAGCTTCTTAATAGGAAACAAGAGCGACGTACGGTGTACCCGGCCTATCCAAAAATACATGCATCATAGACGTTGCATCTGCTTTGCGCTTAATCTTTCGCGGCTTGATAATCCCCGTCGACGTAAGATGGTCCTGGAATAACGAATTGAAACCTGCATAGTTGCTCTCGTCCTCCGAGTCCTCGAACTCGCTGTGTTGAGAGTACACGGAACCCGCATCGCCGTTCACGTTTTCGTCCTCGCTAAGTGATGTTTGCGCAGCCCCATTCGTCGCTCCGGTCGAGGAGACAAGTTCGCTGAGATGCTTTGCGAGGTGAGAAGGCCGAGAGGTGAGCGTCTTCAGCGTCGTCTTGTACGTAGTCTCGCCCGTCTCCAGAACGACGATAATCTTGCTAGGATTTACTTTATGCATGTTCGCGGGGAGGTTAGACATAAGCAGCATCCCAAACGGAGGCTGAGGAAGGGCAGTGGCAAGGTCAAGAGGAAGCTGGGGCGCAGCAGCGAAACACTCGCTTTCAACCCGCACTTGCGCTTCAGAAAAGGATGAGAAATGCGACTCAGGTCGTACAGCGGCCTCCGGTCCAGACTTTCGTTGCTGGAGCTGGAGTGGTGCTGTTGTTGTCTCAGCTTCGTCTGTTGCCGCATTGAAATACTCGGCGGGATTGGGATTGGATCTCGGTCGATCAACAGAGGGTGATCGTGCCTGATACACAAGCTCTTCGGCGGGGAGTTCTTGATTAGATTGTGCGAGAGGCGACCCTCTTCGGTTCTTTACGGAGGAGCCCTGCGAGCGCTGATCAGGCAGGACAGGGCGCAAGCCGCGACTACCGCTCGCCTGGCTGGTTCCGCTAGCATTTGATTCTGCTGAACGTCTTGGCTGAGGCCAGTCTCCTCTTTGTTGTTGTAGCCCACGTGTTTGCATTGTAGGTGAGGTCGGACTTGTTGACTGAGGGAGAGGTGGCAATGGCGGACTTTGTAGGGACTGCTGGTCGAACTCGAGGTCTTCCTCCTCGACCGTCGCAGGCTGCTGTCTGTGGAACTGGTTTAAATGCGAAGGCGCCGATGCGGCCGCGGGTGAATTGCGGTATCCGCCCTTTTGCGCAGAGAGTGCGAGAGCCTCTTGGGGCGTGCCAACGACGATTGCGCCCGAACCGAGAGGGGCTAGCCGTGTGGATGGCAAGCTATCTGCGGAGCCATTTAGTTTGGGCTCTGAGATATAGACTGGGCGTGGTTGTTCATCAGCTCCGTCATTCGCACGCGAGCTATTCGAATGTGCGCGACGATGTACGTGACCGTGGACAGCCTGTACGTTCTCCTGTATGCGCTCCTTGAGGGAGTCTTTGAACCGTGACATTGTGTTCTGGAGGGACGGGCGGCGAGTCTTGTAGACCGGCCTGATAGGAGGAGAATGTGCGGGCGAAGGGAAAGGCTGAGCAATTGGAGAAGATATGGAATGGGACTTGTGGTGTGCAAGGGACATGATTGCAGTTGACAGTGATTTTGTAGTGGCAAAGTAGAGCTGAAAGAGGGTGCTGAGCGGGCAACAGAGAGCACAGGTAGAGTTGGGGAGGTGATGGTGGGATGCAAAGGAAGACGGGGAGCGGCGCGGAAGGGTGATGGGCAATGGCGTGCATTTTTGAAGGGGAACGCGGTTAGAAAAGGACAGGACAATAACAATAAGCAGCACAGACAGAGCGAAGAGTCAGGGACCGGGACAGAACCCGACGCGCCGATCATTCCATTTCAGTCCGACGACAATGCAACAATAGAAGTCACAGTCAGTCACAGTCACCTCTTTATGCGGCAGAGAGCGCATCACATGACCCACAATGGACTCTTCGGACCTGCTCACTGCAAAGCACATCCTCAACACTTCCTACTTGCTTTCCTCAGTCTCTCCCTCTCTCGCTGCCCTACATTCAACACGTGCACGCACTCAACCCTATGCCCCGCCTCTATCACCGCTACACTGTCCACGATGCACCTACCTGCCCGTGACCACGCGCCTCGCTTCGCAGCCTTCCAAACATAGAAGAACAAGCAAAACAATGGCTGCAAAAAATAAAAACACAATGCACGCCTCCTCGCAATCTCAGACTCATACTCGGAAAGAGGCAATTAATATCCCTCCTCCCCCTGTGCATGGCCCTCGTCGTCGTCGCGTGGAGATAACATGCGCTGTATGTGGTTACTGCGGATCTCAGGCCATAGAGCGGAGCGATGGAAGTGCTGGAGATATGAGCGCCGCATCGCATTCGCATCCTACATCTCGTTCTGAGTCGCCCGGGACGGGTCTTGAGTCAACTTCGTTAACGCCCTCGTTACTAGCGGACAGTGCGCAATATACGCCGCCGGTATTGGACGAGAAGACCGAAGCAAGCTCTGATATTACCACTGATATCAGCACCAAGTCCCATGGCAAACGAAAGACCGAGAACCCAATACTTCGTAACTTAGCGTCTGCTGCCGGTCCAGGCGGCTCTCAATCTTCTTCAAATTTCTCAAAACCGCAATCTAACTCGGCCGCCAAGCGACAGAAAAAGAAAGCTGGTTTGCAGGAGATGCTCGCTCGTTCAAGGGACCAAAAGCAAAGTGCGTCCCGAAAAGATGGAGGAGATCCGGAAGGAGGTGGTTTGGCTGCTTTCTTGAGCGGTTTATAGTAGCGTTTTACTAGATTCTGTGTGTATGCGTATGTCTTTTAACTACACGTCTCTGACTTTGTTGAGGCTGCATACAGAACGTCTGCGAATACCTTTGCATTACTGTAGGACTGAACTTCAGGACATCCATAGCTATATAGATTACATTTGTTCCATTACACAAAGCATTACTTCACGACAGAAGCCCGAAACTCAGATTCTATAAACCAAAAGCAATCGTCGGAGCACTATATATTCCTGCAACGATCTTTGCTTCTCCACCTTCACCAGCACCAGCAGCAACATAAATGGGTATGAAATGCTCTTCTCTCGGATGAGCCAGCCTGAACCCTCTATGCTTCGTAAGGTTCACAAGCGCCTCTTTCAACTCCGGCTATACAAATCCAAAATCAATTTCCTTGAGAATTCCAATGTAATTTGAAAGATGGAGAAGAAAGGAGGAACATACCTCAGGCTTTTGCACCGCCTCCAAAATAGCCTGATTAAACTCCTTATAAACAGGCTTAGCCGTACTCTCCGCAAACGCCGACCAATCCTGGAACGTATGTATCGTAAGTCCACCAGAAAGGACCAAAATCCCTTCTTCCCTTAACTTCGCCACTGCTTTCCCGACAGCCCAGTTCCCTTCGGGACTGAGGTTCCCGTCGATACTCGCTTGGATGATAGGTACGTCGGTGAATGTATGTCCGAACATGATACGGAAGGGAATGAAGACGCCGTGGTCGAGTCCGGGGCCATTGAACCCCCGGCCGTCTTGACCGCGGGCTTGGTCCTTTGTGGTTGTGCGTGCGAGGAAGCCCGAGGAGGTGAATGCTGAGACGACGCGTTGGGAGAGTTCGGATGAGCCGTTCGAGCTGAATTGGAGTTCGTACATTTCCCGGTCGAAGCCGAAGTAGTCCATTAGGAGAGGTTGGTCGTCTCCGTAGTCGGTTACTGCAGCACATGTTTAGCATACATACACACAGTCTAGTAGTATGAGGTATAAATAGTGCACAGTACACACCTAACCGCTCCCCCTCCGTTTCCCAATGAGCACTAAAGACAAGTATACCCTTCGGTTTATACTTCTCCAGCAACGCCGGTCCAAAATCCTTCAAGAAACGAGCAAGAGGGCCCTTCGGACCTGCGTGTTCCTCCATTGCGCCCCTACCACCCAAGAGGTGGTCCGGGAACTGGAGGAGAGGTGAACCGTGCCCAAAGAAGAACGCAGGGATCTTCTCGGGCGTTGACGGTAGAGCGTCAAGTGCGGCTTTCCATTCTGCATCTGACTTGGGGATGGTGGATGCAGGCGGAGAAGTAACTGTAGTTGTAGATGACATTATGCTAGAGAGCGAGCGAGAGAAGAACGATGTTATTTGAGGGAAGCGCGCCAGAACGAGAGCGAGAGCAGTAAAGAGGAGAGCGAAGAGAGACTTGGTAGATATACGCGCCAGGACGAGGAGAGCTGTGCGTCGAGATGAGCGTCAACGTTAGGGATAGACAATGACATGGTGGGAAGTGTATAAGTAAGTATGCTAATTTTAATGGAGGATGATGACGCGCGACGCACCGAGTCGGGCTGTCCGTAACCGGATTCCTTAGTCAACGTCCGCCACAACGTCCAGCGCGTATTCTACTTTCCTACGACCGCGACCGCGTTCTCGTCAGCGCGATGTCCAAACCGAACTCAAGCTGGCTACGTGGAACAGTCATACGCAAGTCCGCCCTTCCATCCTCAGCACAAAGTACGCGTTCTTCCACTCCCTCAGGCGGCCTTCCATCCACTGCGGGTAGCACTTCTACCAACGCCAGCACTAGCACTGTAACAAATGGCGGACCGTCAACAACAACAGCATCAACGACGACAACGTCCTACACGTTCACCACAGGCGGCGGCGGCGGCGTCAAAGACTCAACAGGCAAAGTCTCCGAATACTCCTCCCAAGACGACCAATGTCCCGTCTGTAAATCCGATCGCTACCTCAACCCCCGTCTTCGTCTCCTCGTCAGCGCCTGTTATCACAAAATGTGTGAATCCTGTATTGACAGGTTATTTACTTTGGGTCCGGCACCGTGTCCGATTTGTGGGAGGACATTGAGGAAGTTGGCGTTTATGCCTCAGACTTTTGAGGACCTTGTGGTTGAGAAGGAGGTTGCTGTTAGGAGACGGTTGGCGAAGGAGTGAGTGCGAGTTGAAACTTTTGGTGTTATACTGAAGTATGGTGTTGATATTCTTCCCCCCTCCCCTCCAGCTTCAATAAACATAGAGAAGACTTCCCCGACTTGAAATCATACAACGACTACCTCGAAGAAGTCGAAGACATCAGTTCGTTCTTCCCCCTTCCTTCTCTCCTTTCTTCCTCACTCATCCACACCTCTCTTTTTAGCATTCAACTTAATAAACGACATCAACGTCCCCCAAACCGAATCCCGCATCACCAAATACCGATCCGAAAACGCCCAACTCATCTCACGCAACATCCAACGCGACGAATCCTACGCCTCCACTCTCCGTCAACAAGAAGCTCTCGACCGCCTCGCACGCGAAGACCGTGCCCGTCAACTCGCTCTCGAAGAACAATCGGAAAGAGAGAAGAAAATGCGGGAGAGGGAGGAGTTGATTAGTGCTTTGGAGAATAGTGAGGAGGGGGTGGATGCGCGGGAGTTGGTGAGGGAAGCTGCGAGGCGGTTGAGAGAGAAGGAAAGAAGAGAGAAGGAGAAAGAGAGGGAGAGGGAACGGAGAGCAGCAGACGTACCTTCTCGATCTCTCCGCTCTCGTTCAGCTTTGCAAAACGCGATTCCAGACGTCCCGCACGTACCAATCCAGGACGACTGGTACGCATACGAGGACCGTTACTCATTACGCAGCGCGGGGTATTATGACCCCACGAGTGAAGCTGTTCGGAGAGACCGAGAGGGAATCATGCGTGCTGGTGGGTACGTGGTTGAGGAAGCTTGGGAACGTGCTCTTAGATGTGCTGTTGCTGGACTTGACATCGCTCCTTTATCTTCATCATCTTCATCTTCATCTCCCGCCGTACCACCTTCGTTGACGAGTGGAGGAGACGTGGTCATGACCGTTGTTTAGACATTTAGACATCTAGATACACGGCATCTGTCCTTCTTGCATTATTATTAACATTCTGCACTGCGATATATTATCATTCTCATCGCATTACGCATAATTCAGATGGAGGGTAACAACGATATATCATCATTAAAGCAGAATACGAGAATGAGCTAGCTAAATCATACACTAAAACAAGCCGGAACGAAGCAAGTGGGCTACATGGAGGACAGACAAACGGACAAACGGACGACGGCAGACAAACGACAAAACGACAAGACTATACTATCTGACTCAAGCAGCAGTAGCAATAACAAAGGAGACGGCAAGAAGACCAAGCAGATGAGAATAAAGACGCAAAAGTAGTAAGAAAAGGAAAAATAGTAGTCAAGGAGCGGGTACTAATTGATAAACCAGCAAGGGAGATAGACGATAGTAATTAGAAAGTGGATTGGATGACCAAGAGGAATGAAACCAGGTAACGCGAAGGGGAACACAACAGGAAAAGAAACAGCCCAGAGAAATGACAGTGTCCTTAGCAAGACAAGACAAGACAAGTCAGGAAGGAAAGGAAAAAAGGAAAAGGAAAGAGCAAGCCGTATATCCAAAATATAAAACAATTAAGGAGAAGTGAGGTCGGGGTTAAGGTCGGGGTTGGGGGTGCGTCCACAGCGAGGGAGAACAGGTAAAAATAAGCAAATATAAATTCAAGCCAGGCCGATCGGTCGAGGGTGAAAGGAGGGGCTACACAGGGATCGAGTGCGTATAGTTATAATCAATTTGCTCATAACGCTGAAGCGGGCGAAGAGGTGGCTCTTCGCCAGGAACAAGACCTGGTATGTCATATTCCGATGGTAGTTCCAATCGAGCAAAGTGCCGCGTGTCGTCAGAAGAGTTGGTATGTGGGATAATCGGCGCCTTGAGGAGAACATATTCAGCAAACATCCAAAAAAAAAGACACCCGCATCACTGCTAAAAGTATCCATACCTTGATTTCACGCCGCTCAAGAGCGCCCCAGTCAACACCCCTGAACCAAGGGTGGTCCAGAACATCCTGCGGTCCCCCAATCATATTCCCAAGTCGTTTGCTCCTATCAGGGTGTAAGAACGCCTTGATGAGTTCCCGCGAAAGTGGATCCATATCACGCGGCCACGCGATCCGCCCCTCAAGGATCTTTTCGTATATCCCATAAGCCGTCTCAGCGAAGAACGGCGGGAAGCCAACAAGCATCTCGTAGCACAGAATGCCACATGCCCACCAGTCAGCTGCCTTCCCGTGACCGTCTGATTGAATGATTTCGGGAGCGAGATACTCGGGAGTGCCACATAACGTCCACGTACGATCCTCCACAATCTTCGCGAAGCCGAAGTCTGTCAGACGGAGGTAACCACGCGAGTCGAGGAGTAAGTTTTCCGGTTTGAGGTCTCGGTAGATGATGTTGAAGGAATGGAGGTATTTGAGTGCAAGTACGATCGTTGCGAGGTAAAAGCGTGTTACGTCGGGTGTGAATCGCTGTGCGCGTCGGAGATGTGTGAACAGTTCGCCACCGGGCACGTATGACAGAAGCATATACACGTTTAAATCGTCTTGGAAGGTAGCATAAAGGTCGACGATGAATGGGTGCCGAATGCGTGAAAGAATGTATCGCTCAGCAGCTACATGCTCGACCTGTCTGAGCCGCACAATCTCGCTCTTTCGAAGTATTTTCATGGCAAAATAGTTCGCAGAGTCCTGTCGAGCAGATGAGTTCCGAAGGCGCACGAGCAATACTCGCCCAAATGTGCCAGTCCCTGAAAGAACAAAATGAACAACAAATACGCATAAAAAAGGGGGTCCGCTTACCGAGCGTCCCGCGAACCTCAAAATCCGTCAGCTTCAATGTATTCGTACCAGGTAAATTCAGGCCCTCCTGCGAAAGCGAACGCACAGGCTGTCGCACAATCGACAAGCTCTGATCATCCTGCCTTGTATCCTCCTCCATCGCGTCAGGAGTCTCCGGTACTTGCGAGACGGGGGTTACAGGATATTCTACCTGCACCTGAACTGTGTGTCGTTGGGCGTCCTCCATAACGATTTCCAGAGGTGGCTGCACCTGCTGAAGTTGAATTTGGCTCTGAGCCTGGCTTTGACTTTGGACTGGGAGGCTCATTGACACGTCTTCGGGGCCGGGTGAATCGGGAGGTGTGATTGGGCCTTCAGAAAGTACCATCTCAGAGTCCCTCCGCGCAGACATTTTTCTAGATGGATAGCCCTGTGTCGGCGCTGCGCCGCCCGAGAGAGGCTGAAAGTACCCTGCAGGGAAGACCGTGCCTGGAGAAGGCATGGACGCTGAGCGTGGAGGAAGGTCATATAAGCGGTCCATGGGCTGCGGGCGGCGGTAAGAAGAACCGTGTGGTCTTCAGAGAAAACTGCGGAGGTCGCGCGCGGTGCGCTGGAAAAGGATAGGCCGGGCTGAGGCGGAATATATCACTGGAGGAGGAGGAAGAAGACATCAGTGAGTGATGGGCAGCAGAGATGGGCATAGACATATTTGGGATGTATGCTCAGATAGAAGACAGAGGAGGTATTGACGTACCGCGATGTGATCGAGATGAGAGGCAGCCGGGGGCGCGTGGCTCCGTGGTGGCGGAGCTGAGATAGACACGAGGGCGCGGGGCGAGCGGAGAGAGTGGGAGAGAGAGCGCGGGGGTGTGTTTGTGTTGTGGACCGTGCCAGACGGGAGTAGAGACAAAAAGGGGATGGAGAACTAGTGGGCGCGCGTGTAATAGCCCCGACCAGAAATAATAATAATCGACTCTGCCGACGACAGCAGCGGGACCGGACACAATGCCGATGGGTGACAGCGCCTAGAGAGAGAACAGCGAGAAGGAAGAATAATAATGAGAGATACGAGGGACGAGGCAAGGGCTGCGAGCGGCAGGCGACGAGAGCAGCGAGCACTCTAAGCAACAGTTCCTTGTCGTCGATCACCGTCGATCACTCCCACGCACGTCGCCGACCAAATTTTATATTTCATCCTGCTCGGGTCTGTTAGTATTACTGGCACACCATGGCCCGCCGTAGAAAAAACAGAACACATGTCAAGGCCCCTGTCGAGGCTATAGACAAGGGTCCGAGCTCATTCATCATCAAACATGGCCAGGTCGGCGCCTCCCTCAGTCAGCTCGTCCGCGACCTTAGAAAACTCATGGAACCAAACACCGCAAGCCGCCTCAAGGTCTGTCAACCCATTAGTACTGAAAGCAGGCTGAATTCTCATTACATTCGTAGGAACGCGCTCGGAACAAGCTCAGAGACTATCTGACGATTGCTCCTGCTCTCCATGTCTCTCATCTCCTCGCGTTCACCCTCACCCCAATCGCGCCGTACATGCGCATGGTCAGGCTTCCCGCTGGTCCTACTCTTACTTTTCGCGTCGAAAAATATAGTCTTTCAAAGGACATACTCAACACCAAAAAGCACGCGCGCAGTATGGGTTTAGAGTACCTTACTCCGCCTCTGGTACGCTTCATTACCGTTTACTATCCTCTACATCTCAACGTATTTTGTTTTATCTCCCGTAGCTCGTCCTCGCATCCTTCCCCCAACCCTCCCCAACGACACCACCCCACCTCACCCTCCTCATGAAATCCTTCCAATCCCTCTTCCCACCCCTCTCACCCCAAACACTCACCCTCAGCTCCGCCCGACGCGTCGTTCTCGTCCAATACGACCCCGACCACGACACAGTCGATGTCCGACACTACCTCATCACCGTCAAACCCTACGGCGTCTCCAGACGCGTGCGCAAGGTTCTTGAAGGTAAACCCGCGAAATCTAAGTCTACGAAAAGCGCCCTAGACCTCAGCCGCGAACAAGACGTAGCCGATTTCCTCCTCCGCCGTCGCGGCGATCCCGGTCCTCCAGGTTCCGAAGGAGGCGCCGACGGTTACGAATCTGCTGTATCCAGCGCATCCAGTGCTGCAGGTGACGACGACGCTGACGCCGTCTCACTTGCAGACGACTACGTTGGGAGGAACAATAAACGAGGTACGCGCCGAGCCGTACGACTAGACGAGATCGGTCCAAGGATGGAACTTCAACTCGTTAAGATTACAGAAGGTATCCCGGGTAAGGAGGGTGCGGTCATGTATCATAAATTCGGTGTGTTCCATTTCCATTCATCCATTTCACTTCTTTTTATTGATTACATTGTGTTCTCTGTGTGCCTGTTACTGATCGGCACCTCCCAAATCCCACCCTACTCAACCCACCCATCTGAACTCAATTCAGTGAAAAAATCGAAAGCAGAGACGGCAGCACAGAAGAAATCACACGCCGAAAAGGAGAGGCTTCGAAAGCAGAGGCGAGAAGAACAGGAGAGAAACGTCGCGCGGAAAAAGGCAGCTGAAGGAAAGAAGGGAGAGGGAGATGAGGACGCTAGCGAGGAGGAAGACGAGGAAGGCGGGGAAGACGGGAATGCTGAGGAATACGGAGAAGATGAAGACGGTGGGGAATGGGATGATGAGGAAGAGATCAGCGAGGGTGAAGAACATGAAGACGATCAGGGCGAGAGTGAGAGCGATGAAGACGAGCCGGTCGAACGTCCCAGGAAACGAGAGAGGAGGAAGGAGCGGTGATCTTGCTTCATAGATTCTTTTGTACATCTACTACAGAGGTATAATGTAATAGCTAAAAGCTGAAAATAAACAGCCGCGAGGTTTCGCAAGTTACGAGAGGTCGTAATCTAGTCCATAACATCTCTCATGTTCCAATCTACCGCGTCTGGCCTGGGCCGTTCGGCGCCGCACTCGACCAAGGCATCGGACCAACCCACCGTTCCCAGAATCGCGTCGCACGCATCTTCACAGTTCCCCAATCGTCCAAAGCAGGTCGTACGTCAAGGTAAAACGCAAGGTTCCCAGCAAGAGGCGACTTGCCCGTATAAAAATCAATCACATAGCGTACACGTGTGCCGCATCGGTCGACGACCCAGTCGTGTCTGTCAAATGGTGCTTGGTACCTGCACGGCAAAACAAGTGAAAAGACAGAATTAATCAAAATGAGATGAAGATGTAAAATAATAACAGATAAGATACTTACCCTAAGAGCGTCTTCATCCACGCCCTAGGCGTCCTATCCTTCGGCCTCCCTTTAAAACTCACAAGCCTCACACCCCCACACCTCTCCCCTCCCCAACCCCTTTCCCATCCAAGCACCTCTCCCCACGCACGCTCATTCACAGCATTATGAATCGGCACGATAACACCCATATCTTCTGCACGCGGCGTATGGTTCTTTCGTGCCATCGCAGCGAAGAACTGCGCTTCGGAGGGGTACACCCAGTTCGCGCCTTGTTCGTCTGCGCGCGGGATGGTGGAGACTTCGCGTGAGGTCGGTAGAGAGGTAGTGCCAGTGATGGCTGCTGGGGTACCATTTTTGTTTGAGCCTGAAGAGGAAGAGGGAGAAGGAGAAGCCGGGAAAAATCTAGCCCATGTCGAACGTGTGTTGTGGTCAACGGGACATGAGTCCGTATCTGACGAGTGCACGAGCGAAGAATGGTCGACTGGGCATTTATCAGTGTTTGATTTTAGCGACTCTGACGATGGTTTAGCATTTGAGGACGATGAAGAGTGGTCGACTGGACACTGAGCCATGAGCAAAAATGGTGACGTATACAAGTCTGAATAAGTCCTGCCTGCTCGGATCAGAAACCGGCTGCTTCCGGCATCAGTTGTCCGCTGGGTCTATTAATGCTACCTATTTCAGTAATTATAACCCACGCATTCCCGCGACACGTAATTCCCTCAGACCTGAGCCGAGGCCTCCCAAATTAGACAAGGCTGTGATGCAAATCAGGGATTCTGATTCGCGCTGTCAATCTTTTTTTGTTGTTTGATTCGCGGCAGTTCGACCCTCTTCACAGAGTGTCCATGGTAACATGATAAGGGTATTTCCCCTCAAAGCCAAGCGTCTTTGCAAAGCAAAACAACATGGAGAAGAGACAAAATATATTTTAGCAGAGCCGAATGTGAATGTCCGTAAATATCAGTGATCAGAGGCGACGATAGCTTGACCTTCGTAACAACCAAACGAAACAAGTATGATACCAACAAGGTCAGAACTACTACCTTACAGCCACGTCAGATTAAAGCTGGAACACATCAATAAATGCAGGAGACCGAGAAGGAAACGAATGTACGACAATGCCGAGGCTTGTCTAAATGGATGAGGTCCACAGAATTTGGTATGTAAAGGAACAGATGTTCCAAAGCGTGTTCGTAATGAGCCAATAAAATTATTCGAGAGATGTAGCAAGCCATGACGAGACTTTAAGCGTCGACTGTTGGGCGGAAATCCATATCAATGACTAATCTTGTATAGGATGATAGACAACCCGTTACTCACCGACGCAAACACCGCCCAAGCAGGATGCGTTCGGAATCTTTGAGCAGTCAGTGCCCTGACCGAGAGAAGCGCATCCACCGCAGGAAGTCAAGTCAGACGTCGTGTCAACACTAAAGGCAACTATTAGCTCGAGTACCATAACAAGCAGATCTCATAACTTACCATTCAGAATCACCAGTGAGAACGCCGTGCGAGGCAACCGGGCACGTCGTCAAACCAGTCGGGCAGAACGACGCATCCCATTGGTCCTCACGGTTGCGCTTGACCTTGTAGCCGCCATTGCCTCCAGACTTGGGTTTCTTAGATGGAGTAGGGGGAGCAGGATGCGTGGGCTGGTGCGGCGAGCAGCATTGAAGACCAGGGAGCCAGGACCAACCGCTCTTGCAAGTCGGGCTCGCGGGCTTAGTCGGTTTGTGACGCGGTACACAGCAGCCTTGACTATGGTCGAAGTACCAAGCTATAACACAGCAAAAGATAGTCGTTAGAAGAGTTTACAAGTGTTTGTAAATCTCACTCACATGATGGGCAGTCGACACCCTTGGGTGGCGTCGGAGCTTTGGAAGGACCACCATGCGGGAGACAGCAGCTACGGGTAGGGTAGTAGAACTCATTCTCTCCACAGCTACTGGAGCCCGAGCCCTTGCTGCCACCGCCGCTGCCGTAACCACTGCCAGAGCCTTTGCTACTGCCAGAACCATAACCGCTACCGGAGCCATAACTGCCTCCGGAGCCGTAACCTCCTTCACCGCCGCCACCGCGGGCTAAAAGGGGGCTTGTCTTAGTTGGGGCTGGCGTAGCTTCGACTATGCCAGCTACGAGAGCGGCAGCCAAGAGGACCGTCGAGAACAACCGCATTTTTCAGAGTCGGAGATCAGGGAAATGTGAAGGACGCGTGAGCTGGGTGAGTGAAGCGGGTGCTTGAGGGTATAGAAAGCCGAGCAAGGGCGAGACTTATAAAACGAATGGAGGGTAAGGAGAGGACGCTCCCGCGATACGGTCGAACACAGACTCTAGATGAGGGTTGAGGAAGATAAAAGGGGATGAGCGCTGTGGCGCGATATTATATTCTATCCGTGGGAAACGAGCGCCTTTTTCCGCCTCGCTTATACTTACGATACGCGTTTTTTGGGCGGCGTTCTGGAAGCACGGCTTCCACTGACCGAAAGGGAACCTATAATTCATCGTCTAGAAGAGCCATATCCGCTTCTTCTTTGTCCACCTTTTGAATGAGAGTAACTTTGGAATTCTTGGCTGGTATCCCGCGCAGTGTATTTTCTGAGCTTATGAAATACTTAGTTGCTTCTTGCGGAATCGAAGGAACAATCATACGGGGTATACCAGAAAGGAGGAATACCGGACGCCGCTTAATTATCTGAGAGATTTTCATGCACCACCGTGCCGACATTCTCTCTCAGGTCGGTGGAATCTTCCGATCCGATGGACCCTGACGCTGGCGTAGAAGATCATGTCAACAGCGTGACCACCTCTGGGACGCAGCGTTGTTAAGCCGCCCACACCGGAGGCACGGGAAAGTAGCGTGTCGCAAGGTCACTGAAACCGGAAGGGAAGCTCAGACGTGCCCCAAATGTGCCCCAAATGCAACGTATCCTCTCTTTCTCCATTATTTTTCTCGGGAGAGTCTATTCGTAAGCAATTGAAGAGTACAGCTTGCTCCTGATAGATAAAAACCGACCACGGCCGCGACGCATCTCATCTGATTTTCAGCTGCAACGTCCATTCGTTCCTTGGAGATGCGATCAACATCAAGGACATGCAAAGATGTTAGTATTAAAATACTTTACCTACGCTCGATTAAAGTGCGATTCTTAAAATATCAAACCAAGTTAGATCCAAAGTCTTTTTGATTTGTTATCTGACTTCTGCGGCGAAGGTAGGCCATGAAGATATAACCAAGGAGCAAGACCAGCAGAGAAGAATTCCCAAGATCTTCGGTTTAGCCTCTTTCAGAGTGGTCTCTGTTCACGGCACGGACTTGCTACCGCTTTCACCTCACTCTTATGCCAGTATGGTAAGCCGACGAACGATGACATCAAGCACATCGACTTCTTTTCTCAATAAGCTCTAGTTGCACGGAAATAAAAGTCATCGTTGATGATCAGCGTCGCGTGTTGTGGGGACCGAAATGCAAGTCTCATTATTGTCGACAAGTTCGTCACAGCGTTGGTTCACCGGGATTGCCTTTTCACTAAAAATGAGCAATGGAGGCTGTCCACTTTTGCACGACGCGTGTTCCATGACAACGCTCCCTCGGCTCAGTTGACTATTGAGAACTCCCCCAATGTGGATTTACGCCGTCACATCAGGTGCGACGAGATGCGTGACAAAATCTGCTCCGAACAGTCCACAAAATAGATTTACAAGCTGCAAGACACGCAAAACGCCGCACCTTGTAGAGTACTTTCTCTTGTGTCCATCGAGCACAAGCAAACCCCGACATTGGAAGCCAATGCGTTTCAGCCACGTGACCACGACGCGTTACATGTGTTTGTCGATCAATCCCCACGCGAGAGTCGACAAGAGCACATGATTCTCCTCGGTCGGCCTTGAACTTGCCCGACGCTGCAGACGGCTCGGTCAGACAGTCTTTCACTCCCACCATCATCTCTGTTTACCTCTCTCATCAACTTGCCTGCAATGCCATCCTCGCCTCAAGTGTTCAGGACTCCGCTCACGGAGCTTTTCAACATCAAGCATCCCGTCATGCTTGCTGGTATGGTCATCGCCACACATTACTTTCTTGGTTTCTTTTGACCGGGTCCTGTGGTATTTCAATAGGTATGAACGTTGCAGCAGGACCGAAGCTTGCAGCCGCTGTCACAAATGCAGGTGAATACTGAATTGCGCTTAACTGAGTGGACACCTCGCTTACGAATGCGGTGCAGGCGGAATTGGTGTAATCGGCGGACTGGGCCAAACGCCAAAAAATCTGCAACGCAGTATTGATGAAATTAAGGAGCACCTTGAGGACAAGAATGCACCGTTTGGCGTTGACCTTCTCATCCCGCAAGTAGGCGGAAACGCTCGGAAGACGAACGTACGTCGCAACTCAATTTCTATTTTCGTGTCACTTACTCATTTCGGCTACTTACAGTATGACTACACCAAAGGTCAACTACCAGAGCTGACGGATGTGCTTATTGCGAACAAGATTGCAGTGTTTGTTTGTGCCGTTGGTGTTCCGCCAAAAGAGATGGTCGATAAACTTCACTCTGCAAAGATTCCTGTCATGAAGTATGTTCAACATTAGCTTTCTTCTCTGTCACCACCTGACGTCGTGTTTCCAGCATGGTTGGACACCCAAAGGTATTGGAACAGCTCTAACGTAAAAGATTTCACTGACCGCTTTCTTAACTAGCATGTCAAGAAAGCGCTTGAACAAGGTTTTTCATTTCAGATATGTATTTTGATTTGATGAAAGGCAATCTGACTTTAATTTGAAATTAGGTGTTGATATCATTTGCGCACAAGGAGGCGAGGTAATTATACTTCACCACGGCTTATGCATAACCACCCCATTGATGGTTTGCTTAGGGAGGAGGACACACCGGAGACACACCATTCACTGTATTGATCCCAGCCTGCGTGGATATTTGCAAGGATTATAAGAGTCCACTGACTGGTAAACCGGTGCTTGTCGTTGCTGCTGGTGGTATTGCGGATGGACGTGGGCTCGCTGCTTCACTTGCGTGAGTGACATCCATTATAATGTATTTCAGCAACCTCGGTAAATTTACTTCCTTCCAGCTATGGAGCTACTGGTGTATGGGTTGGCACTCGATTTGTTGCGAGCGTCGAAGCTGGTGCACCAAAGATCCACAAGGACCTCATTGTTTCTGCTGGCCATGATGACTTTGCCAGGACACTTATTTACAGCGGTCGTCCATTGCAAGTCCGCAAGACTGACTACGTTGCAGACTGGTAAGCACAACTGCTCCAATCATTTTGTTGCAGTTTTCCCCAGTTAAGCTGATCCGCGTGTATAGGGAGAACAATCGTCAAGCAGAAATCAAAGAATTTACATCGCAGGGGAAGATTCCTCACGAGGAAGAATTAGAGAAGCATCCAGAGAAGTCTCTTCCTGGGAGAGCATGTTCGTGGATCATCTTCTTGTTGATGTAACTTAATACTGATGCTTTGATGCATGACAGGGTTGATGGGCAAAGTAGCTGGAAATATTCACGTAAGTTCATTCATTCGGCAACTTTAATATGCCAATCATTCTAACACCTACTGCAGGATATTAAACCTGCAAAAGAGATGTGAGTTAACTCACGTACAAGTTTGTCGCTCGCCTAACATTATTTCCTCAGTGTGGACGAGATGATAACGACCGCAGCAAAACAGATCAAGCAGTCCTCATCATATCTAATCCCGCAAACGAAGCTCTGAAGTCATCATTCGTGGATAATCACTAATCTTGCTATCAACTATGTATGCTTTGGGTTTTGATGATACATCAGATCAATACATTTTATTTTAGCTTCGCGCTGGAGAATGTTATTTTGGTGTGATATTGCACGCCCGCTCGGAGTCGGAATATTTTCAGTCATCATCGCTCATCAGCTCTGCAAGCTCAGCTTCTTCCTCAGCTGTAAGCTGATTTTCTGGAGCAGGTTTTAGCTGTTCTTTCTCCTTTGGTTTCGGTAGCTCTTTAGGTGGAGAAATGAGATCTGGAATTTTGTTAGCATCTCATCCACAGTCGGTAAGGAAGTAAAAGGAAGTCTCCTACCTGCCAATCTCCATCTTCGCAGGGTCTGGTCTAGGCTGGAGCTGACGATCCACGGCTCAACAGTCACTTTCCCATCCTCAGAAGTTCTTCGACGGATCCAGAGACGCAAAGCGATAACGTCAAGCCAGTGCGCGTCCGTCGTGCTCAGAAGTTCAGGTGTTCCTGGTTCGTTAACATCGTACAGACGTATTACGTCGCCCGCAGCTGTCAGTAGGAGTGGCTCTCCAAGGGGTGTGAGTGAAAGCGGGAGTACTGCCTTCACAGCAGTGGGATGCGTTATCGCAGGCACAGGCTTGCTTGATGGTGGTGGTTGTGAAATGGAAGAGGTGGTAGTAGAAGGTCGATTCGTAAGAAGTACGGTGTCATCGGACGAGGCTGGTAATCAGAACGATTTCGGTCGTGAGCATCAGAAATTCTTCCCTACAGGCTCCACACAAATCAAGAGAGTAGATTCAACGCACCAGTCCATAATTGACCTCGTCCGAACCACATATCGTTCACACCCGTTCGGTGAATACACAATTCCTCCTTCTCGGTCGCACGACAGTTTGGTGTTTCGCCGTACGTCCGATCCAGATCCCAGACTTTGATAATGCCCATGGTGTCTGCTGTATATAACGTGGCAGAAGTTGTGGACCGGACGTCGATGGCGACGCATTGTACAGGTCGAGTGTGTGCAGAGGTGATTCCGATGACTTTTAGTGGTTCTTGATTGCGAACGTTGCTTAAGTCCCTGTTTCAGCAGCATTAGATGGAATGAAAAAAGAAAAACTCCGTTCCTGTTCGCCCTACCACAATCTCACAACTTTGTCGGATCCGCTTGTAATCAATATCTTTAGTTCCGGTACGGCATTGACGAGTTTGACGAAATCCGAGTGTGCTTCTGTGGACGATATAACAGATTTATCCTGAAAAGGTATTAGAAGTTTCGGCGAATACACTAAAATCATGATACACACTTGCGTGTCCCAGATTTTGACCGTCTGTACATCTAAGATCAGAACAGGTCATCACGTTGACGGAAAGACCTGACCTTATCCCAAGAGCCAGACACAAGTAAAGGAGCTGCGCTCGCATCGCCGGAGTCATTGAATAGAGTAATCGTTGTTACAGGGGCTGTATGTCCCTTGTACACTTGCCGAGTTACACCTGACTGTCATTAGCATCAGGAGAAATCGAGCTTGATATGCCACGACATGGTCCCACCTCAAGATCTATCCGTCTTATGACAGCGTCGCTCTGTGCAATCCATACATCGTTGCCTGTGACTAGCACGTCCAGAGGTTTTGCTGGAAGATCGAGAGGTTCACCCAAGTGTTTCGTGCGTTCTGCCTTCTGCTTGCGTGCCTTGTTAACGAGTCAGATATCAGCCATTAAATATACGAAATTATCTGGGTTCCTACCTCTTCAGCGACGAGATTCGTCTCTGTCCTGAAGAAATGGTCGCCAGTGCTCATCGCGGTCAAAGACGAAGTTTCACGCGTCATTGCACGTGAGCGCATTCACTCTCCTTTACGATCGACGCTCTTTTTCTCTTCACGAACTCTAGTTGGTGATCCGTCAACTACAAATTACTTGTCCACATGAGCAAACGACTCGCCTCCTTCAATGGACCTTCGACACCTACCTCGTCACCAGTCCAGGTGCGGCAGCAGACGAGTGTTCCCAACTCTCCATCCCGAAGCACAGAAACTACATTCCACCGCAAGGTGCGCACGTTGCTCCAGGAAATCCGTACGATAACGCGCACCTGGGATGACCTTGTGAAGATCGATGGCCTCAAAGCAGCCACGCTGTTGACTGATACACGAACAGACCTCGAGTATGTACGAGTTCCCCGTTCATTAAACCTTCCACTGCTGAACTCTAGATAGCAATGCTTTACGACTTCTCCCAAAAGATGCCCTACCACGTTCGCGTTTGGTTGGTCCAAGACTTGAGATTATGGATAAATGTATTAGTGATTTGGATACGGTTATCACAAAGCTGGTAAGTTCAATTGTTACCGGAACAACAACAATACTGACAGCCAAGTATAAATTAGAGAAAGCAATTCTCAAAATTGAATACTGCAGTAGATAACCTTGAGGAGATCTTATTTGAGGCACACAAAGTAAAGGGCTGGGCATGGGTCCATTCTGAGTCTCTTTGGTGTACTTGGACATTAGAAATGTTTGGTACGGTCTAAGGCCATCGCATTCTTTAAAAACAAAACTGACATGAGGCTTAAGCTACCAAAATACCCAGCCTTGTCCCGCCTTACCATCGCTCGTTGCAAATGCACGTCGAAATTGTCGATGCACTACGAAGTCATTCTATCCCATTCGAAGAATCACGACAATTACTCACGAAATGGGTCTCTCAGCCATTTCTTGAAGCGGACGAATGGGTTGCTGAATGGGAGGATTTATGTGCCGCTGAAGTGGACAAATGGTATTCTAGATGAACACCCTGACAAATACAGGACAAATAAGACGAAGGAAACGACTCCGATTACAAGGTGCACATTAATATGTAAGTTATAGGTCCTCGTCGTCAGATATTCGAATCTCATCTTCGTTTTGCTGTTGTGCCTGCACGTCCTCCCCATCCGCGCCCGCATTTTCCGTCGGTACAGCCGTCTTTGCAGCCGCCACGAAAGTAGTACCCTTTCCTCCAGTCGCCTGCTTCTCTGCCTGCGCCATCGGATCGGCTGCCTCCTCTGCCTCTGCAGCGAGATCTGCCGTGCCCTTGCGCGCAGCTATCGTCTGTGCAGCAAGGAAAGACGCCTCGGTATTGAACTGAGCCTGCACACTACGTTTTATGCGCAACATTTCCCGGAAGGTGTCCTCCGAACCCGTGTCAATCTCAAAGTTGTACCATTCTGTCCAGAACTCAGGGAGAACACGTGGGTCGCAGAATTGCGACGCATGAGCGTAAATTGCACGTGCGCGGTCGATTTCACCGAGTTTGCGCTCGAGTTGGGCGAAACGGAGACACATTTGTGCTGTTTGTTTGTCTGGAAGCACCTCAAGAGCGCGTTCGTAGATTGGACGGGTTGCGGGAAGACCGAAGTTCGCGGATGCTTTGGCGATGTAGATAGTAAACATCTGCGAGCGGTGTTTTAGCACTTGTAATAGATGGTTACATAAATCCGAAATTACCTCGAACTTGTCTTCGTCGGTGACGGCTTGCGTAGCACGTTCGTAGATATTCATTGCCCGTTTAGCCAAGCCATGCTCTTCTTCCAACTTGCCGTACATAAAATACAATGCCTTGCAGAACTTAGGAGGGCATTGCTCCAAAGCTTGCTCAAACAAGTCGCGAGCACGCTCAATCTTCGACCCACCCTGAATAAAACTGCATATTAAAACCTTGCACCATAGAATAGAGCTTTTCACGTACGTATCGCTTGACGAATTTTGACAAATAAATGTTCCAAATTTCAAAAGCGACAGGGAAAGTGAATAGCTCAACTCCGCGTTCGTAGACCTTGAAACTCTCCTCGTAGTATTTGTTCTCTTCAAGGAAAGCTGCATAGTTAATAATGATCTGAGCGTTGGCAATGCGCAATTCAAGGATTTTGTCGTAGGCGGCTTTGGTAGTGTCAACAGTGCCTATTGATTCTTCCAAATCAACGTAGAACGACCAAAGCTTCAAGGATTTGAACAGTCGAGCCTGGACGGGTAGGGACTAAAGTGGAAGAGAATTTAGCAACTGCGAAACTGCGACCAATTAAATCCACGTACATGATCATGATAGCTAATCTTTGGGTTTTTTGGAATTACCGCCGCACGCTGCATAACACGGATGGCTTCATCATAGTTGTCATGTCGAAGTTCCATTTCCGCCCATTCACACCAGACCTCTGCGAGGTCTTCGACAGTCCTAAAGTTAACTTTTGTGGCCTTTTCCAGGATTTTGCGGGCGCTGTCGAGATCCCTCTCAGCTTCGCCTGTTGTCCCACCTTCCTCATAAAACTTGGCGAAATTGATGAACAGACGGTGCAGGTTGGCGGTAGCCTTTTTGGGATGGATAGTTGAGAGAGCCGTGGTATACATCTCGGCAACCTAGACAGAGAAACTGGAATCAATATGCGGCATAGTGAAGGGAGCGAATTAAGCTGACCTTCTCGTCATCATTTCCCCATAATGCTATACGCTTCTCCCATTCCTGCACATCGTTGGGATTCCGCCTCAATAGCACATCGTTGACGAGGAATGGCCTACGATCCATGAGCTCCTCGAACGCCTTCATTCGTTCATCCAGTTCCTTCTCAGTCTCTTTCGTATCATCTTCGTCATCTTCGTCGGGGTCAGCAAGCGCTTCCATGAGCGCACTGACGAGCGACTCCGAGAATTCAGCATACGCATCGAAAATTTGCGTGAAATCGCGAATAGTCAGAGCGGCAGCCATGCCAGCTTCAAAAGTGGTTTTTGCGCGGTCAAACTCGCCCCGTTTGATCCAATATGTTGCAAGGCCTGTCCAGAGACGACCTGCCTGGTCCTTATAAACCTCCAATCCATCTGTACGAATTATCCGCTCTACATCGAGCCTTCGTGACGACGTCGGATCCTCATCCTCATCGTAAGGGCGCAATTCTTTACCGTCCTTCCCTACGGCAACAGGAGGACCAGCAAATCGTATAAGGCGCCCGTCCACAGATGCTGGTTCCTGACTGGCTTTCTCTGCCTCAGCGGCTTCAGCAGCGGCTTTCTCTTTATCCTTCTCATTCGTCACAGTTTGTTCAACGCTAACACCCACTTCCTCGGGATATTGCTCGATCACATCCAACCACTCTCCTAGTAGCTGATAGGGACTCTTTCCTTCAGGACTGGTATACTCGCCCGTCGCGGCTTTCCGGGCTAACGCAAGGAGCAGCTTGGCGGCCTCTAGAGGCCTCGGCGAGGGATTTGAAGGCGAAAGGAGAATTGAAACATAGCGCTCAGTTACGCTGGGATCCACGGCCAGGTACCGGCGATACACAGCAACACATGTTAAGCCGCCATTAGCTTCAGCCCAGAGAAGATACCGCACCCAGATTCGGTGATGCAAAGAAGGAGGTAGGGTTCGCAATGCCCGATCATACGTATGTCGTGCATGGCTGTGAGAAAACGCTGCTGGACACATAGGATGCGAGAATATTGAGAGGTACAGTAGCCACAATCGGGGCAGCTAGATGCATCAATGTCAGCATCCGTCGGACCACAACAGAGTTAATAAAACGTACGTTTGGTAGCCACATAAGAGCTCTTTCGAAGGTCGCAACCAACGACTTCCACTCCTCATAACCCACAACACCATCCAAGCCTCCTTCCCATTGCTCAAGGTCTTCTTTTTCATCCTCCAAGGCTTCCTTCATCTCCGGAAGTTTCTTCTTACCACCAGCTCGTTTCTTTTGTACAAATTTTCCCAATACATAGGACATGCGGAGATGGAGATATGATTTCCATAGTTTGAAAGAACCAGGGAATTGCACTAGAGCAGCTTCATAAAGGTATGTTAACCGTTGGAAACTAAGGCGAGCTTCAGGAGTCGCCAGTGGGCCAAGAAGCGCGGCAACATCGGGTTCAATATCAGATGTCGGCGCAGCCTTTTGCAAAGCTGAGCAAGTCTCCTTTGTTGCTTGGATTGCTGCCCACCAATGACGAAACGAAGAAGGATTGCGTAGAAGGTCTTCCTCCCTTGTCAGGTCGCCAGGCGAAAGGAGTTCAGGATGAGAGAGCGGAGTAGGTACGGGCTGCGTAAGCGTGACATTGGCCTTGAGATTGTCTAAAGTTGGTTTTAGGAGAGCGACCGAAGGCATAGTCGTCGTTGAGCTTGCACAACACAGACAGTTAGCTTCTCGCGCGAGGATCAAGAGTGACACGTATTATGTAATCCAATTGTTGGTCATCTCATGCGAGCAAAGGCTCCAAAAGCGTACTACTGTTTCTTGTTAACTCATTTGTTGGACACTGTACAGAGGTCAACTATAAAGACAATGGTAAGAGTCAACTTGTAGAGGCACTTGGAATCGAACCAAATTCTTGAATAGCACGGAGTGAAACGGACTCGTTATTCTGCCGAGGCTCTGGAAGCACGTAGACTGAAGGAACACTCGAAGCTCGAAGCGTATCTCAAGCTCGACGACGATGTTCTTGCTAAGGTATACTATCTTCTAACATGTATGCTTGGCAATGATTGAGCTTGACTGTTCTTGCAGAAGAAGGCCAAGGACTGGACTCTCGATGCGTTAAATCTGACGACGAGACTGCTGACCACGAATCCCGAGTTATACACAGTTTGGAATTACCGTCGCGACATATTCACGAATGGTGTGTTCGTTGACCCGCAGTGGCAAGCATACCTCTAACAGTGAGACGTGCTGAATGACTGAATAAACTACACAACATAGTACACCGAGCGATATCCGCGATATATTAATCACGGATCTCGAACTAGTAACGTCCTTCTTGCGGCAATATCCCAAGGTATATTGGATTTGGAATCACCGACGCTGGTGCCTTGAACACATTCCTGATGGTCCAGCTGAGGATTCGCTAGGATGGAAAAAGACAAGCTGGGCGATGGAATTACGCGCAGTGGAGAAGATGCTGGATGTCGATGCTCGAAACTGTATGATCAGCTTTATATCTTGGTTTTAATCAGTATCTTTCTAATATACACTTTTGATAGTCCATGCTTGGGCTTATCGTAGATATGTACTCGCGTCCATGCCGGTGAAGAGGTCCGAATCCGCAGAGCTCGCATACACAAAGCAAAAGATCGAAGCCAACTTCTCGAACTTCAGCGCGTGGCACCAGAGATCCAAGGTATTCACTTCCATGTGGGAACAGGGACTTCTAGATGAAGCGAAAAGCAAGGAAGAGGGTTTGTTGACGTTAAACCGTGCCCATTTGTCTTACTGATTGTTCTCTAAACATCAGAATTTGAGTTGGTCAAACAGGCGTTATATGTTGACCCGTATGATCAGAGCTCATGGATTTATCATCGATGGCTTATCGGAGACGGTCAGCAATTTCCTATTTACTTTCGTACCTGCATATTCACAAAACTCCCATAGGTAGTAATGAGACACTGCTACAGCGCGAGATAGGAGTGATTGAAGAGCTCTCAGAGGTCGAACCAGACTGCAAATGTACGTGATCCAGCAAGGCGGTTCGTAGATGGTTCAGAATATTTATGACGTTTTCAGGGTGTCTAGAGATGCTGGTCCATTATAAGAAACTACGCTTGGAGAAGTACCTTAGTCATAAGCCTGGAATCGAAACGGAACGGGATAGAGTGCGAAGCGAATGTTTGTCAATGCTATCGAAGCTAGAGAAGATAGACTCATACAGGGCGAAACGATATCAGGAAATCAGTGAGTGCGATGATCGCAAGCGGAAAGCTTAACGTGTTCTAATGCCTCCTAATGTATAGGCGAGAACCTGCGTAATGCATGATGAGGGGCGAGAAGCGCCAGCTTTGCTTGTACTTAATATCTCTCACACGGGATCAAACATATATAAGGCACAATGGACACATGCTTAATTCAATTTCCCATATTTGTTGTACATCAATCAATTAATGTCCTACCCATACTCCTACAAGCTTCCCAGACATGATTTAGCAGATTGATACGGATCGGCCACGGAGCAGAACTGCCGTTTACTTCTTGCATCCGCAAGCTCCCTCTGCACACTGGCATCTGGACAGACAGAGACACATCAACGACCTGGGGCGTCTAAGTTATAGGAATGGGATAACTTACTCTTGACCGCAACCGCAGTCCTTGTTACCACAGTGGTAGTTAACAGGCGTGTTGACGTTCTGTTGTGTGAAGGAATGTCAGTCCAAGTGTAAAGGAGCCCGAAAGAGGGGGGTTGAAGACGCACAGAAATCATGGTTACTATTAACTTGCGATAGAAGGGTTTGCTGATATGAGTGGGTTGATCTGGGGAAGAGGGCCGGAGCCACGATGAGCTTATATGCATTCTATCATGGGAACACGTGACATCATCTCGCGGCGATTCGGATCGGGATGGCTTTCAGCTTCTCTCAAATCTCCTCCTTTCGCCTGTCCATTCTGTCAAGGGATCCAATCGGGTCTGATGCTAGTGAAAGTTCTTGTTTCCTTCGTCACTATCGTCTTACAAATCACTATTGTCGAGGTCCGTTGCTCCCACAAATGCGCACTTTTCCAAACACTTGCGGTATTTCTTGAACACTCCGATAAAGCCGCCTCCATGTACACCAATATGACAAGATCAGGCTTGTGCAGATATGTCCTTGGCTTATCAGTTTATCTAGGCAGCTCGTGATGCATAACTTGAAATTGCTGCTATCTTTGGGTCGTTTCACTTTGCCGCCTTATTACGCGCGCTAATCTATATTAACACAGAGATCTTGGTGACCTCCATCCCGGATATGTCCTTATACTGATGGAGTTTGCTTGTCTGAACTTACTTCTTATTCAAATGAGGAGAAAGTTGGCGTTGTTGACAACTTTAAGAGATCTCATGCCGAGCAGCAAACGTGCCTAAAACTATTTACTGCATCATGATCTTGCCGTACTGTCCATTCAGTCCCACCGCCAACCTTTGAAATGCCTCATGATCATCAGAGTAGGCGGGAGCATGTGGACACCAGCGGAGGTGGGTTTCTACGGCATTATGGGGCATCCTTCACACTGATTGCATTTGTTCTGCGTTTGAATTGTTCAGGCTATATAGCTTATTGAATGTCTACGGACTTCGACTTCTGCGGCGGATAGAAACGGCTATTGTGCCCGTTATACGGCATGTAAGTTACATGCAGATGGCACACCTTTCAGATCATCATCAGGACAGAAGAAGTTTAGACCACGATGTTTCGAAAGCTGCTAGAGTTCTGAGTCGAGCTATCTTCCTCATGCTGCTCCCCGGTCAGTCGAACCAGGTGGAGTCGAGCCCGGCTGTTGGACTGACCGCTGGATCCAGCGACTACTCGCGGCGGAAGAATCGCAAGCAAGCATCTTATCCGATTGGAACTTCGCTATACAACTTGACCAAGGACTCCAATTCAAGGGCGTGATAGAAGACCATGGTATCTACTTGACAGATCGTCGATGTCCCGGAATAACCAAACGACTTAAACTTTCAAGCCAAGCACGACAGAGCATGTGACCCTGTAGCGGGACATTTCTTGCGTAAGATGACTCTCACTTCGTGCTTTTCGGTTGGCTGTAAGTTTAGACTTCCTGTATCCCGACTGGAAGGCATATAAGTCGATTATCCGCGGCAATAAACTCGTACAAGGTTCACAGAGAAGTGGAATGACCCGTAGGTGAGTGCCGTGAGAAAAATAGGTCCGCTTCAACATGAGTTAACCGGAGAAGCAGGCTTTTGGACTGGGAAGGGCTGTTGGACACACATTCCTCCTCAGGAACCAATACATTTCACGAGTACCGCTGCCTCCTATCCCGCGAAGAGCGTCAGGTTCTAGTAAAGCGGGGATTGTGACTCGGCGCCCTATACCTGGTCTATTTGACTAGTAGACCAATGTCTAGTATCAATTTTCTTAAGTAGTATGTTATTCAGTCTCGCCTGAACAATGTTCACTTGTTCACTTTTCATTAGCATCCGCCTACATTCCGAAAATACTCTCACTCCACAACCGTTCTACACACAAAAAAGCATCCCTTTCCAATCTTTGAATTCGCTATTCTCATTCAGCACCCGTATTCTTCGTGTCTCCTGCCGTGTATTTACGGGAACGAGGTAAGCTCCACAGACTTGCAGCATTTGGAAGGCTGAGACTCACCTGCAGGCACATCTAGATACGGCCACTTCTGCGGGAGCTTATCTTGGGGTCAACAGCTTCTGCGATGTCTCTTCTCGGCTTTGTGCTAAATACGGAATGATACTTGATCTCTGGAGTGGGTGCTAACCTGCTTTTGCGGCCTGTCGTCTGGAATCTTCAAGAACGGCTTTGAATTCACTGGTAACTCCTCAGGATCAGCCTCAGGATTCTAGTCATCTTGTGTTTGGCTAGAGCTTGGAAAGGGTACGATCTATATTTGGGTTGCTGTCGGATTTGGACAGCTTCTGCGAGCTACATTACTCAGACACCGAAATGAAATACCGCTCTACGATGCTCTATTACGTTTTATCTGTCCACCTCTTGCGGTTCTCCTGACATTCTGGTGCATTTCCAGGATACAAACCGCGTCGAGAGAGCGGTTGGGGTAACCAGTGGGGAAATCCTGTCAAGGAATGCCGATTATATCTGTGTCGTACGTTCACGATGTCACAATGCAGCAAATGCGTGTTACTCCTTTAACACCATTTCGGCGAGCGGAATAAATGCATACCCCTCTTTTTGGTTTTTCACAGATGCATGGCCTTCGCCGGCAAGCTTTGGCGATGCAAACGTAGACGGTTCAAATCATCCGTTCTTGTCGACAGATGTAAATCACGATGGGACGGGCATGCACTGCCGGTAGATGCTCCCGTTGGTCCGCTGGGACACGGGTTTTTAATTACAACAATTTCTTTTCGTTGTCAGCACTTTCTGGGCCTATTCGGATTGCTCATTTTGGTTATGCGAAAACACACGCACTTCAGATGCATGCGTCAGGGAAGCGAAACGGCCTGGACCACTGCGGCAGAGTAGATGGTGTGAAGCCATGACGCATGTCTTTTAGTTCGGTAGGTCAAGTCCTCGGCGAGTGGCAAGTTGCCTGGAGTGGGTGATGATGTAGATACTCTAGACGCCCGAAGTTCCAGATTGGAAAGTCGTGCTCCCATCGGGGCAGACTAGGCTTAATAATAGAGTGCTTCTGCTTCACTTCAAATGTTTTCGGACAAGTATCCACTTTGTAATTTTGCGCATGCGATTGCAGGCAATGACAGAAATGACAGAATGGACATTTGGTGTTCAGATTTAGTTATTTGTCGCCACTGCTAATTTGCTTGTAACGGACGCAGAGGATTGCCGAGATGCAAGGCATTATTCTCGTGGAAAGAAAGTTTGAGGAGCAGATCAGACTTTGGCAGCGCGTCCGCCTCATTGCAAAGGCGTGCTCGTCTCACTCTTGATACATACCTCGATCCCGTCAAAACTCCAGCTCATCCATCCCATCCTCATCTCCCCCCGATAACCATCCTCCCTACGCTCGTGCTCCTCTCCATCGTCGACGCGACCGCCATCGATGGATAGGTCCAATTTCAACGTCATGAGTTTATTCTCCGGCCGTCCTGCGACACCTCCCCAGGAGTTGCCGCTGCAGTCTTCGCCCCCGCAGCCCCAACTCTCGCCAACTCATTCCTACCGCGAGCCCCCACCGTCATCTCCACCCAAGACACTTGACTCTCTTTTTCGCAATATAAGCAACAACCAGTCCGCATCGTCGGACACGACGCCTCCAGCGACCGCAAACATGAACAATCCGTTCCGCAACCAGGCGCCCACTCAACCCGCGAATCACTCGGGTCCAGGTACTCCAGTCTCTTCAGTTACCGCAGCTTCTGGTTCGTCGCATGGTTCAGCGAACAATCAGCCGCCTGCGGACCGGCAGAGTGCACTTTTGTCGTTGCTCGGATCGACTGTCGGTTCGAACAATGGAGCAACGGTCAGCGCAACTTCTGGTCCCAGCCAGCCTCTAATTCCTCACCATCCACCCTCTCCACCCATTGATCAGCGTGCGAGGCTTATGCACCCGGGCAGCGAGGCGCAGGGCAAGATTTTGCTGGAGCAACTTATGTCTGGGTAAGTCTCTATTTGTCAATGACGCGCGTCTCTACGCTCTCCTACGTTGCTTTTCAACCATCATCCTCCGCTTTTTATATCTCACATACTGGATTTCTGACCATCACAATAAATTTTTGCTGCACGTTTCATTACGATTAGAAATCTCTCGAGCGTTGGTGATATGAGCCAAGGTCAGGGGAATGCACCATACCCGTCAACTGCGCCTGTGCCTTACCCGCCCCAGCCGTATGGTCCTCATCCAGCGGATGCATACCACAGTCCATACGGCCAAGAGACTCCTCGCGAATTACCACAAGGCCCTCTGCCCCAACCTTTGCCCCAGCAATTCCAACAGCAACCCCAACAACAGCCTCCGTCTCCCAGCAGGAAATCCATGTTCGACTTCGTTTCTCCGTTTGATGCGCTTGCGTCCACAACTTCTTCGTCCGTGAAGAAGAAACCCGTTCCAGACGAGGGTCACGAGCTTGGAGAGCCCTGGACGTCCGCTCCCACTGACCCAAAGCGCAAGTCTATGGAAAATCTCATGGACCAGCTCACAAGAAGTAGCCAGGGGCCATCGGCGCCATCTCAGCATCGACTTGACTCGTACAGTCCGGAGTCGGTAGCCGTTCCGTCTGAGCCGATGCAGTTCCAGCAGAAGCCCTTGTATGCACCGAAGCAGCAACAGCATATGCCAGGATCTCCCCGTGGATCTCCACCTCGGTCTTATGCTCACCAGAGTCAGACTCAGCATCGTTCTCGTGAGTCTCCAAGCGGATCGATGATGCAGAGTCTCGTAGGGAAGGCGAGGACAGAATCTTCACCTGTGCGGAGCAACTGGAAGAGTAACCAGGAGAGCAGACTTCGCGCACCCAAGCATAAGACGTTTATTAACTCTCCGTAAGCAAAAGAAATAGTTTAATCACTGGGATAATGTAGTTCTAACAGTAAATTTAGGATTCAGTCGCAAAACATCGTTTTCGACGTTTCTCAGAATCAAGAGAGCGTGCAAGCATCTCGAGACTATGTCAAGTCCACCGCAATTGCTCTGGTGAAAGTTGATCCGACGTTCCTCCCCGGAACAACCATTGGTGCAACACATTGGGTTGCATATGCGATGACCCGCGGTCGTGTTCGAGTAATCAGCAGGTCAAGCGGTGACCGAACGCTGTTGCAATTGCCATCCGTCTTTGGACCCACCATCTCAGTGACGGACATGGCAGTCTACAACAACAGGCTAGCTGGCGTCACTTCGGATGGCGGGTTCGTGGTCTGGGAACTTCCTGAAGTGATCACAGACGATGTTCCGTATGTAACCTTCATTATCCTATGTTAAAGAAGTTGTTTACGTTGTCATTTAGAGGAAAAGTTCTCGTCTGCATCGTTCCCCACAACGAGTTTGAGCCCTTGCACTCTGTCAAGTGGCATCCAAAGGACCCAGACACTCTAGCTGTTGCCTCGGACTCAAACATCAACTTGCTCAACGTAGCTGATGCTGCTAATGTGTTCCGCGGCCAAACTTTTACTCAGATTGACTTGCCGCGCGTTGCGCAGACCTACAGCGTGTCTTCGGTAAGTGTTGATATTTTTCAACTCAGATTTGCCGTTGACTTTGTGCTTTAGCCTCTTATCTCGTTTGATTTTGATATTCCGCACCAAGCTCTCGCTACGATATCAGAAGACTCTGTCCTAACACTCTGGAATATACCTGATAAACTGCCTTTCTGGTCGCAGAAAATTCCTGGTGAAGGCACGCCGTCTTCACTCACTTTCCTTGATGGTGGTGTGGTCATTGGCAGGAAGAATGGCACTGTCTTCCAGCTCCTCCCAGTCATGGGCGATGTCATTCTTTCCACCGTAAAGTTCGTCAATAATGGTGCCGAGGACTCGGAGATGTTCGGTCACGTTACCTACGATAGCCGCATTCAGACTCTTTGGGTCGCAAATAGCAAGCGTGACAGTCTCATCGCTCTTAAAGTCTGCTTCGAACTGTCGACACCATCACCTGGCGGTGAAGAGCTCATACGTGGCGGATACTTTGAGCAGCTTATTGAGTTCGTTGGGCCGAAGCCAACCCTGAACTTTGTCATTCTCACCGCTGACGCGGATCCTACGGGTGACGAGGCAAACGCAGCTTGCATTGCCGCTAAGCTCCCACCGGGAGAACTTGCACTTGTCGCTTTTTCAGTGCATAGCAGCGGTGTCGATCAAGTATTGATCCGAAAGGAGTGGTACGAAGCCGCGTTCCTTTCCACCACTGCGAAATTCCCACCATTCAACCCAACGATGGTGCCACCACCTGCACCAGCTCAGCAGCCCCGTGTACCTCAGCCTCCCCAAGTTCTCTCGCAGCCAATCCCCTCAGTTCCAATTAGGCTAAGGACGCCACCGTCCGAGGAGATCGAATCGGAGCAAAATAAAGAGGACATACGACCACAAGACGTAAAGGGCAAGGGACCGAAAGGCAAGAATGTCGGATGGAAAGACAGGGAAGAATCTAACGGTGGCAGCAGTGGCAGAGACAAGGGCAAGGAAAAGGAAAAACCGAGCGACAATGGCATTCTCAACGAATCACCTCTTGGAAACGCCCTCTCAAAGGAGATTCGTCGAGTCGAGGAGAATTTGCACACCCGCATCGGCCGTCTTATCGCTAAGGAGCTGGACAAGCAACGTGAGCAATTTTGGATGATTCACCTTTCTGATTTAGCTACTTATTGATGCATCTTTTCAATTAGAACAACGTCTTGAGGAAGCTCGGGCCAATGAACAGGCTGCCGACTTCACCCGCCAAGAGAAGATTCTCAAACTTATTTCCACTGAGTTGACGAAGAACACTACGCGCGTTGTAGAAACTGCAGTCAGGGGCGAGGTACAAAATTCCGTCCTTCCGTCGCTCGAGGATATCACGAGGACAGAGGTCAAGTCTGCTATCAATACTCAGCTTTCAAAGGGTGTTAGTGAATCCGTCCGAGCAGTGAGTGCTAAATAAATTGTCTCCGTACATGGCAGCATACTTACTCTTTTAGTAGACGATGCCTATTGAAATTGAGAAGATGTTCATCAAACCAGAGGTTTCGAACCAGATCGCACGCAATCTGTCCAGCTCCTTGACGCCTGTCATTGAACGTCACGTTAAAGATGTTGTCACGAAGACTTTGCTACCGGCATATCAGGCCCAGACATCTGCCATGCACTCAGACCTTGCACGCGAAATTCATGCTGAGATGTCGTCCCTGAAGAAGGACGTCATCAATTGGCAGAGCGAAGCGTTCCGGAGTCACGAGGTGTGTGTGTTAATTATTGGTTTCTAGTTCTTGAATTAATCGCGACTTCGTAGTCCACGATCCGGGACATGGACCAAGCCATCCGTTCTCTATCTGAGCAGATTAAATTCATGACGATGAATATGTCTTCAATGAGCCATTCAACCTCATTGCCTCCCCACAGCTCTCCCAGTTCGTCGAGCTCTAACTATCTACCTACTGGGCAGTCACCCATGGGCCAGTCGCACCACCGCTCAGCCAACATCCCGCCAATGACTTCCACATCAAACTACCAGCCCTCATTCCAGCAGGCTCCTCCCTCTGCACCCTCGGGTATGCATAGCCAATGGTACGGGCCGAACTTACCTGGACCACCTCACGGTGCACAGCAGGTCGTGCAGCAATTGGCAGCGCAACCTGTCGGACCACCTGCTCCGAAAACGGAGGAATGGGACGACACCTATCTCGCTGTGCTGAGCACGCAGGACCTCAAACAGCTCCGAGAGCTTCTGGCTCGATCCAACCCGGAAATTATTATGCCATCAAGCGGTCCGGGTCCGTTGTCGCAAGCCGTCATCCTCACGCTTGTGCATCGTGTATGTTCAGTTCTCGTCACTGTCAGCACGTCATCTGATTGACTCCGTTTCTAGCTCGCAGCCGCCATCGGAGAGACTTCACCAGTTGAAGAAGCGTTCAAATCTTCCCTCTGGTGGCTGCAGCGTGCATCCAATACTTTGAACACTAACGTAAGCTATTATCTACGCTTTATTTCCGGATCATGCTGACAAACGCCATTCTAGGACCCTCTAATTTCTCCTTACGTTGGACGAGTTCTGCCTAATGTTTCTCAGATGCTGAACACGACGAAGCAGCGCCTGGGTCTGCTCCCTGGAGGACCGCAGCTGGTCGACACCACGCGCCTCATCTCGGACATCCAAGAAATACTTAACCGCAAGCCTGTGCTATGAATAACGAACCTCAAGGCCTCATGGGGCTAAAAGCTGAAGTTGAGTGACCGACGCAAGTCGCCGCGTCCTCACACTATGCACCACCGCTTAATGCATTCATTGGATTCAACATCCGATGCATGGCGCACCGCCTGTATGAATTTCCCGCCGTTTTCTCCCACTGTGTTGTAGTTGAAGATAGATTCTCCTCCCTCTGGTTTGAGCTGGTAAGGCTGGGCTGGTCGGTTGTGTGCGCCCGTGCCACCTTATGATGATTGATTGTTGATGCATATGTGCGCTGTGCTGCTGTTGCTACTACTTCTCTTTTTTGCTTCCTTGCTTTCCGACTTGCTATTCTGTTTTACGTTCTACGCATATGGCTCTTGTTTCTTGCTTTTCAACTCAACTACTCTCCTTTCCTTCACTTGTTTCTTCTCTTTTTACTTTACTTTACTTTACTTCTCTTCTTTCAGTTCTCCTGCTGGGCTTGATCAACAATTATTGTACGTCAATGCGTTACTGTGTGTGCACTTTCAACTTTCAAATTATTCTTTTTACCACAATTGCTTTTCCGTTTCCCTTACCTTTCAAATCACACTATAGCTTTAGGTCTTTCTTTCTTCTTTCAATTCAGTAACGATTGATATGATTACTAACGTAGTTCCTCTGCACACGCCTTGTCAATAGTTGTTTGAAACGAATTACAATGATGTTTTGGCTTCTGAATTGTCTTTTTTGCATTGAGCTGAGAATCGAACAAAGTCGGGGGAAAGTGCGTGATTGATATTATGATTTTGTGCGCTTCTAAGAGTTCTCCGTTCACTTTGCTATACGCTTCTCTGTTGATGTTGTGGCTTCTCTGTGATGCTGTATAGCAAATCAGATGCACAGTATTCACTAGTGAGTTGATCCCCAAGGTAGCTGTGCGGTAAAGGTACAGCTCGATAGATGAATCCGAAATCTAACGCAATATATATACAAATTACACGAAGAGAAGAAGGGAAATCAAGCAAACATGAGATCCGGCGAATATATCAAAGAGCGACGCAGAAATCATTCATTCAGGTGAGAAAGGCAAATCATCAAACGAGTGCGGTCGAATGTCGAATGGCGGTGAGGCCGGCATATAGTACATATTACAATCAAAAAAGAAAAAGCAATCCGTGCGGCGAAGAATAATGATAGACGAGAACGATACGCGGCGCGGTGTTTTGACTGATTCCTTAGAGAGTGACACATGGCGAAAACGCATACATACGCATAGAACGAAGTCCGATATTGAACCATATCTCCACTACCAACTGAATCACCTCGTAAACCCATACTGCATATGTGCCTGTCTCGTCTCAGCAATCTTCTCAAACAACGGGTCCGAATAGTCTCCTTGGGTGAACGGAGGAGGGGGAGCATCAGGGGGATCCCTGTCGTCTAAGTATTCCGAGGATCCTTGCATCGCGAGAGGTGTAACGACGTGACTTCGCGGGATGTATCGGTCCCTGAATTCGGCAGATGCAGGTGTACGTTTTTGTCGCCTTCGACGGAGGAAGAGGATTGTGCCAAGAATGAAGAGAAGGATGAGGATGAGACCACCTATGACGCCGCCAGCGATTGGGCCTGCTTTGCTGGTATTTTGAACGCGTGCAGCTGGTGTTGATGTTGAGGCAGGAGGGGAATTGGCATCGGCTTCAGTACTGGAACTCGAGGTAGGCACAGAAAGTGGTGATGGAGGGATTAGACTAGATGTGAGGCTAAAGGAAGAGATTTTAAAAAAAAAGGATGAGGCCTGAACAGTGAAGAAGTTAGAATATAGTGAGCTACCTTGCAAGTGTTTCTGAGCTAGAGCTCAAAGCAGAAGAATTTGTCATTATTGCAGAGGAGCCTCCAGACCCTTCAGGCTCTACACTACCTGTAATGGAAGAAGACGAGTCTGGTACTGAAGACAATGAAATAATCAATAGCAAGCTCAACAAAGAGACTATTATGTTCATACTGGGTGTTTCAGTTGTTGGCGAGGAAGGGGTAGATCCGGTTGCTAGTAATTGTTATTGTGTCAAACTCATGCCTAGGATTGAGCTGGAAGTATACTTACATGAAGCACTTGCTATTCCACCGAAATTAGAAGAGGAAGTCGTTGGTTCTGTTTTGCAATATTGTGTAACATGGTAAATTGTCTTTGTCACAATATCACTGTCCGATTTGGTGAAGGTAATAGTACACGCGGCACCTTAAAAAGTACATACAGTGTAAACAGAAGAAAGGAGAGAATGGTTGAACTGATACCTCCGTCTCCTGAATCATTACTTTGATTGTTGTTGCTGCCCATATCCTTCGGAGGGGGAGAAGAGGGAGGAGGGGGAGGAGGGTTGTCCTGTGAGCCTTTTGGCTTATCTCGCTTCGTCCGTCGCCCAAGAGTGGAAGAGAGAAGAGCGTCGTGGACAGGGACCTAGCAAACGTGATATAAGTTAGTATATGAGCATGAGGTGATCAGATGGTAGTGGGCGCACAGCATCGAAGGGGCCGTTATGAATTTGCAACTGGAGACTGCGCCGCTCCGTAGCTGTGAAGGGCGCTGTGATGACTCCCATGATGCTACCCACGTCCAAAATAATATTGATACACGCGTCGTCCTCGGTGCACTAATGCTAGCCGTGTTGAGGGAGAGGATCGGGATGAAGAAAGCCGGCCAGCAGCGAAAAGAGGGGAAATGAGGAAGGAGGATGGGTGGAGTTGGGAGGTGATGGACGGCAAAGGGATGAAGGAGGAAAAGGTGATTTGTAGCCGTAGTGTACTGTTGATCATGTTGCGACGGGGGAAAATGGGCCATCAGAAACTGTTGAGCGCGTAGTGTTCTCGACGCTCGGTACACATCAAAGATGGTCACGCTAAGATATGAATATATTTAGTTTATCAATTTATCATTATCTATCGTCATGTGATGATGACGCGACGCGTACTCTCCTCTGTCGTCACAAGTCGGTCACAATATCCTAGTTCTCAGTCAGCACCTTGGCTCATGTTTCACAGAGCATTTGTCTCTGGTCTTCACCGCCTTTCCTTCAATAAACATACTTACAGACTATTCTCCTCCTCACGTAGTCTCAAAATGAAGGTCGTACCTGTACCCGTGCGCTCAGACAACTATGCATACCTTCTCATCGACGATTCTACAAACAAAGCAGCCGTGGTCGACCCATTTGATATGACCAAAGTACAAGCTGCAGCTGCAGAACAGGGTGTCGATTTAGTTGCCAACCTCACCACTCATCATCACTTCGATCATAGCGGAGGCAACAAAGTCTGTAATTCATCACCACTTCTTGTACCTTTTCCCATTCCTCTGACTGATCTAAATAACAATACATGCATGTTTTAGGACTTCGTACGTGTCACAGGGGCAAAAGATTAGATGCGAACTTGCTGTTAATCAAACTGATACATATAGGCAAATTTATATCCAGGAAAGCCGATATATGGAGGTTCCGACCAAGGTGCGGCGGATCACATCGTAAAGGACAACGACCAGTTCACCATCTCAGAACAGCTCGACGTCAAGTAAGTTCGCAATCATATCTCATCATCAAACTGAAATCAGAACGGAGTCTAATCCATTCTTCCATTCTTCTTCAGATGTCTAGCCACACCCTGCCATACACAGGACTCAATCTGCTTCTATGTAACTGACAAGGCCAATCCCACACAGCCAGGAGCAGTCTTCACAGGAGATACGCTCTTTATCGCCGGGTGTGGACGCTTCTTCGAGGGAAACGCAACTCAGATGCATCGCGCACTTTCATACCTCGGAACGCTCCCGGACCAAACCGTCGTATACAACGGACATGAATACACCGCGAGCAACCTCGCCTTCGCAAAGAGCGTCGAGCCGAACGCATCTGGTGTTGCCCGCCTCCAGGAAATTGTTAATAACAACAAGGTGACAACGGGAAAAACCACAATCGGCGACGAAAAAGAATGGAATGTCTTTATGCGGTTGAGCAGCTCGGAGATCCTGTAAGTCCAAATAGACAACCTATTTTATTTGTTTATTCACCAGAACTGGACTTTCATTAACGCCATCTCCATCTCTATCACGCAGCAAATCTTTGGGCGCGACTGCGGACACTCCTACTGAATCAATCATGGATGCACTCAGAACAAGGAAGAATAACTTCTGAAATATGGCATCATCCCAAACGTAAGGAGACGTTGCGATCTGCTGTTGGGTTTTGATGATATCTTGAAAAGGCGTGTAGCACAACGAACTGATTTTGATGCTTGTATTTTGTGATGTTGGTGGGTCCGGTCAATCAATGTGTAGCGTTATGGCATAGCAGTATAGGGCTTCAAAAGAAGATGTATATGATTAAATTACTACAGCTCGTAAGAACATGCATCTGCGGAGCCCGATGAGATAGTGAGACACCAACATTCGTAAATAGACCACTGCAACGTATAGAGAAGACATGGGAACAGTTTATGTGGCGGTGCGCTTGACCATGCCCATAACTGCCGTACGTGCGTAAGGGATGTACGAAAGTGTGTACCATATGTACGCCAAATACTGGATGATCACGAATACTGTTGTTAATGGGGAATAAGTTCACCATAGCAACCCATGTTATACGAAGATTGAAACTTTAAAAACTCACTGATGCACAGAGTCTGTATTATTAGAAGTTGAGTTGGCAAGTCGGTAAGTTATGATATGATATGGTGATCAGAAAGGAGCACAAAGCAACACATAAGATGCACGACGACAACATACCCCACTGCCAATCACGAATGCACCAACGAATATCAATGCAATAGAGGCGAGGAAGATGATGGATGCGATGATGCGCACGGGTTTGAACATCTACATTGACATTTGTTTTTGTGTTATTCATTCAAAATCGCTCTAACAGTAGAACTTTGATGAAAGTGCTTAGCGTACCAATTTTAGTTGTTGGAAGAACTAACGGCCAGACGATAGTGAGTAAACATTCTCTCTTTTTAAGACGATGAATGGACTGTACATACCCCTATTACGAAACCCGTCCCGATGAGCGAAATAATCGTCCCACAACCATACAAGACTTTCAACAGTCGATCAGCTCAATAAGTCATGCACATACCCAACGTAATCAACATAAAGCACTTACACCCAAAGCTAATCAACCCGCCCAAAATAAGGAAAATCACACCAAGCAAGCTCAACACGAAACCAATAAACGTGCTGCGCACATACAGCAAAACAACAACGTTATCATTTCCTTAGCTCCAACATAGTTGTCTAGGAGTAAAGATGAAACAAAACGTACCACCCAATAAACCCATACAACCGTGTCGTCTTGCTAAGGTTGAACCCAAGCTTGCTAAACGCCGATTCGCCCTCGAAGAATTGGTTATCCGGAATCACACCCGACGCCGCCTCGAGGTTGAACCAACCCTTGTTCGACATAATGTCTATTGTCTTGTCTTGTCTTTCGACTATTTCCCTCCTTTCCTTTCTTCAAGCTATTTTATGGCGAAGACTAGCAGTAGATCGTCTGTCCTACTTTCGCTTGAGTACCGAGTAGTAAGAGTGATGATGCAGTCGTGAAATGGAGGAAGAGAGGTGCTGTGCTGTGCCAGCAGCGTTGCGAGTTTCAAGCAAGTCACGCCAGAGCGCGGACGAGACCACCGCAGTAAAGCAACGCGCACTATTTTCCCACGCGGTATATTCATTATGTTATTATTATAAATAGCTTCTGACTACTCGAATTACTATAAATAAATACACAAAACATGACCAGCAGAATTCACTATAGTGACTAGTAGACCATGAGACAGAACACCCAAAACAATTCGTGCAACCATCAGTCACTCAAGAGTGCTTGGACTACATTTGAAACTCGGAGTTGGCGTAAGTCGGTGTATGTCTTAAAACGGACATTCCGTCAGAATTTCAATCAGGGTATCTCATGCACGGATGCGCTTACCTGACCGCAGCCGACGAAAATAATGGGTTGCCCAGTTACGTATGTCATGGACAACGCGGCTCCGACCTATCAATGAGCAGTGTGTTGAGCAACAGTCTTGTTACACAGAAATTACTGGGCTTTCCGTACCTTGTCATCTACAGTGTCCCACTTGGTGACGAGCATACCATCTATACCGCGGCCTCTTCCAGTTGTTTCAGAGGCTGAAGAGAAGTCTCGCAGTGCACGATCAAACTTGGACAATTGATCGACCGCTTCGTTGCCAACTAGCGCCTCGCCGACGAATATGATTTTATCTGGGTTGTTTGTCGAAACAAGCTGAAACAAGGATGATGATTAGGGATGATATCTAGCGTTTCCTTGAGCTATTGTGAGCAGTACCTTGGCCAGGGCTCGCATTAAAGGCTGTGTTACAACAGGTTCAGAAACACTGAAAATAAAAAGATTCCGAGAATACGATCATACCTCGTTGTCTTGCATCCGGCCTGCGGTGTCGATAAGGACAACATCAAAGTTATGATCTTTAGCTGATCGCAACGAATGTCAAGATTTTAGAAACATAATTGAGAGAGAAAGAGGGAAAGACTACCATATGTTATGGCTTCCTTGGCGATACCGGCTGCATCCTTTCCGTAGCCACGCTCGAAAAGCTCGACACCGCCCTTTCCATCGGGGCCGCTCACATCAAGCATTCCAAGGTTACGAACATGTACCCTCAACTGCTCAACGGCACCGCTCCTAAAAACGAGCGAAATATAGGATCAGATATCTCTACACCAACCGAGAAAACGCGATATTCGCACCGGAACGTGTCGCAGGCAGCGATCAAAACTTTGAAGCCATTTTGAATTAGCCAAAAGCAGACTTTGGATAGGTTCGTACTCTTCCCAACACCGTTGACCCCAACAAACACCATACTGTACGGAAGACGCTGCTGTGTCGATGGCAGAGGTGACGACAACTTCGTCCGAACAGACAAGAGAAGATCAGTGGAAGTGCTTGGAGTTAAAATTCGCGTCAATGACGTGGAAAGAGCCTGTCGCACAGTCGCATTGATCGCTGGATCGCAGAATTAGAGTGGTAATCAGCGAAGCAAGAACAGGCGTACTTTGGAAGCCTCCAACTTTCTTCCCAACGAGTCCTTCACCGACACCCTCGCAAATCTTGTCAGCTATTTCCTTCGCTACGTTCTTCTTCATAAGGTGTTGTTTCATGCTTTCCAACACTGGCTTGAGGTCGCTCTCGGTCAGGACCTTGGACCCGGTCAGGCGGGCAAAGATAGACCCGAGAGCTCCCAGTGACCCATTCGACTTCTGTGGTTCCTCACGCTGTTGTTGAGCGGCAAGAGCGCGTGAGATGAAGTCCGCACCGTCATTACCCTTATTGAACTCCCAGTCCTTGATTTCATATAGCCCGTCCTCCCTTCGGGTACCCAATGAATCCTTGTCGACCAATGCGTCTACATCAGGGGATGCAGCAGGTCTGCGAGAATCCGGTCCAGCACCGGGCTTGTCTACGCTGAAGTCGAGTGATTCCATATCAGCTTCAGTGGGAGCTTCGTTTCCCCACTTTCGTTGCGATTTTGCTTTGCCTTTCTTCTTGGATGGAGTGTCGGAGCTTTGTGAAGATTGAAAATCAGATAGTTCGTGAATTAAAGCGAGATGGATGCATACTCTGAGGCGTGAAGACTGTCTCTTCCACTTCCAGAATCCACGCGCCCCACCCCTCGACGTCGGCCCTTCCCCCGTAGTCTATTTTTCAAGGCTTGTACGTTCCGCGATATTTGCTCTTCATCAAGCGGTGTTTCCGGTGAAATGGCGGGTTCTAGAACGAGCCTTAGCATACTATTAGGCTAACCGATTAAATATTAATTTGAACCTGTAGCATCGTCCGATGGAGGAGTGATGGAAGCTCCAACGCGCCCTACGGGTCTTGCTTTCGACTTTCGGTCCTGTAAGCAGAGCCATTAAGAACATGAAACTACCAGCGAGGTTTTTAAATTCACCTGTGCAGACTTGTCTTCAAGACCCTTAAGCAATTTATCGAATACCCTATCCCATCCTTCAAACGCTTTGAGGAAGTCCCACGTTTGGAGAGAGGCAACTCGTGCTGATTTGTTATTTAGCGAATGCAGAGACTCCACGAATGTCGCCAGGAATGGTTCGAAAAGCTTGACGAACAATGCCTTAATAGCTGCGAGAAGATCTTCGACGTAGGTGAGCTGCAAAATCCGCTGGTACGCAACCTGGAAGACATAATAATGTCAACCGGAGAATAACGAGGGATTCGGAGTGGCTGCGTACGACAAAGATTAGTTCAAGTTCATTCACGAACGTCCATCTAATGGCATATCCATCCTTCTCATATTTATTTTCTCCACTGCGTCCTTCAATAAGGACGTCACGGATGAGGGAATTCACTGGCGACGTTGACGGGTTGGCCACCGACTGCGCCGCTGTCGGAGTGAACGAGCGCTTCCAAAGAACAAGCCCTCCTATTGTATTTCGTTAGAAGCAGTACAGATTATTGACGAATCTTACCTACCCTTGTGCGATATAGAACAGTGGTCAAGCATATCGTGAAGCAAGTTGAAAAGGCGTGGACACAGTGCGCAGTGCCGAATGTCCTGTTGGTGCCTGAAATGGTGTGTCGATCATGATCCCGTGACTGTAAAAACTCAAAATAATTTATTCATTTCATTATAAATTTATAATAATGGTTCATCTACAGCAAATCACTCATGAAGTTGCTATTATGGTCTAGAATTCAGTGTCAATTCCCGTTACTCTGTGCATTCGTTTCTAACCACCGTCGGACGTCCCTTTTCGACGTCAGGCCCAAAGGCCGTGCTGTGTCATCGGGACTTCGCCTGCGATACAATCGCATAATGTACCCTGCAACACTCCAGACATCTTCCCATTCGGCATCAAAGAGCTCCCACCAGCAATCCGGAGATTGAGAAGGTAGGGATACGCGCAGATTCCGTGTCGTTAGTAGGATAGCTGCACACACTATTGTCGGCACAGGGTACAGTGCATACACTGGAGTCTGTAAGCTGCGAGGAAAACTGTAAGATATCGAAAGGTCTTAGGGGACGTTAATCAGCGTACGCGTCATTGAGGTATCCCCATGCCTTCTGTGATACATCCTCTCGGTTTACGAGATTTAACACGCGAAGGTAGTTCACTAGTGTACCGTATGGGAGAACTACCAGCACATTGAAGCCGAGCCGTTTAAGTAACTGCATCTCAGCGACAACCATCGCATCTTTAAGGTCATAGAAGGACTGAGCGAAGTAGCTCATAGGCGTGTATTTGAACTCAGGAATAACTACATGGCCACCATTTTCCTCGCTTGCTATGACCTTTGCTTGATGAGCTGCTCGTTGAAGTAGCAGATCGTAAACATTGATGAGATCACGCATCCGGACAGGACATTCTTCCAATTTCGAGGCAAGATATAAAGCTCCCATTCCGACGTCCTACTCGATTTGAATGTTGGAATGACTTATGAACGAGTTACAATAAATAGACGTACTTACCGCAATTCCAAAGTTCTTCATTGACGAGACATACCAGAACCGCTGGAAGAGAATCTGCGCAGTAGCCATCGCCACCTGTTTTCTAACCCGACTTTAGCTAATTGGAAATCCTGGGGGAAATAAACGGGACGTGCTGTTTGAGTAAGAACCCAGCTTGTTGGATTAATTTGCACCCGTACGCGCGCAAGTCGTCTTCGAGATCAGCGGGAATGCCATCCTCGCGAGATGGTGTATTTTCTATTTGCGACAGAGAAGCGAGAGGGTATAAAGCAGTTGTCATCTCGTCACGTCGTTTAAATTGATATTGTGGTTGAGACAAAGAACTACCACTGTACCAGGAGCCTAGGAGGTGCATAACATAGGACAGTTGTTGACGCGCTTTCATCAAATCACGTGCAGCAGTAAGCACGTTTTGCAACTCAGAATTAACGACTTTACGGATTCTACAGACTCCTTTTTGATCATCCACCTCCTCCGCAGTATACGTCGCTGGTGAAGCACTCTAGACGAGATGGAAAGTCGACCTTTGAAGGAGCGAATAGGTCCTCCCTCTGTTGAACAAAGCCGTAAAACTCCCTCATCCGTGGTTGAAGAAGAACGTGAGGGTGGAGAAATAAGCGACAGAGAGTCGTCTCGAAGTAGAGGTGCTCGTAGGGATAGAAGTGGAGGTCGTGATCGCGACATACGCTCTCGGGATGACGTTTATAGGCCTGCGTTGGTTATTCCACGGGATTCATACACTCACGAAGACCGGGACTGGAATAGGAATCAAAGGTATAGAGGTACAGACCGAGATGAGCGTGAGTGGGCGCGGGATCCAGGCAGAGCGCGACATTTTCGGGATGAAAGAGGTGGATGGAGGGACGAGAGGGATAGGGATCGTGACTTTGACCGTGGTCGCGAAGGGTACTACGAGACAGATAGAGATAGACGGTACAGGGATTCGAGAGGCTCGTTTGACAATAATCGGGATAGGGACTGGGGGAGAGATGATCGTATACGAGACAGGGACAGGGACAGACGATATCCTGAAGATAACAGATCTTCATATTCTCGACGTCCAGGTAAGTGCTTTCCTCCACATCGCATTTAAAGACTGTTTCCTAAACATTTTGGCATAGACCCTGACATTCGATACCGGAGTCCTCCCCGGCATGCACGGGCTCGATCCCCTCCTACACACAACAGGCGCTACTCCCGATCTCCTTCACCTCGCTTTTCCTCCCACGGTGGACGCGACAGAAGCTTCAGTAGGCCACGGGACGAGGGAGGCTCGCGGTATGTACGGAGACGTGATGATAGTGTAGAGTCGAGGCGCTCCGGACCACGTCGTAGTGCCTATGAGCGTGACCAGCCCAGTCGCGCGTATCGAAAAAGAGAGCGTTCGAACTCACCCGACGAGTTGAGAGGCCAACGGAGGCGTCAAAGGTCACCCAGCCGGAGTAGAAGTCCAGTCAGTAGACGAAGGTCACCATCTCCGCCGCCTCCCACTTCGCGCAGAGAGGAGAAACAACCTGAACGCCGAACATCCTCGCCTCCCCGTTCGGCGCCCCCGCCGAAGCCTCTCACAATGATCGCAGTGAAAGACCATCGTGGTGTAAAGGTGTCCCGACAAGGCACTTCTGAGGAATTCGCCCAAATACCAAAAGACACATATGGCACCACGAATGCACCAGAACGTGATAGCACTACTCCTGCTAGGGTCGAAGAAAAGCCAGCTCTGTTTGATGCAACACGTCGCTCCTTAACCGGGACACCTGTTCCAAGAGAAAGTCCAGCTGCTCCATCGCCCATTCCTCGAGTGGCCATTCCCCATAACGCTCCAACTGGTCCACGTTCTGCTGCAGCGCAGCCTCAACCAGCACGTCTTCCCGAGATTCCGGAATTGCAACGCAGAAGACATGGTCTTGCTTTGCAAGAGGTATGTGGTCCTAGTCTATGTCTCATTTCTATTTTTACATTGAACTTCGAGCTTACGTATCCTCAATCCTGATTCTCCAGCTTGAAGACAAAACTACGGCTCGCATGTCGCTGTACCAAGCTTTTGCACGCGCAAACGCAGCTGCACGGCGCGCGAAGACCGATGCGGAGTTAGCGGCCATAGAACTCCGTTCTGCGGAATATCGAAGAGCATATGCGGAACAGCAGAGGGAGCGTGCCTTGGAGGCTTAGTGATTATCACCTCTTGCTTTACTCAGTTGCATCTCATGTCTTTGCTTTCCGACTGTCCCTTTTCTGGGATGTGCTTGTGCAATGCAATGAGGCATGAAACTTCTTTCCGATTTTACAGGCTAAGGCTTGGTTCGGATGGATGAGCACTGGTATCCATACCCCTATGGATGCAAGCGGGAAGCCGCAGTTTAATTGTGGGCGGCGATACGTATTCATTTGCATGTCTGCATAGAATTGCTATATTGTTCCTAAATGCTTCGTTTCAATTCCAGGCGTCTTTCGCGAAGATTCTTATGGAGGCCTTGCACTGGTGACCACTCAAACTAATATCTCTTCCGAGGATTCGCTGTACAACGTTCCGAACTCGTCTCCAGGAACAAAATCATTGTTCAACTGTAGATTCTCGGCGAAAACGAAACATTGTTCTTAATACAGGTTGTTAGTTGTTATGCTGTGTAACTATTGAGTTTCGGTAAACTTTCGCCATTCTGTCCATGACGGACACGCATTGCACTGTGCGCAGTATATCAAGAATAGCCTGACTGCGGTAATAATACGCTCTGAATCATGTATGACCTTCCGACAATTTTCGGCCTCATGCCGGGTAAAACGGATGAAAGGTAGTGAACAAAGTCATTCGACTGTGGTGGAAACACGATGATGAATACGTATAGCATGACGGACATCTCATTTACTCGGTTCCGAGCTTGGAAGATTGACGGAAGTGAGACCACAACTTTGCCATGTTTGAAACTACAAAACACGGAGCAACAGAGTTACTATCAAGTCGAGTTGCATGAGGCAAGTTGTAGGAGAATGGAAGGTACAGAGATCGCTTCTTCTTGATGTATAGTCAATTTTGACGGTGAACGCGGACAGAATAAATTAACAATCGAGGTATAAATCCTTTCTTCCATAGGATGGAGCCAAGAGGGCGTTCGTAATACGTATTCGCTTTACAAAGTTCCGTAAAGGTGTCACTTTTCCTATACTTGCTTGATTCCATCTTCTCCACACCGCGTTCGTCGGCATCTCAATTTCGGTGAACGAAGTTCCGGTGGCACCGCTAATTACAACGCTCGAACGCTCTCTCTTGAATTTTTTTCTCCAACGCCGATTACTAGGTACGGCACCTGATTTCTGCAATGCGCATCGCAAAGCCTACATGTACCGTAGTCGCCGAAAAGTTATGGTTTCGGGGTACATTCAATATGAGTTTGCGAAGGATCGGATGGTAACACGCAGAAGAAGCCGTGATCCTATATTAATCGTCCAATGAGCTCCTGGAAAATTCGCGTCTTGAATTGTAAAACGCATGTCATGACATGAAGAATAAACGAACGAGTGAGACATAGGAGAATGTGATAAAAGAATTAGAATTCCGCGGCGTTTTGTCAAGCGTAACGGAGAAAAAAAATCATGTAGATGTTCTGTTCGCGAATACGCACCTGCATTGCCTGGAATAATCGCGTGCTCTGCATCTGAATCTACGGCAATTGAGTGACCGGAGGCAGTCGATTTCGTGGAAAGACGCGAAATATAAGATGCTAGCGCGAAGTATCATATGCAATAAACGAACCATGATGCACTCCTTCTGGCGTTCGCCGTCCTGGGCCCGACAGAGCTCAGACTGCGGCGCATCGCGTTCACTGTCAAATGTATACTTTGCTTTTGGAGACTTCTGCAATGTGCCACCGAGGATAGATGAAACCACAAATTGATTAGTTTGATTCAAATTTGGTACAAGACGTGTCGGAGCTTCATCACATACCGCAATGAACTGTTTGAGCACCTCGTTTGCATTTTTGCTCTGGCCCACGACATGCTTGTCTGAGGAGTCGGCGCTGTCGCTGCTACCCTTGCCAGTGATGCTACAGAATAGCTTGTTGACGAGAGACATGTCGTGAGTTGAAGTTAGTGGGGGTCGGCAATCCTAAGGTGCCGCGCGTGCACTTTTTTTTAGTTCGGAGTTTAAATACGCACCATATGTAGTAGATACGATCAAATCGCATGTTGACAGTTTCGAGAAGACGAAGAAAAAATCAAATCAAGAAGATCTCTTTTGATCTTCTTAATTTTAAGTAATAGTTCGATTGTCGGAAGTTAATCAAGATCAGCAAGCGCTCCCGCAGCGCTTATTGTAAGCCAAACCTTCGTTTTGAGTCTCAATGCGCGTGCGCGAATTGTCGCCAAATCATACCTCTCTGCCGTACACTCCTGGCAGCCTGTAAAAATATTTATTACTTACAGTGTACTACTTAAAGGTCTACTGTATTCGAATATACAAAAATACAAGTGAAATAAGTGAAATGGAGCTCGTTTCTGTACATATATGCAGTTGTGTCTCGTTCTTAATCACCAACAACCACTCAGAGACGATGCTAAAGCATAAAATTGTATTGCCAGTGCGTTCTATTGTACAGTATTAAGTCTATCTAATGCTAGAAGTAGTTCCCGGAGTTTTTCCGCTTTAGTCCTCATCCTTGATTCTATGGGTATCTGGGTATCATTCCTCCTAAGCTTGTCTAGTTGCGCCTTCAGTTCCGTTGCTTTCATTTTCATTACCTCGTCTCGATCCATCTGTATCTCGACAGCATCGATTCGCTCATTGCGCTTTACACGCTTCTGTGCTCGCTCTTCTTCTCGCTGTTTTGAGGACGCATATTCATGGATATGCTCCTCAAGGATAGAAAGACGGCGTTTCTTGTCTCTCTGCTCTGTATCGCGGTTCCGGGCCTGCGTACGCAAATATTTCTGGTTTTCGTCATCAGTGAGCCAAGTTTCTACAAATTCCTCGGTGCCGTTTCTGATATAAATCGAATTAATTAGTAGCATAAACCCAGCAGGAGATGCAGTGCATACCTGATGTAAATGTATATCGAATTAAAACGCTCAACGGTCGCAGTAGGATTTTTTCGAATAAAAACTCGATATGCCCCGAGGGCACCTTCGTTCGCATCGTTTGTAGCCGGCATGAAGGCTACATCCCTTTCTCCCTCTGTAAGTGCTGCTATTAGTCCATCACTACCAAATTCTGACGTGAAACGCTCCCAGGTCGTCAATGCCCCCTCCAGAAAAGCAACGAACATCTCCTCAAGATACGGAAGGCAAGAAGACATGTTGTGTACTGCTCTTACAGCCTCAGGACGCTTCCAGGTGAGTTTATCGCTGCCTATCCCAACGGATTCTTTGCCAATCCCATCACTGCCTATCTCGACAGATTCTCTTCCTATTCCATCGCTGCCTATCTCGACGGATTCTTTGCCAATCCCATCGTTGACGTTCAAGATGGCATCTTCTGGCTTTGCGTCTGGCGATAGAATTATCTGCGGGTCTTCAATAAGCGTGCGGATATGTACTTTCACTGCAGCTTGCAGATGACACAAGGTAAGTGCGTTCGTTTTTAATCCGCCACTACGTACTGATTTGATGTAGGGATGCGATACAGCCTCCTGGTACAACGTAAGGACGAAGAAGGCATTAACTGCCTTCCCAGAGGACTATTGTTGAAGGCTTCGACGGCGTTCTCGAGGCAAGCAATGTCTCCGTTCTTCTGTGTCTCAGCGCGATGATTTCCTGACATACGAACCCCAGCAAATCGTACTTTGTGCTCGACTTCCTCAAGGGCTTTCTCAGTAACGTCGGAAGTCTTCTCGGCAGAGCTGTTATCAGTATTTGACGGTGCTCCGGGCTCGATCTTCACGTATTCCTTTGGTGCGGTGAGATTTATGTGCATCGACTCGAAATTTTGATTTTTATTCGTCGTTCCGTCACCACTAGTCGTAAAACCTGTGAAGAGACAGAACCATTGATGGTACCGAAGTTTATCGGATTTGCTGTGGTTTGTACTTACCCTGCGTGTTTCTAAGCTCGAATCCCAACTGGATTTCCGAGGCAATGCCTCCCTCAGTGAGTGCCCTCCCTACTGTTCGTGGACTCGGCCCTCTAATTTCTTTCTTCGATGACGGACAGAGGATCTTGAAGAACAAACCAAGGATTTCGCCCGTGTTCTTGATCGGACAGCCATAGCTAACGAGTTTACGAGCCAGCGAGCGAACAGCAAGCGTGTAAGTACCATTTTTAATGATCTCAAACGCATGTGCAGCTGAAGATCGAGATTCCTTAGTCTTGCGAAGATGTTTCTGCGCACGATTTAGCCGAAGATGGAGTACACGAGAGCGTTTGAGGTATCGTGCAGATTTAAGCCGTAAGTAGTTAATTTGCTGAGATTGTGCGAGTTCTTTTGAGTGCATGATATCTACGACTTTCTCCTGTTCTTCCAGACAGACAAGAGCCGTTCGTAGCTGAGCATCTAAGAAAGTAAGTCGATACCACCAAGAATAAGATTCTCCTCTAGATTCCTCAAGCTCTTCTTGTATTCTCTTGCACTTGTCAGTCTCTATATCGAGCTTGTTCTGAAGACTGATGCTTTCGTTTTTCAAATGCTTTGAACTCCGTTGTGCAGCATAGAACCGCTTCTGAGTCACCAAGAGTCGCCGCCGAATCCTTTCCAGCTGCAGAGCATAGCCTGTAAGTGTTTCCTTTACGTCTTCGAGCTCAACTTCCTTCTCAACAGCTAGCTCTTGTAGTACCTGCATGTTCTCTTGAAGTTCTCTCAGCGTCTCGTCCTCCATAGCTGACGAGAGATGATACGCTTCGAGTTCTTGCTGTAGACCTGTAATAATTTCGGCTTGAGAGCTTGCGGATCGTGTTTGCACCCAAGTGAATGTATGCGAGCGATCGGAGAAGTCGGTACGTGTATTGGATGGATGGCTACGCACAAGTGGGGAAGTAGGAGGGTCGTATCGAATGCCCCGTGCTAACTGAAGAGCTTCGCATCGTGCTTTGAGGACTCCAGAGAGCCGTTTCGGCATAATACCTCCTGTACATATATTGTAAGTACGTAGGAGAATTAATTTTGATAGATTCGTACCGTACTGGCCTGTTTTGAGTGAGTTCTGGCCACACGGCACCCCCCCATTCCCCATGAAAATCATACCGATGTCCAGACGCGTTTTGCTATATGCAATCACGTGTTCGTTTTTTTCTATTTTTTGGAAGTGGATCGTATATTAATCTCTCCTCTTGTAATTCATAATAATAAATTATTTTTTTGCATAATAAATCCTTAAATATGAATATCTAAAGATTTGTGTGAGGAATTTCCTTAAATCTAAGTATTTACTGAGATACATGTGCTGTACCTACAGTATCTCACTCAATTTTCAAGTTATTAAAAATTCCTCACACAAATCTTTAGATATTCATATTTTATTAATTTTAAAGATTTTTAGTTATTTTTTAATGATGTATTGAGGGAGGAGATACATTTACAAAACTACAAGAAAACTCTCGACATGATGGACGCGTGCCGCCATCACGGCATCTACCGTGGGAATGCACGCGTCGTACCTTAGGATTGCCGACCCCCAAAGTTAGAGAATGAACGAAGTTGAGATGACATGATTAACGATGACCTATATTGCCTTCTTTGGAAAGGCGCTTGATGGGCGCTTAACCTTTCGGACTTTTCTTGTGTAAATTTGCTTCCTCTAAATTCCTACTTTAATCCTTTGACACATCTACCCCAGAGCAAAGCACTCACCTAAACATATCTCAACATCCTGCTCTACTCGCAAAGTATTTATATATTTAGTTTACAAATTAATAAATTTTTCTCCGATAGTTTTAGCACAGTTCGATTAAAAATCGGCAAGAACTGCAAAATTCCAAGTTTGTGTTTCATTATGTGCGTGAGATTTTAATTGTGATCTGTATAGAGGTTTGGTGCCACACTTGTGCTGCTCCTTGTGATGCAAAGCTTTTCCTTATCTTCGAGTCCGAACTAAATATGTACAGTTGTGCAGTTTGCAAAAACACTGGAATACGGCGCTCGTACATCAGAAGCTCACGCAAGTCCGCATCTGTCTACACACGCATAACAGCATGACTACCGCTGCGTTTCCGCATTATCCATTTACTTCTGATTGTGATTGAGTTTCACGGATTCAGAAGAAAACCGGACGAGTTGACTTAGAAAAAAAAGATCGATTCTGTTCAGAGAAGCTTCTGGCAGTATCCGAATTTAGGGTGAATCCGTATCCGTTCCTGTTCCTCATCGAGTTTGAGCCCAAGCTGAGCGTCAGCCCATTTTGAATGCGATCGAAGCCTGAGCCATGAACCGTGTTATTCATCCTCCTATCTTTTGTACATCTTCATCTTCACCCATCACACCTGACTCCACACCCATCTTCATCGCACGGCGCCGTGCTTCTTGTCAGCGTTCTTTAAGAGCATCCATCTGGCACGATTCAATTAATGCTTCACCGTTAATTCAAATCTTCAGCAGATATCACAGGGGCGAGAATTCTATCACGCGCAAATATACTTTTTGTGTCCCTTTCGCAGCGACATATCACGCGTATCATTTCGTCGGTTTGATTATATTGGCCTTGTAAGTTACCGTCAGCTGAATGTCAACACTTGTTAGACATCCATATCTCCATCAAAAATGCGGTTCTTGATCTGTGCAACCCATTCTATCTTTTCGCCGAATCCTAATCTGAATCCGTCCTAAGTTCCTTCGACAAGAAAAGCACCACTGGCGCAATTGAATTTGATTTGAGGGGCGTCCGTATCCCCGGATGATTACATTGCAGTCTAGTCTAGTCAACGCATCAGACAGGCCAAGCAAGCCTGAAGCGGGATTGACAACGCCATGTCAATGGGGCCCGGCACCTTGTTACATACGAAATTGAAAACTAGCGTCTTCCCTGACGTCGTATATAGTAATGGTGATTGGACTTCGCAGTGCAACGTGCACGCATTATGAATGGCACACAATTATCGTGCAAAACGAAATGGAACTTTGAAAATTGGATCATGCAGAACGAAAATGGAAAATTAAGGAAGACGGCAGATCTAGAAGCGTCATGGATACGCGATATCTGAGAATCAAAACCAAGTACCCGAATACCACTCTCCGAATCCGAGGCTTCGCGCTAGCGCGGCTCAGGCGATGTCCTTGGGGTTCCCCATGTCCATACACGATCTCATCATGTGTCAGGCTTACATCGCCGCGCGCGTATTTGCTCCAGTCCTGTCGTGTGCCCATCTATCTGCGAGTACTTCGGATTCGGGCTCTGAAGCCAGCGTTGCATTTCTTCCGATGTGATCCACATTCCATGCGCCCGACTGACCTCGAGAACCATTAATAGTGCCGCAGTGGGAGGCCGGCGCAGGTTCTTCGTCCCTCTGCACGCGATGTTCCCAGCTCTCGACTTCGGCACATTCAACGGAGCATTGCAATACCCAGTTCCGCTGAGAAAGTCATGAAGCAGCATACGTCTGCCGAGCTAGCGTGGCACAGTCCGACGCGGACGCAGGCAGTTGCTGGCGATAAAGCGTGTTCCTATAAACCCAGCCTAGGTTTCTCCAGTTTAGGCGAGGCACTTCGCTTCGCATCGCAATCCGAGTTGCAGTTAGAAACCTCCCACAGTTCCTTCTCGGATATCATAATACATGTATCCTTAGAGAAACCCGGGCGTCCGCGTGCGAGTATCAATCTGCTTCATAGCATATGATAGGGCAGCGCTGGCTGCTTCACAATCACTCTTGTCGATTCAAATCACGACGATCCAATTTGAGGAAGGCACTAGATCCAACCTATCATTCCGTCGCGGGTGAAATGTCCAACCCGCGGGTCAAGAAAGGGCCCTCTGCTATTGAAGAAAACTGCGGGCTGCGCGGGCGAAATCATAGGCGCCGCATTCTCGCCGTGCGCGAGTCGTCTGCGCTTCTTAGAAATTGAAGGAAGCATATTGATTGTACCGGTTTCGCCTACGGAGGTAGTTGCGGTATCTAACGGCGGTGCAGGGCGTTTGCGCGGGTTTTGTTTGTGTTCTTTGGTATCGCACAAGTGGCGCCGGCTATGAGTGTATGGCGGAAAAGAAAGGTCCTCATCTTCATCGGGTAAGCAATCGAATTGCAAAAAGGCAGGTGGCGTGAAAGGAAGCGGACGCGGGGCAACAAGGGGCACATCGCAGACAGCCACAACATTACTAGACTCCTGAGTTGGAGTTGTACATGCGTCACGCAAGGAAACAGGGGACGCATCGGGCGTCTTTGTATCCGAATCTATTACCCGAAGAGAGAAATGAGCTTCCCTTCAATGCGTGTAGGGGACAAAGAAAATGAGCTAGACTCACGGATGAGGTCCGGAAGGGTGTCGAGTACGTCAAACGAATGAGGTGTGAGCTGGCCAGTAGATACGGGTGGTGTTAATGACGGCACGTCGAACCACAGTGAGGGCCATGCAAAAGCCTCTAGGGCTAGAGAAGGATCTGGCATGCTCAAATTCCAAGCACTGTTGTCCCCCGAAGGTGAAGGTGGAATAACAATTGGGCAGGCAGGGGAAGAGCCTTGTTCTTGAGGGTACTTGCGGTGGTTGAACCTTTGTCTATGTTGCTGGGACATGTTGTACGGATGTGGGTTGCGGAGAGCGGGACAGACCATGACTTTGAGGGAGGGGGCGATAGAGGTGGAATGGAGAGGGGCAGGGAGTATTTAAATGCATGGAGGGCCGACGGGGCTAATTTGCTGAGCTGAGAATCGCAGATTTGAGTGACGAGAATCAGGGAAAGGAGATGTGATCGGAAGTGCGGCGGCTAGTCTCTGCTGCGACTAACTCTGCCACAGAAAGAAGTCCACACACACACCTGAATCAAATACGCCCGACACCGCATGTCAGTGTCACACCTTCCCCATATTTGGCAGCCCTCCAACTTTGCTTAATGCCCATCTCTCCATTATACTCTCTTGTTGTCCTGCATACACCCCTAGCAGTCCGCACTAGCTTGTTGTAGGTAGAATATCCGCATGACAATGCCCTGGGTCCCTGTTATGTATTTTTATGCATGCAATATGTCCTCCCTTTCTGTGGAGACGAGAAATGAATGAACTGTATTGTGCTGTTTCCCTCCGGGAATATTCCAAGGTCGTCGATCCTTCCGCGCTTCGACGTTTCCAGTCGCCACATCCGAGCTTGACTCGCATCTTGTTCGTCTCCTTGCTTTTACTTTTATTGTATTCCTTGCACTCCCTCATGATCGCCCCTCTCTCCAAGGGGTTCGCGCTTATAGGCCCCTCGCATCGTTCTTGCGCCGCGTTGTCATCGCGTTTCTACTCCCAGTCAACACTGTCATCTGTCTCCAGTAATTCAACGCCCTACTTTATCCCACGTAACACACTCGGTTCCCTGCCTGTCTATTCAGATATCCGCAATGGCGGCACACGCTATCTTGTCCTCGTGAAAAATGTTCGCGGAAACATAAACGTAAGTATCACTATTGCAGCCATATCCTTTATTTGCGTGTCTCATCTTTTTCTCTTGTTCTAATTCCTCGTGTTTTATTCTATTGTTTACTACCAGTCACTGCGCGACGATTTGGCTTCTTCCCTCTTCCAGCCCGGCTCAGAGCAAGCGGCCCGACTCAAAGCGGAAGTCAAACGATCCGACACCCTTGTTGTAACCGGTGGGCGTTGGAAACATGATGTTATGGACTGGCTCCGACGCAAGGGTTTCTAGGGCCCGTAATCTGACACTCTCACCTTTATCATGCATTCGGGTTTGAATCCATTACAGTATGCGCATCTGTTATAATTCGCTACGCCAGTTTTTTCATCTCGGGCGGGCGAAAAGTGATTGTTTAATGCATGCGAAACAAATTTGTCCATCAATTTCGCACAGGCGATCAAGGGAGAAACGCCGCGTAATCGGACTGTTGTTGATTGCAAAGACCATTTTGCGCCGGACTTCACCTTAATGTGTGTTGTCAACCACTTACCTTTTGTTAACCGGTATTCCGCGACTAGTTTGCATCGTACAGTTGAAGGCGGACATTCTGAGACCTCCGGGCTCGGCGGCATCTGAATATAGAAACGAGTTTATGCGAATTGCTGTCGCAGCAATCGTGAAATGTAGGAGCAAAGTAACGACGGGACGGGCTCATCGGACCTCGGCATCTCTGATCTCTACATTTCACCTTTCCAACGTACCTGGATTCAACTTCACGCCATCTTTAGCTTTCTCACCTGGAATAATCTCCGAAAATTCACAAAGGAGAGACTCCGCTTGCCAGCATAGCATGAGATTTTCCACAGCGGAAGCAGAACTTACCCTTTTTGCTTCACAGGTAACATCGTCATCTTTAAATATCCCAGATTAGAAGTGTGCGACTCGGCGCACATTTCGGCGTACTGGCATATGTACAGGCACGTCGTCGGGGTCGCGACAAAAGAGGGATCGGGCATGTCTTTAGTTTGACTGATCATGGCTCATTCTGCGCTGGTTTGCGAACATTTAGCTTTTTCTCTCAGTCTGATTCTATTGCGCATTGGAGCTACAGAGTACATCTGTACGTGCCTAGACAGGAGCATTAGCGGCTTTATTTTGCTGGTACCTCACATCATTCGTTCATTCAGACCTTTGCTTCAGGAGTCAACAGACGAAACATATTAAGATGGTCAATGGTGTCTCCATTTGCTACCCCTTGACATCGGTTCAGAATTCATCTCTTCAGAATTACCATAAATCGCACATGCGAGCATATCTTGCCAAGTTGCTAACAGTGGGCCAGAAAATACAACGAATAATGTGCTCGACCTTTTACTAACCTAACCAACAAAAATAAATAATAAATAAAAGGCGTTCATTACATAACAAACGCGAGTCTCGTGACTTGCGTTCTGTCGCGTTGAACAAGAGCCTCGGTCATTTCCGAGCACGTTTGAACCTCACCCTCCAATGTCGTCGTCGTCTAAGGAGAACAATTGCTCTGTCATGTCTGTAGCACGGACGGCGGCAGACAGCGGCGACGTGTTCGGCGTGTCGGCGGCATCCGACGTGATGTTAAGCCCGCCTCCAGAAGAAGAATTAAGGTGCACGAGGAGACCTGTAAGCCACTGTTCATTGTTTGTTCGATTTCATCATTTCATTCGCCCGTCCACGTTATGGTGAAAATTGCAGACACACGAGCCAAGCTCCGCCTCACGGCCTTTAGCGCACTCCATGCGTCCCAACCAGCAGTCACCTACCGCGTACCAGACTTCAAAACGCAAACGAACGATTACTGGTGCGAGTGCTCGTGATTCGTCTAGTGCACAACAGAGCCAGCAAGAAGGCGTTAGCATCGTTCAGCATACACCTAATCCACGGGTACGCAAACAAGTACGTCATGCAGAGGCTTCGCCTATCGCGGCGCATATCACCAGCTCGTTTGCGTCGCTGGGCTCTCCATCCAGCCGAAGGAGTCCGCAAGTACAACCGGATGCACCAATGACACCGACTCGCAAAGGAAAGGGCCGCGGTCCGTCTACAGAACTTGGTCCACGGAGTCCTTACGCTTCAAATCCGAACGCTGATTACATTCCTCTTGAACGTTTGGTGATATCTCCTCAAGGTACTAACGTACGCCGTCGTTCTGTAACACCCATTCCACCGTACGAACCGCCAAAGGAAAGGTATACTCCACCACGTGAAATTGTTGTGTCTCCACCTGCGGGCGCGGAACGGAAGCCTGTACGACGCGAATCTGGGAAGAAGAAACGTGTTTCTGTCAAAACTGAGAAACCTCCGGTGCAACTGTGGATTAAGACGGAACCGCCTGAGATAGATTTAACAACACCAGCACCTCCTGCGTCTCCTAGCGAGGATCCTATTCTACTGGTCGGCCCTCCAGCGATCAAAGTTCAGCGTCCGTCACTTCCTCCGGGCGATGCGCATGACGTGAGTCTCGTTGATTTCGAAATGGATCTCGACCTGTCAGAGACCAGAGAACACGCTTCATCTCTTCTCAACCAACATACACTGGCGAATCCAGCTCGGTCCGGCTCGTCTATACCACCATTGTTTGACTTCAGCAATGTTAACGATGATGATCATATGGGCCTAGACAACGATGGAGGTGATATTAGTACTGATGTGGACTTCGGGACTGTGGTGGACGATGGCCTTTTCGCTAATGTCAATGATGATGGCTGGTCCGATTCTGATGGCGACAACAACGATGTGGAAGAAGGCACGTCAATTGGCGAGGGTGACTTCACAGGCAAATTCTTAGCTTTCAAGGCTCCACTGAAGGATCCGCCGACGGGTGAATCTGGCGATAGGATGGAAGAATGGGCGCGACCGATTAGTCCACATCCGAAAAAGCTGGCGATCACTGAGCCCAAGGAGGAAGACGAGGATGTAGATCTTGGCACAATCTCTGTACAGCCTGTTAGCGAGACTACTGGGTTGAATAAGTCTTCAGCTATTAGGATTGGTTCCGAGAGTGAGGATGAATACCAAGCAGACGAACGTCCTAGCTACAGTGACAGACAAGGCCGTCGGCTAACACTGAGCGAGATGGAGGCAATGAAATTTGGGCCGAGGCCTCCTACACCCAAGCTTGGTTCCTCTAGCAGAGGCGAAAGTAGCCATGTGATTGGAAGTGATGAAAGCGATGGGGAGAATGACGAGCTCATAGACGCCAACAAGAATACGTTTGGACGGCAGGAGAGCCATTCAGACCTAGCGAATCCTAAGCAAATGGATATTAATGATCAGAACACACTATTGGATAAATTTAACTTCTTGGATGTCAGTTCGGAACGATGTTCTAACAACGTACATGCGTCAAATGACTCGCACCGCCAACAGGTACGGCTACTTTCAGATTGCTTTCTGTTAGCTTGCTCATTCTTGTTCCCAGAGTGCTGTCGTAGAGGAGGCTGTCGTTTTGCCACCCCGGTCTGTGTCAGAGCATTCTTCAGGAGAGTCATCTCAGAGCACCTTGAATAACACCGAAGATGCGCGTTCTGTCTGTCAAGAACATGTTCAGGACTATGGGGTTGGCGTTATTGCTGCTTTAGATCCTGCGTTTATTATTGATGCACTTTTCAGCAGGAACCACGATGCCTCAACCTTGCAAAAGAAGCAACGCAAGAAGGATTAATGAAGGCTGATTCTATTTCGCATAGAGGCACACCCCCTCCAGATGGTGACCTGTCTGACTGCGACACTGAGGTTATCACAGATGAGGAGACAGGAGATGACTCTGGGGATGGCATTGTGGACCTGAGCGTTGTCAAAATTATGTCTGACGACCCTATGGCCGCCGCAAGAGCTGCTGCGATCTTGAAGATGGTGCGCATCTATCGTTCATTTCACATACACTCTCTGAGGCTGACGGAAATGAATCAAACAGCATGATTACGACATGGTAGCGCGGAAGCTCAGAAGACGAAGGACGACAGCAGGTGGCGTTTCGAAAACTTACAACACACCAAAGAATATGCAATTGTGGCGCAGGCGGACCGTTGCGGGCCTGTCCGCGGAGGACGCGCTTTCTGCTAATGTATCGTTACCTGAGCTTCTTGAGAGGGCTGAAGAAGAGTTGCGAAGCACTCCCGCAAGAAGCCGCTCTGGAAGCGTCGCCTTCAGTTCCGTTGGGAGCCCGCAAAAATCGCGCGATCGTGACTTCTTGTACGAAGATTCCGATACACCCGGAAGTCGGGAATGGACTAAGGAAGACTGGAAGTTGCTGGACAGCTGTTTCACAGATGAGCGGTATGATCTAGGCGAACAGCAGGGTCTTGAGCCTGGATGCCTCGCTGACGTTGATGATGTTCCTCTGGAAAGTGTCGTTGAGAGATTCGTGGAACTCATGGGCGGTGCTGAGACGGTAGATAGTCATGGTGAATATTGGACAAAGTAAGTAACAGAATCTTATCTCGTTTCAAGATTCTAATGATCCCGTGCTATGGCAGGGAGAAGCTCATGAGCCGTACATATGCATTGTGTAAGAAGCAACGTTCCGGCAATGTGGCACCTCCAACTCCTGACGTGTCTGCTCGTTTTTCAACACCATCGCGATTCTCTACTCTGAGCCCTTCGTCCAGCATGATTGTCCCAGACTTTACACCCTTGGCTGTTGAACGGACCCGACTTTTTTTTGATTGCGGTTCCGTGAGCAGGAAGGCACAGCTTCCTCCCCCTTCGTCAGAGTTCTTCTTCAGAGATTCTTCAGTCCCTGCAAGACATTCACGTCTGAGGGATCAAATGACCTCTGAGCGCATGTCTGAAACACCGAGATCTGGCCGTGCTCTAGGACTCTTTGGTTTCGCAACTCCGAAAGTGAACGAGCGTGAAGATAGCGATGATGAATCGGTTGCTCAAGAAGTAGAAACGTTGTTAACTCCAGTCACCGCATCAAGAATGCAGCACGCAAGGCCCGAATCAGCCGTCAAGCGTTCACTTAGCTACATCACATCGTGGCTTAAACCGGATATGTATAGATCAAAGTCTGAGGAACGTAAAGGATCGCAACTCCCTGGTCTACCTGTTCCCCCGTCTGACGTTTTGTCGAGACCGCGTGGACCGGTGGAAACACCTGTCCCCAAACCCGCATCGAGGGCTGTACCTCCAAAGGACATGGTGTCACTGGAACATGTCCCTCCGCCCCAACCATCTAGACTTCCACGGCGTTCGAAGCCACGCCGTCTTGTAGACCTGAACCACGTACCAACCCCACAACCTAAGGAGGGAGTAAAGAGGACCATTCCGCGCCGATCGAGCTCGTCAAGCGTTAAGGATCTTGTCAAGGAATTCGAGCAGAAGGAGAAGGGCAAAGTGCAGGCACTCCCACCACGCGTTGCGGAACTAAGAAGACAAGCCAGCGTTGGCTCGCTCAAAGCAAAAGGTAAACCAACATGGAGACCGTGATTTCTGTCTTGTTTATTCTTCTATTGTTCAGTATTGGTTTCTTATCACGCGTTGCTTGTGTAATGAGTTTTGGATGTTTACTATTTTTTTTTTCTATTTTTCTATTTTTGCTGTCCGTCATATGCTCTCGATGCAACACAATTGCTATAAGAATGTATATCATTAGACTATGTGAATGTCTTTTGTAAATCTTATTATGGACTATTATGGATTGCTTGCTTAGAATACAAATTATATGTTTTGGTTACTGAGACGGCAATGCTCATAATATGCATAATCACACCAAACAGTGGGACAAGTAACGAGTATCAGTCCAGAATTTTGCCAAACTTCCCTACACCTTCTCCATCCAATATGACTTCGTCACTGATCCCTTCAAGACGTTTGAGCTCTCGCCGAATATATTTCGTGAGGGCGTACATAAGTTCAGGGTATCGGACGTAGAGTTCGACGTCTTTCCCTACAAAATCGTACACGCCTGAACCGTCGTCAGTTTCTTCGAGTTTTCTAAGGCTGTCCTCGGGTCGGTCTTTCTGTAACTTCTCCTTGCCATATTCCCCAGAGATGTTAACGGCACGACGTACGCGTCCCGGATCGTCAATTCCATGTGCACCGCGTGCACCAAGGAAGTTACGCCATACGGCGGCTGCCATTTCTGCGTCGCCGTCGCCGCTCCTAGGGCCTGCGATGTTTTTTGCGAAAGGGGAGGAAAGGCCAAGCGCATAGTCTAGAGAGGCATTGAGTCCTGCCCATTGTTCTCGTAGAATTTTCATTTGGCGGGTGACAAGACGTTCGGGTGCCTTCTCTGAGAGGGTCTGCCGGATGCGTTCTTCAACATCTAGGAAGAAGTGGTCCACGAGGCCTATAGCAATATAAGCATGGCTTCATCTTGTCTGAAATCTCAACATACCTTGCACGAAGTTGTCTCCGAATGGTGGAGGTAAAGCTCGGAAACGGACGGTAAGGAGCCAGACATGTAGATTGGTCACGGTAAACCAAGTTTGGAACGTTGGTGGTAATCGACACTCTACATAAAATTCACTCAGTCAAAACGAAAGAACTTCTGTTTACTGCACCGTACCTTTGTGCCAAAATTCCCGCTCCTCGAGCTCTCTGACCGCACAAGCATTTTGGTAGTAGTGGTAAGAAGTCCGACCAGCGATTTGTCTAGGGTTTCCCATCCCTAGGTTTCCAATTACAGCTTTGAAAATGGACATAGCTCTTGGCGAACGACGAAGATATTGAGCTAGCCATGTCTCCTGCTTTGGCGGAGGTTTCTTGTACTCGTAGAATCTGTTTGCTAGGTTGGAGGACTGTGTTTCTTCTGAAGCAATTTTCTTGGAATACGCTCTTTTGCACGAAGCTACTAAGCCACGGCGTTGAAAACCCTGCGAAAGCAGCACGAACCGTCGAGTTGTGCTGAGCATTTTAAGGTTGAGTAGAAAAAAAACTATGACGAGGCTCAAAAGTTGAGACTTGAAATGATCAGCAGGGACGCGTCTTCCGATTCGGTCATTGCCGAGTCGCGTCTTTCGGACGATGGGCACCTTGCTGTTTAGCATACAGCCAGTCTTTTTCCTCTCACCCTTTCCTTCTGACTCACCTCTCCATCCCCTTCGTCCTTTCCTCCTCAGACTCAACAGCCACCAATATGAGCACTGGAAATACTCCTTCGCGGTCGGCGACGCCAGCCATACCTCCGACTGGAACCGCGAATGGGGCAGCACACGCTGTAGCACCAAGTCGCTCTGCCACGCGTGGTGAGGTTGGCAATAGCAGTCTTGGTACATTCGGAGTGAGCATCAATACTAAATCATCAAAGAGAAATTCATTGACAAATAATTTTTGTGCCAAAGGTCAAATCTGGGCTGGCGCAGATGCTTAAAGTAACTGATTCCCGTGGATTGCAGGCGAAACTCGCTCACAGGTGTTCTTGTTCTAGGGAGGTGTCATAATGGACGTGACCAATGCAGAACAAGTAAGGAGCTGGTATTGAACCAAACGACTATATCTCATGAACATGTCAGGCTCGTATAGCTGAAGAGGCTGGGGCATGTGCCGTCATGGCTCTCGAACGGGTTCCGGCGGACATCCGCAAGGAAGGCGGCGTAGCACGTATGGCAAGTCTATTCTTCTCAGTAGCTATTTTTATCAGTGCTGAGGTCATTCTTACATTCTCCTGAATAGAGTGACCCGAAAATGATTAAAGAGATTATCGATGCCGTAACTATACCTGTCATGGCGAAAGTACGCATAGGACACTTCGTTGAAGCGCAGGTTGGTTTTTTGGAGCTTGGCTTCCTGCGAGCTATAGCTTATTCGATATCATTTGCTCCGTCAAACAGATTATCCAGGCTGTCGGTGCCGACTATATTGACGAGTCAGAGGTTCTGACACCTGCGGACGAACAACATCACATAAACAAGCACACCTTTAAGGTGCCCTTTGTATGTGGAGCCAAGAACTTAGGCGAAGCTTTGCGTCGTATCTCCGAAGGTGCCGCTTTCATTCGCACCAAAGGTGAAGCTGGAACTGGTAATGTTGTTGAAGCCGTACGCCACCAAAGGGCAGTCATGGCGGATATCCGCAGAGCTAGCGCTATGAACGACGAGGAACTATATGCGTTCGCAAAAGAGTTAACGGCTCCTTTCCATTTACTCAAGGAGGTCGCACGTCTTAAGAGATTACCTGTTGTCAGCTTTGCCGCAGGTGGAATCGCAACGCCCGGTATGTGATTTAATCAAGTCGAGACGTGTACGAGATGCTGACACCCGATACGCTCAGCTGACGCCGCCCTTATGATGCAACTCGGTTGCGATGGTGGTAAGTAGCTCATTTCTTGCGAGTTCGATGCGATGTTCAATTTATTACTTAGTTTTTGTTGGTTCCGGTATTTTCAACGTGAGTATATGAAAGGAAGAAAGGTTGGATTGTTTATTAACGCAAGGATAGTCTGGAGATCCTGCTAAGCGTGCTCGCGCTATAGTCCAAGCGGTACGTTTTTTTATCTAATTGCTATTTGGTTTACTGACGACGCGGTTCTGCTAGGTGACTCATTACAATAACCCGAAAGTTCTTGCTGAGGTAAGTCCAGAGCAGACTGCTGAGAACGGTATGTAGCTCATTTGAGGCAAAAGGTATCGGAGGATCTGGGAGAAGCTATGGTCGGTTTGACTATGTGAGTAGTAGACATCAAGTTTCGTCAAACGCATCTGACAACCTCTGCGCAGCGACGACAACATCAAGGGTGGTCGACTCGCCACGCGTGGGTGGTAACCAATACAATACAATTAAGAATAGAAGTACTTCGATCCCAAACCAAGAAACACAAAGTAATAAGTACACGCACGATTGTAATGAACTGTAATGAATTGGATCACATTACGACACCTAAAGATATCGTAGCGTAACTGGCACCAATAAGCAACGCTAAGTTCTGCAAGGAGTTTGTATTGTGTATGTATGCATATAACAATGTTTCTTTATTCCTTGCTTTTAGCAAATAATGATACACGAGAAGCCTGATTTGTATGAAACTAGTCTTCTGAATAACCTAACTAGCCGTGCCAGAAGGTTAACGCCAGCTCTTACTCAAGGAGACTTACTTATTCCAGTCAGAGCTGAGGTTGTGACTGTCCATCGTGCAAACAACCCTTAACCTCATTCGAATTCCGGTCTGCAATTGGAGACGGAACAAGGTCTCTCTCGACAAATCAGAGCTAAGTTGAAGGGATGTATAATAACAATGCCCGTCGTCAGACAGATGGTTACAAAAAGCATCTGATGTTACATGATCGTTTTTCACTACTTTAAGACGAGGGGATAGAAGGATATAATACGAAACACGCCGGGTTACACTACTCATTCGATGCTTGGAACAACAGACTTATTAACAATGATAGAAGGGATAGTACGAACGCAGATACTGAAGCAGAAGTATGAAAGGCGCAACGTTAATGATACAAAGGAACTGCGGGCTTTGAAGAATTGCAATGTTTTCTCCATCCAATAGTGAAAATAAAGTGGATGTAAGGATAGTAACTTAAAGAATGTCATTTAAAGTATGGGCTTGTAGAACAGGCCGACTGTCGAGTCTCTGGATACGTGCGAGCTTCACATGAAGTACATCAGTACCTCCTGCGCCTTGTGCACGTTCTGGAAGCCCTTGATCCAAGGCGTGAGGTCGAACTCCCCGCCAGTTGACGAGGTGTCATCATCGAAACGAAGTGTTGGATCGAAGTGATAGTCCGCTCTCGCACAAGCAATCTGAAAAGGGAAGCTAAAGGTAAGTATATATGCTACCTTAGCATCAGTTGACTCACATCGGCATCTGCAGAAAGATCTTCCAGTTAGACTTTTTTACACTAAAGGAGTTGATCTGATACTTACAGTAACACGGTGCCGGGATTGAGACGGAGCGTGTAGCACGGGCATATGTGTAGCACAGGGAATAAGAGAAGTCCGCAAGCCTAGAAGAATTAGTGTGACGACTGCAACTGAACGGGGTCGACCTACATGTCCGCATTGAAGCCATTGTCGTCTCGTACGACAATATAATGGCTTGGACGAGATGCTAAGTATGTATTCGTCAACATATCTCCCTTGGGAGCGGGGACAACTCCTTACTTCCAAGGAGACCACCATGCGACTGGAGGTAAAAATCGAAAACGCCAGGGCTTGTAATTTCTTGATCGACAAACAAGCCAGCTGGTGCATTTCCACTCTTGTCTGCCGCCCGCGGTTCTTTCGGGATGAACCGAATATGGTGTCGCTTGCCAACAACGATGAATGTTAGTTTGGCGCGGTATGGCATCTTTTCTTTTGCATATATGCTGTCAATGATGCCTGGATGCAAAACAAAGGGTTGTGGTCAGCCTTTGATGTGTACACCTAGTCTGTGGATCCGAGGGTGACCAAACATACTCATGATCTGTTGAACCTCATTTTCGACAACCTTATGAATTTCTCCTTCCGACACTCCATCCCTATAGACGATAATGCGCTCTGGGAGTACCACAGTCGAATGTATGTGCTTCCTGTACCTATAGAACATTTGCAGCGCATACTATAGTACACGATACACTTTCAATGTGTAGACTGGAAGAAGAAAGAAAGACACAATTACAGCCATGAGGCTACCTAAGCCCTCGATAATCTCGGTTCGTGGACCTTGGACTGCACATCTGGAGATATACTTCGAGATACTTTCATCATACGATGAAACCAAAGCAGCAACTGAGGGACGTAACACCCCTGGTCCCGGATGAGTGACATCCAAACCTATAGTGATCATTAACTACCTGCAGTTGTATACCCACAAGAATACAACTTTACCAACGACCATAGTTCTGCCGTCCGATAACTGCCTAAACGACAGAGAATCAACGATAGAATTGACACCTCCAAGCTTTGCATTTATCCTTGACAAATCAGTGTAAGACAGAGCGTTTCCACAGTAAGCAAAGACTACTTGCTTCAAAACTAGGTTATTATGATACTGGTTGTTAGCCCTCATCAGTTTGTCGACACGCTTCGTACGATCAAGGATCAACAAGCCACATCTACATTTACAATTGACTCGTGAACTCACAACGCACTGTGTGACGACACCATGCATGATGTCCCCAAATTGTTTTACCGTTTTCTTCAACGGTGCAGCATTTTCAGGAAGTATGATGAGAAGCAAAGTTGGTGGCTTTCCTGTAGCCTTTACTGCTGCCATGCGGAACTCGTTCAGTGCCTGAGAAAGATAAATACCCTGTGCAGGCGACAAAGTTTAAGACGGATACCTCGCCGGCCTTATAGACGGAATCTTTCCTGATTGGCGGGTAGAAGTCTCGAAGCCCTTTCGCTTGCTTGAATGATATCATGTTGTTAAGTTTAAGGTGACTCACTCATCCCTGGTAAACACACGTCAGCTAGTTGAAATTTGTAGATTCTTTGGCTACCTACCAACGGCTGACATGGCATTTGCGAGTGCAGTCACGAATGTCTGTATTGCCGCTAACTCGATTCTCGCAAATGACATGACACCCCAATTTTCTACGTCCTTTGGTTCTGTCAACCGCCGGCCGACCATATTCCAAGAGCCTGAGTTCGGCTACGAGAAGAAAAATACAAATACAAATACAAGGATGAACGTCTAGGCTTCGCATATTTTACTGTGCTACTAACCGACAATTTCGAGCCTCCCCCGTACATCATCACAGGAGGATTCAAAAGTCGTCCAGAAATGGACATGGGCTGAGGCGACACCCTCAAACCTGCCTGCTGGGTAAAAGTTGAGCTGCCAAATTGCAGTTGCTAAAGGGTGATATTAAGCGTCAATCATACTTCTAATCTGTTTTAAAACAAGTGTCTGCAAACCTCCATTCCCCGCCGCAAGATCTCCAACCTTTCATTCGGCTTCTTCTTCGAAAAATTCATAATTTGCGCCATCAACTCCGGCGAGGTTTTCTTTCTGAAAAACTGGCCCTCCTTAATGTGACAAAGCTCAAAGGGAATGACTTCGTCTTTCCTTGTGACTACACCAGGCATCCGAGGGTATCTCAAATTGTAATGGTACTTGTTATTGAAGTATTCCTGAAATGTATTATTTGTCAGTACTTCGTGTAGCGATACAAACATTGTACAAACCATCACAGTCATCTGCTGTCCATTTGCAAGGTTGAATTCATACTCTCCTGCTTTCGCAACAATCGATCGGATCGTCCTAAGGCGCTTCGTGTGCTGGAGTAGTACCTGTAATCCTTTCAAAACACTTTTCATTCGTGGCCATGCCTCATTGTTTTCATCGCATCCATCCAGAGAGCGAGAGTCAGGAATACGGAGGTAAGCGCATATGAACGCAATGAGATCCCCACGTTGGTACCTTCAAAATAGTGAATTTGTGAACACTATCAGTAGTCGTCACGAATCCACTCAGAACATCTGCTCACATGACAGCAGTCGCCATGTCCATGTTCAATAGCAATCTGCCAAGAGTTGGCCGGACCGATCTAGGCAATGTGCTGTCAGTTGTACGAGAAATAATAGTAAAGAGTGTCTGGACAAACGCGAAGAAGCCCCGCCAAATCTCAAAACCTCCAAATGACTGATGACCGGAGCTGTCGAAGAACTTCTGCTTCGTATGGACTGGAATACGCCTAAAGATAATGCTTAGCTCAACCTGCGGTAAGTTATGCACTAAACTAACAGTGCGGCAGCTTGCTGCACGAGAACATTCAACGCCTGTAAAGGCGTCGTAATAATTGGCATTCCTGCCCCTTCTCCTTGCAGAATACGTGCTAAGTCGCTACAGTTGCCAGCATATGAGCCAAGAGGGACAGCACGGAATTTGCATTATTTACCTGGGCGTGATGTCTGCAACTTTTGTCAATTTTACATTGAAAATCTTGGACTGCGGATCAGAACGATCGCTCATATAGACTTTGAACTATCAAAAACAATAGTGAGAAAATCCCAGTCTCTCAGCACGACAAATTACACACCGTCATGGAGCCTTCGGGAAACAAAATTTGACGAAGAACATATAAGTTTTTCTTCCCGTCAAAAGCGCATGCCACCCGACTAAAGACGTTGGGGGCGGTATGGTTTTGAAGCCGGTGAATAATTTCTGTCGCTAGTCTGGACGGTATCTGAGTATCGTATTCTGATCATGGAGGAGTGGCAACTTGGGCTGACCTTGCATTATTTACTGCAGGGCTAAATACTAAAGAGTATGACTATAATTGGTGGTCGATTATGCGTGTTAGTGATGAATGCGCTCACCGACTAGATGAAAGAGCGATGAGCACGTTATAAAAGACACGTAGAGTAGACTCACCGTCATAATGAGAGAATGGATCTTTCGGAGGGGACATCACGACAAAGGCATTCACAAGCACTTCATAAGGGTGGCCTTGGGTGCAGAACCCTGGGCGACGCGCGAGTTGCAAGGGGGCCATTGGACTCGAGGAGGGGAAGAGATGAGATGAATGTGAGAGGAGAATGGGGAATATAAGCGCAGAGAATGCGCATAATAAATAAGGCGTTGAATTGGGGCGTCTTTCAAGTACGCCCAGTCGAGAAGCAACTGCTGCCTGGTGGAAGACACGACTGTGAATTTGAACTGATCACTGAATACAGGATGGCGCCTGGCGTTCTGCATGCTTCTATATTAGTATTAGTATTAGGGTTCGTTCTACTTATATTAATCTTCTTGCGTGACAATTGTGAGCGTAACGCGTACGTGACTGTCCATCATTACCTGAGACTCAGAGTCTATCCTGTCTGCGCCTCGTCACTCTACATCCTCTCCCCTCCGACTGCTATCTTCCACCCTTCCTTCTGGTCAATTGCTGTAGAACTCTATTTACTAGATATGACTACACCAGAGTACGATTATCTTTTCAAGCTGCTTCTTATTGGTGACTCTGGGGTTGGCAAGGTGCGGCTCTGCGCAGTCGTCATCACATCCAAACACTTACCACCGCTTCGCTTTGCACGTTCCAGTCCTGTCTCCTTCTTCGCTTCGCAGACGACACATACACGGAAAGCTACATTAGCACAATTGGTGTCGACTTCAAGATCAGGACGATTGAACTTGATGGGAAGACTGTGAAGCTGCAGATTGTGCGTAAGACGTTTTGCTCAGGCCTCACTCGTCCCTGTTCAAAGCCTTCATCACACCATTACTCCCTGTCATTTGCTCGTCCAAATCCATCTTATGTTTCCCTAAATTTTCAATCATTGCCGTGTCGTTATGCTGACCTTTTCTCCTTGCAGTGGGACACCGCAGGTTAGCACCTCGTTCACTTTCAGTAAGCATCTCGGCCAATTTTATCCATTTCAGGACAAGAACGGTTCCGCACGATTACTTCGTCATACTATCGCGGAGCACATGGCATTATCGTCGTATACGACGTCACCGACAATGGTCTGCTCAGCTTACTTGTTTTTGTGTTCTTACGTTAATTCCCCATTCAGATACGTACAAGAACGTAAAGCAGTGGTTGCAAGAAATTGATCGCTACGCGTCGGACAATGTGAACAAGCTTCTGGTCGGGAACAAGTCAGACCGTACAAACGAGAAGGTGGTTGAATACGCCGTCGCAAGTGCAAGTGTCACTAAGCCACTCCCATTTTTCACGTTTATCTGACGTTCTCTCTTAGGAATTTGCTAAACAATTGGGCATACCGTTCCTGGAAACATCGGCAAAGACGGCTCTCAATGTCGAGCAGGCTTTCTTGACAATGGCTAGAGAAATTAAAGAGCGGTAAGACCGCGTTACCTATCCTTTTTTCATCACCTAATTTTGCATGTAGGACAGGAACTGCTACGAAGGCAAACAAGGATACTGTTGTGCCCAAGGAAGGCCAAGCTCTACAGTCGAATTCTGGCGGGAATTGCTGTTAATTTCGAGGAGAACCCGCCGTCGGTTGACTTGTCCGGTTTGGAGAGTGATTCCTCAGTCTCGACAAGCCTGGCTATTTGTTTCATTCGTGTCTTCTGCGCATGTTCATTTCTACATGAGCCACTTTCGTGCCCTCTGCCTGCAGAGGCATGCATTCCATGTCATTATTACATTTGAAGACCTTTCCTCTCTTCCGTACCTCGTACATGGTTGAACATATAATTGGTTTTGACTTTGACTGGTTTGTTCGACCTGATAGACATTCAACTCTTCCGTTTATTTCTCTGCACGTGCACAGTAAGCGAGCCAGATTAGAGCCTTAACTGTCAGCCCAGCAACTGCAATATTGAAGTTTCGTTTCGGACTCGACGCAAGCTTCTGTATGGAGGTCAGCCGATGAAAGCCTTCGAACAGATTCATTGTTTGTCTTTTGTATCCGCCTTTTGGCCAACCAGACGGCCTCGTTCATCTTCATGGCTTCATACTCATCCAGTCATCAATCCGGTGTTTCTGCTGGCTTCACGCTGCGCCTGTCTAGAGTTCCCAAACGTTTCATCAGACCAGCATTCTCTACTGGCCAGAAATTCTATGGTCAAGTCCAACTCCAAGGCGCAGATGAATAGTAAATTGAATTGCTTTGCCATCACGTTTGCTTGTTGCTGATCCTTTCCCCGTAGTGCGTATCTTGTTCCTCTGAGGTAATCCAGCTTGTTCTCCGGATTCTACGTTTTGATCATACCGACGCCTAAAACAATTACAGCATTGGTGATCAATTCTTTCAAGCAATATTTGACACCGGTTCTTCTGACTTGGTACGTACAGATCTAGAAGTTCGAAAAGTGTTCATTGATATTTCGCAGTGGATCGTTTCGTCGGCGTGTACAAGCGTTGACTGTCAGCGAGTCAGAAAGTATAACCCAACTCCTACACTAGCTCCCGCCAACGCGTCGTTCCAACTTACTTATCTAACCGGCGCAGTGTCAGGTTCCATTGCATATGAGACGGTAGTTTTCGGGCCGTATGTCGTCTATTCGCAAGTTTTAGGTGAGTTCGAATTCTGCCCGGGAACGACCGTTCATTTTCATGTCCTGTTCTTCAAGCACTAGCGAACAGTACCACAAATATGGGCTTAGCCACGACTGGAGTGAGCGGTGAGCGCCGATGCACTTAACTAATTTGAACTGACTAATGAGTAGACAAGGTGTACTTGGACTTGCTTTTCCTAAGGAAGCAGCAATATCGATGACAATTGGCCGTACATTGCTTGACAACATTTTCGCTGGTATCGACCCTAGTGAACGACTCCTAGCGTTTAAATTAGACGCGGATGAATACTCAAGCTCCTTCTCAGTCGGGCAAATTGACCCCCACTATGCTGACCGTCTGTCTGACATCTCATACTCTCCTGTTTTCTCATCCAAAGGAGCGGAATATGACTACTGGAAGCTCCCTCTGCTCTCCCTCTCTCTTAACTCTGTGCCGGTTCCTTTTACGTTGTCCTCATCTAAGGTTCGCGACTCGCCCTCGCCTATAGCAGTCCTGGATACTGGAACAACTTTAATTCTCGGTCCGAGCCATGACGTCGACAATTTCTGGACTATTGCAGGCGGTACAAGGAAGGGTGAAGACGGAATGTGGCAAGTACGCTGTGAACATGCTGTGACAGTAGGCTTTCTCCTGGGAAATGACAGCTCGCGCAAGGAAATTATTCTGGATCCTTCGGACGTCAGCTGGATGCCTGCTGGCAGCCGCCCAGAAGACGGCTGGTGTCTCGGTGGCATTCAGAGCAATGATGGGGTACGTGTTTTCTTCCATCAAATGGATTCACACTGGATCGTGCTTCGATGTTTTGTTTCTGACTCGAGTTTGGACGCCTTCAAGGTCTTCTCAGGAGATTGGCTTTTGGGGGACATTTTCTTAAGGGTGAGTCACCCACGTTGCTGGTTCGAGCTCCGACGAACCTCAAAATTGGAATACATAGAACGCCTACGTCGTTCATCGTGCTGAAACGTTGGCCTCGCCACCACTGATCGGCTTATTGGGTACAACGAATACATCTGCAACATTCGAGCAATTTCAAATGATTAGAGGGAATGATTCATCTGGTCCGGCCTTCCATGCCCAATTGCCCTATCACACCACAAATCCGCCATCTCTCGGTGTGATCTTTGCAACTACGTTGATTTCCTCATTTCTCGGAGGAGTAGGCCTTGGAGTATTGTTCCGATTTTATCGGGAGAAAAGAAAGAAGAATGTTATACTGAAAGCGGTACATACACACTGGTAGTAAAAAATAGTACACATGACAGAGATGGAGCTACATGATAAATATACGTCAAGAGAAGTTGCGAATAACATGTCTGGGCTAGTCCTTGTCTGTTCTCGTTGATATTTGGATAGCTTTTACTTCTGCTGCTGGTTTGGATTTGCATAAGAAGGATTGTATCCGGCGTTGTGTGGCGACGTCGGACCGGGACTGCCGCCGTACCCTTGCTGCTGCTGCCAACCAGGTGCAAAACCTGCCCCAGGATGCATTGGTTCCCATCTATCCCAGTATTAATGAAACCGACAAAACTCCGTTTGAGGAAGATGACTTACCCTTGCTGCAAAGGCACCCGCCATTGACATATACCGCAGCACCAAATACGATTTGAGTTCATGGGGATGAGCGGTATCCAGCAAATCTCAAACCACGTGCGAGATTTGGCTTGAAAGACTGAAGCTGGAAGACGTAACTGTGAGGACAATTTTGGACTAACGAAAGATGGCCTGCTTGCCATTGTTACACCTGTATAGTTCGTTAACATCATGGCGAACTTAATGAAGGAACAGATTGAATACCTGGGGCAGACTCTCGGTGACTGGTCCCCATCAGGTTTGATCTTAGTGGGACAACCAACTAAACATGGAGTCAGAACACCTCCCTGAATTCAGACGTGCGACCGAGCTCTTGAGACGGAAGTGTTTCGGCGAGGGGTCCATCAGGGCCGGAAGCTTCGGACTTACACAGAATGGGCAAACAAACTGAGAAGTGTGGTTAGTAATAAAGTAAATTTCTTCAACTCCATTGTGACTCACAGAAGAAATCCATTCCACAACAAAATTAATAGGAAGGTTTGGAGAAGAGGACGGTTGAGAGTGACTTGCTACCGTGAGCGTTCTGCTGCGGGCCAAGCTTGCTGAGCTATTCCTTCACTCCACTGCTTCTTCATATAGTAAAAATTTCTCACGATATTCTCATTTGTTGAAAACTTTCGTGATTCGTAAACATTGAATTTCCGAACAAGTGCAGAGCTTCTTCTTCTGAATGATCTTAACAAGCCGCGACGCAATGCAGTGAGATTCTGAACGGCGGACACAAGAGAGCCTTTGCGGTCTGGTTCAAGGGGCCGAAGTGTCCGACCATGTGCTCAGTAAGCATAATTGATCCGGGAAAACGTCCTCCCATAAGGATCAGACTCGAATTATAAAACGTGGGCTGGAATTTATTGTGAGTTTAGTCGTCTTCCTTAGTGCCATGAGTAGTGTCCACGAAAGCTCAATCAATGCGTCACAGACAATAGCCTCTGAGTCGGTTGAGAAGGGTCCGCGTATAGATGATTCGTCCGATGGCAAGGATAGTGATCCTACTAGAACACGAGCGAAGTCAATAGACGAAAAGACTCTCAATGATCCTGAGTCACTTGTGAGGGAGGAACGCGAGGCAACGAGGGCAGCAATACAGGAGCCCGAAGGGAAAGATGATGTGTTTCCGGACGGTGGACTCCGTGCTTGGCTAGTGATTCTCGGAGTGAGTTTTTATGTTTGTGCTGAATTTCGTTGACATTAATAATTATCCCCAGGGCTTCTGTACTACATTCTCTAGGCAAGCAAGACGCATTATCAACTTTCCAGTGAGGTTAAAACCTAACTTTGACCTTGTAATCCGATGACCAGCTTCGGATTTGTTAATGCTTGGGGGGTAGGTATATTATGCGCAACCCGAGTTTGAGACTTACTAAAGTTCTTTCAAATAGGCTTTTCAGTCGTACTATGAACAAACCCTCCTCCAAGATTCGACGACCTCAAACATGTGAGCTCGCTCGGTTACTAAAGTATTGCTGCGCTCATGTATATTTAGAGCTTGGATCGGATCTATTCAGGTAAAGTCACCTCTTAAAAAATTCGTTTACAAAGTTCTGACCAATTCTCCAGTATGCACTCACGTTCCTGCCCTCGATCATAACTGGTCGTCTATTCGATTTGGGTTACTTCCGACTGCCACTACTCCTGGCTAGCTGTTTGATGGTCATAGCCACTTTCTTGACCGCTCAGTGCACAGAATACTGGCAGTTTCTACTCTGTCAGGGCTTTGCTGTAGGCGTAAGTACATTAAACCGCAAACGCCCGCTTCACCGCTATGCATACTTATAAATGTCTTGGATCAGCTAGCATCCGGGGTGATTTTTGGTCCTACTATAGCAGTTATTTCGCATTGGTTCAAGAGACGCAGAGGTCTTGCGTTAGGGCTCATTGCATGTGGCTCGTCAACGGGTGGAACTATTTTTCCCATCGCCTTCCACAATTTAGTTGATAAAATAGGGTGAGTCAAAAGTATCCTTAACAGTATTTGCGGCTTAATGACCGATATATAAAGATTTCACTGGACAATGAGAGTAATGGGGTTCATTCTTATAGGCGTTCTAGGCGTAGCGAATTTAGTAAGTTCGAGAGTAGTCGCTGAGGTCAGAGTCCATTGAGAATTCCATCTACAGACCCTAGCACGTCGCTTGCCTCCTGTCCATGTTTCTGGAGGTTTGCTGAATTTACGCGCGTTCAAATCGCTGCCGTATAGCATATACACAATTTCGGGTTTTATGACTTTCCTTGGTCTTTATACAGGTTCATTTATTTTCACGATGAAATTTCAAGTCCGTCAGTGTTACTAATAACTCCACAATAGTGTTAACTTACATTGACGTGAGTGCGGCTTCAAATGGAGTGGACGACAGCTTCGCATTCTATCTCGTGGCAATAGCCAACGCTTCGTCAATGGCAGGACGCCTGATGGCAGGTTATCTTGCTGATAAAATTGGTGATTCATAGATATCACGATCTTACAAACTGGCTAGCAAGCTCATATGTTTTGACAGGGGCAATTAATGTCATGGCACCCTTTACACTTGTGGGCGGAATAATGACGTATATTTGGCCCTTCGTTCGCGGGAAGGCAAATTACATCGCGATCGCAGTCTTTTACGGGTACGCTAGCAACGATTAGAAACTGCTATTGTAACTCACGATCTTGTAGAATGGCGTCAGGAGCATACGTATCGTTACTTGCAGCACCTTTGATTGCTCTTGGTGAGTCTGATAGTTGTTCTTGAGCACAGCCGCGCTGATTTGATTATGCACAGGGGATACAAGCGATGTTGGTCGGCGGACTGGAATGTTCATGTCGATACTAGCCTTTGGGGCTGTTGCAGGTCCTCCTATATCTGGAGCGATAAACGAGGCAACAGGAGGCTACACTGCTGTTGGCATCTATGCAGGTAAGCGGTAGATGGTAGAGTTCTGTGCACATTCTCATTGATATAACATATTTTAAGGATCAGCAGTAGTCGTTGCGGTTGCTGTAATGTGGATTTCGCGCTGCCTGGTATTGGGACGATTTTGGGGAAGATTTTAATAATGCTTTACCGCGATTCTTTTTCTACCACTATCGTTTTCCTTGTAGTCACTTTTCATCTGGGATCTTCTATCGCATGAACGCCCTACCCGATAGACTTGTTTTGTAATGAATGTTGACGCCCATAGAATAGAGTAGCTAACTTGCCTTAAACTAATTTCATCACTAGTAGCCATTTTGGATAACAAGATACAAAGAATACATAGAATACAACAGTGTAAATTACCCAAATACTGTTAACTCGATTGTAGCTGTATAAAGTACTAGAACAGAATATATTATTAAAAATAGTGATGATTTGCATATCTCTGTTCTGCAACATTCTGATCGACGAGATGCCTTGCAATGTCGCGTATGTGTATTCCAGGATTAACTTTGGACAGAGACAGCCGATTGATGGCCTTCATGCGTTTCTTCAACAGGAGAGCCAGAGATCGAATAATAAGAACAGCGACCTCGCCTGAGTAGTATGAGGAGAGGCTTGACAGTCCCGGACGATCCTTGTATCATCGCATTGGCACTCATGCCGGTAAGCAATGGGTAGTAGAACTCTGTACACCTCCACATCAATGCAACCCGTTCAAAAATGTGCAGAATTCGTTTCGGTTAGTGTTACCATGATGTGAATTTTGTCGTGCTGTACGATATTAGGGCGGCTTTGGGGGAAATTCTAACCTTATTTAGTCTTATTTTATTTTACCGGTATGACTTTTACTTGGGATTACTTTCTATTTAGTATCTTCTCCAGGTTGATGTTACCGGAACACGGACTCACGGTAGTATTGCTATGCAATTAATACAACATCTCTAATCCGACTCAAAATGACTTCATTACAGTCAGTCATTTTGTATGCCAAATATGAATATTTAGTCGCACGAATACAAATACGTCGGGCGGCAAAGTCCGAAATAATCTTTTACAACATTTCTCTGAAAATTTCAGACGTAAACCACCACCTACATCGATTGACGACCCCGTCAGATACGTTTGCTCCACCTTTTAGTTCAAGTTGCGTCGACAAGGATTGTCGACTCTTGAACTCATTGCTTGCTGAAATCTTATGTCTGCGTATGTAGCCCCTGTGGCAGCCTTCGGATAGGAACTGATGGGAAGGGCTTTATAGTGAAGAATTTAACGATGTCGAAGCTAACGAGATCGAGTCCAACTGGGACCAGGTCGTCGACAAGTATGTGACTATATGCTACATGCTGAGAGACATGGTGCACTGACCAGTATCGTAACCAGCTTCGACAACATGGATTTGAAGCCAGAACTTTTGCGTGGTATCTACGCATATGGGTGAGGCTCGGTCTGTGGCGACAACAGGGCCTCAAAGCTAACTGACCACTCTCCAGTTTTGAACGGCCCTCTGCTATCCAGCAGCGTGCTATTGTTCCTGTTATAAAAGGCCACGATGTCATCGCGCAGGCGCAGTCTGGCACGGGGAAAACCGCGACATTCTCAATTTCCATTCTACAAAAACTCGACTTGTCCATCAAAGGCACCCAAGCGCTCATCCTCGCCCCTACACGGGAGCTTGCGCAACAAATCCAAAAAGTAGTCATTGCACTCGGAGATTATATGAGCATTGAGTGCCATGCCTGTGTCGGTGGAACCGATGTACGTCAAGACATGGCTACGCTGCAGGCAGGTGTACAGGTCGTCGTCGGCACTCCTGGCCGAGTGTTTGATATGATCAACCGACGGGCTCTTCGCACCGATACCATTAAAATCTTCTGTCTTGATGAAGCGGACGAGATGCTGTCCCGTGGATTCAAAGATCAAATTTATGAAGTATTCCAGCTTCTCCCTCAGGACACACAGGTCGTCCTGCTTTCGGCAACTATGCCGGCGGAAGTGCTTGAGGTGACGAAGAAGTTCATGCGCGATCCGGTCCGAATCTTAGTCAAGCGTGATGAACTTACGCTTGAGGGTATCAAGCAATTCTACATCGCTGTCGAGAAGGAAGAGTGGAAGCTTGATACGCTTTGCGATCTTTATGAGACCGTCACGATCACACAAGCCGTAATATTCTGCAACACACGTCGGAAGGTCGATTGGCTTACTGAGAAGATGCACCAAAGGGAGTTCACGGTGTCGGCGATGGTGAGCCAGTGTCGCATCCGAGCTGAAATCTAACGTTTGCTTAACCTCGTCATCGTTCTTCGGTGATATAGCATGGGGACATGGAGCAAAAGCAGCGCGAGGTGCTGATGAAGGAATTCCGCTCCGGGTCCTCTCGTGTGCTGATTACGACCGATTTGCTGGCGCGCGGCATTGATGTGCAGCAGGTGTCGCTCGTCATCAATTATGATCTGCCGACGAACCGGGAAAACTACATTCACCGTATTGGCCGAGGAGGACGGTTCGGACGCAAAGGTGTTGCGATCAACTTCGTGACGACCGAGGATGTCCGGATGCTCAGGGACATAGAACGTGAGTTGCCCTTGCGAGCAAGAGAGGAAGTAAAATTTCTGGGACGATGATGCTGATACTCCACATGCAGAGTTCTATAATACTCAGATCGACGAGATGCCCCTCAATGTCGCGTACGTGTTTTCCCGGATAAGCACTGGAAAGAGACAGCTGACTGATGGATTGCACACGTTTTTTTCCACAGCGACCTCATCTAAACGGCACGAGCGGAGGATAAACATAGAGAGGGGTTATCGACAGTGTTCATCGGAATGGTGATGGGGTGAAGTCTATCTCGGGTCATGCGGTAATTTACAGCGAGGAAGAAAAGAAGTTGATGGAGTAGTAGCAGCCCACGTCAGCATGTGTGTGTGGTGCACTGTTTGTTGTTCCTAATAGTCTTTTTGTCTTTTTGCATTTCGCCTTCTTATGACGACTAGTTACTACTACTACCACGGCTGCTGCTACGTTTGTTGCCTTTGTGCCTTGCAGTTCGTTGCTGAGACTCGGACTGGCCACTGCTCTAGAACAAAGTCCCGGTGTGAGAGGAAAATAAAGGCGGTGCAGGCTATATGCTGATTGGCGGAAGCATCACACGTTGCGGGTCTTTGATATATCTACATCAAAACGATGTGATACCACTCTGTCTAATCTTTGCCTGAGGCGGTGCTGTTCAGTACAGTTGGGCAGCTCAGGCCACCTTCGCTGGCGCCCCCCGGAACGGTGGATTGTCCGTTCGGCGGTCCAGTCCCACCCAGTCCAGTCTCAGCTCGCATTAGGCATTAGGGGTACATGTACAGCTGCTGCATGTCAACGGAATACGTCGCCTGCCTGCCCGGTGGCCGATGGGATGTCCTCTCAGTCTCATCATCCGCCCAAGGCCCATCGCCAACAATGCGACCCTCCTGTCCTGCCCACACATTCAGCCTTAGAAGCCACAATCCACAAACATGGCCCACACCCTCCACTCTCTTTAAAAGCAGCCAGTCAGACCATCCAAACAGACTCCTTACTATCTTTCTGATCCGGTGAGCGCTTGCCGTCCCGCCTAACAAGCACATCTGTCTCGTCCCTGCTCGAATCGCCTCTCCCCCCAGTTGCTGTCCGTTGCGTGATCGTTGCATCTCTCGTTCACTCCCTCATTGCCGCCTGTACAGCATCTTGCACAACCCATCACATAGTCCCCCTCTCGCGAAACCCTCGGTTCGTACAGATGATGGTATGTATATATCCTACACATGTCTATGCTTGTTATACTGGTTCTAATGTCTACCCATTTACTCAATGTGTGTTCACCCTCTCTCGCCATGTACAGATCACTGAGATTATACCGGGACTATACATGTCGGATCTCTCCGCAGCAGAGAGCTCAAAGACGCACGACTATTATGGCATTACGCATGTCCTAAGCGTCATGCCTGGAAACGTCATCCTGCCACGAACGAGTCGACCCAGTCCCAAGACGCTCCAAATACCGATACGTGATACACCGTTTGAGGAGCTGGCTGGGCATCTCTCACAAACAAGCGCGTTCATCAATGACGCCCTACGTAAGCGCGGTTGCGTACTTGTCCATTGCGTGCAGGGGATGAGTCGAAGCGCGAGTGTTATTGCCGCATATCTCATGGCTGCTAACGGCTGGTCAGTGCGTGAGGCCGTCGACTTCGTGCGCAGTCGCTCTAGTTCTGCACAGCCCAATACAGGCTTTCTCGGACAACTCCAGGAATACTATGATGCTCTCCGTTCATCTCGATGAGACGTGCCACTCACATTTGCGTCTCTCCATTTTGGATTACGGACGGCCGCTTGTCTCCCGCTATCTCTTTGTTTTGTACATAATTATTCGCTTTTCCATCTCACGCTATCATGCATTAATGGTACTGGCGCTGTCTCATCATCACGATACTATTCGGGGTCACGTTTCTTGAATATCTCCACTTGTTGTAACAATTCTGCTATTAGTTCCTTGTACAATAGCTGGTATACCCGCATTCTGTGGTCCACATGGTTCTGTAGGTCTGGCGGAGGAAAAAAGTACATAGTAGTTAAAAAGAAATCCACATCCACCGATCGATTACACAAAAAGAAAAACCAGAGGGAAGAAAGCAGGGAAGCTCTAGGGTAAGAGAGAACAAAATATAGCATATCATCATTATCCACAACATCCCTGTTTGACGCTTGGTGCTTCTAATGCCAAAACATTGTTGTTTGGTTTCGACGGCTTGACGCCAGGAGACTAGAGTATATGCCGTAGCGTTAGTCGCAAGCGTCGGTTGGATCGACATGACGCAACGCACCTTGCCCTGGTCGAAGACCCCACGCTTGACCTTGTCAAGGATATCTTTCGACGCAGTGAAGAATGCCTGCTCAACATTGAGGCCGGATTTCGCGCTCGCTTCAACGAACAATAATCCATTGTCCCTTGCCCATGTCTCCCCCTGCTCTGTTGTTACTTCACGTTGCCGTGCGCCTGACTCAACCAGGTCCACCTTATTGCCAACGAGGATGCATGTGAGATTTGGGTCCGCGTGTTCCCGTACATCATCCAGCCACGTTCTCGCGTTCTCGAAACCTGATGGAGAATAGAAGAACGTCATAAGATTCCTTGAGTATCGCAATTTGTAAAATATAATTATAAATAGCAATGCGTGCGTACTTGTTCGTGATGTTACGTCGTAAACGAGAAGGCATCCGGCCGCGCCGCGGTAATATGATCGCGTTATCGAGCGAAATGACTCTGTACCCGCTGTATCCCAGCCTATAAATGCAGGGGCAATTTATTCTTTTAGGAGTTAAATAGGTTCCGTGATTTGAAGTTCGTTACATTGCAGCTTCACAGTCTTGTCCTCATCAGGAATGTAAATGAGCTTTGAACCGAACTCTACCCCTAGCTGGCATATACAGAGCGTAAGTCTCAATAATATCCCTGGCCATTGAGAACGTACTGTGGGATCCGGATTTGCAAGAAACCGCTGGTCCGTTAGGCGGACTAATAAGGAGCTCTTGCCAACTGCGGCATCTCCACAAATTATAAACTTGAGGACGTAGTCCCAGTTTGCCATGGTATAGCGAAAGTAGTAGCAGAAGCGGAATACGTATGTCGTAGCAAGTGCCTGGAGTGTCTAATGTCGTCAACGTCGTCGTCGTCGTTTGTCGTCGTGGAGCAGCTGTGAGAGGTCAAACGGCCCGATGCGTTCACTTTACTGGTGCTGCCTGCTGCGAAGCGTGTTACACGGCACGTGGTTAGTCCGGAATAGTCCGTCCGACAACTCTCATCGCTGTCCAAAGTCCATTGCGCATTTTACTTTCGTCCATCGACATTCAGCTGCAATGAGCGCTGCCACTTGGCGTCAGCATTTCAGGTAACTCACAGCTAATTCATTTACTCCAGTATAAGATATTGACTATATTTGTGGTTTTTTTTGTGATTAGCTTCAATAAATACAGCCAAATCGCCGCTCGTGCGTTGCGTTCGTCGCTCAAGGAGTCCGAGCGTGTCAAGGCAGAGAAGTACGGTCTTACCGCTCTCCGCTTTCAGAAGTGGGAAAATGGCAAGGGTGGCGAGCAGGTACGTCCAACACACTGCACGTCGCGGACTTACGTGCTCATCGTCGCGTTTTTACGGTTTGAAAGGTCTATCTAAATCCTCCAGAGGAGTTCTCGACAAAGAAAGGTTCATCAGCCGTCTGAAGGTGCTGAAGATCTGCCAACTGTACTGTGAACGTGTGTTCAGGAGTAATGCTGCCATAGACAAAATTATATTTGCATCGCTTGTCCCACGTCTATCTCTGGCTCGGTCTGTTTGGTTTCGAACTTTGGTGTGCAAATTTGAGGGATCAGCAACTCTGTCGTTCTCAAGCTTCAGCAGCCGCAAGATGCTTCGCGCGCTCGTGAGGTGAATACCGGTATGTACGGAAGTTAAAAGAGGTGAAAACAGAAAAGCCCATCGCCCCACAATGATAGATAGAAAAGATTAAGTAAAGCGATTGCATTGGTTCCATTGAATGAAATTACAGCCAAACAGATGGCAGGATGAAATAGACTACAGCCACTTCTAGATGTGTGCTGGTTGCTTCCATTCAACACGAAACCCATCCCAAACACACCATGCCTTGAGTGCTTAGACCGAGTTCGCTCGGGCATTTTCGTACCCAGCACCGTGAAGACAACAAGGCAATTAGTGGACGAATCCTTTGCCTTTGTAGCCTTCCGACGAGATACCTGAACGAATTTGAAATCGTCAGAGTTTGCGAGTATGCATGTCAATGCACTTCCATGCTTACCGGAGATGGGATTCATCTGTTGCTCTTTTGCGCGCTCGTTCATTGCTTCTTGCCATTCTCTCGACAAAGTCTTCGGCGGGGTTGGGGCTAGGGATGGTACAGCAATTTTGTTAAGAATTTTTGGGTTCGGAAAATCAGGAAAAGACCGCGTACAGATGGAGCGGATACTGTAGAACAGGCCAAGACCAACTGCAACGCCCGTAACTACCCCAAGGAAAACTTTCAAGGGCTGAGCGGTGGATGTGATGGGAGTCCGAGGACCATGGGGGCCGAATGCAACGTAGTATGCTAGAAAAAAGAAATCATGGCTATGTCGTCAGGAAACGCGTCCCAGACATGGTTGGATCAAAAACACGGAATTGGAAACGAACCAGCTTTCTTTTCATCAATGGACAGGGTCTTCCAGTCCTTTTTCTGCAGCTCCTCGAGCTGACTTTGGACGGTGAGCTGCTCATCTGCAGAGAGCTTCTCCCATTGTGCTTCTACATTGGAAAGCGGGACGACGGGCTCAGACGATGAGCTGGTCCGCGAGACAGCACCTGGATGCGCTGCAGCGGTAGCCATGCACCGTCTAGAAAGAGCAATACGAGCGCGTGAACGAGCGAGCTGCAATGCGCACGACATGGCTGGCGACGGATGTAGAGCGTCGGGCAGGAATTAAGGATATGGTGAGAGGGATTTGCGAGGGCGCGCGGAATCTGCGACGTCTGCACGAAAGCGGACATTGCCGGACGGAAATTGTCGGTTCCAATCGGAGGCGTCAAGTTATCAATAATGTCAACTCTCGACAACAAACACCCCACAACACGTTGTATTGCAAAATATGGAATTGTTCTAACTATTACTAGTACTTTTCACGCGCACGTAAAGACCACTGTACAGCACACACTTCCCAAATCTATTGTTCCCGTCCATCATGGGATCACAATTGACCAGCTCGTGCGTATGACCCTGCTATCCGTCGGTAAAACAGTAGGTACGCGCAATCCCTGTCAGTCCCGAACACATCTTCAGTTCGCAGGTCTGAGACGAGCTCATCATCGATTCGGATCCATCCTTCACGAGGCTTCGCGTTCGTATCGGCGTTGCGGTTCGGATGAAGTACATCTAGCGTGTAATGACCACCAGCAGCTGATGATCCATGATGGTAAAGCACTGTGCACGATTTTCCGTGAGTATCCACAATGGTCCCTGAGACGAAACTGCGAGCCTGGACTTACCAGCGAACAACTTGTACTTGACGGGGTGGGCTGTTCGCCGCGCCGGGGAAATCGCATCTTAAAAAGGGTCAGAACAGATCAAGCGTCCACACTCTCAGGTCACTAACCAGATGGGACCTCAAGTTCAGGGCCGTATGTCACTTGCTTGTGCACCTTGATGACATCCTTCGCCGTCGTGTCGTACAAAAATCGCTTAAGGTGGCAAACTAATATTGGTGGCAGAGTATCTACCAACACCTGTTGTGAAGCCTCCACCAGAGCGCCTCCCTTCGTAACAGAAGACATCTGTACTGGCTGAGGGTGGGAGATGTAACGCAGAGCATCCTCGATCGATTCTACCTGCTCACGCTGCACATGGAGTCAGTATAGAAGTGGTACGACAAAATTGCATGGAGACTAGCCTGAATGTCCAATTTCAGTGATTTCCAGTCCTCCACCATCACAGAATCTCGCTGTCCGGGTACTTTAAGTGTTGAGCGGAACTTAAACCCGAAGATGCGCGTCATGGGAGAATCCACGGACTTAGTCTGTGATGTAAGCTGTAAGTATACCACAACCACGCAGGGCAGTTGTAACTCACTGATCGAGCAACGACTGGTTTATTTTTCTTTCCAACCTCTAACCAGTCATCCCCTTCCGAGCTGTTGCGTTCCTGTCCGGAAGACTTGATCTGTGAGCCATCCGTTAGGGACTTAGAGATAGCTAGCAATTCCTCTTCGAGCGTGTCCAAGAAGAATCCAAAGAACTCCTCGGCATCTTCCTGTTGCCCGCCCTGAATGGGTAAAAGGTTAACAGACGTATCATTGACAAAAGTTACTGATACATACTCCCATGTTATCGAACCTGCTTTTCTCCTTCATTGCGTCATACACGTAGGATGGAATGAAGGAATCGATGGCATCATAGTCTTCATCGTCTTCCTGTGAGTCCCTAGAGCTGTCCTTGACCTTCGGTTTGAATTCCTTCAAGAACTCTACAGTTGCATCAACTAGCGGAGTATCTTTGCCAGCCCATTTCGTCGCGTTTGGACCAGTTCCATCAATAAACTTTCCAAGTTCCGTAAAAAGGCGGAAGAAGGGAGGTGTATATACGAGCGTCTGAAGGACCGCGTTTGCAAAGCACATGTTCCCCGTGTTCACCAGTCCGCGAGGTCTGATCTGTGGCACACCACTTGTGCTAGGGCCATTTTGCAATAACCGAAGAAGATCGTTCCGCTTTCCGCTAGGCTCTGATGAGGTAGAGACTGGAGGTGAATCGACTGTCACTGAAGCTGGAATGGAGAACCCCTGAACAGAAGATGTGGGAAGACTAGTCTTGGAAGACGACCCATCTGGGCGAAGAAGGGACGCCCACGACTTCCTGCCGCCTGACGAAGCTCCGGAAGATTGTGTAGCTGTCGAAGCAGGTGGAATTTCAGATGCTGCACGTGTAGAAGAGTCAACATCAGTGGTTGTTACAACGGGATCCGGGACAGAAGTACCCTGAGACTCGGACTCGCTTGAGACGTCCACTTTAGGGGGTGCAATAGATATGGATGTTGCGGTTGATAGTGGAGAACCAGCGACGAATGCATCACCGACTGTCGATGCCCGGGATTCAGTTTCAGTTCCTGATCCAGAAATCTGTTCGTTCTGAGGAACGGAGCTGTCCGGCGGTGTATCCTCCCCTTTCTTAATTGGTTGTGTGTCAGGCGCGTGCATATCAGTTGTTTCTATTGAAGGTGTATTAGAGTATGCGGGAATGGTATATTCTTGTGCTCGTCTAACGATGTGCGATGGTGGCTTTGCCTTGGGGGAAATTGTGATGCCAAACGCAGCTGCCGGATTGTCGGGCCTGTATGCAGATATAATCCACTCTTCTTGAGGAGCAGGTTCGTTTTCAAAAGAAGGTAGTACAATTTTAGGACTTGAAGGAGAGTTGGCCGAAAGGAGTGTCTGGTTGTCTGTAACAGGTGAGGTAGCTTGGGGAGAAGCGGAATCTACCAGCCGATGCGCGACTAATTGAGGCGAGCTGTCGAATTTTAGAGGGGGAGATGGCGTTAAATTTGAACTCATGGCAGGACTTTGCATCTGCTTCTGCTGTTGGGGCAAAGGGACAGCCGAAACATGCAAAGCCCTCGGAGAGGTCGGTTGTTGTGCTTTCCACGTCCTTGGAAAACCCGTAGCATGTTCCGGCAAGGGCGAAATCACTGGGGACTTCAAGTTTTGTTGGTTAGGAAACGGATAATGCGGATGAGGGAGAGGAGGTGAAAATGGGGTAGGGTAGTGTTGCACATGTGGTGGTGCATTTTGATAATTGTACATTGGCGCCGGACCAGGTACCGCAGCCGGAGGGAAGTACGGAGAAACGTGAGGATTATATACGTGGGTCGGGTGTAATGCAGGTGAAGCGGGAGCCTGAAAGTTTCCTGTATGGTAGCTTGGTCCTCCTCTACGGCCAGGAGGAGCTCCAGTTTGCGTGTGAGTATATTGGCCATGAACAGGCACGCCGTTCATCCCATTCACGCCCATAGAGTACCCAGCATACGACCCCGGCATACCGGGTGTGAAGAAGGGTTGCTGTTGCGCTTGGTGGTAGTTCGTATGCCTATGACCCGGATGCCCTCGTCCCCTCCCAGAGGCGTACTGGACTGGAGGACGCCCCTCCTGTGAATAAGGAGGTGTAAAGTTTGATGGACCGGCCTGATTATAGATCGCATGTTGGGTTTCCATGGATGGGAGCCTAGCTATCCTGGCTTCTACACCGAGGATTGTGAGCAGTGCACGTCAAAACCGAGCCGCAAAACCGTCGTTGACCGTACCCTTTTGAGGAAGTCAGTACTCCTCTTCAGCAACAAAAAGTATCCCTGTGACTGTCCAGTCTCCTCGATCTTTTTCTGAAACAGTTTTACACCTTTCAGCTACACGACTGGAATGGAGTGGACGCGGATGGGGCTGAACACGCTTGTGACTCTAACCCTGTTCCTGTTTAAAGTGTGTTACTTTTAGGGCACATGATAAATTTTGTCCAGAAAAAACATACAAAGATCCTTGTAAGCCGCGCTGAAACTAGAAAAAAAAACAGTTCCTCAGAAGTCAGAAGAACGTGTTGCGGGGAGTGATGAGCTTGAGAACGAAGACGCGCACGACCTCACCACAAGTATCTGTACATAATATGACTGATTAGTCATCATTTGACACCACCTGGGCTGAATCTGAAGCCAGGTTACAGTCTACTGTGATAACACAAGACAAAAAAATTAGACGACATAAAAATCGATAATTAACAAAAATATCCGCCTTCAGAGATGGATTTCATGACCGAAAAAGGACAGAATAGCTTTGAACAGACTCTGCACTTGTGCATAAGCAAACGAAATTTATCAAGAGTATTATTGTGTAAACCAGAAGATTTTGAGACAAGCGCACTCTTAAACTTTCTTCTATCAGGCAATTAGTCGCAGAAAAGAGTTCACGTCTATCCGAGACGATTAGAGCAAGCACGTTCTTGTCCTGATCCATCATCCAGCACTCCATGGGTCTTCATCTCAATGTTTATTTATGATCGAAGGAAATACAGTCCTTGCATTTGAACCGTGCATACCTATTGTCTATCTCTACCATTAAAACTAGATGCACGCCTCCAATCAGCATTCGAAGGCATAAAATCACTGAATCTTACAGGATAAGTATAATATATTTATTATTATCCCGTCGTTCCCAAAACGCCGATCGCTCCGCTAGATCGGCGGCATCATCAGCCAACGGCGACCACGCGACGCGCAGTAGCATTACTTATGCCAGCATGTCAGGTAATGTCACCCTGTTCGAGGACCATCCTTTGGCCTTGGAACTTGCTAGCCTTCGCGAGGCGGTAGCTCACTACCAGGTATGCATCCACTGATCCTTTCCTGTGTTCCGACCTAGACAACTGCTCTTAGGCCGAGGCTCATCGTGTTGCAGTTCAACTTCAACATCGTTCTTTAGAACATGCTACTATACTTCGACAGCTACATGCCTTGGAAACCGAGAACTCTCACCTGAAGGCTGAACTTCAAGTACATAGGACGACTGCTCCCGATACAGCTTCTCATCGTGATGCGCTTCAAATTCAAGAGCTGACTCTCGCCCTCAGGCGGCTTTCGGATAAACTCGACTTGACCGAAAAGGCCCTGTTCGAACGGAACGAAGAGCTCATATCTACTCAAAGCAGTCTAGATGCAGCAAAAGGATCAGAGGGAAACATGGTTGAAGCAGCTAATCGTTTGAGGGCCGAACTTGAAGCAAGTCACACTCGAGAAAGGGATCTATTGAACCGTGTCAGAGCATCGGAGGAACAAAGGAAGCTATCGGATCTCGTGGTCGAGGAGTACGCAAACCTCGTGCGTTCTCTTGAAGGAAGGCCCTCTCTTGCGGCCCAGTCGGACGCGAAGGACAGCGGATCTTCACCAAGAGGCTCTTTAGATGGACTCATGCACGCTCGACAGGGCCTACATAAACTTCTTCAAGACTCTAATGCCGACACTGAAAAGATGCATGCCGAGATTGGACGCTTGAATGATGCACTTGAAATGGCTCGATCAGAACTTGAATTGGAGAGGGCGACTACCATTGAAGGCAGGCGTCAATTAGCGCAGGCACAACTCGAAATTCACCAGTTGAGACGTGACGACAACGCAGCAGCAAAGATGGTATCTCGCTATATGTACGTCGTGTTCGCATAATACGCGATGTTTGAGCTTACTATTTATTCAGGAAGTTTTCTCAATCCTCAACGGACATGCTTCATGCGACAATTGAGAAGCTGAAAGCTCGACAAGAAGCTATTACTGCATCATATGAGTCTCGCCTTCGACAGTATAATGATAGAACGGCGTTTGAAGTTCGGCAATCCGACATTCTTCGAAGAGCACTTGACGAACTAACGGAAGACATATCGCGGGAGTCTTACGGAAGAAGACGAGAAGTCGCATTGCGACTCGCGTTGCTAGAGAAGGAAGAAATTCTATCCGAGGGGCTACGAAGGTGGCTGTTGAGGTCGCATGAGGTCCTTCGAAAGGCGAGATCGGCGCAAGGCGATTCTGTGGCAGAAACTTGTGAGAGAATCCTTAATGAAGCAAAGGATATCTTGTACAGCATCAATAACCCTGCCGAGGGGGAAAACGAACCTTCCAGTTCTGTAGCTCGTGTCGTCGCCGCTCGGGCAGCGGTAAAAATGCTTCAAGAAGAGCTGCAACGCGAAACAGATATGAGGTTATATTTCGAATACCAGTTGGCAACTTCCCAAGGTAACAAGCCAGAGTCTAGCGTCGTTACTCAGAAGTCGCATGGCGCTCAGCTATTCCGACACTCCAACTCAATCACCTCTGTTGCTCCGGTTTCTGTCCCAGACGCCGCAGAATCGGGTGAAAACACAGGTGTTTCCCAACGAAGCTCGCTAACTTCGCGTAATCCCGGACAAGTTACAACTGCCGCTTTTCCTTCTCCCGGCTCCGAGACGGACATCTTGGATCCGTCGGGTTCACCTCTAGTCTCTGACGGGCCCAGCATGGAACCCTCCATAACTGTCACATTAGCAGAAAATAGCACCGAACAGGGGGACGAAGATTATGTTGATACAGGCCTCCCGAAAATTGTTAATGGAAGCGACACTGTACTGGATAATACGCCCTCAATGGTACCAGTGATCGAACAGCAGCGGACAGGTGATAAGCTTCAAGAAACCTTGATAGACGAACGCGACGTCTTGACCGGGACGACTGCGGAGGATACGTTCGTATCAACACAAAATGAGACAGATGGTCGATCCTCGCCCAAGTCTCCAATACGTTTTCATGTGGAACAGGAAAACATACCGGATCCTATCAACGTGCCCAGTTCAGGAGAGAGCGACATAGAACATGAGTTACCAACGTCTGTTTCGGAACCGGTTCCGAACGGCGCCGCGAAACCAAGTACGGTATTGCTCGACCAGAGTCACTTGTCAATGGAACAAGATTCACGCTACAAGGCTCCGTACGATCCGCCAGTACATCAAATAGAGAAGTTGACCGAACTGGATCCTGCTCCGCTTAATGAACCGCAGGACGGTAGAGTCGTGTTGCTCCTATCGAAGCTGGCCGAGGTGGCCGAACGATATGCTGATGCCCAGCGATCATTGCGCGATTGCCATCTTTCGTTACAGGGGCTCAAGCAGAGCTCCAGTCTTGCGTCTGCTTCATCAAATATACTAGACAGTGTCATTGAGAGACTGAGTGACTATTGTGAAGACGCCCGTGTAGAGCTAGAGATACGAATTGCAGATGAGGAGCGCATCGCTAAAGGTTACCAAGCACTGCTTTCAATTCCAGGTGCACTTTCCGGCGAAGTCAACGAGGAGGGAATGGTTCGGCAGATTGAAGGCTTCCTTGATGGATCCGACCCTGCAGTTCACCGAGCACAGGATGTGTTAAGACGCAAGCTAGACGATCTGCAGCATGATATAGCATCTGTTAAACAGGTTGTACACTGTACCTCTTCTCCGATACTCATTCCAGACGATATTCCACCAAAACATGAAGAACAGCCGAGACCTACTGCATCTAGCTGGGCATCCTGGACAGGTTCTATTTTGACTCCTTCCCGATCTTCGAGCCCAGCTCCAACTTTTGGTACGGTCGTGACATCTCCGCGCCTTCGACATTCTTCGTCCTCTCGTAGCCTGCGGGGCGATTCAAACAATCCACAAAGTTCCCTCGCAAAATTAGGTCTCCGTATACCCATGCCTAACCTTGTCAATATCCAAAGCGAGCATGTAACTTCGCAGTTGCCTATGATTCGCAGAGGATCACGTCCGCGTGTAACATCTAATATGCTTGGCTTGGGCCTTCGCAGTGCCATGCAAGGAATGCACATGCCCCCACACCGTATTGAGCATAACAGAGGCCCAACGGCTGGGAAAGATGAGGGAAAACTAGATAATGACATTGAATAGATCTCAGCTAATCGCATTAGACTTTGCTATCCTATTTCGTTCTCTTTGGACAATGTTTTTAGTATAGGATAATAATACCCTGCCGTAGCGCAATTCTGTATGCTGCCGCAACAACACTTTGCTGAGCGACATGCAGTTGCCTAATCCAGACATTGCGTCAAAGGTGTTAGTCCGCCTGACTTATCAACACACGTTCACTGCTTGTTCATATTGGTGGAGCACGCCTACTAAACTACATCCACCCAGTGTACACAATAATAATAAAAGTAAGAGAGACAGGCTTAAAAGGGAAATATGTATGGCAGGTTACTTGCTTCACCAATATGACAAGTCTAAGAGAACCCAGCCCAGGAAGGGGTACAGCCAGCCTGGCCAGGAACACAAGATTCCTGTGCTGTTCCTCCAACTCCCAGCCCACACTGAGGGTACATCTCAAAGTCTTTAGCCTATAAGCATGACTCCATACACAAGACAATCCTCTGAGCCTAGAGAAAGTCCAGAACACAAAGAGTATGCAAGCACTTGAAGGAAAAAAAAAATGCACATGTAAGACGTTAACAGACATTGGCCACGATCAAGGTCGATCAGGCGTCTGTCAAAGGGGTAGACTAGTACCGAAAGTCGGTACAGCCAGTGGGTGTGCTGCCTATGACTAGGCATTGCTGGGACTGTGTTGACTGACACATTGCGGGTGAGAGCCCCCCCTACTCCATACCGTGGGAAAATACCATGACATGGAGGTCAAAGGAAAAGGCTGCTTGCCTCGCCTAGAACTCACATCTCACAAACACACATAATGTCATCTCAAGCTACCCGGACTCAAACAACAAACCCTTCTCGCCAAAACAATGGCCGACGCGCGAACAAAGCGAGAAGCCGAGCTCAGAAAAAGTTCGGTGGCTCAGCAAACCCCGATGAAGCTACGACAACGATGATAAACGAGCCAAAGTCAGAACCGGCCGTCGACGAGAAGGAGACGCAAAATGAGGCCGTTTCTGCTGCTGAGGGCGGAAATGACTCTGATGTCTGTTGGATTTGTGCTGAACCGGTTAAATTCTACTCGTTATCCGAGTGCAACCATAGAACGTGTCATGTATGCGCACTGAGGCTTCGTGCACTTTACAAGAAAATGGATTGTACATTCTGCAAGGTACGTTGTTGTTCTTCGACCACGCACGTGTTTCTGATGATGAACGCTTTAAGCACCCTCAAGCTATGGTTATCTTTACATCGTCTCCAGACTCTCACTTCGAAGACTATAATCCAGACGAAATGACCTTCAAAGATCCAAAGCTAGCAGTAGTCTTTGAAACTCGGGACATGATGGAAGAGACTCTAATTCTTCTTCGTTTCAACTGTCCCGATGAAGAATGCCCGTTTATTGGTAAGGGCTGGAATGATCTTAAGGTGCATGTTCGTGCGACTCACAATAAGCAACTATGGTGAGTGAGACACAACTCATGAGTTTATTGAACTAGCGGTAATCGACGGTCCAGTGACATTTGTATTCGCCACAAAAAGGTGTTTTCCCATGAACACACTCTTTACACTCTGGCGCAGCTTCAAGTACACGTTCCATCCATGCCTCAACGCGGTAAGGGAGCGGGCAAGGATAAAGAAAATCCCGTGGGCGGGATTCATCCTTTTTGCGAATTTTGTAGAGGATGTTTCTTTGGTGATGATGAGTTGTTCTCGCACATGAGAGAGAGACATGAGGAGTGTTTCGTTTGCAAGCGCGGGGGAGTTCGTGATCAATAGTAAGTTCGCATGGTTTCCTAGGCTGTGCTTCACGAATGCCGACGTGTTAATCTTTTTTAAAGTTTTCTTGATTATAGTAACTTGGTGAGATCAGGACCCTCACTTTGTTGCAATATCTAACGCTTATTAAGGAACAACATTTCAACACTGCTCATTATGCGTGCAATCAACCCGCATGCCAAGCACGGAAATTTGTTGTCTTCGGTTCTCTGATGGATCTGAAAGCGCACATGGTAGAGGAACACGGTTCTAGTATGTCTACAAGGGACATGAAGGAAGCAAGGAGATTGGAGACCAACTTCGAATTTGACGATCATAGAGGGACAAATGGAAGGAGAAGAGAGCGAGATAGGGAAAGGCCTGGTGGCCTTCCAACTCCCCCGCGCGATTCCACCCCTCCTCCTAGGCCGCCGGACAGACGTAGAGAAGGATTCGGGGCGTCACTGACAGGTCAAAATGTTTCAGGCTCTGGCATTCCGTCCCTCAGAAATGATTCTTTCCCTTCATTGCCCACTGAGGACGTTGACCCCGAGACTGCTAGGTCTGTCACTACTTATTTGCATCAAATCTGTGCCACTGACCTCTACAACAGTCGTCATGCTGCATTCATGGCCCGTGTCGCAAGCGTCACTTCGAATTCGTCCTCGGCGGAAGCGTCAGTCCGATCAGCCATAAGGTCCTATCGCGCATCTGAATCCGCAGCACGAGATCTTATTACAACTTTCTACAACATCGTCGACAGGGACTTGGAAGCAACAGCGAGTTTGATTGTCCCTTTACTTGATCTTTTGGACGATGAGGAGAAGAAGAGGGAACTTCTTCAGTCATTCAATGGTTTCAAGATTGAGGTATGGGTTTACTTACATGACCAGAAAATTATTGATTTATTTCCCTAGCAACGTCAACAATTTCCCGATCTTGTTGCTGGCGGGCAAGGTGCAGCTTATGCCGGGGTGGCCAGTGGGCGTGTGCTCAATGTCAAGCATTCGACGCAAGCACGAGGGAACGCTGGCCGAATCTGGGATCGAGTTGCTCGTGCCGCGACATCATTGTCCGCCGTTCCTGGTGCGGCTGGTCCATCATCGCGGCCGGCCGACCGTTTCCCAGCACTACCAGCTGTTGTACCGGGTCCAGCTACGTCGACGCCTGCTTTCCGTCAGCCTCAACGATCTACTCCATGGTCATCTTCATCCTCCTCTGCAGCTGTTGCCTCGCCCCCTGCGTCTTCTAATCGTGTCTTTTCAGAAAAGGTGAACAAGGTGACACCTGGTGCTTCCGCTAACTTGTCAAGTGCTGCATTCCCTTCTCTTCCCACTGCTCCTCCACGCAACAAGCTTCCGATGAGTGGCAATAAGTCGTTACGGAACATCATTGGAAGTGCTGCTCCCTCTGCTAACGCATGGACTGCTAGTGCCGACGATCCTGCAGGGGCACCAGCGACTGAAGGGAACTCCGAGGAGGCAACGGTCAATGTATCATCTCAACAGAAGAGAGGGAAGAAGAAAGGCAAAGAAAAGGTCACATTGTTCACGTTGGGTACATTTCCTACATAGAATCATAGTAGACATTATTGCAAACTGTAATTCCATGATTGTTTTCATAATAGCATTGTCTACGGACGGAGCTCGCAATTGCTATACAACAAACAGATGCCTTTGTGCATCATAGTTTGCTGCTACTTTTTCTGTTCATTTTCATAACAATCTTTCCGAATTGATCACCTCGTTGCATTAGCTCGAACCCTTTCTCAAAATCATCCAAACTTTCAAGAACGACAGAGACGACTGGTTTGACCTCGTGGAGCTTAATGAACTCCGTCGCATCGATCAAGTCCTTCTTTGACCCCATGGTTGTTCCTACAATTGATTGTCTTATCGAGATGGCTGTCCAAAAGATGAACGCAATACGTACCTATCAGCTTCTGGTTTCTTAATACTTCCCGCATTGTGAATGTTATCTTCGGCTCGGCCGTCCTGAAATCACCTTCTCAGTACCTTGGTCCAGCCCAGTTGAGGTGAGCACGCACATTCCATAGCAAACTAATTTTCCTCCCGCTTTAAGTGAGGCACCTACTTTCTTGAATAAGTCGCCTCCCCCGGAATCTATTATTGCTGCGAGCTGTGCCCCGTCTCGTTGCAGCAATCGGGCAAGATCGTCGGGCCATGTAGCTTGTAACAATCAAAAAGTACTTCAAAACAAGATCAAGATTAGATCTACCTGATTTGTAGTTCACTCCTCCTTTGGCTCCTAGTCCAATGGCTTTTTCTATCTTTTCGTTGTTCCCACTAGTAACGTAGACATTGGCGCCTTTTGCGATGCAAAGCTGGAGTACAACCAGTGCAACACCTCCGCCGATGCCTGTGATGAGAACACTATCGCCTTTCCGAACATCTGCAGCAACTGCAACAGCCCTTCAGGAAGATCAGATTGTAAGCGTGTAGAGCCATGATCGCACTTTTACATACCTCCAGGCGGTTACTCCGGCGAGAGGCCATGCGGCTGCATGATGGTCGTCCAAGTGTTCTGGAACTTCAATTACCTCGTCTCTTGAAACCTTGATGAACTCTGAGAACACCCCGAGAGAAGGAAACTTAAGGCCTCCCAAAAGGAGTGGTATCCCAAGCCTAACGTGATGAATGATACCGCATGCCTTCAGGGAATAAGAAGGGCACATACGGGTTTTCGGGAGCGTCGGGAGCAGATTGCCAGCCTTGCATGGGAACGATGAATACACGCTTGTTGAGTAACTCATCATTTGGATTCGTGGATGCGATCACTGTTCCTGTAGAGTTCTCTCAGATACACGTATCAGAAATCCGTAGGATAAGGACATTTACCTACCGCATCTCCACCCAGCACACTGTCAAACGCAATGCCAGGATACAGGCCCTTCCTAATCCAGAGCTAGAACGAAGATTCAGCGACTTCAAACTTGGCAACTTCTATGTTGGCACGATGGTTATATGAAAATGGGGAGACTCACATCACGATGATTGAACGCAACAGCAGATATTTTAATTATTATTTCATCAGACTGAAGCGCTGGATCAAGCCTCCGATTCTCTATAACGACGTCATGATACACTCCTCCACTCGTAGAAGTGGCTGCTTTCTTAAGCACAAGTGATCGAGTTGTCTGTGAGGTACTCATAATTGATAGTACAAGGAAAGGACTGCAGAAGGCATTCCACGGTTATGCGACAGATGTGATTATAACTGCATAGTTGTGTCATGCTGAAAACCCGTCCGTCCCCGACCGGTTGTAGTCTCATTACTCAAACCTCTTCTAACACGTGAGAATTACCCACTGCACTAACACGTGGAAGGACTGACTTCGCATGGCAGATTTACACAGAACTTATCAGTAGATGGAACAATGATTCCATACGTTATTGTGCATAGGAATCAGTAGTGATACACCGATATACTTTGGCATACGCTTTAGGCACCTGCCTGAATAAGTCAAAATGCAAAGAAAAATGGCATCCCAAATTGGTGTATGTAGACTTCTGTAGTGCACTCGCCGAATGGTGTAGCAGGCCAGATACAGTCGGCGGTGCAGTCGGCGCTGTTTCAGGTGGTGATATGACGGTGATTGATATATTCATATCCTACGGATTGAAGAACTTAAGAAAGCAGGGCAAGGACAGTTCTTGCACAACGGAAATCCAGCTTCAGTCTATCCTCGCTACTCACTGCAGAATCCCATGAACCTGCACCCCTTTCCAGCACAAGTAGAATATGCCAACAACATCCATCATGTTAACCAGCATAGGCTTCCATTTTCTCCAAATTTTCCAAACCAAACAGCCGTCCTACAGAGTCTCAATGCCGTTCAGGCATACCTCGATAATCTGCGTACAGCAATTGTAGGACACCCATGTGCATTGCATCCGGCCCGAATGATACCCCAGGATGTGTGCCAAGTGCAACCTCAACCTCAGGTAGGACCGCAAAGACGGCAGAGGCCAAGATTACACGATATGCATGGTGGCATGTCAGGACCGATAATATTCCAAGGCAAATCCCAGAAAACGCGAAACACAGGTAGAAATAGCAATCCATGTCAAGTATGTCAATTGAAGAAGAAAAAGGCAAGCTGAGCCCATCCATAAACGCCTGACCTCTCTCTGATGATCGTTTGAAAATAGTGCAACAAGGAACCCAACTCGTCGGGTGCATGTGAACGATGCACTGAAACAGGACACAAGTGCCTTGTAGTCCAGGTTCCTGCCGTATCAGATCATGCTACAAGACTACATCGAGAAGTATGTTCTGCGAAAGTACGGTATTGCAAGTTATAAACATTTTGTCGCTATAGGGCGCCAACCTGCCTAATGGATCAGAATTAGACGTGGCCAATAGACGTGGTACTCTTGATAACACAAATTCGAAGCGTTCCTCTGAGTATATGGTAAGACGACGACGACTCTTGGATGGGAGAAAGCAGCTTACTGAACAGATTGACCTAGATACAAGGTGGAAATGGCGACAAACACGACCTTGGCCCTTTTGAGTCTTGTCGAGACATAGTAAAGAGAGAGACCCCTCTAGGTGAAACAATGCTTGAGATAATTTAGAACCGTTTGGCGACTCCAGAGACGGTTGGGGAAAGGCATTCAGATAGTTTCTTTGTTGCATTCCTGATCCAGTTCTTGTTCGACATCCTTGCGCAGGCCTTCAATAATCAACATCTTCTTCCATTTTGTCTTCTGTATTTACTTCATTCCGGCTTTCTTGCGCACCGCGGTATGGTAGTTCCCCATCCTGAAAATGCCCTAATAACCAATCGATTCGACATAGCCCAGATGCTGTTGCAGAAGCAAGCAAAGGAGCACGTGCAAGTCCGCCTCCATTGTTCCATGCAACGCGAGTAACAGAAACTTCTGGCGACCAAGCACCTGCGCCTTGAGCACCTGTTCTAGGAGGCACTGCCTCGGCCGTTGCTTCTTTCTTTCCCTTTTTCGAGACTGAAGTGCTAGATTTATCGGGTATCTCCTACAATTTGAGCGAATAAGAATTTACATTCTCCAAGGCCCCAGTCAAGCATACCTGAGGGAGGAAGTGATCCAACATCCTATACTCCCCACCATTTCTACTGTAGTCTATTTGATAGATTTTGTAGTATAAGAAAGGCTTGAAACCACAGTAAGCTCCTTGCACAAAATGGCTAGCGACGAATCATACCGTAGTGGGGCTGCGTCTAGTAGCTCTGAGCATGTTTGTTGTCAACAAGGAGCCGTCGGCTGAACCAAGAGCGAGGAGGGGATGGTAGTCAGACGCATGCAGACTCTGGACAATGCATTATCAATCATGGCTCGAGATAAAAACTGGCCTTGCATACCCAGACCGGTCCTCCTGACTCAATAACAATATTACCGCGACCGAGGATACCCGGGGCCATCGCATACGTCTTGACACTGTAGTCGAGATCTATAGTAACGACACCCTCGGTAAAATTCGAATACGTCATAGCAAGTACGACATCTGCAAGTCTTGTAAATACAGGTCGTAATAGCGAGGATGATCAATACTCACCTCTAGTCCTGTTTAGAATACACCCCCACCCATCTCTTAAATCAGTTACAATCTCGCAACCGTCATAACCACCACTCGCGATTTTCGTTGGAGAGTGAGTGAATTTCAAAGAGCCGTCTGCGGCGGCGCTAGGTATTGGAATCCATTTTATTGAGCGAACGGCGGATTGGTGGATGGAGAGATAATGGGTCGGCAAGATCTCTGAATCTTTATAGTATGTGAGCCATCTTTGTATCTCTGGTTTCGGGGCACGTCGGATTTACCTCGAGTGGAATCTTTTACGAGGGCTTCGTGAATATTATAAACGGCGATAGAACCTAAAATCATGTTTAAAAGGGGGGCGGGCAGAGATTGTTGTTCAAGCCAACCATTTGTGCATCCTACCGCTATCCGCTCGCTGTTGGCCCAATCTAGAGACCACATGCATGTTTCCTCTAGTTCTAATTGTATCACCGGTTGAATTTTCACTGAAATACTTGGTCAGTCCTTCCGACAATTTAATAGCTGCTTTCATACCAAATTTCGGACGCTCCTCTAAGCCAGAGCTCAAGTCATCCGGGTCAGGGACAACGAAGATACTTAGCGAGCCGTCCTCAAACGTCCCTGCTAGTAAACCTAATTTTCTCTTGCCAGACGGAGATGAGTTTGACCACTAAAAGCATAGAGTTCAGCGATTAGAATGAGTCAAAATGGTATATTACCTACGGAGTCATGGGAAGGCAGAGGGCACCATTTAATTTCGTGCGCTGGCCCACAGTCCAAGCACAGTACTAGCTCACACTTTGTCTGACCAAAATCATCATCAGCCTCGCTACTTTGTCCATTCATTTCTGATGAAGAATCGGAACGTCTGGGTGAATGACTCCAGATCTGTATGCATGAAGGAAATGGACGGCGGCATTTACGTCCGATCAACGGTGCATGCACATTTGACGGCAAAGGTGCAACCGCGAGGTATTGTTTATGATGTCGATCTTTCTTGTCGATGAGCTGATAGTCTAAGGTGCGAATGCTCTAGTAACGTACGGGATCGATCCTGAGAATAGCTCGGACACCAATCAAGGCCCCAGACTGGGCCACCAGCGAAGAAGACAAGCGCCTTCTGCCCAAAAGCATCATCTTCTAATATATCAATAGTATCAGGTGGGCCAAACGGTACTTGCAGTATGAGCTCACCGATTTCGAAGCTGTCCAGCATGTCTATTTCCTTATGGACACTCTTTCCAGGTTTGCCAAAAGAACATTTGATGGAGACCTTCGAGAATTCATTGAAACTATCAGCCCCTCCCGGCAAATACTTTCTTGCTTCTCTAGGGGTTCCATCAATTAGAATGTACTGACCCAGTGTGAGATCGTGCACGCACTGTTCACTGATACTTTCGAGGTCTCCATCATTTATCTTGACGGACTCGTATACCCTCGTCCTTCGAGTTGTTTCTGTCTCTGTATCATCCTTATTCACAGTTTCTGATTCTTTCCACCAAGATCTATCTTCCAACAGTTCCCAGATAGGACCTCGCCCTACATTGTATCCGCTCGCTTTCATATACTTTTCTGCGTTCAATTTGTTGAAATTCCAGCTCAAGGTGGAACGAGTGACGGGTGGTTTGAACGGCGAAGGGGGTTGGGTAAGTCGCTCAATGAGCGAAGGGCGCAAATACAGCGGATCGGCTCGTTGCCTGTGATCCAAAGCAGATGTAGAAATAACATGTTGCGGGCGGCTAGTTGGACGTGCAAGAGCAGCTGAAGGCCTCGGAGACTTTGCAGGCATTGACTTCTGTTTTCCCGGCTGCTTGGCTTTTCGCACCTTTGTACTCTTAGATACCTCTTCAACAATGGAAATATCGTTGTCCTCATCTACTAGAGCGCCCTCGCCTTGAAGAGTTTCGCCATCCGCTTCGTCAAGTGCTGCATCATCCTCGTTATCCTCTTGGTCCTCTGGGGGTTGGAAATCATCACTGCTAGCTTCTCCATCATCATGTGCAGCTTCGTTGTCCGAGTCAATGAGGTTAGCATAGCTAGGTCTCGCTTTGCGGGGACGCAGTGCACGCGCCATGAAGCAAGGAAGTCGAATCTCGAAAGTTTCAGCATCTACTACCTTCCTTATTTGGTAGCCATACAGAAACACGCGCAGGAGGTCCTTTGGTCACAATTTCTTCCACTCTGCCATGTTTCGACGTATCATTCCTCAAGCAACCACTCTAAGGCGGTCGGTCTCTCACAGACCACGTACTTGTGCGCGTCCATTCAGATCGTCTGGGCGTGTCAATGAAGAGTCAAAATCGAATAAGGACCCAGACACTGGAAAACGGAAGTCCGAACGTAAGTCTTTTCCGTCATTACTTGTCAAGCTTTCAGTCTCTAACATTTTACCGAAATTTTAGCGACGCCTCTATCATCATGTCCCGAAAATACGATCATTGTTGGTGTGAATTATCTTAAAGGCCAAGAACCGATCCTCGCAAAGAAAGACGAAGATTATCCGGCATGGCTCTGGAGCTTACTGAAGCCCAAAGAGATTCCAGACGATGGACCGGGTGGGTTGGGTGAAAAGATGCGCTTGCGGGCGGCGAATAAGAAACGAATAAAGGAGCAGAATTTCTTGAAAACCCAGTGAACGGGTGAACTTTATGTTGAAGGACATCCAATTATTTGCACGTTCTCATCGTGTTATCCTTTGACTACATTCTCTGACCAAATTGTCTATTCTAGTCCTCTCGTTCTATCGTCAATATTTGGTCTAATCTACCAACCTGTATCCTGCATTCGGACCGCACTCAAGTATATGATTACTATGAACATACAATAAAGCCCTTTATGCGTAGAGTATGAAACAATGGAGCATGCGCTATAATACAGTGACAACTCCAAGAAAAAAGACACATCTACATTCAGATTACTTGGAAAAGGGAACAGATGCAATGCCGGGTACGAGCTAAAGAACGTTGGACATTAAACAAAATCAAGACCTAGTATCATTGATCCCTCGGACTCATGGCTTTCATCCAGTTTCCTGTGAGGGGAGTGAGGCGGGGAGCGAACAATTGCTGGAGTTAGCTGTGACGAGAGTCCACCAGACTGCTGCAAGGGTATGTCTTCGTCGCTTGTGATCGGTGAAGGTGAAGGTGAAGGTGAACGCTGTGCGAGAGCTGGCTGAGCTGTCTGTCCTGCTGCGTGGTGCTGCTGTTGGTGAATGTCACCACGAGCAGGCTGCCGCCATTCAAACTTGAACAGCGAGGTAAATACAATATACATCAAGAGCGGACAAAAAACGTACAGCATTAAAAACTTCCTGCTTATTCATGCCTCCCGTATCCCGGTCGATACAATAACACAGGTAAAGTGTATCCGCACTTTGGAATAAGTAAGTTTATCAGCAAACATCCAGTATATGGGGAGCTCAGACGTGGTACTTACGTGTCCTCAACAAGGCTGACGCAGAACATCCCTACTAAAGCAGTGACGCCACCAGCCAACAACGCCGCAATTGGTGCGTATCCAGGGGCGCTGAGAGTATGTACAACGAACAGATAAGCACACAAAGCGAATGGAAGGGTGAGGGTCAGAGGTGTTATCGTCAGGATGGATAGGGTAGCTGATGAAGATGTTAGCCACTTTTCTACGTATGGTACAAAAACACTTACGATCTATTCCTGATCTACGATAGTTAACCCTTCCACTGGAATTCGCAACCGCTGCTGTCAGAGCACGTGCACGTCTTGCACTTGGGAAGAAGGCATCTCCAGTCAGACCAACATATACTAGAGCCAAGCTACTGAGCGCTCCCGTCGCATTTCCCAAGAATTTTATGGGAAGCCTAAGCAAAGGGAGAAGCGGGATGGGCGCCCTCTTGAGCAAACCAGTCAGCAAGCTAAGCAGGCGAACCCCTGTAAGCAAAAGAGCTGAGAGTGCAATTGAGCCTAGCGATGTGTCTGTAGACCTGTATAATGCTGCGTGGATGCGAAGTGTGTCCAATGGCGGCGGACTTGGTGCCTCCGGGCTTATGATGATCAGTCTGCGACGTGAAGCTCAAAAATAATACTAAAAGAACTTACGGAAGAAAATACCACGCGCCAACAACTGACGCACAAGTTGTCCGTAGAACTCCGCGGGTTACTCCCCAACTCCACAACCAAACAGCAATTGTTCCAGCGATCGACCATTCCGCCCAACTCTTGACATGCCACTCCCAAGAATTGCCAGATGTTTGTGGGTAAACGCGGATAAGAAGAAGCCGGAATGAGAGTGTCAAGAAAGGAATAGAACCAAGCAGAGCGAGTAAGAGCATCAATGGTGATAATGCAAGTAAGAAAGGGTTAGAAAGGAGTAGCGATGTCGAAAGAGTCAGGATGGACGAAGTTGAGTGAATCTTCTCTGGTAATCGAGGTAATCGTCTCGCCGTAAGAATTGCGAGAACAAACGGGACGAGGGAAAAGAGTCGCAAGCTATTTGACCTATTAGAACGAGGGTCATTGATCAGAGAAACTAACCTACCCGACTGTCTCTCCCCACGACGGCTCCTTGCCTTCTTCCCACATGAAACTACCAACAAATGCCCAGATGGCGGAAATAAACAAAGTTGCTGGTACGAAGACAGATGTAGCAAACAACACTGGCTTCACAAATACAGTCAGGAGCATGATATGAGCATAAGATACGAGGGCGCTGATGAATGTCAAAATTGTCAAGAGTGGTACAGTGTGAAGTAAAGTCGTATACGGATTCAGAATTCCGCCAGACGGATTCCTTGGAGCAGAGGTAGTGAAAAGGATAGTGAATGAGCCAATCAGACATGCAGTAACACTTGCAAGCCAAGCTGCTGTCCAATGATGGTCCCTATGCACAGCTCTACCCCGCCTAACATGAGGTCGAGGATCGGGCAGGAAGAACACATCTAATGGCCGAGATATGCCGTCGCGAGGTAAAAGGGATTCCGTGAGCGTGTTCTCTTGATTGCTGCGAGTAACTGGTTGTGTTGGTTGAACAAGGAAATCCTCTGGAGGAGCGCTTGGTTCAGACGAAGTATCCGATGGAAGAGAGGGCGAAACACGGTAGGAAAGGGGCGCCTGGTGCGACAGCCAGCCTTGTACAGGAGTGGTAGTCTGCTCCGTCCTCGTGTTTTCAGACGCAATCGGGTGTAGAGCGTCCGCCGCAAATCGAGCGGTGCGTACCAGCGGAGAGCCTTCGTCGTCGAGCCGTAGATAAGGGTCATCATCATCATCATGTGGCAAGTCTGTATGACGAAGCTGATAATCACTGTTTCGCCCCAGATGAGGGTCATCGTCGTCGTCAAATTCCGCAACATCCGACATGTCTCCGATTCGAGAACCGTCGTCCGTTGTGAAGGAATAGAAGAGGGGCTGGGATGTTGACAGCGAGGAGGGGGGCCGCTGTTGTCTGTTCAGAAACTGCGACGCATAGGCCGTGAAGGAGGCAGCCATTGGCGTCAAAGGCAGGGAGAAGCAATGAGGCGTGTTCAGTGGTGGCAATTTGGCCAGAGTAATCAGAACGCGTCACCGTCGATCGCCCAAGTTAGGCAACTGCGCGAGTCATCTCATCCAGTCACAGAGTTCTGCAAAAGGCTATGTCAGATGGTAAATGCATCTTGAATGAGAGACCAAGTCTATCTTGATTATAGGTGACTCACGGACCTTCCCTCCCCGGATGAGCGCTGAATATGAATTTCGGCTTGTAATCCCTTGGGTCGAAGGTGTTACATTGCACGTGCAGGAAATGATGTAATTTGTCGATATATTTCTTGAGACGCGACCGCGAACAGGAGTCTGAGACTTACTTAAAGCTCTGGTCTTAAGCAAGCAATGCGTCGCGCTCATAGATATTCCCAACCATGACCTCTTCGTGGTTTCCATTCAACTTCAACTTCTCATTTCCGAGCCTGACTCCGCCGTTGTCGATTCAGAGAAGATTTATCTCCTTTCTCTTGAAACGATCCCTCGGACATCTTCTGAAGCCAGGACAGCTTGACATTGACCAGATTGACGCTCAAATCGGGAATGGATTCGTTGAGATTAAAGATCTGGAGCTCGATTGCAACGTGAGTTGCCTGTCTCCGTATTTCTTCTATTAACAAAGTTCCAGGCTATCAACTCTTTCGTAGACGGCCTACCTGTACAGCTCCGCAGCGGAGCCATAGCGTCTGTTACTGCACGCATACCTTGGCCTAACCCGTTCTCGTCAACCGTCGGACTTTCTCTATCCGGTCTGCAACTAGATTTCTGCCTCTCGGAGGCCCCAAGTAGCTCTCACGAGACACAATATGCAGACGAGTTAGCGGAGTCTGTTGCTTCAGTCGCGGAATCTTTCGTTCATGATGAACTCACGGAGGGGGAAGAAGCTCAGCTTCGTCAGTCCGTTCATTTTGAACAAGCTGCTTCTGGTGGTATTCCCGGTGCGATCAATTCTACGATTGATCAGGACCAAGAAACCGCACACAAGCTTGTTAATGATCCCGAGGGTGTTTCTATATTTGCAAGGCTATTTGAGAACCTACTAGCGCGGTTCGATTTCGACGCTTCAGAATCAACAATCTCCCTGACACATAAGGATGTGACCATTGGTCTATGCATATCTCGGATCCATTATTTTACTAGGGGCGTCGTGCAGCCCGAGCAAAGCTCGGATCCGGAGAATCCTAACAGCGGAGAAAGACGTTCTCTGGAAGTAGCCGGATTTAAGCTTACAATGCAAGACTGCGATGAGCGCTCTTTGTCGCCACCAAATCCAGTTGACGAGCAAATGCATTCCGACTTGGCACACGAGACCAGTGATTCTGAACTAGATGACGAAACGCAAGTCGCGATGTCACAGTCATTGATTTCTCTTCCCCCTCGGCCTCTTGACAGACCTACAGGACCTCCTTCACCTGTGCTATCAACGATATCATCGGTGTCGGCGTCGTCGAGCATGTACGAAAGTGCGTTGTCAGCGACTGGTCGGTCACAGTTACCCTGTCAGCGGCCGATTGGCTCTGATATGCCCATTCAAACTGGCCAGTCTAAGCGAACGATATTAGAAGTGACAGAACCAATTCTGCTCCACCTGACGACGCCTCCGGTTGCCGAACGCAACCAGCTCGGTCCTACTGACGAATCACCCGGACAGGAAAGGGATCAGGAGCAGTCACCACAGAATATGAAACTGGACATTTCCATGGGGATTATAGCTATCCTACTCGATGCACGATGCGTACATGGTCTACTGATGATTGCTAGTGCATTCTCAAAGGCTATGCCTTGGTCACCTGTGACGCGACCAGATGTAGTAGAGCAAGAGGCAACAACTCTTGACCTCATAGATCTTTCACTGACTGTCAAAGGTTTGGTGGCCTTGATTTTCGGAGATTATGGCAATGGCCCACAGGAGAGGTCATTTATTTCTCAGTTCTACGAGAAGCCTCTCATCCCTCTAAGTACTTTGAATGGGTACACGCGTCTTCACGTCGATCTAGTTAAGGTGACGCGGAAAGCCGAAGCTATAATAAGTCCCCATGCGTCCCCTACATCTCCGCAACCATCTCTAGAGTCGTTTGCATCAACAAGACCGCAGATGCCCCGTAAGTGCTTGATAACGCTGGCTATCTCTGATGTATCGGTTCTTGCTTTCCACTCACAGATTCCATCTTCTTCCGGCGCAAGCAAGAGCGGAAAGCCTAATCCATCTTCACCAATCCTCATCACTGATCGCAACCTGGCTTATTCATATCGTCTTCCTTCGACTCAGCCAAAATTACATCCAGCGAGGCATCTTCATCCGTGCGCCGATGACGACAAGAATGTCACGATGCCTAGTATTGACATAATGGATTGGAATTCCGAACACGCTAGAGGACAAGGCGCTAGCTTACGCCATTGGCGGACTAGAGGTGCAACTGCTTCACATTATCAGAAAACTCCAGGAAGTCTTGGAGCGGGCCTTGTTTCCAGCGTTGGTATCCCGTTATCCCCAACGCAGGCCATGCGAAATCCTTTTACGGACCAGGCTCGTTCTCCGAAGTCTAACGTCTCATCGGCCGTTTTCGCCCGGATACAGCAAGGAAGAGCTGCAAACATCACGTCCATTGCAGTAGATACCCTTCCTATACACTTCTTTGTCGACCTGGGCGTCGTTCATTCAGTATCCGAATTCCTGGTGACTGCTCTTCCTGGTACAAATGAGGAACCAAACACCAGCCAAGCAGGCATGCATCGGGGCCAAGAAATAGAGGATGAAATCGATGGTGAATTATTCACGCAGACACCCATCAAGGAGAAAAGCAGACTCGAGAAACTTGTATTAGAGGACTTGGACTTGGACTTGGACTATCGTCAGGCCGGTGATACCACGCCCAAACGACGAGCGAGCCCATCTCGGAGGGGAGCAAAGGTTTGTAGATCCGTCCCTCTTTCTTCGTAAGTATGACCTAATCCTCTAACGAAACAGACACGTCGAAATAATTATCACTCATCGCCGCGGTTTGATTTACGAATCCCTCTCTTACGTGTGGAACTCTTGGTACCACCACCTGTTGGTCGATCACCGCGGACAGGGCCTTTACTGCTGGATCTTCATTCAGCTCACCTATCGACGTCAACTCTTCATTCGCCTGGAGATCCACGCGTCCCTCGTTTTAGTGTCAACGAAAAAGACGATACTGGCTTTGAGGAATGGTTCAGTGATGTTCCTGCGTCACAGACAACTTCACTCGAAATTCGGCGAGTTGTTCTGGCATATGCAGGGCTTGGGCAAAAAGCAGCGGAAGCGGTTCTTTCACTTGGACCACTTGGCGATACTGCCGCGGAGACAGCCCATGATGAACACGGCCGGCCCCTTCTCTTCCCTCTAATTCTATTCCGGAGTCGCAACATGATGGGCGAGGAACCTCGACCTAACGCAATACTTATGCGAGTGCCATCCTTGTTCGTAAATATGAATAAAGCCTGTTTAGACGGCCTACAATTGTGGGTCGACGGTATAGGCCAATGGTATGAGCAATTGGCTGGTGGACAGCCCACTGGGGGTAGACCGAGTAATCAGGTCAGCAGGACGAGCAGTTTAATCGGCAGCCGTTACTTCATTCAAAGGTCGGGCAGTGGAAGCACGGAGAACGAGCTGGCGAGCGCAGATGATCCGAGTACAAAGAGCGAGGTTGTTGTTAAGACATGTGTCTCTGAAGGTATGCGTTTCAAACACGAACATCAAGACTTGGTTGCTTACGCTGTTCTGGTTTGGAAGTTTTCATTCGTCTGGAGATTCCTATGGGAAATGGCACAGAAGATAATCGGTTACTCGACATATCTGCTTCCGATGTAGATGCTTTAGTGGAGGTCAAACCAGAAGGAAAGGTGTGTCTTAACGATGCCACGCCGTATGAATGCAGCTCACGTCTCGGTCATTTCTAGGACGAAACCGTGATATCTCTCAATGTTGTTGATGTGAACATCAAGGAGCGCTCAGTGGCAGGACTTCACAGTGTGCTTATAACTAGACCAATGAGCATTGTGAGCATGAGCTTTCGCTTAGATAAAACTTGCAGCGCAAATAACTTTTATCAGAATAGGATTAACAACCCTGCCCTTAAAGTTCGCTTCCGATCCGTTTCTTTGCCATCATCGATCGCGAAGGAGTCGAGAGTCCGCCTGGTCCTGAACGGACTCACCTTAAACTTACGGTCTGAAATAGAGTGGATATCGGACTTAATGTCCTTCGTGAAAGCACCTCCTGGAGTAAGTTCATGCACAGACTCCTACTTTCAATTGGCTAATTCAAAGAAACTAGGCATTTGAGTCCGTGATTCCGAGTGAAAGAACCTATGTTTCAGTTGATGTCCGGGACTGTGCACTCCGAGTGGTTCCGCCTACACGACAATGTGCTGCTGTCATTTCATTAGCGGACGTCACTGTTTCTACCGATCTTGTTGGCGATTCACAAGAGATGGCCTTCCATGCCTCGGTTTCTGACCTTTCCGTGTTCCTAAACGATGACAGTCTTACTTTGACTGAAATATCTGCATTAAGCACGGGGCCTGATGCAGCCTTTTGGATGGTTTGTGACCTCACAATCTTTGGATATATACACAGACTCTGTTAACTGCGTTTTGTAATCAGGGACAACGTTATGCGCTCCTCGCTACTGTTCAAGGCCTCAACTTGCAGCTAAAGCACAATGGGAAGACTGTACCCTCTAATTCGCAGGTTAGATCATTTCTTCCCCTTTACCAAGCGACTTTCTCATAGACGGCTCCGACATAAGGTTTCGATTAATGGCATGCTTCTTAAAGTCTATCTATGCGCAGACACCATATCGGGAATTGCTGGCTTTATTGCCGACGTGCAGTCCATAATTCCTGTCAGCGCAGACGCTGCGTCGTGAGTTTTCGGCTGAGTGACTTCTGAGTTGATTCTCACCGCATTGCTCCCAGTGCGCTGCCTAAGCTGCCTCGCAGAGCCATGGAAGTCTCTGACTCCCGATCTTCAACGCTTCTTCGTAAGTTAATAGGAATTTTGGCCTATTGGCTCCCGGCTGAGATCTCTTTCAGGTTCACTGGACGAACAGGCCTTCCGTCGTCAGCCAGTCATAGGACCTCTACCAGATATGATTGATGACGATTTGCCCAAGAACCCGGAATATCTGGACTCTTCGTTTGGAGCTGCAGCGGGACTCCGAGCTCTTGATGATGACGAGGATGATGACTTTTATCCGGAGGATCAGAGTTCGTCCACACAGTCCTCTGAGAACATTATCTCTAGGCACGGAGGGGAAACCATTAAAATGCTCTGCTCTCCACTTGAGATTGTGGAGAGCTACTTCGAAACACTTACGCCGAATCCACTCGATTTTGCTGCGCAGTGAGTCATTTCAGTTCGAGTTGGGTTCTCGGCTTATTAATTATTGTCCTAGGCACGGTGAAACCTCTGTCAGGGTACGCATGCAGGACTGTGACGTTCACTTGCTCCTTTATGATGGATACGACTGGGATCGAACTAAGGCCGCGATTCGAGAAGAGGTAAAGCGAGTGAGACGTCGCCTCGCGAAAATCAGGCAGTTACTTGCGAATGGACAAGCCTACGATCCGAATATCGACGAGATCAATTCCGTTTTGTTCAATTCTGTTTACGTAGGCCTGGAGCAGGATAAGGAAGACTTGGAAGGAGATGCTCTTATCACAGCTATTGATAACGAACTAGCGGTGGACGCCAGCGATGTTGCATCGGAAAGCTCGTGGCAGTCATTCACCCCAGATCGGAAGGCACGTGTTGAGGCCGCAAAATCAAACCTCCGCTTAAACAAGCTGGATAGAGCGAAGGGGCCGAGCATAGAGTTTGCTCTTCGTGGTATGGCGATCGACTTCGACCGGTACTTACCTGATGCAAACCTTACCTCCCGCTTGCTATCCACCGTCAGAGATTTGGAAATTCTGGATCATATCAAGACGTCGACTTGGAGCACGTTCTTGACCGAGCTGAGATCTGACTCGCGAGGCAACATTCGTGAAACGGATTCCAATATGGTGCGAGTAGAATTGCAAATGCTGCAGCCATTCCAAGGTCACACTGAACAGGAGGCGCGACTGAAGGTACGTAATCCATTCCGGTAATAGGCTGCAGAGCATAATGTCGTCGTTAGGCAAAAATTCTGCCCTTACGCTTGCATGTGGATCAGGATGCTCTAGATTTCCTGAAAAAATTCTTTGCCTTCAAGAGTGGCGATTCCGCATCTCCGTCCGATGAGGACGAGATATTTTTCCGTAAGTTCTTGAGACTCTCCCCAACGCTAACGCCTATAATTATTCCCTTGCTTAGAACACGTCGAGATATTTCCCGTCGACATTAAACTTGACTACAAACCCCGTCGCGTCGATTATAGGGCTCTGAAAGAAGGGAGGACTATTGAGTTGATGAACTTCTTCCACTTCGACGGATCAGAAATGACTCTGAGACATATTACTCTAAAAGGGGTTCGTATTGTACAGAATATTCCATCTGACATTTATTGACATATCATATCAGATAACAGGATGGGCACGGATGTTTGACACCCTCAACGATCTCTGGACGCCTGATGTCAAAGCGAACCAGCTGGTGGATGTTATCTCTGGTGTATCGCCAATTCGGTCCGCTGTGAATGTCGGATCGGGCGTGGCGGATCTTGTGCTGTTGCCAATCGCTCAGTACAAAAAGGATGGACGAATCATTCGAGGGTTGCAAAAAGGTACAACAGCCTTCATGAAGTCGACCGCTATGGAAGCAATCAAGCTCGGTGCTCGCCTTGCGACCGGAACGCAAGTTGTCCTCGAGCAGACTGAGAATGTTCTTGGGGGACAATTTTCCGGACCGGTGACCGCTGAAGCTCTTCAAGCCCCACCTAGATCTGGTCCATCAGACGCGCTTTCGGATGAAGACGATGACGGGGCTTCGGCTGGAGAATTGTATAGCAAGTATGCTGAACAGCCCACTAATGTCAAAGAAGGCGTGCAATCGGCATATCGGACTTTGTCGCAAAATTTTAAATATGCAGGACAAACGATTCTGGCTGTGCCGATGGAGGTTTACGAGCGTTCTGGAACGGAAGTAAGTTCTTCATGATTTACCGATGAGATATCCCTCTGACTGAATGGGTTTCCGTAGGGCCCTGCACGCGCTGTTATCAGAGCAGTACCAATAGCAGTCTTAAAACCAATGATCGGAGCGAGCGAAGCTATCAGTAAAACACTATTGGGGCTTCACAACACTCTCGATCCACAGGCACAAATTGACACTGAGACCAAATATAAGCATCGGTGACGGCGATTCAGGCTTTTTTTGTATTCATTTGCTCTTTACAATCTGTATCCTTACGCAATGCTATGAATATAGACAAGTAAAAGAAAAACCCCAATTGAGCATTCTAAGCAATACAAATGTGATATAAAAATGCGAAGAGACTGACGAAACTGCAAACCAACTCAGTCGATCTCCATACCCATAGAGCGTCCCTCGCTTGGTACAAGTGCGCTTTTCTTCGTAGATACTCGGACCTTCTGCTTGATCTTTTCTGGCTCTTCTTCGACTGACAGCGCTGCCATTGGCTGTAATAGCTTGACCGAGCTCGGAGTGGCAAGTTTCTTCTTCCGGCGATGTGCAAGCAATTTCGCACGGCTTGCGGCCAGTCTGTCCATTGATTAAGCAGAATAATAAGAACCCTGAGCACGACGGAATAGCCAAACTGGTTACGCACCTGTTTCTCCAAAATGCCTGCTCGCGTCGCTGTCTAATCTCCCCAACGCGCTTCATAGCCTTGATTGTAGTCGCTATAAGCTCGCGGTTGTAGCGTACAGGTACATTTCGTCTTTTCTCGAATTCGAAAGTTGAATCCTGAAGATGCGAACATTCAGTTAGGAGAACGGAATACAGATTATCCGAATGGACGCACGATTGTCATTTCTTTTCCGTGGGCCTTCCTAAACGCCTTCGTCCATCTCACTTTACGAGGATTTCTCTTCATCCTGAATACTTTGTTAGGGCCAGCTCTGCCGAGGGACATCATCAAACATACTTGAAATTCTTATGGCATCTAATATTTGCGTCAATCACCAAGAGACATTGATTTTGCTTAGTGAAACTCACTTCGAGGTGCAGAATCGGAAAACTTTGGCATCGTTACGCACAAATGCCGAGCCTAATTTAATGTAAAATAAGAAGCTTGGAAATCCTAATGAAACGAACGAGCAAACCATGTCCCGGGTAGACATTTTTTGAGCAGAAATAGCACTTCTCGATCCGCATTGTTAAGTGCGCTCGTCGTGGCTTTCGTAAAGTCGTAAAGTCGATATGCGGCAGCACGAATTGTGCGTGCCTTTCCAGGTTTCCCACGGGGTTGTGCGGTCACGTGAAGTTATCAATGAAACATATTCAATTTGTCATCTACCACACCAGGTGGGCACCGTGGGCTCGGATGTAAACTCAAAGAGCCTTCTCACATTCCCCAAACCACGATATTAGTTTAAGATACTCTCCGCCTTGCCTTTCATTTTTGCAATTACTAGTCTATGCTGGATCGGATGTTCGCAATATGTTCCCGATGCCCGCATTTCCCAAAAATTTCGTCGACAAAATGTATTCTTTATTAACGACAACCGTTCAAGCGATCGAATACTTTGATACCAATAATTCCAATAACAAGATGGAAACTCACCATACCGAAATATTCTCGTAGAATTTTGCTTAATTTTCTTTTTCTTCGGCAAGCAAGTCATCCACGACCTCACCCGATCTTACTCCTATGACGCTCAGAAGTGTGTCGCTAAGACCATGAGTTGCCTCTGCACAACCTTGTACGTATATGCGTCCGCGCTTTCCCTGAACAGACGAGACGGGTAGCAGTCTATATGCTCTAGAAATGCGGATTTGCACCGGTGTAGACAGCGATTGCGACGAGCACGACAGACTTGGAGAAGACGGCGGTGTGCTCGAAGAACTGGTGCTACCTGTAACTGGCGACTGTATCGGATCTTGCTCGTGCTGACTGGTATGACGACTATCAAAAGATGAAAACTCGCTCTCTGCCTCAGGGGCAAAAGTGCAGTGAGCAGGAACGAGCTTCACGGGAGTATCGTCCGTTATCCCTGCGAGTCCATAGTCCTTGGCGAGATTTGATCTACGAAGGAAATTCATCCAAGCAGTGCGCTCATAGCCGGTCCCGCAGATGATGGCGTCATATACATCTTCTACCAGCTCATGTGTTCGAGTGTTTTGGCGAACAAGAGTGATTTGTCGTGGAGAGTGGTCAACACCTAGCGAGGCAATGGTCGCGCCGACGACGTTCTCGTTATGGCGGAGATTGATACGGACGTTCATATCAGATGCACCGGAGCAATCACGGGAAGCAATGCTCTCCGATAGCCTCTGTTCGTAAATGAGCTCGTATAACTGGAGGATAAAAGTAGATGATCAGCTGGTCAGAACTTGACAACAAAATGGTCAAGAGTACGTTATCAAGGCTCTTCGGGTTCACAACGCTGTAGTTCGTATTCTTGTATTCGGACAAGATTTGGCCTCGCAGGCGGTCCGTCGAGAGGTTGTACCACTCATCCGTAGCTATTGAATTAAATGACGGAGATATGAATCCAGGACCGCAGAGGAAGCTCATACACGTACAAGAAGGATCAAAAATTTCGTTTACGAATGGGCTGTCGTCACTCGGCTTCAGAGAACCTTTGCGAATGACCATATCGACCTGGTGACCACCAGGTAGAAGACTTTCCAGTCGATTGTAAGCATCCATAAGGCACTCTGCGGCACTCTGGCCGCCACCAACAATAGCAATCTTCAGTGGCCTGCCCAACTGTGAGAGTCTGGAAAGCACTGGGCGGATGAACGTTATATATGATGCGGTGTGTAGTACCGGGACCTCGAGCACACTCTCTTCAGTCCATTTTTGCTGCTGGAGGGAAGATAAAACACGTGGAATCCGAGGAGAGCCACCGGCAGACAAAATTATATCCTCTTTGAGACGAAGCTAATCAGCACAGAGATTGACCCGCTGATGTGGTCAAGCATATACTCACTTGTCCTGCGTACGATTAGCTCACCCGAAGTCGATCGGCGACTCGTAACCTCAATGCGTTCCTCTTCCCCGACATGGACTTTGGAGATAGCGATGACTTCCTCTGCATATGTGACTTCGACTCCCCTGCGTGTCACCTCCCGGGCCGCCCATGCAAGGTAGTCGGAAAACTCACGGCGCGACGGGATGGTTGAACCACGATTGATGAACACACTCAAGCGGTTCTGGGCGTGGAGGTAAGAAAGGAAGGTGAATGGTGAGCACGGGTTACGGAGAGTCGCCAGATCCTTCAGGCAGCTAGAGAAAAGGAAGTCCGGTGTCAGATAATGCTATTATTATTTGCAAAACAGAGGCAATGATACACTTATTAGATACCGACCTTATTTGCATTCTAGCTCCAGGAATGAGCATTCCTGGGTGCCATCGGAAATCCGGGTGTTTTTCTATGAAAATGACGCGCTGGGTTTTCTTGACATATCGTCAGAAAAGTAGAAGCCAAAGGTATTGAGGGAAAATATATTGACGCTTTTACCTTGTCTATCGACCACTTATCGGCGAGTGCAACTGCGATACCGAGGTTCGCAGGGCCAAATCCGCAACCAAGAACATCATAAGTGTCGATGTAAGAGTTGATAGTGTTGTATAGGGGATCTGGATTCATGACATGCGATGCCAGCCTTTAAGGACGAAAGATGGTAGGAGGGAAAGGGGGACGATTTTCAGATGATGGTGATTAGGGCTTCGAATTTATTTTCGCGGTTATAGGTGAGAGTCTAGCTTGAAGACCGTTATGCTGGTCACTTTGGCTTGCACGGGTCGGTGAAAATAAATAAGAGCGGATTCTGATATTCCGGGTGGAGACGGAGGGAGATAGCGACGCTGGCAAAAGAATAGGGCCATTGTATGACGAGGGTAATTCGGACTTTGGACTAAGTGACAGGGATCCGTGCTGGCAATTTTCTGTATAGATCAGGTCGGCTGGCCTATCTGATAATAACCGGACAGATTAATCTAATCTGATTACTGCCATCGTTCGGATGGATTCCGCTCGGCTATTCAATTGTCTCTCGCCTTGGCAGCATCATCGTCCTCCATTTGTCGGCAATTTTCAGCGATTTTTCAGCGGTGGCATCACTCGAAGGGCCTACTTCAAGTCCGATGTCGAGAACGGTTGCGGGCCGAATCACGTTTGTGACGACGTCTTCCTCTTTGGGGTGCTCAGCGAACATGCCGTCCCACTCCCAGGAGTTGGGCTATCGATCGTGCATATGCTCTGATACTCTGTAGGCTGTGCCTCCTTTATCTGCACACAACATACATAAGCCGCATGCAAAGTGTCATACCTACGCGCGTTTAGCTCCTATCTTCCCGTACGCCGCTGCCCCGTTTCCTTTTCCCATGCAGACACCTGGTCCACCCTTTGCGGACTACCAGTTCATCTCCCTTCCGGATCTCTCCACCCTACGACACGCGCCGTCTTCTCGAGAGCTTATTTCCGTCCGCTCGGATGCCGACTGTTCGGAGGAGATTGTCCTAGTCGCTCTTGCCCGCTGCCTGGGCGTGTACTGTGCTGCAAGTGATGTCCTGCTCGGGTGGCAGCCAGTAGGCAGCCCATGTGCCATGCGGCAGGTCACAGCAGCTCGAGTTAACTGGGCTAATTCAGATAGCTACAGAAGCGTCGTGGAGAACCTAGTCCTGCAACAGACCGAGAATAACCCCGATAGCATCCGAAGCACTCTCGGAATTCAGTTAGATGACGGCTTGCAGCCATTTTTAGCCGTCCTTACTCCCAACCTCGATTATAACCATCCACTTATTGCTGCATACGCGAAGAATGCTGGAAGTAAAAGTCATACATGGACTTTGACATTGAAATACTCGACTTTACGCTTTCATGCATCAACTGCCGAATTGCTTGCCAAACAGGTCTGTGCAGTGGCGACGCGCATAGCAGAGGACCCCGCATTTCCACCTAAGCACCTTGATTTTCTTCCTGATGAACTGCTTTCTATCGTACCTGTGCGTACAAATGGGTCGTCATATACGCACTATCCTGAGGTCAGAACCGTCGCAGACTTCATTCCTCGGCACGACCCATCGGTGGTCGCCATTGAGTATTATCCCGACCTTTATGATGAGGATCCGGTTTCCTTTGACCGCGTTGTAACGCATATGACGTACGGCGAGCTTGATAAACATTCGAATCGCTTCGCGGCATACCTGTGCGCCCAGGGTCTCGGGCAAGAGGACCGTGTAACATTGTGCATGCCTCGCGGCATCGAGTTTCATGTGGCTATGATGGGTGTATTGAAAGCCGGGGGATGTTATGTTCCTGTACGATACTCTCAAAATAATCCAAATATTTTCAGGCAAGGCTGACTGTATGCGTAGATTGATCCCGAACTCCCTGAGGAGCGTCAGAGATTTATCAATGAAGATTCGAACACACGTTTCATTTTCACCGCTGAGAACATTGCGGAACATATGAGCGCTTCCAAGGAATACTCGTCCGATGACATCAACAATGCACGGAGCGATGGACTTGCATACCTTCTTTACACGAGCGGGACGACGGGCACTCCGAAAGGCTGCCTATTAACGCACGACGGGTTTTCACAAGCAATTCACGCTTTAAGTTGGTTTGCGAACCAGGCTGGGCCAAATAAACGTCGGTGGCCTCAAGCTGGACGGTATCTTGCTGTAGCTTGTAAGATTACTTTCGATTCTTCCTTTCCCCACTGTTCTGTGTTGCTTATTCATTCGTCCAAGCTATTGCATTTGATGTGCATTTGGCAGAGACCTTTGTTGCTCTGTCTCTCGGTATGACACTTATATGTGCGCCACGCTCGCAGTTGCTAGAGGATCTGCCCCGCTGGCTGCATCGTCTGCGCGTAACGCATGTCGGTATTGTCCCGAGTCTAATCGAAGCGACAATGCACGCCGTTGCAGAATCTGCTGAACTTTCTGCTGGAGGGCAGAACTCCGGGGTAGAAGGACAGTCAATGGAGCTGGCTTACATTGCTAGCGGTGGTGAAAAGATGAGCGACTCGGTTCGCAAGCGTTTGATTAAGAAATGAAATCTGTCTAACATCGCATATAGATTTTGGACAAGTGGGCGGACCATCCACTCGTGACTTTAGCAAACTTTTACGGCCCAAGTGAAGTTACAATCGGTTGTTCTGCACGCCTCATGACGTCTGCCACGCGGAAAGAAAGTATAGGTCGCATATTTGAGAATTGCTCTGCGTATGTAGTCGACGAGAACCTCAATTTGGTCATTCGAGGAGGAATGGGTGAGCTTTTGGTGGGTGGACGTCTTGTCGGACGAGGGTATCTAAACCGTCCAGACCTGACTGGGAAATCCTTCATCAATTATGCACACGGTCCAAATCGTGAAAGAGTTTATCGTACAGGGGACCTTGGTAAGCGGTCTGGGTGGTAAAGTATTCATCTTCGGAGTTCGCTGATCAATGACCCCAGTTCGACTCATGCCAGACGATACCTTGGAGATACTTGGCCGTATTGATACCCAAATTAAGCTTCGCGGTGTGCGTATCGAGTCTGAAGGCGTTTCATCTGTCATACGGAAGGCTGCCACTGAAGTTCCCGGAATGAAATCCAAGACGGTGCCAGACGTTTCTACGATTCTTTCTCGTCATCCTCAGCTTAAGACGGACCAACTTGTTTCGTTCATTGGCCTGGATTCTTCTAAGTCTGTCGCCCTCAGACGGAAAGAGCAACCGCGCGTCCTTAATAGCGTTCCTAAGGGCCTAATGCGCGCACTTAAAGAAGCGTGCGCACGAGAATTAGCGAGCTATATGCGGCCTGCCCACATTGTTCCACTTGACTTTCTTCCAATGAATCAAAACGGGAAGACGGACAATAAAGCGCTTGATGCACTTTTTAGGTCGGAGACGCTCGAAGTCCTCGGACGTGCGAATGCGCAAAGAGGAGATGAGAGCGCAGAAGTAGGAGTACTGACTCGCGAGCTGAATGAGAAGGAGGCAGAAATCGCCAAATTGCTATCCCGGCATATCGATGTTGGCCACGCTGAGCTCCAGCCTTCGTCGAATTTGTTTCAGCTTGGATTTGATTCATTGAAGCTTGTGCGACTCGCCGCGCAACTCCGTTCTTCTCATAACACCAAATCGGTATCCGTTGGCAATATTATCCAACAACCAACTATAGAAGGTATTGCGGCTCTACTAGTTGACGTGAGGACTGCCGAGAAAGGAATTTCCCGCAGCTCTGGTCTTGACAAGTTTTTGCGGCAATGGCGGTCAGAAGTCGAAGGAACATATGGAACCGAAAAGGTTGAGCAAGTTTTACCGACCTTTCCTGTCCAAGACGGTGTCTTGTATCGTTCTGCGGACCTTAGCACGCTGTACATTCAGCACGTAGTACTGAAGATCCACAGTAGTGTCGACATACAGAAGCTGAAGCGTTCCTGGGTTGCGCTCGTGTCTCAGCATGAGATTCTCCGGTGAGCCCTCGGCTGTGCTGTACTCCTCTATGATTAGCATTAATCTATCATGAATCTTTCAGAACCGTATTCCACTTCTCCTCATCTTTGGTTCAGGTCGTACTAAAGCCCGGAGTATGCGACTTGCCTTGGGTGGAACGGATGATCCAGGCGGATAATAATGAAAACTTTCATGCCTCGTTTTTAGAAGGCGATGCGCTAGAATTCGCTCGGACTATTAATGAGAACATCAGCTCTTCGCCGGCGTTTCAACTGGCTTGCTATCGTGCTGAAGACCAGTCAGCAACTTTCCTAACTTTGTCTATTCACCATGCCATATACGATGGGATCTCCCTCCCCCTTCTTCTCCAAGATGTTGAGGCGATCTACTTCCACGAGAATCCGCCGCCTCCTGTGCCAATCCTCCAAGTACTTGACGCGGTGCACGATGTGGATTTGGATGAAGCGACTGCCTTTTACAAAAGGGAATTTCATGGATTCAATTGGTCTAAAATCCCAAGACGTCTGGCTTCTGGAGAGACGGCTAATTTTGTTCGGAAGAGTTTTAACGCACAGCTTAGTTGGTGGGAACAAACCGCTGCCAAAATCAAAGTTTCTTTACAAGCCGTATTGACTGCAGCCTTTGGGGTGACTCTGGGGGAACAGGTATACGGGGTTCCCGATGTTGTGTTCGGCGTATGTCCCAAGTTCTCGTTCTCACATTTGTTAATGAGGATTAATCCTTTCCGCATTGGCATGTTAAGGTCATACGATCTGGTCGCTCTTTTGCAGACGACAGTATCAATGATGCTCGGGCGCCACTGTTAACTGTGGTTCCCACCCGCATCAATGCTAACCTTGGTGCGGACCTTCTACAAACAGTGCAACGTAATATCGGTGCCGTCCTTGCCTATGAGCATGTCCCATTGAGTCGCGTACAAAGCTGGGTGCAGCCGGGTCGAGCATTGTTTGAGGTTCTTTTCTCTGTCTCGGTAAACGATGCAGAGCCAACGAGACTGTACGATGTCGTTGAAAGCAGGCAACCGCATGCAGACGTAAGTCACTCGTGACGCTCCCACCAGTCCAACAACTCGTTCTAATTAGTAAACTTTGATTGTAGTACATTCTCGCCGTGGAAGTAGTGTTTGACAAGACTAATGGGCAAATACGCATCGACTGCGCATTCACTGAGCCTTTAAAGCGTCATGACGTCTCTCGCTTTCTTCAAAGTCTTGAAGGGACAGCAAAGGCTTTGGTGGAAGGTAATCACAGAGCAACCATGCAGCAATCCCTCTTGTCGGACGAGGAGGCAATTGAAGCAGAAAGTGATTCGGGATATGCGTCTGAGGCTTCCGTAGATGACACCCTTGAGGAAAAGATCCGCCTCATAGTTTCCGGATTCCTTAAAATCGGGAATGACCAGATCTCGAGTACCACATCACTCATAGCACTTGGCCTGGATTCAATAAGGTCTGTCGGACTGTCACGCGCTCTCCGTCGAGATGGAATTGAGATTACATCGCTTGATATAATGCGCCATCCAAGTATTCGACGCATCGCTGCCCGCTCTTCGAATCGCGACAACTCTTCGAACAAACAGAGGGACGAGGAGGAAAACCTATTAGCTAGCAGACGTGCACTCATAGCTTCACACGTAAATGTAGAACCTCTGAAGCTTGGCGAAGCGGATGAGGTTGAGTTATACCCAACAACCATTCTGCAAGCTGGCATGCTATCTCAAGTAAGTTTCCGGACAAGATGTACCATGCAGCCCTTAATATTCCTCCGCATTTAGACAATCAATTCTGGTGGCAATTTATACATACATGCTTTCCCATTCCAGTTATCTGCAACAATAGATACTGATCGTCTGCAACTTGCCTGGAGAAGTGCGGCTCAGTACTTCAACATTCTTAGAACGTCATTTCACTTTGTGGAGAAGATGGGCGCATGGATCCAAGCCATACATTCCGTCTATAATCTTGACTGGTGCGAGGTGAACGAGTGCGATGGAAAAACTGTACTCGATGTGGCCGAAGGGTGTATCAGAGACTTGGACTTGTCGTCAGAAAGCAAGTTTTCGAAACCGCCGGTCTTCGCGCGACTAAGTCGTCACATTGGAGGGAATCCTAAGGAGCCGCAGTCTAGCACTTTGATTCTTATTCTTCACCATGCATTGTATGATGGGATATCTATAACTCAGCTTTCGGAGGCGGTAAGGCAGTTCTATCATGACGAAACGCCCTCTCCGTCGCCTCAATTCGTGGATCTCTTGGGATATTTTGAATATCAAGATCTCTACGGGTCGGAGTTCTGGATCAAACAGCTACACAGATTCAATCGTCCAGTCCTTCCTCGAAAGGCTCTTCGTTCCTCGAATTCCAAGTCCTTGTCCGCTAGAGCAGAGATCCGCCTCCCATTATCCCGCATGCAGGAAGCTTCCAGCATCTACGATGTGACAGTACAATGCTTCGGTCAGGCGTCATTTGCTAAAGTGCTTTCTACGTTGTATAATGAACGTGATGTCGTTTTCGGTCATGTCGTCTCTGGGCGAAATGTGCATCGGGCAGAAGATGTCCTTGGGCCAATGATCGTATGTCCTTCCTTACCTTGTCTTCGAATCGTGCCTCAAACTCCTTGCCGAACAGAGTACGTTACCGCATAGGTCGCGGATTATTTCAAACGTCAAGAACCTAGACTTCGTCCGTTCCATCCATGGACAGAATTTAGAAGCGCAAAAATGGCAACACGCATCATTACGGACAATACAAAGAAAACTCGGCATGAGAACACTTTGGGATGCCATTTTCCTCTTCCAACCGATGATAGATGATGGCTCTAGAGAAGAAGACGAGCTATGGGCTTTTGACGATTCCGAGGATGAGATTGCGAAGATACAGGTGAGACAGGGAATTAGAAGCAACACACTTTGCTGTGCTGACTTCCTTGCCATTCAGTATCCTCTGAATATCGAACTTCACCAACACCTGGACTGCCTCATCGTAAAGGCAGCGTGCCAATCTGAGTTTTTCAATGAGAGTGATTTGGATGTTATAGTTACAGGATTTACCCGGTCGTTTACGCAGTTAGTCGACGAGCCATCGGCGTATACCCTTCCTCACCTTGCCGTTGACGATGAAGAACGGAATCAACGTGAACAGACGGCCGATCACGATCGTGCAAAATCTCCTGTTATTGACGAGCGAGTATCAAAGTTCATCGAAGTCCTAGCATCATGTGTTGACGTACTGCGCGCGTCCATTGAACCAAACACATCCATGGTATCCCTCGGTGTTGACTCTATCACAGCTATCCAGATTTCTTCGAGGGCACGGAAGCTCGGCTTGCAGTTACAGGCCACAGATGTACTGCATTGCCAAGCACCACAGGACGTGGTAAAGATCCTCCAACGCAAGGGTTGCAAAACGAATGCACGAAGCTCTTCTCATATGGAACCTCAGCTTGTAGAAGCATTGGTGGAACGTCTTGGTTCTGCAAAAGAGGCGGTGGATGGAGTCTATCCTGCATCTGCAGGCATGGAATGGCTTATTGGCATGTGGCAGCTAAGCGATCGCGCCGGTTTCCAACATGCATTTGCTTTCGCACTCCCCTCTGATATTGATGAAGAGAAGCTCAAGCGTGCCTGGTTTTCGCTTGTCCAGAGTCAACCTATCCTGCGCTCGACATTCGTATCCGGTCCCGATAAAACCACGCATATAGTAACGTTCAAGGATACGTCCCCGGAGCGTCATTGGTCGCGTCGTGAAGCAGCAAATACACAGTGTGCACCGGATGTCGTCGAAACTATCACGAAAGAACTCGTTTCAAATCCTCTTTCCACCGACTTACCCCCCTGTCAAGCTGTCTTTCTGAGGACGCCCGCACGAAGTTACTTAATTCTGCACCTCCATCACTTCCAGTACGATGCGTGGAGTTTACGTTTGCTCATGGAGGATCTCCAGCGCCAGTACGAGGGAAATGACGCCGTTTACCAAAGGAATGTTTCTCTGTTCTTAGAAAAGTGCAATTCCTCGCACACCAAAAACGAACAAATGCAGTACTGGAGAACGTATCTGACGTCGCCTTTCGTTCCGTCGCTATTCCCCAAACGTAAAAATCGCACCATGATTGAACACAATAGGCTCTTCTACATTGACCGACATGCGGTACGGGATGTCATTCGTTTACGCGAACAAGCTCAAGACGTGTCCACATCCTTGAACGTCATTTTCTTAGCGTGTTGGGCACAGGTACAAGCGAAATACTCCAATGCGATTTCAGCCACCTTTGGGTTATGGCATTTGGGTAGAGGTGGAGTAGTCGATGACGTCGAGTCCTTACCAATCCCATGCATGAATGTCCTCCCGATACATGTTGAGAGAGTCGATATACCTTTGCGTCGGCTAGCAGACGAGATACAAGCAACACTTAGAGATCGCTCTGCCATCGTCCAACAGAGTCACCTCGAAGACGTATGTCGCTGGACTAATGCAGACACAGATCGCGCAATGATGAATGTATTCGTCAACGTTGTCGCTACGGCTGAACTGAAAGATAAGAACTACTATGAATTCCTTAGTCCGGTTGAAGTAAGTCGAATTCGTTTCTTCATGTTGTCGCAAACGCTCATTGTAGGCAGTTACCATATTTCATCCCTCGAGTTCAAGAGGCCGAACAGCGGCCAACGGTAGATAGATTAGCTGTTTGTAACATCATAGAAGTACGAGTGATTCTACTACACCCATTCGAGACGCAACTAATGATGAACGTATAGGACGCCGTGTTGGTCGACTTCGCCGTTATTGGAGAAGATGTAACTATGTGTATTGAATACAGAAACGACTACCTTGACGACAAGACGAGTCAGGGTTTGGTGTCGGATTGGGCATTACTCGTGGAAGAAACCTTAAGATAAATTAAAAGGCAATAATATTGCTCATTATGGATTTCCAAGTATCATTGCTAGACACTTACAGGATTGTAGAATGAAATTAAAGCACACTTTGTATTATTCACGATCACTTATTTTGTCCCTGTGTGATGCGCCCGTGCAATTGCCAGACACTCGGTTTCCATGCCTTTCAACCAAACGACTTCAACGCCAGCATCCGCCAACTTCTTGGCCCCCTCACAGTGTACGAAGTCATCTGGCTCGCCAACGCCGATTACACATCGAGATACCCCAGCTTTGATCAGCGCGTCCGCGCATGGTGCCAGCCCGGACAGGCGGACAGAGCAAGGCTCCATCGTGGTGTAGACATGTGACCTTCGTAGGAGATTCTCAATCGATGGCTCGCTTCCAACGTACTCATGGGACGATACAGAAGCCAATAGTTCACGAAGCTGCTCTTTGGGTAGCGCACGAACCTTTTCGAGCGCATTTGCTTCCGCATGAGTGTTTCCTTCTAGTTCTCTTGAATAACTCCGGGAGAGGATGATGGGCCAGGCGTCATTCAACCGAATCACCAGGACACAGCCGACGGAAAACGCGGTAGGCTTCGGCTCGCATTTACGAGCCTCCTGCAAAGCCAAGGACATCATTTCAAGATCAAAAACATCAGCCAGAGACGAGTCTGCAGGTTTGGGCATGGTGATTGTAATAGTCAATGGTCAAGCTGTCGATCATCCTTATTGAGGAAAGTTGATATTAAAACATGGCAAAACATTTGAAATACATATAAATTTGCGTTGCCTCAAGACCGGTGTACAATACATGAATAGTTTGTAAGTACATGAATGTGATGCCAGAAACCAATGTTGACAATAGTATATTTCCGAAAGTCATGGGTGAAGTCGTATAATCGTGATCCTGGAATTTCCTCAAGCCTGTACTTCTACAATATGTGTACCATTCACGGGCGGCGGTACAAAGCGCTAGAAGAAACGAGTCAACACTAATAGCAGACTTAACTGATAAGTAAACACACCCTAGTCTTAATACCTCCCGAGCTTGGCAAGCGAGTAGAACCATCAGTGAGCCATGCATCAACCTCGGCAGCAGCTCCACGGCCCTCACTGAAGGATATCCTGTAGTTAGCAATACGGTTCGGTAAAGAATTTTGAATAAGAAACGTACTTAATTCCCCAAACGATGAGAGATTGTCCACGTCGACAGTCGCCCGCAGCAAAAATGCCTTCAACGCTCGTGGAATATTTCTAAAAATGGAATAAATATCCAGCTAAAATGCATGTGTGTCTGCATGACATACCTTTTGAGGCGTCACAATATTCGATCGGACGTCTTGCTTGACGCTCAACGCTTTTAAGACCTCATTCTCAGGGCCGAGGAAACCCAGGGCAAGAAGCACTAGCTGCGCAGGGAAGAATTTTTCTGAACCTGGAATTTCCTCCATCTTCCAACGCCCTCCACCATCCTTCGTCCACTCAACACGAACTAGGGAATATGAGTAAGTAATATTAAAATATTTGTAATTAAACATACCTGTGTTAAGTCCCTGTAATTTTCCATCCTCATCAACAACAAACTCCTTGGTAGAGATACAGTATTCGCGAGGATCTAGCGAGAAAAATAATTAGGTCGGGTTAACGAAACACCTAACAAAAAGCTGACCGTTTCCGAAATGAGCTGCGACCTCCGTGTGGCCATAGTCGGTCCGGAAAATGCTAATATGTGCGCATTTAGGTCAAGCTGTGAAATTATCATGTATGATAACTTACCGGGGCCATTGCGGCCAAGGATTATCACGTTCGCGGGAAGATGGGGGTCTCGGAAGGAGTTCGAAGTTTGTAACTGACTTCGCACCGTGACGCATAGAAGTCCCTATGCAATCATTGCCAGTGTCGCCTCCCCCGATGACAATAACATCCTTTCCTTTCGCACTGATGTAATCACCATTCTCGAGGTTAGAATCTAGTAAAGACGCCGTGTTACGCTGAAATACACGAGTTAATCGTCGGAAAATGACAGATGACCGTGCCGGACTGACCTGCAGGAACTCCATAGCAAAGTGAATGCCATCCGCGGTTCGATTTGCAATCTTCAGATCCCGGGGCCAGGTTGCTCCAGTAGCAAGAACCACAGCATCAAACTCGCCCTTTAGACGGTGCACATCTACGTTTACGCCCACATGTGCGTTTGGAACGAAGGTCTCGAACCAGTATTAGTCACGCTATTTCTCAGGCCGTTATGTTCCGAATACGTACCACGCCCTCAGCAGCCATGAGGTCAAGTCGACGCTGAACGACAGCCTTATCAAGCTTCATACTATAAGACCGCGGAGTTTAATGAGATACAAAGTCACTGGTGAAACCACGTATGAATGCTTACTTTGGAATACCGTACATGAGAAGCCCTCCCATGCGATCATTACGATCAAAGACGGTGACGAGATGACCAGCTTTGTTGAGCTGGTCGGCGCATGACAATCCAGCAGGTCCGGAGCCAATGATGGCAACCTTCTTGCCCGTCCTGTGCGACGGAATCTTCGGTGCCATCCAACCCATTTCGAATCCCTGCAGAATAGATTATAATTAGACGAATATTCTCAGAGTCATTGCTATCTGCATTTACCTTGTCAATGATCGCACATTCGACGCTCTTGATTCCGACTGGTTGTTCATTGATGCCGAGGACACAGGCTCCTTCACACGGGGCGGGACAGACACGTCCTGTGAATTCAGGGAAGTTGTTGGTTAATAGAAGCCTGTTGAGCGCATCTTGCCATTGGCCCTTGAAGACGAGGTCGTTCCACTTCGGAATGACATTGGAAATGGGGCAACCAGTGTCAGACTGACAGAAAGGTACCCCACAGTCCATGCATCGAGCTGTCTGATACTTAAGTTCACTTTCAGTGAGACGCGTGGAAAGTTCTTTCCAGTCCTTGACACGCTTTCGCGGCGGCCGGTATGCCTCTCCGAGTCGTTTGTATTTCATGAAGCCCTTGACTTTATCAAGCTTCTGCATGCGCTGTTTACTTGCATTCTCGTCCAGCATAGAGTCTTCAAGGTCGACCATAGATGTTTCTGCCTTTTCCTTTGAATGCGAACGCGACATAGTCAACGCAGCAGAGAAAAGTTCCTTTGGCTGATGGAGTATATTTTCCATGTTCTCATTAGCGAGATCGACCTGACTGGCCGTCCGCGATGGGACAAGCTCAATAATGTTAAGGCGCATCTTCTCCTCCTTTGCCTTCGCAGCTTGTTCCTCAAGGACACGCTTGTAATCGAATGGCATGACACGGACGAAAAGAGGGAGGAGGTGATGGAAATCATGGAGAACACGATTTGCAACTTCAGAACCTGTATAGTGACGATGGTCCTCGATCAGACTACGTAAGAGAGCAATCTCACGAGGATCGGTGACCTTCCCTAGTTCAACCATCTCCATGTTGACCTTTGAGGCGAACGTATGCGCAGTATCCAATACATAAGCTATGCCACCACTCATGCCCGCGGCAAAATTACGCCCGGTGGTACCGAGCACAACGACTCGTCCTCCCGTCATGTATTCACAGCCGTGATCGCCAGTTCCCTCAACGACAGCATTAGCACCTGAATTGCGTACCGCAAAGCGCTCAGCGGCAACGCCACGAATGAACGCCTCTCCCGATGTTGCACCGTACAGGCACACGTTGCCAACAATGATATTCACTTCCGCTTTGAACGTCGCCGTTTTCGGTGGGTAAACGATGAGGCGTCCTCCTGACAGCCCCTTTCCAACATAGTCATTACAGTCGCCCTCAAGTTCGATGGTGATACCAGGAGCAAGAAAGGCTCCACAAGATTGGCCAGCCGAGCCCTTCATGGAAATGTGAATCGTGTCTTTTGGGAGACCTTCCTCTCCGTAAAGCTTTGACACCTTGTACGAGAGAGTCGTTCCTAACGCACGGTCTGTGTTGACAACGTCGCACTCAATGTGAACAGGAAGACCCTTAGTAAGTGCGGGCTCCGACTCGTCAATGAATTTGTTGTCCAGGCGAATGTAAAGCTTGTGATCTTGCTGACGAACTTTGTACGTAGCAGCACCCGGGCGCATCTGCCAGGCAGGCTTGAGAATCGCAGAAAGATCGAGGGACTTCGTTTTTGGAGTCCGCAGAGACTCGTTAACTCTCAACATATCAGACCGCCCAACCATCTCGTTGATCGTACGGAAGCCCAGCTTGGCCATGTAACCGCGAAGATCTTCAGCGAGGTAATAGAAAAAGTTGATGACCTGCTCCGGCTGACCGGCGAATTTCGCGCGGAGGTTCGGATCCTGGGTGGCGATTCCAACAGGGCATGTGTTTACTACAAGCAACTTAATTAATACCAGATAAGATGAGCTCGACATACGCAGCACTTACGATGACATTTTCGCATCATGATGCATCCCATTGCAATTAGCGGTGTTGTCGCAAAACCAAACTCTTCGGCTCCTAGTAGGCAGGCTATAGCAATATCGCGGCCAGTGCGGATCTGACCATCGGTTTGGACCGTGACACGACCGCGGAGGTCATTCAGCACGAGGGTCTGATGAGTCTCTGCAAGTCCTAGTTCCCAGGGCAAACCTGCATACTTGATGCCGGTCCAACGTGACGCACCAGTACCGCCATCATGGCCTGAGATGAGAATGTGGTCTGCTTTCGCCTTTGCTACACCGCTAGCAACAATGCCTACCCCAACCTCAGAGACAAGCTTCACTGATACACGACAGCGTGGATTGGAGCACTTCAAATCATAGATCAGTTGCTTCAAGTCCTCAATGGAATAGATGTCATGGTGCGGAGGAGGTGAGATAAGTCCCACGCCTGCTGTGGAGTGGCGTGTGCGTGCAATAGACTGCGAAACCTTATGACCCGGGAGTTCACCGCCTTCTCCTGGCTTCGCTCCCTGTGCCATCTTAATCTGCAATTCATCAGCGTCCGACAGATAATTCGCAGTAACGCCAAATCGTCCTGACGCGACTTGTTTAATTGCAGAACGCATCGAGTCACCGTTCGGAAGTGTCATGGAACGCTCCGCATCTTCACCACCCTCGCCAGTGTTAGACTTCCCTCCCAGACGGTTCATTGCTATCGCAAGGGCTGAATGCGCCTCCATGGAGATGGACCCATAAGACATGGCACCCGTAACAAACCGACGTACGATTTCGTTCCAGGGCTCCACCTGCTCAATAGGAATCAGTGTGCAAGCCTCGAACTTGAAATCGAGTAAGCCGCGCAGCGTGACGCTCTTGACTTGTTCGTTTGCGTTCCTCGCGTACGAGTCATACGCAGTCTGGTTCTTCTCGCGCACGGCGTCTTGCAGATTGGCGATACCAGTTGGATCGTTGACGTGAGCTTCTCCGCCATCACGCCAGTGGTATTCCCCAGATTCTGGCATGCCCGGCGGAATGATGGTTTCGCGTGAGGGCCAACCCCTTTCGTGTAATTCGAATGCGTCCATTGCAAGCAGGTCAAATGTCGCGCCTTGAACGCGACTCGCAGTTCCAATGAAGCATTTAGCAATCACCTCCTCATGGAGACCAAGAGCTTCAAAAATTTGTGCCGCTTTGTATGACTGCAGGGTGGAAATACCCATTTTACTCATCACTTTCAATATACCATTGTCGGTTGAATGACGATAGTTAATCATGAGCTGTTCAACGGTCATATCATTCTTAATTCTATCATATCAAAGGTAATAGAGGGTGTATTAGCGATGTATCCATGTTATAAGAGAACCGGAACACATACAGATTCTCCCTGCCAACCTTGTGAATAGCTTCCATCGTCAGGTATGGACAGATTGCGTCAGCTCCATAGCCTACCAAGACACAGAAGTGGTGTACTTCGCGAGCCTCTCCAGTTTCTACCATGAGGGCAACCTTGGAGCGCTTTTTGTGCTGCACAAGATGGTGGTGAACTCCGCCACAAGCAACCAGAGCGGAGACAGGTACGCGGTCCGAGGAAACAGCCCGGTCAGACAAAATAATCACTTTGACGCCTTCTTCCACTGCCTGAGAAACCTCATTGAAACATCTGTCGATCGCAGCAACGTAGCCTGGAAGACCTTCGAATTTGGGGAATGTAATGTCTATTGTAATCGAGGGCCAGCTTGTGTATGCGTATTTCAGATTTTTCATCGCATTCATCTCTTCGATCGTTAGTATGGGCGATTTCAGAAAAATCCTGTGGCACTGCTCAGGCTTCATCTCCAAAAGATTGCCTTCAGGTCCAACGTAGCAACCGAGGCTCATAACAATACTTTCGCGGATTGGATCAATTGGTGGATTGGTAACCTGGGCAAAAAGCTGACGGAAATAATCATATATGATTCGCGGTTGTGTCGCCATGCATGCAAGTGGTGCATCGTTGCCCATGGAACCAAGTGCTTCCTTTCCGTCGGTCATCATGGGTAGCATAAGCAAGTGAAGTTGCTCGATCGTATAACCAAATGCAAGAAGCTTTGGATCTGTGCTGAGCGGGGCATCGTCAATTACCGGAGATACAGAATGCATACGTGTTACACGTTTGACAATGTTCGGAACGTGCAACGTGTTTGACTCAATCCATGCTGCAAATGGCTTTGAACGTGCCGTGGCGAGCTTGAGTTCCTTGTCATCAACTATGCGTCCCTCTTCCGTATCTACAAGAAGCATGCGTCCGGGCTTTAATCGGCCTTTTGAAACGACTTTTTCGGGAGGAATGAAGACCGCCCCAACTTCAGATGCGCAGACCATGATGTCCTCATTTGTGACGATGTATCTGCACGGTCGCAGGCCGTTACGGTCAAGATTAGCTCCACAATAGCGCCCGTCGCTGAAAGAGAATAAAGCTGGGCCATCCCATGGTTCCTGAAGACAAGATGCCCAGTTATAAAATGCTTTCTTCTCCGCTTCCATGAGGTCATTCCCTTGCCACGTTTCTGGGACGAGCATCATAATAGCTTGCGGAAGTGTTATAACACCGTTCACAACAAGCAACTCGAGCACGTTGTCGAATGCTGCAGAATCCGAGCCGCCGGACTCGATAATTGGATAAAGAAGGTCAAGCTGATCACCGAAAAAGTCGGATTGAATGACCCCTTCGCGTGCACGCATCCAATTCTTGTTACCGCGAATTGTATTAATTTCGCCTGTGTGAACAGCAACATTAACTTCTGGAATTCACTGACGTCACTAATACTAATTTACTAACCATTATGGGCAGCCCATCGTAGTGGTTGCGCTCGGTCCCAGCTCGGGAATGTGTTTGTCGAGAATCGCGAATGCACGAGTGAAAAGTGAGATCGGTACAGAACATGGTTTAGATCATGATAATAATTGTAGACTTGTGGTGGGGTAAGTTGCCCCTTATACACTATGTTTTTCGTCGACAAACTGCATACATAGAACCACTTGGCGAGTGTACTTATGCCAAAAAGAAAGGCAAGACCGATTTAAGTAATTATCTCGTGACAGACAATGAAGAGAATAGGACCAACATCAGGTGAGTGGCATGTTTGCGTAGGACATAGAGTTGACGCTCGAATTGTTTTTGATCGAACTTGCCATTTTGACACACGTTGCCATCGCCGTAATGTTCTCGCAGTACAACAAAAGGCTGGAGAATCAGCGGCTCTTTGCTACTTGCGGCGGGGCCGAGAATGGAGCCATCGGTAGGGACTTCTCTCCATCCAAGGACCCGCAGAGCCAGTTCATCAGCAAGCTTTGAGAAGATACTCTGCTGTCTTTGAAGCTCCACGGGATCATTAGGCTTGAAGAACACATTTCCCACTGCATATTGACCTGGCTCCGGCAGGACGCAGCCAAGATCTCTTTCCGCCTCTCTCTTGAAAAACTGGTGCGGAATACCTGTCATAACGCCAGCACCATCTCCGTCTCGACTATCGGCACCAACAGCTCCACGATGAGTCATAGCGCAGAGAAGCTGTCTGGCATCTGAGACTATCTTGTGGCTCGGGTCACCCTTGATATGACAGATGAAGCCCACACCACAAGCGTCCTTGTCGTTCTCATTGTCGTACAGGCCTTGACTAGCGGGCGCAGCACCTGCCCATGAGTTTGGATCACGCTGCACGGCATTGAAGCTTGCAACGCCCTCCGGTGAAGTGTATTCATCTACTAATGGCAAATCTGCATTTTGAGTATAGGACTGCTTAGAGATACGTGAAGAGGTTGTAGCCATGAAAAGGAGAAGACTCAAGAAGACGATGGACGATGAGAGATGTTGGCTGGGACTAAGATCACGCCGACCAGGGGATGGAGGGAGCCAAGATACCAGAAAGGCGCTGGCGGGAGAGAGAACTTGAGGATAAGGACTGAATCAATCCAACGTGCGCACGGGCCAGCGGGAATATTCGGCTCAACTCTTATCATGCATCGGGGAGTGAGCGGGAGCCAATTGGAGAAGGTCAATTAATATTGCTTTACCGCGAAAAAAAAAACTGTCTACAACGGCCGTCATGTTGCGGGCGGGGCAAGACGGTACTCCGGCTCGGGGTTATACAGGGATCACTGAGGTAAGCCAAGGGAAGCCTCGTGATGCTCACTGTAAACAGTTTAGGCCGCTAACTAGAATGAATAAGACTATGCTATTAATATTTTGAGTTCCATAATTATTCCCGACTGGCTTGCTTTGGGTAAGACCTCCTGGATCAGAGAAGGTAAATCCTTCGAATGTCGTTGTGTTACGCAAATTCAGGGATTTGAATCCATTAATCCGACTTAGCACCGGTTCTTGCGCATCCTGTGCATATAGGCTCGAATCGCGTTCGTTTCGCATTCAGCTCATCAGCGGCAGGGTTGAATGACAACCTCTCCGTCTCCGTCTTGAGTTATGCCGAGCATCTAGTGCGTAATAATGACAGGACTTAGAAGCAACCGATGCCTGGGCCATCCACAGTGACTGCAAAAATAGGTTTCAGGTCTCTGTCCAGTAAATCATCCGGGAGCCAGTACATTATCGCACAGAAGGGACACGCGAAAGCGCGTCTCTAAACGTACTCTGTCGAACGTACATCCTCAGCTCCTGATATACAACTCCGCACAGCATGCGTCTTGGCTTTGATCTCCGCCGTGAAGCACATAGGATCGAGTTTTGACACTCTCCCGACTCGATACGACAGTCACATTTCACCAGATTCTCTTCGGACTTTATACTGGTAGACACGAACCTCGTCTCAGGTGAACCGATCCATTTTACAATGAACAAGTCTCCGTAGCCAATACGTATGCTTTGTTGCGGCCAAAAAGCTGAATTCTCCGACCAAAATACATTGGCAGAGCGGCCACTCTGGTATAATTTGTTGCTAAGGGATTATAAGATGTATAGAATCCGATATAATCTCAGCTCTGTTGCATAGCGGTATCTCCATGATGAGCCCCCTATACTTCAAGTACCGTTAGTCGCACAATGAACGTAAGAAGCCACCAATGATTTCTGTCTACGTATTGCGCCACGACGAAGGGCCATGCAGACTAGTTATGATTGGTGTATACATAGGACATATGATTCGCATCCCTTGAAGCTGCATTCAGTCACATCCACAGAAACGAGGTCAACTTCTGTCTTCGGGAAGAGAACATATGTCCGCCGATAGCTCCCGCCGATATGTTTAGTACGACATCTTTGCAATCCAACCTCTTCTTGAATTTTGCTTCCCCAATTCGACTATTATGCTGCTGGAAATGCACTGGATGACGGAATCTACAGGAGATCTGATTCAGTCATCCCTCAAGTACCCGATAGATCATCGCAAACCAGTTTCAGCCACCATCTTAGCTATCTAGCACCAAATCTATTTACAATTAGTGGGTGTGTGCTTTTGGAGCTCATTTTGCGAGCAGATGAGTCTTGACTGTTTTTAAGATTTGCTATCTCCAGGTTCTGAACGGCCTATGCGTATGAGTCGTTGTTTTCATTCCCGGACTGCTATTAATTCTGCGGAATTGGAAATTGATCGTTCAACGATGTAGTATGCACGACGAATTCCAAATTCCGTCAGTGATCTTCGATTGCAGAGAAACGCTCTGAGGCAACTGCATGCAAAGGTCAGGTTACAGCATGATGAGTAATATCACAGATTCTCTGAGGGGGAGTGGTCTTCGTGACTTAGGTAAGTAAGTAACTGTGTATAGCAGCTAGACGATCTAGAAGTTACCGAACCTCTCCTGTGACCGTGAGGGCTAGATTAAAACACAACGTATCTGCATGCATGTTAAATAATAAATAACCAAAGATGCCTGATTCGCCAAGTGGTCACAATGGCCATTTACACCGCCAACCCAGGAATTGCCAGTTCATTCCTAATGCAAGGGAACAGCATCTTTCTGGAGAGCCGTTCCACGGGAAGTCGAATAAAGGAGATATCTGCGAATGCTTCGACGGCACGCAGACATTCTTCAAGTGTGCCATCTCAGTGCACCGCGCGTCCTTGATGCTCTTCAGATACGGCTCTGGACTTGTACCGGAGATTATTTTTCTCAAAGCGACGTATCTGCGGAAAATGAATAAACCTTGACTCTCAAACCTTACTGACTGGCAAGTGAAAGTGTTGCAATCCTAGCCAAACAGCAGATATGATTACTTCGGGGAGGTTTTTACACTCACTGCAATAAAAGCACCGAAATAAATCCAGCAAATCAGTATGTTTATGTTTTGTTTAACATGTCCTATTTTGCTGATCTAACGGATGAGATAATCGTGGGTGGACTTCGCTCAGTTGCTGAAGTCCTTTGAACCTACTTATTGAAAGCACGTTTATAGATGTGCAAACCAATTCATATAATCAACAGCAACCACAGTACTTGAAATGGTTTCCTGCATTTGCAGAACCTGTCCTGTCCCGTCGAACCTCTGCAAGTTAAAAAAGAGTTACTTCAGAATACCCTGCATTTTATTTACAAACTTGTCGAGGCGAAAGGGCACTATTGTCTGAATGAACTTCCAACTTGTTTGGAACGGATCCAATCTAATCTAGGCCTTGAGATAAGTCTACGGTAGAATCGAGGAAAGAATAAGGGAAGGGCAAAGTGGCTGTTGACACAAACCTTAACCCTGGCCGAACACCCGGTGCTTGTCCATGATTCGCTGTAGATAAACCGGGTTCATGTGCAAAGCATGATGATGAGAGTGAGGGTTAGACGTGACAGATTTGAAAACTCGGAATTTCTCCGAGATATCCCAAATATGGTAACCGGGCGTCAGCATACGTGTAGCCATGACTGACACTTGAACGGTGGTATTGTGCCGCACTTCCTGAGTTCTCTTCTTCTTTACTATCATCTGCAACGTTTCAGATTCTTTTCAGCGCTCCCGATCTCGCCATGCTTCCTCGTGAATGCTGCACTGATGGATCCAGAATACAGGCACCCACCCTGGCGACATACTGTCTTTGCTCGCTGAACTCTATAAGCTTAATCTGATGCGTCATAGTCCGAGTCTGGAGACATTTGAATAAAACTGGCCGTACATCCTATTGAGTCTCGGGGCGAACTAGCATTTTCTCATAGGATTGGACGGCTTTCGAATCAACGCCATCTTCTAAACTATCTTACTTGCTGCGCTATTACGTTTTCCCACCACGTTTGCATTCAACTCTCTGTATGCTTCTTTCTTAATCATGTCCCTGGAGGTTAATATGCGGCACAATCTTCTTGCTGCGCTGTATGGGAAGACAACCAATCTTTCTACGCATGTCTCGGCCCGTGTTATTATGATGCTTTACCCGAGGCTAACCAGCTTACCTCATTGGACTCGTCTGAAGAGTGCTTCGCCAGTCGCATGGAATCCTTTCGTTGTCGGGTCACGGCAATGAATGCCTCCAATGGCTTCGTCACTCGAATGGATGGAGCTGGGTATAGCTAGCTTATTCATATACGGATGCTATCCTGTTTCGTCAACTTGTTCACCCCGGCCTGGTTCTGTTCGCGACTGAGAGCATTCTGACCCTCGATCCCTGTGCTTCCAACGCCACAATGGTAGGAGTTGACCTGGACTCTACATCATGGCTAACACAGCTGATGCTTTGTGCATGGTGAGGGCGAGCCCTTTAAAACGTCTAACTTTGCAGTACACAGTCCTCAACCCTCAGTTGTACTAAAGCGTCAAGCTTTGAGCAATGTCGGCGATGAACAACTTTCCTGTATGTGCCATCTCATCAGTCGACTTTGTCCATGACTCCTCATCAACTGCTGAGTTTAGGCTGGAACTCGAGTCTCTTTCCATGAGGCATCCGGAACTGTAAGGACCGGAGCTGTGCAGTCTACGTCCCACCTTGCGGATGTAAGTGCTCCTGTTGATATGGATATCATTTTAAAAAGGGATCTTATGTGGCTTCCAGGGGACTTTGATCGCTGTGGTCCAACCCGATGGCGGAGGCGGCACAGTCAACATTCCGTACGTAAACAATCTCGGCAAACAGAGAATTTAATGACGATTTCTCTCCAGAGTCGCGGCTTTGATACGCTCTGCGTGATACGCACCGGACATGGACACACGATATCGAGCGTAAAGTGATTCGGAGATAAGAAAGATTTATATTTTGACAGAACAGGTGACGGTTATTTGGTCAGATGTTTGTAATTGGTAATATGAGATAAATGAGTTCGACACTACTCCAGCTTGTTCGTCATTTATCCAGTCGTGCTCTGAAGTCGGTTCAGTTAATCGGAGCTGGCTGACATGCCTTCTCAATCTATTGACAAGAACAATTATGCGCTATTCGTGAGAGAATAAAAAATGGCCTTTACTGGTGCACATCAGCAAGCATTGGACGGCTTATTCTCGATTTATGGGATCGTAGTTGTAAGTTGAACATTCATCATTTGCGGTGCGTAGAGTTTTGCGGGTGCCTTCCTTGAAGGGGGAGACAGCTAACGTGAAGGTTTTGTTTTAGGCTTCCAAGAAGCGATCGACGCAAAGAATGAATAACATGGCCTACGACGATCATAGTGGACCGCAAAGCGCAGGCTATACCCTATATTCTACTCAATAGAAGCTATCACGTAAGCGTCGGGACCTGGGCAGAGAAGAACTCGAAGAAAGCAGACTGACGGCACTGCGAAGCGCGAAACCGCTACATCGCTCCAAGCAAACAGGGGTCCAGGAGCATATGTAGCGTACACATGATGTAACTTTGCACTATGACACGTTCACGCACTTGGAGTACATCGGTGACATCGAACCAATTAATTTCTGCCGGTTTGACAGGTCTTTGTATCAGCTTTCCCGTTTCATATCCTTGTACATAATTATGTTAATGGTATATACAAGGTACAGCAGATATCACTCACTCTTATCATTATACTGACTCGCTGGCCTCCTGTTGGTATATCTCCACCGAACCGCTCATCCTTAAGAATGGAATGCTTATATTCAAAGCGCAACAAGTCCCTTTGTGCCATTTATCTATTAGCAAGTATTGGAGATTCGGATAATGAAGACAGGAAGACCTTTGAATATAGACACTTCCAGAAGGTAGCAGAACATCGAAGAAAATGCTTTCGTCGTCGTTCTTCATCAATCGCAAAACCCTCGGAGCGCCGAGACTAACTCCAAGAATCCAAGATCCACTTGCATCAAGATTGTCGACATGCGGGAAAATCTGCCCTTCGGTGCTGAGATGTAAAATATGTGTCTGCATTTTCACATCTGGTAGAAGGTCCTTTAAGCGATTTAACAGCGGATCCAGCGCAGGATAATCCTCAGATGGCCATGAACGGACGTGTGTTTCACGGTAGCCATTTATTACATCGTCAAAATGACCCTGACAATCAGATGAGCCAATGAATAGCAAAACGCTAAGGGCAAATCACTTCTTGAAACTCGTATGCGCAGTCAGGTCTGAAGAGGTCGCAGATGTTTACTGCCAATCTGCCGGGTTGCTTTAAAGCTGAGAGCTGCGAGTTTCGACGTCTTCGTGCTCGCTGCGATTCCAGCGAGTCCAGTTTTTTAAGGCAGCCGCTTAACAAAACTTTTTGCTCTGTTTCGTCAAAGAAATGGGGATAAAACGAAAACGAAGAAGCATCTGGTATGTACGATCCTCGAAGAAAGCGCATGTTCTTGTCCTTAGCTATCGAATGAAAACACGATCTTGGCGGTGTCGCGCGGCATAGTCGCAAGCCCAAGGACATCGTAGTTTGGGGAGGACCCTGCTCTAACCCTGGACTGAAAGGAAATGTGAGCGTCACGTGATACTTGCGTCATGAACGACAAAATGTGTAAACTGCCCCTGCTGTATTCACGCCACGAAGCCTTATGGCCCCAGAAAGTGATGTTAAACACGGGCAGTCAGATGGGCAGTCAGATGGGCAGTCGGATCATGGGAGCTCTCTGTATGCAGCTCTGGCACGCACTGTAACTAGAGGCGCGGCTTTGTACTTCTCTCGTCCCGTCAGACTCTTCAGACCTAGCAAAGGCAGGTATTTCTTCAAGTCTGGCCACGTTGAAGAGATTGGACTTATTTCTTGGTATCACAAAGTATCTGGTTGGATGTTTCTCCAAGGGCTTGCCTCACAGAAGGGAGTTTCACTTTCGCCTCAATTCCTAGGCTATTTGGTGAAAAAGCACGGCGTCAGTAATCCGGCCTGACTATGCTAATCCTTTTTGCTGCTCCATTGACTCATACATCACAGCTGTTCGTACTTCCTCGTCATTTCCTCCCGCCTCTGGCAATTAATGCTGCTCTTGGGACAGTCTTGTGGTCATCATATTCCCAGGCGTCTATACTATTTGAAGGACATTTAACTCATCCTCTTGCCATATCTCTCGTGTCTGGAGCTATTGCTGGAGGGTCGCAGGCTTTAGTTGCCGCTCCTGCGGAGAATGTAAGAATCGTTCTCGAAAGCGGTGGATCCCATGCTGGTTGGACCGAGTGAGAGGATTTGTTGATAGTAACGGATAATAGCAGATAATTATTGACAATATATGGCCGTAGTGCTTGGAAAGATGTATTCCGAGGCACTCCGGTAGACTTACGTGAAACGAAGGCTCAGAGCTTGCGAGACGCCCGTCAAGTTCGCATCTGGATGCAAGACGTTGGGGACACGGCAGGTAGAGGCAAGTAAAATATCTAGTTCCTTATCATACTGTAAATTTGCTGAATGCCTATCTTCGGCTCTCGCAGGATGGAAAGGATTAACATGGGGATTCGCCAAAGACACATGTGGTAAGTAGACAAGTTCTCTTTCCCGTTCCGATGGTTTACGTGTAATTGCAGGATTTGCCGTGTTCTTCTCGATCTTTGAAGTGACGAGGAGGATTTCGACTGTTTTAAAGGCGAATTCTATCCGAGTAATAAACAAACTGAAAGGAGAAGCTTCGGCGAAGTTTTACGTGCCTCGCGTTGTACATGGCGTGTCATTAGTGACTGGAGGTATTTTAGCAGGTTTGGCATATGAGATTACCACCAGGCCTTTTGATGAGGCACGCCGCATCGTCCATGCTCAGCGCGTTACCGATCCGTCGCATCGGACAATAGTCGCTGGGTTCAAAGTACTGTCCAAGAAGGTCCAAGAAGATGGCTTATCAGCATTCTTCCGTTCTACGCCTAGACATGATACCACAGAACCTGTTTCTCGATCGACTTCGCTCCTTCGGAGGCGTACGTATGCAGCTCTGCGTGTGTTAGGAAGATTGGGACCTTGGGGTGCCGGATTTTTAATATGGGAGATGTATGGACCGGGACTTGCATCCTAGGCTAGGTACATCTTACACAGACGCGTATTATACTACCAGAATTTGTCGTAATTCCAGTGTTCTTGGTCTAGTCGCATGTGAAGCATGGAAATTAAGATACCTGTGCATTAGACGACCTAGTGGCTTGTGTTTGGATTGTTGCAATTCGACGGTAATTTCTTGTTGCAAATAATAGTCTCCAAGAGTCCAAACGAGTAGAAAATAAAATGACCGAATATTATGTAATGTGATTACGTCCTCATGTGGTCACTGAAACTCTAGATCTTTCTACGCCAGTCTTCATAAAATACCCCAGTCCCAAGGCTCACAGTTGGTCTCGAGATTAATCATGGTAACCTGTACTCGAAACGGCTGCAGAAAAGAATTCGTGGAGGAGGACAACGCCGACGATGTTTGCAGATACCATCCTGGTGCACCAGTACGTTCTTGTATAATTATTCTTTGTGTATATACACATATGCGCATCATGTTGACGACGCGCGTTTCATTCAAGGTGTTCCACGAAGGACTCAAATCCTGGTCATGCTGTTCGGATGTGAATAAACCGGAACTCGACTTCGAGGAATTCATGAAGATAGAGGTGTTTTGTTATTCCGTACTATTGTTTGTTCTTCCTGTCTTGCTGAACTGGTATGCAGGGGTGCCAAACAGGCATGCATACGACGGCGTCCAACAAGCCACTAGCAGGAGAGAAGGCTTCGGCTCCAGTAGAGGTTCGGTCATCCGAGTCTGCCGATGGTACGGAGACATTCACTACGGGCATGTCTGCGTCCTTCCTTTCAACTCTTCCTCCTGCTCCTCCTAAGCCAAGCACGCCTGCGCCACCTCCTGTCGAAGAAGAAGAGGATGATCTCAGCGTTCCAGTGGATTCCGGAACGGAATGCAGGAGAAAGGGATGCGGCGTTAAATTCATTAGTCAACAAGAGAGCAGGCTCGGTGATGGTGAAAACGCCGTCTGCACCTACCACCCATCTCCAGTACGGCTCCATTTTATCTCGTCTGTAAGTCATTCACTTACCCGTCTCCTACTTCAGCCGATCTTCCATGAAGGAAGCAAGGTGGGGGTAGACTGTTGATAGTGTAAACGTGCAGAGATGCTAAGCTGCATTCGTCAGGGTTATCTCTGTTGTAAACGACGAGTGCTTGAGTTTGAAGAATTTCTGAAGATCGAGGGATGTAAAACAGGCAAACATTTATTTGCGCCAAAGAAGAACGGAGTCCAGGTAAGTTTCTTTGTAACCCATCAAAACGCCTGTGCTAATGGCAGTATCTCAAGGCAGAAGTCCAGACTACCTGTCGAATAGATCACTATCAGACACCAACGAACGTCTGTGTGTCAATTTTTGCTAAGCAAGCGGACAAGTCGCGTAGTACAGTCAATCTCGAGGAAAATGAAGTATGTTAATTTGATGCACGCTGTGAAGCTAGACCTATTGCCGACTGCCGATTCTTCTAGGTGTATCTTGACCTTTTCTTGCCGGACTCAAAGAGATTTACTCGTTCGTTAATTCTTTTTGGGCCCATTGTTCCAGAAGAGTCGAGATATACCGTAATGGGGACAAAGGTGAGCATATTATCTAAACAGGCCGTTTGAAGTCGCTGACACAGACGTAAAACGCTAGGTTGAACTCAATCTAAAGAAGAAGGACAACCGAAGCTGGAATCTTCTTGAAAAGACTGAGCAAGACCTTGGGGTGTTTAACCTGACTTTTGGTGTTGGAGGAAGGACGGGGACGATTGGCAGTCGAGCACCTCCCATACTTGCAGAAAATAACAGGGCAGCGGTAGCATGATGATTTTAGACGTGAGTAGAATTAGAGTAATACATGTAGCATAGACGTTGCGTGGTCTAGGTATGCGCAAAGTGCAGTTTATAATTGTCCTGGCTTCTCTATCTCGTGGTAGAACTGTAAGAAGTCTCCTGCTCGCAGATCACTAAAGTTGGTGATGTTAATACCGCATTCTAACCCCTTCTTTACTTCCATGACGTCCCGCTTCAGTATACGTAACGTCGACAGAGTACCTAGCAAAGCCCATGTGAGCATTAAGGCAGTAAGAAATCCCACCGCACGTACCTTCATGAATGACATTGCCATCCCTCAATACCCGAACCCGTTTGTTCTTTTCAATAACACCGTTTGACACTCGACATCCGGCAACTTTGATGATTGATTTGGCCTTCGCATTGATGTCAAATATTTGAAGTACATTCGCCTCTCCAGAAATGCGCTTCTCGATAATGCATGGTAGAAGCCTCACAAGCCGCTCCTTCACCTCGTCAAGGACTCTATAAATAATATTCGAAGAATACATGGAGACCTCGTTTCGTGAAGCAGCTTGGTCGGCCGCGCGTGGGACGTTAACGGAGAAAGCAATTATCATGCCTAAGAGGCATTGATAAATACATCGTACTGGTGATTGAAAATGAAATCATTACCTTCCACTGCTTTAGCGAGCATGACATCGGATTCAGTGACCTCTCCGACGCCAGAGGAGACAACCTTCGTGACCGCATCCTTATTCCCAATGCCTTCGACTGCGGCAGCAAGGGCTTCGACGCTTCCACTTACATCGCCTTTAATTATTAAGCGGAGTTCCTTTGGTCCAGCCTCTTTGGTAGACACGGGTATTTCGGTCTGCTCTACTTCTCCAGATGCTTCTTTGAGCTTTCTCTCTCGTTCTTCGCGGTCCTGACGGCGCGCTGAATTTATTGCCTCAGCATCCGCCAAGGTTGCTTCCAGGCTAGCCCTCCGCTTGCGGTTATCGACGGCCCGTTTAACATCATCTTCCTTTCCTTGGAGGACTTCATCTCCGGTGCACGGTAGTTCCTTCCAGCCACTGACTACAACAGCGGAGCCCGGCGCCGCTGCCTTGACTGTCCTACCAGAGGAGTCCGTTAGACGTCGTATTTTTGCGTAAGTCGTGCCGCAGATAATGTAAGAGGAAGGTGTGAGTTTTCCGTGCAGAAGTAATACCGTAGCCGTATTGCTATGTGAATCCACATCAACATGCACCAAAGGAATCTTTAGTGATAAGAACCCACCCCAATCCTTTTTGCACTTTTGATTCCAATATGTAACCATAGGCAGGGCCTTCTGCCTCTGATCGGATGTCCTGGAGCTCTGCGAGAAGGGAAATGGTCTCGACAAGCTCGCCTAATCCATGACCAGTTAATCCGGACACCTCCACAGAAGGCACGTCGCCGCCCATCGCCTCCAGTTCTATTCCTTCTGCCCATAAAGCACTCTGCACTTTTCCCTGCAGAATATGAATAAATTAATACAATATAGCTGACACACGAAAATCAATTCACTGCTTACAACGTCTGCCTCTGGTTTGTCAACCTTGTTGATAGCAACGACCACTCCCACCTTGCCTTTCTCCTTTTTAATCAAGTCTATGACCTCCTTCGTTTGTGGCATCACACCGTCATCAGCTGCAACGACAAGAACGATGATATCAGTCACTTGAGCACCGCGCGCACGCATGGCCGAAAACGCTGCATGGCCGGGGGTATCGAGGAACGTGATCGTATGAGGGGTATCTTCTAACCTCGCTTCACTAGGTACTGGAACGGAAAAAGCCCCGATATGTTGTGTTATCCCACCGGCTTCGCCCTTAGCTACGGACGACGAACGAAGAGTATCGAGAAGAGTAGTTTTACCGTGGTCAACGTGACCCATGATAGTGACCACTGGAGGTCGTCGAGGTAGAGATGCCGCATCAGGATGAGGGGGTCTTTGAGGGGTTATTCGATATTCAATGCTATGAAGAAAAGGAAGCTCACGATGCATAAATGTCAAAAGCTGCTTCATCATCTACAATGGGATTCCTATTGAATTCCATTGCGAGCAATGACGCGTCGTCGGCCGAAAGCACTGGGTTTGGGTTGATAACTTAGCACTATCACCTCATAATCACAGATAAAGTTGAACACACTGTGGTCATGAGACGACTGTTCTTCCATGCCATTGCGTTGCATGCATCCTTGCAGTGTTTCTTATACGGAATACGTGAGTTGATAATCTAAAACACGAAACGCCTGAGACACACCTAAACGGATGCCAAGTATACGGGATAGGTTTTCGACAGAGCTTATGCTGGGAATAGACACGTCCAAATTAATGGGCTTCACTTCCTTGGGCTGTTTCTTTGCCTTTCTCTCATGCTCTAAACGTTCCTGATGTGTACGCGAATGGCTCGGGATCTCGATCTGTTCGTCCGCGCTCAACCGATTAATTACGGAACCTCGGTTTTTGTGTGCACCACGTTTCACCCTTTTATTGTCGTACTTCTCGTCTATTAGGTTAGTTTCTGGTGCATAGTTCTCGAAATATTCAGCTTGCAAAGGCTTATTGGCTTTCGGCGTTGTCGAAGCTTCCGAGTCCTGAGATTGTTGTTGAGAGTCTTGTCGGGATATTTCACCCAAAGAGGGAGTACGTCTCTGTCTGTGATTAGAGGATTGCACTTCTCTGCTCATGACGAGATGAGGAGGTGGCTCTTTTTCCAGCTTTCCACTACGTGATGATTCCGGATCCATTGATTCTGTAGATAAAACGATTCATTGATTTACTCTTCCGAGTACTGCTCGAAAGCCGTACCTCTATCCCGTGCAAGGCCCTGAGGTGCAGGATACGCGGGAAACATTGGCGCACGTTGAGAAAAGGTGCTATCCCTCACGCGAGAATCGCCCCGCTTTGTGAAGGGTTTGCTATGTCGCGAATTTCGCGTCGAGACATCTAAATTGTCCAGGATTGACCTTCGAGGGGCCCGAATGGGTTCTTGCGGAGCCCATCTTTCGGTACTTGGTCGGTATGACGGGCCTGCTCTCTGAGAATCCGTTGTCCGCGACGACAAAACCTGGCTTTTGGGGGGTGTTTCTTGTGGCTTCGCCCATTTCCCTAAGTTCCGTGGCTTGAAGAGTAGTAAGCACCGGTAAATACGTGGAACTATGAATATGAGCACTTACAGCGAGCTTAAGAGCAGAACCAGTTGATACAAAGCGCGTAGATCTCCACTGTATAAGAATGCCAACCTGTTGGGAGCGCCTGCTGTGCATAATCATAAGGAATTTTCCCGCCAGCAGGCCGGCTGCAGCAAGAACCGAGCAATGATTGGGAGAACACAAAGTAAGTAGTAAGTACGCTCCGTGGTGGAATTTTGGAGTTAGGACGTAGGATCGGCACACGGGCGATTATATGATTATGTCATCAGTACTTCCCTAACACTCCCGACATGGATGGTCAAATATTGCTACAGCTCGCATTTACATGGTCGTGAATTATCGCTACTTTCAGGTATAAATCGTTCACTCTTTATACACTCTTACTCCTCCGTTGCCCCATTTCTCCATCACGGCACGTCCAGCACTGGTCGGTTGCGAGAAGGCAATTTCGCCCTTCGCAACGTCCAGTCGGTAACCGTGAACGAATGTCCTGGCCGCAGCTGTCAGAAGAGCATGCGCAATTCCTTTCCGCCTATGTGCGGATGATACAAAAAGCCGAGGTATGCCCATAGGTGTCGGAAGGTCATCCGGGTGACAATAAAGGTCGCCTTCGACATGGACAAGAGTCTCCGACGCTTTTTCTAGACTAGCTACTTCTTTGAGCGAAGCAATTTGCATTGCAGAGGAAATTCTTTGAGCGACCACGCAGCCGACTATCTTCTCCTTTATGCACCGGGGAGTTCGGAGGAGAAACAAATAGACCTTGCAAGATTCTAATGCCGATGGTGGAATGTCCGGAGCAGACAAAGCCAGATTAACTGTGTTAAGATACCCTGATGCCTGTATCATGCTCAGTTCTTGAACTGCCTTCATCAATTTGCTGCTCACCTTACACCCAATTCTTCCTGTTGCAGATGGCTTAACGGCAACTATTCTCCCTCGCTCTCCCTTGCCAATGGTGACATCTTCTTCAACAATCGCAGCTGTCCCTCCCTCCTTCCTGATTCCCTTCTCCTCCTCTCTTCCCCATTCCATTCCCCTTTGTACGCGTGCGCAGTGCGTCTTGTGCAAATTCTCATCGTCAGCTGCTCCTCGTGTATAAGACAAGCCGCAGAGTGTACAAGTGCGTAGGATAGATTGGTCAATGCAGAAATGCAGTTGCGTAAGACCTGGGTCTTTCTTTTCATGCTTCTTAGTATGTTTCGCAAGAGGTTTCTTTGGTTTGGATTTCTTCGGAGGAGGGCCATTGGGGAATAGTTCCGCGAGGGGCCGCTTTCGTCTTAACGTGGTCTCAGGTTCGTTGGATCGTGAAGTAGTGTCGGATGTCGAGCTTCTACAGGTTATGCGAGGCTTCGCTCCCTGTGAGCCGTATGTGCGTTTGACTTGGTGTCTCGCGGTAGCCATGGCGCTGCTGTCTGTTGGAAGAGGGATGAAATTTGTGCCCATCCCAGTCAACCTTAGCGCGTTTGTTGCACTAATTAAGTCACATGACCGACGCGCCGTGGTGCGAGGCAATCACGTGCGACGTGTAGAGTCATATTCTTTCAGTAGTAGAGTAGAAAAGCTGGTGATTTTCCATGTTTCACCGCCGTGTTCAATCATGCTAATGATATTCCACTACACAGACAGCTCTTGGCTTGATTTATTTGCATAACTTAAACACGTTGACTTCCATGATTCGAACCGAAAGAAGTACGAAAAAAAAAACGCTAGCTGCCTAACCCATATTGAGGTTTCGTCATTCGTGCCTTACGAGCTCGTCCAAACTGTCATAGTAGACTGCAATCCGTTTCTGTTCGCTCCTTGGTCCACTATTCCTTGCTGATTGACGCTCAGCTGGAACTGTGACGCCACCGTCGACAAGCTATAGACAGAAACAGTCGAAGCGCTGTCTATGTCGAAAATCTGGGTTTGACAGTCGTTGCTGTTCAGGCAAACCTGATTAAAGTGCTGAGGAGTTACGTGATAAGTCAAGCTGTCACACCCAGATATTTATCTAGAACCCACCTGGAAGAAGCTGTACAGACCCGCTCCAAATATGAGGATATCCTGGGAGTTGGTTATTTTTACCGCCCAAGCCATTTGTTGGCTGGACGTGTATACTGGATCATTGAAATCGGAACGCGACGTAAAGGGAGCGGGAGGTGCAGGACTTGGCTGGAAATAAGGCTGTGGATGGAATAGCAAGTTAAATTTTAAAATATTCTGGGACAAGTAATCAGTTCACCGTCTCAGTCTGGATGAGGCCCATATAATGATTCTTGGCTCCTGCGAGGTTATATTGATAGAGAACGTGGTGTTCAGCTGTGCAGATAATCAGCGTAAGCAATCTACGTTTGATAAAACGCCGTCGTACATGCTAGTGAAAATTAATATTAGTACGAGCCTTCACCCCTGGCGTAACTCTAACTCACCTGTTCCTATCATCCAAACAGGACCCGCGGACTGCGAGTAAATACCTCTGCCACTGTAGGCTTGGAGCTCATTGAACGGCGGATCGAGTGAGTGATCTGCCAACCAAACCCATGTCCCCTAACCATGTTCATCAGATCGATGCGATGTGATATCAGTTCTGAACATGCGCATACCTCTAGGTAAGCACTAGAGCTTGGAGTGAGGTGAAGGCTAAGGAATGCCGCAATGCAATTACTGCCGGTGCTAGACGTGTTGGCGCATGAGTTTCCGTCGAGATTCGTGCCGAGCGCTGGAAGAAAAAAATGAGTTGAGATCGAACTCTAGATTTAAACATAAGTAGTTTTTACCTCCTGCAAGCCTGTTGATATTAAACTTTTCAGCTTTAGTTGAAGGAGTCCGTGGAATCGGATATTCACCTAATGTGACTATCCCACATCCCTGCAGCACCCTGCTGACCCGCGGGGTCATGAACGTTCCATTCTATGACGATTGCCCCGGCAGCTGGATAATATACACATCAACAATGGGAGAGATATATTAAAAGCATCTTAACTTACCGGGTCCCCGAGTCGTGAACACCATGTCCGTGATTTCCACCACTCCCTGAGAGTTGGTATCTCCAACTTTAATGACGGGCTGAGGGTTGTTCATGTCCTCGAATGCCGATCCACTGCCCATAATTACGGACCAGGCTTCACCAACTATTTGTGTCCCTATTAAATTAGACCAATGAAAGGACGTGTTAGTTGCTAACATCATAGGCTGGTCATTAGTCGTGCATACCCGCGGGGATTGTAATAGTTGATGTGACGAGGTAAGTACCATGATCGAAGAATATAATCTTACAGCCAGAGAACTAGGAAACGAACGTTCGGTAAATGCATCATAAGGAATATTCAGGAAACTACCTGTGCGAACGCGTTTTTAATGGCCTGTGTATCATCGGTGCTTCCATCTCCCTTAGCTCCCAACGAACGAATACTAACGAACTGATCAACGGCGAAATCTGCGTATTGCGGATGCGTCTTCCCGAATATACGCCCAGCACTGTCCAATAGGCTAGCAGGCTTCGGAGGTGGAGCCATGGAAGCTTGAACAAATCTGTCCGATGAACTCGCTCCAGAATATACGTTTCCCTGTACCCAGTTCGCAATTGTAGTCGTTCCTCCGTTCAAGACAACAGCACCGCCGACAACACCAACTGCGGTGGGAACGTTATTGAGCTTAATATTGTTCAGCACAAGGGAACCTGCAAGGTGACCATTGCTGGGCTGCGATGTGCGGACAAAGATAGGTGTGTTTGTCACGACCGCATCTATGATTGCTTCTGCTCCTATGGTCTGTAATAGAAAAGAATATGAACTCTGAGCAGAAGTCCCTTTCATGGTTTCATTTACCTGGTCGCCTTGATCCAAGCCTCCCGTTGATAAGTCAAACCCGACCTATAATACCAATCAGCTATAAACCAGGCAAATCTAGCAAATAATTCCGCTTACTTGACAATTGTTAATCGTCACTCCCTGGAAAGTCCAACCTATATTCATTACATTGTAAAAAAAATCGTCCACAGTTGGCACTTCCCGAACAATTATTCTCGTACCCCAGTTCCACAATCCAAATATCGCTAGAATATTATTAGATTTTTTGATCCATAAATCCGGGTCGCATTTGGAATTACTTACCACTCTGTGCGTTATTGACAGTGATGTTTCGCACGGTAAACCTGAGGGTAATGTCACTAACGTGCTGGTCAAACTTTGATAAAAACGACGCACTGTTGGTTTCCAACCCAGATACCAAATTTGCCTGTTCGTTATGAATATTGTGCTTCTTTAGGTGCGATCTCGACTCCTTACCGCCATTGAAAACGATATCTACAAAGTCATGTGATTCTAAGCAGGAAGAAATACATCATGTGACGCATATACTCACCTCCCATAAAACCACCGCTTCCATTCTCCATGAAAATACCTGTCTCGAGTAAGTACGAGATTCCTTATTCTGAATTGGCACTTACCTTGATGGGCGGTTGCAGGATCCGTCGACATGTTCACCACAACATTTATGAGAGAAGTTGCCTGCGACACCTGCCAATGAAGACCCGTCGCAGATGATGTTGCCGGCATCCGTGTCAAGTCGATGACGAAGTTACGGACGGAGCGGTAACTGAAGAGAGTGGTCCAATTAGCTCAATGTTTGGACAGTCCAGAAAATTACTTCAGCTTACAAGTTATTCTGGTTAACATACCACTGCGCCCCGCCTCCGCCGTCGATGTACGGGTCAGCGTCTAAATAAAAGATACATAACGTCAGAGGAGCTATTATATCCGAAAAGCATGAATGGCATACCTATCACGGCAATGCCGACAAAATTGGCTGCAGCAATAAGTGTAGGAGGCTTCCTTGCGTCACCAATCATCTGAGTATAGTACCACGCGACTATTGGCTGTGAGACCAGGTATTCTCTGTAATTTTGTTTAAGAAGAGAAACGGGTTATGAAACCGCCGAGAAGACTGACCCGGGAGGAAAATAGACAATCGCCGGAGCAGTCCTGACGGAAAGGATATCTCAGAAAGGCACAAGAACACTTTAAGCTTTGCATACGTCGTAGACTGACAACCAGAACCTCCGCCGCATCTGTTACCCGAAGACATCGCAGCACTTGAACCCGATGGAATATGTTAGCATCACTCCAAAAGAAGGATAGACTTAGCTCTCCGAGAACGAAGGGCTTACTTGATGGCTGCGGTATCGTCCGTTACACCATCACCTTTTGCACCAAAATCCTTGACATTCCTGAAGACTTGATAGTCAGATGGGTTGGAGTTGAAAGCAGCGCGTCCCTGGTGTTGGATATTTTGCATCCAGAAGGGATCGTTTGATCCCGCAGTACCAACAGTAGCAGGTGCCGAACAAGTAGATCCCAGGGCAGACGCCATGAGTGCAGAAGAGAGCAGTGAAAGAACTGCAACAAAAAGTCGTGTTAGCTCAATGGAATACATGGTGCCACCGTCCGAGCCAATACAAGAATCCCAAATTTCAGTCGCAGGAGCAAAGCAACGCGAGCGAGGAAAATAGTGGACACCAGAGAACGACAGGGGCGTTCGCTGAAGTCTGTGCACTCTCTACGTAACATATTTATACCTACCGATTTTACCGGGGATGCAGAAGGAGTCCAAGTCGTCTAATCTAGGTGACAGCGCGACACAGGTTCCGGTGGCAAGTCCTGCAAGCGATCGACGCCCCATAACAGATTAGAACTAGCGATGACGAGACCGCCAAAAATAGTTCCAATGTTCCGGGTACACTCGTACTGTAGTAGTAGTAGTATAATACAGTGTGTTGGTCTTCCTGCGCAATATCTTGTAATTTCTCGGGGCCCTCACGTCCCTTCAATACACAAGAATAGTTTCCTGATCTCTTTCAGCCGCGTCAGAATCTGCAAATATTAAAATCAGTATACACTTCACTGATAGAATGGGAATCAAGAATCAGTCTGTAGGCTTTACTACTTACTTGAATTTAAGAAGCGACGATCTTCAAACGTGATAATGCAGGTTTATATTATAACGAAGTTCAAGAAGCTCCCGAAAGCCCTCATCGAGACTTTCTCAGTACATCTGTGTGTATCCTTTGACACAGAACGCTTGTGGAGACTTGACACGTCACGATAGACAGACTCGATCCGTGTGTTTTCCTCCTGTGCCTCGACTCGAGACGCACCAAACCATCAAACAACTACAGCAAAGGCTATACCAGCTGACTTGGGAGTCCAGAATAAACATCGGTACAACTTTTTCACCTATGGAGTTTAATGAACGTCAGGTGAGCAACAGCTGACTAAGGGTAGTGGGAGAAAAGGCCCAACGAGGCGTGAACATAGACCAAACACACACGGAGGGACAAAATTGGACGAAAGGAGCTAATTGCGAGGCGTCTGGATGTGGTACAGCCCAAGGTGATTGAAGGGAACACACAAATGAGCCAAGCATCCGTTGAAGATAGAGAGTTAAAGTGTGGTGCTACGTAGCTTACACCCACACGTCCATATAGTGGAATCGTCCGGGATGATCAAAGAACTGCACCAGTGTATGGAAGGAAGCGTCTTCTGTATATGAAGGGGTATAGCGTGCAAGGCAAAATCCACACGGTCAACGTGTAGGTGGCGCTCGCTCCCGCCAGCAAAGCAAAACTAACTCACAGCCAACAAAAGGTTTATGGGAGGTGAGTCGAGCATCTGGAAAATTGTGATCAACGTCATTCGGAATTTATGACCATCCATTTGCTCCCAGAGTTTGTGTGCACGAGAACACACATGGCCGGAAAGGCTAGTTAGGCTCCAATCAGAATCCCAAAAGACCACGTATGTGGGGAAACAGAGTCTCGGCGAAGCAATGCCGAACATACATTTTTGCAGATACCGTTTCACTACCTCAATAGAAACAGGCCTGTACACAACTGCAGATTGAGATACTGGTTGACAGTTTTCCAAATGGAATAGAGGTAACTGATCTGGTGTCGCCTCTATACCATCATTGTACCTTGCCAAGCGAAGCAATGTACACAGACATTTTATGAGAGACTGGAGCATAAGACCTGGTGTCGTAGTTACCGCCTGACTGGCTCAGGAGAATTGTTGTTCCCATTGACCATTGAATCGTCCAGATGTCTGTGAGCACATGTCATAGTCGTCGTCATGGACACATGATGAAAAACAGGTTCCGTGACTTGACATGGGATCCTCATTGCACGTCGCGGATGAAAAAGAATGAGGAAATGCAGGACTGCGGACGAGGAAACATCTGGACCTGGAAGGATCCAAGAGCCTGACGACGGAGAGCACTGAAGCAGGTACGCGGAGCACGAAAAGGAGTAGAAATTCCAGAAAGATAAATTCGATCGGCAGATCTGCACTTGGCGAGATCGGCGGGGACCAGAGCAAGCGAATTGGGAGTGTGAGAATTGCTGACATATTGGGAGAATTACCTTTGATAAGCTAGCCGCCAAAGCCGCCCCAGCCGACACGGAAAGTTATATCTGTCTCGGGCTTCGAATCCCGCCGCCAGTCTTCTTTCCAACAACCTGAACCTTTCCTTCCCCGCACATCTCCCCTCCCGCTCTTTACCCTCCCCTTCTGCTCTCTGTCGTCCCTTGAGCAGACACTCCGCCTTACTCGTCTCCAATCACTAGCAACTTCCATACTGCAAACACAGGCAGCCCCTGTACGTCCGACATTGCATTCTTTCATTTTCTATAATCAGTACTGAACATGCCTTTGTCACGTTTTTCCATTCATTCCATCACACCCAGCTTCACATCGCCCACCATGGTCGAGTCGACCATCCGCAACCTCCAGTCGTCAGACACCCCCTATGAGCCCCTCCCCTTCGATGGCCTCTCTCCTCCAGCTACTCCTGTAAACGAGAGAATGTCTCTACCAATGGAGGAACTCCCAGCCGGCGCTGCTCGTCCGCGTTTCCAAGGTTCCGCCCTTCGCGAGGATAACCCCATGTTCCGCGACTCTTTCGCGTCGTCGACCTTTAATGCTGGTGGTTCAGTCAATTCGTCTGTCTACGCATTGAATCCTCCTGGTGCTGCTGGTGGCAATATTTCCTCATCCTATTTGGCTACCTATCGTGATGATCCGCATGGCGATTTCCAGGATGAAGAGCATTCGCCAGCCTCTATTTACGCCGACAAGGCGCAGCCTGCCTATATGGACGAGAAGCGAGCAGCGTACACGGCCTCGCGCTTTAAATCGAGGAAATTGGCAATTATTGGAGGCAGTGCACTACTCCTTGTAGTCATTGCTGCTGCTGTTGCTATACCACTCGTGTTGACTAAGAACAAAGGAAACAAGGATAGTTCGTCTTCTCCAGGCTCTGATTCTGGTGGTTCCTCTGGATCTGGACAGACTAATCCTGGTTCCCGCGTGGTCACTGGAGGGGATGGGAGCAAAATTAACATGGAAGATGGCACTGAATTCACATATTCCAATAAATTCGGCGGTTACTGGTATTTTGATCCTGAGGACCCTTTCAACAATGGGGCTCGCCCTCAATCTTGGTCTCCCGCGTTGAACGAGACCTTCAAATATGGCATTGATATCATTCGCGGGTGAGCAAGTTCCCTGTGCTGGTTAAACAACAAAAGCTGAACTTGTAACGCAGTGTCAATTTGGGAGGCTGGCTCAACACCGAACCTGTGAGTTTCTTTTTAGCTAAATTTGATCTTGTTCTCACTATATAATCCATGTTTGGCTTAGTTCATGTGAGTTCGCACGGTTGTTCTTCGTATTTCACATTTGTGCTTATTTTTGTCATTTCATTAAAGCACCCCTGCACTTTATGAGCGGTACCTCAATTCCAACCCAGTAGCTGTTGATGAATGGACACTCAGCCAGAACATGCGCGCCGACTCTGCAAACGGGGGCATAAACCAGCTTGAGGATCACTACAGGACTTTCATTGTAAGTCAATGACGTCAAACGTCGTTTTCCGGCGCTGATGAATAGCCACCGGTAGACCGAGCAAGACTTCGCGGAGATTGCTGGAGCAGGCCTCAACTTCGTGCGCATTCCTCTTCCTTACTGGGCAATTGAAACTCGTGGAAACGAGCCATTCCTGGCAAAGACATGCTGGACGTGAGTATGCCATACCGTTTTCTCCTGGTCGAGTAAATGACAACCTCCTTTCAGATACTTCCTCAAAGCGATAGAATGGGCTCGCAAATATGGTCTTCGCATCAATCTTGACTTGCACGCCCTTCCAGGCAGTCAGAACGGTTGGAACCATTCCGGAAGGCTCGGCACTATTAACATGTTGAATGGGCCTATGGGCTACGCCAACGCTCAGCGTTCACTTGACTATATCCGCATTCTGGCCGAGTTTATATCCCAGCCTCAATACAAGGATGTCGTCGTGATGTTCGGGATTACGAATGAGCCTCAGGCTTCTGTTGTCGGCCAGGATCAGCTTTCGCGATATTATCTACAGTCTTACGATATCGTACGCAAAGCAGGTGGAACTGGAACTGGCAACGGTCCTATGATTTCATACCATGACGGTTTCCTTGGCACGACCAACTGGGCTGGTTTCTTACCAGGGGCTGATCGTATTGCCCTTGACCTACATCCTTATCTAGCATTTGGCGGGCAGAGTGCGGACCCTGTCTCTTCCTTCGTACAAACGCCATGCAAGGCATGGGGCCCGAACTTCAACACCTCCATGTCAGAGTTCGGTCTTACAGCAGCTGGCGAATACAGCAATGCGATTACCGATTGCGGACTCTTCGTAAATGGTGTTAACCTGGGAACCCGGTACGAAGGTACCTATCCAGGCAGTTCTACAGCAGTCGGCAGCTGCGACCAAGTAATTAACTGGCAAAGCTGGAGTGCTGATCTCAAAGAGCAGTACAAGGAATACGCTATGGCAAGCATGGATGCTCTCCAGGTGTGTCATCCTAAATAAATCTATTGACTGCAAGTTTTACTAATTGTTCGCAACTCAGAATTGGTTCTTCTGGACCTGGAAGATTGGTAACTCGTCAACCACAAACACTGTTATGGCTCCTCACTGGTCGTACAAGCTTGGCCTCGACAACGGCTGGATGCCACTGGATCCTCGTGACAGTGTTGGCAAGTGCGGAGGCGCAGCCCCCTTCAACGGTCCCCTGGCTCCATCCGCGACTGGCGGATCGGGAGCAGATACCATTCCTACATCCGTCTTGAGCTCACTTGCATGGCCGCCGGCAACTATCAGCGCCGCTGGTCCGGTCACTGCACTTCCTAGCTACACACCGACAGGTGCCGTGCCAACATTGCCAGCACCTACATTTACTGCCACGAGTGGAAAATCGGTGAGCACCGCATCAGCGGGCAGCGGATGGCAGAACCCGTCGGATAACGCAGGCCTGATGACCGACGCCGCGGGATGCAACTATCTTGACCCGTGGGTTGGACCAACCGCCGCTCTACCAGTTCCACTTTGCGGCGCGGCCGCAGCGACGAAACGAGCTGAGGTGACTGGTGTACCAATCCGACGATGACATGTGCGCTTTTCCTTGCTAGACGTAGATTAGTACTCCGTCTTTCATGACATACTTCATTACATCTTGGACTCGTATAATGGGTTTACTAGTTCGGGACTTTCGCTTTATTTTTGTTTTCTTGATGAACTTTATAGAGCTTGTCAACAGGCCCGCCGCTCTTTTTTCTTTCTTTTAGTCAGACGCACTTCGCTAGTCTGGTTGTGGATACGGACTCTTTACATGCTAACGCAGGTAATCTTCATTCACGACTTTACGCTATCTAGTCGTTTATACAGTGGATTTACTGTAAATCAGTCATACAGAATTTGCATACGTGTTTTCGTGCTCAATGTCAATGCTCCCCGCTCGTCGTTGCATATCTGTCTTCGAGATCCTCTTGGCCGCCATAGCCTGCTTCGAAATCTTTGTCAATGCGTGAAGCAGCTTCCTTTACCTCGGCGTCTATCTGTGCACGTAAAGCAGCTAGTTGTTCTTGTTCCTGAGTTAAGACGGGTGTTAGAGTGTTGAATGTGATCAGTATCAAATATCCGTCTGGAACACTGACTTTCTGCTTAACAAACTGGGTCTCTTCTGCCTGCTCTTTTGCTTTCCATGATTTATCCTAGGTAAGGCATTGCATTAGTAAGTATTCCTCTTACAAGAAGAGAAGTTCAGCTAACTTGTGCTGTTGTTCCGGACATGGTGGACTGAGTCTGAGGTCTTCGGATCGGCACAGAAAACGTCATGGATGCTAAATGAGGCAGGCGGACAAAGCATTTAGGCGGAGCAACGCAGATCTCGAATTGCCAAGTCGGGTAACCACTTCAGGAGAACAGCCATGTCCACCTATCCTAATCCTGACAGAAAAGAGTACCAGACTGATGGTCGTGACTTACTGTCTACACGCAAAGATGCTGCTGACCGTTTGCCAACTCGATCTTCTGACCGCCTGAAAAGTCTGTTTCTTGTATGTCGTGTATACTGATTACCGTAGTGCATCGTATTCATGTGTATCTCTCTAGAAATTCACGTTCCTGGCAGCTATAGCCGTACACGTTTATCTGTGGCGAGCCAGCTGGTTCACATTTAAAAGCCTCTACGGACACAAGCACAAGCCATCTTCACCTACTTTCAAACATCTTGCCTCTCACTGTGCTGACGTCAAGCCCATAACCGCTTTCGAGTTTCTCACACGTCAACAGTCTCTCGCAGAAGCTCTGCACGTACTCAATGCGTCGGCCTACATAGCAGAACCAGGAGCAAATGCTCAGTTCTTCGGGAATATATCTACTGGCACCTGGTTTCTCTCGGAACGTCCTTTATTATTGATCATTACACCGGACAGCGAATCTAACGGCAGTGTTAATCCTCGCGTTTCAATCCTCACTCCGTCCTTTGAAGCAACACGCGCACGATTGCTTGCTGTTCCAGCACAGGGAAATGTCTCGTTCTTTGAATGGCCAGAAGACGTCAATCCTTACGAGATTGCAGTGTCGGCGCTTTCCGATAGGACGGGCCCTATCTACATAGATGGAGGGATGCGGAAGTTCATTGCGGATGGCCTAGCTTCTGCACTACCGAATAATACGGTTCTATCTGCTCCTTTGGAGATACGTTCATTGCGTGAAAGGAAGTCTCCTGCTGAGATAGAACTTCTTCGCTGCGCAAGCGAGGTAAATTTCTGGACTGATTGTAACATCACTAGTCTTGCTAAAATGCCTAGGTTACATTATTAGCCATCCGTGCGGTCAGAGAAGAGCTTCGAATTGTACGTATTCGATCAATTAATTGCATTTCGTTGTAAGTATGCACTGAGTTTATCAACAATTTTAGGGAATGACCGAAAGCGAAGCGCGAAGACTCATGACAAGCGCGCTCTCCGATGCAGACTTGTCTGATCCCTTTGTCCTCGGCCTTTTTGGAGGTAATGCGGTTGATATCCTTGCCAAGTTTTTGCGTTTAGACGTTGTTTTGATGTAGAAAACGCGGCATTACCGCACGGAAGCGGTTCAGACCGAGTCCTCGGGAAGGAAGATTACATCCTCTTTGATACAGGTGGAATACTCCACGGATATCACAGCGACATCACAAGGGTTGGTTCTTTATCGGCCACCTATTTCGGATTGCAAACTAATTCTAAAAACTACAATGTTTATATAGACTTTTGCACTAAAGGAGTCGACCATTCCAACGGATCACTTGGAAGTCTGGTTCACTGTGCATGCCGCACAATCTGCAGCTCTTCGCGCCGCTCGAAATGGATCGCTCACACGTAGGGTAGATGAAGCCGCTCGTACCGTAATCTCTACTGCGGGCTACGGAAAATTCTTCACTCATCGTCTTGGCCATGGTAAGTCGGAATCGATTTTTAACGGCTTGCCTCCCAGCCTTTCCACAGCCGCGAGACAAAGAAAGAGACTAAATAATGTTTTTGTTTCATTTCCAAATAGGCATTGGCTTGGAAGTGCATGAAGCGCCGTACCTCCGAGGTGGCAGTTCCGACATCATTCGTCCTGGACATGTGTTTACCGACGAACCCGGAATATATATTGAAGGGAAAGTGGGTGTACGTCATGAAGACGCCTTCTATGTGTCAGAGGACGGAACTAGCGTGCTTCTTACTGCTGGAGTAGGCGGTCAGGCGAGCTCGCCATGGCGCCCATGAAAGATTCGAACAACGTAAACCTCGTAGACTGTATTGTCTCTTGGATATTAGTTAGGCCTGTGTTATATAGAAGAAGAGTGATCGATATAAAATTTTCACTTCTATTCCAATGTACACGAAAACATCATCAGATAAGTTAAAAGAACAACTTAGAAATCTGAACTGATTTAAATCTATAAACAAATTGCAAAGATGAAAACAAGTAAGGTAAGGAAAGTATAAACTCGACATAGTATGTCACATCAGTCACAGCACAGCCACTTCCCCATTAGGAAGGACCCTGATGGCAAAAATCGAGTGGTGGACATTGACATTTTTTTAGCACTTGTAAATACAAAAAAAATATAGATTATGGTTTTACAGCTCAGCCAGAATACTAGCTGGAAGGATTCTATAGCCATAGTATTTCTTATTTGCCCATTGAGCCTGTGCTCCTGTCAACCCCTTTCTATATGCATCCATAAACTGAGCAGACTAGTTACAATACCTACAAAACATATAATAAAATCAATTTTGTAAGAAAGAAAGATTTAAAGTACTTACTTTTGAAATAAATCAAGAGGAATAGAATCAAGGCATGTTTGAACATGCTTTTCCATTTGAGCTTCAGTAGTAGGGGCAGGCATCATCTGGTAGTTGAATTTAGCATAACCCTAGCACTGTCTGTCAATTCATCAGGCTCAATTAGGACAACAGTCTTTACATCCTCTCCAAAACCTGGAGTGTTGAACTCTTCCTTGTTGTCAGTCCATAAGATTTGGCTTGAACTTGTAGCCTATTTCTTGGTAAGCTATATTGTTTATTACTCAGTCTTAAGTATATCTTGCAGGTTTATCACTCCTCAGATTCTGTATTCTGGCTTTATCCCTTCCCTTTTGCTAGGGCATTATAGGCAGAACAGAGGAAAATGGGTCTAAATAGCTGATATTTACTGATCAAATGTACATTACTCATCAGGCACGTGTTCTATATAAGGAAATAATTATATAATAGATATTTAACCGAAGTGGCAAAAATCTTCGGGAAAAAATTCAAAATTTCACCAAATTGTATTTCTGTACATTTGGTACAAAAAAAAAAGTTTTTTTTTTGGAAATAACTCACTCGAATCTCAATATTTTAAAAAATCAAAAACATACTTTTGTAGGTTAGATTAAGCTGAATATATCTATGCGGCTCAAATTTGCATTTTTGGGATACTGAGTGTCGTATTTCGCCATCATCGTTTGCATCCAAATTGGGTTAGTCTGTCGCGTCACACTACAGTTGAAAATATCTTATTGCATAACGTCGGGAGAGGCCTCAGACCTATGCAATATGAGCAATATGCATTATGGTAACCGTGCGAAAACATTACTTAATTAGGAACCCAACATTCGATATTACTTTTCAATTTATTTGAAGACATATACACTATGACAAGAAAATAAGCATATATTTAGAGCATCAAGAAAGACAACCAAGACAATGACAAGTACAGTAAACATGTATATTACTGTAAAACTCAAGGAATAGTTTGTAATACAAGGAAATACAGTCAGAATCTGTAGAAACAAAAAGATAGAAAAAGCTAGTCAATACAAATAACTTTCCCCCACATATCATGAAGAGATCTTTGCTGCCCTATCTTGGTCTTGTGGCAGCATCAAAGACATTGTAAGCAATGAAATGTCAATCAGAAACATTCTTTTTGTATTAAAGTATGTCAGAGAACAATATGTGAGGCTTCTGGGTACAAAAATCACAACAGTAAGCAGTCTAATTTCCCAAAATGCTCAGAATTTTGCATAATTTTCTCACAAATCTTGATACAATATGCAATAGACTATTTTTGTGCATAATTCCCTTATCCTGAGCTGGGATTAGGTAGAAAGCTATGCAATATTCAATTTATGCATTATAATGTGATGCAATAAGGTATTTTCAACTGTATGTCGAGTTTATACTTTCCTTACCTTAGCAACAAATGTTCAGGGTTGCAGAGATGGAGGTGGTGCATGAGTAACAGAGATGGAAGATAAGCACCAAAATTGCAAAGATGAAAGTGAATCCTAGTGACACAGGAGATGGGTAAACATGATATGCCTGAACTCGTGACGGTCATTAAAATATAGAAGAACCTTTCGTTTGTCAAAGCGATAAATATTTTTAGTGAGATGCGAGCATGTTCGTACTGATGTCACCTGCAGTAGCATGAGGGTCGTCCGGCACAATCGCAGAGTGTAGCCAGGCCAATGTGGAGAACGCGAACATGAGGATTACCCAGAGGTTTCCACCGAGAATGTTATGATCTACGGAGAAAGCATAGAGGCAGCTGTACAATGGAAAGTGAGCAAAATTATGTATGAACTGACAGTTATACGGGACTACACACCTGACAAAAGCCGGAGCGATAGCACGCGCAAAGCATTGCGAGAACTGAGCTAGTCCATTTGCTGAACCCAGGGAAGATGGACCAGGAGCATGCTCTTTCACAAGAATCATGTTCAACCTAGAAGGTTAAAGAGGAATAAACACGAAACAAGAGATTCTTACTTCCGAGGGTATTACTTACGAGAATGCGAGACAAGCAACACGGCTCAGCGCCAATGCAGTGCCGATACCAAGCCACAGCAGAAGGTTTACTTCAGACTTGCCAATAGCCTGTGTAGCGTCATCAAAGCCAGTTCGAGCGACCCAGTTGAGTGGAGGAAGCGAGAGGAATGCCAGAGGCCAGATTCCCATGCAAGTTTTATACAGTCTTGCACATGAAACCCTACGAAGTAAGATTGGCATAAAGATAATTTGTATCATGGCTGAAGATACTCCTGCGATAGCAAGTGCATAGCCGATCTGCGATACCTGTGAGGAGCGCTGAGTTATACTTTCTATACAATACTTTCATCAATGCTTACAGAGAATGAGAGACCTCCAGAGTTGACCGGGGAATAACAAAATAGAACGAAAACGACGTCAAAGGCAGAACCAACGAAACTCAGAGCGCACCCTGACAAACAAACAGCGCGTATTACTGGTATACGCAACAATGAACGTGCGGATGGACCCTGTTTCGCGGACTTTGCTTGGTAATGTCTATAATTCGGTAGTCAGTGGAAGACGAACGGATTACAGCCGGCTAGACGTACTTCGTTCAGGCAGAAATAGCCCACTACCACTGTCAGAATAGTAGCGCAAGCAACAACGAAGCAAGGAAGGAAATACGGAAACTGATCGAAGAAGTAGGTGCCAAACCACGTGGGGTATTTCTGTGCGGCGTTCGCGAAGGTGCCGCCAATGAGGGGGCTGTAACAGGAACAGGCGGAGTCAGTTTGAATCGTTATAGGATCATCCTAACAACTTACCCTAGAATAACACCTAAGGGCCAACATAGTCCATAAATGGGGTATGCTAAGGCTTGATTCGATGAGTCGGTAATCTCTCCCAAGACCGAATGCATGACAGCAACATTGCCTGAAAAGAGTCCAGCTAGAGAAATCAAGATCAGAACTTTGTCTCTTCACAAACGTAATGACCAATCACTGCAAGCCTAGGCCTTACCAAGCGCTCTAGAAAGAAGTACCCCAGAGAGAGTCCTCGAAAAACCCAACCAGATTGTCGAGATAGCAATCCCGAATGTCCCCAGTAACACAATTGGTCGCCTTCCCAGCTTGTCGGAGAGGTTTGCCCAGTGATATATCGATAGCAGTTGTGCAAAAGCAAACACACTTTCCTGAGAAACACAACTAGTTCAGCAGGAGGGCGCATATATTGAGGTACTTGTACGTACGACAAGGCCGCTGTAGAAGCCAGTTTGTGAGGGCTCTGCGATGCCGAATTTCTCCATCATCTCATTGACATATGGGAATATCTGAGTGAATGCCACTGGATCAGCGAGACGGATAAAACAAAGGGCACCAAGTTGTTGCTTGGGCAGTGGGGTGCTGGGCTGGCGTTGCCTGCTCGCATCCTCCACATCGTACAGGAGTGGACGGGTCTCGTCCTGAAGAAGCTCTCCATCGCCAAAGCCATTGTGCCTGGGGACGATGCTCGGAGACATAGAGAGCGCAGACATGAGTGCGACGACCTGCGACGACTGTGTTGGTCCTGGTTGAAGGAAGAGAACGAAGGGGAACTTTCTACGACCTGGCTCTTTAAGTCCGGACCGACTTCGGCAGAAAATCAAGACTTCGATCATGTGACTGGAACACGTGAGCATCCGGCAATACCCGTGGCTAAATGGTAAACCGTCCAGGCCAGGCCTCGCCCAACAAAAGACAAGCACCACCTGTGCATGCCGCGGTCTTCCTTGCTCTATCGCTACCATCATGTCCGACTTCGTCCTCGTTGCGCCTCGTCCTCGCCGTGTCAACTCGCTTGCCCAGCGTGCATCTCTGCCTCCCGTCTCAAGGATCTTATCTCCACCCGTGGAGGCTCTGTCTCGTCTGAAGCTCGCTGACGGCGAAGGTCAGCCTGCCGACAACAGTGACGAAGCAATTCCGTCCTCTGGCAGGAACACCGCTTCTCCTCGGTGAGCATTCGTTTCATTTACAGCCCACCTTTATTTCTTGAGGTGCTGCTCTGCACCTTTCTATCCTTGAATATGCACGAGTTGGGATACTAACGTTGTGGTGACCTCTCACTGCCACCTCTTTCAGACTCAATTTGCCTTCTGATGCACTTGAAGAATTTCTGTCTATTTTACGACCGTCACTGTTTAGTCCCAGCTCTCCGACCTTCCGTGCTCGCCGCCACGAATCTGGTTCTGGGCTGGCCATCCCTCTAGAGCGCCCACAAGCTATAAAACCGCGCGACAGTTCCCACACCAAAAGCCCTTCGCTCAACTCTGTTAATCTTGAAGATGGCAATGCTACAACCGCTGCAGGCAGCATCAGTCCAGCTGCAGATGTCCGCCAAAGTGGCGATAATGATCAGTTTGCTGGGAATCTGTGGCGCATTCCTGGCATACTTGGTAAGGTCGTTTCAATATTTATACTGCATTCTTCTAATCTTTGTCAATCTGCTTCTTTTAAATCAGAGTCTCCCGTTTCTCGCACGCATACGCGAAACCCTTTCTATCGTCATCCTTCCTACGATACGGCTTTCTCGGGTGTCCTCACCTCTCATTTGTCTCCGTCGCTCCTTCCTCTACCTCCGTCGCCTTCGCCGGCCCCTCTCAGTCTTTCCCCTCCCGCGGACGCTGAGAATAATGACTATTGAACGTCAACTTGCACATTTACGATCGCGCACCCTCGTTTCCGGGCTGCTGCACTATACCATTTCTTTTTGGGTTGGAACATAGCCCATCGGGGGCGCTTATTGTATCTTGTAACCGGATTTTTACGTTTGTATCAACAGCAACTAAAAGGCAGTCGTGGCCTAGCTCCTACGTTCATTTCTACCACTATCGCCATGCTATTATTTGTCCAGCATTCCGCTTATTTAGTTGAGCCCGTTAATGATTTTACACATACCGTGTCGTACCTTCCACTCTTACTAGGTAGCACCGTAGTAGTTTCAATCCCGCACAGATATATAACACCGTAGTCAGTTTTCGTCGCAATGCTTGTTTGCTATCGTGATAGTTCTTCTAACAGATTGGAATTATATTAGTTTGTGAAATACGTTCGACCGATTTCATTCGCCAAGACCTCAAGCATTGAAGCAAAGCCAGTTCACAAAGGAAAGTACCGACACTGATTATAAAGGATTCTCAAATGGTAAGTATGTACGCTACGACAACATGTATAGAAGCGATGAAAGACAAAATATAATGAATCCAGCAGTGAGATGCGATTATCCAATTGACCGTCTAAAGCTTCGCAGTTTCTTGTTTTATAGAGGACAAAGGTGCGGCATCCGAATCGGAATACAGAGCATCAACAACACCTTTGTATCTAGTCTGGACGTCCCTCCTGGAAGCCGCAAATAAGAGAAACTGATTAGCAGAAAGGAATAACTAATAGGGTGGAAACCTGCATACCGCTTAAGCTTAAAAGTCGGGGTCAATAGGCCGTTATCGACCGTGAATGGTTCAAGAGTGACGTGGATCTTCTTCACGCATTCAAACCTAAGGTCAACAGTAAAACAGAGCTGTTAGCTTGATGTCTAATTGTGGTTAAACATAAATATACCCTTTCAAACCAGCTCTCTTCGCCTCCTTCGCCCCTACATCGAATATTGCCTGCACAACCATCGCATCTTTTACTGCACTGGCAAGAGTCACAGTGTCCTCCGGTGAAACCTGCTTTCCACGGAGGCTGCTGACGAGTGCGGCAAGCTGGACCCGATCAGGAACGAAGACACCAACAAGGTGGTCTCTCAGGGAGTCGCCATGTACATACGCTTGCTCGATAAGAGGGCTTGATTCGTATATGCCTTCGATCTTCTCGAGAGCAACGTATTCGCCTTGGGAAAGCTTCATAATGTTCTATACGGTCCGAAATATGATTCAGTTTCGTCAATAACGAGTCGTAGAAACCTGTGCGCCAACCTTAATACGATCGACGATTTTCAAACGCCCAAAACTGTCAATCTCTCCAACGTCGCCAGTATGTAACCAACCTTCATCGTCAAGCGTCTCTCGCGTGTTTTTCTCGTCTTTGTAGTAACCTACGAAACAGTTCTCTCCCCGAATACATATCTCACCACGAGCGTTGGGCTTGTCTTCAGAGGTATAACCCATATGGGGTACGTCCACTAATTTGATTTCGTTACATGGCTGGGGTGCACCGACGAATCCACTGCAGGACGGGTCACCAGGCCAACAGCGCGTAATCGTAGCGCAATTCTCGGTCATACCGTAGCCTGTAGACGTACGTTAACTGTGCACCAGTTCAAGTCAAGTAATAAAGAAACTTGCCTTCAACGACTTCGCAAGCAAGTGCGATGCGGAGGAAGTCCATAGCCGCTGGACTAATGGGAGCCGACCCGGATGTGCACAACTGGATATTACCACCGAGCACTGCCTGTACTTTTCGGAAAACAAGCTTGTCCCAGAACGCGTGGGTATCATCTCCTGTTTCATGCATTTTCTTGAGCTTGGCTTCCACCGCACTGCGGAAGAGGAAACCCTTCAACCCCGGGTGCTGAGCTGTTAGCATCGCAGTCTGGTAGATCCTGTTGAGGACACGTGGAACAGAAGGGAAGTAGTTGGGCTTAAGGATGCACATGTCCTCGAGGAGCCGAAGGGGGTCACCACTGAAAAATCCGATTGCGCCTCCCATTGCGGTAACATTTGTCACATTAATACGCTGCAAACGAAGTTAGACTAGTATAACCTCAGAATCATAAACATATCCAATACCTCATAGATATGTGCTAGAGGCAAATAAGATATTTCTAGTCCCTTGTTACCAAAGAAAATGCCATGAATATTCGAGACAGATGCAGCCGTTAGGTTTCCATGAGTAAGGATTGCGCCTAGCAGAACAGTTGGAAACCTCATTCAATGAAATTTCACAGGATGCCACATACCTTTCGGATTACTAGTTGTACCCTAAGAGACATCTATGTATAATTACCACAATCAAAACACAAAGGACTTCAAACGCTTACTGAGGTGTAGCAAAGCGTCGCAATCTGCTCCGGCTTAGCCGGTAGAGGTGGGATTAAGTTGGCCTTCCCGAACTCCTCGACTAGAGGAATTAAATTAGAGTAAATATAACCGAGACTGGGGCCGCACAGACATACGTTCTCGGAGTTCCCGGATTTGAACACCTTGCGAATTCCCCCACGAAGTCAAAACCTTCTTTGTCTCGTCCGAGAGATCGTCAATAGACACAATCATGCGCAGCATTGGCACCCGGGGCTTGAGAGCAAGCAAAATTGGAAGGTGCTGTATGGTGGCGAACACCACCGTCAAGTGCGCGTGTTCAATGCTATACATGAGGTTAATGGAAGGGCAATTTGACAGCGAAATGAGGCGTAATCACATGTATTCTGTCCAACAAAAGATATTAGATATCCTGTTTTGCACGTTTAACTTATGATGCATGCGTACCAACTGAATCCTTCCCCAAAGTGTCGTACAGACTGACACCGACTTTTCCATATGCATGGAGTGCAACGTCGATGATTTGCCACTCTAGAACGCACGCGAAGAATAAATTGTCAATTCAATTGCATCTGTTCATCAACAGGGGGACAAACCTGGCCTGTTCTGACTCCAAATTCCAACGGTCGGTAGTTCACCCCCACCCAAAACACCGTCCATAAACAACTTGTGCAACGCACTCCCAAGGTTCCGGCGACGTTCATCTACTTGCGCGTAAGTCAGCCAGACAAAATGGTCCGCAAACTTGAGAGGCTTTGCGGAAACGAGTGGCCGATGTCCTAGATACCGGTCATTCGTGGAGATTTTCAATCCAAGCTCGAAGATGTCTGGGAGCACGCGGACGTGGGGTTGTGCAGTTACCGACTTGAGACCCCAAGCACCTGCATTGTAACGTAGGTTAGTTAATTAGCAGACGCGTCAGCTATTCAACGCTTGTCCCACCATTTTGGTAGTGGCCTTCGTACAACAAGGTTATTATTCAGTTTGAAAAGCAGCGTATCTCAGTTTCGACGTGAGCACACACCAGTTTGGCCTGGTCTGCGTGTACCCGGTACTTCGACACCCTGTCTAGACAAATCCATATTATCCGGCCAGGGCTGCTCGAGTGGGGTGTAATTTGGAGACGAGAACATGGCGAGCCGACGAGACAAGAGCAGGTGATGGTCAAGAGCAAGGAGTGTAAGGAGTGAGAGAGCGAAAATAATCAGGTGCGCGTTTCTGTCAAAGCTCAACCAATTGGAAACTCGACAGACGCTTAACCGCGTTTTCACGTGCCACCGATCAGAAAAGGTCCGCTAGGCTAGGGTAACGACTAACAAACCTTGGGTGGGCGGCTAGCTAGCGATGAAACTTTGAAAGCACACATGATGCCATTATTGAAGGCTGCATTTGCAGAGTATAGAATACATCATTTCAATACATATGAGACCAGGAGGCGCATGAACAATTCGTCAAGAAATACATGGATTGGCTATGTTGAGAATTTATTAATAGTTTACGGAGCAGAAAGGACGATCTGCAAAGTAACCATTAATTAACGAAGTATGAAGAGAGAAGCACAGGAAAATCGAGCTCACGTTCATGAATTGTTCGTAATTGATCTGAATCCATCCGTCGCGATCGGTATCCAATCTACACACCTGTGATGAATCACGCAGAGCGAACGCACCAAATCACGTACCGTTGGAATGATTCTGTCAATGTCTTCACAACAATACAAGCCCGTACAAACCGATCAAACGTAATACCAGGAGGCGGGCCATAATTTGTCGACGGCGGCTTTGCTATTTTAATGAGGAACAGCGGTCGTGAACAACGGAAGATAATTCTTAGCCAGAATCGCACGCACCATACTTCTGCTCGACAAGCATAAGAATCTGTGGACTCAGAGTATACCCAAAGCTACGGAGGGCATTTGCCAATTCATGTCCGTCTATTGACCCAGAGCGATCTAGGTTTGATGTGAGACATAATCGAGCGACGAAGTGCTGTACAGTGGTACCCACCAACATCAAAGTGCCTGAATACACCTTGCCAGTCCGAGATATACTTCCAAAGGCCGGCGAATTCTAGCTTTGTATCAGCATCAAATCCGTAAGAACGCATGATGTAGGCAATAACTTCTTACCATTAAAGCCAATAGTACCGCTACGGTCCGTGTCCTGAGATGTGATGTAGTAAGATCAGAGACGCAGGAGCTGTGCAAATAACGTACAAAAATGCCCATCAACATCTTGACCTATGAACAGGTGTGTAAATTTGAAGTAATATGAAGAATAATGAGGTATATTCACAGTATCAAGATCAAAGTCTAGGTACGCCATCTTCCATCAGCTTCGTGTACATCAACAAGGAAATCTGGTCAACTCACGGGACCAATCGCCTAGGAGGAGCCAACTTGCAAGTGAGTATATGCACACTTCCGAGTTATGACGGACATAACACACCATTCACCAACGCGGCTTGGAGTTCCGTTGCACTGATTGAACCCGAACCATCTGTATCAACCGAAGAGAACCAATTCCAAAGCTGAGGGTCTGCGCCAGGGGGAGGACCTCTGTAAGAATGCTGTTGAGCGGGTTGGCCATACCCGCCACCATACCCGCCGTAGGATGCACCACGGTTCATTGATGGGTTTGAACGACCGTACATATTACGGATTCGAGATAGATGACGATAGGAGTGAAGGAAGAGGAGTAGACGCTGAGCGCAGTTTACAGGGAGTCAGCGGCTAGCCGGCAAGGACGGAGTACACTGTACAGGAACGGCTAGTCTCGGCTGATGCAATTCCTGTACAATTACAGTGCACGTGGCCTTAATTTACACTGCAATACGATGCACCTCTGCATTGCTTGCTTCGAAACGACTACACAAACCTCTACCCTATGTCGTACTGCCTGCATTTCAATAAATCAAAAGAAAAACCAAAGATATTCGGTGAAGCTCATCCTTAGCGAAGATCATGCAATTAATCTAAATTCAGAGAAAACGTCCCATCTTCAAAGAAAATATCCATCGGGAATTCGCAGACTCGCTACTCTGTCGCATGCCCTGCCTCGAAGATCAGCGATATTAACCCAACTTGAAATATCAGCCTAAAAAGGGCCTTCTGGAATTAGTCCGTATGACCCGCGATGCTTGAGGTGTGCACTCATAAAGTTCTACCTCAGTCGATCTCCTCCAGTTCTAAACGAATCCGTCCCAGGCATATGGTGTATCAGTCCCTAGCGGCGTGCGACGCAACTTCATACAGGCACTTGCCCTGGTCACCAGCACACGCAGCTTCGTTTACCGAGTTTTCGTGTGACAAGTGGTATCCAAGAGTGATAGGAGCAGAAGCTCTGAAACTCCGCCGCGGCATAGTGCATTCGAGGAACTGCAAGTGACCAGATTGTCCCTGGTGTTCCGCACAGGCGAAGTTTCATGAAATTCGACTAGGTCTGGGGAATTTCCGCACAGCGCATGGACATCAACGTGATTCCAATAGTCCCTTGCAGGTCCCGCAATATCACTGATTTCTTGGACAGCTGCTCCAATGCACATTTCCATTTCTATCGACAAGTAAATGCTCATGCACGAAGCCTACAGATGGCCCACCTATTCTCCGCTCCATGACCACATGCCACACGAGGAACATCGGCGTATTTCTAGCCTAATCACACTATCTGTTAGTATTCTTACCAGGATTTGAAACGCAGATCCACCGACTCTTTGAAGTTTGACGCGCAGAATCGCGCAAATTTTCATTTGAAATGCATATTGCCAATAATGCTAGTTAAACGTACGAAAGTCAGTCGTTGCTGTGCCTTCAGAAGGATTGAATTTATCCGCACTCCGTCGATGCTCAAGTCCCCGGAGAATAAAAGACATGTTCTCCAAATGTACGCATCAATTAGTCTATACTGGGAAATCGCGGCTAATCACCTACGAAACCTTGATCCTGAGCTATCAATAACTAGGAGGGGCAAAGCTGCACAAAGACAGTTTTGTTCCTTGCGCTAAGATACTACACAGGAGACCCATTCTGTCATAGTGAATGCATAACAGGAAAGGGTACACATGCCTCCATTCCCATGTCCGTTTCAGAGGGAGTTCGACCTTGATGTCCAGGTCACGATTTGCACGGAACTTCCTCCATGATAGTTTAGTATGATCAGAGTGGTCGGAAGTGAGCCTGGGAAGCAAAGTATCATTCGTATCTTTATGTGTAACAGACACATATGCACTCCAACAGAGATACCTATCGTGGATGCTTACCGCGCAGCTCTGAGTCAGTCTTCATACAGGGGCGATTATTAACTTCTCAGAGCACTGCGGAGAGTTACGCCGCCGGTGGAAAACCCGATCGACGGACTGTCTCGACAGATATGAACGCAGTTTAGTGAATTACTTCGAGACCTGCGGCCACTTGAAGGCAGGATAGCATCTAGCTCTCCGTCTGCGAATTGAAGCGCACCACGAAGCCTTCTGGGTAATGGTTCTGGTGGTCAGGACGCCGCGGTCAGACGCAAATATTACTGAGGTACCCGGAAGACGGAAAGAGTTCCTGTCCATAAACCGGAATACCTGTATGGACATGGACATTATTCTCAGTCTCCCACAGGCATTGCGGAAGTATTACGGGATCTTCTTGTACCCTCACTAAAAATTCTAAGGACGAACAGAGTGTGCACAAGCGTCCTTTAAGATCTGCCAAAGTACTCTATGTATGCGTAATTCTTCTACGCCGCCTATATCCGACCGACTAAGGTAGGTTATTTTAAGCCAGCCTAGCCAAGTCCGGTCTAAACATGTCAAGGGTGCGTAAGGGAAACTGGACAAATTCAGCTCAGTAACTGCGCTCACAGGTGGGAGCACAGGTCGAGAGTCAGCTTTTTGCGGAAAGTGCGGATGAAAAAGCTGGAATCCGCTACGAGAAATGGATCACCATGCCGGCTGTCCCAATCAACATTATGGAAGTTCCCGCACGAGTCCCGCTGGGCGGAATGCGGGAGCGCAGATCATTGTATACCTGCAGATGAGTAATGGCTGAGAAGTCTCTTGGCATGATCATAGGTTATTAAGAGCCACTTATAGATTTTGAAGTCAGTCTGGTCGACAAAAGAGAATATCCGAATACCTTCTGCGGTATCATACTTGTGTATATCTTTATGTGTATGAGAATTGGCCTGTCAGCCAGTGCTGGCAGGATTGGCCACCAATCTGGGATGCAGCTGTGGCGGCGCATGTCTTCCAAGGGAGAAGCTCGACGAAGAGCAGAGGTTCGCAGATCCGAATCCAGGACCCTGGCTTATACGGCAGAAAAAGCATTCATCCTCTAGTTCTCAGATCTGGCGTACATTAAATGGCTTGATGTCGAGACTAGAGAAGGACGAAGTGCTGTCTCGTTGCGATCAAAGACCCGGAGATCGGTCGCCTTCTAGTGAAGTAGAAGAGCTCTATACAGTAACTTTCCAGTGGAGGATAGAGTGCATCTTCTGGGTTGTGTTGTTTTCATCGATCCATCAGCTCAGGGTGCTTGCAAGAAAGGTGAATATTAAAAGTCGTGGAGATAGAGAGCAAAGACAGGTTATAGTAGTGCAGATATATATATACAGCAGCATGCTACCATGCACAGATGACATGGGCGAATTTGCAAAGAACCAAGTTTTCGTTCATAGTGCTGTCACGATAAGCTGACCAGTCAGAGAGGCTAATCATGTTAGTGGTAAAACCTTGTTATGGATTGTTGCTGCACGTGTTTGATTTGCGAACAAGGAAACATCCGATTCCGAACTGCTTACCGACACCGCAATCATCTGCGAACGCTCTACATAGGCCTATCCTGCCTCCAGTACTTGGGCTTGACTTTAGTATAGTCCAGTGATCAAGTTCTGAATTTCGTTGACATCAATCATGCCCTCTTCACATCTCAAGGCTGTAATCTTTGATGTAAGCAGTCGTTTCCAGTTCCTTCTGTACAGCGGCCCGTTCCTCAATCCGTGGATCCCCCCCCCCCCTCCTCCCCTCTCTTAGATTGGCGGCGTGGTGGTTCGTAGTCCTTTATTGGCCATCTCTGCCTTCGAAGAAGAGAGGGGGCTTCCACGAAACTACATCAATTGTGCAATGTGCGTCTCCGCGCGGCTAGCTTGCAATGCATTACTTCGAGGTATATTGACATTGATATCTATGACACGGGTGCTTTTCTCTTGCTTACCGCGCTGCTGGAATTATGGGCGGCTTTCGAACGAAGAGCGGGCAGAGCCGAGCATGGTGCCTGGCAGCGCTTTGAACGCGGTGAACTTGCCCTCTTCCCCTTCTATGATGCGTTTAGTCGAGAGCTATCTGATACACGCATGTGCAACGTGTGGTATACTGAGTATTGCAAAGCTCGAAATATAGGCAAGTCGCTATCCCCGTTAGGAGTCGGCCGGTTCCACGACGCGCTTCTGTCGAATGTGTTTACTGGGTTCGAGTAGAACTGATCCATCCCCTCTGCTTCAGTGTGTCCAAAATTACCAGAGAACGTTCAGATAGACGGCAGAGACGTAAGTCGGACTCCTAAGTCGGATATCGGAGCTCCTTTGCATGGAAAGCTCATCGGTCGTGTATTATTTGATTCTTCTTGCCTTTGTAGTTATTTGGATGGATGATGCGTGAAAGTACTGTCTGTGACGAGAATATGGTCGAAGCCATTCGCCGCATCAGGGGTAAGCTATCACACTGCCCTAACATTCATCCGTACGAAAATCCATGAGCATCGCTTCACGGTGATAGTGATTTCCGGGCAATTATTGCTCAAGGATCCCTTATTTGTCTAAAATACTTTCCCCGTACCTGCACTTACGATAATCTCTTGTACGCACAGCCGTTAATAGATGGCGGGTGATAGCTCTCACGAACAACTATTCTAAGGCGGAAGAGACTATGTTACGTCCCGACGCTGCCTCCATGCCTTCGCGGGAAGACGATCCTGGCTTCAATGTCGATAACGAGCGGGCCTTTCTCGGATGGACTGAAGGCGCAACATCTTCAAAGCTAAGAGAACTGTTCGATGATTTCTGTGATTCAAGCAGCTTAGGAATGCGGTTCGTGGGCCCCCTCTGCTCCCCTGACTTTGGGTCCACTGATTAATTACTTCCGTAACGGTTCGGCGCTCCCTCTTCTCGTTAATGATTGTGTGGGCATGAAACATATAGCAAACCCGAACCGGAGTTCTATCTTCTAGCTTGCAGACGCAATGGTGTGCAGCCGACCGAATGTGTTTTCCTCGATGACCTCGGAATGTTAGTGAGCACGCCAACGCTGGCATGGCAAAAACAGCAGTTATTTGAGCGTTTATCTGAGCGCCTAGCTGTCCGTCTGCTTTGTGTCTCCTGTACTGATCTATTGTTTTACTGCAGAAACCTCAAAGTGGCACGACAGCTCGGCATGAAAACCATTCGTGGGTATTACTTATACCGATATCGACCTGTTTGAAGCTCAATATAACCTTTCTGATTGTTCTTTAATGACGCTTTTGGGGCTCTCAATAAATTACGCACGCGTTTGTGCCCAGGCGTCCCTATCGGCGGTAGTCTCATGGCACTTAGGGAGCTGGAATTGGAGCTAGGGATTGATTTGACGGGTCCGAGGATCGTGAATAGACTCTGAAACCCTTGTACTCTCTCTCCCCGTCTTTCAACAACTTTGCACTTTTTTTACACCGTGAAGGCACTTCCCGAGATGACCGGACAAGATCAAATGCACCACCTTGCGAAGTCCCAGGCAAACTTCTTCCGGACAGAACAAAGCGATCCAGTCTAATATTGCATTTGTAGCGATGTCTACATGTCTACGCTTAGAATGGCTTATCCTCCGGAGGGGTCTTGTCTTCAAAGTAGCTGCCGAGCTGGTCGCCAGAAGGCCGATGTAAAGGCCAGTGAAGGGAAGCATGTGTGAAAATACGTTTGAGCGGCGATCACACAAACGAATTGAAGAATCCCTTACCACCGGAACCTTCACTAAGAAGGTCCTCTTCACCTTCGGGGTAACAGAAAGAAGCTACGTTGACGGTGCCCGAGAAACAGCGACGAAGACGAAGCAAATTGGAGGAAAAATGCAGCAACAGAGAACATATGCGAACACGTGCGTGATCAATCACGGGGAGATGTGCGGGGCAAACGGAGTCGGGAGAAGAGGGTGAACTCCATGTCAATACCAAAGAGCGCAATTGAGGACCAAACTGAGGGCTCACGTATAGGGCTGCCGTTCCCGCTCCAACGGCCCAAAAGCCCATGGTGGGTATCCAACGCTTGAGTGGCTAATTGGACATTGAAAACGAGTTGTTACCCGGTTGTTTGACGAAACCGGAGAGAGTTGAGTTGAATGAAGAGCACGAAAAGGCAATCGACGATGGTCGGAGGTTCAGTGCAGCGATGCGGTGCGAACCAAATCAATGCCAACGAAAGTTCAAGGGGGCAAGACGCCGAGCACAGCGGCCAGTCAGAAACGCACAGGGCGGCTGATAGGATGAAAAGACATACAGAAGCATTCAGCGCAGGACCTGGATGGTATACGACGCGGGACATGGTTGTGCGACGAGGCGCGGGTCAAGGTTGATTGAATGATAGCCTGCAAGTGCAACTTCGACGCGCGAGCTCGGAGGTCGCCGGTCCCTCTAATTTCTCACGCTAATTAGTCCGCGGAGACAAAACTTCGTGATGGCACATGCATCCCTTCGAGTCTCCAAAAAAGGAAATAGTCATGTACGTATGAGGCTTCATGCATTTTTTTGTAGTGTAGGAAACCCTGAATGGGTTACATTGTTTCAACTACAGAACTGGAAAGGAAAGAAAAGACACCACTCCCTTGCGCGCCTCGAGTACACGTGTGAGAGTCGGCGAATAATGAATAACACATCGTTTTGCGATCCCCGAGGACAGACTAAGCCCTCACAATAATAGCACAACAAAGACCCGGAGCATGAGACAGAGGGCTGCGGAAGATGGTTGCTTCAGTATGTGGGAGCAGACGATTTGAGACGCAGTGAAGGGCAGGGAGAAATTGCACAGTACGCCGATATTGCATATACATCCGAGTTTTCAGTTGCAAAGAGTAATGTCATGGATGAATGAGGAAAGGGTTCGCCATAGATGCTTTTCGTTGCTTGGTAGAATGATTCGGGTAGTTACCAGATTTCGGTTCAGACTAGTGCCAAGTCAGGAAACGGATGATGTTCATTGTCTTTGATAGCGCGCTCAAGAGCCAATGCTGCACAGCGTAGGTCGAAGCAGTCTTCCACTCGTGCCGCCAACCAGGCAAGAAAGTAGGTACAAGCAAGTATTGCACGTCCTTGCTGATCCACATAAAGAATTGGCGCGGTTTTTGGCTCTTGGACGTCTGTTTGTAGAAACGAAAGCATAGCTTGGGTCAAGACGCGTCTGTGTGTAAGGTTGAGTGAGGGAAATGTCTACGAGAGGTATACCTAGTTAAAAGAATCTAAGGAAGTGTTTGTAGACTTAGGATAGACACGATACGGAGGAAATGGTCGATGTCTCTTCTCGTTCTCTCTGGGAGCTCCTCAGGTCTGATGTTGGTGGCAGCTCTTTCTGAGAAGTTCTGAATATCTCGTGCTTTCGTCTCATCAACGCATTCAAGATCCGGTTCTTCAGGTGCAGCAATAAGCACAAAGCAGGTAAATCGAGAATGCAAAGATCAATGATGGTGAGGTACCTCGGATATGCCTTCTCCATGATCTTTGTGTCTATGGCGAAGTTACTGTAGTCCCGCGCAACCAATTCCCAACAGAAACTATGCCTATGTGGGCCATGAGAGCCATACGGACAAGTTATTTTGCTCCGATACACCCGGATGACTTTTTGAGGCGGTGTAAAGATAGGAGCGAAAATTGGAGGAGTTTACAACTAGTTCTGTCAGTGTCAAGAAATGAGAGCCGCGACGACGCGTTGCGCTTACTACGCGCCCGCGATTTCCCGCGCATTTCCTCCCTTTTTCGAATTTCTTTTCTGGTTCCGTGCAAACTTTCTTTGATACAGTAACGATAGTACCAGCGGCAGCATCTCGTCTCTCCTTGCTTGTTCGTTCGCCTTGGAAGAATTCGTCTATTTCAAATATTCGGAAATTAGTAATATTCTATTTAGGCTGTGTTTGACAGGGTATCGGCTGGCAAGAACTTCGTGGAGGCGCTCATAGAACCTCACTTTGGGCATCTGTGCTGCAATTAAGGTGCGCTTGTTGTTCTTGTTGATCTCCAGTCGTGATCTCATGTGAAACGGACAGCTCATAGTGCAGCGTCACGTCCCATCTACCACTTCTCGGATCTCTAGCGCGGGCTTGTCTGCAAGCCAGTTGCACTGTACGAACAAAGCTTTGTGGAGCACCGATATCACCTGTTTCCGCAAGGGTTGAAGACTGATGGCGAATCCTCAGCAACGACGCAAGGCAAGGTCGTCGTCGCACAAGCCGGTGAAGCAATCAAGACGGGTGAATAAACTTTTGAAGAAGCAACCACGTGTGTGTCTTTGAGCTAGCCGAATGTCTTCTTATCGAGCATTTCGGCAACGTTACATATGGATTCGCTTGACTGATACTGATACATCTTCCTTTGCCATAATAACAGCGATTAAAGGTCCTAAAGTTCTACAGGATGCTTGGGACAAGCACAAGACTGTTCGACAAAAGTATGTTTGATCTTCCATCGCTTCAATTTTAGACATCGGCTGTCATTTTACCAAATCTTAGCGCCGCGTCTACTAGCAATTTTTGTCTGTCTGATTCTGTCACTCTAGTTTTGGCTTTCACCTTTGTATTTTTATGCTGACGTACACTGTTTCATGTTTATCTGAAGTTATGCTGCTCTCGGGTTGGCGCACTCGCTAACTCCGACCGACTCAGGTGGACATGTCATCACGCATCCACACAGTGCACAGGTCTCTCAAAACGCCGAGGCTAGTTCGAAAGAGGGCAAGCCGCCTTCCGCTGAAGAGGCAAGGCGCTCGGAGGGCAATGTAGCCAGAGACCAGACGAGAGATGGGAAACTCCCGCGTGGGTTTGGCAGAATAATTCGTGACGAGAGAGGTTCTGTCATGGATGTGGTGCTTGGTGAAGAAGAAATGTCCGGCGGAGAAGAGGCGGCAGAGGGCAAGGGATTGGAGGATTTTGAAATTGAGAGCCCAAGCAGACAGCCTGAGAGACTGGGAGTCCCACCCGGCTCAGGGTGGCTTCTGGAGAACAATGACAAAGAAGATGAAGAAGACGAACGCGCGAAGGACGTGCTTCGAGGTGTGTATCTTTGCGCCTTGCCATAAACGATGATAGATTAGCTGCCGTTGGCGCCGGCGATGCCCGAATCCGTTATGCGCATTTACTGTTCAGATGGCTCACTGGCACTGACGATTCATGTTCCGTGTTATTTTAGCTCTTGAAGTCGCGTCAATGGGACGGCCAAAGAAGCAAAGGACGTCATCGAACGCAGAAATAAAGTATCTATCCCGACTGGTACAGACGTACGGCACGAACTACGAGGGGATGGCAAGGGACAGGAGGACGAATGTGAATCAGTATTCTGCGGGCCAGTTGAGGCGGGCAATTGAGAGGGCAAAACTGGAGCGGGACGCCGTGCACGCAAGAGAGAGTGAGGATGGAATATGTTGAATATGGTTAGGTCGCCAACGGCGGATCGATCTCGAGGCGGGGAAGGGAGTTGAGAAGATCGGAGGGAGATCTGCGGCAAGCACTGAAAACGAAGGAAAGATGGAAAAAAAGAGGGATAGGCAAGAGAGAGGGAAAAGGCTATGAAAATCCACACAGGATCGGGCGCCTGCGAGAACCGTTCGGTCACGTTCGATTACGTACGTGACGGACAAGGTTTGGATGTACTTTACTAGTATCTCTCGAGACTCTCGGAATGCAAGATAGCGTTTCTCAGGGTGAGAACCCAGCTCTTGGCTCCGCCGAGGGAGGCGACTCGATCGGGAACAGTATGATTTCTGTGTTTAGCGCAGGTGAATGCGCTGCCTCGTGCTGGGAAGCAGAAGCGAGTGGGAGGCACAATCACCATCAGGCGGGGGACCAGTTTTTGTGCGGATATGAATATTTATTAATTCTCGCACCGTTCTGGGACCGGCCGAATGGATAGGGAAGAAGTCATGGCACCGGTGTCTGTGCTGATCTGTGATCATCGTCGACGCACCAAATCCGCGCAAAGTGCACAAACACTTGACGTCCAGGCTTCCGCGTGGAAAATCCAGAGATCCCGCATCCATTCATCCTTCCAATACCTTTTTAATTTGCCCTATAAATACTACTCCTTGAAACATCCTTTGCCTCTGAACATACCTCCCTACGCCCGACCCGCTCTCCCGTCCTCCTTTCCGTCTCTCCTCCTCGACATCCTCGACTTTTTTTCACTCTGTCCACCTGACAGTCGAGGGACCCTTCTCCCGCATTCGCACACATACATACATACATACATACACCTTACTCTTCATGGCTTCCAAATCCGACTCTACAAGGCGTTAGTGTCCACTCCACTATTCCTTTGTACCACGCAACTCATTCGACTTCAGCATCGGCCCGTCGGGCATCTTCTCATCCAAAGTCTTCTAGACAGCAGTTTAGTGCATGCGGAGCCTGTCGGATGCGAAGGTGTGATAATCAAACCGTTCCATCAAGTCTATTGTCGTATTCATTCATTTATATCACTCCTTTCCGCGCCGTTAGAGTGCGCTGTGATCTTAAAGACCTTCAAGCCGCGAATCCCTCAGCGGGTTACTCGGTCTGTTCCAACTGTCAAGAGCGAGGTCTCCGATGCGTGTATGATCCTCATCTGATTTTATATACGTGGCATATCCTCACCGTTATTTTTAATCTAGAGACGAATTTGCGGAAGTAAAAGCTGTCAAACTCTTACGGCGTGGTCGCCGATTGCAGCAAGTCGAGTACGATTTTAATCCCGCGTCTATTTGATAGCATTCTGAATTTATCCTAGAGCTGTGTATGGCAAACCTGTCATTGATGATGAGCGACGGTTTATGTCATTGGCTACCGGCGTACCCCAATCAAGCTTAATTCCAAGGCTCCGTCCTGAATTTCTTTCGTCCTCGTTCTTTCAAGCGTTCCTCACCCAACGTACGTTTTTGTTTTAATATCTGCATTCAGCCTTGGCCGGCGCCCGCTGAAACGGTTCCTGGTCCTCATATGCAGGCCCGATCATCGACCCCCTCGAATTTTCCTGGCGGTTGTGCGAGGCACACAATGGCAATCCGAACGCCCTGGGTAACACAGGCCAATTACTTTGTATGGTCCTTGCAGCTTGGGCAGCAAGCTTTGGTGTCAATGAGGCGGGTGACTCCGAACCTCACACTGGTGCCCAAGCCGTGCGAGTAAGGAAAGAACGCACTAATCTAATGGTCCGAGAACTCTTGCAACTAATCGACGCACACGGCCTGCTGAGGAAGCCTACATGTGAGTAACTTCCTTGTCCTCGATAAATTTATCTGATTGTACCGATTTGCGCTTCCTTTCCCATCAATAGGGGATGGAGTGCGCGTCTTATTGCTCGTTATGCCCCTGACGGAGGGTGAGTACATTGTAGTTTGCGCGTCTTTCTTATGGCTTAGGTGCTTTATTCAGACGTGCAGCCGCCAATGGAAAGACTAGCCATGTACGAAGCGGCAATCAACCAGGTGTATACTTTGTGCAGTCTGGCATCCGTAACCTCCGTCAACAGCGGTCAAGGCGAGTACGTAGACGCCGTCGTACGGGCGCGTATTTTTTGGTATGCACATGTTCATGAAGGTGTCACCACTGGCCTCCGAGGAGGCCGCTTATTATTGTATGCCTTCATAATCTTTACATGGCTTCCATGTCTGAAATTCAAATCCCCTTGTTTAGAGCGGAAGACGACCTCAGCGCCTTCCAGGCAACGCTTCCGCCCGTCAATACACATGCACCCCAGGCCGCCCTGAGCTTCGCATTTGCGCTTCGCTATGCGAGAATTCCCCTGCACCTTTCAGGAATCTGTCGGAAAGTGCATGCTTCCCTGACTGGGCCGAAGGCGCGTCAGGCGAATGAAGTTGACGCAACAAGCCTATATGATGCATGGGAATCACTCAGCGGTGCTTGGGATGACCTTGAGGCATTGCGGCATCATGGAACCGGAGATTTCCTCCAACCACAAGAAGTGGACAGGTTCGTGAACGGATGGCAGGTACGTTGAAAGTTCTGTTCTACAACACCAACTAGGCCGACTGATGCGTTGCAACGACCTAGATCTTAATATTTGAGTGCTGTACGTTTAGTTCGCTTTACCAAAGTCTTGTTCTCTTAACTCATCAATATCGCAGTCAATGTCATTCGGGAGGCCCTGAAGCAACGTCTAGTAGATTGCTGCAAATCCGGTGAAACCGCCGTTTTCCCTGACGGAAGTGTCATTCGATCCCCCAGAATGACTCAGGTCACACAACTGCATTCACTAGCTGAGAACAAATGCCAACATTTCGCACACCTTGTAATCAACATTGCCCGCAGGCATATTGGTAGCTCGTTCTTTGAATATGATGCATCACTAGTACGCGACGGTTGCTTCCTTGCAGGTGTTCTGCTCGCGGGAGACTCCGGGACTGAAGAGGAACTAAATACGTGCCTTCAAGCTCTTCGGGATATGCGGTGGGCATTTTCGAAGAGTGACGAGCGCGAGCATACACTCAAGATGGTCTGGGAACAACGACTGACCGCGGATACTTTAAGAAGAGAAGACGGCGAGCTTCGTCGAAGTAATCCTTCTCAACACGACTCGTCCTCGGGGCCTTCTCCATTCACTAGCTCGAACTCGACTCCAGAAAGCCGCTTGCGCCATCCACCACCGCCTTTACTGATCGCACACGCGTCGGGCACGTTGCACGATTCTGCGCCAAACACTGCCGTTACTGACGATGGCTGGATGTCGAATCTCTCTTACGGCACGAGCTCGCACCGCTCATCATCTGGCTCGCCTCCATTCGTTGCTGCTGTTCAGAAGACGGAAACGATTGAACCGGCTTTGATGCCCATTTTCTATCCACAAGCAATGACAGATATGGACACGTTTGCATACTCGGTCGTTCCAAGTGCATCCGTGTCACCGCCTCGGTCACCACACGATTTCACACCGCCACGGTCGTCGACTGGTATGTCAACGTCGTCGGTCACCTACCCGGAGAACACATACTTTGATTCGACTACTGGGACGACCCAATTGTTCACCATCTCGTCGCCTGGATCGGCCCGCGGAGCCGTTGATGGGACTGTTAGTGGCTCTTTGCCATCCGACAAGGGTGGCTCATATCCTGTCAATTACAACGCTAGTCAGTTCTACGTTACCCCATGACATTGAGCCAATAGCTCGCAATGGACCCCACTTTCCCCGAACAGACATTTTGGACTTCTTTCCATGCTTTATCAGACAATTATGGCTTAGACATTCACACACATTTTTTTGCTTCTCGTGATCAACTGTTATCCCTTACACTTTAATAGTCTTGTATTCACAATTGCTCTGTCATTGCGACCCGACCCGTTTCTTGTACGAGCTTAATTATCACGTACGGGCGTGAGTATCATCATAATTATCCCCTTCCATTATCTTTTTTTTTTGCACCGCTTGGACGATTATCTATAATCTAAGCGATATTATTACTTGCATTTATCTGTGTAGCCCGATATTGTGACGTATTGTAACACGTTTTGCCCATCTCGCGATCTCAGCAATATTAAAAATTACCAATACCGACAAGACCCGGATGCTTACGGAACTGGCGATAAACGCTGTCAACGGCTTATGACGAGCCCGGCGACTTCTTAACACCTGTGATATAGAGGTCTCCAATATTATTTAGACGCTGGCCCTTCTCATTACTTCCTATTCTCGACATGGTCATAGGTATCCCTTGAAAGCAAGCTCCGAGTCTAGCAGTACAGCCTCGGGGCTTGTTGCAGATCCCAATCCAGAAGCTCGATCAAGCAGCAGGGAACGAATGGGATAACAATTGAGAAAGAGAAAGAAAAAAGTTAGGAGAGAGCTGAGATCGCGAGACTGATGATCATCGTGCTGTCTTACTTTGGATGGGATAATGAAGGTTGTGTCCGCCAATCGCGTGCAGCAATGCCAGTGATAGCCAATGGGGGCACAGAATGCGGCGGCCTTGTGTCGTCTAGCGGACTTCTCGCTGAGACCTCATTACACGACCCTTCGTGCATGATCAGCTCGGTATCTCCGACAGTCGGGAATCACTCGTCGACGAATCAAAGCTGTAATGCCCTCACTTTAATCTATCTTTTTACTGGCTCGTGTTTTCCAGCCCTTCGATCGTGCATTTTTATTGGACGCGCATGGAATGCTGCGATAGGCTGGAAGAGGGAGACTTTCCATAGACTGATTCTGTGTGATGGTTCGTGCATCGCAGATATGTGCACAAAGCATGAAATCGCCGTTTAGCATCTTGCCTTTAGACGTAGACTCGCCGATCACTCCAGCGTGATGGCGATCATTGACGTCAATCTCAATCGTGGCCATGCACTGCCATCTCTGGCGATGATCTAATTTTGTGCTTACATAATACAAACCCGGCTTTGTCACCCATGCGTGTCCGGAATCAGCTGCCTTGTGCAGAGGCGTGACACTCTGTCCCAGGTCTCAAGCGCCGACGCCATCGTCCGCACGACCATTCTTTCTATTCGTGTGTGCCTGTGCTGTTAATCCATGACCACGGCCTCCCCTCCAAAACCTTGGGAGCGCGGCACGCCAGCCGCTGCGTCTGTTGCTCCATCGGTCTCCACCGCCTCATCTACGACGGCGGCATCTTCAGCCCCTCAATTGCAGACTGCATCCGGCAATGATTCGACCGGTGCCTCCACTCCGGCTCGTCCTCCCACCTTGTCGAGCGCACCACAGTCATATTCTTCACCCTATGCTGCAACGTCATCAACTTATAACAGATTCGGGTCAGGCTACTCCCCGTATGGCGGCTACGGCGGAGGGATGTATGGAGGAGGGATGTACGGAGGCGGAATGTACGGCGGGATGGGCATGGGATACGGCATGAATGGCATGGGTTATGGCATGGGTGGCATGTATGGTGGAGGCTACGGGATGCCCGGCATGCCTATGGACCCCAATAATCCTTCACTCACGCAACAGCTCGAAGCGACTACGCAGCACACATTCGCTCTTCTTCATTCAATCGTGCAGACCTTTACAGGCCTTTCGCAGATGCTGGAGTCTACCTTCATGGCCACACACTCCTCCTTCTTCGCCATGGTCGGCGTCGTTGATCAGTTCTCACACCTTCGCGATGCACTCGGCAGCGTACTAGGGCTTTTCGGGCTTTTACGTTGGCTAAAAGATCTGCTGAGTGGGAAGAGAAGTTCCAATCCGATGCAAAACGAGTTCCGATCGTTCGTTGACGGCAAGCCCGTACACAGCGCCGCCGGCGCTCCCACTCCTAAAGCATCTAAGAAGCCGATTATCATCTTCCTCCTCGCTATTCTCGGCGTGCCGTATGCGATGCATCGACTTATCAAGGTACTTGCTCAGCGAGCGCCACCACAGGGGGTGTTACAGGGGGCTGGCGGAGCTTCGCTTGATCCCTCTCAACTTTCGTTCGCTCGTGCAAAATACGCATTTTCTGCTGCAAGTCCCGTTGAGCTGTCTTTAAAGGAAAACGATATTGTAGCGATCATGGGAAAACTGGATCCTGCGTCCGGGATGGAGGTGGATCCGCGAACGGAAGTGGCTACCGACTGGTGGAGAGGCCGAACCCGGGATGGTCGTGAGGGGTGGTTCCCCAGTAAATGGGTTGAAGTATTAGAGCGCAAAAAGCAGGATTTACAAGTTACCCCTGCAAAGACGATCGAATAGTGCTGTTGCATTTTTTAATCATGCATGTTCTGTCTATTTTTCTCTGAATATTTTTTTCCTTTGTAACTCTCATGGTTTTTGTTTGAGTGCAATGGATATTCGTTCATATGCAAGCACTATTTGGTCGGGTTGGAAGTTATTTGGAACGCGTGTGACATCGTACGAGTCGCGTCGTTTCCGCATCCGAACCCTGAGTCCCACGGCTCTTTTTAGGTTAGCTCCAACTGGCCACTCACAAATCGACTTGAATTTCACTAAGTCAAAATAAAGTCATTTCCCTAAGAAAATATATATTCCCCTCCCCCAAGCCTAACTAACACCCAACTCAACACCTAAACTTAACAACCTAAACTGAACCTAAACCTAATTGGGGGGCTCTGCCCCCCCAAACCCCCCTCCTAACTTCTTGGTCTGTGAACCAGCATACAAGTATTATGTAAGTGGCCAGTCAGGGTTGTCCCAAAAAGAGCCGTGAGACTCAGGGTTCGGATGCGGAAAGTCAAGGCTGCATCGTGCGGCGTTACCGGTCGCAATTCCGGTTATTCCGCACACAACGCTCCGTTCATCACTTCTTTATGGATTATTTCTCGAAATTCTTGCGACCAAATCCACAATCACCGCCGAAGCAAATATACAATCACGCTGCAGAGTATCAGAAAGCTTGGACGATTATCTATGTGTGTGGCTTTAATCTTCGAGATGGCTGTGTTGAACTAAGTGAATTATGGTTTCGTTGGTAGGACACGCTCACTCATCCCGACGAGCGACAGCTCGCTCGCGGGATCAGAGCAACAGCAGTCCCAGCAGCTTTGAAGACGATGGTGGACTCGTTGGTTTGGGAATCTACACGAATGGAAGAAGGGTTCGCGCTGCGTCTCATGTTATTGCCATTGAGCGAGCTTAATTTATCTCGTCATTAATCTTCCTCAGAATGACGGGCGCATGCATGGAATATTTACTGAAGAATGGTACGCATGGTTGATTATTTCACACCCCATTATCGCTGAGGCTATGCGCCTTCAGATGTTCTGGGAACACTTGTGCGATTGAGCGAGCCCGACAGGCCGTCAGGAATCCAGGTCGAAGTACTTCGCACTGTACAAAACATGGTTGTTCTCCTAGACGAACAGTTCCTGGTGCATTCAGTCGTGCATCGAGCTGTGCTGCGACTCCTCAAAACGTGCGTTGGTGACGATATACAAGAGCAACTCGATGGCAGGAACCGGGTAATGGGTGCCGCTGGAAATGCTGTGAGAGCCTCTCCAACGGAATACGAGGAGGACCGTGCGTTAAGTTTTTGGCATTTGAAATTAGCACATTCATGAGATTAACTTTGTTTCTTCTTAATTTCAGTGGTAGATTTGCTGTGTCTGCTTTGCAGCCGTATCCGAACGTTCCGGGAATTGCTCATGATTTTCTTTTACGACAAACATTGGTACCACGCCGAGACACTCGCTTCTGTCCCGGAAGAGGATGACGACGACGAGACTGCCGACGGCGCGGATACATCTACTGATAACGACGGAAATTCAACTGGCAATGTAGGCTCTGATGCTTCTATCTCAACACCGCGTGCAGCCTCTCCGACCCCATCGCAATCCACAGTAACCTCCGCTCCTGTTTCATCGCAAACAAAGAAACCAGAATACGAATTCATATTGCTGAATTATTTGCTACGCTTCGTCCATAGAGAAGGGAAGATCGGCGAGTTCGCGCGTGCTGGCCTTCTTTTCTTGATGGACGTAGCAATGTCTCCCGGTGTTCCCGTGCATCGAATTGGCGGTGACATTGTCAAACCGTCTCCATCCTCTTTGTCTATCCAGCAGCAGCAGACGTCGGCATCAGACCCTGTGGCTGATGCGGCTCTGGCGCTTGCTGAATATATACTAGATGGAGATTTTTGCGAAGTTCTAGGGGCTGGATTAGGCGCCGTCTACTCTTTACTGCCTTCGAAGCTCGAAATCCATATGGATCCGCAACACAGACCCCCACACTCACAGCAAAGTACAATGATCATTGGCGGAACAGGGCGCCTGTCAGAAGAAGATTGGGAAAAATTCGAAGTCGCACAGGAAAAGGCGCGGGCAAATGGAATGGAATATTCATCAAATCCCGAGTTCAAGGCTCGATTGGAACACTTTGTGAAATTGTTGGAGTTTCTGCAGGACGTGGTGAGGCGAAATGTCGTTAGCAGCAATGATGACGGGAATGTCGAACCCGCTTCGTTTGTTGGCTCGGCGATCGTACAGTCCATCCTAGACTCTGTCCGCCGGATCTTCTTGGAAAACGTCTTGTATCCAACGATACTCGAGTGTTCCGACGCCGACGGGAGTGCGGTCGCCGTCATGTCGTACATAGACGTCATGTTTCGCACTATTCAGGATCAGCAATTCGCGGAGACCTTGATTGACTTTCTCGTAACCGAGGATGATAACGACTCTTTGCGCCACAGGCCCCGTACACGACCGACGCTTCTTCTAGATAGTGCAAAATCCGCTCCTCCCGTAAGCACGAGGGACAAGAAAGCCAAGCGCCGTAAGAGCAGCGCAATGATGCTCCTTGAGATGGAAGCTCCAGATGCGCGAAAGCAGTCAGAATACTTTACGTCAATTGGGCGCTTCACGTTAAAAGATCTTCTTCTCACTGGCATGCGATCCACATCGCACGCGACGGCGACCACAGCCTTGCAGTTGATGCAGACTTTATTGGTCTATCACTGCCACTTGTCAGTCGACAGGTTATTCATTTTTTCTTATGATCCTATCGAGTCATCATCGCCCAGTCATCCAGAACAGAAGGTACTTTCTGAAGATGAAGAAGAAGTATTTTCGTATCCTGGTGCCGATGCTGAGCAGACACCAAGACCAGACGCATCCTTCTCTGAACCAGAGCTGGAATCACGTGTTCCTGAGACTTCGTATTCGATGCACGAGCAAGAGCTTGGACTTTATCTGGGACTCGTCGCTCGGATAGATCCAGCACACGGAAGGGGCGCTTTTAGCACTGGCTATAATCACTATTTACGTGATGCCATTGTCTCAATATCTGATCATTCATGTTCATCCTGTACCTTGGATAGCACCGACAAGATTAGCCCCAGGCACCTTCTTGATGTAAATGACCCGGTGCTATCACTTGTCCTACAATCATTCCGACACTTTTATTCAAATACCCCTGAACAGAATGTGGCTCTAACTGGAATGCTGGCGGCTATCTCATCTTGCCCAGAGCGATCTTTGAAGGGATGGCTCCTTTTTGGCACGGACGGTAGCTCTCAGCCTCTGAAGAAAGAAACAAGCCTTCCGGAGTTGTCCGATGACGGAGATGATCGGTCAGTAGACTTCGGTGTGAACGAGCGGCTGGAGAGAAATGAGCTGCCGATGCCGATTCACGGCGCAGGACCACTTTCTCAGCCTGTTGTTCTTTCAATCCTACAAGGTCTAGTGTCGAACCTCGACCGGTTCCGCGAGCTCCTGCCGCACTTCGATTCTTTCCTCGCAGAACGCAGGCAAGGGCTTGTCTTCTCAGAAAATTTAACGGATGCTTTAAGTCTTTCTTTCGACTTGTCGAGCAATATGGTAGGAATGGCAAGCAGTCCAAGTTCAACCCACATGAATGCCGAGTCAACGCCCCCCCAGAAAACGAAGCCGAAGCCGCGTACCGGCTGGGCATCTTTCCTTACACCGAAGAAGAGCAAGTCTCGGGCAATGTCCCCTTCACGATCAGATTCTGCTAGTGCGTCTCCATTGTCGATGGGAAAGACGATAGAAGCAAGTCCTTTCGGATCGCACTACCAGAAGACAAGTGCCATCAGTGTAGAGCCCCTACCTGCTCCGTTACCATCTTCAGGTCCCTGGGCACCATCAGAGAGGAGATCCTTCAACATGGATGAAGAAGATGTGTTTGGTTCTTCGGGTCAATGGGGTGAGGAAAAGCGCTCTGAGCCGAGCGGGTTAACCCGTGCACCAGAACAGGAGGAAGGAAGTAAGAGAGTGACCCTGTCGCAATTATTGGATAACGTGGTAATTTTGGAAGAAAGTATTAAGGAGCTGACCGCAATTATTCATGCTCGACGTAGCCTTGGAATAGACTATCTTCGATATTTGTAATTGTATTGTCCAGATACCCTTTGTAATAATACAAATTTGGACTTTAGAGCAGTGTGACTAAACGAGTAGTCGCGTCGTTTCCGCATCCGAACCCTGAGTCCCACGGCTCTTTTTAGGTTAGCTCCAACTGGCCACTCACAAATCGACTTGAATTTCACTAAGTCAAAATAAAGTCATTTCCCTAAGAAAATATATATTCCCCTCCCCCAAGCCTAACTAACACCCAACTCAACACCTAAACTTAACAACATAAACTGAACCTAAACCTAATTGGGGGGGCAGAGCCCCCCCAAACCCCCCTCCTAACTTCTTGGTCTGTGAACCAGCATACAAGTATTATGTAAGTGGCCAGTCAGGGTCGTCCCAAAAAGAGCCGTGAGACTCAGGGTTCGGATGCGGAAAGTCAAGGCTGTAAACGAGTACGTGACTTGACGCATCGCGTCGCGACGTGCACCACTTTTGCTTCCACAGGATCAACAGGAATAACGTCTGCTATCTTGCTCAAACACTTCATCACGGAATCCAAGTGCCATACATGTCAGCTCCTATCATTCTTTGGAACCCAACACCTATCAGGGAGTCGGATGATGCGGGAAATAACATCATCAAAACCACTTTAGCACCTCCTACCAAGTCAATCCCACAATACACCGCGTATGACCCGGAAAAACCACGGCGATTCAGACGCGTACCGAGGCTCGCCTCGTTTTGTATACGAGCACTCAGCAGGTATCCGGAACAACTGCACCAGCTGGGCTCCACGCGACTTTACTTCGACCGTAAGAAAGGAGGGACAAATTCCGTCTTACGTGCCGTACTTCCGAAATGGCGTTCACCTAATTTTAGCCTCCTGGATATCGATCCACGATTATGGGCGACGATAATACAGATATACAAGGATCCTCCGGATGAGCTTGATTTTTATCCATGTCAACTCTCTGACCCTCATGTGCCGCTCTTGAACCAAATACCAATGTCGCCGGACTTCACACTCCTTACTCTTCTTTGCCTGGCAAACAGCAGACAGCTCACCGACGATAACATTCTCTCGCTTAAAGTCCTTCATAACCTTGCGGCTCTTGACGTCTCCAACTGTATGTCGATTACAGCACATGGTATTCGGTTGCTTTCAAGGACACTTACGTTCAACGAATTCGGCGAGAAACGCGGCCCTTGGGCTCTACGCGTTTTGCGAATGCGTGCATGCTGGACTGTGGACAGTAGTATATTTGACTGCCTTCAGAAGTTCCCGTTGCTGACTGCTGTTGGTCAGTATATTCATCGTTTATTATATATTCTCGTACTTAAACGAGAAAATTCCAGACTTGAGTGACACGCGCTGCAGGGCAGAAAATGTCAAGGAACCGTTCAAGCTCGTCAACAGTGATTATGACAGTGTCTTCTGCTACCATTTGGCAGACGCGATATGTGATCTTTTGGAAAATCACGAAAATATGTTCCCGAACGAAACGCCGTACATACTGTCACTACAAGACGAACCACTATCATCAGTGGTGAAGCGAAGCGATCAGTCGTCTTCCCGCCCTGGCATGACTCTAGTAACAAGTCAACACGAGTCTTATGTGGTCCTGCCTCCTTTGCGAGACGGAAGTTCCATAGGGCGCTCAACAAATGAGTCACTTTATTTTGGTAATGTCCGTACAGACGAGTTTCGGGAGAAGGAAGCCCGGAAAAAGGCCTTTGAGGATAGCTGGAAGAGAAGAACGGATTCTGAGGATTTTGACTGGGAGGCTGAGGATTCTGGCTGGGAGGGCTGCCTTATCTGCAACGGGGAAGAAGAGTGCTACTGCAACGATTTAGGTTATTGTGACGAAAGCAGTGGTTCGGAAGATGAGGGTTTCGCTTCCCCGTCTCGAGAATCGGAAGACGAAGACGAAAATCTTCGTAGGGTAAGCAGCTACCTAATGATTCGTTTGAAGGAGAGTTGAGCTTAGACTGCTTCTTAGGCATTGCAGGCATCGTTGGCGCAATATGAAGAGGGGGTAGAAACGAGTGTTCCACTAACAGAAGCTCTACTTGTAAGTAACAAAATTAAGTGAATTAACGTTCGAGAATGGGCACTAACTCAGGCATATAGGGATCTCAAGCTCGAGGAGTAGAACGAAGACGTGGGCCAACAGCTGCTGTATCCGCCAACACATTTTATCAACCCCGTCCGCCCATGCTGCAAACGAGCTTACCGTGGAGCTCCAGAATATCGAACCCTTTAACGCTGTTTAGAGTACCTCCTGCATGGTCTCGGCTAGATGCGATAACCCCACAGTCACAAGCCGCAGTAAGCAGAACTGTATCGGATAATAGCAAAGCTCGACCAAATGAGGCAAATGCATCAGTTAAAAGAAAGCGGGAGTTATCCATGCATGCGTTACGGTCCCAGTTGGTGAAGCGCCACAGACCGCTGTCAACACCAAGAAACCAGACCATTACTCTGAGGCCATCTCCTCCACCATCGCCGACTTCTACCCTTTGCAACATAAATGATAGCCCGGAGAGACAAAGGCCGACGTTACGACCCATTTCTAATCTTCAACCACCACCACGATCGGCATTCGATCATGCGCCCCGTCTGAAGTTGGATCCTACCCTTAAGGCTACGAGGAATCCTTCCTCTAAGCCTGCAGCACGCTTCTCTGCCGTGGCAGCCCGAGGCACTTCAAAGCCCCGTAACATGAATTTACTCGAAGGTTTTGAGAATCAGACACGAAAACACCCAAGGTCAGCGGCGATAGGTGCTGCGACATCAGAGGACTCTGGGGAAACGTCCAAGTTTCAGAAGAAGCCTTTCTCTAAAAGCGACGGTAAAACGAGACCGTCTAGCAAAGGGGAGGAAGCAAAAGGCACTCCTGTAGCAAGACAGAAAGGATTTGATTGGAATACATGGACAAAGGGCCAATAGATCATGTGTATTTACCCGCTTGTTTAGTTGTTAGTATTGTTACAGTTTACTTATTCAATGACTCTGACATCATCCGGGATCGACGTCGATCGTTGATCTCGCCCGCTCCCGAGCTATTCTAATGTCAGCCTCCTACTTTGCAACCGCCTCGTTCTCCTTGCCCACCAACGCTCATCATGACCACGACCGACCAACCGCCTATTGTCAACGTGCACACACCATCCAGCTCATTTGCCGTGATCCATTCTTGTGCGTGACAGTTTAGTTATTTCAGGATCAACAGAATGGCTCATACCGTTGCACTCAAAAGTTGCAGAAGATAATCTCACAACGCTCTTCGGCAAGCTAGATCGCAAAGTTCGGAGCACACCCGAGGTCGCGGATGCATCTCATGTAGGATCAGGGTGGGTCAAATACGATTGGAATGGCAATGTTTGGAATCTCGACGACGGTGAGCCGATTTCACATCTTGTCATAAGCGTTTCATGTCTCAGACTCTGTGCAGAATCAGATTATACGATTTTGGCCTGGAGGCAGAAGTCTCTGTCGCCTGAATCCTCTACACCAGCCTCTACCACCCCCACGCTATACCTGCACAATCCTTCTAACCCGTTGCCCACACCTCCAGCATATTGCAATCCTTCGTTTTATGCATTCAAGCCACAGCCTTCATTGTCTCCCCCGCGTGCTTCAAATTCTCGTACGAGGTCCGTTAGAAGTGGGAAGTCCGGGAAAAGCATAGGTTCGCACAGCGTGATGACAGAACACGATGGTGTTCCACAGCATAAGAAAGATTTCTTAAAGTTCCATAACGAAAATGGTGTGCGTACTGTAATGGGATGTGTTGGGCCGGTTAAGAATGGTAGGCCTCATCCCTTTATGTATCCTATTCCCTGACAAAATGTTTACGGTTTAAATAGTCCGTATGTTGCTGAAAAATGGGTACTCGCACGTGTACATCTCGCGTGCTTTTGCGAAAAGACACGGCTTTATCCCTAAGGATGCCACTCCAGGGTTGTATGGCTATGGAGGACTTGTCAAGTAAGTCTATCCGTCCTGATATATTTATGAACTTTTCCCTTATAAGCCCTTACGTTCAGTATCGGGCAGTGGCCTATTACAGTGGGCAAGGTGCGTTCGCCGAGTTGCCTCGCAGTTGCTTGCTTCTTTCCTAAACGACATTGTAGACGAAAACAATGCATTCTGTGTACCTCGCTGAGGAATCGCACTTTGATTGCATCCTTGGCCGCTCATTCATGGAAGTGCGAAGTGTCAAGTTAGACCCGACGGACCCGACAAACGTGTTGTGTTTGGATAATAACGAGCAGCTGGATTGTGAGCTGGTGATTATCCGGGATGGAAACGGCGAGATTGTCACTGTTACTTGATTAATCCCCAGGGTCCCTCTTTCTTTCATGGGCATACCATTTGTGCGGACTTATTGTTGACCGAGTGAAATTATCAATGCTAACATTTGGTTTCAGATTTGTTATTTTGACTCTGTCTCCTATCAATCCGTTTCCATGTCAATATACCTGTATGCTTCATACTTTTCTTAGGAGAAATCATTTCTATGGCATTTAGCACAGAATGGGGCAGGCGGTGTATAATTGTGTACATATTCAAGCCATGATTTTATGGCTACTGCAATACATTCATGCCATAATATTATTGATACTTATAATATGTACAACGATTGCCGGGGATGCTTCACTTTTACTTGTTCAGATCATGGTTGGAGAGTTTAAATCCTGGCTTGGTAATTATTCACAGCATCGATGTAATTGTACATGATGCCATTTTACTTGTCAACTTATTAAACCAGAGGCAGTACATAATGCAATTCCTCTGGTATCTCCAATGATATCATGAATAAAAACAAAGTTCTGGGAAGATTACTGAGTCAAAAAGAGTTGACTCTGGACGATATTGAAGCAGATGTCACTGGAGGTCAGGACAGGGACGTAACGAAAGTTACAAAACTGAGTGAGTCATGAGATGCTAGCACAATGTGAAGGTAGACTAATTATTTTAGTCTACATAGCATATATATTCTTGAGAGAATACTTTGATACCTCTGGGTAATAGTATAGACATGTAGTAATTGTTGTACGCTTAGTTCCGAGGAGAGCCCGAGAAAGCCGAAGTGTGCCGAGATAGCTGCTCCTGCCTTTTCCGTCACCACGCAGTGACTCCTGCTGTCGTCCAAGACGCTCTTGCGCAAACCATCCTCGTCGTTGGCATCGCATTGCCAAATGTCTCGTCTCAGCCGTCTGCTGCCCTCACTAGCGGCGGCGAGGCGCTCTTACTCGATATTCTCCTCTAAATCAGGCGGCGGTCGATATTTCAATTCTGCGAAATCTTCAAAGGTTATCGCGCCATCGACGTCCAAGTCGTCTCCCGCTCCCGCCGCCAATGTCAACAATGCAGGCCCTTCAGCCGCACCTGATTCCCCACAGCCGAATCCTACAGACGAGCTAACTTCGTCGTCATCGCAGCAGACAGCGGTGGACACGCGTCATTCATATACGGTACACGAAGCACTTCCATCCGCTCCGGCTTTGTCGTCTCCTTCCATAGACTTCTCGCCTTTACCACCGCATCCAACAATGAAGCCAAATGAACTCGTTCTGCACCGATTTTTCGCTTTGCATAGACCATGTCTACTGCTTAATCAACCCGCGACAACATTATTTGAATCTGCTCCACCGACGACGTCTTCATCGACTTCAGACTTTGCCGCACCCCCGGCTTCACTAGGGACTATTGATGACCCTCCAATGGCGTCCCCCGAGGCTGACGCAGATGCTGCAAGGCAGCTGAGCCGGGCTATCGTGATGAACCGGGTTGGAAATCTGACTGACTGGGGGAGTGCACTGGCTCGATTGGGCTGGCATGAAGTGAAGGAACCTGTACCGCCTGTACCTGCTGGAATCAGCATGGACAGCGTAAAGAGAAAGCGTAGAAAGAAGATGAAGCAGCACAAGTATGTTCTTTCATAAATTAAGGCTGGACCTTGTATATTGACGCTTTCATTTGCCAGGCTTAAGAAGAGGCGAAGAGTGAGTTACAGAGTCAATGCTAACTAATTTTTTGTTGATAAGCTAATTTCATGTACAGCTCCAACGTGCAAAGCGACTTAGGCTGGGCAAATGAGGGCAAGGAGTGATGGGGACGAGTGACGGGTTTGTGAAGGCTACAGCGATTGACTATCACGACCTTTTTTATTCAACACGCCTGCTTATCATTGCATTGTGTTTCTATTTACATATAACTGCTTTAAATCTAGTCAATTCTTTTCTGTTGATTTTGTGCGGACCGCGGCCGTCAGAGAAGAGAAATGAGCAGAAACCGCGGTGCTTACGCGATGCGTGATTTCCGTTTAGAGATTCGCGTGTCGTCTCCCCCAAGATTTTGTGTCCTCTCCTCCGTCCACCATGGCTTCGCTGGCAAGGCTCAGAGCCCCTCTTCGTCGTCGTATTGTGTGTTTTAAGTGTCTACCAAACAATTACTGTTGTATGTTAACATTATTTTCTTCAGCCCCAACTCGCGCGGGCGCTTCAAACGTCGGCGGACACGACGCAACTTCGGGACAAACCTTCCGACGCCCAGCCATTTACCGTCAGGCTCCATGAAGACTCATTCCAGGGCTACAAAACGGACGTACCAAGCCTTGAGGTCGAGGTTTCAAAAGACATGCTGATTGGCATGTACAAGAAGATGACGCTCATGCGACGGATGGAAATGGCTGCAGATGCGTTGTACAAGGCTAAGCTCATTCGTGGATTCTGCCACTTGGCTATTGGTCAGGTTGGTTTCCTATTCCCCAACTGATTGCTTAAGATTATTTTTCTGAATGTGGTATTATTTTTTTCTAAAAAAATAGGAAGCTGTCTCTGTAGGCATGCATTCCGGAATGACCTGGGATGACCTGCTCATTACATCATACCGTTGCCACCCTTTTGCGGTTTTGCGCGGAGGTACGGTCAAGGGTGTTATCTCTGAACTCCTCGGTCGCCAAGATGGTATGTCGAACGGTAAGGGTGGGTCGATGCACATCTTCACGCCGCGGTTCTTCGGTGGCAACGGTATCGTCGGCGCGCAAGTACCCCTCGGTGCTGGTATTGCTCTTGCTCAGCAATACTTAGACAAGAAGGTTGCGACCTTCACGATGTACGGTGATGGTGCTGCTAACCAGGGTCAAGTCTTTGAATCTTTCAATATGGTATGTGTCACCAAATAGCACGGTTTCTTGGTATTAAATCGACATATTAAATATTTTTCAAGGCAAAACTCTGGAACCTCCCTTGTGTTTTCGTCTGCGAAAACAACAAATACGGAATGGGCACATCGGCTGAACGAGCAGCGATGAACACCGCATACTACACGCGTGGTGACCAGATTCCGGGTATTCAAGCGAACGGAATGGATATTATCTCTGTTTACCAGACGACGAAATTTGCTCGTGACTGGGTCAATGCTGGGAAGGGTCCACTCCTTATCGAATACGTTACCTACCGCTATGGTGGACACTCGTAAGTGGATGTTTGTGTTTTCATCTATTAAACCAAGGTGCTTATTGCTTCTTGATCGTTTGTAGGATGTCCGACCCCGGTACAACATACCGTACCCGTGACGAGGTCCAGCGCATGCGTAGCACCCAGGACCCAATTCGTGGTCTTCAACGCTACATTGACGAATGGGGTCTTGCGTCCGAAGAGGAGCTCAAGGTCAGTACTCAGTTTTTACCCCATTCCCCAAACATCTAACATAACCAATTTCGCCCAAAGCATATCGACAAAGACTCAAAAGCAGAAGTCGACGCGGCAGTCGAAGAAGCCAAGAAGTCGCCAGAGCCTGACATGAACGATTTCTGGACTGACATTTATTATAAGGGCACGGAGCCGCCGTTCATGCGTGGACGTGAACGCGAGGAAGTTCATTATTACTAGTTCTGCTCTAGTTCTGCCTAGTTCTGCCTAGTTTTCTAGTTCTAGATAATAGTTTGGGACCAATAGACTTACATATTTTTAATTTGACATTCCTCATGCGTTCGTTTTGTTGTGTAGTGTGTTACCTGAACCTTGGCACTTCGAATTGCTGGTGTTATAAAAAAGAGCACAAACGAGCTTGCTATCTTTTCACGTTCAGAGTTTTAATACGTGCGAGTGAGCCGTAATTAACAAGCTCAACTCAAAGAATACAAGCAGACGAGACGAAGCAAGAGCACGATTATCTATTTAACTACCTACTCCCTTCCATCATCTTTATCATTATCCTCCTCCTCAACACCTAAAACCTGTCTCAGCGCAACCAAACTCCCAAAAGGCCTCTGCGCTCCGAGGATCGTATTCGCAGCCTCGTACCTATTCTCCGGCCTCCTAACCTCACTACACAATAACTCATACGCACTAACGAGTTTACGTAAAGCAGAGTGGTGGATGTGAGATGCGAGGTGTTGGTTGAGGAGGTGAGAGAGGCGAGGGGGGTGGAGGACTTGGTCGGGTGAGGAGAGCCAGGTTGAGAATGCGCGGAGGGAGAGGGTGAGGTTTTGGGGTGAGGTTGGGGGAGCGTGGGAGAGGGGTTCGAAGGTGGGTTCTTCTTCTGAGGAGGAGTCTTTTGTATTTCGGGACGTGAGGAGGGAGATGGAGGGGTAGAGGGAGGTGTCGTGTAGGATTGTGGTGTACTGTAGGCACCCATTTGATAAGATTAGTTTATGTTATCGTTATTGTAATGGAAGAGAACATACGTGGTCTTCGATAAGGAGTTCTGCCCGTGCGTCGATATCCTTCTGCAGTTCCTCGACTTTGTAGTCTGTGAACGTAAACGGTCGGATAACACCCTGTAGACCAAGCAAACACCAATAATCAGTCCCCTGTTCTGAGGAGCCGAAGAAAATGGAACGTACAATCAAATGCGCCAAACAATTCAACACGAAAACATCTCCATCCCACTCTACCCTTCCCTTCCCTTCTTTCTGCTGCTGCTGCCTCTGTTGCTGCTGCGTAACCCTAGCATCCGAAACACTCAAACACATATTCACAGCAGCATCCACCATCACGTCTAATATCCCTTTAAAACCCTCCCGGAGCTCGTCCGGAGACTCATCACCCATGAGAGAGGACTTATATACGTTCATTAGTTCGCGGAGGACTTGAGTGTGGTCGAGGAGGGAGATTGGGGGTTGGGTGTCTTGGTCGTCTGGCTGTGTTAGTTGAGAATTGGGATAGTTCATTTTTAGTGAACGCAAAAGTAGAATGGGTGAGGAAAGATGCGTACGAGGAGTGTACGTGCGAGACTACGTGCTTGTGCTTCGACTGTGTCCATGAAGACTTTATAGGCTTCATCTGTTATCCTAAAACAAGAATTCAGTGAGTCAAGGTATTAAAAAAACTAGGAATAGAATGGGGAATGTATGATAAGTACGTACTCGTTAAGTGTATCTGACAAGCCTGCTTTCTCTCCGATGGTCCGTCGCATAGTGAGGTTATAGAAAATAAGCAAGTTGGCGACTCTGTACGACGCGATGCAGCTCTCTTGGGATCGTACTGTTTGTCTCACGCGTGCCTAACAAAGTGAATGAAAAGAGGGGGGGAGGGGTAAGCACAGAATCAACATCCAAACATGTAAAATCAATTCAAACTGACCTTTAATGGAAACCTAAGCTTCTCAAAAGCCCTATCCATCAACTCCGCTATCCACCCCTCCTCCTCACTATCTTCAAACTTCCTAACACTCCCAACCATCCTTCGATCTCCCTTCACGCCGAACAGCCCCTCCAGGAACTCACGTTCTCCAGCGATACTTTGGTGAACCCATGCGAGCATGTCACCGACGTAGCGAAGCGGGTCGTGTGCGTGGATCTCGATAGGTCGGGGGAGGCCGCCTCCTTTACCGCCTCCTGGACCGCCTCGCGTGAGTGCATCGGTGAAGCTGTTGAGGAGGGTTGATTGACGGGTTTGGGAGAGGATTGAGAGGACTTCGCTTTTAATTTTAATTTCCCGAAAGTTGTTATTAGTCGGGCTTAGAAGTGGAGATGATTGATTGAGATAGACGGTACGAACCTCAAGAGCTCGGGTTTCTTTCTGAGCCATCTAATCGCCTCTACCATTAACGGAGTTACTTCGAGAAGGGCGTCTCTAACAAATTGACGGAACTCGAGGGAACACCAGCGTGCGAGCTTGTCGTAGCCTTCTTCTAGTTGTCGGGAAGTTGCAGCGATTATCTCGACGCTTCAAATCCCATACCCAATTAGCCTTAGTCAATAGTTGATAAACGTAAAGGGAAGGATACATACCCTGCTTTGGTAGCACCATCTTCCCCGCTCATAAGAACGCGGGAATCATCGATGATCCGTTCTGCTTTACGCATCGTGCGAAAGAACTTGCTGTCGATATGGATGTCTCTGGAACGGAGCGAATCGGCTTCTTCTTCTGTGAGAGTGAAGTGGGCGAGAAAGCTGTCGACGGCCATCTTCTGTTCATTTATAGCATTCCTGTTACACTGTTAGGCTGGTCTGTACACAGAAGAAGGGAAGTGGGGGGGGGGGGGGCATACCGAGCAGAACGCAAGCCACCAGCTCGTTCGAGTAAAGACCTGCATGATTCATTTGTGGAGTGTAACTGCTGTTGCGCTTCGCCACAACGTACTCGCATCGCGTCGATATGTTCTTGGAGAACATCCAGGTGCTATATTTGTATATTAATTTCAGTGACAAAAGAGTGAATACAGAGCGTACTTTGTCCACTTCTTGAAATGCACGAACAAACTGACGACTTCCTTGAGCAAGCTTGAGTTCTGCATCGCGACGTAGACTCTTGCGTGCACGGACAGCTGTCCCGGAGCTAGATGGGACATGTCGCGTAGCAAGTTTTGCCTCAGCGTCATATGAAGCTTGTTCCTTGTCTTCAGCGTCTACATCCTTGCCTTTAGTAGAGTCGGGAGGCTTGTATAGATCGGAGAGAGTTTCAAGTGCATCCCTTATTGACGGATCGTCATAGTTTGTTCTAAGTACATTGTAGAGGCGGAGTGAGATGGGATTGCGAGCGGTTGTAGATTTTGGCTTTTCATCAATAGACTGCATGGTTGTGCTAACTGAGAAGACGCGGGAGGATTCGCGTCGCTCAAAGTCACGAGGAAGAGACGGATCGGCGCATTTTCCCGATGGTCTCCTCGCCTCGATAAACCCGTGCAATTGATGCATTCCAGATGCATTCCAGACCCAGTCCAGTAGTACTTAGGCCCGTAGCTCCACCGATTACAATGTCTGTCTTACTCTCTCCATCTTCCCGCTTTACCTCCATGTCTATCTCTTACGCCGAGGCAGCTGCACTCCGCAAAGCAGCTCAACACTCTAGAAAACCGCGTGCTGTGTCGAGACTCCGCTCAACTGCTCTTGATCCTCCTCCTCATTCGCATCCGCGCGTCGCGTCACAGCCGGAACCGCTTTCTTTTCAGAATGTTGCTAGACCGGGCGCGTATTATGAACGTCCGCGAATAAAGCGTGATTTGCCTATTGTGTCGGTCAGTATCCAGTTCTGCTTCATGTCATTTAACTAAATATGTGTGGGCATGTGCTAGTCACCATGGTTGGGTCTCGCAGCATTCGGAATAGTCGGCGTTGCGGGGTGGGGCGCGTTCCTCGCGTACTCAACGAATCAGGAACGACTGTCCAGCTCAGTAGTCCGCCAAATTCTACTGAACCTGCGTGAAAGCCCTCTTGTTCGAGAAGCGCTTGGGGAGGGTGTGCGTCCTGAACCGACGTGGTATCTCAACGGTGACCCTTGGATCAACGGCTCCGTGAGCTCCCTCATGCTTATTATCCTTGATCTTGATTGGATTAACCTACTTGTTATAAGATAAACATGTTACAAGGGAACGTCGACATTAGCATGCGCGTTAAAGGCTCAAAAGGAGCTGGCACGCTTTACTTTACGAGTATTCGTCGAGAAAAAGGACAGTCGTTTGAGATTCGTACGTCTTTCACCTCTGTTTCGCGTTAGTACCATCCATCTAACTTCTCCGATCCAAGTCCGATTCAAAATCATTTGCGACAACAAGACTGTGATTAACTTACCGACGGGCCCGTCCAAACAGTGATACACCACCTTGGCGTGATGGACATGTTGGATTGTGTATTTATACGCACGTTGCAATATAGCTTTCTATTCGTGAATATCATACACATATTTTCTACGTCATCGGTTCGACAGGCGGCAAGTCACCAATGAACACGGAAGCTAACATTAATGATTTTACTGTATTTTATGGTCCGCGTTATGTCTCGTATATAGCTTGTCGATACAATAAATGTCTTGGATTGAACTTGATTCGATTTATTAAAGTCATTTTTGAGGATGATATGTCGCAAAGCTAGAAATTAATTTTGTAGTAGGCGAACGGCGCCGATCACGAGCGCTGGTCTTGAGCGTAATCTTGCTTGGCTCACTACTTGCGCCAGCTGGGAATCCCTGGTTCTCTCCCTCCGTCCCTCATCATGTCCATCTCAAAACAAAACAACGTGTCCACCTTCAACCTCAGACACAGGAGGGCAAGCGTAGAGGTCGTCGACGCCAAACTCGCCGTAGACCTAGCTACCGCGCAGTCTTATTCTGAGAATGTCTTTCTTTTCGTACCGAATCTCATTGGTGCGTTATTCAATTCAGGTTTCTTTCGGGTGACAGATAGTTTGACGCTTTTTGTTGTTGTTGGAAATGGTGATAGGCTACACACGCGTTATCCTCGCTGCCGTCTCACTCCATTTCATGAGCTTCCATCCTAAATACTCCACTATCGCGTACTGCGTGTCATGTCTCCTTGACGCATTCGACGGACACGCTGCCCGCGTGCTTGGGCAGACCTCAAAGTTCGGCGCTGTGTTGGATATGGTGACTGATCGGTGCGTCAGCTGCTATGTCACTATTTGCCTCTCTTCCATTCAGTGTAACTGACTCATGCGCGCTGTTAGATGTACGACGTCATGCTTGCTTTGTTATTTATCTTCTGCGTATCCGGCTTGGGCGACACTTTTTCAATTCCTTATCGCGCTTGATTTTAGTAGCCATTACATGCACATGTACAGGTACGCCATCGTGCCCTGCATCCTCAACAATACACGGAGCTAATATGTTTGGATGCAGCTCCCTTGTAACAGGCTCGCGAAGTCATAAACTAGTGACGAGCGAAGTCAGCAGGATTTTATGGTATTATTATAATGACGCTGTGCGTGTTCCCTTGCTGCGTACTGCGCACTCTACCCTCTATTCAATTTCTCTGACTCTTGAACCGATAGACAACATTATTCATATTTTGTGCCGGTAACGAGTTATTCTACGTCGCGCTCTATCTCATGAAATGGGATCATTCACCAACGGGTATCGCAATCCTCGGAGACATGCCCTGGGCTCGGCTTCTTTTCTACAGCACGGCGTTCTTCTGGTTCGTTAAGAATGTGGTTAATGTTGTTCAACTATGGAAGGCCTCTAAGATCCTTGTTGGTGTTGATCTTGCGGAGAGGGCGAAGCAGAGGGAGGAGGCGGAGATGCAGAAACGTGTCAAGGAGAAGGAGAATGGGAATGGGAACGGGAACGGGAATGGGAATGGGAAGTGAATTTTAATATTGTGGACGGGCGGTACATCTATAGCTATCTTTACATATCTGGATTTTTTCTTCTTTTATTTTCATTTACTCTCTGTCGTGCTACACTACAATCGTTACATTTTCTTACATATACAGATAATTTATCGCTTTGCCATAGCATTCTTGTGTATTGTAAAATTTTGAGATAGGCGTCGATCAGTTTCGGAGACGCGACATTTCTCGATTCGTCAGTCCTTGCTTTCTCTCCGTCTACCGCCTCCTTAGAGTTGAGAGGCCCGTAATATTTCTTGCATGCGCTCTTCTCTCCTCCGTCCACGCTCTTTAGTGACAAAACGAGCCCCATGTGCTCAGCGCGTCCTCTTTTCTTATTCGCAAACAGCGCGATATCCACGTCGCCAGCCAACTCAAAAAACAACTACGAGTCCTAGTCCTAGTAATACTTCTCGCACGCCTAAGAGGTCGTCCTCCTCTTCCTTGCCTGCGGGCACTCCGTCTTACCCACCTAGCTTACCTGCAAAACCCGATGGAGAGCCGAGTGGAGCTGTCGCCTCTGCTGGTTCGCCGCCGTCGCCACCTGAGGAACCCGAAGAGAACCCAGAGGATGAGGGAGAACAAGAAAAGCCTTTGGGGGAACCCGAGAAGGCGAAACGGACTCGTCGGACTAAGGCTGAGATTTTAGAATCAGCAGCAACATCAGACAACTCTGTCCCACTACCTCCGGAACTCAACATCCTATGGACGCCCGATACGATGGAGGCTACGTCGCCTTCTGCGCTGCCGCCACCCGAGATCTTCCAGGAAGTGCTTACGGACTTGCTCATTACACTACACCCGCAGACACAACACCGTGGCGCGTACGCATCTTCATCTTCTGCTGGATCACCTGTTGAGCCTACGCTGGGGTTGTATTGTCCATTTGAGGGAGGGGATTATATTATTGATGAGACGGTTAGAGAGCTTGCGAGGAGGACGGATTCGGATGTGATCGTGTTGGATGCTGTACAGCTTGCTGCTGGGCAGGCTGGGTGTTTTGGAAAAGGTTCGTCTTGTACAACGTGCTTCTCAAATGATAGTTTCACTGAGATGTTTTGGTAGCTGCTTCTGTGCTTCAGCTTCCTCAGAATCCACTCCATTTCCGTGCACCGGTGCCACAACCTTCACCTATCCCTTCGTCCAAGCGCAGAGCGACAGAGGACGAGTACGACGACGATGAGGAAGGTGACTATGGAGGTGCTTTCATACCCTCACATATGACCTTCCACGTCCTCTCACCAGGCGGGATGCGTCCAAGTCGACAATCCGTGTCGACTTCAAGCACATCTCGAGGTTCATCAGGAGCAAAAACAAAAGCATTCTTTGACGAGTTAATCAACACGCCGTCCCCTAAAGATGCTGAAGCTCTATCTCAAGGAAAACGTCGATCGCGATTAATTTACATTCGTGATTATCCTACGTTAGCTGCTTCTGCTGCGACGTGGTATCCGTCATTACTAGCTGCTGTCCGACAGAGGAGGCAAGGACCTATCTCCCGCCCGACTTCGCCAGTGACGAATACTATGACTATTGTATTTGGGATGACACCGCCTATTGTACAACCTTCTTTCCCATCGCATTTCGGAGGTCCTGGTTTACTCGGTTTGTTTAACTCCCGACAGAGTTCGCCAACTGTTGTGAACCCTCCTTCACGACCTGGGAGGTCTGATTACGGTGAGGGTGAATATGCAGAGAAGGCACGCGAGAGGCGGCTTAGGGAGCGATTACGAAGGTGGGAGAGAGATGAACCTGGGTTTTATGACGAGATGCCTCGACTACCACATTCCAACGACGGTGTACACGGTGGGAACGACCGTACAGGGTTCGTCATGGTTGGTCCACCTTTATCAGGTATTTCCAACGCACCTCCGGGTCCGTTATTATCCGCTTTGCAAAACCGAGGGCCCAGCCCACATGGAGATAGTGAAGACAATTCTGCGTTCTTCCGGACGTCTGTTTTGGTGCCGAGTGTTAGAAATCATGGGATGGAGAGGAGTTGTAGGACTGCGAGACGGAGGGAGATTAATGAGTTGACTATGCGGATGGCTGTAGACTCGATTGGGGGGAGGTTGGAGGGGAGGTTCTCTCTTCCTGAACCTTTACCATCGGGAGAAGGAGGGGTAGAAGCTTCTGGGAAGTCTTCCTCCTCGGAGAATGAGCTGCATGATGCTGCGAGGATGTGGGAAGAGTGGGGGAAACACGTCGAAGCATGGACGAACGTGAAGGACATTGCAGATCGTGCAGTCGGGACAGTCGTAGCGAATAACATCTCCACAGCGAAGTTGTCTCTGGACTCGACGCCTGTTCCGTGGCCTGCTGTGGTGTCTGCCTGGTCTATACGTTCTTCGATTCGTGAGATACGTAAGACGTGGTTGCAAGAGTCGGGTGGAAAGACTGTTAGGTATTCGGTTGGTGAGGAAGAGGAGGAAGAGGAAGCGCCGCCTACGCATGATGAGGTTATTCAGCGAGTGAAGGAGGAGTCGGATTTGACGCCTCATGAACAGAGGTTGCTGGGGTGTATTGTAGATGCTGGTGAGTTGCGCATTTCTCGCTCTCTACTATGGATTAGCACTGAATTTCTTTATAACTTCTTAGCGTCAATGCCAACTTCCTTCGACCAAGTCCACCTCCCCGCACATACCATAGATTCCGTCCGAACCATCGTATCTCTTCCTCTTCTTCATCCTACTGCTTTCCAGTCAGGTATCTTGAAACAGCACAGTATGACTGGATGCTTGCTGTTTGGCCCGCCTGGGACTGGGAAGACCTTGGTTGTTCGAGCTCTTGCTAGGGATGCAGGGTGTAGGATGTTAGCTGTGCAGCCTTCGGATGTTATGGACATGGTAAGTCCTTCTCCTATAGTATTGTAACAAAGGAGAAAGCAGATACTAATTTTTTCCCAACTAACGTATCTCTAGTACGTAGGCGAAGGCGAGAAACTCGTCCGCTCCCTCTTCTCCCTCGCCCGCCGTCTCTCCCCCTGCGTAATCTTCCTCGACGAGATAGATGCGCTCTTCGGTGCACGTTCTTCCGCTCGTGAGACTGGTGGGGCGTTAGCACATCATGGAGTGATTACGGAGTTTATGCAGGAGATGGATGGGTTGAAGACAAAGACGGGGAATGGGAATGTTATTGTTATTGGGGCGACGAATAGGCCGTTTGATTTGGATGATGCCGTGTTGAGACGGTTGCCGAGACGGTTGTTGGTTGATTTGCCTGGGGTTGGGGAGAGGGAAGGTATGATTTTCTTCTTTCTAGCGTGAACCTACGAATGGCGAGGAATAACATATCCCTTGTAGAAATTCTGAAGATTTTGTTGAGGGATGAAGAACTTGCGCCTGATGTGGACCTTGCGTGGCTTGCGAAACGGACTGAGATGTTTTCTGGGTCTGATTTGAAACGTGCGTTGCTTTCCTCCTTTTACCATTGTGCTTTAAACTCATTAAATGATCATGATTGAATGTGATAGACTTGTGCGTGTCTGCCGCGTTGGATGCTGTTAAGGAAGGTATTACTCTGCCCTGGGCAGTTCCTTCTTCCACTTCCGGGACAGCTGAAAGTGCCACTACCGAGGCGACGTCAACCACGACCGCTGAGAGCTCCTCAACCACAGCCAATGAAGACAAAAGCTCAACGACAACTGCTGAGGCTCTTACCCGTGTCGAAGACACGTCTTCTGAGGCTGGAGAGTCTTCTACCTCACAACAATGCCCTTCCTCACCCTCACCCACATCATCAGAAACAACCTCAACCTCCTCGCAAACAACCTCAACCCCAGACTCAACCCCACAGTTGACCAACCCACGAACCCTCTACCTCCGTCACTTCACAAAAGCACTCAAAGAAATCTCTCCTTCCTCCTCCGAGTCACTCGGCAGCCTCGCTGCCTTGCGAAAATGGAACGAAGAGTTTGGGGAAGGTATGAGTCAGAAGAAGCGGGCGAGGAGGATGTGGGGGAGAGGTTCGTTTGGTTTCGCAGATCCTGAGGGGAAGGAGGTGTTACCTGATGGGAGGGTTAGTGTGTCTGCGCCGCCGTGAAAAAATAACTTAGAGTGGAGTTGGGAGATGATTGATTGGCTGGCTAATAACTGCTAATGGCTCACTTATTTTTGTTTTGACTGATTGAGACGGGTGAGAGATAATGAGTGAGAGATAATGAAGGGTTAGAAACGGAACAGTTGCATATAACGGATTTTTTTCATACATACGTTATAAAATAGCTTATTGTTCCTCATTGCATAACTGTTCGTATGGTATCACTTTCATTCAACTTGCTTTGCTTTGACTTTGGTTCTCTCCTCTCCAAAAACTCGTATATATACATAGAATAATATGAATGAATGAATGAATTTACTTTTTATACGGGGAAGATAGGACTCGAATATATGAAATGTAGAATATAAGAAATGAGAGGGGGGTCTTATAGAATGAACGATGTTAGCGTCGGCGACTGCTCGTCCGAGTAGGCTGTTCTCGTATTGCAGCGAGGTTGTCGATGTCGATCGCGTCGTCTTGTCCGTCATCGTCGGCGTACATGTCTTCGAGAGTGTCTTCTTCCTCGGGAGTGTCAGGTGTCCTGTATCAAGTTTAAGCCATTCATTAGAGACAAGTATTCTTGAAAAAGAAGGGGAAAAGGAAAGGAAGACGTACGTAGCTCGTCTCTTACTCTTCCCATTCACTTTAGCCAAGGAAGACTTTCTCAGGCGACCGCCCTTCCTCGCTCCTCCTTGACTCTGCGTCATCTGCTGAGTCCGCGACTGAGTAGTCCCCATCTGACTCGAATCCCCAATCTCTTCCTCTTCCACCTCCCCATCCTCATCTACATTCCTTGCCCTCACCCTCCTCCTCTCAACCATCCCCATCCCATCCCTCACAGCCTCCTCACCAACAGGTATCAACCCTTCCCTTCCCTCTCCCCACTCTTTCTGACACTTGGGACATTTCGGAGAGACGTTCCGCCTCCTGTACGCTTCGTAGCAGTGTTTGTGTAGTGGGGCGTTGCAGTTCGTCGTGGGGCACATGTAGCCCTTTGTTACGAGGTCCAGGCAGGCTACGCATTCGAGGAGAGGAGAGGAGTTGGGTGAAGAGTCTGCGTCTTCGTATGTGCTTTTGAGGTATGGGCCGAGTTCGAGGAGGGAGCGGGTGCCGAGGGAGTAGCGGCCTCGTCTAACACACGTAGAATTGACAAGTTACGATTTATTGATGTGGAGATATGTATTTTGATTTTGGGATACGTACTTGCTTTTGACGAGCCAGCCTCTCGCGACGAAACTCGCAAGGATGACCTCGCCCTGTGCTTTTGTCATTGATGAACCTTTCAGATGACTTATTTCGCGTAATGCTCCTAGTGAGGATAAGGAATAGGCGTGCTTTGGAGCTAACATGATTTGCTCGACCTAGATGATAGTAAGTATGATATCCAGTCAGAACTGAGGGGGGATAGGACTCAGTGAGTAATGTAGTACGTACAATAGCTTTGAAGAATGCAATTTCCGTAGCACTATAGTCCGAAGCGAGTTGTGCGACTTCGTCGCTCTTCGTGTTTGTCTAAACCCATTCTGATCAGATATTTCCTAAAGCCAAATGAATACGTAGGGGACATACGATAGCATACATGACAACTCCCGTATCCTCATCCTTGAAACGCGCAAACTCGAGGTCAAGGGGGTCAAGTAACCGCTTAATCTTGTCCAAGAATAAGTTCCATTCGTTCGTCCCGTCGATGAACTCAATGTCCAGAGTAGGTTCTACCCCTAAACGAATCAAATTAATAAATCTTCCAATCAATTGAACGCGTTATATGCGGAAAGGAGCCAGCTGCTCACTTGCAACAGTCTCCGTACATGCTTTCCAGAGTGCTTTCGCGATGGCCTCGCTCATAACTCTTCGAGACATGGCTGCCTGGAGGTACAATCTGTATATGTCAGACGAATGTACTCGCGTCGCTACCATTTTGGGACGTTGAAGAGGCGTAGAACGGGAGAAGACGCGGTCAAAGATGGCAGAGCGATGAAGAGGTGCGCGACGCGTCGGGACTCAAGAAAGAGACGCGTTTGATGCTACATCCGGCAGATCCCGTGCATGCGAGAATAAATTCACTCAAATTCATATCTGTCTGCAAGGTAAGTGTGCAAAAAATATATGGAAGTAGTATATTTGCCGCAGCACTAATCTCCATCGAAGACATCCGTATTGTACTGATGTATTTTATTTGAATATCAAACCTAAATCATACTCTCCTCTCTTCATGTACCGTATATTCGTCCATCATTTCCAATCATCAATCGTATATGCCATGATCGTGAAGAAAGAAAAACGAAGAGTGGGAAATGATAATTAACGTCCTTCAAGTCGTTAAAACTTCGGAACTCGCAGCGTCTTGCTGACCATCGCCGCCGCCCATAAGCCAAACACGAGAGACACTTGGTGTATCTCGCCGCTACCTCCAGGTGCACCCCAAAGCTGTATAAGCCTTAAAGGAACGCCCTCTTTCCCCTCGATCCAACCCCTTGACGTCCAAAATGCTAAGAGTGTAACGAGACCGAGTGTCGATGGAATTGGGAGCCCTTCGAAGTACTTTGCTTTTCCAGACGAGTCTGTTGGAACAGAGGCGACTGTGGCGTTAAACCTGGCGAGTCGTGCGAGCCCGCAACATATGAATCCGGTTAATACCACTGTATCCAAATACGTTCGCAAGCCAACCACAAAAGCAAGAAGTGCCGGAGCGACACCAAACGAGATCTGACAGTAAAATTTGTCTTAGAAAGACTTTATTCAATAAACCTAAATCGAGGTCCGAACTCACCAAGTCAGCAAGACTATCAAGCTCTTGACCAAGCATACTACTCGATTTACGCCACCTCGCCACCTTCCCGTCAAGAAAATCAAAGAAGCACCCCGCGAGCGGATACGCCAAAGCAGCGTAGAGGTGGCTCTCGTCATTCGTTAAAAGGTAGCGTGCCGACGAAAATATGGAAAAAGAACCACAGAATCCGTTCATTATTGTGACCAAATCTGCAAGTCGGAAATTTCTGAAATGGTACGATTATGTTAGGAGGGGTTTCGGGATTAAAATCCGACGACGTACCGTACGAGACTGAAGTGACCTTCTGTGTCGAGGTACTGCTGCAAGGCGACTGCTTCGCCATCACCATTTGCCTTTGCCTGACTTGAAGGCTTTCTTTGTCTTGTCTCACTCATGGTGATAGCCAGGCGAACGTTTCTTTCAGACGTTACGGTTGAAAGGAAAGGAACGATTGCTCGCAAGACGCCAAAGGCGCACCACGCTTTAGCACGTGCAAACGTCATTGCTGTGCACGAAAACTCAATACTGTACCTTCTGATCGCACATCAACGTATAGTTTGTCCACGACATACAAAGGCGAAATGTACTCCAATAATTTAGAAAAACAAAACAGAAGGAAAATAGATTATTTACAGTTCCATGGCATGCTCGTCCTTTACCTCCGTCTTTACGGCACCAGATGCTTCCGCTTTTGCCTTCTCCAACTCCCTGCTCTTCGCTGCATACTTATTGGGATGGCTCACGCTTTCCCCGTCGAGGCCCTGTCCACGCGGCACGCCATGCGTCACTTCAAATACCTTCGTACACGCAACGTGGTAATGCTCCTGCTTCACGACGCTCATGATCTCGGGTAAATCTGCTGCAGTCAGTCCTTGTGGGCCGTACGTTGCAAGAAGAGCAGTCTGAAGTCGATCAGCGGAGAAATGTCGATACGGGCACCCATGGCATTCCTGCGGTCCCGGTTGGTTCTGTGTGATAATTCGCTGGCATCTGTTTGGCGTCGTTCAGTGCTTCGTGACTACACATAAGAAGAGGTCATCTCTTACGTGTAGGCAGGATAGTTCGTCCGTTTTCCCTCTAGACCGTACGAATGGCGGATGTTATACTTGTACTCCTTGTTGAATTTATCATCGGTGATCCTTCCTCCGAAGGCCTTTCGCCAGAACACGATGGCTTCTTCAATTGAAAGGCCGACAACCTATCGTGCTTCAGCATAAGTGCTTATCTATTACGTAGGACAAAGCTTCACCTTCAAGAACAGCCCGTACTGCAGCCGACCGTGGTGCTTCAGATGACGGTCCTTGCGTAGGCAGTCGTGTAAATGACGCATGCACATAGGCCAGTGCTTCTCCGCCAGCTCATCGATCATCTCTGCCTTCACCTCTTCTCCATCACCGAGGCTGTCCGCCGAAGTATATTCAGACGCAACACTCATTCCTGAAAGGAAACCCTGTCCAAGATGCTCTAGGATGGGCATCAAGCGTGTGTCCTCGTCCAATCGTGGTAAAGCTCTCGCCGTTTGCTGCAAACGGTGTGAGATGATCATTATGCTAGAACCACCGAAATACGCACCTCGAGTGCCGCTTCTAGTCTTGTTTCGAACTCCTGGAAGACGATGCTAGACTGGTCCTTTGAGGGAACGTAAGCCCAACCACCCTTGAGAACTACACGCCTCTTTTCTACTAAGTTTGGCACTCGTGTCCATCGAACCTGATGTTGCAAGTCAGCATAGTTCACCTAGGTTGCTCGTGTATTTGTCGCTCACTTTATACCACGAAGTCTCTCCAGGACTCACTATCCTTAAGTCATTCATCAGATATTCGTCCCTTTCCTCCTCCTTGCTGAGCTACATGCAATCATAAGTCTGACTGAAGATTCTGATTGAGATGAAGTGTGCATACCACCAGCCATCCAAATTCCCTCGAATCGAGGAAGCCCTTCCTGTCTTCACTATCATCCATCTCATAACGAACGCGGAAAAGTGTTGTTTCAGCTTTCACGAATCGCCTCCGCAACTCCTCTCTTTCAACGAGGGATATCTAATAAGTATTCGATTGTAAGGAGTCTAAGGATACGCACGATCGGCAGAATGCAAGTCGAAGGACAAAATGACTAATATGATCTTTCCGCCGCTCACTCTCAACTGCTTTGTTTCGTCCCAGCTTTTCTTGCGTTGCAGTCAGCGGCAAGTACTTTGCTTGCTGCGCTTTTACTATCGCCTTCAATTCGTCGTATGTCCTGTTCCGGACAAGAGAAGCTTCAATCTCAGATAATATTCTTAGCCTGTCAATGGCGAAAGTCTCAAATTCGTCGAGAGTTATATCCTCGAAGGGAGGCTTGTCATAACTAGATTACACTTGTCAAGTCGTTATACGCGTCAAACTTTAGCAGAACTACTCACAAATTGAGACGGTACGGGTATTTGAGTACTCCATGCTTTTGCACGAATCCAATCCCGAGTCCACTGGAGCCGAACATTTCGAGCTGAGTTTGAGGTAAAGACGGGTTAGATGAAGGCTGGTTAGGACAGACGAGAGACGCGTCGTTGCAATTTCGCGCACCGTGACTGCGTTACGTACCGTGTTCCATGATTGTCACAAGAACAGAATCTTTGACTTTTTGTATTTACACGACAGAAATACACATAGGGAATATATTGGCACATTAGGATTACGGAAAGCTATAACAACATCGTTTTCAAGCTCCAGCTGCCTTGCGCTCGTAACCTGAGGTAGACGGAGGACGACGTGTCGAGGACGTTATCTCTATTTATCGGAGATAATCCGAAAGCGGGCCGAAATATCGTACCTTGAGCTTGTTTGTGTGTGAGTCACTGTCTACCGACAAGAAACTTCAGCAACTCGCTCAGTGACAAATTACTCTCCAGATTGCTCTCCATCTACCATCATGTGCGGCATCTGTGCTGTTTACGGGCTAGAAACCCCAACATCGTCGAGGACAAAGGTCCTTGCTCTATCTAAGAAATTACGGCACAGAGGACCAGATTGGTCGGGCTGCTATGTCGGCAAGGAAGCAATTTTGGCACACGAGCGTTTGGCAATCGTCGGTGTCGGTGAGTAACATCGTTTTAATATACTAAAATGAATCTCTAATCGTCAGGCTAGATACTGGAGCTCAGCCCCTCCTTAGTGAAGATGGCAAACAGATCCTCGCAGTGAACGGTGAAATTTACAATCATATATCTCTTAGAAAGAGCTTGGGTCAAGATGTCAAATTCAAGACGCATTCTGACTGTGAAGTCATTCTGGCACTCGTAAGTAGTTTTTCCAGTGCATATATGCGTGTCTTTTTCTGACACGGGTGGGTGTACAGTACAAGAAACACGACAAGGAGATCTGCAACTTGCTAGACGGAATGTTCTCCTTCGTCCTACTCGACGAATTAGTCAATCCTTCTCGTATCATCGCAGCTCGTGATCCTATTGGTATCACAACGCTGTATCAAGGCTGGAACTCGAAGAAACCGGGCCTCACATACTTCGCATCTGAGCTGAAAGCTCTCGTAGATGATTGCGACGACATCATTTCTTTCCCTCCGGGACACGTCTTCGACAGTAGCACCGGAAAAACAGAACGCTATTACAACCCTTCTTGGTGGAACAGCGATATAGGTCCTATCCCGACCACACCCGTGGATTTGACGCTTCTACGTGAAACCCTAGAAGCCGCTGTGCGCAAACGCCTGATGAGTGAAGTGCCTTATGGTGTCCTTCTTAGTGGTGGGTTAGATAGCAGCTTGATTGCTTCTATCGCCGCTCGAGAGACGGAGAAAGTCGCACAAGCACAATACGAAGCGCGGAAGCGCAAGTTAGCGGAGGCTCGGAGTGGTCCTCCGACACCCAAGGGCGAGATAGATGAATTCCGTATGTCAATTCATTTGCATATCCCCTGCCTTACCCGTATGCTTAATCTTCAATAGTGACACTCGCTTCTTGGCCTCAACTTCACTCCTTTTCCATCGGTCTAGAAAACTCTCCCGACCTCCTTGCCGCCCGAAAAACAGCACACTACCTCGGGACCTTCCACCACGAATACGTCTTCACCGTCCAAGAAGGACTCGACGCCATCCCAGATGTGATCTATCATCTCGAAACATACGACGTAACGACAGTACGCGCCAGTACGCCGATGTATCTTTTGAGTCGGAAGATCAAAGCTATGGGAGTGAAGATGGTACTCAGCGGAGAAGGCAGTGACGAGATATTTGGTGGATATCTTTATTTCCATGCGGCTCCGGATAGGGAGGCGTTCCACCAGGAATGTGTAAAGCGTGTCAAGAATTTGCATACTTCGGATTGTCTGAGAGCGAATAAGTACGTTCTTTCTTGCGCCTGGTCCATATGTCGAATATGTCGAACGAGGTATTGCTAGGTCCACTATGGCTTGGGGCCTCGAAGCTCGTGTTCCGTTCCTTGACAAGGCCTTCCTGGATGTAGCTATGAACATCGACCCTGCAGAAAAGATGTTCAGCAAAGGCGGCGCACAAGAGGTAGATGCGGATGGTTGCCCAAAGATGGAGAAGGTAAAGCAGACAGATTCTCAAATTCTTACTTTAATTAATTCTGAGGGATTGAATTCGCAGTATATTCTTCGCAAAGCATTTGATTGTGCACCAGATGGCAAGGCAAGTCAACCTAGTTTCTAAACGTGAATATACAATGGGGAAGGTCAATTACGAATATATAGCCTTACCTTCCTCGATCGATCCTTTGGAGACAAAAGGAACAATTCTCTGACGGGGTTGGGTATTCCTGGATAGACGGGTCAGTATTTGTCTACTTCTTCCTCCTATTTAACTTCATATCCTTACTTTAATATATATCTCTATCAAGCATGAAAGCACACGCAGAAGCCACCGTCTCCGACACCGACTTCGCTCAACGCGCCTCTCGCTGGCCAGTAGACACGCCCGATACGAAAGAAGGCTACTTCATTCGCGAGATTTTCGAAAGTAGGTCTTCCGTTCACTTCCTCCCCTCCTCCGCTTTTCATTCATCCACGCATTTATTTTAATTTCCTCCTCACCGGTCTTCTTATATTATTTTCTATCTAGGCCACTTCCCGACAGAAGCAGCAGCAAAGACCGCAGTCCGCTGGATCCCGCGCGGCGACTGGGGCTGCTCGTCCGATCCCAGTGGACGTTCCGTTGCCATTCATAACGCAGCTTATTCCGTCGCTGACTCAGATTAGATAGATACTGAGATAGAGCTCCTCAGTCCCTAACTACCTTCCACTCCCAAAGTTCTTTGTTATGTTCAGACCTTTCTTCCCCTGATCACCCACGTTTGCGAGTTTGGATATTGAGATTTTGTTTCTCATGTAGAGTCAAATAGTAGAGGAGAGGAGGTATATATTATTCATTTCCGGCGAGAGTACACATCAAGCGATCCAAACTACTTATCTTAAAAAACATGCCAGGAGAATAGAAAAGCGAGAGAATAGAAGAAAGAGAGGAAAGAAAGACAAAAATAACAAGGCATCAACTTATAATACACGTTAGAATTCCCTTAAAATAACGAGAAGAAATCGTGTCTATCTTAGAGTAAGAAGGATCGTTCATACTGAGCAGGGAGGGGGGACAAGCATGCGCCTCCTTGAATAATCGTTGAATATAAAAGATAGGAAAGGTCACCACGTAAGAAAGACAATTGAGAAACGAGTTAACAACAATATCACGCAGGGGACTTCCTTCAGCAGATAGGTAAGGTGGTCGTGTGAAGGAGCGTTCATAAGCTTACAGTTATCCTGACATAACACCAATTAATATTAGGTAGGGAGCCAAAGGGAGCCAAAAAGGAGGCAATACGTTAAGGAGTGGGAGTGTCGTCGAACACGTAAAGAAACCGAAAGAAAAAAAATATAACTGTCAAAGGGATACAGAGAGAGGATCTTACATGAGAACGAAATAATATCAATGGATGGAACCGTCAAAGGAGCGTCGTACGTATAGCTGATATCGTTAGTTCAAGTTAAAATCAAAAGAATGTGCTGGTATAGGTTGGGGAGAGAGCGGGGTGGATATCTGTTTGAGAGGGTTGGGTTGAGATATGTATTAATGATGATTTGCTTCCACGGAATAAGGGAATAGAAAGCAAAGCTATTGAAGCAGGTAAAAAGCACACAAAGCATGGACATTTACATGGAACGAACCATGACTGACGAACAACACATCACACAACCTGAAAAAATATTCTGAAGCAGAACTAACGCGCCAAAGCAGTGAAAAGCACCACGAAGAGTAGAGAAAAGGAGGGGAATCAGGGGAGAGGGGGAGGAGAGAGGAGGGATAGAAAGTAAAGTGTATCCGATTAAAACGTGAATGAATGTAAGAGATTGAGCCAAAACTAAAAGCTAGACTTTAATAGCTGGAACTTGGACTTGAACCTGAACCTGAACCTAAACACCAACGTTCAGCTGCGAATCTCGTTCCATGAGCTTGCGGTATAGACCCACTCCAGAATCTTCAGACGGTGCGGGTGACGCGAGGAGTTTGTTAGCTGCTGCCGCAGGCATCTTAGCTCCGCTCGTCTGAGAAATATTTCGCACTCGTGTCCGTGTCGACGTAGGTGTAGTCGTCCCAGCAGAGCGGGTACTACCATCCCATGCGGGCCGAGACGCAGTCGCGCTTGTCACAGTAGACTTGGCAGACGCATGTCCATCCTCAGAATGTCCAGGTCGCCGCGAAGTTGGCGTAGCCTGGGTACGTCGACTCGCTGGACGCACGTGTGGATGATAATCACGATGGTGCATATGTGGTTCCGGGCTATGAACGAGCCGATTCCCGAACTTCGCATTCGCAGACGACTCTCGACCGTAGCCCAACGGCGTGAGCGCACCTCTACGGTTACCCGCTATTGGCGAGCGAGCCTTGGGAACAGCAGGCTTATGGATCGTGACTTTGTCCGCGCCCCAATACGAGAAACTCATCTTGCTCTTCCGATCCGAGTCAGAGGAGTCAGCTCCGTCGTCCTCTTCTTCTGGAGGCATGACCGACGATCTCCCTGTTGGGGCAGCAGAGTGGACAGTTGCTCGGGATCGCACGACACTATGGATGTGCTGTCAGTAATGAACCAATCAAAAGAGGACAATACAACGCACTCGTCCATCGCAATGACGCCTTGCTTGGGATCAGGCACGCCGGCAATAGCCCAATTTTCAATCTTAAGGAACAAAAAATATCAGCTCAATATGCGGATCAATTAGTAAAGCATACTACTCACCTTTATGAATTTATAGAGATTTCGCGGCTTTGTATGCGCACCCTTGCGACCTGTTGACGCATATTTTGCTTTCGCCTGCAAGTCTGGTAACGAATTTGTCCTCGAATTTGTCGAAGATGCAAGGGGTAACGTTGTAATTCCCGTCCGTTGGCATCGCAGCACGACGTCATTAAAGACAACCAACCACAAGTCCTTCTTCCCACCAACGGCGTTCTGACTGCTTTGCTGTAGGACGTCGCTCAGTCTGCGGAATGAAGACTTGCCCTTTACGTTCCGCGACGAAGCGTTGTTGGCAGCAGAAGGTGGAGGAGGTCGTGCAGGTGACGACTGTGGTTGCGACTGGGTCTGGGAAGGCGTCACAAGAGGTCGCTCTTCAACGAGGAGGCGTGAAGGCTTCGGCAACGCAAGTTGCCTGACCTTCTCAAGCCCTTCTATCCGCGCAAAAGCATCCCGCGTGCGATCCCGCTCCTCCTTCTGTATCTTCTCATCCTCGATACTGCGGACGATGGTCTCTACCTCTGCGACCATCATTAACGTGCTTTCGTACTCAAAAGTGCTTGGATCCGTATGGTAAAGCAAGTTTTGGAAAAGCAATGGGTATTTGAGTAAGCGTTGGAATGGTTTCGAAAGCGAGATGGCCAGCCCAGTCTCGCCCTTCTCGACAGCATCCTGTTCTAATCTGTGTAGAGTCTTGCAAACTTTCACCCACATAGCGCTATCCTGATTCTTGGGTTTCTTCTTATCGCTTGCTGTGGATAAAGCATTGTCGACTTGCTCGAGAGCTCGCTCGAGGTGTAGCACATATGTTGCATATTCGCGTAAAATATGCGACTAAATACAATTTTAGACTTCAAATTGGAATGATGAAACATGAAACTCACATTAGAAACGAAAACATCAGCCAAACTTCGAACAAGAGGGTATTGCTCCTCGTATCGCTTTCTTAAGCCTTCGCTTAGTGTAATATGGCCATTAAAAATTCCAGTCTCGATAACCTCCAAACATTTTCGTAAGTCCTCGGGTAGTTGGTTCGGAGGGACCGAGTCGCCCATCAGGGAGTCCGGTTGGGGTGTTGTACGCCTCAGCTTCTTCAAAACCCGTGATGCAGAAGTCTTGTCCGTCTTGTCCGTCTGCCCCGTTGCTGCATAGGAGACTTCACGCTCAGGCACAGTTCCGTATATAGACTGACGCCCAAGCGACGCACTGGAGCCTTGCTGCGCGACACGCGGCGGTGGAGGCAATGATTGGTGTGAACGACTTGGGAAGGGAAGCGGCGCTTTGCCCCGCGGTGTTCGTTGTGCCGTAGTATTGTAAGGCGATCGAGGGTGATTGAACTTCGCGATCGCTGCCGCAACAGCAGAACTAGCAATACCATTTCGTTGTTGCACGCGACTAGTACTCCCTGTATAGCCTCTGCCGATTTGGTCTTGCGCCTCGTCGTCATCAGAATCGGGCGAATCCCCGTCAGCATTATGTGCGCCATTCTTGGACGCCGCAGGCGTTTCCGGTCGTAAGCCGGGCGTTGGTGAGAGAAACCGTGCGGCGATGGGAAGATGATCAATAGATTCTCGCGGAGATTCGACGCGAGCAAAGTATTCGTCATTCTCTAGCGGTGTAGGTGAACAGATGGGTGGTGCAGCGTATGGATGTAGCAGAGGTTCAATGAACGTTTCTTTGAGCTTTGTTAATTCAAGTACATATCTGTTTGCGCATAAGTTGAAAAATGCAGATCAAAACAAACGTATTGGACACCCACCGTTCCTCACTTGCCACGATCTCCCAAAGAACCTCCTGACGCGTACGCTCTCGTGGACCAATGTTTGAAACGAGGTCTTCCTCAGCAGCTTCGCTCCACGATGCAGTCGCAAGTATCCGGCTGGAAGACTGACTTGCCTGAGAGTACGGCGTGTTCGAACGCATTGAGGCGTTCAAGCTCATGTTGTCTGCGAAGTTTTTCTGGGAATTCGGCGATATCGCGGTACGCGTTGCTGTGTTTGTTGCCTTTCCTGCAGTCCCATTGACACCCTTGGAAACATTTACTTTTGAAGTCGACGCATTGCCTGTCCCACGCGTTTCCGATCCATGCACGGCCTGGAAGCGTGACACTGTGGTCCTGAGTGGTCCATTGGGCGTTTTGGGCATTGCATCGCCATTACTCGCGGTATTACCACTTCCTCCGGCCTTTGCGTGTCCGCCGTCGTTTGCCGATGTATCCGCGCCATTCGCACGACCAGATTCAGACTGGTTGCTGACTACACGCTCGAGCGGCGCGGGCGTCGGTGGTGGCGAAAGGAAAGCGACTTTCTTGTGCCCGGCGCTATCTGGTGGAGAGCTTGCTTCCGCTGTTGCCTTGCGGGCCTTATGCGAAGCAGCTGCGGCGGAAGCGCCGTCAATAGAATTATATCGAGGCGCTTCTGTGCGTGTAACGGTTCCCCCACGTTCGTCAGTCGACGGCGCACGCGAGGGCGGGCGTGCAAGAGACGGGGGAGGGACGGGAGTGCGTGTAGACGATCGGGATTCCGAGCTCGCCTGCGAGTTGGTATGCGAAACGGAAATAGGCGTTCTGTCGATAGGCGGGAGGGGCTTTGCTGAGCTGAACGAGTTGGGCGAGGGATCGAGTGGGCCCTGCGGCGGTGGAGGCCATTGACGAAGAGGTGGGATGTCGAGTTTCTCTCTGTCTCTGGCGGATGGGATATTGGGGTCGACGTCTGACGGGACCAAGAATTTCTCGCGCTCCTTCTCCTTTTTGAAACGGTTGAAAAGAGCCTTCATTTTGCCAGCGAGGGCGTTTGGGACGCCAGGGAGACGTCGGGGAGCGGGGCGAGAGTGGTGGTGGAGGCGGGAAGGAAGTTGGAGGAGTTGAGAGAAGAGGGACGACAACGTGCAGGCCTGGCGCTTATTTGAACAACTAACTCTGCCTGCTTTTCCTGTCCTGCCAAATTGAGTATCCAAACACAGATCTGCATCTGCCGAACTCTCCTTCAAGGCCTTGTCCCGGCTACCGAGTCCACTCCCCCATGCCGGCGACAACGACGACAGCGACAAATAAGACTCTCAGAGTACTCCCGGCCCATGAGACAAAACACCTCTCTTTACTCGCATATCCGTTTCGCGACGATATTGTTTTCAATCTCGCTCAGCTAAGCGACGGTGCAAATAACGGTACCGCTCTCTGGCTCGGTGCTCAAATCCTTTCTGCCTACCTCACCGACACACTACCCTCTCCGTGCGTGCAATCGGTTGGACTCTCACCAATAACCTTGCTCCGTCGTCTAATTTATTAATTTCTCTATCTATTTTCTCCGTCTCTTTGTTGTTTCTGGTTGCTGGCACTACGTCACTGGCGCGCGAACTCACGCTTGTACATATGTACTATACTTATATGCACCTATTCAAAAAACGAAAAACGCGTGTAGACTGGGCGTGCCTTGACGGGTTCAATACTTCCGCCGCCTTCTTCCAGTTCTCCCCTTCCGATACCAGGCTCGACGCGTCATTCGCGCACACCGCGCGCCATCGAGCTCGGGAGCGGTGTCGGTCTCACTTCGTATGTTCCCCTCTCACTATATGCAGATACACATAGATAGTTGAGAAAAACCAAACGCATATAGCTTAGTTCTCGCCGTCCAAGGCTGGTCCGTCCTCGCAACAGATATTCCGGCCATCGTGCTTTCCGTTCTCCGTCCCAACGTCCAACGCAACACCCGAGAAACGTGTCTTCTTGGGTCCGTGCAGGTCCGGGCCCTCGACTGGACGGTACCCCCAGACAACTGGAATTGGGATAATCCATTAAGCATTGCTGGTACGCTACCGGATGGCGATGTAGGAACAGGAAGATTGGATAAACAAGGACTCGAAGAAGAGCTTCTCGGTCCCCCGTTCGACCTGATTCTGACTTCTGATACGATTTACTCACGAGAACTCGTTACGCCTCTCCTACGAACAATAAAACACCTTGCCCTCCTCTCAACACCTCAACTTCAATCTCCTTCCGTTGCATTAGGAACCAAGTCAGCTTCAGGCACGAAGCAGCAAAAGAAATCCCATCCACCCATATACCTCGCCCTCGAAGTACGTGACCCTACTCTCGTTTCGTACTTCTTCACACAAGCACGCGTTGAATGGGGTATGGACGCACAGCGTGTCTCTACTCCGCGCATTCGACGCGCGATGTCACGCAGTGGTCTTGGTGATTGGAAAAGGGAGGATTGGGAAGGTGTTGAGGTCTGGCGATTACACTTACTGGATTCTCAACCCAAGGAAGCTTCGAATTCCGTTGACACCTAACTACTACATACCGAATGTTCAATTATAGACATAACGGATTTGATTAGTTTTCTTTTCTTTTGATACACATCTGTTTGGGGAAACAAGACTAGACGAGCGCTCGTACATCGATCTATTTCCGTAACTAGGTCTACAAGTACGAGATTGTCTCTGCACACCACAAGTTCTCATTGTTTTTATCGTGACGCAACATCAATAGTCGTGACGAACAAGAAATTGAAGATAAAGGATGAAATGGGAGAAAGTCGGGAAAAAAAGGTAAAAAAGAAAGAAACAGACAGACCAATCCAGTGATTATGTATGTAGGTGGAGGAGTACGTGTCGCATTGCGTGTTAGAATGCATTAGCTAGGCAAAAGAAGAAATTGATGGATGATGATGTAACAGGTGCGCGAGAATGCAACTAGCATTATAAGTCGTCGCGAGGGTGATGGTGCTTTGCCCATGGGCGTATCGTCTGCAAGGAACTGTATCTGCAGAAACAATGACGGCCTTAAAATCGTCGTACATCAAACACGTGAAACTGCCATAAACTGCCATTGATATTAGCCCAATATTATGGCATAGGTGTTCGAGTCGGCGTCGATTCTCTGCTAGTTCGTTCGTCCGAGCTTAAATGAGGTAAAACAAAATTCCCAGAGTAGAAGACGTAAGACAAGAGTATAAGCGCATCTTAGAAACAGAATCGAAGACGTACGAAAGTTCAACCTCCATGTCTTCGCGTCGCGTTGTTACGAGTTTGAGATTGCGGTCGAATCCATGACTGAACTGCAACCGGGAGGGAAAACGATTGGCTTCTCCGAAAATAAAGATATAAGAATAATATCAAACAACGCACAAGATCTTTCCACGTTTCCTCTTCATCGCTCTCAGTTTGAAGCTGGTATATTTGAAGAAACCCTTGAAATCTGAAGATGTTCAGATCAGTATGTCAATGAGAATTCCCCAGGGAAAGAATGACGCGTACGTGAGGTATCCTTCCTCAGTTCCGTCAAGCAATTCCAGTTCCTCCTTCGCCTCGTTGGGAAGTGGCGACCCATTCGTATCAATTGCCCACTGGTCTAATGCTTCCGGGGTGAAGTACGCATTTTCAGGAGGAACGAGGAGCTGCGCGTCTAGTGATTTCGAAGCCGAAGGAGGAGTTGCCTTTGGCGTGCAGTATTTTGCAAAGATGTGTTTTAGACAGCGTTCAAACTTTTGTAGCCGTACATAAAGTCCCGCGTCAGCGGACTATGACGTGACGTTCGGATGTAGAAAGATATAGACGTACCTTCTCGCTGACTGCACCCTCATCATCGAGAAGCTGCACACCGACGGGAGCGTTTCTCCTTCCCTGTCGGACGAACGGCTCTGGTGTCTCTGCTCGCGGAGACTGGTAGCGCGAGGACTCGTTCGAGTCAAAGAGGTTGTTGAAGTAGTAAGCCATGTCCGATGGGAGGTGACGCGGTGGACGGAGACCGGGAGTCAGACGCGGTCAGGACTGAGAGTGAAGCAGGCGCGACTGCACGATGACCGACCACAGCCCGCGACAGCCGAGGTCTCACGTGACCGTCGATCGTGTCCAGAAATGCAAATCTTTCACGCGAAATGACTCACTGCTGCAAACAAGACTGACCCGCCACGCTATTCAGTCCCGGCCTCAAGCCATACCCTATAGGTCTCCATGGCTCCGAAGAATCTCGGAAAAGAAAAGGCAATTGATGAAGGGGACAAGGAGGATGTCCTCCAGGCAGTCATCCTTGCAGACAGCTTCAATAACCGCTTCAAGCCACTCACCTCTAGAACGCCGCGATGTCTTCTGCCCATCTGCAATGCTCCCTTGCTTGACTGGACCTTTGAGAGCCTTGCCCTTGCTGGAGTGCGCGAAATATTCGTCATATGTCGCTCCCATTCAGAACAGGTCAAGGCTGCTATCCGGTACGTTTCTCACTCCATTCACTATTCGAAGCTGGCTGAATAAATCTCTCCTGCGGCGCATACAGCGACTCCAAATGGAACCACCCAAATTCAGGACTCGTAATTACGCCAATCGTCACCGCAAGGGAAGCATTCTCTCCCGGAGATGCGATGCGCGATATCTACACGCATGGAATCCTTTCTTCTGACTTCGTGCTCGTCCACGGAGACCTCGTCAGTAACATGCGCATCGACGATGTCGTCCGACTGCACAAAGAACGCCGCCGTACAAATCGGGACGCTATCATGACTATGGTAGTCAAGGAAGCGGGCACGATCCATCGAACAAGGTATGATTCTGAGGCTTTTCTTTTATTGTGCATGTATGCCGTAGATGACTGAGTTAATGCGGAAACGAACTTGTATACAGGCCGCGGGGAGAGACGTCCGTATTCGTGCTGGATTCGAAGACCCAGGAGTGCCTTCATTATGAAGCCGTAAAAGGCTATCCTCCTCAAACTCATGCGCGTATACCGCGGGAGATCCTTAAAGATCATCCTGAGCTTGAAATACGAAATGACCTGATAGACTGTGGAATAGACGTTTGCTCACTCGAGGTGATTTTTGGAATTCCCCTTGATGACTCATTCCTGTGCTAACTATACTACTAGGTTCCTTCATTATTCCAGGACAACTTTGATTATCAGGACATCCGGACCGACTTTGTCCATGGAGTGCTGACCTCGGATTTGCTTATGAAAAATATCTACTGCCATGTAGTTTCCGACGGCTACGCCGCCCGCGTCAAGGACACCAAAAGCTACGCATCCATTAGGTAAATTAAACTCTCGCTTTCTCGAGTCACTTTCTAAGCCTATTTTCAGCAAAGATATTCTTGCACGATGGACATTCCCTATTGTTCCAGATAACAATTACCCCGGTACCTCTTCGATTTCCTACGAGCACACGCGAGGAAATAAATACCTCTCAGTATCATCTCCGCCACAGCTCGCACGTACTTCCCATATCGGCCCGCTGACGCTACTCGGGCCGGGCACCTCGATTGCTTCAGACGCGCGTGTCGTTCGCTCAGTACTCGGTGAAAATTGTTTCCTTGAACAAGGATCAAGTGTGACTGATAGTATATTATGGGATGATGTGAGAGTCGAGCAGGGCGCTATCGTTGAAGATAGTGTGCTAGGTAAAGGGGTCACCGTTCTTAGAGGTTCGCGCATAGATCGAGGATGCTTGATTTCGGACGGTGTCGTCGTTGGACCTGAAGCGAGGCTGAAGAAGCTGACTCGAGTTTCGCAGAAGCTTGGCACTACTCAGGATACAGAAGAGGATCGTGAGGAGCTCGAGAGTGTTGAGGCTGGTATGTCTCGCAATTAATTTACCTCCGTTAGCATACTCAAACTGTTTGGCTAGCACAAACGGACGAACTGCGAGCACGTCTAGGTTCAAACTCAAATGGGATGATATGGCCAGAAGAGGAAGAAGACTCAGACGAGGATGAAGACGAAGCAAACGACCGAATAAACCAACGTCTGCTCCGACTAGGCGACAACACATCCGACCTGGAGCTTTCCGACGAAGGCTCCATCACATCATCCTCCGACTCTGAAGTTGACTCCGACACTGACGACGACGAAGCAGGAGCTCTCGGCCTCTCACTGGCCTCTTCAGCAACGTCTCTTGACCCATCCGCAGGCGCACTTTCCGTCGTCGCTGAGCTTGCAGGCAAGCAAGCCGAACGCGAGTTCCAAGCTGAAGTCTCTGCTTCGCTTGCCCGAGCTTTCGCAGAGGGACACTCAGTCGACAATGCCGCTGTTGAACTCAAGACACTACGCATGGCCAGTAACGTACCTCTGCGTCGTGTACGCGAGGCAGTCGTCGCTGGTGTCGTCGAACTTATTCCTCTTGTGTCTGATTCGTCGGCACAACAGCGCACCGAAATTGCAAAGGTAATTAAAAGATGGGGACAACTTATTAATACTATTGGTGGTGTCGACGCTGTCGAGACGGTTTCCGTCTTACAGGTATTTCATCTTTACTTTCAAATCCGTTTCCTTATTCGCAGTCTCACTTAAGCTAATTCTTCTAATCTCAGGAACACTGCGCACGCTCCCCACACCTAAGCCTCTTCGGCCAAATCCTCGCATCACTCTACCAACATGACGTCGTCGAAGAAGACGATATCCGCGCATGGTATGCCTTACCTGCATCTCGAGGGGAAGGAAGTGGCGTGGCGAAAGAGAATATGCATAAGTGTTGGCTTGTTGGCGCTAAGATGATTGAGCAGTTTGATGAGCAGGCTGATTCGGACGAAGATGAAGATGGAGACGACGAGGACGATGACGACGAGGAAGAGGAGGAGGGAACTGAGGGAGATGATGAAAGCGATTAAATGATTTTGTAGGGAGTTTGCATATTCCGTATGTCCCGTTAATAGGGCATGTCGAATTCATGCCGCGGTGTCTTGGCTTTTTCGGCAGAAACAACTGGCTGCGACGTGCCGCAGATTCCCGCAAAGGTCTGGGCAGGCTATTGCGATACGGTCCATGTACATGTATCTCCTCTCATTTCAACTCGCTCTCCGAATACACCTAGCACTGCTTTTAATATTCCACACGGTGAAATATTTTTTCTATTTAAGCGCTCAGACTAGTAAGGTTTGCTTCTGTTGGGGCTCATCTCCATCTAGGATGAAAAATAATTGCGCAATTGAGATATTCACGCCGCGGCATTATTTGAAATAATCCGATAAAAGTGATCTCATTCTCTCCGTCGCTACTCGGCACGACGTCAGATGTAAACTACGTTAATAGTGCAAAGCTAAGAGGACGCCAGACGATCTAGAAACGGCATTGAAGCCCTTCAGAGGTTGCCGCATGCATAATATTGGTGATGACATCAAGCGGCGGAAGATTGATAGTGGCCAGTACCATGTTTCTGGTTAAAGCGTGTAGTTCGGGCACCACAAGCGCCGTTGTAACCCCTCGGTAGGAGGATTACACCGAGCAAATGAGGTAGGCCAAGGGTATCGAATCATGATAACATTACAGTCCGTGTACTAAAGTAGGCATGGAACATGGTGTATGTACAACAATGTTGGAAGGACATGAAGAAAGTCCGATTGCGTGTCTTGGCAGCAGGTGGGACTGCAACGGCACCCCAAAAGATTCCACCCCTCCACCACTCAACATGTTTCCACACTGTGGTGCTAATACTTTAGAATAATGTATAACGCGTGTATGATCCCAGGACTATCGAGTAAAGAGTAAGCGAGAGCAGCAAACGGAGGCAGGACAAAACGTACATGTAACCAAGTATGGTCTTTAGACGATGCGGGCGGCACAGTAAGTAATCTGTACCGAACAGTTTTCATGTAAGAATAACATACCAGAAGAATGTTAATGAACTAGAAAGGTCGTAAGCAAAAATAATAGCATCGAAACTCGTGGACGTACGAAGTCAGCGCCGCAGCCACGTTCGAGAAAGACCCCGACGGGTGGAATGAAGATGGCGCAACTAAGGACGACACACTCAGCAAGGCAAGCAGTCAGCATTCATAAGCCCAACGTACGCAATCTAAAGCACAGTGGTCAGACGTAGGTCAACAAAACGAAAGGTACTAGACATACCTTGAGAATATCTGAAGCTGTAAACGGCATTGTAGTAAGAGCCAAGGGACGATTAGTGGAGAGAGGAGGGGAGGAACGAGTGGCATGTTATATAGGCGTTGTATAATTACGCTTGGAAAATGACGTATTCTGGTACCTCATGGCTCTGTTTGCCGCAGCAATCCGATCTCTAATCTCGGCCTAGGTCCGTTACTCCCGCTCTTCCGGGTCCGGTCCTCCGGCACTCCGGCTTCAATAATTAAATTCAGGTGATTTTATATTTTGTATAATTATTTTGCTCGATTTATACCGCATTAACAGTACATCTGAGAAGACATGGAAGACGACGTGCAAACCTGCACCGATATCGCCTACGGTCCACTTGCCGCCCACAAGCTCGACGTCTACATCCCGCTTACAGCACGTTTACGCCCGGCCGATACTTCATTCCCGCTCGTCGTCTTTGTCCATGGCGGTGCATGGCGCTCGTGAGTTTCCGTCCTTTCTGTAGAATCTGTACAAATTTCATCCCATTTTCACAAATCCGCAGTCTGTCTGCACCGCATCACCTTTGCAATCCGTAATCTCCATTATTATTGTTCCAATTATCCTCTGCATCGCTTGAGACTAACCACTGTATAATATTACATCCGCTACGCCGATCTCGCGCAGCGAGGATAAGGCTGATCATGCGCAGCTCGCGAAGCGCATCGCAATTCGTACAGGATGTACAGTCGCAGTTCCAAATTACCGTCTCTCTCCGCAGAACGTTGACGCCAAGCCGGAGGACACGATACACCATCCAGTGCATGCGCAGGACATCCTCAGCGCACTCACTTTCCTGGGGCCCGAATCTGACGAAAAGATAGTAAAGAGGTTTGACGCACCATACGACCAGCGTCGTATCTTCCTCATAGGCCACAGCTGCGGCGCGCATATACTCAGCTGCCTATTCGTCGACTCATCCGCCTCGACGCCCGAGCTTACACCCCAACCCGCCTTGCTTGCCGCTACGCGTGGTATTGCAGTATCTGAAGGCATCTTCGATATCGATCTCTTGCTTTCCAGTTTCCCTAACTATCGAACTTGGTTTATCACGAGTGCCTTTGGCGATAAGCCGACATACGATGAATTCAATGTGGTCGCCTATCCACTCCGCGAAGGGGCTAAACATATCCATTGGTTTGTGATACACTCACCTAATGATACATTGGTGGACGTCAAGCAGGCAGAGGCAATGTACGCGCATCTGAAAGAACTCGAAGCACATAGCAAGCACGGGGATACTGTTCGGAACGACTGGACCACAATCACCTCGGAGCACAACGAAATGCTAAAAACGAAAGCATACAGTGACTTAGTCGGAAATTGGATTAACAGCCTACATTTCCACTAAATTCTTTCCAATATAAATAATGACAATATATGCAAAGGATGTAACGTCAATATCTAAATATTCTCTCTGCTTTATTGCAGCTCTATCCCTGACTTCTCGACTTCTTCAAACACACGGTCGAGCGCTGCAGCCGCCACATCGCAGTCCTCCTTAGTGTTGTATAATGGCACTGGCGCGAGACGGATCACGTCTGGCTTGCGTTCATCTCCTATAACACCGAAACTCTTTAAGCCATCAGCTATGCGCTGCATCACGCCACATGCAGGCGGGAGGATCAGCAGTGATAGCTGCATCCCCCTTGCCTCCGGATCGAGGGGTGTTATGATCGTAAATCCTAACTTTCCATTTTCTCCTTTGTTTCCTTGTGTGGAAGATTTATCAACATCACTCGTCTCGTCACCCTCGTGACAGAAATCCGCTCGTGGTCCATATATGCTACGTACAGCTCCGGATTTGACATACCATGGCGACTTTGTCAATAGGTCTGCTAGATGGCCAGTGAGTTGTACCGAACGTTGTCGTAATGTCGGCATCATCCCTGCCTGACGAAATACCTGTAGACTTCCCAAGAGCGCCGCAGCGCTTAGCACGTTTGGGTTGGACTGCTGAAACCCCTGAGCACCGCGAATTGGTGAGAATAGAGGTGGCATTGCGAAGCGTGTCACTGGGTCATGCCCCCACCAACCAGCGAGCCTACAGAGACCGGTTTAGCCCGTTAGCTACCTCCGCATTTGTATGAATGGAGAGCCAGAAGCGATCCGGGGGACGAAAGCTTAATTCAATGGCAGGTAAATTTTAACGGACCTTGGTTTCTCAGCGTCTGCCCATTTTTCATGTATAAATAGGCCGGCAATAGCCCCTGGTCCGGCATTGAGGTACTTATAAGAACACCATACGGCGAAATCAACGTCCCAATCATGTAATTGCACTGGGACGTTTCCGATAGCATGAGCAAGGTCCCACCCGCAAATGCATCCCTATATCAACAAAACGAGAAGACATTCGAACAGATTCTGATCGTTATTCAGTGTCTCGAGTTTACGAAACGGTAGATCACCGCACCTTCTCTTTTGCCGCACGTGTGATGTTCTTTATTGGAAACCATTGACCAGTATAGTACTGTACCCCGGGAAAGATTACAAGCGCAATCTCAGGACCCTCACGATTGATAGTTTCAAGGATGTCGTCTTCTCGGAGTGTGTATTCCCCCGGACGCGGGGAGAGCGCGAGTACGGCGGTGGCAGAGTCGAGACCGTGCAGCTCAACTTGTGATGCAAATGCGTACTAATCTCATTGAATTTAATATTCAAGGGCGGAAATTAGCGAGTGAATGGGGTGACTAGCAAGTAGCGTTTACCCAGTCCGAGGGGAAAGCCTTTGCTTCACACAAAATTTTGTAACGCGTCGCACTTGGTTTGTAGAAGTTTCCCATCATGAGGTGTAGATTATTTGTTAGGCCGCCCATGCAGGCGACCTCATACTCTTTCGCACCTATGAAACAAACGAAGATCATTCCATCAGCTCGTAAAACAACAGCACTCTGGAATTTAAGTAAAGGATATATGCGCACCGACTAATTCAGCAAGCAATGGATTAATATGATCCGTAATACTCATCCAATGGCGCCCTTGTGGATGGTTAAAATGTCCTTCAACGGCCCTAAACAAAATATATTTTTTAGATAAAATAAAATAAAATACGGGTCTTTAGCATCTATTAAGGTGTTGGATAGCGACTTCCCCGCCCTTGGAACAAAGCGGAGACTTTCGGTGACCATACTAACCTTGTTGCCCAAATGCCGATCTCTTCCTCAACAAGCGTTTGAGCCCGCTTTGGCAATGCGCCAAGCGAATTCCCGCATAGATATGTACAGGGTGTGTCCACTGTCCGTCAAGGAGAGGTTATGTGAGAGTACATGCGAGGTGAAATTTGGAAGATCGTCAGTAGCCAAGAGGGGGGCCCGGAGCAAATCGGTCGACAGATCGCGGTATGATCATAGAACCAAAGTAATAGAGAAACATATGCAGCCCCATGAAATTAAATCCGATGTCCAGACACCGGAATGACCGGTATGGTGTGTAGTAGCAACACGTGTTCATAGGTAGTGGGAGGAAATACGCCAGAAGATGCAGAAGAGTAATCGTTTGAATAAAGAATTCGTCTTTCAGCATTCATGTGGATAAGGAGAGTCGAGATTCAGATACTTAACGTTTGTCGGCTGCAACATTGCTTCCGCCAACGGCGCGGTTCGTCGGCAATATGAACTCCGCTCGCTGCATGGTCGCTTCTATGCTGGTATTTGTTTCTCAGCGGACAGGGTAATGGTAGACGGTGGCAAAGTGGCGTAGTATACACAACGCAGCCCGTAGAGGGACCGTCGATCAATATTACGTTTGAATACCAAGCTCCGAAATTATTTGTGATCAAGCCTATGCGATCCAGGAGCTCAACTCTTGTACACTGACGCCACAGCACGATGGGAGAGAAAAATGCGCGCAAGGCGGTCGTTGTTGGCGCAGGTCCAGTTGGCTGCCTCGCGGCACTCTCACTAGCTAAGATGGGTTGGGAAGTCGAAGTCTATGAGGGGAGACCAGGCAAGATAGTCCAGCTGTTCCCAGACCTGCATCTCGTCTAAGTGCATTCTATCACCGGCTGCCCGTGGTCATACTGTAGACATGCGCCTTCCGTCATCAAAGGCTAGCGCTTCTCTTCGATCTATCAATCTTGCCATTTCGGCAAGAGGAATTACTGCAATCCAGTCAATCGATCCCGGTGCTGCTAGCCATTTTCTCGAGAATGTGATACCCATGAAGGGTCGCATGATTCATGGCCACAGCGGTAAGCAGCAGAGTCAACTCTACGACCGAGACGGGCAGGTGAGCATAGGGGCTACTCCTTTACTTAAAATGAAACGCGGTAAATGCTCTTGAGAAAAATTGCTCACGCGCTAAATTCGGGCAGTGCATAAATTCAATAGACCGAGGGCTACTCAACGAGGGGCTACTGGAAGAAGTCCTAGCGCGGCAGACCATACGCGTATTCTTCCAACACAAGCTCACGACTGCTGACTTCGACTCTCGTGTTCTGACATTCCATGAGTCAGCAGGAAATAAAGAAGTGACTGTCCCCTTCGACTTTTGCGTGGGGGCGGACGGAAGTTACTCGAATGTGCGGCGTCAGCTGATGCGCTGCGTGCGGTAGGTTTTTCAGACTGTGTCTATTTTCACAATAATTTTAGCAATTGGGTGGCGTTAAACAGGATGGACTTCCAACAAACTTACATACCTCACGAATATCTGGAACTCAAAATGCCTGCAGGAAAAGACGCCGAAGGGAATCCGACCTTCTTAATAGACCCCAATCACCTTCATATTTGGCCTCGTCACTCATTCATGCTCATAGCGCTCCCTAACAAAGTAGATAATTTAATTACCCCTGTGCTTCTTAGCACTAAGTAAAAGAGAGGCCTTACTAAATGATTCTTCTCACCCGTAGGACAAATCGTTTACTTGCACGTTGTTTGCTCCCACTGCCGAGTTTGACCGGCTGTCGGATCCAGAACAGGCCTTGACTTGGTTCGAGAGCTATTTCCCAGATGCGCTACCTCTCATTGGTGAACCAATCATCTTGGAAGCTTTCCAAAATAATCCTCGAAGCCCCCTCATCGCCATTAAGGCAAGGCTTTTTTGATCAGCGCGTGTATGCGAGGGAAATTCGACATTATTGACCCGGGATATACCTCCCAATACAGGCGAATCCGTACTACTACAAGGACCGTGCCGTCATCATTGGAGATGCCGCTCACTCAATGGTCCCCTTCTTCGGCCAGGGCCTCAACTGCGGCCTGGAAGACGTACGCGTGCTTGATGTGATTCTGCGTGGGGAGAAAGTAGATCCGGCTAACGCAGGGAGCTCCTCGGCGGATGCGGTAGACAAAAGACTTGCGAGGGCCTTGAAAAAATATTCTGAAACAAGACACAGTGATCTGGTCGCTATCTCGGACCTAGCTATGGCAAACTAGTGAGTCACCCGTATTATTGACGCGGGGGGAACGACATCCACTAAAGCATGTCCATTAATCTTCGTCGCTAAACCTTAACGATGCGGATCCAAAATAAAGCGTGGAAATGCGCCATTCGGTCGCGACGCCTTCTTACTTATTCCTTCGAGCTCTGAACAACCTGTTCTCATTAGTGACTTCGAAATCACAAGGCATACCGTCCTCGGTCGTCCCGTTATTGTCTCGCACGCCATTTCCTTCGCTTTCCCCGGCTGGTTGGATACCATTGTACACAATGGTCACCTTCCGCCCCGACATTAGCTACAGCACGGCGAAACAAAAAGCAGAGCGACAGCAGAAGATCCTCACCAACCTTGGCTGGTTGACTTCGGCGATGGGCATTTTAGGGGTCGGATTTGCGGCATTGAAGCTGGGTCAACATGCCAGATCCATGCATTAGGTTGTGAAATAGAATGACAGAAGAAGTAAAATGATGGGGGAAAAATCCGGAAGATGTCGTAAGCCTGGCCAAATGGGCTGCAGCTGAAAGAGCGGGTTTTAAATGATAAAAACGAGGTCTGAGGGCCCAATATCTGTGAAGAAGTGTGTGCATGCGGAAATGAACCTATTTTTGCCTTTTTTGTATGTTCAGTTTGTTTGTGGTCGAATGTTTGGATTCAGAAGAGATCCAATCAGGCAAGCGTAGAAACAACACAGCATTCGCCTCGTAGATTCGTATAGAGGAGACATGTTCGCAAATACAGATAGATCAAGGGAAAGCAACATCACAATAGAAACAGAGACATAACGACTGTGTATAGGGGAAAAACCAATAGACAGCTAGAAATACGCAAGACAACGAGGGGCAGAGGAGTTGCGAAGGACTGAAATCGGGAGAAGCGATAGAGTGTAGTGGGTCATCGCGGGAGTCATGAGGAGTTGATACAATAGAGGACAGATATCTGGAACTTGGAGCGTCCGGAGTCCAGGGAAACAAGGTATCGCCGACGAGCAGAAACGAGACGGAGCAGAATGGCGGCTACTACTCCTTTGACGTTGATACGGGTTTGCCCCGTTTCTTCTTTGGTGCACCTTCCTCCCCGTCGTCTTCCTCTTCGTCCTCCTTTGGAGGCTTGGGATTCTTCGGTGGTCTCCCGCGAGGACGTCTCGGCTTCTGTTCCTCGTCTGTCTTCGGCTGGTGAAACGTAGGAAGGTGTCATTCAGGTGAGAATACAGAGATATATGCGCGCGAGACATCGCGCATGAAACTCACTTTGGGTGGCCGACCACGCTTCTTCCTCGGTTCGCCTGTAGGGGTCGTCGACGAACCAGCAGCAGGAGCGGCAATCGAAACCGCCTCGCCGGGCTTCTTGTTTTTGCTGCCCTTGGGACGGCCGCGGCCGCGCTTTGCGGGCGTGGCGGGAGCTGGGTCTGCGACAGCAATGGGAGGAAACGCGCGCACGAGTTAGGATCTCGATAAGCGGACGGAGTTGATAGAAATAAAGCTAACCATGTTCCTCGCCCGCTGCCGCTCGGGAGTCGGCCGGCTGCTCTTCGAGCTGTTTTGCGACGGCGGCGTCCTCAGTGGTCGGTGAGACGGAGGACATAGTTGAAGCGGGGCGAAATAACTAGAAAGGAGGGATGGACGCAATTGGGGTGTCTTTTATTCGCACAAGTGACCGAACGATATCATAATAGTCCTATAATATATATATATGCGGACCCCGAAGCCAGAATTGTTCAACAACCCCCTAGCTACCAAATTATTATATTCCGATGTCCTGCGCTCCCACAGCATCCCTCGGAAGGCCCAGTTGCGGCCCACTGGGCACAGTTTCAGAGCGGTCGATTTGACTGATTTTTGTAGTTAGCGTCATGGGGGCAGCGATTGTCGACAAGGCGAGGAGACAGAGACGACCGCCAAAGGCTGTGAGTTCGCACGGTTGAATTTCCCGCGAAATTGGAGGGAAGCCCATCGACGACAGATGTTCGTCTGTTCTCGTGATTTATTACATGTGTACCAGAACCCCCATTTGATTATTTGTCTCCTTTCCTTTCTTTTTCACATCTGCTTATTACGTAATAACAGTTGTGACCAACGAAGCGTGCTAATGACACGTCGCGTGTCCTACCACATACTGTACTGTAATCTATATTCCGACTCGTATGGGCCAGCAATGCGTTTCTGTTACCTGCCACTCCCTCTGCTTTCTCTGCTTGCCTCACCAGTGCTCGCTGCGGGACCACATTGGTCATTAGCTGAGGACTTCTATGCGTTTCCAAAGTATCGCGTTGCCTTTCTTAACGGACTCCCCGTCCTGAACGAAACCGCGCAAAGATGGCTCCAAGTCGGTCTCAAGGGAGGCGAGCCAGAGTTTCTTGACCAACCATGGCAAGAACGAACCAGCAGGCCAGCATCTGAGCTCATGGGTATCGAGGGTGGTACTACAGAAAGAGTAAATACACGTGTTTATTTCCAGCTAATTGTCTCTCCTGTTAATGACAATAATTAGCCTGAGCAAAGTCGAGGAGCGGGTGACCTACCCCACTCGTCCCCATACAGACTAGAACGGATGAATTTAGCAGGGAAGAACTCATATATATGCCTAATACCGCCACCTGTGGAAAGTCATACAAAACCAGTCGAGGAACCGCAGATCGAAGCAACCGCAACTCAGAGTCTGAGCCTTCTACAGCCCCTGACGAATACATGCATATATGTCCGTCGTCCGTCTTCTTTATCGAAGCATTTGATGCGTCCATGCTAATTGTACTACCGAAGCATCGTCAAGGTTGGTTCACATACGCATATTGTCACAATAGCCATGTGCGCCAGTTCCGCGAAATGGCCCACTCCCACCCACATCATGCAGGTTCGCTAGTTATCTCCTACTCTAAACGGTTTACTCAGTTCCCCATTTTGGTTAGGTTATGTCCCCGAGGAAGATCCAGAAGTGAGAATCACTACGCCCGAAACTCACATGAATTTGTGTTCCTAATTGTTTGCAGTGGGAAGCTTACACGCTCGGACAAGCAGCTGCCGCTCCAAGCGAAGGTCGAGATCTGACGGTTGCCCAGCAAGAAGCACTAGCTAAAAGCGTGGATATCGTCAAGACGGCAGGCCATCGGTACCTTGTCCAAAAGATGGGCAGCGGCACTATTTGCGACAAAACAGGCAAGCCTCGGGAAATTGAAGTCCAGGTACGTGCAGATTTTGCGAATTCACATTATTTTAACTCCACAATACACAAGCTAAGCTACTTATTTTCCGTGCTCTACTGTGCAGTTTCATTGTTCACAAACAATGACGGATACAATCCTTTTCGTGAAGGAGACTTCGACGTGTCATTATATTATGGTTATTCACACACCACGCCTCTGCGGTGAGCCGGGCTTCAAGACCCGGCTCGAGCAGCGTGAGGAAGCGTTTATTCGGTGCCGTGAAGTTCTCGATTCACCTGAGGCGATCGCTGCTGTGGACAAATCTTTACCCGCAGCGCCACACCCGTTCAAGCGTCCTGCGCGTCCGCCGATCCTCGATATCCCTCCGCCGCCACCAGTTTCTGAAGCTAGAGGCAGTAATCTGCATCCCAGTCTTGACAAGAAGGCGTCGGATATGATCAAAGCTGCCATCGAGGCCTTCATTTCCGGCAAAGACGGGTCGAATCAACATATGCACGAAGGAGGAGATACGATTCTAGTCGCTGGTGAAGATGGCGACGTGCTCATCGACATCGAATTTATCGACGGAGATGACGCAGACGACACGATGGAGAAACTCGAAGGACTCTTAGATAAAGCCAGTGGGAAACTTGGACGACTGGAAGAGGCGCTCCGTGAAGCTGGATACAATGTTCACGCGGTACCACCTACTGATTCAGCTAGTGCCCCAGAAAAAGAAGAGAAGCAAGGTGACAAGGCTTCCGAGGATGAGAAGTCAAGACCTAAGCACGAAGAACTATAACCTTCTTACTCTTTATCACTGCTTTATTTTTGTGTAGACAGAATCATATGTTAACCAATTCCAAATGCATTTATTGTCCTCGACATGACGATGGGATAATCGTGAGCATGCGTTAGTATTACAACTTCTACATCCATCGCATGTATGATAGAATAGCTTAGATTTTCTGTCGGCACGGTAATATGTATATACGCAAAGCGCGGGAGGTGGAGGGGAACAGGAATATAAAGAAAACGGTAATACCGTTTACAGGATTTATCGGATGTAGGGATCCGCGCATGCGATATAAGATTAGAATAAAGACGAAAGAGAAGATGAAGGGCAAAGTCTACTATCTGAATGCAGAAGAATGCGTAAATTAGCAATGCCATACCGTAAGAACCCAAACGACCACCTTTGCTAAAACAACCGCTTCTTGGCAGGTTTGTCTTCAACAGTCACCTTGACGTGGCTATGGTCTGGCTTCTTGACGTTAGCATAGCAAGGTGTAATGCTCTTCAACCACTCGTCACCGTCGTCCTCGTCTTCGGGATCGCAGCAGTGGTCTTGACAATGTCCGGGGCTATCGATACCTGACTCCGTCGGCTTTGTACCGCTTGCGGTAGTGCAACCACATAGCAAAGCACTGTGTTTACCCTTTCCCTTAAGCAAGTCTGTGAGAGTGCATCGTGCCGTCGGCTCAACATGCATCATGCGTCGGAGCGCACTGCGGGTTTCGCGCGGAAGCAGGCGGAATATCGAATCCGCACCTCCGGCATTTGTCGTGACAACGCTGTCTGTCCTCTTACGTGGGGCTGGCACCGTAAGAGTACCAGATTTGGTAGAAGCATCGTCAACTTCTTGACGAGGTACGCGAGAAACAGGAGTAGGAGCGTCATCTGAGGGAGAGATTGGTGTAGACGAGGAACGCGGTGGGCGACGCTCCGCCTTCGGTGTCTCAAGTGCAGCTGCCACTGAAGGATCCTCCAATTCGGGGCTGACATCTGTTGGGCGGAGAACAGGCGATGCCGGAGCAGACGTAGTTTCAGCAGAGGGTCTGGCGAACTTCAAGTCGGAGGGATCAACAGCACGGGGGCTTTCCGACTGAGCCAAGGGTTGATCGGGAACAAGTAAGGCGGGCAATGTTGCAATAGAACCACAAGGGTGGTGTGCCTGAGCGTCTAGATACTCGTTCTTGTATAGCGAATTTGCATCACCGTTACTACAACCATCGCTACCAGATTCTGAAGTGGGTACGGTGATTTCCGAGCTACAATCACTCGGCGCAAGCAACGAGGACGCGAACGTTTCGGATGACGCAACACTTGAATCTTGGTCGGCAGATCCAGCACTGGCTGATCTCGATGACTGACGAAGAGAGTTACCCTTCGATATGGCAGTCACAGTAGAATTCGAGAGCCCCTTCTTCGGCGGCTTCTCGCAAAGGTCAGGATGTGCATGCACGAAGTTCCGGAAATTCGGGTCCGTCTTAGGATCAGGTAGCTTCCACGGAAAACGTCGAAGTACCATGCAGAGGAAGATCATCGCGACACTCCAAACGTCCGTTTTACGAGGATCGTAATTCTCTTCCGAGAGGACTTCCGGGGCAAGGTAGGGATCTGAACCGACAATGCCAGTCGCCTTGACTTGCTGCTTCCCAGGGTAATGGAAGACGGTGGCCGTGCCGAAGTCAATAAGCTTAACAACATTCTCCTCGGTCATAACGCAGTTATCAAGTTTAAGATCCCGGTGAGCAAGACCCATCGAGTGCAGATATTCTACTCCGTCACAAATTTGACGAAAAACGCAGTAAATCTCGGGTCGTGACATTTTTCCAGACATAACCACACTGAACAGGTCAAAAGGAGCGTACTCCATGACCTTTATGAGATGGAAGACAAGAAATTAGCTAATAATGACGTTGAAAAAAGTAATCCAGACTCGCCTCGTAGTAATGTCCGTGATCACTGACAATGTCCACCGTTTCAATGATGTTCGGATGATGCAGCGTACTTCCGACACAAAACTCTGCAGTAACCTTCTTCTGATACTCTTTCTCGGATTCACCATTACGTTTCGGGCGGAACTCCTTAACGGCGAAAATTCGACCACCGGATTTCGAGGAAGCCTTTATCAGGCGAACTGTACCCCCTGCGCCAGAGCCTAGCGTACGACCCCATTTGCCGTATTTTTTCGACAAGTGAGCGTGCGTAGCTTCCGATAATGTAAGAATCGCGTTGTGTCCATGCACCTTCTGTCCAAGTTGCTGCTGTGAACCGTGCTGATGGCGATTACCGGCTGAGTGCAACACATGCTGGAGGTGGCTGAGGCTAATCGTGCCGTGTCCGGAATCAGAAGGTGAGGCTCTCCCAGACTTGCTCGCCTTAGTCGCGTTAGTACTAGATGACGATGTCTTCTTCGGAGAGACCGATGAAGCATCATCGATGAGCGAGCTGTCTGGTCGACCTTTTGCGTGCCTCACGACGTCCTGCGTCACAGGTACATCGCTATCGCTGCTCTGCTTCTCTGTATTATCTATTGATCTCTTCTTCTCCGAGTCCTTCCGAGAGAAGGCCGACGCCACTCGAGACTTTTGAGGCTCACGCTCGTGCGTGGGTGGCATTTTGCCGTTGGTCGCCTGGATTACCGGATGCGGAGTGTTGTCGCCTGTACCATGCATCTCTAAATTTGTAAACCCAGGACCACGTACTTGCGTAGCTGGAGTCTCATGAGCCTCTGAGGGAGTGTGTATCGTGGTTCCCGTTTGTGAACCAGTACTAGAAGACGCAGAAGACGACACAGCGCGCTTTTGCACAGCAAGCTGCCCGGATGAACGAGTCTGATGTCCATGGTGGTGGGGAATATGATGGTTTAGAAAGCGCTTGAGCTCGTGCAGCGGGTTCTTGTGATCGTGTTTTGACTTCATCGGGACGGTCAATGTAGATGTCGACGAATCCGCCGCCGGCGCCGCGGAACTGGCGACCGGCTGTGTGCCTTGCGGTTCACTTGGCGTTGATGGCGTAGTCGGGGGCGTGAACGGAGAGCGAAGCCCAAAAAGGCTTCGCCGCCGTTTAGGATTAGCAAAGCGCGACGGGCTCGTTGATGTCTGCTCGGCAGGTGTGAGCGTGGCTGGCGACGCGGGAGAGATAGTGGGAGGAGAGGACGGCAGAGAGATGGAGAGGTTGGAGGATCGATGAGACGGGTTGGCCTGAGGGAATTAAGTGAATCATTGCGCATTGAACGGCAGGGCAAAGAAAGAAGGGAGGGCAATGACACAGATGAAATGACGAATACGGATTTGGGAAGGAAAGTTAAGACACGGCCGCGGAAGCGGCCACAGCCAAAATGTGATGCAAAGCAGCCCGCCAACTAGCAAAGCACGCGAACACTTACCTGCTCCTGAGCGGCACGGCCAGCGTCATCGACCTCGGGCACAGCTAGCAGGTTCGTCTGGCTGGCTGCTCGAGCACGAACACTCTCGGTCGGAGACGGGTCCTGGGACGAGTTGGACAACGGGCGCGACATGGACGATGAGTGAGCAGCGACGTCATCCGCGGAGACACGTCGCGGAAAGGGAGTCGGGAGCTGGGGTGCGCCCACGGTTGACAGTCTGCGGCCGGACGTGGTGACGATATGCAATGGGGCGGGGCCAGCCGCGCTCTTGACAGGACCTTGGTCAGGGGAAGATGGGGGAAGAGCCTTCGCCGAGGGAAATGCGTACGCCACGGGCTCCATTGGTTTGGCGGAGAGCATGGCGGCTGCTGGGGCGGCGAGTGCGCTGTCGCTGAACGCGATGAGTGACGAGAGTTGGAGGAGAATGATAGCAGGGGAGCAGAGGGAGGGGTCGCGCTTATTTCTGACCGATAAATGGTATGGGACGCTCGGCATCGGCATCGGCATCGGTCCGTTTCCGTGAACTAACGAATCACAGTTCAGTCCGGCGCTTGCTTCCGTCGCCCGCTGGCCACGGACACTGTGCGACACTCAAGGCCACCGATTCTCTTCAATGTTGACCCACAAAATCCACCCGTATTTCATGTCTCTCCCCAACACTCACAATACATATGTTACAACTTGTGTTTGTCAGAGAGGCCCGGCAACATCAAACACAGGCGGACACTGCCGCCACTGACAGTCTCCCACATTCACTGCGCTCAATTTGCTGGCCGGCCCAGCTACGGTCAATCTGGCTCGTAACCATTCACTCACCCTCCGGTCTCGGCCTGCACGTCACTGGAAATAATCGCATAGCTGCGCTGCTTCTATGCGCGAACATCACTCTGGAAAGTCGCCTCATCTTGCCTCTTCTGCTGCATTTCATCCCTCGGTACATGTGCCCATCCTCTTATGGCTACCCCGACCCGCCACGGAGCGTTTGAACCGTGCTCCCTACTGCATTTCTTCCACCCCGGCATCTCCCACACAACACTCAAGTTTCTCTTGGGCGCCCTCTCAAGCCTTCTTGTCTTCCGTTCAGTATCATCGCTATCAATGAAGGCACGTTCGATCTCCCTCGTCTCGACTGTAACAAAGCTGGATGCCTCAACCAAAAATGAGTCCGATAATCCGAATCTTCCCCGCGTTTTCGGCAAACGATATTTTGATGACTAAATGCGTGCTATGTTAGCGATGGCAGGACAGGACCAATCGGCACAATACAAAATGCTAGTCACCCCTTTTTGATATTTTTACCCCAGGCCGCGGGGCATGAGAGTTTCACAGCGAATTTCCACGCAACAACAGCGCGTGGTTCGGGCGGTTCGCCCCTCTATCGCCTATGGAGGGTCACCACGGAAGACTCAGCCAGTCATGGTGCAGCATTGTCCTGCCAGGCAAAGTAACAAGTATCCTTTCTCTTCGCTCTTTTTCCCACGTAAATTGGTCAATCAGTCTAAGGACTAGACTGCTAAGAGGTGTTCCTCGGAGAACACAAGTTCCAAAGGAACCCATCGGCGGCGGATGCAGCACGTGTTACGCGCAATAAGCATCCATTTGTCACTGTGTCATGTGCTCGAAACTCCGAATGAGCGAAATCTGGGAAAGACAAATGGTTGGCTACCAAAATTGGAACACTGTTTGAACACGTAATGCCAAAAGTGGGGCTGAGTGTGTAGCTTCGGCTTCGGCAAATGTTAATCACTTTTGAACATTACGAGATTCGGAAGGCCGTTCCGGGCGGACGGCGGCGTCGGAAATGACGCACAGTTTCTGCATAGACACATACACATCCGTCATTTGTTCACGTACTGGTATTTCTTGCGCTCCAACGCTTCAATCCTCATCCTCGTCATCTCCATTCCTTTTGATACCAGTCCAGGTAATTCGTTTTCGGCTTGTAGATAAGGTACACGAAAGTTAAATTCGACAAGCCATGTCACGTCACAGTCACAACCCTCGCTTACCCGATATGGAAGGACCCTGCGGCCAAAATCGTGAGCTTCACCAACATCACCAGAAGCCTCTTGTGGACAAAGGCTCAGAAGTGACAGAGATTACATATATTCAGAGGATTTGAACTTATAAGATTGCTCTATTCAAGTTCTGAAGCTAAATTTCAGTAGTAGGCTTTGAGCACTAACACGTCCTATTTGTATTATAAATATTTGATTAGTAATTTTATTTGTAATATACTATATTTAGTATAATTAGTCATGTTATATTATTTGTCAGCGGCCAAAATCTTCTCAAGAAAAATTCAATTTTTTCTTTTACTTCACTAAATGAAAGCAAAATAGAAAATAAGCTGTTTAGTATTGAAAAAGTTGAAATTGTTATAACTTTTCCATTTTTCATAATTTTGAAAATCCGTTCCACAGAAATGTAGAGAATTGTATCTACTACATTTCTGTGGTCTTACATTATTGATTTTTGCCTTGTAGTGGGACGAGTTTCGTTGCCAGTCTGTAAGCTAGGAAAGGAAGTTAGGGTTTGATCACGTGCGTCACACTGCTTGTCGAGTTTAACTTTCGTGTACCTTAGATAGGATAGATTACAAATTGATTCCCCACGTCCCCAACTCGTTTTGTGTGCCAGAATGGAGGCACAACACGCGCCGAACCTCCCGCCTTCATGTTGAAAATTTTCGTAATTATGGTGGAAGTCATATCGGTCCCTTACCTTTGATCCACATCACGGCGCGGAACGGCCGGACAGGCAAGATAATCGCGATTCCAACGATATGCGGTTCGACGACGTAGTCTAAATCCCTCTTGGCAAACTCTACAATTTCTTCGCTGAAACTGCTAGAAAGTCGTACCTTACGGCAGACAGTGCGCATACTGTAGGATTGGTTGCGGCGGTATCGGTGCCTGCACGTGTGTGGACCAGCTTATGCATATCGACAAATCGTAGTGATAAAGCTACAGCGATCTGAGCGCAAATCCATAAAGTAATTTTTCATGACTTCAATTGTCTCACTTCGGCCCTACCTCTTACTGTTACCTCAGAACTCGCCTTTCTCCGAAGGATTCTGCTTGTAAATCTTGCAATCATTGCGCAATTCCGATCCGATCATTGGAATTGTAGAGGACCATATCATGAGGATGCCATCCAATTTATTTCTTTTCTTTCAACAAACTTTGAGTTTGGTTTTGCATGAACACGCATCTTCCTCGGAGCCATCATACAGGAACCTAGACCTCTGACCCTGAACATAATCCGCATTATCAAATGCTCCGACGATATTGCCCACATGCTGATATGTATAGGACAAGACACAAGAAAGTTCTCCATACGCCCTGGACATGTTGTACGCAATCCACGGACCCTAATATCCTGTGAGGAGTATCATATGTACCGTGAACACTTCAACCTTGGTCATCTGCATCCCGCTTTCTCTTCATCTCCCGCGTCACGCGTGCCTGTGAAGCCTATGTAACGCAAGGAAGTTAGTGAACTGATCTTTGAAGTGAATTTGTGAAGTGAATGCAATTACCTCGTGTTTCGCTAACTCCGGAGGTACTTTTGATACAGGACTCTTGGAAATTTCTGGCAAGTAGTAGAGGTTAGTGAGCACCAGCTGCATACTTTTGACAGAAATAGTAACTACAGACCTTGACGAAGGTCGTACATGACCTCATCATCGTCATTCGTGAGGAACGTGATCGCCGTCCCGACTTTACCAGCACGACCAGTACGACCTAAGCAACACATCAGTTAATCCGTTAAGACGCCACAGGAATGAAATTCATACCAATTCGATGGACATAAGCTTCAATGGTGTTTGCCATCTGGTAATTGAGCACGAGACTCACATCCTGGACGTCAATACCACGCCCAGCAAGGTCTGTTGCAACCAAAACGTCCGATTCGCCATTGCGCAAGGACTGCAATGCTGCCTCTCGCTGTTCTTGGTTCTTCCCAGAGTGTAGGGTTGTTGCACGTACCTATATCAGTTATAGTTAGTTCCATATTCATAGAGATAGAAGGTAATAGAACTACTCACGCCTGCCCGCTGAACGTCTCTGCACACCATGTCTGCGGTCTTCTTTTGGTTCACGAAGACGATGATAGGTGCAGGGAAACCATCTTTACTAAGAATCTCAATCATACGTTGCCTAAAGCAGCTGTCAGTATTCCGGTTGCGCATAACTTAAAGGAAATGAATAAAAACTTGCCTCTTCTTTTCATCTCCGTTAATGAACTCGACGCGCTGCTCAACGGTGTCGACTGCACGACCAGCTTCACCAATCGTAACGATCGCCGGTTTCTTTAGGTATTTCCGTGTAAGGCGCTCAACGGCCGGCGGCATTGTTGCAGAGAACAGAGTAGTCACGCGAGTGCGACCCCTCCGCACCATTTCGCCGTCAACGTCCATCATTCCCTCGTCCTCGCCCTTCAGCATCTCTGATGGAAGCTTATCGAGAATGAATGTCAAGTCGACTTCGAAGCCGAGATTCACCATACGATCCGCCTCGTCCATGACGATGTAAGAGCATTGCGAAAGCACAATAACGTGTCGCTCAATTACATCTTTCAGACGTCCAGGCGTAGCAATGATGATTTCAGCACCTTCACGCAGATTGAATTGCTGCTCCTCCACGGAACGCTATAATTAGACAGAGCGGGTCAGCGGAAGTCCTGAAAGAGAAATTGGTAATTAACATACTCCTCCAACAATTGAAACGCATTTGAATCCTAGAGGCGATGCAAACTTGCGGGTTTCGGACTCGATCTGCTGAGCAAGTTCACGAGTCGGCGCTAAAATTAGAGCATATGGTCCCAAATGCCGATTGTCCTCAGTAAAAGGTGGTAAATTAGAAATATACGTGAGCATCGGTATGACGAAGGCGGCCGTTTTACCCGATCCTATGATAAATCATTATTATACTACTTTTAAATTAGAACAACTGCAAAGAGCATACCTGTTTCCGCGATACCAATAAGGTCTCGGTTTTGCAGTCCGATCGGAATCGCTTGCCGCTGAATTGCTGATGGCTCCTTATAGCCGACCTTTTCTACAACTTCTAAAATAGTTGGAGGAATTTCGGATTCCGTCCATGAACGAAGAGGATGTGGAATTTGACCGCCTGAAAACCCCAAGTCAGTTCAGCAACTCAGTGTTTTGAAATGCATCTTACGAACCTCTGGTAGCGATACTGAAGTCCTCCCTAAAGATTCTCCAGTCTCTATCTTTCATCTGGCTTAGAGGTTTTTCCGTCCAGTGTCTTTCGTCCAATCCAGATTTGGCGGCCTTCCTTCTCTCCAATGTATCCGAGAACTTCGTCTCCGCGTTACCTGAACCTCGCCTCACGCCCCCACCATCATCCATGCCCGCAAGATGGCCTCTTCCGAACATAACCTGAGCGCCTTGTCTATTTGCGCCAGCAGCAGTCGGTGAATCTTCTGCGAGCGTATCGTCCTGCTCATCCCAATCGAAGACGAACTTACGATCATTCATCTTACGTATCTTTCGCTTCTTTTTATCGACACCAAGATAGCGGGACCGGATTGCGCTTAGGTCGTTGTCGTTCATCTGTGGGACGAACGTCGAGGATGTGTCGACAAGAGTAGATGATCCATTTACTGCGGGGGGTGGCACGGAAGGTGCTGGGGACGCAGAGTGAGAGGTTGCAGCGCTTCTTTCGCGATCTGCTCGAGGTGCTGTCGGAACGTTGTGTAAGCCAGAGGAAGGTGGTGCTCTATCACGGTCGCGGTCACGATCGTCTCGTCTGGGTCCTCGTTGGTCTCGGCGACCATATCTGCCATCTCTTTCTCTATCCTGGTTACGATCATCATCTAAAGAGAATATATGGGTCACTGTCAATGAACGGTCTGGGAATAAATGAGACGACAATTCACTGACATCGACTGCCTCTGCCATACCTGTTTCCCTCGTCCCGGAATCTCTCCCGATCGCGCAGAGCGTCTGCTTCACGCTCCAAGGCTTCTCGTTCGCGTCTCTGGGATTCTTCCTTCTCCTTCTGTCCCCTGATCTCCTGTGCACGCTTCTCTATTGCAAGTTTTGCGCGTTCCTCCTTTGAAAGGAACTTGGGCTAAGAATGACGAATAAGTAAATAAGTCTTTTATAGGAGAGGAAGAATATACCTTTGAAGCAGCTTCTCGCTCTGCACGCTGCTTCTCTAGGAGCGACTCTATCGAGAGTGGCTCTACTTTAGCCATAATGAACAGTACGATGAGTGAACAAGTTAAAGAGAGGAGCCGAGCAATTGGAGGAGACAAAAGAGGAAATGTTGAGTCAGATGACGTGCCTGTGTAACCGCGCGCTGATCGCATGCGGTGACCGTAGCGTTCCGACCACCATGTCGTCCACCTCCTATGGCAGTCCACGATTGTTGCTGCGCGTCCAGCTTGCGCTTACTTGCATATCTATTGCAGCCAATGCGTTAGTCCAGCTTAATATGCTGTATTAATGTCGGTTTACTTACATCGGAATGTAGCTTGTGTGCTGGTGGCATATTCACCTTCCCACTCCTTTCGCCCAGTCTTGCTGAGCATCTCAAGCTCACCCAGCCGCAACTGACGACCATCGTTCTTGCGTGAGCCTTCAAGAATATCATGTGCATATGCAAAGCAGGGTCTCTGACCGTGTTATACACTTAGTGGAATGATAGGCCAGTATCCGTTTGCAGCACTTGTAGGCAAGGCTATTGATAGATATGGCCCCTGGTCGTGCTCCCTGGCATCATCCGTCCTTTTCTCCGTTGGATTCGGTGCATTCGCACTCGAAATTGCCAAGACTCCCGACGACATCACACTACCCTCGAATTCATCATTTGAACGACTCACGCTCTTCTTCTTTATGGCAGGCCTGGGAACGGTCACTTCGTATGTTGTTGCTCCTGCGTTCCGGTTCTATACAAGACTGACATATTTACAGCTACTTCTCATCGCTATTTGCTGCCTCGAAGAACTTCCCCGAATACATCGGTGTCGCTTCGGGAACCAGCATGGCTCTCTTCGGGCTATCTCCGCTCTTTCTGTCACTTCTTGCCTCGACTTTCTTTACCAGCGATGAATCCGGACTGAATGTAATCAAGTTTGTCTCATTCATGGCTATTCTTGCGGGTATTGTCCATATAATCGGCGCCATTAACCTACGAACCCCGGATTCCCCTTCGATAGTCTTAACAGAAGCCGAAGAAACTCGACAGGATGAAGAGAACGTTGCAGTGCGGGATAATGATGAGCGAACGCCGCTCATACTTAAGAAGGCGCAGCAATCCGTGGAAGTCAGCGTTGTTCCTGTTGAACACAATAACACTGTATTGGACTTACTAAAGGATCCATATTTCTTGCTTTTGGGGTTGACAACGTTCATTTGCCTCGGGTCGGTACGTACATCCGTCTAGCATGACTATAATTAAGAGTGCTTATCGTCGAAACTAGTGTGAGATGGTTATCAGCAACATCGGTTCGATAGTCGTTTCTATGCCTTCTACATCTCCCGTTCCTGCATCCCTTCCGAGCGATGCTGCTTCTTCTGTTACCGCAACGCAAGTTCGTTTGTTATCACTCGCAAACACGATCTCGCGTTTGTTTGTTGGTCCTCTTGCGGATTTCGTGTCTCCCGTGGCGTCATACCTTCCTTGCGGAACAATCTATTTTGCCCGCAAGCACCTTGTCAGCCGTGTTGCTTTTACCTTTGCTGCAAGCGCACTGCTCGCGTTGACATTCGGCTGGATGGAGTTCGGTGTATCTAGCAGAGAAGGACTTTGGGCAGTGAGTATAGGCACGGGTATCGCGTATGGCGGGTTCTTCACCGCCCTGCCCGGCATTGTGTCGGGAGTTTGGGGCCTTTCTAACCTAGGGAGAAACTTTGGTGTCATTACATATGCGCCCTTCCTCGGCACGCCAGCATTCTCATACCTTTATGCGTTTGTCGCGGCCTCGCACAGCGACGGGAGCGGTGTGTGCACTGGACCTGAGTGCTGGCGGCTCACGTTTGCAATTGCGATTGTTTCGGCAGTGATTAGCATGGCGTCAAGTGTTATATTATGGAGGCGTTGGAGTGGACGTATATGAAGCGCATTGATATCCGATATCGCCAGCATTTTCCGCTGTTCATGGCCCTGCAGCTACAATTATATATTTATCTAGAGGAGACCTCAACCATACTGTACTACTAACTTGATACTCCATGTATGCATTCATCTGTACTATTATAATAAATAGAGCGCATGAACCTTGCATTGTACGGCTAGTGTATCTTTACGCGCGAGTAATGACGCAGTACGGCGATCAGCGGCAATTGACGGCAAAATGATGCCAATAACCGTCATTTCTCTTGCAACACCCATCTTCAAACTTACCATGTCCGCAAAGTCGCTTCTGGCTACTGTGCTGCACGGACTTGGTGCCGCTATTATGACATGGGGATACCTAAGCCTCAAGACCACCGTCATGCATACCTTGATTAAGGACCAGAAGAGTGGACATTCACAGTTTCTGACGGTTCAAGCGTGAGTCGTCTTGCCACATAATTTGAACAGTAATTGATGTATACCACCTTTTTATGCCTTTTCCACATGAAGCCTCCTTATTTCGTTAATCACAATGGCACTTAGCTTAGCTCGTGATATCCTTCCCGTTAATCTATGTAAGTGCTCGACGTTATATGGCAAGTTGATGTTGCTAAGAAAAAAAACTACATTTTTATAGCATTCCCTAGAACACTGCTCATGTACGCCAAGCGCGCATTATTCTTGATTGCTCTGCCCGTGAGTCTCTTTCGTGGAATTCAGAATTAGTGCTGAACATACCGTCACACGACCAGCTATCGGTGGTCGTAACTTCGATTTACTGGACCCTCATTGTGTTCTTCCCCACACTCATCCTTCGACGTGCTCCTGAGCCTTCTGAACCGTCTGCTGAAGGGTTCGACGATCTCTTGCGTATTCCACTCAGTCTCGACCTTGCGCTACATGCCGCTCCTGCAATTACACTCCTCTTGGATTTCTTTCTCTTTGAAAGAAGCTACGGACCTCGCGCGGCGAACCTTGGCGCTACCGTGGTGAGCGCTGTATTCTCCGTGTGGTATGCCGTTTGGGTGGAGTATTGTGCGAGTTTTAATGGAGTTTGTGCGTAATCGTTTACTTCCATATACTTTCGAGCTAAATTTATTTTTATGGTTCGTCTCCACAGTTCCATACCCATTCCTAACGGAAAATACATTCCCTATCCGTGCCGTCATATATATCGTCGTAACCGCCATTGCGTTCTTGTCCTTCCACGCCATTAACACGGTACACAAAGTCCTTACTGGACGCTATACCCCCATAAAGGAGAAGTCTACATGACACATCTACTAGAAATGCAGTATTAGGATATTCAGCAGTGCGTGTAGAAATCTAGAGCAATGTTCTGATGTAGAGATACTGTAGATGATTTCGATGTTTACCCTTCCTTCCATCCTTTGAAATACAAATTATACATCACATACTGTTCACGGAGAACATACGTCATCGCGATCGACGCTGATTTACAAACTCCTGCAATGCAATGAAAATCATTGAACTGAAATGTATTCGATCGATCGTATTCTGTTAATTGTACATGACATGAATGCATTACTCGAGAACAAACTTGCAATTCATACAGTCATTCAGGCATACTCCATCCATAAAACCAATTCCACAAGGCACGTGAGGTATAGCAACACCAGGAACATCTATCAATTTTTGTATACAATTCTAAACGTATCTGTTTTTTCCGACTCCGATTGTGTAGTTGTTGGGGTATATTGTTTGTTGAGGAATTTATGAACGGCATTAACGATTCGGAGGGATAGCACTGCAATGGCGGTCACGGCAATGTATATGATAACTCGGATAGCAAAGGGATTCCCATTCAGAAAAGGGTATGGGTCTGTACAAACGAAGAACATGAATTAATATTGACTCAAAGAAAAAATGAAGTAACGTACAAACTCCATTATAACTTGCACAATATTCTACCCATGCAGCATAACCCGCAGAAAATGTACATAGATGGGTTGTACCGCGCTTCACCTCACCAGATCCGTAGCTCTCATCGAAGAGGAAGAAGTCGCCGAGAAGTGAGAGTATAGGTGCGGCGTGTAGCGCAAGGTCGAGACTGAGTGGAACGTGAATAATGTCACCGGACACATTGATAGAAGTTGGTAAGGACGGGTTGGGAACACGTCCTATGATGAGTGTCGGGAACAATATAGCGGAGATCCAATATATCAAAGCAACGTCAACAGATAACTAATGATATGACAAGAAGTTTTAGCTGACTGGTCGTAGACCAGGACAGTGCTTTCTCTCCATGAAAGGAAGGGCTTACCGGAAGAGCAATCAAGAAGATCTTGCGTTTTGTTTCGTGTATCGTTCTTCGGAGAGATGCTGACAATGATTTTCAGCACACTTTGACAATCACTATATATTTTACGCTAGAACACATACTTTGAGTTGTCGGCAGGACATCACAAGCTAAACTGAGAGCCTCTGTAAGTAACGACATGTCAAGACTTCATGAGGAGAAAGAAGAGCACGAAAATCCATCAGTTTTTAATTTGATGCAGAAGTTTCATATAACTCACGCTAGAACCGTCATGAATTGCCAGTGACCGCCTTTCTGATCCTTCACTAAGGAATACATTATTGTACGTTCGATTCCGAGATGTCCCCACGTCATGATAGCGACACCGACCCCGTGAAGCGCTGTTGCAAGACGTGCTTTCATGGAGATGGCAGACTGAAGGATGGATGGGATCACTCACTGCATGGATGTCCAGTCGGCCATCAAAGGTGCAACAAGTCGCATTACTAATTACATCCACCTAGCTCTTCAATATGAAGCATTGTACAGGTGAAAGCTTTGGTGCACAGAAAACCGGGTGAATAGAGTTGCGTCCTCATACAGAGCACTGTAATTTTATCAGTGATCAACATACTGGGCGCCATACAGACGGGATTTTTTAAATTTTAAACCTTGACTTGTGGGAAAGGACCTACGTCATTTCTTGATCGACACTTGCGAAACCAAAAGGCGTTGACGACCTTACTGTTGCTTGTCTTCATTCGAGATTGACACCCTCTACGATGTTTAGGCTCTCTAGACCATTTCAATCCCTGTGCAACACTTATAATACTCGAAATGTATTCAACTCTGCGGCTCAGTGTGCAAACAGTGCACGGACACTGACCATCAAACCTGCGATAAAACACACTTTAGTTCCCCAAGCTCGCATCCTGTCCACGTCTTCTGCATCTTTTCGGAGCGATTCACTAAGGCATGCAGCCGCTGGAAGTCAAGCAAGGTCGAATTTTTGGAACACATCAGGCTTCAAAAGCGCTACTGCGCTTGCTGGTATCAGCCTTGGTCTTACTAGCTTCCTGGTCCAACGGCAGCCAGTTTCCTGCGATGGTATGTTCACATCTCAACTTTGTCCCCCAATCCCCACATCGGACTAATTACACTTGATCAAAAAGCACCTCCTCCTAAACCCAGCGCTAGAGCTTCTCCAAGCCCCGACTCAATGCCAAAGGATCTCCCTCCACTCTCTCCACCTCCACATTCCTCTTTTAACACGTTCGAACTCGGATTCGGGACTGTCGCTGGTATATGTACTGGAGTATTCGTCAAGAAGGGTGCAAAACTACTGGCTTTTACACTTGGCGGGGTTTTCGTTTTGCTGCAGGTACAGTCCACGTCACTTTCATTTCACCTTGGATTTCAATAACGATGCTGTCTTATCTATCAGTATCTTGTCAACCTGCGTCTAGTACGAGTTAACTGGTCCCGAGCAGAGTCGCGCTTCCAAGACATGTTCTATTCACGCGAAAGAGTCGTGGGAGGAGAAGTAGTAAAACGTCCACCGACATTACTTTCACTTTGGCGCTGGCTTGTCGACTTCTTAACGGCGGATTTTCCTCCACGAGCAACGTTCATCGCCGGGATGGCACTCGGATTGCGTATTGGGTAGTTCATAGGCTTCGACTGATCGAGTAAGGAATGCCGTAGTATACAGATTGTTAAAACCGAACAAATAAAGACACGCATAAGCATCAGGCATACATTGTTTAACCATACGACATGATGTAAAGCCGCGTTACAGTAACAGACGACCTCAGAACATAAGCCGGTTATACCCGCACGCAACACCCTAAACTTTAATATGATCAAAGAACTCAGAGCTTCGCTGCGTTAGCTGCAGAGAGGGTCTGTCCAGCAGCTTTGGCACGCTTGCGGAGCATCTGGGTAGACTTGTTGCCTCGGATTCCTCCACCCCACTGGCGACGAACCTCGTCGTACTTGTCGGAGCTATAATTTAATTGTCAGTAAAACATAAAAATAGCCATGATCATTCAGAACTGACAAGTTAGCCTTAGCTGCGGAGACAATGTTACTGAGTTCTTTCTGGTCTTCAGAGCGGACCTCCTGCACGGTCAAGACAGCAGCTGTCTTCTTGTGCACAACAGTGCCGAGGCGGGCCTTGCTCTTTACGATAACGTAGGGGACACCCATCTTGCGGCACAAAGCTGGGAGGAAGATAACGAGCTCGATGGGGTCAACATCATCGGCAATAACGACGAGTGAAGCCTTCTTCGCCTCAATGAGAGCAACGCAGTGGTTGAGACCGTACTTGACGAAGAGCGGCTTTTTCTCAGGCTTCTGCTCCTTGTCCTGGGCGGTCGCGGCAGCGGTAGAGGCAAGACGCGCCTTCTTCTCCTGCTTCGTCTCAGGGCGATACTTGTTAAGAAGCTTGAAGAGCTGAGTTGCTGTGTTCTTGTCCAAGGTGTGCGAGAACTGTGCAATCGCCGGGGGTACCTTGAGGCGTTGGTGGAGAATGACCTTCTGGCGCTGCAAGCGCACATACTCAGGCCATTTGACAAAGCGAGTCAAATCACGCTGTGGTTGAGTATCCTGACCTGTTCACATCCGGCAGGTCCGTTAGTCAATCCCATCATATGCTTGACTTATGCAGAGACTTACCGATACCGAAGTTTTTCGGGCGAGCTTCGAAGAGAGGATTCTTCTGAGTCTTTGTGCCTTTTGACGCACCGAAAGGCGCGGGGGCAGGTTTCTTGCCGGACTTGGCTTTCGGAGGCTGGTCATTGAGACGAGAATAGTCAGCGTCATGTGCACAATGTTTTCAAAATACACAATAACGAGACGACTCGGAGCTCTATCGCCCGTACCATACCAGGTGCGGGCCCAGCAAAGTGCACACCATCAGCCTGCTTGAGAGCAAGACTTCAGTGCAGATGTACGAGTGAAATTGGAGGATGCAAAATCTGTAGACAAAGTGAGATCTACGGGCTAACGACATCCATCAACGAGGCGCACCATCCATCCATTTCCAATGACTAAATGCACATCTCGCTGGTCTATTCGAGCTCCTCGCCGTCACACAAGTGCATCTCGACGATGAAACTCACCATTTTGAAGGATGTTAACGAGGGACGGCGGTCTTGAGGTCTTGAGGTGGTCGGGTGATCAAGGAAAATCGAGAGAAAATCTGGACGGAAATTCACGTATGTAAAGGTCACGTGCGTGAAATTTCCATCCCAAAATTTGGATTGCAGCTTCCTTGAGAGTGAAGTGAGAAGAAACCGACACACCGAACATGGGCCGCCGTTCGAAAAACAAACAGCCTGCACCTGGGCCTCTTACTGAGAAGAGTAACCGAACGCTCGCGCTTTCTTCACCCAAAAAACTCGGAAAGCGCAAGCAAGACCCGGAACCAGAAAACAGATCTACGAAGAAAGCAAAGAGGAAAGAGAGCTCGGAGCTTGCCAACAAAACCAAGGCAGAAAGGGCGAAGTCAAGGTCTAAATTACAGAAAGCAGAGGATGAGGGTGACGGTGAGAGCGGTGAGAGCGGTTGGGACGGCGTGAACAACGACGATAATGACTTGAAGGCGGAAAAGCAGTCCGTGTTAATCTTTTGGATTATTCAGTATTTCATTTTGACCTTTCCGCAGAGCCTTGTTTGATGATAGTGATGGCGAACAAGCTGAGTTCGTAGGTGACCTGGACGATCTGTCCGGCGAAGAAGACGAGTAAGTCTTTTAACTCTTGATATATTCCAATTCAACTCAAAGTTGTACCTCACTTTTTAGCTACTCACTATCGGTATGCTTAGCTATCAAGCACATTTAATTTCATCTGACGCCTTCTCAATCAGAAAAATGCTGCTCAAGAACTCCAGCTCGACTCCTCGTCCGAAGACGATGAGACACGAGTGTCAAAGGAGAAAGCCAAGTTCAAAACGTCCGCGAAAAAACGTGAAGAAACCGCAGAAGACTCGGACTCGGAAGCATCTTCAGACATCGATTCAGACGATAATAGAGTCACTGCTGCAAACTTCGAAGCACGAGCTCGGGCTCTCGATGAGCAGGCTGCCCGTGATGCTGAACTGGATGCCGAGGAACTCCGACAAGCTGCACTCGATATGGACGAAGATGAGGACATTGAGGGAATAGATGTCGATGATGTCGATGAGACCGGCCAGGGAGATGGCGATGGGTTTGAACTACCTACAGCGGAAGAACGCGAAGAGGAACGTAAAACAGGTGCACAGGATTTAGGACTTGTGCAGCGTCGCATGCGTCATTGCGCTCGCGTGCTCTCAAATTTTAAGCGACTTGCCGCGAAGGATCGGTATGCATTCTATACTAAATACCTTGAGATATTTTTTCTAATCACAGACTCCAAAGGTCACGCTCGGAATATGTCGAGCAGTTATTGGCAGACATTGCGAGCTACTATGGGTACAACGACTTTCTCACCGAAAAATTATTCCATCTTTTCCCAGTGCTGGAGGTAATCCAACTATTTGTACGCATGACGGTTCATGTACTTATCGGTTTATCTTCAGGCGATTGAGTTCTTTGAGTCGAACGAGCTTCCGCGACCAGTCACTATTCGTACCAACACCCTTCGAACGCGACGCAAGGACCTTGCACAGGCGCTCATCGCTCGCGGTGTCTCTCTCGAACCACTTGGAAAATGGTCTCCGGTCGGGTTACAAGTCTTCGAATCGTCAGTTCCCCTCGGCGCGACACCGGAATACCTTGCTGGACATTACATGCTCCAAGCTGCATCATCTTTCTTGCCAGTAATGGCTCTCGACCCGCAACCAAATGAACGTATTTTGGACATGGCGTCTGCTCCTGGTGGGAAGTCTTCATATATCTCCGCCCTGATGCAGAACACAGGTGTGGTCTTTGCGAACGACGCGAATAAGTCGCGTACAAAGAGTTTGACGGCGAATATTCATCGTTTGGGGTGCAAGAACGTCGTCGTATGTAATTATGACGGAAGAGAGTTCCCGAAAGTTATCGGAGGCTTTGAACGAGTTCTGCTTGACGCACCGTGCAGTGGAACCGGTGTCATAAGCAAGGACGCTAGTGTCAAAGTCAATAAGGTTGGTCGCATACTTCCTGATTGTAAGATTTTGCATTAATAAATCCTCTATAACAGAGTGCACGCGACTTTGCACTCCTTTCACATCTACAAAAGCAACTCATCCTTTGCGCAATTGACAGCGTAACCGCTTCCTCATCCTCCTCACCTGGGATTGTCGTCTACTCAACATGCTCTGTCACAGTCGACGAGAACGAGGCTGTAGTCGACTACGCCCTCCGCAAGCGGCCGCACGTACAGTTACTAGAAACTGGACTAGCATTCGGCCGCGACGGCTTCACACGTTACCGCGGAAAAGTGTTCGATCCAAGCGTAAAGCTCACTCGTCGTTTCTATCCACACGTGCACAACATGGACGGCTTCTTTGTTGCAAAGCTCAAAGTTGGTCGTCCACAAAAGGGTGCGCAGAAGCGCACAACGGAAACCGAAAGCGGAAAGAAGAACGTGGAGCCAGTAGAAGCTGCTTCAGACGCGATGGATGTAGATGGCGTGGCATTCGATGAGGATGAAGATAGACCGTATCTTGAGGGTCAGTACCCTTTTCCTTCATGAGCGTTGAACGCTATTGATTTTATTGTCCGAATAGCAAATAAACGACGACAGATGAAGGCGAAAGGACTGCGTGTTCCTCCACGAACCGTGCAAGCAAGCAAGCCCGCTAGCTAGGATCGTAATCGCATTCTTTTAGGTCTTTGTACTACTTTATTCTCTGCCTATACATCCACGCGTTTTGTTGCCACGGAATTCTGCAATATAAAGCAATTTGCATTTTCTCGCTGCTGTATTCTCGGTATATATACATATGTTCGTTCATATAACAATACACAATACAAACCGGGCGAATACCATCATAAATAATTGACTGAGCAAAGTACAACTTACACGTCTCCGAGAACCGGTTTAGGCATAGACTTTCCAGACATTAGTGAACCTCCTTTTAATCTACGGGAACCATCGCAAGGTCAGGCCTTCAATGTTTGTTCTCTGAATGAACAGAGTATGACGTTAATTCAGAATTTATTATTCAGGATATGGATATACTCACTCATGCTTCATTCTCCGACTGAAAATGTCCCAAGCTGTGCAAATGCAAGCTATCCAGAGTAATATAGCCGCAGTGAGAGTCATCCATGTCTACAGAGGGCATGATGAACGTAAGCAAAGTCAAGCCAAAAGAACATCGACCCGGGAACTGAAGAGAAATTAAAAGACGTACACCACTACCCCAGGTCGCCTTAATCTGCCCACCGAGTTCAGCGTTTATTCTGCGGCGGACAACCGCAACGAAGATGATATCTATCAACGCGGCAACTGTCCCAAGAAGCGCGGCGAGCAAGTGCGCGACAAGGCCAGCATATTCTGAGAACGTTGGTCTCGCATCTTTGTCGAAGTGTGTGAAGAAGATTGAAGGTACTGTGGTGCGCGCGAGTATAGCTAGGGCACAAACTGTATTTCTCTAGTCAGCACAGAAACATGAATCTTTCCTTTATTAATGTCCGTACGTACCGATGGGATGGAGTACGAGGGCTGAAGTCACAGACGACGACACATCATCAGAAATGCTCGAAATATTAGGTATGGAACTGAAGCAACTGTTGTTGAGTATATATGCGCTAGAAGATATTCAGAAGAGAACATACAAAGCATTCTGGACCGTCTGATCGAAGGTAAAACCCAAGCCAGCTTTTGTGCACTGTACTATTCTGTTCGAAATTCGATTGTTGAATCAATAACCCTTTACGAAAAAAATTACCGTATATCTTACTCGGTGCTGATAGCAGCATTTATGCAGTAACCCCAGATCCCAAAATCCACGGTTCGAGTCGCCTGGACAGTAGCATTAGCAGGGCCCTCAGTTATCGTCCTGGTTAGCTTAAGGAGGTCCACAGTGTTGATAATTGGTACGGACAACGACACGATCAGCAGAAGCCAGATAGCTACAAAAGACGAGAGAAGAGCTACGAGTAATGCGATGGGGACACCTGGGTATGTGCCACGCATTTTTCTCGACATGAAAGAGAAAGGGTTGCGCGTTACACCTGTCCCAGGAGGCGAGGCCGAATTCGTCCAGTCTAGTAGAATTTGAAAGTTGAGAGTTCCATCCGGAGGTAGGCTCAGGCTACCCCTTCATTTCGGGGATATGTATGATGTGCACCAGCGCCACTCCAGAGGCTGGACTGTATGCGGCTGGCGCATGAATAGAGTCGACCATTCAAGAAAGACAAGACGCAACACGAGAGCACCACTGGAGCTGCTGGCAAAGTCTGGTCTGGCATGTATGTTATAGTAACTTATACACAGTCCACCATCTCGGTGCTTATCATTATCTAGATTAGATTAGATTATGTTCCATCAAATGCCCCTCAAATTGTATTGCTTCAATCTACAGAAATGTGCGTGCGGGAATCCATGATACGAAATATTTGTCCCTTCATTTCAATTCAAGTCGTTCGGAAAAACAAAAATCATGTGAATAGGTGATCCAACTCGTAAGGATCTGTAAAGTATCGTTAAGTCCGTTCAGTCATGGGTATCAAAGATGTGCTAGATCGGCAACATTGGCTCCAAGCATGACGTATTTATCTCTCCAACAGGTGGACAGTCTAATATGTATCTGCATATTTCCTGTAGCATAGATAGCTTGAGTACGATTCTTGGGGAATGACGATACATATAAACAACACTCACTTGCGTCTGCCTCCGCAAGCAAAGATTCCGCAGCATGCACCGACACAGGACAACCAAAGTAGGATAGTTGCAGCAAGCGTCATCCATGTCTATAGTAAATTAGTAGAATTTCAATACGAGCTGTCGGCCAAAGAAATTTTACGCACTCCGCTACCCCAGGTCGCCCGAATCTGGCCATGGAATTCATCATTGAGCTTGTTCCGTACGACTGCCACGAATATGACATCAACCAGGAAAATTATCGTCGTGAACAGTGCCGCAAAGATTGACGCTACGAGAGTGGCGCCGGAACGCACTCGAGTGCCAAATCGTGGAGTGGAGCTCGTGATCATGAATATTGAGAGAGCAAGCGCCAAGAACGTGAGTCCGCACGCTATTCATGTGCAAGGTAAGGTGAGAAACCATATTAGTGTAGAAGATTTAAGCAGTCGTACCAATAGGATGTATGACGAGCACAGTTGTAACAGAACGTGTCAAGTCGTCTGAAATTCTTCCTATACCCGATACTTGACTGAATTGAGTGGTGTTAATATCCGAACTCCACTCGAAAATAGCACGAAATACTCACAGAGCATTTTGAACCGTCTCATCAAAAGTAAAGCCTAGATGTGGCTTTGTGCACTGCGCAGCCCTATCAAAATTCTGCCCAGCGACCCTTAGAGTAGTCGGAGCGATCACATTAGTTTTGTGAATAACCCCTCGTTCATGCCAACTTCATGGGTAGACTTACTGGACATCGACTGCGCTTACACAATAACCCCAGACGCCGAACTTGACACTTCCTGTGACATCAACGGAGGCGACACTAATGCCTTCGCTCACGACCGCCGAGAGCTTCAACAAGTCTATTGACTTAATGATAGGCACGGAGAGAGAGACAAGCAAAAGCAGCAGAAATGCAGCGAATAATAGAAGAGGCGTGATTGCGGTGGCAGCGTACATGGCTGTTGAATGAGAAACAGACGAAGAGGAGTCAAAAACGATGTCAGTGGTGGGACAAAAGTCTGGGAGTAGTGGCGAATGGCCGTAAGAGGTGCGGGGCGTTATAAGGCATGCATCCGGCTTTGGGCCCGAGCTAGAATAAAAAAAGACAATCAATGCTCGGCAGAGCCTCTCCACCCTCATTTCGCGAATAAACGTGGTCCACAGCCATCCTTGTTCGAGTCGTTTGTGACGTATGGCACTGAATGTGCATGAGAAAACAACGTTGTCGGAGACTTACAACAGGCCAGGCTTTTAATCGTCGTGCATTCGTGGCCGTGTGCGACCAACTCGCGGAAACGCACATTACAGTACATGGAAATTTGAGAGTATGGTGACGCAAATCAATTACAAAGATAAGATAAGATCGTTGATCTATTGTACGTACAGCACAAACTAAACAATTATATACATAATACATATGCAAACATGATACGAAAAAAGCGAGAGAAAAATAAATCAAACATAAATGTATGCTCCACAAAATGGACATATTCTTGGAATATCCTTGTCATCGGACCCTGTAGAGGTCTTTGACAGCCTCGAAAGGATCTCATCCCGACTTCCACTGCATACGTGATCTGGGACAAGAATAGTGTTGAGTTATTTTGCGAAGCTGAGGCATTTAGAAACTTACCTGGCATTCCGCCGCCGGTGTTGACTCGACTGTCTTGTTTCCCGGTACCTTCAGGGTAGACGGTCGGTCTGTACGAGGAGTTGAAAGGTTGCTGTTGATTTTGTTGTCCGTCGGTAGATGTCTCAGTGGTTGACGACACTGCATCGCTCCTTTTCATCGTTGGATAGACGGTACTTCTGTAACTGGAGTTAAAGGGTCGTTCTTTGTCCTCAGTAGGTGACTCAGAAGGTGATTGATGATCAGAAACTGCATCACTCCTCTTCCCTGTTCCTGTAGGATAAACAGTACTTCTATAACTGGAGTTAAAGGGTCGTTCTTGGTCCTCAGTAGGTGATTCAGAAGGTGATTGATGGTCGGAAACTGCATCACTCCTCTTCTCTGTCCCTGTAGGATAAACAGTACTTCTGTAACTGGAGTTAAAAGGTCGTTCTTGGTCATCAATAGGTGATTCAGAAGGTGATTGATGGTCAGAAGTTACATCACTCCTCTTCCCTGTCGCTGTAGAATAAACAGTACTTCTGTAACTGGAATTAATGGGTTGTTCTTGGTCATTAGTAGGTGGTTCGGAGGGTGACCGATAGTCAGAAACTGCGCCGCTCCTCTTTCCCGTAGGATAGACCGTACTTCTGTAAGTGGAGTTAGAGGGTTGTTGTAGATCGTCAGTAGGTGACTCGGAGGGTGACCGGTAGTCAGACACTACGTCGCTCCTGTTTCCTGTCCCTGTGGGATAAGCAGTACTTTTGTAAGTGGAGTTAAAGGGTGGTTGCGGACTGTCAATAGGCGTCTCAGGTGGTGATCGGTAGCCAGACGTTGCGCCACTCCTCCCTGTCGTGAAATCCTCGGCAGGCCTTCTTGACGCAGGTATGTAGCTGCCACTAGAATATTCACTGCCGACAGGTGATGAAACCTGTTCGGGGCTATACCTTTCAGATGGATACTCGGTGCTTCGGTAATCAGAAAACGCCGGGTCGCCGGAAACTCGACTTCCAGTGTAAGAGCCAAAGTCAGGAGAGCCAGAACGCCTTCCTGAATTAAAACCGTAGCCTTCACTAGAGCCACTGCTGCTGGGATAATAAGTTCCGCCATCGCTAGAGACCCTTGAGACATAACTTCTGCCACGACCTTTCCTATTGTAGGGACGCCTGCTTTCCGGACTGTATCTCCTTATATAACTGGACCTCTTCGTGCGGACAGGAGATGATCTGTTGGGGGAATAGCTGTCGCCCGAATAATAACTACCACTACCACTGGATCGCGGTCCAGACACGTAGCTAGATCTACCCCTGGTGAACAGCCCCGTGCCGGGCGATGAAGATCGCATTCGTTCACTAGAAATGTAGCTTTCACCACTGGCACCGCTGTCTGGGTATGAATAAGAGCTTCTGCGAGAGTACTCAGGTTCATATGTACCCTGACTTCTGCCAGTCGTGAAACGAGAACCGGCATCGGAGGTGTAGTTGTCGTTAATGTCGTCGGTCTTCGAATGAGGCGATTCAGAGTAATAAGAAGACGCAGTTTCAATGACGTCCCCAGATGTACTACCCGGAGAAATATATGTAGCTTCACCCTGGTAACTCTTCGTGTAAGGAAAACTAGAGTTCGGAGAGTAACCCACACTTGAACCGGAACTGGTGAAGTCAGTCTCGGGCCTAGTTGTTTGATAAGAAGTATAGTCTCCAGTGATACTAGTTTCTCCAAGAGGCGATCGGGATGCATACGACGTCGCAGCCATGGTACTTTCTGCGCCTTTGTCCGACGCAGGGTATGACCCGTCACTTGAGAAATAACTTCTTCCATGAGAGTCGCTTCCCGTGAACGGATTACTAGCCCCACGTGAATAGTCTGCATCTGAATTATCAGTAGAGACATAGGAGGCTGCTCGCGACGTTGAATTAGGATACACTGTTGGATCTACTTCACCACTTCCGCTCTCCGTGTAGGGACGGCTGCTTCCATGCATGTAACTGGTAGCCTCTGTGCGAGTCGCGCTCGCCAAAGGCGAAGTCGATCTGGACTGGTAGGCAGTGTCATAGGAAGTACCGGTTGGGGTGGTACCCTGCTGTGACACATAGGTCGGAGAATAGGAAAGTCTTGAGCTACTTGGAGTAAAATCTGTTGTGACATATGAGCCAGATGCAGTTTCTCCGATTGTATTCGTCTCTTCCAGAGACGACCCTGGTCGATAGGAGCTTTCTGCTACAGTCTTTTCCGAGCCCTCCTCTGTTGCAGTGTATGGCCTTTCACTGGAAAAGTAGTTCTCTCCACTAGCACCGCTCCCTGTTGAAGCATAGCTAGATGCAGGAGAACCTTCCACTCCTGAGACTTCCGAACTTACATAAGTCGAGATTCGCGATCTCAACTGAGAGGATGGGAATTCACCTTCAGATGTGCTCCTACCGCTTTCAGGCTCAGGATAGCTCGTCGCTTCGCTAGAGACAAAGCTTTTCGTGAATGTACGGCTGGTCCCGCTGGATAATACGGTCCCTGTTTCGCCCATATTACTGCCGGTCGTGAAGTGTGATCCCGTACCAGATGAACTGCCCAATCCAGAGCCGCTTGCAAATTCAGTCGGCTCGGACGTGCGCTCTTCAGTGATATAAGTATCCGTGAGAGGCGCGTGAGACGCGTAAGAGCTTCCAACGGTAGTGCCTTCTGTGCCAGTACCTGTAACAGAGTGTGGCTCTTCAGTAGTGACATAGCTTTCTCCGATGGCGTCACTTCCTGTGTGAGGATACGTAGACATACGAGAGTCGTCGAGAATTGAACTAGCGGTGGGTACGTTAGACGCAGTCGGCGACGTCGACTGGGAAAGCTGGGTTCTATCCTCAGACAATTCTTTGGCACTACCTGACTCGGGATATACTGTCGAATTTGTAGGATTTGTGGTATACGCACTGCTGCTGCCACCACTCTGGATGTTGGAGTGACTACTTCCGGGAGAGAAAGCGCTTTCCGTTCCAACTGCACTTCCGTCGTTGTTGGTCGAGCCTGAACCTACAATAGAACTGAGAGCTTCGTTCGTGGGCTCGTGGTCGGTGATGTCTATTGTGCCACTTGCCGAAGGTGATTGTCCCTCAGACATAAAGGTCTCGCGCGTCATGTCGCTGGTTGTGTGAGGAAAACTAGATGCTCGTGAAGAACCTAACTGCGAATAACTTCTGTCAAGGGTAGTGCCTGATACTGGCGTTCCGTCGGAAATGACATCCTCGGCAGAACCCGATTTAGTGAAAAGCGATCCAGATCCATTAGACGTTCCCATTTCAGTGAGTGGCCTTTCACTGGATATATAGCTGTCTTCAGCGGTGCCGTCGCTTGTGAAAGGACCACTTGACATACGAGAGGTGATTGTCCCTGGGGTGTCTGTCGTAGCGTAGGACGCAGTCGGTGTGCCTGAACGAGAGCTTTGGGAGCCATCTCCAGATAATTCCTCAGAGCCCCCGGATTCAGGATAATCTGTTGTGGCCCTTGAACTAGTAGGATACGATTCATCACTTACATTGGTCTTCGAGTAGATACCAGTGCCACTAGTGGAATAACCGATACCTGCATTATCCTTACTGCTTCCTTCTGTCGTTAATCGTGATCCTATGCTAGAACCGCCATCCTTGTCGATAAGTTCTGTGCTCATCGGACGAGACACAGAGTCAAAGACAGACTCAGTTGCAGTGATTGCCTGATTTGTGTCTGTGGAAGATTGCACTTGTTCATCCGAAGCATCACCTCCGACGCTACTGACATTGCTCTCCGTGTGAGGAACGCCTGTTCCTGAGTAATCGGGGCTTGCTTCTCCAGTGCTTACCTCGGTCGGAGATCGTGACTCTGCACCCGTGACAACCTCGTCGCCGTCGCCTGTCTTTGTATCAGGTATTCCGGAACCATAGCTCGACGCAACTTCGGTGACTTCCCGATCCGTCTCTAACGGAGGCTCCATTTCCTCGTCTGAGAGATGGCTTTCGCTATTGGCATTACTCATTGTGGGAGTGAAGCCGCTTTCAAGAGGCTGATTGGCTTCCATTTCACTCCCACTTCTGTTTGACCCAGAATCAATAAGAGACTCGGTCTTCGTTTCATCTCCCGCTACGGTCGGTGAGTACGACTGCTCTCCAGACACAAAACTGTCATTCACACTGCTCTGCGCGAATGGACTGCTCGGCTCAAGGGGACTACCCACTTGCGAATCACTTGCAGCAACACCGGATTCATGTTGCGACGTATGATCTGAGCTGTAACTGGGAGTGATATCCGTTCCTGTGAAAGACATTGGGGATGTATAAGAAGTTGCTATTCCGGTGTTGTATTCACTTAGGACTGTCCCAGAGCGCGG